GTGGGGGGGGGGGGGGGTTATGAGCAGATGATACTCAGTATACCAGACACACGATTTCCGTAGGCCGGGAATTGCACGAGAGATGGAGTGCGCTCGCCAGATTTGAGGGCAAGCAGTGCAGTCATAGGCGTCAAAAAAGAAAACAATCCCAACGATATTAAAGCAAAGAGCCAACAGGTGATGTTACCATACGTCATAGGCAAATCAGAAAGCATGGCCGAGATGGAAATCAGCAAACACAGTCTCTGCACGAAGAGTCGATTTGGTACCCGATTTTTGTCTATCGCTCCTGTCCCGCATAATGGCGAAGCTCAAGTCACATTTGCCCCAAAAAGACTCCAGACCGTTCACGTTCAAGAGCGCATCTTCATAATATTCTCCATGAACAAGCTACTCCGTATAGGCATCCAGATATCATTGCCTCCGTCCGTATGATCGTCGGTGAAAAAACCCGTCGCCATCCATGCAGATTTTGAAGTACAAAGGGAAAGAAGAGGTCGTCGCGGAAACTGTTTAGTCGAAAAGACCGAAACCCATGTCGTCGTCGGACTCCTCCTTCTCTGCGAGCAGGGCCAGGTATGTCAGTAATCGTAGTCTCCAGAGTACGGGGATGGGACATCCCAGCGGCGTAGGCTAGGGAATGGTTCGACGTACCCTCCTCCTTCTTCTCCTCAACGGCCTCCTCAGCGGCACCGCCAGCGGCAGCGGCAGCACCACCGGCAGCAGGAGCGGCGGCACCGCCACCAGCGCCGATGTTGGAGAGCAGGTCCTTGACGTCCTTGCCCTCGAGAGCCTGTAGAGCACAAAACCCTGTTAGTACATAGCTCGCTCGTCTCGTCTCGGCCTCGATATCGAGGTTTGGCTGTCGGTTCGTACCTTGGCGAATAGTTGCGCCCAGATGGGCTCAACCTCCTGGACGTTGGCGGCCTTCAGGATGGTCTGGATCTTGTCGGACTGTCGAGCAGAAAAAGCAGTCATGTTAGCCCTCGTGTGTCTCTCATATCGCCATGAATTGCCCCTCCCCAGTCCTTCTCCTTCCATCTCCAGATGCCCCGACTCGACGGCAGGCATGGCGGGGTTTAGTGGAAAGTGCTCACGGTGATCTCGACACCATCATCGGCGAGGATGAGGGCCGCGTAGGAAGTGGCAAGCTCGGCGGTAGACATCTTGGATGTGTAGATGGCGCAGGGAATTTCGATTGTGTCGATATTCTGCAAGTCTTGTCCGAGGTGTACGGGTTGGAGACGGGTTCGAAATTCTTTGATGAGCTTTTGGCACGACGAAATAATTCTGTGCGTGGGAAACCCTACCGGCCAATGGGTGGCTTCCGTTTAGCGGGGAGCAGGTGAAATCGGGTCGTCGGCGAAATGGGGAAACTATAGATCCGGGAGAGGCTAAGTTTTTGAATCATTGAAGTGAGCCAGGAGTCAAAGGCGCAGATTCAGGGTGGATCTAGTCTACCTAGGTAGGAACCAAGAATACCCAAACACCAAGCCAATCAACGTGCAAAGATCGCCCGCCCAGACCTTTTGCCTACGGAGTAGATCTCCTAGATCCCTCACCCTCAGCCAGCTCTTCTCATTTCTCGCTCCGCCCGGCCAAAAGCTTGCCTTACTCAGCAAAGCCCGGCCTCCCGTCACCCAATTGCAGGCCCCTGCGAAGAGAACCCCACATCGGCTCTTCGACTCACCAGACCTGGACGAACCCCCGCCATTCTGACGTCTCCGGAACGGCTGGGATACTGGCTTGCATCTGCAGTGTCTCGCCTACGCTACCTTCACTTACGTTGCACTCGACGTATTCCTCCACCACAGCCCCCTACTCCGGCCTGCGGCAGCGTGCATCTGATCATCCCGGACAGCATATCATCTTGCCCAACCGAGCAAACGGATCTGCCAAGTCCAATTGGCTTTCAAGCACGCGACTGCGGGAACTCGTCCACTCTGCGGCTGCGCGGGGTTAATAAGCCAAGGGTGATTATACATCAAACCTTCTGTTCTACTCTTTCCCGGCAAACGCACCCGGAAACCCCGTCATTCCGGCTTCCTGTCCTTCCCCTCGAATCTCTCCTTCGCCGGACATTATACTTTTCCTAGCAGAGCACGACACCCACGGCTCCTTGCAAGACTACTGCCCACCCCCTCCCGATGGATACCCCCGCCATCCCGCCGCCCAAGGATGCGCGAGAGCAGGAGATCCTGGAGAAGCTGCAGGCTATCCGGGACCAGCTCCTGTTGCTCAAGCAAGACCGCACCAAGTATGTCCGCAGCCAGGACGTCATGGTGCTGTACGACCAGACCGCCGCGCAGGTCCGGTTACTGAACCAGATCCGCGACGGAAAGCACACCCAGGAGAACAGATGTAAGTCTGGGGACCCATGACGGTATCTCCTTGCCTTGCCAGGCTGACTCTTCGATAGTGGACAAGGTCCTAGAGAGCTGCTTCCAGCTCCTCTCGCTCTTCTTCATGACCATCGGCCGGACAAGCGAAGCCCCGGCTGCCTACGCCCTGACGTCCACGATCAAGCGGCTCACCGACCACCTGGCCGAGGCCGACCTCTTCTCCGCCAAGGATCTCGAGAGCATGAACCACACGCTCGAGAGGCTCACCGAGATCGTGAACACAGCAGAGAACGACAACATGGTTGAGCTTTTGGCGCGCCGCATCGAGCTGTGCCGGACGTCGCTCAACAATCTCCAGAAAAAGCTTGACCGACAAGCAGAGCCGCTGAGGCCGATCTATGAGAAGCTAGTGTCTATTCTAAGGTCGATCTCGCTCAATAACACCCGGAAATGCGTAAGTCTTGGTTCAAGGGCTGTTCTTTGGTTGCACTGGTTCTAATACGTACAGTTCTCGTCATCCGATGTCCAAAAGCTACGGTCGCAACTAAAAGACATTGACGAGAAGAGGGTGGATGGGCACTTCCGCGGAGAAGACGGAAGCGTGCTGGCAGGTAGCGATGAGGTCGAGGACCTCTTGCGGAGGTGCCTGCTCTGGTCTGACATAGTACTTGAGAGGTTTGTGGTTCCTTTCTCTCCCCACTCAGCTGTAGTATTGACAACGCAAAACAGGAAGGGGGTGATTCCGGAACCTTTCAAGCCGATATACGACGTACTGATCTCGATCCGCAATGACCTGGACAAGCTGTCTGTAACGCAAGCCTGGTCATTGCGTGAGACGGATTTGTACGATTTCCAGCGCCAGCTTGACAAGATCGACGAGAGCAGGGTGGACGGGAACTGGCTTGACGATCAAGGGAAGCCGGCAGAGCTCTACGTTCAGCGGACAATGCTCTACCTGATCCGGAGGAGCTATGGCTTCATCTACTCCTTGATGATCTCGTCTGAGCCCGTGTCAGAAGCTTTGCTCCCTATCTACAACCAGCTGCAGACTCTGAAGCGATGCCTGCTCGAGGTCAAGAACTCTGGTGGTGTTGGGTCTGTTCGCGAGCTGTATCCTTACAGCATGAAGGTATGTTGTCATGCGTGTGTCTCGCCTCAGAGTGTCGATATCATGACTGACATGGGTTTTTGCCAGCTCCACTCCATTGACAACATGCGGGTAGATGGCAAGTTCATGGTGGGTGAAGACATTCCCGAGGGACAGGGCAGTGTCACCGAACTCCTCGCGGAGTGCTTCGAACTCAACTACGAGCTGAGGGTGGCCGCGGAAGAGAAGGAGGAGAACGAAGCTTCTGAAGACTAAGACTAGAGAACAGCAGAGCCTGTCCTCACGACCTGTTGGAACAGAATGATTGCTTATTTGTTGCATTGCACGAATTTTTCCCGGTTAGAGATGTACAATGGACTGTTATCATCCTGTCTCCTTTCCACACCGGTTGTCTTGTGGAGTTTGAGGTGACATACAAGGGGCCGAAACGTCCCCGAGGAATGGTTTCGAGAGGGGGAGACGGCGGCGCTTTCTTGGGGACCGGGCCCTCATCGATCTTGGTTCATTGGTTGAAAACGGACAAGGCAACTTGATCAACAACTGGGTTGGTTTTATCACTTGCATTGGCTCTTTACTTTTTTTTGAGAATCTCAGTTTCGGGAGCGAGTCATAATACTACTTTTTGATTTGTGTTTTTCTTTTCTTTTTGGGTCTGGCGGTGATCTACACAGTTGGTCAACACAGTTGGTCATCTGCATGCATACATGGCGCTCTCTATCCTCCCAGACACTTCTTTTGTTCTGTGGTATGTGTGAGTTGTCAGAGAGCCTCAGAGCCTACTGCTTGACGGGAGTCCGGACAGCGGCCTTGAGGGGCCAGATCTGGGCCTATCATTCCACCCGTCGTTAGTATTATCTGAAACAAGGGGCGTTTTTGTGTTCTTTCCAGCATTGTGAAAGGTGCCCGCGGAGAGGAAAAGAGTAGCTTTGCTGCCTGTGCCTGTGCCTGGGGGGGGGGGGGGTTCTTTTTTCTTTTCTAGAAAAAAAAATAATTTCTCTTACCTTCTCGACGTCCCAGACGCCCGACTTTGCGTAGACGTCGCCCCTGATGAACTCGACGACCTCGTCGCGCGACGAGGCGACGATCTGCAAGGTGCTGCCGGCGAACTTGAGGCTGGTGGGCTGGTCGTCGACGGGGACGTCGTCGAGGATGGCGCCGCCCATGACGATCTTGCCCGACTTGACGTGCTCGGTGATGCCGGCGAAGTGTTGGCTGTTGTAGGTGCAATTAGAATGGGGCTTTGTTCTCTTCGTCATTTGGCAGTGGGTGGGTGGTGGTGGTGGTGGGTGGTATGGTTCCGGGGAGTTAGGGGAAGAAGGGTGCATTGGGGGTGTGTGGAGGTGAGAGTTGAGATGAAATTAGGGGAGTGAAGTTGGGGGGGCATGAGAAGAAGAGATTGGATGGCATTGGATAACAACAACAAGATAACAAAACCGCATCATGAAATGAGAAGGCTATACTCACGGCCGGACGTCAAGTCTCTTCTGCAGGGCACCGGGCACGTCGGGCACGACGACGAGCCACTCGAAAGGACGGCCTCCGGAGGACATGCTGCGTCTGGTGAGGTGGGCGGAAGGGGCGATGTTGTTGTTGATGTGCTTTGAGATGCCGGATAGACGGGCAGCAGCGGCGGCGGGGGTACTAATCGTAGAACGGGGCAGAGCAGAAGAAGCGGCAAGACGCAGAGCCATAGGAGAAAGTAGAGGGTGAAAGGAGGAGGAGAAGTATGGGCTTTTTGTTGTAACTACTTAGATTCCTGGAAGGGACCAACTAAACTGCCGTAGATGTCGGGGAATGGCGAGACCGGACGGAAACACAAAGACTAATCGGATATCGGCGGCGCGAGACGGGTAGTTCCTCTCTTCAAATTGTCACACAGAGCAGAGAGGCTTTCCTTTGGTGGGGGGAGGGGGGGATGTGGAGGAAGATCGGGGAAAGAAGCGAGAGCAAAGAGGTGCGGATTCATATCTGCGGTCCGGCAAATAGCGGGCGGGGGTGGACTTCTGAGAATGGCGGAACTCCAAGCGCGCGCCCTGTTGTAGATCCGCCCGCAAGTCGGCGCCCTTTGGGACGATTCGGAGACCCCTCGGCGTTGTGCATCACCGGCTGGGAAAAGACGTGTACGTCACTCCTTTTGGAAGATGAACTCGCAACGACTGCTAAGGTTTACAACTGTTGCTGATTTCCAAGAGTAAGTACAATACTCAAGCCCAAGGGAAACCTCTTTATTTGCTCTGGCCACATCTCCTTGCCATGTGTCCAAATATTACAAGTATTCTGTTTTATGTATCTCTCCACTATGTATGTATGTATGCTATCATAGCATCAAACGGGTCCTCATCCACAAAGGCGCCGACGCCCTTGAGAAGACAAGTCCAAGTCCAGGTCGCTCTCTTCCAAGACCTGACCGAGTAGTGGACCTTACAACTTGGCCTTGCCCTCCTGCTTCTGCATCGTCTCCGCCACGATCCGCCTCTGGATCTTGCCAGTGGCCGTCTTGGGCATCACGTCCGTAAAGTAGATCTATGCCGTAGTCACACGTCAGTCCCCACGTCGTTCCCAACAGACATATATATAGCCCACCACTGCCAGACCGGCAGAAGCAAAAAGATGAGGGGAGACATACCTTCTTGGGCACCTTGAACTTGGCCAGCTTCTCCGCCACCCACCCGCGCAGCTCCTCCTGCCCGAGCTTCTGGCCCGGCTTGAGCACGACGGCGACGCCGACGTCCTGCCCGTACATGTCGTCCGGGATGGCGAAGCTGACGGCCTCGGACACGGCCGGGTGCCGCGTGAGCACGTTGTCGAGCTCGATGGGCGAGATCTTCTCGCCGCCCTTGTTGATGAGCTCCTTGATGCGGCCCGTGATGATGACGTAGCCGTCCTCGTCGAGCTTGCCCTGGTCGCCCGTGCGGAAGAAGCCGTTCTGCCGGTGGAAGCTCGACTCGTTGGCCGCCGGGTTGTTGAGGTACCCCTTGGTCACGTTCTCGCCCCGGATGCAGATCTCGCCCTCGGCGCCCCGCGCGACCTCCCCGCCGGCCTCGTCGAGGATCTTGACCTCGACGCCCTGCCCCACGCCGACGGACCCGGGCTTCCTCTTGCCCGGCGGCAGCGGGTTCGAGGTCATCTGGTGCGCGGCCTCGGTCATGGCGTAGGCCTCGAGCACGGGCGCCCCGTACGTCTCCTCGAGCTGGTGGAAGACGGTCGGGGACAGCGGCGAGGAGCACGAGCGGATGAAGCGGATCTTGGGCTTCGGGCTCGGCGGCGGGTTCTTGAGCAGGATCTGGTGGATCGTGGGCACGGCCGTGTACCAGTTGGCCTTGTGCGCGTTGAAGTCCTGCCAGAAGTCCGAGGCGGAGAACTTGGTCGGCACGACCATGGAGCCGCCCGAGTAGAGGGGCGCGAGCAGCGCGCAGAGGAGGCCGTGCACGTGGAAGAGCGGCATGACGAGCATGGTGCGGTCCTTGGCCGTGAGCTGGTAGGTCTGCTGGATGTTTTCTGTGACGTGATGTTAGACCAAAGAGCAAGTCCTAAATACATGTGCAAACCTAACATACTCATGGTCCTCGTCAAGTTACGGTGGGTAAGCGGCACCTAGAAGACAAAACAATGGTTAACCAGGTGTTTGAAGACAAGAGGACATGTTGGCCTCATGTAACATACCACTTTCGGCCGCGAAGTAGTTCCACTGTCAATTCAGATATTAGTATGTAGGCACTTCTCAAGTAAGAGCACTGGTGTGTCTCCTCACCTAGTGTGCAGCACCAGCGCGATATCATCCGGCTGCGGCTGCGCAACAGGCTGCGCCGGCAGGCCCTGGAGCTGGCCGAGCTCCTTGACGTCCAGCGCCACGGACCGCGTCTTCTCGTCCCAGTAGCACTCGGCGACGGCGGCGTTGAACTTCTTGGCCGCCTTGACGGCCGGGCTGCCGGCCTGGAAGGCGCCCCGGGGCACGAGCACGATGGCCGACTTGACGTCCTCGATGTAGAACTCGAACTCGTCCTGCTTGTAGGCCGGGTTGAGCGGGGCGGCGATGCCGCGCTGCCACGAGGCGGCCAGGAAGGAGACGATGAACTCGTACGAGTTGACCGTGGCGATGGACACGGGCGAGCCCTTGGTGATGCCGATAGCGGCCAGCTTGGCCTGGAAGGCCGCCGTCTCCCGGATCAGGTCCAGGTAGGTGACGGTCAGGGCCTGGGGCTTGGACGGCACGATGACGGCCGTTGCGTCGGTGGCGCCGCGGATGGCGGTCTGGAGAGTGAGAGCCATGGTTGCGAGTGGTGAGACGGCGCTGCGGTTTCCCTTTGCTCGGGGCTGAGAAGTGCAGATCTCAAACCGGGCTGTCTAAGTGAGAGCGAGTGCGACCGAATGTCGGACCAGGCGATGTTGTGGCGCCCAATTGAGACCGGAGAATGGGAGCTAGATCGGGGCAGAGCACGGAAACCAGTCCTTGTACTACTGCGATTGATGGCACAGCAGGTATGAAGAGTCAATGGGTCTCAAGATGAGACGTCGAGCTGCGTTTGAGAATGGGTGGTGCACTATCCGAACTCACCCGCCGAAATCGCGGGCGGAGACATGGATGGCACTCCTCCTGAAGCTTCGGGGCAAGGATCAGCTTGCGGCCCCCTCCCGACCACCCACTGTGGAGTCTCGAGCAAAAGCTCCCGCGCACGAATTACAGGGCCCAATGGCGTCAGTTCTTAGCAAGCAAGCTCTCTATACTTTCACTGGCTGGAAGCTAGACCACTATCCAGCGCCTCGTCCCGCAAGGCTGTGATTGTGATACTTTCGAACCTTGACCGGCATGTGAGAGCTGCGATTTCTACAGTGTACAGCTTGCACTCGATCTCTACGCACTACCAACTCGTGTACGCAGCACACAGCACCTCGCAGAAGTGCCGGAAGAGCCATCATACTCAGTATGGCGGCACCACCGCCCCCGCCGCCCCCGAAAGGCAGCGGCATGTCGCTCTACGCGAACCTGCTCGACCCCAAGGCCGACTCTTCGGCCTCGATCTCGCGCGCGCCAGTCATATTCAAGCCGGCAGACGGCACGGATGACCCCTCGGTGCCCAAGAAGCCAGTCGACTCGTCAGGTTAGCTACCGCCCCCTTCTGACCTATTACCACCGTCCCACGCTGACCGTCCCCCAAAGCCCTCCGCTTCCAGCCCATCCGCCGCCCAGCAGCCCCCAAGCCAAAGACTTCCAAACCCTCCTTCCCACGCGCCATACCTCCCACCGCCGGCGGCACGCCACCGGCGCAGCAACAACAGCAACCATCCGCAACGGCAGCGGCAGCATCACCGTCGTCCGTACCTGCCCCAGCAACCGCAGGATCGGCGGCGGCGGGCCGCAGCACCCTCGCCGACTGGGCCGCCGCCGAGGACGACGACAACAACTACTACTACCAAGCCGGCGGCGGCTCGGACAAGCGCCACCTGCGCGGCGGGCGCAAGAAGCGCAACAAGCGCAGGAACGACAACGAGCCGCCCGCCGAGACGGACTGGGACGAGCTGTACGACCCGGCGCGCCCGACCAACGTGGACGAGTACCTGCGCAGCGACGAGCGCGTGCGCGAGGTGCGCGAGTGGAAGGCCGCGCTGTACGCGCACCGGCGGCGGCGGGAGGGCGGCGGGAGGAGGGGGAGCAGTTACGAGGAGGACCTCAGCGACCTGAGCGATGAGGATGCCGCTGGGGTGCGGCCGGCTATGAGTATGTGTTGTCCCTTGCCCTTGATCCTCCTCTGTCTCTCTCTTCCTTTGTCTGTTTTGTGGAGTGAAGCTAATTATGGAAACCCTGTTCTGCAGACGCATTCGCACCGCCGGCAGAGTACTCCTTTGCCCCTCCGCCGCCGTCACCGCCCCGACAGCAGCAGCCCGCAGCGCCACCACCAGACGACGCAACGGGCGACGACGCCTACGCCCGCCGCCTCGCCATGTCCACCGGCGCGGCGCCCGCTCCTCCGCCCGCCCGACCCTCTCCAAGCCCACCACCGCCTCCACCACCACCACCAGCAGAAGAAGCACACCCCTCAGCGGCAGGAGCAACCATATCCCGCGCCCCAGTCCGCTACGAGCAACAGCCACCTCCCCCGCCCGCAGGGGAAGCCATGGACCTCGACGACGACGACGACGACGCAGACGACGCACAACCACCACCATCAGAAGATCAGGACGACCAGCAGGAGCAGCAGGAGCAGCTGCGCGCCAACCGGCCCGGCCAGGCCGGCTTCGCCCAGCGCCTCATGGCCAAGTACGGCTGGTCGCGCGGCAGCGGCCTCGGCGCCGACGAGTCCGGCATCGTCAACCCGCTGCGCGTGCAGGTCGAGAAGCGCCGGAAGCGGCCCGACGCCGAGGGCGGCGGGTACGCCGAGCCGGGCGGCCGCGGCAGGATCCTCGGCGGCAACAGGCGTAGCAACAAGCAGGACGGTGGCGGCTCGGGCGAGCAGGAGCAGGGCTTCGGCGCCATGAGCGACGTCGTCGTCCTCCGCGACATGCTCGAGGGCATGCCGGACCTCGAGGGCGAGGTCGAGCAGGGCCTGGGCCAGGAGATTGGGGAGGAGTGCGGTGAGAAGGTACGCGTGCGGTGCGGTGTTGTCTTTTTCCTCGTCTTCTTCTTTTCTAATGGGTTGTGCAATGACACCTGACTGACCTTGTGTGATTGAACGACAGTACGGCCGGGTCGAGAGGCTGTTTATCGACATGCAGGACCGTCAGGTATTCATCAAGTTCACCGATCAGGTATCTGCGCTTAGGGTAAGTCACTGCTGAATTTCTCTTGAGATCTTTGGGTGCCCTCTGTGAGCTGACCGCAAGGGATACAAACAGGCCGTCAATGCCCTCGAGGGCCGCATCTTCAACGGCAATGCCATCGTTGCCAAGTTCTACGACTCGGAAAAGTTTGAAAAGGGTGTGTACAATTAGAGGTTGGTTTACGAACCCTATGGTCAAGCTCCGGGGTTATTGTTGTAGGATCATTGGTTCGTAGACGGAGTCAAGATTGCAGAATGACAAGATACGGGTGATACCTGTTCCAAGTTGATAGTAATGCAACTTGCAAGCCTTCAAGACGAGAGTATTCTGAAAACTGCAGATGCAAGAGTGCGACTACAGGTACAATGATCACGGTTTCAGCCTGGAAGGAAACATCTACGACGACAAGGAGATATACACGGTGCAATTTGGTGCCTCTACTGTCGAGCTGACTATACAGGGTTGTCCGAGAGCCAGATACTGCGCCTGCTTCACCGCCATACTGGTAGCTCCCCCTTCCATCACGAATACACCTTTTGCCAGTAATAGCCAGGAGAGCGTATTTTCCCCAGCCCATCCCATTATCCACCTAGAGCAACCTCCATCCATGTACTCGGCCACAACAAGGAAAAAGGGGACGATGCGTGGGTGATCTTTTCAGATGAACATTCGAGTAAAAAAGTATTAAGTCTAGTAGTTCTGTACGTTGTGCGGTTCATGTGTCTCGGAATGTGCAGCTGAGCAGCGATGAAAACAACACACTCGGCAGGTAAAAGGAACATGGAATAAAGGAGAGTTTACAAGAAGACGCCACCATGTTTGCCAGCCCTGTATCGCAGAAAAATGATGATGTCCCACATACAAATCAACCACCTCGCGCCGGTCCCTCCGTCACAGCTTACAGCAGCTGGAAGAAAGCACCAACAGCGACCAGACCGAAGGCGGTCAGACCGTTGACGGTGACAGCACCAGCAGCGTTCTTGTTGCCGGAGCTGTCGCTGCCGGTACCGCTCTTGCCGGTCTGGCCAGAGGTGTCGTTGTTGGCGTTCTCGATCTTGCCCTTGCAGGTGTACGTGCCCTGGATGTGGCCGTTACCGCCCTTGACGTACTTGGCGGGAGCGAGCTTGTCGAAGGAGGCGCACGAAGTGGTGATGTTCTCAGTGCTGACAACGTCGAAGGCACCACCGACATCGTCGAGAGCGGGCATAGAGACACTATGGTAAAAGTTGGTCAACACCTGGGTTCGAGCTATAGAACCATCTAGAAAAGGTACTCACGTGTTGAAGACACCACGGAACTTGATGTCACCAGTGACCTGCTTGAGCTTGGGAATGCTGTCGATCTTCTCAAGAGCCGTGTTGTTAGCAATGAGGAGACCACCACCCAGCTTGGTCACAGCAGGCAGAGAGATGTTGGTTAGCGCATTGTTGCTAACAAACGACAGGATGGAACCAGAGTTGGTCTGCGTCAGGTTGGGAGCGCTGAAGGACTTGAAGTCGTTCTCGACAAAGGCGCAAGAACCGTTGATGGTGCTCAGGGAGGGCACGTCAAACGAGGAGACGCCAGAGATGGTCATGTTGGCGACCGACTTGAGCTTGGAGAACTTGACCTGCAGGCCGGCACCGTTGGCGTTGATGTTCAGAGTATCCGTCAGGCTGGTCAGGCCGGAGTCGAACGAGACGAGGCGGTGGTTGTTGTTGATGTCCATGAGAGCGACGGTGGTCATGTCAATGCCGTCGAGGCTGTCGATCTTGGTGTCGGCAATCCTGACCGACTTGGCCTTGCTGAGACCGGTGGTGAAGCCAAGCTTCTGGAGCTCGAGGACCGAGGTCCAGCTGATGCTGCCGACCGAGGTGAGGCCGCTCATGCTCAGGGTGGAGAGGATGGTAACGTTTTGCAGCAGGAAATCACCGGTAATCTCGCCGAGGGAGCTGCTCTTAAGAGTGATGAGCTTGCCGTTGTTCTTGCACTGCAGGTCACCATCGATCTTCTTGGGGCCCGAGAGATCGATCGTGTTGTCAGAGTTCTCGCCGATGACGACGTTGCCCTTCAGGGTGCTACAGCCCGAGAGGCCACTGGCATCGGCCTGGGAGTTGATCTTGAAGGTGTCCTGGGTGCACTTGTCGCTGCTCTGGGCTGTTACATCGCGGCTTTGTCAGTACTGTACGCGCAAGGCCGGCCGAGGAAGCTGAGATGCTCTTACCAGAGACGAAGCCAGCGGCCGCCAGGACGACGGGGAGGAGTTGCTTGGCGATCATTGTGTCAAGCTATCTAGATGGTCAGCGCTTGGAATCTTGGAATCTTGGTCAAATGAATATGTCAGGAATGGTGACAGGATAGTAGTGTCGAGGTAAACAGCTCAAGAAACCAAGAATAGTCAAGCTGTCGGGATCTGTGGAATTGATGGGTATCGAAAAGCAGAAAACAGATGTTGATTTGGGGGTTCGAGTTGCAAGAATCGCCACTGGGAGTGGAGTGGAGAGAAGGTGATAAACAGAGACTCGGGACGGGGAACGCCAGCGCCCAGTCGCAGTCAACAGTCGTTCTTTCGTCACGGTTCAAGACGACTCGTGCCCTCTTGCCCAGGAGTCACAGCCTCTGAGGGGTCGAGTTGAGCAGTGATGAGCGGGTCGACACAAATCTCTACTGCGAGATGCTGCTATGAATTGGGGAGCGACACGGCAGGTTTGGTCCCTTTGATTGGTGGTGACGAGGTTGTTTGTTGAGTTCAGAGCAGGTGCGCGCGTCGAAATCTCTTCTTGGTGGCAGGACGGCAGACAGATTGATAGATAGGCAAGTAGGAGAGGAAGCGAATGGGCGTCGAGGGGAGAGCCAGAAGTGAGGAGCTTACCTTTTTGTTACTCTCGTGATCGAGACGTAGATTCCAGCGGAAACCTGGGCAACCAAAAAAATGAGGATCGAGGGAAGCGGCAACTGTTCCTTTGCAGGCGACAAAAAGACAACACGCGTTCCTCTTTTTGTTTACTTGAAATCCCGACCTTGTACTTCTTCCGTACTCGTTCAATAAAGGCTCGTGAGACGAGTTGTAAACGAACGAACGAATTGAATTAGAAATTGGCACGAGGGAACGAGAGAAAAGGCGAGGAAGTAGGAGAGGAGGACGAGAGGAGTGAGTGTGTGGCTTGATGGAGGGAGAAGTATGAAGCGCAGGCCGGGTCTGGGTACCAGGAACAGCAGGAGCAACAGGAGCAGCAGAGCAGGGAGGTGAGGAAAGGACGACGGGGGCAGAAGGGGCTAATTGCACTAATATCCCAGGGCGCCCATCGCTGGTGCTAGAGCCACCCCACCCCATCTGCTACCACACATGCTCTTCTGGCCCCCCCTCCCCTGCCAGGTACCAGACTGCGTCTCACTGTACAGTACTTGTACATTTTCCTGTTTTCTTGCCCTCCCTCCCTCACATCCAGTCTCCACGATCTACCTGCTTCTTCTTCATGGGGCGCTCTCTCGACGCCAATTGTCTTGGCTCTCTATTAGCATTTATATCCTCACTGGCCAAGTGAGGTGGGCATCAAGGTCTCATGAATATTGACGCTTGCTCTCCCTTTCGAAACCACCAAGTCGTATCCAGGCTCTGATCAAAAAAGAGAAGGAGATGTTGCCATTGCTTTACCAAGTAGGTTAGGTACTTGAGGTGCCTGGAAAGAAAGGAGACAAACACCAGATACGCAAACACTCCGTAGAAAGGTACCGTTGGTATTTTTGGTTTTGTCACCGAGGTTCTGATACAGCATATTGCATCAACGCCCTCTCGGTTGATCCGGCTCCAGTATTTCTCCCCTTCCCCGTAGTGACGAAAGCTAAGCTTCGACAGATACAGATCTTTGCAAAGAATGCAGCACTTCTCCATTTGTCTACTCCTGTTGGACGAGATCTTGTTTCTCGGACGATGATGGCTGTTAGCGGCTCTTCTCAAGGGCGGCCGTCTCTGTGTACGCATGCACTCTTTGACACTAGCAGGTTGGCGGGCGGGTTTTCTCTCTTGGTGCCAATACCTTGTACACCTGCATCAGGGATCCACCCCTCGACGCGCACGCCCCTAGCAGCTAGGTGGAGGTGGCCATTGCACTGAGGCGAGCGAGCCTCTCACTGCCATGGCCTGGGTAGGTAGCCTGAGGGCGTGCCTGCATCTCGGTGGGTTGCAATATGGTCGAATTACCAGCAGCATTGGCGAAATTACAGCGTTCCCAACTGGCATCCAGATGCCTGCCCGGACCATTTGGGAACCCACGCATACGAAAGGGACACGTGCTTTTGCGCTGTTGAGATGAGATCATGAATGAACACAATAGCATTGTGCCTCCTCAGCGGGAGCGTGGCAATTCTGGACTGAGTGGTTGTTGTGCGCCGAGAAATTCGACGATGTGCCCATTAGGGTGTGAAGCAGAGTATTTCTAACTTTGTTGGCGTCGGCCCGGAGCACTTGGCTATCCCAATCCAGGGACACAAGATCGGTTCTCAACGATGGCACTGCTGTCAGAAGAGCCATCATCCCGTACCTGGCAGTAGGTACCACGGTTGCAGGCCTAGATTTCGACCCTCCCATCACGCATCGCTTGTTGAGAATAAGCAGTCAGATCCCTGGGAGTGAACGTTGTTTGTCCCGCTCAGCTTGCATTGGGTCTTCCCGTAGCCAAGCCAAGCTCAGGACAGCTTCCTACATTCGCTTGCCGCTCCTGCGGACGGTGTTTCAGGCGAACTGGCTATGTTGCAGAAATTCTGCGGCGGAGGCAAACCACAGCATCGGCGCATTGGCAGCTCGGAGTCGATGCTGCTCTTTATCAGTCAAATAAGCCTCCATTCTTCGCTGTTCTCAAAATAACCCAGATTCTGATCTACTCTTCTCGATAGCTCCAAGGATTACGAATACAACCGCTAGATACGAGACAGACACAGAGACAACACCAATGGACAACTCCGGCGTGGGAGCCATGGGTGGATATGTTGGTGGAGTGGATCGAGTTGGCATCCACCTCCCACCTCCACTCCCTCAGATTCCTCGAATGGGGCTTTTCCGACGGCCCAGTTGATGCGCCAGTGCGCCTCTACGCTTGCGGGACATGACGGGCCATTTTGGGAACATCCAGGAGTGGAGACTTTTGGTCCTGCTCCCCTGATGATCCGCTCCCTCCATGTGTGGCGGCGGCCATTAGGTCCTGGATGGACGGGTTTCAGTGCTTTTTTCCAGTGGGACATTCAGGACAATCAGATGGCGAGCTCCTGTATCCCATCATGATCCTCACCACCTATCCACAAAAGTCTCCAGTGTGTCCAATTTTTCTGGCCTCGTTGTGAAACGCCACCGATTTCTTCAGCTGCGAAAGTTGCAGCCAAAAGAATAACAATCACAAGCTTCTCGTGAGCAGGCGTTGTCCTCCAGGGAGTGAACCTCCCTCTCTGATCATGCCTCCCGGTAACATTTGGATGTGCGTTCACTAGGCCCACCCCCCCTTTCCATCCGCCGCCAAGGTCTCTGGACAGGTACATGGGCCTTCCCTCCAAGATTGCCAGGGGTACCTCGATCGCATTCCAGGCCGTTCCTCGGCGTTGCATGGGCCATTCCCGTCCCGATGCATGCATTGCATTTCCTTCGTTTTGCTTGCTTGCGGGAGGCGCCACTGTTTGTGTGTGCCGCCGTAACAAGCTTCTGGATCACAGAGATTCAGGTTCTTTGCTTGTTTCTCTGTATTAAAGATGGGGCAGTGCCGCCCCGCGATCTCTCTCACAGTACCGCTACCGGCTACTTCCAAGTTTTTCCTGGTCAATCTTCATCTTCTTCTTCTTGCGCCGTGTTATGTATCGCACGGCACTTGACCTACCTGATGCTGTGTCCCGGTTTGACACGCCTGACTTTGCCGGCCGCGCAATCCCTGGTTGCGAGTTGAGTACAACTTGGTCTCGTCTTGAAGAAGAGCATAATCCAGATTGCGACTCTGCTATCTTGCCCTGCGTCCACTGAGGGTGGACCCTTCATGACAGATCAGCCTGGACAACACAGCTGGCTGCTGCTGACATGTCATAAATAAATTTCAATGCTCTCAGCAACGCCCCAAAAAGAGATATTCTCCTCTCTTTCCGAGTAGTCAGACCGACGTCAATCCCATTGCCCACTGCTTGCTTGCTTGGGCAACCTGGCAATCAGCCGCCGCTCGCAGCTCTTTTGCCAAAAGCGACATATCTGAAACACTAGGTGATCTGCGACGCCAGCTGCATCAAACAAATGCCCTTCACATATTCCCAGCCTCCGCCTGGCCCTTTTCCTACGACCTACCGTCTGTTGTGTTTTGCTTGGCTGGCGCGGTTTCTTCCGCCTGATGTTTCGCAGATCATGACGTGGATGTGATTCGACGGGAAGACCTGCACCAAAGTCCGTGACCCGTTTGCTGCATGTGGCGTGCATGTCGTGTGCGGACGTCCGCTCCGGGCACCGAGCGGATTGAATGAACAACGTGCTCTAGATGTGGGCGGGAGCGAGTTGAACGGCAACTTGTGCACTTGAGGTTCGTGATGTACGGTACACGCATCCGAATATCCTCCTCGTCCCCCGTGTAAGTGGGATTGCCCTTGCCGAACTACTGGCTGTAGAGCTGAGTGACATGAACTTTCTTCCCCCAGCTTCTGGCTCTAGCGGGCTCGCAGGCAGACAAAGAGAATGGTGAAACGCATGGTCCGTCGGCAAAGCTGTCGTGCGCCAGTTCTCCATGGAACGGCGAGGTGCCGATTCGCCAACGGCTCTTCTATGTGTGTGTCATTGGGGGAGTTTTTGCGCCCCAGCGGAGCAAAAAGGCGGTTGGCAATATCGCCGTGACACTCGAGCACAAGCCACACTCACTCACGTAGAAACACGGGTATCACCGTCCACCCCTGGGGGCATAATGGGATGCTGTGCTATGTTTCTTGCCTTGACGCCGGAAGCCTGCATTGGCACAATAGATGGGGAAGAGTTGCCGGTGACAGACCAAAAGTGCAGGTGAATGTAGATGTGGACTATATATAAATGAAACCTATCATGTACCCTCTTTTCTATATGTGAGGCGTTCTTGGCGATGTGTGTCACTTGGGAAACGAGCCTTGAAAAATATCGAACATGCTATATCCATGAAAGATTTCCTACCCAATGGCTAGGTTGCCAAGCGTCACTGGACACACGAGCTCGGGCGCAACGCGATATCAACACTTCCGCTGTTCTGAACACAATTGTGACCTGCTTTGCCTCCCTCACGAGGCGTAAAGCCATCACTCCAACGTGCTAATGTCCGTCTCCTCGACCCGCCACATGTACCACATGAACAGGCTGCGGTACGGCCTGAACGGCTCGGCCATCTCCTCCATATCCCGCTCGGACATGTACTTCCACTTGCCGCCGCCCTTGGCCTTGAGCTTCGCCACGTCCCGGCCGGCAAAGGCCGCCATGCCGCGCTGCACGCCCAGGTCGCCGAGGCTGAAGACGTCCATGCGCTTGAGCGCGAAGCAGGCGAACATCTCGACGCTCCAGCGGCCCAGACCCCGGACGGCGATGAGCCGCTCGAGGACCTCGTCGTAGGGCGCGTCGGCGAGCAGCCGCGCCGAGAGCTCGCCGGCCGCGAACTTCTCCGCCAGGCCCTGGACGTACTCGGCCTTGCGCTGCGAGAGGCCCGCGGTGCGCAGGCGCTCTATGGCAGTGGCGGCCACCTGCGACGGGTGCGGGAAGCGCTTCTTCTTGGGCGGGTCCTGGCCGCCCGTGGTGGGGGCCGCCGGCTCGCTGTCGGCGTCGGCGTCGTCGTCGAACAGGGCGACGAAGCGCGCCTTGATGGCCTTGGCGGCGGCGCCCGAGACCTGCTGGCTGATGATGCCGCTGCACAGGCTCTCGAACGGGTCGATCTTCTCGGCCAGGCCCTCGGGGCTGAAGACGCGGCAGTGGTGCGCGTCGATGAGGGGCTTCATGCGCGCGTCCGTCTTGATGAGGTGCGCGCAGGCCTCCTCCAGCAGGGTCGCCGTCGTGGTGGTAGCGGCCGACTTCTTGGACGGCGACATGAGGTCGACGGGCTTAGTCGAGACGATGCGCGACGTCTCGGGCGACAGGAGGGGCGCGTTGGTGCGCTCCGGGTCGGCGAGGCGGTTCAGCGCCGCGTGCTTGGGCTTGGGCGTCAGGCCGTTGGCCGGCTCGGCGAAGAGGCCGGCTGCGCTGGGCGTCGGGGTCGCGGGCGGAGTCGACGGGCGAGCAGCTGGTGCCTGTGCCCGGCGCTTGCGCGGGGTGGTCGGCGCCGCCGTGGCGGCCGAGCCATCTGGTGCGTCGGCCTGCCTTGCGGCCTTGCGCTTGCGAGGCTGCGGCGCTGCACGAGGCGGGGGTGGCATCGCCTCCGACTGTGCAGTCTCGCCGTTGGCGGTGGCCGACATGCTCAGCCTTGCGGACCGTCGCGGCGCCATTGTCGAAGCGACGCGGGTGGCGGCGGCAATGGCTTCAATTGGGTTTGGCAGGCCCGGCGTAGTGCGCCCTGGCAGCAAGCCGGTTGCGGGGTGACGACCAGGCTGGCTGGCCTGGAGCCTCTTGAGACCGGCGCAAATTGACTTGACTTGCGCAAACGAGTGAGGCTTGAACATAAGCCCGCCACGGTCCTCAAACAGATCCAGCGACGTAGGAGTCGAAACACGATAGATTGAGGGCAGGAGGACAACGCCGTGCGCAGATGAGGTCATTCAGCAGGCTGATGCGCGCCCTACGCTTCACAAGCGCGGCTGGTGAGATGCGACTTTGTCGCCCAGTCACGTGGTAGCATTAATTGGCGGTTCCTGCTGAGGTAATCCGGACCATCCCCCCCATCTCGATCGTTGGATTGTTGACAGTGGTCGGCCGGCCGGGGGGATCCGCTGTAGGTCAACGCCAGCGTCGCCAACTTTGTTCGCTATTGAACTAGGCGGGTGGGCGACAGACTTTCAGGGGCATTGTCTCTCTGCTGCCAGGCGTGCCTGAAATCGAAAATTTTGTGACAGGCTAAAAAGTTAGTTGGAGCAGCCGCTTGGCACGGAGACGTCGGGCGCAAACCTTGAATGGAGTCTTGTAATGTCTCACTCTTTTCATGATTTTTCGAGGTTCGTATTTTGAGGTCGCATGCATGGCATCATGTTTGGCGAGGCGGGATGGGGAGCATGACCGAAGAGTAGCAGTAGAAGCGGATGCGGGCACACGGACCGAACGACGCACGCTCGAAGAATCTTGTACAAGTACTGCGGATTCCCGAGGATGCCAATAACGTGAAGCGCGTGGCTGTCTCTCCAGGGCTTGCTTGAATGCTCAAATGCTGTGCTCTTGTCACAACGCGGCAGTGTGGTGCATCCAAGTACACACCACACCATAAATAGCAGATCTTCGGCACCGCCTAGTGGGTATGCTTCCCACTCACCCACTCACCCACTGTCGAGCATGCACTGTCCTTGGATCTTCCATGCTGACCAGGTTTGGCAACTGGCGCCGTTATGGGCGTAGCAAAGGCGTAACGTGAAGATGGAAAGTGATTTGCTCGAGTTCTGCCCATCTCGTTCCGTACCGAAATGTACCTATCAATGATCTCTCGAGCAAATGAGCCGGTTGTCGTCCCGAACATCAAAACCCTGACCCAAGCCTTTTGCATGCCGATGATCACTAAGAATATGCCAACCGGAAGAAGAAACAGAACTCAATTGATGGAACCACCTGTCCAACGGAGCTGACTAGCAAGTGCAGTCCACCAATGCATCCTTCAGGAAGCTGTAGAAACGCCTCAATGGTTGAACCTTAGCTGTCGAGCCTGTGCCTTGCTGGCGTCAGTCTTTCCCCATGCACATGCAGAAGAAAAAACTCCACTGATTACGATTTAGGAGGGATAGCAAGATGTGGATGCTGTACCTGATACATGCAACCCTGGCCGACAGGTGCAGAATGCCGCAGAAGAGAGCCGCTGGTCCGCCGTGGCTATCAGTGGCTATCGCACACGATAGGCGGTCTTGGCTTAATCAGCCCCTAAATTAGCGGAGGGGCCCGCAGGTATTCAGGACTTGGGGTGATTCGAGACGGGCACCACTCCTTCAAGGTTGCCATCCACCCACCCCGGCTCTCCTCCATTTTCCGCATGCCAGCCTTTTTTCTCGCCTAGTTGATAGGCCAGGTCGTCATTCTCCCTAATCGCTGCATGCTGCTGCTGCTGCGACTGACGCTGCTACCTGCCTGTACGCTTCGCACTGGCACGACTTTTTGGTTCCCGTCCCCATCTGCTGCCATCTCAACCTCGAGCTTCATCTCTCCCAGCTACACCCGACGACACGATTTCGTGCATCCCGCCCAGTCTGCACCAGCGACGAGCCGGCAACTCTGTTCAACGGACCCTGACGACACAAGCGACTCCGTCCTACGATCCGACCATTCCGTCACCTCAATTGGGGCCCCTATCAGAAGCCTTCGTCATACCTTCGAGAAGCTCAATCAATCTTTCCGCGTATTGGCCTTTGGCGGCACTCCGATCCCAGAGCCGCCGCGGCCATCAACGGTGCGGGACGTGGAAGGACCTTTGAGTGGATTGCGACCCGCGACCATCATCACGCTCGTTTCTTGCACCTGTTCCTCGAGGCCGGCCATTTCAGTGCCTCTTCCACATAATCCTCAGTAGCAAGGATGCTTCTCCCCAAGGGCGGGCTGAATTGGAAGGTAGCGAGGGCATCCTTGCCGCCGTCCAGAGCTATCTGGGCATTTCTCGCCAGAACGAGGTTCCTTCTGCTAGTTGCCATCACCGGCATCGTACTATTACTATGGCGCGGCATCAGGACGTCAGCATCCGAGATGCAAAGGTTCGTATCCGATCCCACAAGGCTGTCACTCGCGACTATTGGCTCCGGAACCATTCAACTAATCCATTGTCTCTAACTGCTGCAGCTTCTACTGCTGGGGACCTTCAAAACCCCCGATGGAAATGTCGCTCAATGAGCAAGCGGCCTGGAGCGGCCACTTGCAAACGCCCGTCATCTTCAACCACCACGCGCCGATTGTAGTTAACTCCTCGACGGTGATCGAGCACGACCTGAACCCCATCAAGTCGACCCAGAAGGCCGTTGCCAACGAGGAGCGAGTTCTCATCCTCACCCCGTTGAAGGATGCCGCTCCGTACCTCTCCAAGTATTTCGAGCTGGTAGCCGAGCTGACCTACCCTCACCATCTTATCGACCTCGCATTCCTCGTGTCGGACTCCAAGGACGACACCCTTGCTGTTCTCGCCTCCGAGATCGACCGGATCCAGAGGCGTACCGACAAGGTCGCCTTCCGGAGCGCGACGGTGGTGCGCAAGGACTTCAACTACCACCTGAGCCAGAACGTCGAAGAGCGCCACTCCTTTGAGGCACAAGGCCCGCGCCGCAAGGCCCTTGGCCGCGCCAGGAACTACCTGCTCTCGGCATCTCTGAAGCCCGACCATTCGTGGGTCTACTGGCGAGACGTCGACATTGTTGACAGCCCCAAGAAGATCCTGGAGGACTTTATCGCCCACGACCGCGATGTCCTTGTGCCCAGTAGGTTCAGGAATGAGATCTGTGAAACATGGGAGATATCATGAGGCTGACTAGATACCTAGACATCTGGTTCCACCGGTACCGGGACGGACGAGATATCGAGGGAAGATGTAAGCTTGACCAGTCTTGTTTCAACTTGGTATTCCCAGCCGCTAACACATGCCGCAGTTGACTATAACTCGTGGGTCGAGTCCGACAAGGGCCGAAAGCTCGTTGCTTCTCTTGACAAGGATGTCGTCCTCGCGGAAGGTCTGTGCTTTCTCATCGTTACCACGCTGCTTTTGTGCGTTCTAACATCCCCGTAGGCTACAAGCAGTACGACACTGGGCGGACATACATGGCCCGCATGGGTGACTGGCGAAACAACAAGGATGAAGAGATTGAGCTCGACGGCGTTGGCGGCGTCAACATCCTTGTCAAGGCCGACGTTCACCGCTCTGGTATGTTTGCTCTATTCTCCCCGCAGGCTTTGGCGACATGCTAACCGATCGACGCAGGCATCAACTTCCCCTGCTATGCTTTCGAGAACCAGGCAGAGACCGAGGGCTTCGCCAAGATGGCCAAGCGTGCCGGCTACGGGGTCTACGGCCTGCCCAACTATGTCGTGTGGCATATCGACACCGACGAGAAGGCTGGCAACGCCTAAACGATATATCTTATCTTTGGCTAGACGGACCATTTTCGATATCACACTGGCGTGTGCACTCCTTCGGGGACAAAGGCCGGCGCCGCTGGCTTGGTCGCACGAAGGGGGGTTTTTTATGAAGCATACATGTTGCATCACTGTTCAACGGCCGACAGGCGGCGTTCTGGATCTCGGGCGCAGGGTTTCTTCTGTTTCACAAAGGGTCGACGACTCTCCACCTATTTTCCCCACCGAACACCTCCCGATTGACACTTTCGGGGAAACTGGCATCTAGACTGGGCAGGACGGGTGGTACCAAGGTCTCATGTCAATCTCAGCTCCAATTCGCGATTGTGAACACCTTCCCAGACACGCTGGATGGAGTTATACTCCTTTCCATCCAACCCCGAGATCAGCAGACGCCAGGGCAAACGAGCTACATTGTCACCTGGGAGGGTTGGACTTCCTTGCTTTGGCTATCACCGACCGTGGGCGTGAGAAAGCACGACAAGGAAACCTCTGTGCCTCACCCATATCTGTATCTTTTACAACACCAATGGGGGGGAAGAGAGACGAGGTTGTTCTTTTTCTTGTGTGTCTTGTTCTTCTTGCATGAGTATCGACGAAGAGACAGGAACTGCAGGCGGGAACCAGGTATAGAAAGCCCATCGTTTTTTTGTATTGGGGGGAAAAACACGTCGTTTTTCATTCTTAATTAATCCCCTACCTTGGGGATCAGGGGTGGAGAGCGGGATGAGGGAGGATGAAATCGGGGGGACTTGGGGACGACCAGGTGGAATAGGTTGTCCGTATACAAAGCTTCTTCTGTTGTCTTGTTGTTTTATTTTCGCCTTGTGCGTTGGTTCTTGATGGCAAAAGCATGGGAGACAAAGAAAACCTGTCGGTCTTGTTTGCTCGTTCATTGTTTCATAGAGAGGGCGGCGTCCTGTTGCTGGCTCGTCTACCGATAATACCACACATCCTCTGAGAACTCTATAGGTGTTTGGGCTCGTCATGGTTGTAGCTTTTTGGAATAAACATCACATGGAAATAGTATCAGATCAGATGCACCAAGTCAGTTGAACTCGTACGACACAGTTGTCACCAAGGATATGGTAGTAGATCAGCAGGGTACTTGCGGCATCGGGCCATGCAGGATGAGAGGATATCTTTCTTCAAAGGAGAACCCAAGGATCTTTTTGTATTGTACAAGCCGAATCCCCTTCTTCCGCCACCATCCGGCACCCATGATCCTCTCACATAGTACACGGAAAGGCTCCTCCCACCCGAGACTCCGTCTATATCTATCCTCCTCTTCGAGCCACCTTTCGGTGCGTGGTTACTCGAAACTTGCTCTCCTCCCCGCGCGGCATGCCATAAAAAAAGCAAAACGTACACACAGCCCCGAACCCTTTCCCCCTTAGCCCCCCCGATCGACCATCGTCAAAACTCTCGTGTGTTTTTTTAGTGGCTCTTGATGACGGTCATGGAGTCGAGGTTCTCGGCCTCGCGGTCGGCGGCCTTGAGCTCCTCGATGAGGGGCTGCAGGTAGGGGACGTCCTGCTCGGGCTTGGTCCACTGGCTCTTGGGCAGCAGCTTGTGCTGGACGGAGAGCTGGACGGCGCGGCGCAGGCGGTAGGTGCGCTCGTAGGCGGTCTGGGGCGGGAGGCGCTTGAGGGCCTTGAGGACGGTCTCGTCCTCCTCGCTGATGAGGTCGTCGGCGCTGTTTTGCGGTGGGTTAGTATATATAAATATATATATATATCCGTTGTTGGTTTTGTCCCCGGAGCTTGCGTGTCATGGAAAGAAAAAAAAAACGTCTTCCTGGATGCACCACCCAACGGGCAGGACGGCGGCCATTGCGGTCGGGATTCCGGTCACCGGGTCTCAATTGGCCTCGCGCAATCTACGATCGTCCAGCCCTGCCTGCCTGCCTGCCCCGTGGTGGTGGTGCTCTTCGGTGCACGGAACGCGATTCTCGGGTGATCGGGACACAGAGAGAAGAGGAGGAGGACTCACAGGAGACCCATCTGGCGGTAGCCGGCGGCGTTGGCGTACCAGTTGGCCAGGGGCTTGAGGGCCGAGTGCAGCCACGGCCGCTTGAGGACGAAGGGGGCGAGACTTGCGTAGGCCATTGCGTTTTCCGTTTCCTTTCGGCGGGAGGTGAAGGGAAAAGAGGAATTGGATGGGTTGGTGGTGGTGGTCTCTTCTAGCTTCAAAGTGCAAATTCCCGCGTTCAGAGTGCTCGGAGATCAGGCCAGGCCCAAGGTGTCGAATGGCAGAGCTTGGATTTCCGAAGCCGAAAATGCTAGAGTCACGTGGATGGTCATGTGTTTTTCTTTCTTGGTGGGTCGCAGCTGGGAGTCCGCACGGGCCATTGTCAAATGTCAGCGCGTTGGTGGGCTCGAGGTGGGTTGAGTTGGCTGACCGGAGCGGCAAGCTTCGGTTAACTGGAAGAAGCACGGGGCCAGGCTAAGGTATGAGGTAATGAGCGCTAAGGTTACAGGGGCCAGCAGTAGCACCTTCAATGGCGTGTCAGCCCGAGAGCAAGGCCTACCTAGTCGACTTTTAGTGCCCTGGAAAAAGAAACAGAGAGATTGGGCAGCGAAGTTCGGAGCAGTCAAGCCAACTTTCTAAATTGGACTCTTAACTCCCATTCACAATCCTGTTGTTTATTGGACTCTGGCACAAATCACAAGTGCTTCAGTCTTCTCTTGTTCGGCTCTCTTGATCCAGACCACTGGAAAATCTAGACTTGGCCATTTGCATATGCCGGTTGGTTGCATGCCTCTCTCCATCCGGGTAATTGATCTCTGGGGCATTTCTTCAGGAATCCGGACCTTGTGAGAGGCGGTACCGGTCCGGTGGCACCCGCAGGGCCTACCTAAAACTTACAGGGCGCTGACCTCACTCTTCGCTATTGTCCACTGGACTGACTGTAGCCCGCCGTGCCCGCCGTGCCCGCCAAGATTCCTGCCCACACCACACTTGTCAAAAGATTTGGGGGGGGGCTCAATAGCACGAGAGAAGGGTCCTCTTCTTTTCCAGACTACACCTCGCGAGTGGGCACCGCCGAAACCCATTCCTGGCCACTTTCTTTCGCTTCCCACCCTGCAGACCCGACGAGACAACTCTGCTTGCGTGTCGAAGGCCCCCCGCGTCCCTCGGTGACTCCCTCCCTTGAAAGAAACCCACGAATTATCGCAGAGCAGGTCAATGGCCGGTGGTATCCGTTAGCCGAAGTGTCACGGCCGTCGTTGCGTGGGAGCTTCCCCGCACACAGCACGCACACTCGTACGCACACAAACCACCGCACCGAGAGACACGGAAGAAGGAGAGAGAAGGGGAATATTTCCTCCCAACTGTCCGCACGCCGAAGGGCCAGATAAGCAACACAGCCAGCCAGCAGCAGCGCCGATCGCTCGGCACCGCGATCACGAGAGCACGAGAATATAGACCGACTATCCGAGACAGGACGGAAACCACCCGAGACGCAGGGCACCCTCCACCCTCTCTTCCCATAGGGGTCTCTGCAACAATTCTCCAGAGACCCCTCGAGCAGCACTGACCGAAGCGGGTGTCGGAATGTCTCACGGGGGACAGCAGCCGCCGCTCGCCTCTCCAGAGACAGCTTCCCCGGATCAGCCGTCCGCCGCCGGGTATGCGCAGCCTCCGCACTCGCAGACATCCTATCACCTCTTCCAGCAACCGCCGCCGCCGCCCTCACCGGCGTCCTCACCGGCGCCCCACCACCAGTACGACGACAGCGAGGACCGGTACCGCAGAGCCGGTAGCAGCAGCAGCAGCAGCAGCAGCAGCAGCAGCAGCGAGGAGGCGGTAGCACCCGCCCCGATGGATGAGCGAAAGCAGCTCACCTACGTCCAGAGGTGGGCCGTGCGGGCGTCGGACTCGCAGTTCAACGCCCTCGCCGGCGCCGTCGGAGGCTTCACCTCGGGCATCGTCACCTGCCCGCTCGACGTCATCAAGACCAAGCTGCAGGCCCAGGGCGGCTTCTCGCCGGTGCAGAAGGGCCGGCACGTCGGCCACGCCAAGCTGTACAATGGCCTCGCGGGCACCGCCAAGGTGATCTGGAGGGAGGAGGGCATCCGGGGCATGTACAGGGGGCTGGGCCCGATAATATTGGGCTACCTGCCGACCTGGGCCGTGTGGTTTACCGTGTACAACAAGAGCAAGGGGTATATCGGGCAGTACAACCGTGAGTCATTCCTTACAGCCCCCCCTTTGGAACGGCAGAGAGACGGATCTATGATTCCGGGGGAGCACTCGAGTCAACGTTGCGTTTCGTCTGACTAACAAGGATATCCAGACAACACGGTCTTTGTCAACTTCTGGTCATCCATCGTCGCCGGTGCCAGCAGCACGATAGTCACGAACCCAATATGGGTCATCAAGACGAGGCTCATGTCGCAGACGCCTTCGCACGACCGCTCGCGGTACTCGGCTTTTCCGAAGGGGGCTAACACCCCGACCTCGCGGCCGACGCTGCACGCGCCGTGGCACTACCGGTCGACGCTGGACGCCGCGCGCAAGATGTACACGACCGAGGGCATCCTGTCGTTCTACTCGGGCCTGTCGCCGGCGCTGCTGGGGCTCAGCCACGTGGCGGTGCAGTTCCCGGCCTACGAGTACCTCAAGACCAAGTTCACGGGCCAGGGCATGGGCGTGGCGCCCGCCGACAACGGCGAGCACCCGTCGCAGTGGTTCGGCATCCTGTCGGCCACGGTGCTCTCCAAGATCCTGGCCAGCAGCGCGACGTACCCGCACGAGGTGATCCGGACGCGGCTGCAGACGCAACGGCGCCCGGCGCCCGGGTCCGAGGCCCTGCAGGGGATGGGCGTCCTGGGCCAGCAGGGCGAGAGGAACGGCGGGGAGGCGGCGGCGAGGAGGCCGCAGACGCCGCGGTACAGGGGGATCCTGTCGACGGCGCGGACGATCCTGCGGGAGGAGGGGTGGCGCGCGTTCTACGCTGGCATGGGCACTAACATGATGCGAGCGGTCCCCGCGGCCACGGTCACCATGATGACGTACGAGTACGTGATGCGGACGCTCAAGGGCGCGCAGTACGACGGGCGGAAGCTGCTCGAGGAGCACGAGGAGCGGATCACGTTCCAGTGAAGAGTTGAGATCTGTCTCTCTCTCTACCCGGACCCGAAGAGGGGCTGTCTTGATGGATGGCGCTCTCTTGCCTATGTGAGTAAGGAATGGGCCTGGGCCGGATATGTGTGGTGGTGAAACAGAACACGACTAGAGCTCCTTTCTTCTTCTTGTCTTTTCTCCTGCTGGCATACATGGTTTTGTCGTTCTGCATATGTTGTTCTGAACACTGAACAGGAAAGGAAGGGAAGGGGGGGGGGATAGCGTTTCCCGATTTCTTCTTTCCATTACTCGCTAGGGCGGTTCAATACGCATGGACAAGGGATGCAGGAGGGGAAGACGAGGATCTGTGTACGTGTGGAAGGAAGAGGCGCGATGATTTGTTCGAATGCAAGAGGAGAGCCGAAAGACGGGATGTGACTGACGCGTGTGTGTGTGGAGGTGAAAGAAGGGGGCAATGTGTTGTTCAGATACGATACCCTGGCTGCGTCGGGCTGTTAGGTTATAGACAAATACTCTCTGCTACAAAAATCGCGAAGATTTTTATTTTATTTTACTTTTTTTCTTATCTCTCTCTCTCTCTCTCAAAAAGACATGTCGATGTGGTTTCTTTTTTATATCTGTCTCTTGAGAGCGAATGCATACGCGGCACGGCACGGCATGGCAGCAACATTGGCATTCTTTGCGGTCGAATTTCTCTTTATAGCATCGATGGTATATATCTGGCCCTGGAGTTGGTGGTTCCGTTACTCTCATCTTCTCGACTCTTGTGAGCAAGGAAGGAGGATGGATGGCCCATTGTGGAGTGAGTACATGGTGGAAGAGGTTCTGCGTCGTTGGAACTGTGTATATAATGTTTGATAGGGAGGCGCGGTGGTCCAATAAATGTATTCATGCTCGTGATGAGGTAACTTTTGAAACACGTTATGTACAGATGTGCTGTCGTCGAGTGCAGGCAGTGACCAGCCCCCCCAGGGAGTTGCCAGTTCAGATGAGTACAGACATACACCCAGGCTCCTCCTGGCTTCCAGTTCTTGTCTCTCTCTCGAACGATAGGAGGTGCCCCGTATGCAACTTCGGCTGGTACTGTCGAGGGGGGGGCCATTTGCTCCGGAAACACAACGGAGTAACACCGCTTCCCTCCGAGGGCAAAGCTGCTTGCTTTGACCTTTTGCACGCCTTGGGGGGAGTGCAATTGGGGGCTTCTCCAACCCCCCTCCCCCGAGCGGGAGGATCTAATCTGTGTAAGTCCTGGGCGCTACGTAGGAGACCTGTATCGAGAGGATAATGATACGTGATCATGAGCTCTTCCCCCCTTGAGAAGAAGAAGAAGAAGAAGAAGAAGAAGAGTGGTGGTAGTGAGACGAGTGTTGCGTCTGTCTTTGGGACTCTCTCTGCAGAAGACAAAGGCGGTTAACAGAATTAGCATGCTGCTGGCGTCTCCACGACCGACGACCGGAAAGATACAGCTATGGATGGGAAGGGGAAAGGTCTAAGGGCGGGTTCGGGGGCAAGAACACGTACCGCCTCGCGTCTTGCCTGTCGCATCGAGGTGCGGGTGTATCTGTGCGTAGCAAGAGTTAGGACCTCGGGAATTGGACCGCCCGGGATTTGAATCACGCCCGCCAGAGAGAGAGAGAGAGAGAGAGAGAGAGAGAGGCCCTGGGTTCGCTTACGTGAAGAGTAGGCAGGCCATGGTAAACGCGGCTAGAGGGGCGACTATCGTCTAAGAAGGAAGATTGTTTATGTTAGTCTGTCTGTCGTGTGTGCTTGTAAATGCGCATCGACGGGGGAGGGCCATCATTCTCTCTCACACACGTTCACGTACCCTCGGGTTGATGTTGCCTCTTTTAGGGGCCATAGTGATTGAGATGCCAATCAAGATTGGGCCAGTCCGAATATTCTTGAAGTATTGTAGAGGCTTTCGACGCCAAGTGTACCCTATTAATGAGTGTTGTGGCCCATGAGAACCTTTGGCGATCCCCATGTAAAGATGGAAGGAGATGGGGATGAGATGAAAACGTGCTTCTTGTGGTGTGATACTAGGATTTGCGTTGCGCGCGCACGCAGGGTCCCCCAGAATGGCCAGAATGGGGGAGGGTCTTTAGCGCGAGGACCCCTAAACTCACAGGGCGAGCCCACTCAGCCAGCCCTACAGTCTGATATCATGAGGATGAGATGTGAGAAATTTCAATACCTTGGGAGGAATAGAACATTCGCTTTGTCGTTTCGTAAGCTTTCCAAAGGTCTGCTTATAATGTTGATGTCTAACACGGACCTAATCAACGAAACAAAGTATACTGAATTAAGCAGCATATCTACTCCTTTTCTGTGTACCCTATCTGCTCTGCTCATACCAAGTCCCGATACCTGATTTTACGCTTACAAGAGAACAAATAGAACAGCAAAAGTTAGAAAACGGTCCCCATCCCATCCCATGCCGTTCCCGTTCTCCAACCCGAACCCCAAAATCCACCCCCCTTGGCCCTCCATTCAAGCCTTGACCCCATCAGCCTCACCCTCCTTCTTCTCCTCCGCCGCCACCACCTCCTCCTCCTTCTTCCCCTCCCCAGCAGCAGCAGCAGCAACCTCGGCCTCGGTCTCCGCTCCAGCCGCGGCGACGAGCTTCTTGACCACCTCGACGGTGCCGGCGGGGCTGCCGGCCTCGGCGGCGAGCACCCGGCCAGCCTTGTCGACGACGAAGACGCCGCGCTGCGTGCCCTTGGGCGCCTTGCGGAGCCCGACGGCGCCGATGAGCGAGGCGGCCGGGTCGCAGAGCAGGGGGTAGGGCAGGCGCTGCCTCTCGCGGAAGGCGGTGTTGGCCCTGGGCGAGTCGGCCGAGAGGCCGTAGATGGACAGGCCGCCGGCCGTCAGCGGGGCGTACGAGTCCCGGAAGAGGCAGGCTTGGTTTGTGCCTGTTTTTAGAGGGCGGGTAGGGGGGTAGCTGTTAGTCATTTGCTTTTTTGGACTCTTCTCTCTCTCTCTCTCTCTCAGGATGTATGTGTGTGTGTGTGTGTATGTGTGTATGTATGTATGTATGTGTGTGTATAGAATGATAGGGGAGGGAGGGAGGGGAGTGGCGACGGGAGAAAAAAAAAGAAGGGCAACACTCACAGCCCGGGGTGGAGGCCTTGGGGTAGGTGAAGAGCACGACGCCGGCCTTGCTCTCGTCGACGAGCGACTTGAGGGTGACCTTGTTGCCGTCGTTGGTCTCGACCTCGCCGCCGAAGCCGTCGAGGGCGATCACGTCGCCCTTGCTGGGCTTCTTGGACGAGGCGGCGGCGGCGGCGGCGGCGGGCGCCTTGGCGGTGCCGTTGGAGGTGGCGGCAGCAGCAGCGGGCTTGGCCTGCTTCTTGCCGGTAACGGCCTGCTTGACCTTGGCGGCGACCTCGGCGACCTTGGAGGTCTTCTTGGGCGCCGGGGCCGGGGCAGGCTCGGGAGCCTTGCGCTTGCGCAGTTCCATGGGCATCTTTGTAAGTGGAGAGAGGGATGCGCCTGGACGGGTGAGCTGGTTTGGGGGAAGCTCTGCGGCGGAGGGATTTAGTTATGCGATTAAAAAGGGGGCTGTTTTACGGGTCGCTAGGGGGGAAACGACGGGATCACGATGGCAGGAATGGCGACCTGGAGGGGATTGAGGGCTTTCTGGGGGTTGGAGAGAGGAAAGGAGGGTGTGCGACGACGGAGAGGGAGGATGCGAGGAGGATAAACATGAGGTTCGAAACCCGGGCTCGGGAGCTGGGGGGGGAGCTTGGGCCAATCACCGGTTTGGGGTAAGCTTGAAGCTCTCAGATGAGAGAGAAAATGGTTCAAATGGTCTGGCCTGGCCTGGTCTGTCCTGGGGGGCCTCCGCATCGTACCCATCAGCCAGCCCGGCCAACGGACAGCGACACGCACCACCACCACCAACACTACTAACAATAACTTACGTACATACGTACAACAAAAGTACAATCAATCAATCAATCAGCAGCACAGGGGTGGAAGAGTAGGGAAGGGAAAGGGGGGGACTGGATGCGATCCCGCCCACCATTGCCATTGCCATTGCCATTGCCAGGCCAGCCGGGTCTGGATGTAAGCGACCGGGTGGGTTTTGGTCCAGTAGTCAATCAAGGTCGGCTCTGGCTGGTCTCGTTCTCGTTCCGGTCTGATACGGTGCATTGCTTCTGCCCTTGCGACTGCATGGATGCGCATAAGGCGCATCTCTCTGATGCTTCTGTTTGGCGATGTCGGATCGGGGCTAGATAGCACAGTGCAGGACCCTGCTCCTTTTCTCTCAACCCTCCAAACTCCCTTCATATACGGGGTTCTGGAGGGAGATCACTCTCCACTGGGTGTTCAGTGCCGGCACGCATTATGGCGTGCGTGTGTGCGTGCTTGGGGGCGGGTGGATGCTGACCAAAATCACGCCCACACAGTCGCTGCGACGAGCGATGTAATTTGACCCCATGCTGTGTGTTGTTTTGGTAGGCAGCGATTGTTGTGTTGTGCACACTTTTGGTCGCAGTATTGGGAACAATAACTACCACGTAGAAGAGTAGAGATAGAGATAGAGAGAGAGAGAGAGAGAGAGAGAGAGAGGGAGAGGTTGATTGATTCCTCTCAGAAGTGCAACAGCGGGCAATCCATTTTTATATGGGCCGGCAAATCCCCGGCAAAACCCGCCCTCCGTGCTGGATCTCGACTTACCAGACCTTACCATAACGACCGTTCCGAGTGGCCCACGAGCCAATCGAGCCTGCGAGCCTCTCACCCTCGATCCTTTGACTGCGCATCACATCAACCCCACGCCGTCACAATGGCTTCCAAGGCTGTCGCAAAGGCCGCTGGAGGTCTCATGGCCATCAGCACGGTATGTCTCGCCCGCACCAGCTGCCCCAATTGAGCTCGCCGCCGCCGCCCTCGATCACCATCAGATCCTTTCCCGAGCCGAAACCTTGGCTATCCTATCCAATATCGTCGTCGTCGTACGGCGACGACGGCGACGACGGGCACCCATTCATCGCGAAACACACACACACACACACACACACACACACACACACACACACACACACACAAATGCAACCGTGCAAATTGCTAACTCTCCGCTGTGCCCTGGCAGAAACAAACCCTCCAGTCCGTCGGCGTCTGGGAGCGCCTCCGCAAGGCCCTCGCCATCGACCCCAACCGGTCCAACGGCGTGCCCCTGAACCCCTACTTCCGCTACCCGACCCCGGGCCAGCTCGACCCCATGTCCTACGACGACCCCGTCACCGTGCCCGCCGGCGACATCGCCGACAACCCCTACTGGAAGCGCGACGCCCGCCGCAGCTACGCCGCCCTCAGCGTCGTGCGCCAGGCCGACGCCGTCGCCCTGCTGAGCGTCGGCAGCGCCGCGCAGCCCAAGGCCGAGCTCGTCGGCGAGGCCGGGTCCAGGGCCCTCGTCACCGCCGAGCACGAGGGCCGCGAGAAAGGGCTGGCCGCCTTCTTTGAGAGCCGGAGCCCCGCCGCCGTGGCCGAGGACGTGCTGCCCGGCGGCCTGCCGCCCCTGCCCAGCGGGGACAGCAAGGCCAGCGGGGAGTGGAAGGTGCACGAGTACGGGCTGGCGGAGGAGGCCTCATACCCGGACGAGTGAGTGTTCAGCCTTTGACTCTTGTATCATGTGTTTAGAGAGCGGTTTTTTTTACTGACGCGTGAGAACAGGTATCCCTGCAGGTCATTCCAGTAGGGAAAAGGGGCTGGGTTGTGCGAATAGAGGCCAAGTGTATATAAAGTAGACGCTGGGGGAGGGGCATAGAAAGTGAATCAAAGTTCTTTTTAAACATTATCACTTGCTATATCCTAGTGATTCTACGTCCTTGGAAATCGTCTATGCAGATGAGATGCAGATGCTCCTCCCAATGGGCAACTAACTACAGATACATGCTTGCCTTCTCGGCTCTGAGGGTATATATGCCGTCCGTCCTGCCATGCCGTGAAAACCACACTCTCGAGAAACCTCGTGCAGAAGATTCAGGTCAAAAATGAGTCTGGGCTTGCGCCCTCGCCAGCTGCTCTTCCTGTGCACTGCTGCTGGCTGGAGGCGAGCTTGCCGTCCGGGAAGCGGCTGCTTTGCTGTTCCCCTCGCCAACCATCTTCTCAATGATCTTGGCCTTTCCCTGAGCCCGCTTGACCCGGTCGTCAAAGTCGTTGACGGACTCGTCGGTGTTCTCAGTGGACAAAGTCCCCGGTTCAACCAGAGCGTACAGCGTGCTGACATTCTTCTCCAGTCTAGGGTTGTTTGGTAAAGAGGGTAGGCGTCCCCGAGTGGTCTCAGAAGGTTGGAGTTCTCTTGATGAGTCGGGTGTTGTTGTGCTGCCTCTTGAAAGGCGGTTTGCCCAGACGATGGCTTTGCCTTGGAGCCGCCCGGCCTCGAGGAATTTCTCATAGCCTTTCTCCAGGCCGAGGGCTCGACCCTCGATCTTGCCGGCCTCGGCACCGTCCTCCACCCCCTTTTTGTAGCCTTCCTCATAGAAGCTTTCCTCAAGGTTCAGGACGTCCTCAAACGGATCGTCTGCCATGGTTGTGGTGTGGTATAATCAAGTCACTGGAGTTCGATGTTCCGTTGAGCTTCGGCGATGAGAAATGCGAAGTGACTCAGTGTATGTATCGAGTCGGGTGGCAGTACTGTGGTCCCTGTTTGAGCGAGATGACGTTGACAAGGCTTATGACACAGCCAGTAGAAGTAGAACCAAGAAGATGAAAGCGGTGGCACTGCCATATGTGTTGCTTGAGTGAGCTGGTTTTATGAGTCGACTCGTCCCATCGATTCTGATCAATGGATGGATTTGCCCCAAGCGGCCACTAACAGCTGCCAGTGTCGCTGTCCAGCGTAACCCCCACCAATTTAGTTAGGCACAACGCATTGATTGTGATAACGGTGCGATAGTGGTGTAGAAGTGCCCCTCATGACTCAAATCTGCTGCCCCTCCGGAATTATTTTGATATCACAAAGAAGCCCGACGACTCGACCTCTGCACCTTTTTGTCCTCGGTCAAACCACCCGATTTGCTTCTTTTGTTGCCATTGAACCGAGTCGACTACCAAGAAACACAATCATGGCTGAGAAGAACGTCATTCTGCCCCAGCCGGGCAAGAAGAACGTCCTGATCACCAGCGCAGTACGTCTTGATCCCTCCCTCCAAACCCTGGGCCTCGGGTGCGCCGCCGGGATCATCTTCACCTCCGCACCTCCTCTCCCTCCATAGCGCACTCAGAAGACCCAAAGAGGCTCTCAGATCTTGTTACCCATGACCGCTGACATGTACCCCACAGCTTCCCTACGTCAACAACGTGCCCCATCTCGGCAACATCGTGGGCAGCGTGCTGTCGGCCGACGTCTTCTCCCGCTACAGCAAGCTGCGCGACCAGCCCACCCTCTACATCTGCGGCACCGACGAGTACGGCACGGCGACCGAGACCAAGGCCCTCGAGGAGAAGATCAGCCCGCAGGAGCTCTGCGACAAGTTCCACAAGAAGCACAAGGAGATCTACGACTGGTTCGAGATCGGCTTCGACTACTTTGGCCGCACCACGACGCCCAAGCAGACCGAGATCGTCCAGGACATCTTCCTCAAGCTGCACAGGAACGGCTTCATCGAGGAGCGCACCACCACCCAGCCCTACTGCGAGAAGCACGAGGCCTTCCTCGCCGACCGCTACGTCGAGGGCACGTGCCCCAAGTGCCAGTACGACGACGCCCGCGGAGACCAGTGCGACAAGTGCGGCAACCTGCTCGACCCCTTTGAGCTCATCAACCCCCGCTGCAAGCTCGACGGCGCCCAGCCCGTACCCCGCGAGACCAGCCACCTCTTCCTGAAGCTGGACAAGCTCCAGCCGGACATCGAGTCGTGGTTCAACAAGGCGAGCGAGGAGGGCAAGTGGTCTCACAACGGCGTCGCCATCACCAAGTCCTGGCTCGGCAGGGGTCTCGAGGGCCGGAGTATCACCCGGGATCTGAAGTGGGGTGTCCCCGTCCCCCTCGAGGGCTACGAGAAGAAGTGCTTCTACGTCTGGTTCGACGCTTGCATCGGCTACCCCTCGATCACGGCCAACCTGACCGACGAGTGGAGGCAGTGGTGGCAGAACCCCGAGAACGTCAAGCTCTACCAGTTCATGGGCAAGGACAACACGCCGTTCCACTCTGTCGTCTTCCCTGGGTGCGAGATCGGCACGGGTGACAACTGGACCAAGGTCAACACCATCTCTACGACCGAGTACCTCAACTACGAGAACGGCAAGTTCTCCAAGAGCCGTGGCGTGGGCGTGTTTGGCGACGCTGCCAAGGAGACGGGCGTTGGCCCTTCGGTCTGGCGATATACCCTGCTGTCTTCCCGCCCGGAGACTGGCGACACTCAGTTCGAGTGGTCTGCTTTCGTGGCCGGCAACAACAGCGTCCTCCTCGCCAACCTGGGCAACTTTGTGAACCGCGTCATCAAGTTCGTCAACGCCAAGTGCGACGGCACCATCCCCGAGTACTCTCTCTCCTTCAAGGACGAGTCGTTCGACTTTGCCGCCTGGATCGAGGACGTCGACAAGCTGCTCGCCGAGTACGTCAGCGAGATGGACTCTGTCAAGCTGCGCAGCGGCCTGGAGAAGGCCATGCACATCAGCACGCAGGGCAACCTGCTCCTGCAGTACCGCCTCGACAACGCCAACCTGGCCGAGCACCCGGAGCGCACCAAGCTCGTCATCGGCCTGGCGCTGAACCTGTGCAGCCTGCTCGCGTCCATCATCTCCCCCTACATGCCCTCGACGGCGGACTCGATCGTGCAGCAGCTCAACACGAGCCTGCGGTCGATCCCGGACAAATTCGACGCCGAGGCGCTCAGGCCGGGCCACAGGATCGGCAAGGCGGCGTACCTGTTCACGAGGATAGACGAGAAGAAGGTGCAGGAGTGGAAGGACAAGTACGGCGGCACGCAGGCGACGCGGGCGGCCGAGGCGGAGGCGAAGCGCAAGAAGCAGGAGGAGAAGGAGAGGAAGAAGGCCAAGAAGGCGGCGCAGAAGGCGGCGGCGGCGGCGGATGCGGATGCGGAGCAGCAGCAGCAGCAGCAGCAGCAGCAGCATACTACTGCTACGGAGGAGAGGAAAGAGCTGCCTATCCGGGAGAAGCCGGCTGAGAAGTGAGCTTTCACCCGTAGGGGAGGGTTGGTTTGCAGGGATGGATGGATGAGAGCTCGGGTTATTATTGGGGCATGAGCGACATGATTTGGCGTTGAGGGGGGTGGTTGGTAGGGTAGGTTGGGCTGGTTGGTTATTGTCTAGACCAAAAGAGAGCATGGGAAAAGTTTAGGGACTAAGAGGCTCAAGGGGGCGAGTTTCACTGTTTCTATCGTGCTTCTTTTCGAGCTCATGATATAGGACGGGATGTCGTATAGCGTGTCAGCGAGAAAGGCGTCAGATGTAGAGTAGATTACCCCCATACAAATAAGAACAGACGATGCTGTCTCTTTCAACTTTCTATGACGTGCATCTCTTCTTTCACACCCATCCACCACTTTGCCAGACCAACGTCTCTTCTTCCTCAACTCTTAGAACATCAACATACCGCCATTCGCAGACACGACCTGGCCCGTACACCACGCGGCGTCGGGCGTGCACACCATGCCCACGATGCCGGCGACCTCGCTCGCGTAGGCGGGCCTGCCGCCGCTCGTCTTGGCGTCCTCGACCACCTCGTCCGAGTCGACGCCGGGCCGGGCGCGCATGAGGGGCGCGTGCTCGATCCAGCCGCGGATGCCGGCCTTGAACTCGTCCGTGTTGGCGGCGTACATGGGGCCCTCGACGGGGCCCGGGTTGACGGCGTTGGCGGTGCAGCGCTCGGCGAGCTCGCGGGCCCAGGTGCGCGTCATGGCCTCGACGGCGGCCTTGGTGCCGCCGTAGACGGACTGGCCCACGAAGCCCGTCGAGGCGGAGATGCTCGACAGCGAGACCAGCCGGCCCGAGCGGTCCGTCGGCAGGTACGGCGCCACGGCCTGCACGAGCAGCAGCGGGCCCTGCACGTTGACGGCGTAGGTGCGCTGGAAGTCGGCGGCCGACAGGTCCGCGATCTTGTTGTTGATGGCGACGCCGGCGTTGTTGACCAGGATGTCTATCTGCGGGTTGCCGAGGGCGTTGCGCGGGTGGTCCGCGGCCAGCGCGGACAGCAGCCGGGAGACGAGCTGCGCGGGGCCGTCGGGCGTGCCCAGGTCGGCGCGGATGACGAGGGTCTTGACCGAGTGGGCTGCCGAGAGGCGCGCCGCGAGGGCGGCGGCGGGCTCGGCCGAGGAAGGGGAGGTGTGGTTTACGACGATGTTGGCGCCCTTGGAGGCGAGGTTCTCGGCGATGGCGGCGCCGATGCCTCGCGAGGAGCCGGTGACGATGGCGAGCTTGCCTTCGAGGACGCGGGGCATGGTCTCTTCTCCGGGGAGGGTTGTGTGAGGGTGTCAGAGGGGGGGGGGGGAAGGGCGTGAGAGAGGGTGGTATGTATGAGGGAGTGAGGGCAGTGTAGGAGAGGGAGGGAGGTGTGGGTGAGTGAGTAAGTGGTGTAAGTCGTCGGTTGTCTGAATAGCTTCACTGTATGAGCGGGTGAGATGAGGACTGGAGGTATGGAAAGAGGGAGATGTAGTCACGATATCAGGGAAAAGAAAGTACTTGGATATGTATGTCTCAATTCTGCTTTAATTAAAAGAGGCTCTTTTCTCCCATGCGACCTCGCAAGGAAAAAGAGCACTCCGTGTCCTCTATAGCCGCCAGCGGCCATCCGTGTGGTTGATTGTCGCCAAATGATCACAAAAATGCCCCGCGACTCGGAGGAGCTCCCCCCACGAAACAGTGAAGACCTTCTGGATTCCAGGCGATGAGCCCGCTAGAGGGGCCCGCATTCGGCAGAGAACCGGCCGAGCTCCGACACGCGATATGCGACTCCAATCAGGGGCCCTGAAGGATTACTACCTGCTAAAGTGCTTGCTTCCAATTGCTGGCTTGGTGGGCTCGTGAACCCCACACCGAGAGAAAGAATTCCCACAACGCCAGTACAGCTTCCACCGCATACGGACCAGCCCAGACGACCTGACAGCACCGGCATACGTACGTTCCAGACCACGATTGCAGCAGGGATATCGATATCGATCGATATACAATTTGACACTTAGCTTGGCACGCCTTGTCTCAACACCAATCGGTCTCTTTTCCGTCTCTTTCAGCCTCGACCGCCAGCCTCGAGGACCCGTTGATACAACCGCAACACATAGATACATACCTCCCTCACCAAAGACACAACCAAAGACACACACACACACACACACACACACCTCCGCCCATCATGGACATCCGGGTGCTGCAGGCCTCGGACCTGCCCCTCATCCAGCACGCCAACCTCGAGAACCTGCCCGAGAACTACTTCCTGAAGTACTACCTCTACCACGCCCTGTCCTGGCCCCAGCTGAGCTACGTCGCCGTCGACGTCTCGCGCCCGCAGAAGACGCCCTACGACTACCCCAAGATCGTCGGCTACGTCCTGGCCAAGATGGAGGAGGAGCCCGCCGACGGCATCCCCCACGGCCACATCACCAGCCTGAGCGTCATGCGCACCCACCGCCGCCTGGGCATCGCCGAGAAGCTCATGCGCCAGAGCCGTGAGTCTTCTCTTTTCCCCCTCTCTCTCTCTCTCTCTTCCCATCTGCTGACGGCCTGAAAATGTAGAACTCGCCATGGTCGAGTCCTTCGGCGCCCACTACGTCTCCCTGCACGTCCGCGTCTCCAACCAGGCCGCCATCCACCTCTACCGCGACACCCTCGGCTTCAAGAACGAGAAGACCGAGGCCAAGTACTACGCCGACGGCGAGGACGCCTTCTGCATGAAGCTCGAGCTCGAGTCCATCCGCGAGCAGATCCGCGACGAGCGCGAGGCCGAGAAGGAGAAGGACGGCGGCAAGGACGGCAAGGACGGCGAGCACGCCGACGAGGGCGAGGCCGTGGGCGACGTCGGCAGGGCGCCGCCGGCCGAGGAGAAGGACAAGAAGAGGAAGGTCAAGGTCGGCAGGCCGCTGGGCGTCGGGGAGCTGGTCGAGCGGGTGGAGCAGAAGGCTTCATGAGAGTGGGAGGGGGGGGGGAGAAGAGGAGGAGAAAAAGGAGAGGGAGACAAGCAGGGTAGACCTCTTGACCCCTTTTTCCTTTTCTTCTCTGGCTGGCCTGTTATGTATGGCCTTGAGCCTTGATACTCAAGCTACATGTCGAAGATAGAGGTGTAGAGGCATAGACTCAATTCACACACACTTTCAAAGCAGGCGACTTTCACATGGTTGCGTTGATCAATAGGGGTGAGGCATCGTGATTTCGCGTCCTATGGCGAAGATTGCCATTGACAGGAGGGAGATATTGACATCGTCATCATCCCGCAGAAGAAGTGGCTGCCTAGGCAGCAAATGTCCTTATGTTACATTACATGAGAGGGAAAAAAAGCAGAAAACTGAGGTATCATCATGGATATCCGTTCCTCATCACCGCCAGACAAAATAGTCCGTCGCGCATCCACCGAACAACAAAATCAGAATAGAGCGATAGTACTCGTGTAGAGCTCTCGCGCCAGTGTACTCCTCCCTTGCGGAAGTTTCCCACCTGGCTCAAGATCCGTGAGCACATCTAGGCACCAGGGCCGCCTCGTCCACCACCACGACCACGACCACCACGGCCACCACGGCCAAAATGGCCTCCACGACCTCCAAACGAGAAGACACCGCCGCCCGGGGACCAGGTGCCGCCGTATCCGTTGTAACCGGCAGGGAAGACAGGGGGAGGCGGAAAGGGAGACGGAAGGCCGCCCGCGACGACGATAGGAGGGTGGACGACACCGGGATGGACGCCCGGACCAAAGGCAGGGGAAACACCTGGGGCATGGCCAGGGACCACGCCGTGCGGGACGAAGGGGGGCGGGCCATAGGTAGACGGGCCACCGCCGCCGGGAACCTGACCGGGAACGACATCGCTGGGGGCAAAGGCATGGCCACCACCGGCACCACCACCGCCCATGTGGCCGCCACGGCCACCACCACCAGCAGCAGCAAGTCCTCCGCGCCGGCCCTCGGCGCGGCGGCGCTCGCGGCGGCGCTCCTTCTGGGCCTTCTTCTCGGCCTTCTTGACCTCGCGGCGGGCGGTGCGGCGCTCCTTCTTCTCGGCGCGGGCCTGCTTCTTCTTGTCCCTGCGCAGGCGGCGCGCGGCCTGCTTCTGCGCCCGCTTGAGCTTCTTCCAGCGCCGGAGGAGGCCCTTGACGTCCTTCCTCAGGGCCGCGAGCTCGGCCTTGCTGTACGAGGCCAGCTGGCCGGCGGTGCCGGTGTTGTTGTTGTTGACAGGGAAGGGGCCTGGCTGCTGCTGCTGCTGCTTGGCGGCCTTGATCTGCGCCAGGAGGTTCTTGACGCCCGTCTTGGTGATGGGCTGCTCCGGGTGGTCGAGCCAGGCCTGGACGCCGGCCTTGGCGACGGGGAGCTGCGCGTCAAAGAGGTCGTCGTAGTCGGGCAGCGAGCCGACCGAGCCCTCCGAGTCGGAGTCGGAGGAGGAGTCGGAGGACGAAGACGAGCTCGACGACGACGACGAGGAGGAGCTGCTGCTCGACGAGTCGTCTTTGAGAGCCGCCGCTGCGGGGGTCTGCTGGTGCTGAGCACCACCACCACCGGCGATGCCGCCATATCCACCTGCAGCGTTGACAGCGTCTCGAGCAGCACGGCGCTCATAGGGCTCACCCTCTCCCAGCATGGCAGCCAGGCGGGCTCCGCGGGGCCGGCCGGCGCCAGGGACGTTGGCGTTGGCGGGGGCGTTGCGGACGCGCAGGCCGGTCATGCCCGAGGCGAGGGCGTTGGCAGTGGCCGCGGCGGGCGCGGCGGCGCGCTGGGCGCGCTGAGCACGCTGAGCGTCCGCACTGGGGTCGGGGATGTTAGGGTCCTTGTGGATGCTGACGACGAGGCCACGCGGGCGGAAGAAGCGTTCGTTCCACCGATAAGCGGCGAGCAAGATAGCATGGTAGCTGGGTGCAAACTCGATGTCGACGTCGTCAGGGCCGGACGCGGCGGTAGCACCAGCGCGAGCAGGGCGCGCGCCCTCGAGCTGCGCGACGCCCTCGGCCGACGACGGGTCCTTGGTACCGCCGGCGGCAGCAGCAGCAGCGGCGGCGGCGGCGGCCTGCTGCTCTTTCTGGATCTTGCGCTCGATGACGGCGGCGTTGTGCCGGGCGCTGTGGTGCGGCAGGAGGAAGTTGAGAAAGGTCAGCCAGTCCTCCTGGGTGACGTCGTAGCGCGAAGCCCAGCACAGCTCGGCCGGGTAGCGGAGGTCGTCCGGGGTGGTGTGCGGCTGGATGTCCAGGTAGTGGGTCTGGATCTCGGAGGGCAGGCGGCGCGTGTGGGGCGGCGCGGGACCGCGCGAGTTGAAGTACGCCTGGGCCGTGGCGGGCATCTCCTTCTTGTCGTCGGCGGTGCTCGACGGCTGGACGGCCGACGGCTGGGCGGGGCCCTGCGGGATGCTGGAGGGCAGGGGGCTCTCGGGGGGAGTCGGGACTACCTCGCCCGAGGACGACCAGGTGGCGGAGGAGAGACTCTCGACGCCATTGAGCGAGCCGTTATCGCCGCGGGGAGCACCCTCGGCGGCACCGGTGGCAGAGCGATCGCCACCGCTCGAGTTGGAGTAGATGTCCGTCTCCGAGTAGGGAGGCGGCGGGCCGTCCTGCATGCTAGGCGGCATCTTGGCGGTTTGATGATCTTGAACCGTTCACAGTGAGAGTTGTGGGTTGAACAAGACAAACGAAGAACAAGTCTGATGTGGTCTTAAAGAGAAGAGAATAGAGATCAAAGATCAAATCGGAAAGTGAGGTAAGAGACGTGAGATAAGGTGAGGCGACGGCCAGAGAGGTCTGATGCCTGGTGGCGGGGTTCTGGCTGGTGTGTAAGAGGGTGTGAAAGCGACCGATGGCTGCAGGTCCAGGTAACGAAGTACCGCTGTGAGAAAAAGGTGAGCCGTCTTCTGAGGTGCAGGCGATGACCAGAGTGACAGGTCAAAGTCAAGTCGAGCACTTCTTGAAACGTGCTAAACACACTCTCCTTTGGAAGAGAAAGAAGTCTAGATGTACAAGGTCTGGCTGGATCAAGGACCAGCAAAGAAGTAGTCTGAAGATGGGAAGAGGCCCGTGCCAATTTAGGTAGCTGGGTTTATATAAAGCCAAACCATTGAGCCTTATTGAGAGGATTGATCTCTCATTGTCAACCACTGACAGAACAATACCATACCCATACCACAACCTGCCACCACGCACGCCCGCCCAGGACAGAATAAGGTGATCCCAGCAGCAAAGCTTGGCCCTTCTAGCGCGTCGGCCTGTGTGTGACTCTTTTTAAGTGCAATTTTTGGCGATGGACTAACTACCCGTAAGCCAACTCGCAAAACACACCGAAGTAAATGCCCGGCCGGCCAACTCCCCACTCCAGCCCATCGCCCGCTAACCACGACGATGCTGACGCGGCCCCTCAAGGCTCCAGCTCTCGGCTCCGACTCTGTTTTCCAGTGATATGGTGTAGAGCGTGAAGTGCTAATGCGGCAGATGCAGTAGGGGAACACATCATGTATATAATAAGTGGTGGCTTGCCAAACCGCAAACCCTCATGGGACCCAAGAGCTGTCGCGTCGCGTCGCGTGTCATGCAGAGACAGAGACAGCCCAATCCACTCCGCTCCCGTCGAGCAGACCCATCCAGTCGGCTTCTTACCCTTCCCAAGCCCATCACACTGGTACCAGGCCTTGACATCAATAGGAACCGTAGAGCTCCATGTCTTCCTTCTTGTAGTGATCCGTGATAATGCTGTGCAGATGATTCCTCGAATGCGCGCCACTGCAGATAGGTAAAAAAAAGAAAATGTCAGCAAAGATGCACTCACTGCTCAACCCATCGACCCTGAAACCCCCCTCCTCCATCGACAACAACAAGAAAACTCACAGATTGGTAATGTAGATGTCAATCAGGTCCGGGCTCATGTACTCGGTCTCGGCGATCCCCACGTCCACCCCGCTGACCATGGGCCCGTCGGTGAACCCGATGTGGCCGGCCGGGTTGCCCCATTCCACCAGCGGGCCAAAGTCGGAGGGCTCCTCGGGCGAGACCCGGTACACGCCGCCCAGGACGATGACGGCCTTGCTGTACCCGGCGGCCGCCCGCGCCACGAGGCCCGCGCCGCCGTCCACGATGACCCCGCCGTTGGCGACGACCGCCCTCGCGTCGAGGATGACCTTGTTGGTCCTTCCGATGTAGGCCATGGCCCCGCTGCTCGTGACGTTGATGGCCGTGACCTTGAGCGACTTGAGCTTCTTGCGCAGGGCCGCGTACGGCGCCTCCTGCTGCCCGCCGGGCGTGGCGGTGGCGGTGGCGGTGGCGGTCGCTGTCGCCGTCTCGCCGACGATGAGCACCGTGAACTTGCGCTTGGCGGCGGCCTTGACCAGGAACCGCTCGACCGTGGCCGAGGGCCGGTAGACCATGACGAAGTCGCCCGGGTAGATCTGCGTGTCGGCCACGGCGGCGATCTGGTCGTCGACCTGCTGGATCTCGTCAAAGATCTCGTCGATGCCGCTGATGATCTCCGACTTGAGGCCGTGCAGGTTGGTCGGCTGGGCGACGCGCAGCATGGGCGTCGAGGTGCCGGACCCGTGGCCGTAGGGCGAGCTGCCGGGGCTCGAGTCGACGAGCGGGTCGGCCGACAGCAGGTTGAACATGGACTGCGGGATGGCCATGGAGCTCAGGCTCGACAGCGTGGGCACCCTCGACAGCGCCCGCGACTGCAGCGCGCTCCTGCTCTCCGGCTCGTGCGTCGCCGCAGTTGTAGTTGTCGCCGTCGCCGCCGCGCTGCTCTCGGGCAGCGACTCGGCGTCGTCGCCGTCGCCGTCGCCGTGGCGGTCCTCGGCGGCCTCATCCCTAATCAGGCCCAGTATCCTCCTGATGATGTTGCCGATGACGAGCTCCTGCGGCTGCGCCTCGACGAGCTTGTGGCCGACCTGCTGTATGCGGTCGAGGAGGTGGTCGACGTCGTTCCACTTGGTCTTTGCGACGACCTGGAGCAGGATGTGGGCGGTGGCGATCGCGCAGGGCTCGGGGCCCTTGATCTGTCTCCTCTTGAGGAGGCTGTGGGCTCGCCTGTCAGAAGGTATCTATACCGCACGACAAAAGGAAGGTATAGTAGCACTTACGATACTAGACTCTCCACGGAGGCATCGAGCGACTGGCCCTTGAGCGAGTCCAGGAACTTTCTCAGGTTGGGCGCATGGCCCGATTGGACTGGGGCCATGGCCTTTGCTCTCGCGATTGGATGCGTCCGTGTGCGTGATGCGTGTTCTACTTTGACTGATCTTTGTAGTGAGTAGTAGTAGATGTCTGGAGGACTTAGTCGGTATCGTGGGAATTGCAGTCAAAGTGCAGGGTAAACTTCTCGACCACCAGCGTCAAAATGATGCACCAAACGGGGAGCTTTTGATAGCGTCGAGGTGACTCAAAGCGATTGTCCAAAATTTAGGTGGGGCTGCTGGCACCGCTGGCTCTTTGGAGGGGAGGGGTGACTTGGCTGTATGGAGGGCTGAGTCAGCAATAGAGACAGACACCAGAGAGAAGGGCACCCCTGCGCTACATGGCGAATCAACTTACACCAACGTTTCGTTTCGAATTCATGCTTTACTTGCCTATTTCTCTTTTCTCGTTCTGTCGTTTCAAGTTTTTTCTGTTTCCTTTTTTATCGTTATTTTCTCCTTCTTGTCTTCCTTCTTTTTCCTTTTATTCCTCGTGAGCTCAGGAGAGAGTTTTGCTTTATCAAGGTCAGGATTGTCCCAGTAGGTGGATGGAATCACCACGCAAAGTTGTTGATAAGTGTCAGAGAACGCTTGAATAAATTTAACATTTGTCTTCTAGCAATGGATGGTAGATGAGTTGCCTCCTATGATTTAATGCAATTTTATCCCTCTTTACACCTAAACTGCCGTACCCAATTACTCATGCCAATCATTCTCACAGCCTGCGGCTTGTGACTTTCCGGGCTTCAAACTCGCTTCCACATTGTTCGGTTAGTCGTGTTGAACACTCTCGTATCCAAAGGCTTGGTACGAGATGGCGGTCGCTTTCTGGACACATAGATCGACTCTTGTCAGCCGTACTTTCGAGACCCATGTCGGTGATAACCCAATATCTCACCTTCAAGCAGGCTAGGTCAGGGGTGGAAAGTCGGCCCTGAGCCGAGGATCCACAAGACAAGCTTCCGAATTCGCTTACAGTAGGTACAATACGTATACGTAGGGAGGGATTTCGAAGCAGTGAGGGCTGCTTTCACTGCACCGTACCCCGTCCATGCACTATGGCTGAGTCAGCCCTGGCGCTCATCTAGGACGACGACGACGACGACGACGACGACATCAATTGACGTAGGAACTTTGAAGTGCAGATCTTATGCGAAAATATCGATGCTTTGCTATGTTTTTCAATTTTCCGCAGGAAGAAGCGTTCCTTTGCGTTTGACAAGAGATTTCGCATCATGCAGAGAATGTGTGAAGTGTGCACCTCGCGCCCTATCTGGACTGTAACCCATATGTCATTGGCCAGTCGAGTATATAAGATGGGAAGCAGCCCCCAGATATTTAATTCTCAGGCTTGCCCCTTTGAATATTTCCCATAAGATCTCCCCGGTCTGGATCTATCGACATCTCTCGTACATCGCCTCCACAAACAACCAAATCTTCGGCCTCTTCGAGCCGAAACACAATCCCCCAAAACTCCCCACATCTATTCCCCGCGCCGCGCCCACAGTCTTGATCTATTCCCCGCCGCACATACCTACATCCGTGCCAGTCCCGCCCCCGGTATTGTTCGGCCGTTCTCTCTCCTAACACACAGCGGCGCTCCGTCACACTTGCACCAACAAACCATTTACACCAGACGTCTACCCACGATCCCCTTTACCCCCTTCCCAGAGACCGTATCCCACCCAACCACCACAATGGCCACCGCGTCGGCCCCCCTCACCACGCACCTCCAAAACTTCGTCGTCCCCTGGATCTTCCTCCTCCAGTCCCTCCTGAGCCTGCCGCCCCTCATCCTGCACCTGCTCCTGACCCTCAACCTCGCCACCCTCCTCTCCCCCTCCCGCCTCAAGTACGCCTGGTTCTCGCGCTTCTGGGAAAAGTTCGCCCCCTCCGTCCGCCTCAACTCCGAGGCCCGCGTCGTGCCCCTCCTCCAGGGCCGCGTCTCCCGCGGCGCCGTCGTCGACCGCCCCGCGCACCCGCCCGTCTCGGGCACCGTCATCGAGATCGGGCCCGGGAGCGGCATGTGGGTGTCGCTCTTCAGCGAGGACTATCTCGACAAGGACAGCGCCGACGGTGGCGGCAGCACGCCGCGCCGCGCGACCCGCAGCAGCAGCAGCAGCAGCAGCAAGCCGCCCTCCGTGACGCGCGTCTTCGGCGTCGAGCCCAACCCGGACGTCCACGCCGCCCTGCGCCGCCGCGTCGCCGCCGCCGGCCTGTCCGACACGTACGAGGTCGTGCCCACGGGCATCGAGGACCTCGCGCCCAGCGGCCGCGTGCCCCGCGAGAGCGTCGACTGCGTCGTGAGCATCCTGTGCCTCTGCGGCATCCCGGACCCGCAGCACAACGTCCGCGAGGTCTACCGGCTGCTCAAGCCCGGCGGCCGCTGGTACGCCTACGAGCACGTCCGCTGCACGCACAGCTGGTACATGAGGGCTTACCAGAGTGAGTTTCTCATCCCTAACTTGGTCCTTCCCTTTCCCCCACCCTACTTAATGAGATCGAGAAGAGAGAGAAGGAGAGAGAGAGAGAGAGAGAACGAAGCTAATACATCCTTCTTCTTCCGCACCACTAAAAGGCCTCATCAATCTCTTCTGGCCACATTTCCTCGGCGGCTGCGAGCTGGACAGGGACACCGGACGGTCATTGAGGGAGGCCGGCACCTGGTCCAAGATCGACCTCGAGCCGTGCGTCGACGAGGACTGGTCTTCTCCCATCCCGCACATTATCGGTGTCCTGACGAAATAGACTGCCGTCAATGGACTCGTGTAAGCTCGTGCAACATATCAGTTCGTGGCGTGGGTACCCTGGTCTTGCCGCTCCAGGATTGCAGGTGATGTCCGCATTGTGATGCGATGATCTCGAGCCAGCTATTTCCCGCCGGTTAGCTCAAGCAACACGTAAAAAAAGGCGCTACAATCATCTTGAGGGCAACTGTTTACTGCCTTGGCACCGTATAAAGTAGCAAATATCAGATTACTTACGTAGAGTCACAATGCAATATGATACAGTGAGAGAACAATTGAGCGCTCGCCCACCAGCCGTTCGGCAAGCAGAAGGTAATAATAGACTTGCTATGCGCTGTCAACTCTCTCTCATACCACAGCGCATTGCAAGCTCAAGCATCCGAAATATTGCTCCAAGGATTCACAACGACACTGGCAGAAAAGTAAGTCTCGGGCTTAGAATTGTCGAACAAATGCGTCTTTACTCCAGGGCCGGTACTAGTACACCTTTACCAAGCAATAGAGAAAATTGTCGACTGTATGCGAGCAGCCCTTCTGGAGAAGAGACCATGAGGTCGTGCTATGCCTGACTAGTATCATGATGCAAGAAGCATGCGGGCCAGCTCGCCCAATGAATCGGGAAGCAGTGTACGCAGGAGGGATAAACAATCGCCGCCGCGATTATGAAAGTGTATGTATTTGTTCTTTGCTGCGTTGGCCGTTGCATCTCGCATGAACCAGAGATAATTTCCGTTTGGACATCGAGTGGAGGAAGGGTTGAGACTCTCCTCGTTTCTCTGGGTATCTATGGTGGCTGGATTTCCGCTTCGGGTATCTATTTGGAAGTAATGAGCAACAAATTCCATGGAATTGTTTGTTGATGCAGCCTCCAGTTTGTTTGTTCAGACCATCCAGGCAAATCCTCTCATGAACACCTCCATCCTGGTACTGCTGGTTTGTACAATCACTGCGAGATTTAGACAAGCAATATATAGCCACTTGCTGAAAGGGACTGGACTTCTCCTGTCTGCATCCTGCAGATAAAGAAGATCGCATTCTGAAGAAGAAAGGAGCCTGCCATCACTCAAAGCCTCCTCAAGTACAAGACATGCCGGTAGGTAGGTCTATGTGTGGACAGATCCAAGACAGATGTTGCTCCATGACGCCTCTTCTTCAGCACCACTCTCCAGTTTTTCCAAGTCTGGCACCTTCTTCATGAACAGAAGCCCATTGCACTGAGCGGGGCCACTGTTTGACGACATCATCGCTGCCTGGAGCCGCCCAAAGCTCACTGGCATTGTCAAATTTCTGGAATGTGACGGAATAGACCGGACATCGCGAGATCCAAGCTCAGGACGCCCCTTCCCCTTTGAGGCGCCCTTCCTCTTTCCTCTCGCCTATTTAAAGCTCCTCCTTCCCCTCCAACTCCTGGACCTCTTTTCTTCTCTTCTCCACCTCCACCTCGAACGATCTGAGAGAAGGGAATCCCATCTCAGATCCGCAACCCTCATCGGATCTCGATATTCGGTAAGCACATATCCTGCCTTTCCTCATTCCTCGTCTGCTTCCGCCATACTTTTTTCCATCGTGGAAGCTTCATCCCCTTCTGTTTTGATAGCCTTGACCTCGCCGTCTGACTTTTCTCGCGCAGTCTCTCCAGACGACGCGTCCGAACCTCACAACTGCCTTCGCATCGCCCACTCAGGTACGTCCCCAACTCTCATCATCATCATCATCATCATCATCATCCGTCGCAAAGATACACCGCCCCCTGAATCTTTTCCATCTCCTTCTGGTTTTCTATGTCCTCGACCTTCATCTCGCGGAAGGCGCTTGACCCTCTCCTGTCCATCACTTCCATCTTGCATTCCCGCTTCTCCCCATCGCGCACTAAGCAGTTCTGCTTGGCGATTAACATCCTTGCCTCCAACCCGTCTCTCCCCCATCGCGATTGCGGAAAACATCACCAAGAAGGTATTGCCCTTCGTTATCACTTTGAGCTCAGGGAGACTTGATCTGTGTGGCTTTGTCGCGCGTCAAGCGTCATGACAGAAACCGCCTGCATCCCTCCGCGGCGGCATCCACCTCGCCACGATTTGACAAGATCCGCCCGTCTTTCATCTTCATCCAGCTTTTACCTCCTTCTCTTCCCTACAGCCTTCATTCGTCCCTCATATTGCTTTCAGTCAGCACCCTTGGGAGATACTAACGACCAGTCGCAGTTGTCAACCGTTCAACCAGACCACAATGTCTGCATCCGTCGACAACTCAACCTGGGGCGGCGCCGGCGCTTGGGGCGCCAATGGCGACGACCAGTGGGGCTCCGGAGGTGATGCTTCCCGCGGCTTCAACGCCGACTCCGATGGCGGCCCATGCACCACCTGTGGCGAGACTGGGTTTGTTCTTTCCCATCGTGAAGACTGCTTCTTTACGCTAACACATATCACCAGTCACACCAAGCATGACTGTGCGAAGCCCAACATCTTCCCAGGCGCTTGCAACAACTGTGGCGAGGATGGCCATATGGCCCGCAATTGCCCCCAGACTCTTGTCTGCCGCAACTGCAACAAGGAGGGCCACATGGGCCGGGACTGCCCCGAGGCCAGCACCATGGAATGCCGCCGCTGCGGTGAGACTGGACACATGGCCCGAGAGTGCCCCATCCCAATGACTTGCCGTTCTTGCGGCAAGCCGGGCCACATGAGCAAGGAGTGCCCCGACAAGCCCGCTCCCGTCTGCTTCAACTGCCAGGAGGAAGGTGAGTACTTGGACTATTTGCTCATTCTCCTACAGAAACTGACGCATTCCCAGGCCACTCTGCCAAAGAGTGCAATGCACCTCGCAAGGTCAACCGCGCCGACGTCCCTGACGTCGCCAGCAACGAGGCCTGGGAGAAGATCAAGGAGGCCATCAAGGAGCGCGATCTTGACGACGTCAAGGAGGCTGTCCAGATGTATGTCAAGTCTCTCCCCGAGACCACCTACATGGATCTCGAGGATGGCTTCCGCGCTCAGAACATGGGCCTCTACCTCATCGGCATTGAGCGACCTCACCTCGCTCCGACCTTGACCAACATGGATCTCCAGGGTCACCTTGACAAGAAGTACACGGTCACTTATCGCTTTTCCGATAAGCCCCCCCGGCCTCGCGAGCGCGATGTTTGGCCCGCCAGCCCCGAGGAGAACAAGGAGCGTCTTGCTGATGGTGGCGAGGTGGTTGATCGCGGTATCCCCAAGTGCAGCAACTGCGAAGAGCTTGGCCACACCTCCAAGAACTGCACTGAGGAGAAGCGTGATAACATGGACAAGGCGGTTGTCAAGTGCTACAACTGCGACGAAGAGGGTCACCGCGTTCGCGACTGTAAGAGTCCCTGCCGCCCAGGCGACGAGGCAAGGTGCTAACTGATGCAGGCCCGACTCCCCGTGTCGACAAGTTCGCTTGCCGCAACTGTGGGTATGTATCGTCCTTTATTTATCCCTACCCGGCCCCGCAAAGAAACAAGGCTGATGACAGGTCTCTCTCTCAGTAAATCTGGTCATTCTTCCAAGGAGTGTAAGTTGTGCCTCCCGATATGAGTTGGTCCACAGGTAACTGACCAAAGAACAGGCACCGAGCCCCGCGATCCGAGCACTGTTGAGTGCCGCAAGTGCAACGAGAGTAGGTTTACCATCGTCCGGAATCTCTGCGCCGCTGTGCTAACTTCTTCTCAGTGGGCCACTTCTCGAAGGACTGCCCCCAGGGCGGCGGTGATCGAAGCTGCCGCAACTGTGGCCAAGAGGGCCACATGGCTCGGGACTGCACCGAGCCTCGCAAGCTGATCTGCCGCAACTGCACCAAGGAGGGCCACCTCTCTCGCGAGTGCCCCGAGCCTCTTGACACCTCCAAGGTTCAGTGCCGCAACTGCGACGAGTTTGGCCACTTCTCCAAGCAGTGCCCCAAGCCTCTTGATTGTGAGTGTTTTGTCCTCTTCACCAAAGCTGCATCTGCCATGCAATTACTAACACAATTCCGCAACTAGTGACCAAGGTCAAGTGCTCCAACTGCCAGGAGATGGGTCATTTCAAGTCCAAGTGCCCCAACCCTCTCGCTCCCGAGGATGATGGCGGCTTTGGCGGCGGCGGTCGCGGCGGTCGCGGCGGCGGCCATTCTTCGGGCTTTGGCCATGGCGACACCACCGGCGGCGGCGGTTGGGATCACGGTTCTGGTGCTGCTGCTGGCGACGGCGGCGGCGCCAATGACGGCTGGGGTCATGGTGCTTACACCGAGACTGCGGCTGACGACGGCGGCGGCGGTAACTGGTAATCTTGCTTGACTGCGAGAACCATCTTGCCGGCCAGCATCCGACGGCTTTCTTCTTTGATGGAACATTGAACGAGTAGAAGGATGATTTCTCTGAAGACGTTGATTTCCCTTGACCTGGCATTTGCGTCTTCGACGTCATGGCCATATGGTACGGGATAATCTGCGCAATGCATGCATCTGGACAAGGATATGCACTCTTGATCGCATAGTCCGCTTAGCCAGGTAGCAACACAACAAAAAGAAAATTACCAGAAAGGTTTCCTGCTTGTCTTGTGTGATTCCGGATGTGTAAGATATGCTCTTTTGACGAAACGCCTTCTCGGGCAACTTGAACTGTGGAAGACTCTCTTGGCCTCCGTGACTACGGTATTTTGGTAGCCACAAATTGATGTGGGTATGCAGATCGCAGCCAACTGGAGTCAAGAGCCTGAAAGCCCTTCAATCGCAGCATCTGGCTGGCTTGACATAACAATTTGTGGGGGAATTATGCTGGAAGTTATAAGAAGAACAGCTAGTCGAATCAAGTTCAACTAATGACTGTTGTTCATGGTTAGATTCGTTGACGAGCTGTCAACACAATATTGAAGTGCTTGACTATCTATGAATCCATTAGTTTCAAGGCCTAAATATGCCTTATAAGTTCAAGAAGTATATGTATTACTAGTATTGATATATCTACAGTTGGTCGAGATGTTCTATCACCTTTCTCGCCGGCAGGAATGTGAGAACGACTGATTAGATGGATGGCACACCATATTAATGTTGGAATAAGCACTCATCATTTATTTCAACAAGATAAACATCGGCACAACACGCGAAACTGCCATAACTTGGCGAGATCACGTCTTTTTGTCATTGAAATGCAAAACCGACTGAAGGTGCTCGCGAGGGCGGTAGCATCATCACTTTCCCGCACTCCACATACATATATAGATCGAGAAAAACGTGTTCGATGTGGGTCGTTTCATGCAAGTCTTGATGTCGATATTGGAGTGCAAATCACGTCTTCAAAGAAAGCCGAGGAATGAAGCTCTTATACTCGGATAGTCAGATTAGTCGCAGGGATCCCGTTAGTCTCGAGAGAGAATGCGAATCCACCGCCACCCAGCCTCACCACGTGCCCACTACCGCATCCAAGTGCCCCGTTAAAATATACCCACATCCCTATACACTTTATGAATCTTGATTCTTGAATCATTTCAAGATATCTATATCAAGAAGAAGGAAAGGAGAACCATCTTGAAGCTGACGGAGTGCAGTTTTTACTGATATAATTTTCATGCGGAGAAACGGCGTTGTCCTTGGGCCATTCACCTCAAAGTCTGATATCCGGGGCCGGCAGAGGAGACAGACCATTCCCATTCCGGAGAAGCATTAATTAGTCTCAGAGGATCCTCTACCCGATGGCCGAAACACGCAGCCGATGTCCGACAGCATGCCTGCTACTGAAGCATACCTAGTGATGACCAGTCCACACCATCTTCGCCGATGTCCGACAGCAAACCGGAGCCTAAAGACGTCAGTGGATCGGGCCCGTAAAGGAACGACCGATGTCCGCTGAGTATCTTCTCACTGTCTACGAATAAGCTTCATAGAAACCATGTGCCGTTCCCCGAGTTTTTGCGATTTTGCACCCTCTGATCATATAGCCAAGGTCCCACTTCCCCGCGCTCATGCTCCTTTCCCCAGGAAGACACCCAACTCACCTGTTCGATCGAGACAGTGACTCCAACATCCAGATCATTCTCCCCGAGATTCTTGTCACGACTCCGTAGAGGCTTGAGCCAAATTGCTTGGCCCCCGAGCTCTGGTCGCTAGGTTCTCTATTGTCTTGGCCCTCTAGGCCAGTCAGCGCGGCTCATTCGTCAATGCGATGGCCCAGGTGCGGTCCACTCGCTTGGCATGGGGAAACGCGACTCCAGACTCTCCCCACCTTCACAGCTTTAGTCATGCGCAGTTCCTTTCCATCAGTGTGGAGCTGAATGGCGCAAAAGTCGCTGGGGTTGTGTTGTTGGCAACCTTAGAAAAAAGCCATCCCTTCTTTCGAAAGGGGCTGTCCCGCCGCCACCCGAGCCCGATCGGCAAGTCAGGCGAGATCATAGGTACTGTTACATTGGACCTGGAGAGGCACATAAAGCATTGCCAACTCCCCCCTCACAGTCCTCGCGCCATCTCGTTGCATCTCCTCAGCACCCCCGGCCTCCTCCATCCCCGCCCCTGCTGAGCACCTATTCGGAGACTCATTTCCTGGCATCTGCCTCCGTCTCTTCCACTCCACATCTCAGATGGCTCGAGGCGTCTTCCAGAAGGGCCGCATCGCCGGTTCCTTCAACTTCCGCCTGCTGTTCTCATGCTTCATCATGGGCCTGTCCCAGGTCAACTTTGGCCTTGACCAGACGGCCTTCAGCACCACCCAGGCCATGGGCCCGTTCGAGCGCAAGTTCGGCGTCTACCGGCCCTCGCTGAAGCGCTTCGCGCTCGAGCCGTACTTCCTCTCGCTCCTCAACAGCCTGCCCACCATCACCCAGGTCTTCGGCCTCCTGATGGGCAGCTTCATCTGTCGCCGCTTCGGCAGGCGCATGTCCTTCTTCGTCATGTGCGGCTGGGCCTGGCTGTCGGCCATCCTCAACGTCACCGCCCAGAACAAGGAGCAGATCCTGGCCGGCCGCATGATCAACTTCATCTACATCGGCATGGAGCTGGCCGCGGTGCCCGTGACGCAGTCGGAACTGGTCCCGGCGCGGGTCCGTGGCTTCGTCGTCGGCACCTACCAGCTCGGTATCATGACGGGAGGGCTGATCATGTCTTTGATCTGCCTCGGCACGAGCAAGATCAAGAATGAGAATTCTTTCAGGATCCCATTTGGTATTTTCTTCGTTATCCCGACGGTTGTGTTTCTCGGAACGTTCTGGATGCCAGAGGTATGTCACACAACAACCAAACCCCCTTTTAGCACCCCCTTGCCAAGGCTGCCGCGGCTAACCTCTCCCCTTTCAGTCTCCCCGATGGCTCCTTCTCAAGAACCGCCCTGAGGAGGCCAGAAAGAATCTTCAACTGCTTAGGGAGGGCAAGTTCACCGACGAGGAGATCGAGAAAGAGTTCCAGGATCTGAAGATGGGCATCGAGTTGACCACCGAGAAGGGCAGCTTCGCCGAGCAGTGGAGGGGCACTCACCTGAGACGAACTTTGATCGTCCTAGGGGTTAATTTCTTCCTCCAGATGACGGGACAGAATTTTACGAGCAAGTACGGAGCTGTCTTTATCAAGGACGTGGGTGCCGTCGACCCCTTTGTCATGAAGACTATCACTACGCTGTGCGGCATCCTGATGGTCCTCACGAGCATGCTGATCTCCGATACTGTCGGGCGCAAGTAAGTCATACAGTCGGCAATGACTTGAATGTTCCATTCCAGAGATGTCTGGGACTAACTGTTTCATTTCTCACTTGCAGAACCATCATGAACATCGGCTCCTTCTTCCAGGCGGCGGCCGTCATGACCATCGGCGGCCTGGGCTCGATCCCCAACCCGTCGCGCAACGTCGGCGTCGGCATCACGGCGCTGACCGTCGTGTTCGCGTCGGCCTTCTGCATCGGCTGGGCGCCCAACTCGCACGTCGTCGCCGCCGAGATCCCCGCCATGCGCCTGCGCGACATGACCTACTCGACGGGCAGCGTCGTCAACGTCCTCTGCTCCTTCGTCGTCACCTTCACCCTGCCCTACCTCCTGTACGAGCCGTACGCCGCGCTGGGGCCCAAGGTCGGCTTCATCTACGGTAGCTTCGCCGTGCTGTCCATCGTCTTCGTCTGGCTCGCGCTGCCCGAGTGCAAGGGCCTCTCGCTCGAGGAGATCGAGCACCTGTTCGAGAGCGGCGTGCCGACGCGCAAGTTCGGCAGCTACAAGCACGGCGAGATCCTGCCCGCCGAGGTGGAGCCCGAGGCCAAGGAGGCGCGCGTCATCCAGGCCGAGGTCAAGCCCGAGACGGCGGTGTAAGGCAGAGGAGTTGGACTGGGGCGGACACACAAGGTTCCTCGTACTTGAGCGACAGTGATGGCGGGGAGCGGCATAGCCTTTTTGGATACACAAACTTAGTAAATTAAGATCTCGCTTGTTGGATGCTCCGTCATCTAGCCATTTTGTGATGGCATCCTTGACCTCTTAAGCTCGACGCTGAGGGTAATCGGGCAGGCGGCGGCGTAGTTGGCTGTTCAGAAGTGCCACCTGTGGCTGGTGCCGAAGCTCTGACCAATCAAAACGCCAGACGCAAAGGCGATCACAGGGGGACGATACCATGATGCTTTGCTGGACGGAGCCAGGGGAAGGAGTTGTCGAAACACCTCATGATGGACTATGGAATTGCAATTCATCGCTAGGTAGGTACCTCGGATATTCATCATACAACTCTCCTTCACCAGGTGTTGAGCTGGGCACTACAGAGCTCGAAAATGCGTCAAGCAATCGGGACATGAGCTGGAGACTGTGCGGTGACAGTTGATGCCACCTGGGTGGGCATTTTAACCAGCACGAGCAATGCTGGCGATCAAGAGAGTGAGAACTCTCCCAAGACAGACAGTAACGAGAAAAGCCCGGGCAAATTGTATGATGATGATTTTCCAAAACAACGAATATCTTGGGTAAAAGAATCACCAAAAGCCTCTGAGCACGAAGCAAACCCAGCCAGCCCACAGGAGATGCCATTATCGCAAAAGGAGAACCTCCGTCCTCGTATACAGCGGCCTACAGGCCGTTCCCTGTAGCCATGGGTGGGAGTTGGAGCACTGATAGGTGCTGGCGTGAAAAAAAAGGGACCTCCAGCTACCCACGTCACCATGGATCCTGTTAACTTGGACGTAGGTGCACTCACACGACCTCCAGCTGGTTCAGCTCTGTCAGGCTAAAAGGTACCTAGGTACCTTGAAGAAGGAGTGCGTAAAACCACCAAGGACGGATGCACCAAACCACTAGAATGTTATGAAGCTCACCACCGATTTTATCGACTTGATCTCAACTCTGATCCAGGCCAGTTTTTGATACCGTTACGAAGTACGCCGATTTATTATGCTCCTCCGTAGTATTTAATCTCTTCTCAATCCTTCCAAAGAGATCTTGGCCAAAGTATGTAGGTGGATAATTTGCATGGGAAACCCCCCTGGTCAATTTTGTGTGTTGTGTGTTGTGTGTGCGGTGTTTGTAGAGGCTCAGATCGAGATCTGGGCTTGGGTGAGCTGATTTTGATCCTTGCAATGCTAACTGTGCTCTGGCAGAATTCGAACCGGGTCGTGAGTGCATTCCAGCCCTGGTGCTGGAACAACACAGGGCGAACAACCGTCCGACGACATCTGCGACGCAGATCCTGTCACTGTGGGCGGGGGGCTGGCTCTCCCAAGAAGGCCAGTCGGCGCTGTTCCAGCACTGAAGTGCACAACATCAAGCTTGGATGGGAGACTAGAATTTCGAGCCATGTTTGCACTACTTGGTCCATCTCTCTCCTGTAGGTCGGAGGTGACGACGGGGCAATGCAGCGAGGTACCCAGACGTCAGATGCAAACAGGCGCATCTCCTCCACCCCTTGTGCGACGGAGGGGCAACCTCAGTACCAGAAATGGGTACTTTTGCCTCCGCATTCTTTCGTTGACGATCTGCAAGAGTAGCAAGTGAAGACTCTATCAGTTGAAGGGTTGGGGACAGAAGTGCTTGGATGTCCCATGACACCGGCAATATGCTTCAGGTAGTGGGACAACCCGTGTGCTCCTCAAGAGGGAATCGCATGGATTATCAGCGACGAAGTAGTCATCTCGTGATGAACTTCCGTCCACCATTCTGGCTCTGGTTGGCGGATGTGGTGAGCAAGGGGTCTGGACCCTGGCCCAGCGGCGCAATACCTGACAAGACGCAGCTGAACTTTCGCACACAAAACAAGCCACGAGCGTACATACGAGAAAGCTCCAGACTAGCTCGCCCATCTCGCGAATCCCGGATGGAAAAAGGGGGCCCTGTACCTCCACTGTTGGGATAGGGGGTTGAGGGTTAGCATTGTAGCTACCCACGGGTACCTAACCGTCATTTCAGGCCTCCAGAGCGGATGTTGCCGCATATGGATGCTTGTCCCAAAGATGCACGTATGAAGACGGGACTGCCCCCCACTTCATCCGATCTTCTGGCTTCTGGAGGTGCTGCTGGAGCCAATGAAGCGGGCTATCCATCGTTTTCACCCGCTTCCCAGGCATCTGGTACAGTACGCATCAACGTTGACCCTCCCCTCCATCAACGCACATGCCGCTCTGAAACCTGCCGCAGGAGGCAATGAACCGTCCACACTGCCAGATCGTGTGGTGTAAGTCACAGTGCACACCGCAATTCGCGGGAGGTCATTTGCTTCTGCACCACCGCCAGACCGTTACGGGCGATGTTTGGCGTCAGTTCGCACTAGCCGTGCGAGTCGCCAAGCAACACTGGCGGATAAGTCCGCCTGAGGCATACTGGCAAAAGAGAAATCTCCAGTGCCTGGTGGACCGTTGTACTTGATAGAGCCCCCTTTGAGCCTGACAAACACACTGCACCGCATGCCGGACTGGGACACCAACATAAAAAGTTGCCGCAGTCCCCTGACTGGAGCACCCAGAGCCAGCGAGGCAACACAACACATCTCCTCCTACCTGTCTGCGCCCGAAACCACCAGGTTCGTGACACCACCCTGTCGTGCAAAGGTTCGCGCTGACCTGCCACAGCTGAGCACAAGCGTGATGCCGGAAGTCTTGGGCTTGGATCCTCAGACCGATGGTGTCCGCAGGATGGGCAGATGGTCTCAGAGCGATGGTTCTGAGGTCACCGGATTAATCGAATGGACATCCAAACCTGACGAAAAATTCCGCCAACTTCTCGACAGAGTGAAGCGCATAATCCCCACAGAGGGGGACTGGCCCGGCGAGGTACAAACCTTCAAGATCCTTTTGGAAGCTCACATTGGCGCACAGAGCGGCATCCTCTACGACTGCCCTCAGGGACACACAGACCTCCACCAAGTCCTCTGCCAGCACCCCGCGCCGTCCATGGGTGACAGGGTCACTCTCATCAAGACGATCATGGAACAGATACGATCGCTGAACTTCCACTTTGAGCTCCTTCACCCGGCGCTACGGACCGAGAGCTTTGTTTTCGTCGGACACGGCCCCCAACTAGACTTTTCGAGGCCGTACGTCCTCGACTGGACGCGTCAAGCACAAGCCGAAATCTACCAACGCCCCGGATGCCATGGAGATAAGGTGGTCTTGGCTGACCAGATCTGGTCTCTCATGATGATCCTATCCGAGATAGTTGAGTGGAAGCCAATGGACAGATCATTCAGCACTGGGGGAAACTTGACACATAGAAAGATGGCGAGAGTGAGTCTCACGACAAGCCCAAAGTGGCATAGCCAACAATGCGCCGCTTTTTTCAACTATGGCTTCGAATTCACCGACAAGGAACCCGACACGCCTGAAGGGTATAGCCGCTGGGATGCCAGGCTCTTCTTTGATGGACTCTTTGCCATCCTGAAGTGAGCGTTCTGGTAATGTTGTGGTCGTTGCTGTGAAGGAGCGAAGCCTCCCTCCTCCTGAGGGCTGGCTGGGAGTCATTTATGTAGCATAAATTGCATAACCACTGGAGTGCCCAAACATGATCTCCCACTCTAGTCCCATCCACACCCCGCCCTGCCTCCCTGGACTTGTACATCAACCCACCAGGGCATGGGCCTGGGTGCTGTAAGCGGCAGTTGCCATCTGTACCTAGGCCGATGGACATAAAGGGGCCAAAATAGTAGCTTAGTTATCTTCTCCACGACACATCAATCAAACATCACTAGGTAGTTACCATCTCTCTCTTCAGTGCAGGTGCCTATTTGAAAGGAATATTTTTTTTGGTTGCATTAAGGTTTGGTAGGAGAAACCTGGTCTGGTAGGTACAAGTACTACGCTAAGCTGGGAGCCCCTCCTCCGGCCCCCACCAGCCCGGTCAATCAACGCTTGTGCTTATGAAGATCAGATCAGACCCTGAAAGAGAATGCCTGTGAATAAATGAACCCCTGAAAAGAAATGGGTGTTGTTCTAGAAATGATCGACCGAAAGGAATGCTTGCGAACTCGGAAATCGTCGCGTGAAAGAGATGTTTACGAATCGGGAAAAAGAGAGACAAATGAAACCACTGCCAGCCGCCAACAACCCCCTGAGCCCTGTAGACACACGCTTTTCGGCCCAGTGGAGGTCACCGCCGCGTTCGCTTCGATGCCCGTTCAGATTGAACCACCGCTGGATCTCCTTTGCGCTTGCGAAGCCGTCGCCTGATGCCGTCATCATCGTCATTGCTGCTTGTCGACGGGTCGGGGCCTTCGGGCCTGGCTTCTTCTGGCTGTCCCCGTTGGGTATTGGGCATGTCCGGCGGTTGACTCGCTGCTCGGTGTGACTGCGCTCCCGCATCCTCTTGCGCGTGTTGAGGACTTCCAGGGAGGACGGCTGCCGGTGGTGGCCAAGGTCCTGTGAGGGGTCCTGTCTGTGGTCTCCAATCCATGGGTGTAGGTCCGCTTGCCAGCTCCTGCTGCATCTCGAGCAGGGCATGAGCGGTTGGGCGATGATTGGGATCCAGGTTGACCATTGGTGCATAGGAGGGATCGAGATCGCACAAGCTTGACTCTAGGTACTCACTCCACTCCAACATGGTTTCATAGACATCGCCTCTCGTCCGCAAGAGGGGGAATTTCTGGAGACATTCCGCCACTGTAACGCCTAGTCCCCAAATGTCAACCTTTGGCGACTGTTCCCCGCGCTCTCTGACTTCAGGCGCGGAGTACCAATTGGTCCCAACTTGAATGTGCGATGTATCAACGACCTTGGCAAGGCCAAAATCTGCCAAAAAGAAGTCATCGCCTCGGCAGAGAATATTCGGGGGTTTGATATCTCGATGGATGATCGGTGGATTCTGGCCGTGGACATAGGCTAGTGCTTGCAGCATTTGGGAAAGCATCTTTGCGGCGACCATCATGCGTGAATCATCATCATCAGTTTGGAGCCGGGCCAGTAGATGCTGGAGGCTGAAGTCATAGAGAGGCATGAATATCTGTACCTGCAGCCCGGGGTTGTCGATGCACTGTGCATGCGTGTACGGCACGATGTGAGGCTGGTATGATTAGCGCAGAGCGGGGAGGGCCAAGCATTAGGGGACCGTACATGACGTAAAGCCATAACCATGGCCACCTCTTTCTTTATCTTCGCCATCTTGATCTTAGGCTCCGGATCTTCTTCTTCTTCAAACCGGACAATCTTGCAAGCGTAGAGGTTGCCATTCTCCTTGTCAACAACCCTAAGCACATGGCCTTGGGCACCGCTACCAAGCCTCTTTAGCTTGATGAAACGGATCTCACGGGTGTTGCCAGGCAGAAGCGGAGTTATGACCTGACAATCGTTGTGGCCCGCAGCTGTTGATGGAGGTGGGTTGGTGGTTGGCAGTCCCTCTGATAGCTGGGTTTGGTTTAATCGCGGCGTCGTCGCGACGATGGTCTGATCATGGCCGTCTCCACGTGCAAACGCTTGTCTATCAGCGATAGATGCCGCCTCTACTGATTCAAGCCCTCTTGGTGCTCGCAGTAGAAACTCAGCATGGCCCATCTTGAAGAGCCATTGGCGCTCAGCAGGACCGCTCCATTCGCCCCGGTACTCGTCAGCGCCGAGAACCACAACGCATTGCCGACGGGTTTCTGATATCTGAGGAGGGCCCTACACCCTCTGCTTCTTACTCTCCTCCTCGTCCTCCTCGTCCTGCCCCTCTTCTTGTTTGGTCGGGAGAGAGAGGATCTCTTGGAGCTGTGTGTCGTTCTTTTCAGATGTGTCGTGGAGAAGAAGCTCTCCACTCTCTTTGTTGAAATTGAAGAAGCATTGTTCTCTCCGGGAAAATTGGAGGGGGAGTTGCACGTCGTAGCCCTCACGTCTGCCGAAGCTGGCCAGGACTGGCGGGCATTCGGCATCGCCCAGACCAATGCGCAGGCACGGCTTTTGGGGGCGAACGGGGTCTAGATATCTTCGGGCGCTGTTGGATTCGTCCTCAACAACAGCTGAGGCGAGCTCGTTCAATGGGGATAATAGAAAGACCGTGTCAGACATCTTGGGAAGGCACATGGAATGAGGAAAGGAGGATTGCACCAGCTTCACTTGAATTTATTTTGGCCGTTTGCAGCTACGCAATCAGGGCGACAAGAATAAGGATCTGTGATTGGATGCGGAACGCCTCAGCTGAGTGTTGGAAAACAAAGCCAACAGCCACAACTTCCGCAACCAGCATCCTCAAAGAATCACGGGCCCATACAAGGGTGTGCCGACATTCTCGCCTATATCTTTGTCTTTTGCCCTCACTTTCGACGCTCTCGAGCTCGAACTGACCACACGCGCACCGAGAAACACATCCTTCCCAGCCAATTTTCTCATCCATGGCAAGCTCGATGACACCGCGCACTCGCGCAGGGCGCAACGGTAACCAAACTACATCTCTGACTTCATCCTCCTCCAACATGGAACCTCGCCCAGGTGTAGAGCATAAGCTTCACGGTGGCCAAGGCCCAACCGGTGGCGAACATGGAGACAACGACCGACAAAGCGAGGGAAATGCACCAGCACGCCTATCCGGTGGAGCCGTTGAAAATCGCCCAATGCAGTTACCACAGACCTGCGATCCCGATACATATGACCCCGATGAGCCAATGCCAGGAACACCCGAGCCAGAGAACAGTGACCCCGAGACCTATGCGGCCTGGGGCGCGAAGCGCTTTGGCAAAGAGTGGTACGACTTGCGAAAGTCGATGCTGGCGGAGGTTCCTGGCAATCTGACATACGAGGTGTACAAAGATTTGCAGAGAGATCTGAGAGCGATGGAACATAAGGCTGAAGGACGGCCATTGCGACCATGTAACAAAGATGGCTCCGATGATCTCTCTGATGAAGGCTGGAAGCGAGTGTGGGCTCGTCTGTCAAGGCATACTAAGCCGGTCGAGGCCAGCTCAACCCCGGTATCTGAACACAGCGACTCCGACACATCCCCCCCCACACCCGAGCCACGCGAACCCATCCCTGAATCGGACGACCTGCGGAACCTTCTAGAGTACATGCGAAAGCAGCAAGGGTGGGACGAGGAGAGATATCAGTTCTGGAAGTTCTATGTCAAGGATGAACACATCGACAAGGCTAGAAACCGACGAGAGGATGAGGTCTTCTGCAACGGGAAATACTACATGGCCAATTTCCGCTTCGAGGGCTATAGGAAGACCACGCTCGGAAAGCACCATTGCTACATAGGGCTCCTCGAGAAGGGCTGGACGTATGAGCAGATCGTCGCCAAGTATGAAGCCGACGTGGGCATGCACGAGTGGGAACAGGAGAACCCAGCGCCAAGGGCATACCTTCTTGGTCACTGTATGGGTCCGGGAGGGTTTGCCGAACTGGATGCCTGGCGTGAGAAACATGATGTTGCCTTCGAGCACTTCTACGCAGCGCCACGTGGTATGCTATTGCCGTATTGGGTTACGGACTATGGTGGTATGTACAATATCCGGGACAAGGGCATCCTTGGTCGCGTCACCCGCCGGCGACAGCGAGAGGCCCTGCTGTCCGACACCACCGGCGACGCTTCATCACGGACCAAAGAGCTGCAAAGGATCGAAGATGAAGAGCGGCTATATGCCGAGGAGCTAGCTAGGGCCATCGACAAGTCGATGGAAATGGATGCACATGTACACATCAACCGCTCTTCAGCCATGAGTTGTTGGTTTGACAGGTGGGACGAGTGGGGGATCTGCCTCGAGAGCCAGAACAAGTGGGCTGGCATGTGGGGACACGGCGGGCGAGCCGGCCCGAGCGAAGCACCTCGACAGGCGAAGGAGACCAAGGGCGAACCCGACGATAAGGTGCGGGAGGAGGAGGAGGAGGAGGCGGCGGCGGCGGCGGCGGCGGCGGTGGCGGCGGCGCAGCATCGCGGAGGGCGGCGGCGCACGGTATACAAGAAGGAGCGGTCGAGCCGAAGGCTGGCGGGACAACGGCCCGAGTACGGGGTGCTCGGGGAGGGCGAGCCTGGCCACCCCGCGCGCCCCGCGGCGAGCGGCATGGGCGCTCGCAGCGGCCAGCGGGCGAAGAGACCAGCGGCGGCAAGGGTCGTGAAGCACCAAAAGACCTCGAAGCCCAAGCCAGGACGTAGGACTCGCTGACGCAGGCAAGAAGAGCATGTGGGAGTTGGTTCCGGAGTGTGTCGTGTCGTAGCGCGAGATGGCTAACTGGGAATGTTCTTTTTCAAGATCTTTGCACTTTTTAATGTAATTCTGGAGAATAGCTGCTTGGAGTTTTTCCTTTTTTCGGTCCTCTCTCTCTCTCTCTCTCTCTCTCTCTCTCTCTAGTTCTTTCTCTTCGATACAGCCTGAAAAGAAAAAAAAAAACACAGAAAATTAAAAACCCCACGACGTACTTTCCTTGCAATCACCGTGGTATTTTGTGGCGAGTGAAAACTTCTAGTCCATTGCATTGCAGTGGAACGAGAGCCAGTCCCGGGCCTTATAATGACGAATTTCCTCATTAGGCATCTAACACCATTTTGGTGTGGACGGGGGCTCAACAGGCGGCAAGCCCTGCCGCCCATCCCCGCTTGTCAAATGGAGCCCAGGCCCTTTACGGCCAGGTAGATCTTGGCAAGCTGGGAGGCTCAGAATAGCTGCACTCACAAAGGCTACCTACTTAGTACCTATATGCATCCCACTACCTTCCTACCTAGACCTATAGGTTTGGTACCCAAGACCGTTGATGGCTCACGAAGCACTCCTGTTCGGACCCTGTCAGCCAAGTAAGGTAACTAATTTGACCGTCGCTTTACTTGCCCAGGCGGTAAGCATGCACCCTGTAGCACCCGTCGTCGTGTTACCGGGCTACTTTCCCTACCTAAAGCACCTAACCTTCTATAGGTACCTGTAAGTAGGTAGCCTGTAGGGAAGCTGAAAGTTGGCTCTTTCAGGGCGTCTCAAAACAGCCACGGGTGTAAGGGGCAGCTGGAGGTCACCTGTCGGCCGCTGGACATAGAAAGGGCCAAAATCTCAGCTTGAGTGTCTTCCTACCTAGACATCGATCAATTACTGCCAGTCTCTGTCTTCACGGTCCTGCCCCCCAAATTGAAGCACGGGTCAACCATGGATGTTTTTTTCTTCTTCTTTTCCTTTCAGGTACCTGACTAAAACCGAACCCTCGCCCCTAAACTCCGGAGCAATTTGACAGCAGAGCGCTGGAGCAGCACCAGACCAGACCAGACCAGACAGACCAGACCAGCACGACGCTACCTCTGTCGGGCAGGTGCCGACTCCGAGCTGGGACGACTCCACTCGCGCAACCCGCGCGGGATGAAGTCTCAATTCAGCACTTCCGAGCGGATGGCACTTGTCCCAAGATGGCCACTGACATGCGATAACCCTCATAGACGCCGCATCGAAGAGTCACACCGGCGGTGGGCTCTTGGTGCCGCATTGGCGTCCCAACTGAGAACTGAGGGGGCCTCCGCGGGGGCGCCAGTTGGGACATCCAATGGCGCCTGCGTGCCGCTCAAACGCTTCCTGAGGCGAACACTTCAGACGGCATGACGTTTCTCGCTTCTTGCTCTGGCGGCGTGCGGGGGCGGATTGGTAATCCCCAATGCTTGATGCTGATGCATTAATGCATCCATGGATCCATCACTACCCCGCTGCCCCTCAGTCCCTGCGGCTTGAGAGCTTGGGTTTTGCCGTTGCCCGCCAAACAGAAAAAAAAAGGGAAAAAAGTGATGCCATGCCAATGGAATAAATAGACATCTCCGCCCCCTCTTCTCCTTGAGCGGGCTCAATTGTGATTCAAGTATTCTGCTGATGCTCAAGATCTCCAATTGATATCCATTGCCTTGCCAGTGACACCATATTCCCTCCCGTCATTTCCAGGTACCACCACGCGCAAGCGCAGCGACGAGATCAAAACAATGTCCAACGAGAACGCCCCCGAGATGGAGTACCGCTTCCTCGGCCGCTCTGGCCTGCAGGTCTCGGCAATCTCGCTGGGAGGATGGCTGACCTATGGCGGCCACGTCGACAGAGGTGAGTGAGCTCTGCCTAGCATCCGTGGGGGAACCTACTGCACGCCGTCGGTTTTGTTCCATTTTGACGCTGAGCGCGCTGACCAATGACGCGCACTGCAGAGGGAACCTACGCCTGCATGAAGGCAGCATATGACGAGGGTGTCAACTTCTTCGACTGCGCCGAGGCGTATGCCGGGGGCGAGTCCGAGAAGGTCATGGGCGAGGCGATCCGAAAGTACGGCTGGAAGCGCAATGACATTGTCGTTTCTACAAAGGTCGGTCAACACCCGTAGCAGCTTCGTGCAAGCCGCGGGGCAGCGCATGCATGCAAGTTTGGGCGCAGGTCGAACCGCACCGCTAACACGCTCGCTCTCGTGCGCAGCTCTACTGGGGAGGCGCCTATGGCACCAACAAGGTCAACAACGTCGGCCTGTCGCGCAAGCACATCGTCGAGGGCATGAACATGGCCCTCGAGCGCCTGCAGCTCGACTACGTCGACCTCATCTACGCCCACCGGCCCGACAGGCACACCCCGATGGAGGAGACGGTGCGCGCCTTCAACCACCTCATCGACACGGGCAAGGCGCTGTACTGGGGCACCTCGGAGTGGAACGCCGACGAGATCGCGCAGGCCTGGCGCTACGCCGACAAGCTCGGCCTCGTCGGCCCCGTCATGGAGCAGCCGCTGTACAACATGATCGACCGCACCAAGGTCGAGCAGGAGTTCGCGCACCTGTACCGCGAGGTCGGCCTCGGCCTGACCGTCTTCTCGCCCATGAAGCAGGGCATCCTGTCGGGCAAGTACAAGGACGGCATCCCCGACGACTCGCGCTTCGCGCAGACCCAGGTCGAGTTCATCGCCGGCTACTGGAAGCGCACCGGCAAGGAGCAGTGGGACGGCGTCGTCGACAAGGTCAACCGCCTGCAGCCCATCGCCGACCGCCTCGGCGTCAAGATGGGCGTCCTGGCCCTCGCCTGGGTCCTCAGCAACAAGAACGTCAGCTCGGCCATCACGGGCGCCAGCAGCCCCGACCAGGTCAAGGAGAACGTCAAGGCCGTCCAGGTCTACAAGAAGCTGACACCCGAGATCCTGGCCGAGATCGACGAGATCCTCAACAACAAGCCTCCCGCCATCACCATGCGCTACTGAGCTGCGTGCACCTGCATGATGCGGTGTCTTGGGTCGTTAGGGTTTGTCAACGCGTTGGGAGGAGTTTGGTCGGGATTTCGGGATGGGGAAAAAAAGCCATTCTGTCCTTGCTGATGGGATTGATCGAGCTCGGCATATACCAAGTACTTGTTAGGTAAATAAAATAGACGGGTTTTTGGTCCATTTGAAGCTGCTGCGACAACAAGGACGTCACATCAAAACCCCACGTTTGAGAATCTCGCACCGTCCCATCAATCATTCGTCAATCCGCAAGCAGGTACCGTGCGCTAGTTAGATGTCAGCAGCGATGATGTCTGGTTCATGGAGGTGGCCGTTTCTTCGGATCCCAACGTCTCCGAGCCCGTGCCATTCCGGTCAGGGCCTGAGAAATTTCGATCGCCCCATCGGCCACGCAAGCCAGGATCCCAGGTTGAAAGCCGACACCTCAACTCTCCACTGTTGTTGATTTAGCCTCCAGCCTGGCCTAACACGTGCCTAATGTCCATCCTCCAGCGACAAAACCCCTGAAATCTGGTCCCCTGCGGAGGCCGCGGGCGGTTACCTTGCCCCGCCCGTCCGCCACCGCCCGCCCAAAAAATCGGCCAACACCGCCTGATTATCGTTCCAGGCTCGACCGACCAGGATACCCAAAAGGAGAGCTCCCTTGGTTCAGACAACAAAAGGGCTTCCCCGAGTCGTTCATTGCCTTTCTGCATCCCACCATCGCAAGGCTCCTCCAGCGCCCCGAAGCTGGTTGATCATCGACGGCAATGGCGCCCTCTACGACGACCGTGACGAGCTCCGCCTCGAAGAGAAAGGGGAGCACCAATGGCGGCAACGGAAACAGCGGAAGCGTCGAGGGATCTCTGAGAGCCGACGGAAAGGATGCAATTGAGGCGAGGAAGGACGATTTCTTCTGGACCTACACCGAGGAGCCGCACCGGACTCGCCGGATGGCCATCATCAAAGCTCACCCAGAGGTAGGCGCTCCGTTGATCGCTTGCCATGAGCGACCACACCGCACGCGTTCGAATACTAACAAAAGTGCTCCCCGCAGGTCACCAAGCTCTGCGGCCACGAGCCATTGACCAAGTACGTCGTGGCCTGTGTCGTTTCGCTGCAATTCTTCCTCGCATACATGCTCCGAAACACGCCCTTCTTCTCGTGGAAGTACTGGGCCGTCGCCTACGTCTTTGGCGCCTCGGCCAACCAGAACCTCTTCCTCGCCATCCACGAGATCTCCCACAACCTGGCCTTCAGGTCGCCGCTCGCCAACCGCCTCTTTGCCATCTTTGCCAACCTGCCCATCGCTGTGCCCTACAGCGCCTCGTTCAGGGTAAGCCTCTCGATAGACGAGCGATCCGCTGGACCGCCTCTTCTCCTTTGAGGTTTGCACATTTGCTAACAGAATGCCGGCCCAAACAAAACAGCCCTACCACCTGACCCATCACAAGTCGCTCGGCGTCGACGGCGTCGACGTCGACCTGCCCACCGCCCTCGAGGCCGTCGTCCTCGACTCGGTCCTCGGCAAGGCCTTCTTCTGCACCTTCCAGATCTTCTTCTACGCGCTGCGGCCCATGGCCATCTTCCAGGTGCCCTTCACCTGGGTCTCGCTGACCAACGTCGTCGTGCAGCTCGGCACCGACCTGCTGCTCTACAGGGCGTGCGGCGCCAACGCCCTGCTCTACCTGCTCCTGTCCTCCTTCCTCGCGGGCTCGCTGCACCCGCTCGCGGGCCACTTCATCGCCGAGCACTACGTCTTCGACCACGTCGACGACGAGGCCCGCGACCCGGCCAACGGCATCCCCCTGCCCGAGACGTACAGCTACTACGGCCCGCTCAACTTCCTCGTCTACAACGTCGGCCTGCACAACGAGCACCACGACTTCCCCGCCGTCGCCTGGACCAAGCTGCCGCTGCTCAACGAGATGGCCCGCGAGTTCTACCAGGACCTGCCGCAGCACCACAGCTGGACCTACGTCCTCTGGCGCTTCATCTTTGACGAGTCGGTCGGCATGAAGTGCCGCGTCAAGCGGAAGAACGGCGGCCGCAAGGTCGGCGTGGCCCCTGCCGGCGGCAAGAAGCAGCCTGCTGAGCCGCAGGCCAAGGTGGCCGACTGGAAGCAGGATGAGATTGAGGCGTAGATTTGATGGGATGAGAGAAGAAGAAAAAGAAGAAGGCGATGATGATGTTCACATACACTCTTTTCTGAGAGACTTTTCGAGACTCTTTTTAAGGGCAACAAACACAGTAAATTAATTTCAATGTGGCGTTTGGGTATAGAACAAAATGGGCGGGCTTTTCATTTAGACCGTATCAAGAGAATGTCAAAGGCATATGTTCCATGCATCCACTATTCAACACACACGCGGGACAAATCGACCATGCTTGCGCCTTTTCGGTTTTGAACGTCTCTATATTATTTTCGATACATCATCATCAACATCGCTGCATTCATGTCTATCATAACTCCTCGTGCGCCGGCGGCCCACCGGCGGCGTCGGGTATATCCGGCCTCCCGCTGTCCTTGTGCAGGTCTACACCGGTCTTCTTCTGCCACTTGTCGAACACGGCCTTGATCTCCTTCAGCATGGCCGGGTCCGCCTGGTCCGGGATCACGACGACGTACTCGACGAGCAGGTCGCCGTACTGGGTCTCGTGGTACACGCTGTCGCCGTCCTCGTGGAAGATGGGCATGCCCTGGCCCTTGATCACGTCGACCTGGCCCGACTGCACGACCTGGCCCTCCCTGCGGCCGAGGCGCACGACGTGGCCGTCGAGGTGCGTCAGGTTGCGCGTCCAGCCGCCCATCCAGGCCTCGCGCAGGCCGATGACCTCCTTCCAGTGCAGGTCGTCGCCCTTGCGGCGCATGAAGACGCCGTCGACGTGGTCCGGGTTGTCCTGCTCGAGGTCGGGCTCCTTCTCCGCCAGGGTGACGACGAGGTCGCCGGCGACGTAGTCCGGGCTCGCGTCGGCCTCGTTCTCGTACACGACGCGCGACTCCTTGGCCATGCCGGGCAGGATGTTGATGTGCACCGTCGTCGGCTTGCGCACGACGCGGTTCCCGCCGCAGGCCGGGCAGCGGTGGCGGATGGTCTTGCCGCGGCCGCCGCAGGCGTCGCACTGCGTCTGCACCTGCTGGAACATGCCCGGCGCGATCTGGTGGCGCTGGATGCGCACGCCGTGCCCGCCGCAGGTGCCGCACTGCTCGACGACGCCGTCGGCCGAGCCCGTGCCGTCGCACTCCTCGCAGATCTGCTGCTTCTCCCACTGGAACTCGGTGGCGCGCCCGCTGTAGAAGTCGCGCAGCGCGATGGCGAGCTTGACCTCGACGTTGGGGCCCCGGCGCTGCCCGCCCTGGAAGTGGCCGCCGCCGCCGAAGAAGCGCGAGAAGATGTCGAAGGGGTTCTGGTGCTGGAAGTTGCCGCCCTGCTGCCGCTGCTTGACGCCCTCGTGGCCGTACTGGTCGTAGACCTTGCGGAGCTCCGGGTCGGAGAGCGCCTCGTAGGCTTCCGAGACTTCGACGAATTTCTCCTTGGCCGTCTCGTCGCCACTGGTGGGAAAAGGATGGGGTGTTAGTATTCTGGTTCTGGCTCGCAGTAGAAGGTGGTTCTCTGAGGGGTAGTTGCGTACGGGTTCTTATCGGGGTGGAACTTCTTGCTGAGCTGTCTGTATGCGGACTTGATTTCTTTATCTGATGCTGATTTGCTTATTCCCAGGACCTGTCGTGAGTCGAGGTTAGCGAGGGTCCGGGAGCCCGAGAATGGAGAGAGGAAAAGAGATGTCACCTTGTAGTAATCCTCGGCGCAGAGCACGAGGTGTATCAAGGACAGGAAGAGCAGCAGAGCTGCCCTGCACAGCAACATCTTGAGCCTCTGGTTTCCCGCCGGGACTTGCTGATTGGTTGCTGATCTGTCCTGGGCATGAATTGCCCGTTCAAAACACCCGAGACTCGAAAAGAAGACAAAGGAGCGACTAGGCCGGAAGCAGAGGGAGTCTTCTTTCTGGTGGTGTGGCGAAGAGATCGAGGTGGAGGTGGAATGCCCAGGATCTACTTGTATCTAGGTAAGTCGAACAAAGGAAGATGCCACGAGAGCCCGCGTGTACTAGAAAATACCAGCGTGTTAAAAGTGACGGAATAAGGACACGCTAAAGCGGCTACCCCTGCCGTTCACTCGAGTCTGGTCCCGCCAAGAAGCTTGCTATCGGTGCTGCCATTATCGATAAGCTTATCGGGACCTCATGTCGACGGACAAATTCTATTCCGCCTCAACTTTGGGTAGCCATCCTTCGAGTCAATGTCAACGTCCCTTCCAGTCTGAGAGATTGGCATCTCATCGCCACAACGGTCCAAACAGGCCAGATTTTTGTTTCACGAGGAGCAGCGCCTCCCGAGTCAGCCAGCATGGCTTCCAAGAGGTATGCCTTCGTCGCAATGGACGACGACAACGAGGTTGGTCCACAGAAAGTCCAAAAGAAAAAGAAGGACCGGTCCGACAAGCATTCTTCGCGACACTCGAGGTCGCACCGGCGCAGTCGCAGTCGATCGCGCTCGCCCAAGCGCGAATCGCGGCACTATAGCAGTAGATCGAAAACGAGCAGTCGTCGTGACGAAAGAGACTACGACGACCGATGGGCCGACGAGGAACCGTTTCCGGAGGACGAGGAGGAGCCCGAGTTCCAAGAATCCGCATCGAAGCGCGTGAAGCTTAGTCGCGACGATGGCGATCGCGGCAGCGGAGGCGATGACAAGATAGACGATGCTGATTTGTCAGAAGGAGCAAGGGAAGAGCTTGAAGCGCAGCGCGATCGTGCCGAGAGGGAGGCTTTCGCAAACCGCTTGAAGGCGAAAGACGATGATCGCTCCAAGAAGAAGATCACAGAGGATCATTTGTCAGCTCAGCGGAGATCTCTGGCAGACGACTCGAAGGCGCGAAATGAAGCTCTTCCGGACCTGCGCGACCGCTCTCGGCAAGAGTACCTGAAGAAGCGAGAGGCAGAACGGCTCGCCCTGCTGCGGAAACAGGTCGCTGAGGAGACTGCCGAGCTGCGGAGCGGTGTGAGACTCTCTGAAAAGGAGAAGGCCGAGTTCGCAAAGAACCGCGAGATTTTGCGCCTGGCCGAGGAGAGGCTCAGGATAGACGATCACAGAGATGGGTACTATATGCCTGAGGATTATATCACTGAGAAGGGCAAAATCGACCGGCGCAAGAAAGAAGATGCGCTTTATAAGCGGTATGTTGAGAAGGACGAGTACGGACAGGAGAAATTCACCACGGAACATGAGGAGTGGGAGAGGGAGCAAGCAGCCAAGGCCAAGGCGCAGATACAGCGCGCCGAGAAGGAGAACGAGGGCGAGTATGATTATGTCATGGATCAGGAGCAGTACATCCAATGGAATCTGGATACTCGGATGCCGGCTGAAGGCAAGGGCATGACGAAGGAACAGCTATTTCTCCAAGCCCAAATCGATGCCGCCGAGAAAAAGCAACTGTCGATCCAGGAGACGAGGAAGAGCTTGCCGATCTACCAGTACAGGGACGAGTTCTTGGCTGCGATCAAGGAGTATCAGATTATCGTGCTTGTCGGAGAGACGGGTAGTGGCAAAACGACGCAGCTGCCCCAATACCTACACGAAGCAGGGTTCACGAAGGGCGGGCTGAAGGTCGGATGCACACAGCCCAGACGTGTCGCCGCCATGAGTGTTGCTGCTCGTGTTGCCGATGAAATGGGTGTCAAAGTTGGAAACGAGGTTGGATATTCTATCCGATTCGAGGACAACACCAGCGACAAGACCATCCTTAAGTACATGACCGACGGCATGTTGCTTCGCGAGTTCATGACGGAACCCGACCTCGCAGGCTACTCGGCCCTCATGATTGATGAGGCTCACGAGCGGACTGTCCATACCGACATTCTCCTAGCGTTGGTAAAGGACCTGGCCAGGGAGAGGCCCGACCTGAAACTCCTGATCTCCTCGGCGACAATGAACGCCGAGAAATTTGCTTCCTACTTTGACGACGCCCCCATTTTCAACATTCCTGGTCGACGGTATCCTGTCGATATCTACTACACTCCCGCACCAGAAGCCAACTACCTGGCGGCAGCGATCACCACAGTGTTCCAGATCCACACGACGCAGGAGAAGGGTGATATTCTCATCTTCCTTACTGGACAGGATGAAATCGAGGCTGCAGAGCTGCAGATCACAGAGACGGCACGCAAACTCGGCAACCGCGTCAAGGAACTTGTGATCTGTCCCATCTATGCCAATCTCCCCTCTGAGTTACAGTCGAAGATTTTTGAGCCCACGCCCGAAGGCGCCCGGAAGGTTGTTCTTGCGACAAACATTGCCGAGACGAGTTTGACGATCGACGGCATTGTCTATGTTATCGACCCTGGCTATGTAAAGGAGAATGTCTACAATCCAGCTACCGGTATGTCAAACTTGGTTGTGGTACCGTGCTCGAGGGCTTCGGCAAATCAGCGGAGTGGCCGTGCTGGACGTGTTGGCCCTGGAAAGTGCTTCCGTCTCTACACCAAGTACGCCTATATGAACGAAATGGAGGAGTCGACGACGCCCGAGATCCAGCGGACCAACCTCAACGGTGTCGTTCTGCAGCTCAAATCTCTTGGTATTAATGACCTGCTGGATTTCGAATTCATGGATCCTCCCCCCACCGAGGCACTTATTGGCGCACTAAACCAGTTGTTCGCACTGCAAGGCCTCAACCACAAGGGAGAGCTTACAAAGCTCGGGCGACAGATGGCCGAGTTCCCGACCGACCCGATGCTTGCCAAGGCAGTCATCGCTGCCGGCAAGGAGGGCTGCACCGAGGAGATCCTTTCCATCGTGTCCATGCTCGGCGAGGCGTCCGCGCTATTCTTCCGGCCCAAAGACAAGAAGATCCATGCCGACAGCGCTCGCGCCCGGTTCACCGTCGCTGAGGGAGGTGACCACGTCACGCTGCTCAACATCTGGAACCAGTGGGTCGACAGCGACTTCTCGCCCATCTGGGCCAAGGAGAACTTTTTGCAGCAGCGGTCGCTCACGCGCGCGCGCGACGTCCGCGACCAGCTGGCCAAGCTGTGCGAGCGCGTCGAGGTGACACTGTCGACGTGCGGCGCCAACAACCTGGTGCCCATCAAGCGCGCGATCACGGCCGGCTTCTTCCCCAACGCGGCGCGGCTGCAGCGCGGGGGCGACAGCTACCGCACGGTCAAGAACAACACAACCGTGTACGTGCACCCGAGCTCGGTGTGCATGAGCTCGGACCCACCGCCCAAGATGGTCATCTACTACGAGCTGGTGCAGACGACCAAGGAGTACATGCGGTCGTGCATACCCATCGAGCCCAAGTGGCTGTCGGAGCTGGCGCCGCACTTCCACAAGAAGAAGGACGTCGAGGCGCTGGAGGAGAAGAAGATGCCCAAGGACCGGAGGAGGTGAGGGCAAGGTTTGGGGGCTGTGCACAGCCTGGTAGTTGGCATATCTAGCGAGAATCTAATCAACAAAGCGTACCTTTAGGGACGCCGGCTTTGTGTGCGTGGTGCAACTTTGGCATTCAATTGGTAAATATCCAGCTTGGTGATAGGACGGAATAGTCTGTTCCACCGCCGATCCCATTGAGGATGACTGATCGCCCTCCAGCTGTGCTCGGACCCGGGGGCTTGGTGACGAACATATGCCAAAACCTTATATAGAACATTTCTATTTCTGGCTCAGCCTTCCGAGTCCCCGTCCATTGGCCTTGCGAACAGCACCCTAGTTGCTTACAAAGACGCCTTGGTTGCCAGTCAGCCAGCCCCTGTGCATGGCTTGCATCCAGCATCAGGTTTGGGGGCCGGATGGCTTCTCCGGCCAATGGCGTGTTACATTGTTTCCAGGATCTGACTTTCAGCTCCAGCGTTGTAGTTCGAGCAGCACAGGATGGAGGGTTGTGCTTTAGCACCAGGGACAGCCTGATGGCCGGACGAAACATAAAAAGGCCACAACTTGAACAGATTTTGGTCATTTTCTTCTTGACACAACACTGCCATGTTTTCTCATTTCTATCAAACCGAGTGAACAAAGTCACGGTAGCAATGCGACCATCACGACGGCCAAGACCGACGATAGGAGAGCGAGTTGCAAGACAGCTTGGCTGGCTACCGAACCTGTGGAGGTTGTGGGTTCTCCCGTACGGGGCATGGCTGATGAATGGGCTGGTCCAAGTATTCTCAAAGTTCCGAGGCAACACCGAGAAAGAGGAGGAGAAGGTAGTCGTCGATGGAGGTGTCTGGAGCGTGATGTTGAAATGCCTGATCCACGTAGCTCCGCTTTGCGCAACTATCGTACTCGCCGCGATCAATCTCAAGGGGTTCTTCATCGGCAACAACTACCTCGGTAGCACCGAGGATACTATACAATCTCTCGATCAACTGTTGTTGCAGATCACAGCCAAGCTATATGTTGGTTTCGCCTGCCAAGGCTAGAATCTCAGAGCGGCTGGTACTAATATAGGAATAAACAGGAACTACTAATCGTTGCGTCATTGACGACAATTGTCCTCGATGTCCTCCGACGAGAACTGCTTACTGAGTCCGAAGGGCTGCCGTTCGGCTTCGTTCTCGCCCCATTTCAGTTCCAAGACTTGACCTATTGGCTCTCACCAGACTTTTGGTACAGCCAGTATGCTCTCCGGAGCCGAGCCAAGCGGTACAAAATCGTGCTTCTCCTCGCGACTTCCACTACCATTGCCATCTTCGCCGGTCCTTCATCTGCCTTGCTGATGCTGCCGCAGACGTTCACGCATTGGCCGGGAGGCGGTGCTCATTTCACCATGGCCGGAGGGCAGAATAGCCTTTGGCCAGACCGGCTCGAGGAATTCCCTCGCTGGTGCGCTTTGACGACCGCCGAAGAGGCAGAGAAGAGCTGCTCGACCGGCAACTTCGAAATAATCGCGCAGACTCTGCGGGGCTGGCGGCAGCAACAGACTCTCTTCAACATAGACATCACGGACGGATTGGTGCGGCGACACATGAACGTCATCTTTCCGGATTTCGGCAAGGGCGACACATGGGCAATCGCTCCGCACCTGGCGACTTGCCTCTACTCGGAGATCTTGACGAACATGTGGCACCAGGCAATCTTCGGCGCGAGCGAAGCAAGCAGTGAAATGCAGCCGTTCTTCAAGTACCGTTACCGGAAGTACACCGGAACCACGGCAACTATTCAGGCTCAGATTCCTATAGTCCGAGTGAACTGCCGTGAACCTGTGCCGCAGACATTTCAGTATTGGTACACAGTGCAGCCCGAGATTGGCGAGACCAAAGCTTACTTGCAACCCGTCGCGCCAGCCAGGATCTCTGAATCGTATGTCAACTCATCGCGAATAGCGACGGTGTGGGTTCCGCCGCCAGCCGACGATCCAAGATGGAATTCGAGCGCATATCTCAACATCCAATTCCCCAGCAGTGGCGGCTCCACAGAAGACACAGTAATGACGTGTTCAGTCGACGCACGCTGGGCTTCCGGTAATATCGTAGGCTCTCTGCTGGGCTTCTGGAACGGCATTCAGTACTACAATGCCAGCGTGTGGTATGAACCGACCAAGAAGGAATACCCTGGTCATGGATACGCATTCCCCGCTTTTGACCAGGTGAGCTTCCGTAAGGTTCATCTGGACTCGAGTTGGCTCCAGGGCGTGGTACCCCAGCTCGGCTCCCAATTCGCGAGTTACACCACCCTCAGCTCAGCGCTTGAAGTCCTAGGCTTCGCTGCCGGCGCCGAGAGCTTCTCGGACCAGCAGGGCCCGTCTAACAGGAACGTCGTAGAGGCCGCCGTCGCAGCCCTGATAGCCGACGGCATGTCGCAGACGGGGTACGCTAAGAACGGGGGGGGAAACCTCGAGGATATGCGCGACGTCCTCAACGGCGAGGGCGTGCCCACCAGTCCGCACGACGACGACCTCCTCTTGTCTGGCAGGCTCGACCTCCCACTACTCAAGAAAATCACCACCAAGCCGTCGGACCCGGCGACGACGCAGCTGCGGTGGGACATCTTCATCGGCGGGCTGGGCTACTCGGCCAATAGCGTCGCCTACTACCTCGCACTGACGGTCGTGTTCGCACACGCGCTCCTGGCGCTGGTGCACACGGCGTGGTCGCTCGGGCGGCGCCAGACGTCGGGTGCTTGGGCCTCGCAGAGCGACATGCTCGCCCTTGCCATCAACAGCCGGCCCACGGCGGAGTTGGCGGGCACGGCGGGCGGGATCAAGATGCTGTCGAGGCTCGGGTTGCCGGTGCGGATACGGGATGTGCATGCGCGGCCCCTTTCAGAGTATGCATCGTCGCAGAGCTCCGGTGCGCCGCTGGTAACGCGATCTGAGCATAGCTCTGGGACGGATTATAATTCCCTGCAGCTTTTGGTGGGTAAGGATGGTTGGCTGTATAAGAGGAATGGTCTGGTTGAGTTGAATGGCAAGTATTGAGGTTGAGAAAGTTGGAGAGAGTGGGAGGATATTGATACTCTAACTAGATAGCGCAACTAGATAGCGATAAAAATGACCAATCACGAAGGATGTAGGCAAGACTATGCATTGTCAGATCATGTCACGCTTGGACCTGCCTGACAATCAATAGCCAAGCAGTGACAGAAAACATGAATGAAGAGGTCAATCTGTTACGATATCCTTCAGGCTCCCAGGCGTCGCTGTGCAATAATAGTATAATCGTAGGTCAAAGCCGAGTTCCACTGTTACCTTGACACATTTGAAGAAACAATGAACACTGTATTTCGGAGACAGTATGAGGGTTCCTTATGATAATAACACAGTTGTTACCTGTCTTCCAACTACCCAGGCCAATTAATTTGCTCTCGCACCTCATCATACGCCCACACAAGCATACGTGTTAGCCCAAAGCGAGTTGCAGCCTTGGCCCACCCCGGTGTTCCACTGAGTGAACTGCTCCAAGGTAATCCCGTTTGCCTTGGCCACCTGCTCGCACGTCTGGCCGCTCTTGACCAGCACGAATTTCTTGCAGTTGGTGACCATGCCAGGCTGGATCGGCTGCGGCGTTTCGACGGTGCTCCGCGTCTTGTCCGGCTCGCCGATGCGCGACAGGCAGATGTACGTGTCGGCCCACATCCCCGAGCAGGTGGTGCCGACCGACGGGTTCAGTTTGACGATCTCGACCGCCGTCGTGCGCCACATGCCGGCGATGGCGTCGCAGGTCTCGCCTTTCTTGACCAGGTGAAACTGGTCGCAGTCGGCGACCATGTTTGGCTGCGTCGGCGTCGGCGTGGGGATGCCGTTGCCGGGCTTGGTCGTCGTTGTCGTTGTCGTGGATGTTGCCTTGGTGCTGGTGGGTGTTGGGGCCGGCGTGGCCGAACCGGCGTTTCCGCCCTCGACGCAGTATGACTGCTCAAGTTCCAGGCCGGTGCAGGAGGATCCCGAGGCTGCTAGCGATGGGTTCTACAGAGTTCCATCCTTGTCAGTAGTTGTCCGTGACCTCTTTACTCTGATAGGGCGTACCCATTTCACAAATTGCTCAACCGTTATGCCAAAAGCCACGGTGATCAAATCACATGGAAGGGCTCGTTCGGCATCGTAGTCAAACCACCAAGAGCAGGGCTTGACTGTCCGCGGGTCGAAATGGTAAGCAGGCTGGGAGTCACTTGCAATGCGGAGACTTGTTCCTCTTGCCAAACCGTAGAGCCCAGTAGCCAGCGTGATGATTGAGACCAGCATCTTCAGCTCGGGTCGTTGATGGCAAGGTAGGATAATCCCGCTTCTCCAGTTTGAACAATGAAGCAGCAATCCTCACCGTCTCACCGTCTTTTTATACTCCAATTCGGGCCCAGAGGTCTGTCTGCAAAGTCTTCGGACCAGTGCCATCTCGTGGAACAAGTGACGACACCTCGCCATTAGCCTGCCGGTGCCACGGGTCATTGCCAACGAAACTCTTCCTCGGACGTAATTGTAATCTCTACTGGTTGGGAGTCCAGAGCGTCGTGACCTTACGATGTTTGCTTGGTCATTCCTACATCTACACAGCAATGCGTTGGCAAACTTAGCCGTAATGAGAGATGCATAGGGCGCGTTGTTGGAGGGCTTGGAACCTCCGGCTATTTAGTCAGAAGCACCCACGGTGGTAGCGACTCCCGGCTCGCCTCAAAACCCTTGTCAACCAGGTACGATTGGTCAACAGGTGTGTCTTCATTGTCAACCAACAACGCGCCAAGACGGGTCCTTGAAGCAACACGTCTGCCCGTCACGCCATGCGCAGCCTCACGGCAAAGCCCCTTGCATCTACAAGCGGAGTATTTAACTGAGCTGTCGCAAGCCTAATTGAGATTCAACGTCGACAGTCTTACAAGCCAACACTTCAACATGGAATTACACTCCTTGCGCATATTACTTGGCAGAATTTGCCTCCTATTCTTCGCATGTGCTCTTTCGGCAGAGAAAACACCCCAGAACCAACAACCAACACTTCCAACGAGATTGGAAGTGGACCTCATCTTCCCCAGAAACGATACCTACGCACCAATCTATGCATTCCCTGTCGTCTTCGCTATCCGCGGGGCTGCGCCACTCATCAACCCTCGGACCACAGAAAGTCTGGTCAAGGTCAACTGGTACCTCTCCGCTGAGAAAGCTATGGTATCCCTAGGAAATCTTGATTTTGAACAACAATCGGTGGTGGATGCGGGTTTGGAGCCTTACTACATGATCCAGGCAGCAAATACACTTGTCAACTCTACTGAGGCCTCCTGGACGCTCGAATGGACAGTTCAACTGGCATCAAACTGTTCTGCACTTAGTACAGCATGATAAGACGGAGCTGGGCGACCCCTGTGCGGTGAAACCGACCTCGAAACTAGAGAAGGATGTTGCGGCTAGAATGCAGACGCAAATCTGCACGAAGCAGACCTGGCCAGATAGGGGTATCGTTGGGAACTGCCCACCAGGCTTTTATTCCGGCTCCAATCCTACATTGGCACGGGATTTTGTCGCAGAATTGGTCGTGGCTCTGGTGGCTTGGGTGTGTTGGACAGTGCTCGACTAAACCACTGGATAAGGAAGGACTAGCAGCATGCCTAAAGTTAGTTTTATTCCATATGCAAGACTAATATATCTCGCAAAAATCATTGAGGCTGCCGATGGGGCTGCTGTTGCCTGGATATCGTGGCCCGGGAATTGATAGTGACTGGAAAGTTCAGAGTAGAAAGGGCCCTGCACACCCTTGGCCGCAGTTCTTTATCATCCTTCTGCTCATTGGTTGATCTCCGAGCTGCAATATAACATAAGGGGATACTAATATTATTTTCCTCAGGCCAAGTCAGGCCAGAACACTCAAGCCGTACGTTTTAATAGCTTGGCAATTGTCCCAGCGCCACGGTTCTTGCACTTTGCGAATGGCAACATGATCATGCAACAAGTGATATTACACCCAGGGGAAGCCGGACCGGCGGTTAAGTATCTGATTAATTTAATTAAGGTCCAAGTGAATTGCTCGATACTTCTCTGCCAACCAAGCGTCCCAAAATGCTTATACAGCTCTAACTGAGGAGGCGTAACTACATCGGATGCCGAGGCAGGAACAAGTCAGGTGTATCTATGGAATCCGGTTGGCTACTCTTTGTATATGAAGAGCTGAGAAGCAGGAGAAAGGCTCAAATAGTCAACTGTCGAGAATCAGTTCTTAGTATCGCTCGTTTGCTATTCCAGTCTATCTCGCCACCATACCACTATACCTTAGTCTTTTGCATTGTTTCCTTATTGTCTGCTTACATGGCTTTCCGACTTCTCCTCGCCGCCTCTTGGATACTACCTGCTTTGTCCTACCGATACAGCAAGTGGGATGATTTGCCAGGCAGGTCTCCCTGCCCAGAGAACATCGATATTCTAGGGAACCGGCCCAGCAATTGGTCATTCTACCCCGACACCTCTGTGTTATTAAGCTGTGGCCACCACTAGCTATCGTGGAGATAGGCTGAAAGCCCGCTTCGGTCGTGAAGCCATACTGGGATACCCTAGTCCGAGCAACACTAAAATCACCATTAATGTAGCAACGGCATGGACGAACAACGACGTAGAGGCTGAGCCTGCGCAGGTCGTATCTGCTGCTACGGAGATACAATTCTACATGTCGAATACCACCGAGCTGGGTCCAAACACATTCTTTGCCCACTATGGTGAGGCTGTGGTGGGAGTGTATGCTGGTGCTGGCCTCGACAAACGTGGTGTCGCGCTAGGCGTTCTCGAAGACTTTGTACGGCATGTCGAGGCCAACGGAATCTCGAAAAGACTTGTATTCCAATCATGTGAAGCCAATCGCTCTTCCGAAGTGGCACTCGGGATCGTGGCCGACACCAGTGGTGGTCTCACAGCTTTAGCATCTGTGCTGCGGAGTGTTGCGGCTTGGAGCGAAGGACAGTGTCTCACCGGTGGATTTGATGGAAGCGCAACCAGACAAGGACGTCCACTATGGGTCGCACCAGAAGCGTACAAGCTCTTCAATGCCAGCCAGCCCTTCAGCAACACAACATCGCACAATTTGACCACCCTACAGCACCGTCCTTTCAATAGACTGACCCGCATTGCAGTAGCGGAATGCCGGACCGTCCAAGTCTCCAGCGGCGAGTATTGCGATGCGTTGGCCAGAAAGTGCAACATCTCGGCAAACGATTTCATGAAGTACAACCCAGCCTCGGGGTTTTGCTCTACCCTCGTCCCGGGCCAATGGGTCTGCTGCAGTGCGGGCACCCTCCCTGACAGATCTCCGAAGCCCAACCCGGACGGATCATGCGCCACCTACACCATCAAGCAGGGTGACGGATGCGCCTCTATTGCTGCCGCGAAGTCTATCACCGTCGCCCAATTAGAGGAGTACAACAAAAACACCTGGGGATGGCCAACCTGCAAGAACTACATCTATATCGACCAAGTCATATGTGTCAGCAGCGGCTCACCGCCCATGCCAGCACCCATTCCGAATGCTGTTTGCGGCCCGCAGAAGCCTGGCAGCCAGAAGCCGGGCGGAAGCAACCCCGACCTGTCCAAGCTGAACCCCTGCCCCCTGAACGCCTGCTGCAACATTTGGGGTCAGTGCGGAACAACAGCAGAGTTCTGTGTTGACAGCAGGGAGAAGGATGGTGCCCCAGGAACTGCAGCCAAGGGCCAGAACGGATGCATATCGAACTGCGGAATGAACATCATCTCAAGCGATCCCCCACCCCAATATATCAGTGTCGGATACTTTGAGGCTTGGAATCATAAACGGCCCTGCCTCTGGATGGACGTAACCGAGGTCAAGTCTACCAAGTTCTCACATATACACTTTGCATTTGCGCGTCTTACTCCCGAATTTAGTGTTGATGTCAGCTATGTACAATCCCAGTTTGACCGCTTCATCAACCTAGGCGGCTTCAAGAAGGTGGTTGCCTTTGGTGGTTGGGCAGATTCTACGGACCCTGACAAGTTCATGATCCTTAGAAACGCCGTTCAGCCGCGAAATCGGCTGAAGGTGGCCCAGAACATTGTCAACTTTGTCAAGGTCAACAACCTAGACGGGGTAGATATCGATTGGGAGTATCCCGGAGCGCAAGATATTCCTGGTGTGCCGGCTGCTACTCCTACCGAGGGGAATGACTACCTGGCTTTCTTACAGGTTCTTCGAGCACTCTTACCGGTCGGAAGGACGCTCTCCATCGCGGCCCCGGCTTCGCACTGGGTAAGTCAGGTCCCTCCACATCCGACCATCCAAGGCGTGCAGGATACTGATCCCGCACCGAACCGTTACTGACCAATACCCGATATTTGACAGTACTTGAAAGCTTTCCCTATTGCTGAAATGTCAAAGGTTGTAGACTACATCATCTACATGACGTACGACTTGCACGGCCAGTGGGATTACGGGAACCAATGGAGTAGCCCTGGCTGTCCCAACGGCGACTGTCTCCGCTCTCACATCAACTTGACTGAGACCATTAATTCCTTGTCCATGATCACCAAGGCAGGCGTTCCTTCCAAAAAGGTCATAGTCGGAGTTGCAAGCTACGGCCGCGCTTTCAAGATGGTTGACAGCAATTGCCGTGGCCCTGAATGCAAATTTGCGGGAGCTAAATCGCAAGCCAAGCCTGGTATTTGTACTGGCGAACCCGGCTATCTGTCCCAAGCGGAGATAGATCGTATCATCGGGACAGACAAGTCGGCAGTAGTCTACGCAGACGCGGATTCCCAGAGTGCAATCCTCGTCTACGGGGGAACAGAGTGGGTGTCATACATGTCGGACGTCATCAAACAAACCCGAATGAATGTCTACAAGAGGCTCAACTTTGGCGGCACAACGGATTGGGCCGTTGACCTGGCCGAGTTCCAACCAAGCGAGTTCGTGGACCCAGGGATCTTCCACGAGATAGACAACACTGGTGGGTGCAAATGGAGATTCTTTGATGGCTTCGACTGTCTGCATGAACCCCATAAGAGCCCAGACAAGTTCACCCGGGCTCAACGATGGTCCAGCTTCAACACTGACTGCGCTTGGCGTGATTTTATCAACGAATACAAAATCAGCAGGCCGAAAGATTTCAGCCAGGCCTTGAGTCTGTATTTTGACGCCCCGGACATGATGAATTGTTCAAAAATTGACGTGTTGAAATCTGCATGCTCGATAGTAGACATGTGGGACTGCAAAACTTTCCAAACGGAGGACTCGGGGCCAGCTGGCGTGCGGATAATTGAATCCGTACAGAGCATCAATGCTGTGAGTTCCTCTCTCGTCGTCGGTCATCTGAAAAAAGGACTACTAAGGTGTACCAACCATGATCTTGACAGGCTTTCGCCTCATACTATGACGATCTTCACAAAGCCAAGGCCGACTTGACAGCACTGCTCGGCGCGTTCGAAAAGACATTCTATCAAAGCGGGGATATCGCTGCTATCATAGCGAACACGGTCGGACTGGCTCTCGCAATCATACTTCCAGGTGTATTCAATCATAGTAAGTGCCGAGCTCTGAACCATTCTTTAGCAAAGAGACAATTTGGACTGTGCGTATGGTCTAGAACCATTTCTGATCGAGCATTTGCAGTCTTCAAGGGCCTCGGAGCCAATGGCAAAGATATGACATTGACTGGGTATCCGTTCCTTATTGGTTTACTCAGCGCAGTAGGCACTTCTTCGTAAGTTGATTCGATCTCGGAAGCCAACAGCCCCAGAATTGGATACCGCAGATTGCTGGTCTCATGTTGAGAGACTAATTCCTGCCGATACGTCTCACTTAGTCCCGGCGCCGAAACAGGGGCACAGCTCTATTTGATTGTCATTAATTGGACACAAGCACTCCAGAAATTCCTGTTCAGCCTCTTCGACGGTTCAGACCAGTCAATTGACAACCTATGGAGGCTTATCAGAAATGGACAGCTGATCGCGGGCTCCGATGCGCCCCGCACTCTCGACTCTCCCAGCAGGGTTGCCGCCACAGCGAAGGGTCTCCTGGTGGCACTTATCCCTGCGGCGTGGAAGCAGCAAGGCTACAATCCTGTGGCCGTGTCCACAGGCAAGAAGTGTGGTACGGCCGGCCCGTACGACGGCAAGTACATGACGGGAATCACGGGCAACGAAGGGTGGGCGTGCGTCGACGACGAGATCTGGTACCTGCTCGGCGTGACGGGTGCCTACACCCGGGACGAATTCTGTACCTGCCCGGCGCCGTGCGTCGCGCTCTGCGATCAGTACTTTAACGGGCTGCCGGGGTCTAATGCTCTGGTGCCGGACAATCCGCTGTGGTCAGGCATTACCAGGGAGATGCTCATTCGAGGGTAAGCAACACCATCTTGTCCCCGCTAAGACCTCCTATATGCTGGCAAAGTCCTTGACTGATATCCCGTCAAAACAGGGCCATTGCGACCAGAAAGTACAAGGGCAAACCTGAGGTGGATATCAACAAGCCTGAATTCTACGACGGTCTGATCGGTGGCGGCACCGGTCCGGTGGATATCACGGCTCCGGGTGTTATCAACATACCAACGTGTGATATCGAGGATGCATACAAGGGTTGGCAAAAGGGAGACACAAAGAACCCTAACTATCCATGCACCTATTAAATATTTGCGTGGAACAGGACTGCCGTCGATGTAATACGAAAGACGGCGTTGGGCCAATTTTCGGAGAACTCATTCTTGAGAGCTCTGGCGAGAATCGAGTCACAGATAGAGAACTTGTACAATCGCTGGCGGCCACTTGCCCTCCCATCTCCAATCTGCAGGCGTTTCATGGTCTGACTTTTCCCACTGGCCTTTGCCGTGAAAGCCAGCGCGTAGTGGAAACTTAGTTGAGATCGGACTCTCACGTAAGGAAAACGATACCAAGAATCGTCAGCGTCGCAATGCAGAGGACATACCTCGCTTCCCACGATGTTACTGTCACAACAGCTCGATGCTTCCCAATGATTCTAGATCTCCGGTGGATCAATCTTATCATCGTGGGGCATCAGGGCACTGAGGGCTGAGCCAGGTGCCGCTGTTGGCTGTTGGCTGCTGACTATTGGCTGGATTGGGCGACCAGAAATACGGGTAAAATGAACTGTGTGACAGGACATGGGGGAAGAGAGTGCTGCGCCTCACGGGCTCTCCAACCGAGCGCGGTTGGCGGCTGCAAAAAGACGCCGCCGGCGACATTTCCAAACGGCCCACGCAAAGGCCACGGTTTGCTCCAGGCTTCCTCCCCTTGCTACAGACGCCCTGACATTCCTCCCCAAGCTGGAGGAGACATGCCTCAGTCATAGCAACACTGAATCGAACTTCGATAGCATAGCTCCTGGAAGAGCGTCACAGCTCGTCCGAAGCTGTAAGACACCATCATGGACCAGAGCGAGCCAGCACCAGGGAAACAAGCCACCAGGAGGGCCGATGACCATTTCTCGGGCGAGTCCCACCGGAGCACTCTTCAGGATGCAAGCGAGCAGCCGGCGATCGGCCCTAGCAATGACCAAAATGTTGATTTGGAGCACTCCAGAGATGGCCTCAACGACCATCAGCGGGAAGGCCCACGGCGAGCCGCACCAAGCAGTCAATACCTCAACAAAGTCGAGCTGTCGCTTCTCTTCATCGCTCAAGGCCTGACAGCATCCTTGGTGCTGATGTACGTCATGATCATCGCTACGGTTAGTCCCAAATTCGTGTCCAAACGCCGCAAGACTTCCTGACCAAGCTCTGTCACGCAATAGGCCATTCCGTCGATCACCAAGGCCTTTCAGACAGTCGAAGATCTTGACTGGTATAGCACAGCGTACCTATTCTCACTGTATGTTATCACTTTCTTCCTCTGTACGACCGCACACATTAGCTTACCTGCCCATATCTTGTCGCCATTAGCTGTGCCGTCCAGCCTTTGATGGCAAAAGCTTTCGATCTATTTCCCCTGAAGGTAAGAGAAGCTTTGCCGCAACAATTGTTCTCTTGAAGGCAAGGGAACCTCTGCTGACCGTCCCCCAGGCCGTCTACCTCGCGAGCATAGCGGTTTTCGAAGTTGGCAATGTGGTGTGCGGCGTCTCCCAGACCAGTGCCACATTCATCGTCGGCCGAGCCATTGCGGGAATCGGTGCGGCTGGAATACAGAACGGCAGCCTGGTCATGCTGACCGCTGCTGCTGCTCCCGATGTGCGAGGAGCCCTCATGGGCATGGGCATGGGGCTGACCGTGGTCGGAGGCGCGTTTGGCCCCGTCGTGGGCGGCGTCATCACGCAGCATCTAGGTTGGCGATGGTGTGAGTAGACTTCTTCCTTCTTCCACTAGGCATGCGCAATATCATCGTATGTACCTGAAAGGTACTGACCAAGAGCCGTGCTGCTAGGCATGTGGATCTTCCTACCGCCCGGAGGCGCCGCCGCCCTCGTCTTCTTCTTCCTTCGCGTGCCGGAGCAGAGGGTCAAGGAGCCGCCCCTGACCGCATTGCGAACGATGCACCACAAACTCGACATCCCCGGCTTTGCCATCTTTGTCCCCGCAGTCGTCATGCTCTTGCTGGCCGTGAGCTGGGGCGGGCAGAGATATCCTTGGCGCTCGGCCACCATCCTCGGCCTGTTCCTCGGCGGAGTGGTCGTTCTCGGGCTGTTCGTGGCGTGGACGTGGCACCGAAAGGACAGAGCCCTCGTCCCGCCGAGCATACTCAAGAAGCAAGTCGTCTTCTGCGGCTGCGTCGTGGTATTTCTCCAGATTGGCGCTTTCGCGACCGTGGGCGACTACCTTCCGCTCTGGTTCCAGTCCGTCAAACAGGCCACGCCGACGAATAGCGGGCTCATGCTGTTGCCGGCCATGGTCACTCAGATCCTTGCTACGATTTTCTGCGGTTTTCTTCGTAAGCATTGTCTCCATTGGTCTTTCTTGATCGTCCCTGCTGATTCCGAGACTTGGTAGTCAACAAGCTTGGATACATCCCTCCTTGGGCATTAGCGGGCAATGTCCTATCCGCCATAGGGTCTGGCCTGATGACTACCTTCACCCCATCTTCGTCCCAAGGCAAATGGGTGGGCTACCAGGTCTTGGTTGGTGTCGGGAGAGGTTGGGTGATTCAAATGGTAAGAGTCCAAAAGCTATGCATGTGAGCTCAGTGCTAAGATCAAATCTTTGCAGCCCGCGATCGCGCTGCAGTATATACTCTCCGGCGAGGAGATCGCCATCGGTACTGCTACGATTATGTTTTTTCAGTATTTTGGCAGCGCGGTCTTTTTAGCCATTTCGAAATCGATCTTCTTGAACGTCCTTGACTCTGCTCTTCACAAGTATGCCCCCTCGGTATCTTTCGAGGAGATAGTCCACGCCGGGGCGACAGAACTACCAAGTCTTGTTCCACCTGATGAGTACCAGGGAGTCTTGACTGCTTATAGCGATGCGTTGGTATCGACATTTGTAAGTCCCTTTCTACGTAGATCTCGAATGTTGACTGACACCTTTTTTTTTTTTTTTCAGTGGCTGGCAGCGGCGGCAAGCGTCATTGCATTCTTCTTTAGTTTCGGCCTTGGCTGGACAAGGGTGACGGAGCAGATTGCCAATCTGTACACAAAGGATGAGCTGAATGCTGAGCCGAGTACTGTGCCGATTGGCGAGACTAAAGCTGACAAAAGGCCAGCTCCGGTGGCAACAGAAAAGCAGCCGCCAATGGCGGCATGAGTGCAGGAGCCGAGTCCAGTTAGCTATTACATCTCACTATTGTAGAATTGGATTTATAATCTATCACTGTTATTTGCCATAGAGGTGGTCAAACGGTGAACATGCATCCAAGCAGAGTCTTCATGGATGTAAGCTTAAAAAGTATTGTGTGTTTAGAACATTCTCTGCTTTTGTTCGTCTGTCTATGTATGTACATAGCATCTATGATTTGTATATTTTCCGTTTTACTTGGCCAAACCCCCAATTGTCAATCTTAAGGGCCGTTTATATCTATGTACAAGTCGTGTTTCATGATTCTCTATGTTACCAACCAGTATGCATGCATGACTCTGCTATGTTACTTCTAACAATCCCCATAACCGATTTCCAATCAACGATACTTGTCGAGGGCCTGCTTCGCACGTATGCGCATCTGCGACAACAAATGCAAGTACAGCTCAGAGCCTGTGCTCGAATTCTTAGTGGACAAACCGCTGGCCAGGCTTGATCCCGACTGGGTATCGTCGCAGATAGTGCCATTTCCTGTCCAAGTTGGCCTGTCTTTTGCATTTTTTGTCGCCCGTTGTATGTGCTCTGAGGACGCGTCGTATACGTCGACGAGGCTCAGGTAACATGATAGCAGCTGGCACTTTACAGCGTGATCCATAGACCATTCCTGAGGCCGTGACCCTGAGTGATCATGGAGGACGTCGGTAAAGTCCACCGTTGCCATGAAGATGTCGTTGAGGTCCGTGTTTGATTGGGTCGACTCTTGCTCCGCGCTAGCCTTCTGTGGAGCGTTGAGATTGTCTCTAAAGGCGTCTTGCTTGATGCGATGGTGGAGCTGCTGCAGTTTGACCTGGAGACTTGACAACCGCTCTGCAAGTTCCTCGTCGCGGTCGTCGCGGCTGTGCCCTGACTCGGATAGAGTGGTTCCACTGAAGAGCGACGGATCTATCGAGTCGGTATCTGCGAGCCCCATAAAGTCCATGGCCCGGTCAGCGTGACCGTCGTGACGCATGAACAAATCGTCATACGGAGGCCCGTGAGGTTCTCTCAGGAGTGAATGCACCGTCAAATTCTTGTCGGTGCCATCGAGTCCGAGATCGAAGGCAAGGCCCTCGGGGTACTCGGAGGCCTCGACGGTGGGAGCTTAATATCTTGTCAATACCATTGAAGCCAAGAAGGGCTAATGTGCTTTTGTGGATCAGCTGGGAACTCACTGGGGTAAAATGCTGTTGAACTATCCGCCAGGTGATCCGGTGCCATGCCGGAAGGACCCGTGCTGCCGCCGCCGGGTGCTGATCGGCCAAGGCCCTTTCGATCTGGCTTTGGGCCAGAGGCAGATGCAAGTCGCGAATTATGTCGCGGTCGGCCCATCTGCAGAGGTGCACTGTACGAGCACTTGAAACCCAGACGGACGCATCTTTGGCAGTCTAGTGAGCCAGCGTCTCGAGAGCAGCGTATCTTGATGCTGTGGCACTTGTCACAGGCGGCCCGGACCGCAGTTTGCTTAACGATAGAGGCTTTCATAATCGATATGAATAGGGCCCTGTTTCCGGTCTGGTCACCTGCCCAAGTGGTGTGGGAGTACCGCGGCATTGGCAAATTGAGACTCCGATAGTCGGGGCATATCTCGAGGGAGCGAGGTCTTAAGCCGCGCAGTTGGGTTCAAGGATCGACAAGTACTATCCAGGTTGCAATTCCTGCGACTGACCAGCGCACATATGGCCGCAGTGACCAGGATATGGTGCCATCTCTGCGGCACAGAGTCGGGCCATCGTGCCGTGCACGCATGCAGTAGCGCGCCCAGCGCGGGTCCTGAACGCGGGTAAAGGCAAGTAAGCAATATATTTACTGAGGCGAGCGAAACACTGACGCTGACTGGGCTTGTGTCATATGCAAACGTAGCCAATCAGCTTCAACTCGTTATTATCCACTTGTCAGCCAGAACCAAAGTCCAGTCTCCAAGGACCCAGTAACAGAAACCCAGACAAAGTAGCTCCGGGGATTCGCTCTCCCAAAGAGGCTACAACCCTGGTTATGAAAACCCCAAAGTGATAGACGGACCAATTAACCAGGCTCCCTCCTCCATTCCAGTTTCCGGGTAACTAAGTCACATCTCCCTGTCTCAGCTTATGTGTGGATCCTGAAGGATCTTGACCAATCTTAATCACTCCTCCAAAGCAGGATGATAGATCAGGGGACTAGTTAACGACCAGATAGTCAGTTGATTCTTGCCAAGCAAACAGAGGCCGGGGCATCTTCTGAGCATCAGTTCTTTCAACTTCAGCACAAACAACGCCGAGTACAAGTAACTGCCGGTCTCACTTGAGGAGGATGACGAGGTGGGTCTCGAGGCGGCCGCCAATTGCACCATCTGATTGGCATGCCAAGGGCTCTGGGGGAGAAGCTTGTTTTAACGAGATTACTTGGCAAGCGGGGATGGCTGGATGAGCGCGTACAACTTCGCACCCATGGTGAACTACATCATGGCACTTTTGTCTATCCTCCTAAGCGAGTAAATAAGTAAAGGCAGGCGTATCAATCCAAGGTAAGGTCCGGCGCAAAGACACACAGAATGGGAACGAAGGGGGTGAGGTCCCCTTGCCGACGTGGCATTGCCGTTGCCTTACATATGACGCTATCTCAGATTCACCCACCAGACCGCATACTTATCCACTTGTAAGGAAACCCCGGGATATTGTATGGCCCACCAATCTGCGGCACAAGCGGCTCGAGACCGTTGAGGCAAAAGCTGTCCACTCTGGCGGCGCAGCACAACCGGGTGCAGGGATTCTACCATCCTCTCTTGCGGCTCGGCCCAGACTGTGCCGTATTGGAAGCCAAAAGGAACTCTAGTCTGTTTTGCAGTACCTTGAGGCTGGCTCAGCTCCTCAAAAGTCTCCGGCCGCCTCAGCACTTGTCTGCCAATCAGTCTTGTCTTAGCGAGTCGGCGTTGAACCAGGGTCATCATCCTGCAGGTTACCTTCCACCATGTTGCTAAGCGATCCGTACCGCGTCGTATAATTAGGAACCGCAGTCGCCATTCAGAAGCCAGGCCATGGCACCAGGCAGAAGAAAAAGACGCAACCGAACCAACTGGCATTGCAACAAATGGCGACTCTCCCAGAGACCCAGACATCCATTGTCGGCCTAGAGGACGGCAATGTTGGCATCTCGCCCGGCATCCCCCTCCCGCGGCTCGAGGACGACATGATCCTGGTCAAGACCGCGGCAGTGGGTGTCAATCCGGTGGATACCAAGATGGTGGGCCCGTTGTGTACCCAAGGTGCTGTGGCTGGTATGGACTTTGCGGGCGACGTGGTCGCTGTTGGGCCCAACGCCAAGGCATCTGTTCCTCTTGCGGTGGGAGACAGGGTCTGCGGTGCCGTTCAGGGTATGAACCCGACCGGCCCTCGCGTCGGCGCCTTCACTCACTACGTCGGCGCCACGGCACATGTTCTGATCAAGCTGCCGCCCAACTTGACCTACGAACAAGGCGCCTCACTGGGCAGTGGCTTGGGCACCATTGGCCTAGCACTGAAAAAGCTTGATCTACCGGGGCTGCCCTATGAACCGGCGCAGAAGCCACGACACGTGCTCATCTACGGCGGCAGCTCAGCTACTGGCACGCTGGCCATCCAGCTGGTGAAGCTGTAAGTGTCATATGCTTGCATACACTGATACACTGACACACCAGTGGCTAACATCTCCCCCTCAGAGCGGGATTCAAGCCCATCACCACATGCTCGCCTCGGAACTTTGACCTCGTCAAGTCCTACGGCGCCGAGGAGGCATTCGACTACAATGCCAAGGACTGCGCCGCAGACATCAAGGCCTACACCAAGAACTCTCTCAAGTATGTGCTCGACTGCATCTCGGAACCCGAGACGATGCAGTTCTGTTATCAGTGCATCGGGAGACTGGGAGGGCGCTACGTAGCTTTGGAGCCCTTCCACCCCAGTCTGCACACCAGGGCAAACGTGCACCCGGACTGGGTCCTGGGCCCCACGATGATAGGGAAACCAATCTCCTGGAGACCCCCTTTCGAGCGGGCCGCGGACCCGGAGGTCCTAGAGTATGCTTTGAGGTGGTACAAGATAGCACAGAGATTGATCGATAATGGAGAGCTGAAGACGCACCCTCTGCAAGTCATGGATGGCGGGCTGGGTGGGGTATTGGAAGGGATGGAGTTACTCAAGGCCAAGAAGATTTCGGGTAAGAAGCTTGTGTATCTTACCGGTGCTTGACACCTCAACTTGCAACCCATAGAGTCCACAATTTCCGGAGTTGAATTCTCTCTTTTCATCTGATGTAAGCGCCGAGTTCTGCGCGGCTGTCAGGTAAAGACGGCAACCTTGCCTCAATACGCGAGCCTAGACCCTTGAGGAGTGGGATAGTGGAGACTCAGAAGGACCCGGATCCAGGTTTCCACCCTCCTGGTTGATGCCATGTTACTTGCATCCTCTCGAAATCTCGTGCCACTCCCCCTATTTTTAAGTCGATGAACAGCGAACTGGTTCCACACTGCACACTGCATGCAACGTGTCTGTCGGGAGCGGCAGGGTTGTAGAGAACCCCAGTCTCGGGTCATTCACGAGTGGCACAGTCAGAGAAGTCCACATTATGGCTTCGCCTAGCCCGCCGGCGACATATAAGCAATAAATCCATGCGGATGGAAGCGACATCTTGAAATAGCGTGTTTCTATGCAAACAAGCGTGATTGGATAGTTAAAGTGATGCTGTATTTCACTTTAAATGTGACGATGTATTCAAGCAAGTGAGTTGAGCAACAGGCTTCAACATTGAACTCTCATAACATCGCTTCAACAGTGGTCAGCCCTATACTCCGTTTCCAGCACGAAACTCTCCTCCTCTGATTCTTTGACTTGTTCCCTCATATAGATCGTTATACCAGGATATCAATACTGAGGGAGCACTTGTGCCGTTGAAGTCTTGTACAACTATCACCCTTCACTACTCTGAACTCGCTATAATGAGCTCTCCAAAGGAACCCATCGCCATCATTGGCGCCGGCTGCCGCTTTTCAGGCTCAAGCGACCGGCCGTCCAAGTTATGGGACCTGCTCAAACAACCAACCGATGTTGCTCAGGAGATTCCATCGGACCGCTTCAACGTCGATACCTTCTGGCACCCCGTTGGAGCCCGCGGGGGGAGCACCAATGTAAAGGAGGCGTACTTCATCTCGGACCGAAATGTCCGCCATTTTGACGCCCAGTTCTTCTCCATGCACCCATCTGAAGCAGATGCCATTGACCCGCAACATCGTCACCTCCTCGAAGTTGTCTATGAAGGACTCGAGGATGCAGGCCTCACACTCGAGAGCCTCCATGGCTCCAACACGGCCGTATTTGTCGGTCACATGTGCAACGACTATTCAGTCTTGACAAGTCGTGACTTTGACTTCATCCCCAAGTACAGCGCACCGGGCATCGCACCTAGCAATGCCTCGAGTAGGATATCCTACTTCTTCAACTGGCATGGTCCGACACTGACCATTGACACCGCATGCTCCTCCAGTCTCATCGCCTTGGTGCAGGCAGTGCAGACCCTCAGAGATGGGACAAGTGATGTTGCCATCGCGGCCGGCACGAACCTGATCCTTGATCCCCTTTCCTTTGTCTCTGAGAGCAACATTGGCATGCTCTCGCCAAACGGCCGCTCCCGCATGTGGGACGCTGGTGCAGATGGTTATGCCCGTGGAGAGGGCGTTGGGGCTGTCATCTTGAAGAAGTTGAGCGCAGCCATCCGTGATGGAGATACGATAGATTGTATTGTGCGCGAGGTTGGCTGCAACCATGACGGCAAGACCCAGGGCATCACCATGCCCAGCGGCGCGGCGCAGGCAGCACTCATCCGTCAGACCTATGCCAAAGCAGGACTCAACCCCGAAAACCCAGTCGATCGATGCCAGTACTTTGAGGCTCATGGGACTGGAACTCCTGCAGGAGATCCGGAGGAGTCATCGGCACTGAACAGTGCATTCTTTGGCTCTGGGGAGCACGATGCAGACGACACCTTGTACGTTGGCTCTGCAAAGACCATCATCGGCCACACCGAAGGGACAGCTGGTTTGGCTGGTGTTCTGAAAGCCGCCTTGGCACTCAAGTACGGAGTCATCCCGCCAAACCTGCACTTTGACCAGTTGAGCCCCCTGGTCAAGCCTTATTACAACCACCTCCGTATTCCCAAAGAAGCAATCCCTTGGCCTACACTACCTTCAGGTGTCCCGCGCCGTGCTTCAGTCAACTCCTTTGGCTTCGGAGGAAGTAATGCTCATGCCATCCTCGAGGCATACGAGGCTGAGAACTCGACCGCCTCGGTCGAGGGCAGCCACAGTGACCTCAGCATCGTCCCTTTCGTGTTCTCGGCCAACAACGAGAGCTCTCTCGTCAACTTGACTTCTTCATATCTTTCCTACTTCCGTGGCAACAAGACTACCTCTGTCGGAAATCTCCGTCACACCCTCGCGTGCCGCAGGTCCGCGCTACCTCACAAGATCACCTTCTCCGCTTCAACGATAGATGAGCTCATCACAAGCATTGAAACACGACTAGCCGAGCAGGGTAAAGCCGAGAAATCGTCCTTTGGATCCAGATCTTCCCAGAAGGATGCTATCCTGGGTATCTTCACTGGCCAGGGCGCCCAATGGCCGACCATGGGTACCAAATTAATCGAGTCGCAGCCTGCAGCTCTGAAGCTGATAGAGATCCTTGATGAATCCCTTCAAACACTCCCAGAGGCGGACCGTCCGCAGTGGAAGATCCTCGACGAGCTAAGAAAGGATAAGGACGCCAGTCGCATCGCGGAAGCAGCGCTGTCGCAGCCCCTTTGCACCGCGGTTCAACTCGTTCTCGTCGACGTCGTGCGTGCCGCCAACATCAGGTTCACTGCAGTCGTCGGGCACTCGTCCGGAGAGATTGCCGCGGCATATGCTGCGGGATTCATCAGCGCCAAAGATGCCATCCGTATCGCGTACTACCGTGGTCTGCATGCCAAGTCTGCCAGCGGCACGAATGGGTGCAAGGGCGCCATGATGGCTGTTGGCACCTCGTTTGAGGACGGAAAAGAGCTCTGCAAGCTCGAGGACCTCGAAGGCCGCATTTGTGTTGCTGCGAGCAATTCGCCCAACAGCATCACCCTGTCCGGAGATGCAGATGCCATTGAGGAGGCAAAGGAGGCACTAGACCAGGAGGACAAGTTCACCCGTGTCCTCGTCGTCGACACGGCGTATCACTCACACCACATGAAGGCATGCGCGGAAGGCTTTGAGAAGTCTCTTGCTGCTTGCGACATCGAGATCCTCCAACCCGGCCACGATGCCCCGACCTGGCTGTCGAGCGTCCGAGAAAAGACAGCTATGATGCCGTCGAGTGATCTCAAGGGCAGCTACTGGTCTGAAAATATGACCAACACTGTTCTCTTCTCCCAGGCAATTGAGCATGCCGTCGAGGTCCATGGACAATTTAACTTGTCACTGGAGCTCGGCCCTCACCCAGCTTTGAAGAAGCCTGCCACCGAGACGTTCGAGGCGGCTGGTGTGAAGTCTGTTGAGCACGTCGGCACTCTGACCCGTGGCAAGCATGATCTGCACGCTGTGTCACAGTCACTAGGTGCGGTGTGGGCGCACCTAGGTGGCGCTGCCGTCAGCTGGCAGAGCCTCATCAGCAACTACTGCGGTGTCACTAAGCCGATGCCTGTGATCCGCGACCTGCCGCTGTATGCATGGAATCACAATCGCGAGTTCTGGACCGAGTCACGCACTGGCAAGCTCTTCCGCACTCAGCAAGACACCGTCCATGAGCTTCTGGGAAAGAAGCTTCCAGACGGCACAGACGACGAGATCCGCTGGAAGAACGTCTTCAACCCCAAAATCCAGACTTGGCTGCCGGGGCATGCAATCCAGGGAATTCCGGTCTTCCCTGCAACAGGCTACATCAGCTTGGCTATGGAGGCAGCAATGGAGGTCGCCAATGGCCAGCCTGTTCAGTCGATTGAGTTGTCGGATATGCATATTGAGAAAGCTATCGCGATTGACGAGACGAATGGAACCGAGGTCATCACCACCTTGAGCAACATCCACCGGTCAAGCACTGACTCCAATGTCATCCACGGGCATTTCGTGTGCCGTTCACCACTGAGCAATGATACCGGGCGTATGGCAATCAATGCCTCCGGTAGCGTGACAGTGTACTTGGGAGAAGCGACGAACGACACACTGGTGCCGCGCGAGCAGCCGTCTGGAGACCTAATGGATGTGGACATCGACAAATTCTATGACACACTTTCCACGCTTGGCTATGGCTACAGTGGGCCGTTCAGAGGCCTGGGTAGACTCCAGAGGAGGATGGGTTTTGCTTCAGGCTCCATCAACAGGGTTGCCATCGGAACTCGTCCTCTGCTGTTCCATCCGGGTCTCCTCGACACATCCGTCCACTCTCTATTTGTGTCCTTTGGTGTGGCTGGTGACGGCCAATGGTCGCTCCAAGTTCCGTCTAAAATTCGCCGTGTCACGCTCGTTCCAAGCCTGTGCGGTGACAATCTGCTTGAGGGCGTCGAGTTCGACTGCACCATGTCCTCACGTAGGGCTGGTGACATTGCCATTATCGCAGCGGACGGCATTCACAAGTGTATAGAGATTGATGGCCTTGAGTTTGTCCCGTTCTCACCTGCAACCGAGGCCGACGATCGAACCTTGTTCAGCAAAGTCACATGGGCTCGTGACAGGCCAGACGGAGATGAAGCAGCTGCTCGCCGTGCTCTTCCGGAGGAGAAGGCCAAGTTCTCAGAGTGCGAGCGTGTGTCTTTCTACTACTTGCGGAACTTCAACGAGACCATCGATCAGGCTGAGCGCGATCGGCTACAGATTGCTGATCACCAGAAAGCTCTGTTCGATTACGCCTCGCATGTCACGAAGCAGGTCAAGGAGCACCGCTGGACCTACACGTCTCCCAAGTGGCTGAATGATAGCCACGATGATATCCTCGATATCATGGAGCCGTACGGAGATGACGCCGACTTCAACATCATCCGAGCCGTTGGTGAGCATCTGCCGGCGGTTGTCCGCGGTGAGACCACTATGCTCGAGGTCATGACCAAAGACAACATGCTGGAGAACTACTACAGACACGGTCTCGGATGTGAGGCTGGAAACATCACTGTGGCCAACTTCTTTGAGCAAATCACTAAACGCTATCCACACATGGATATCCTCGAAGTCGGTGCAGGTACTGGTGGTGCCACGTGGGAAGTCTTCAACCGCGGCGTGCCTTTCACGTCGTATACTTACACAGACGTTTCTGCCGGCTTCTTCGGCAACGCCAACACCAAGTTCCATAAGTGGACTGACAAGATGATCTTCAAGACTCTTGATATCGAGAAGACGCCCAAGGATCAAGGTTTCACTGAGCACTCGTACGACCTGATCCTCGCCTCCCACTGCCTGCATGCCACTTATTCCTTGGAGAACACGATCCGAAATGTGCGGAGTCTGCTCAAGCCTGGTGGTTTCTTGGTTGTCCTAGAGATCGTCGAGATTGACACCATGCCTATCGGTCTCATCATGGGCGGTCTCCCGGGTTGGTGGGTCGGCCAGCACGAAGGACGCCGCTACTCGCCAAACATCACTCTGGCGCAGTGGAAGAAGCTCCTCAAAAAGACTGATTTTGCTGGTATCGACACCTTCACGCCCATGTTGGATCCCCGCCCCTTCACTGCCTCCGTCTTCGTCGCCCAGGCGGTAGATGACAGGGTTAACCTCCTCCGACAGCCCCTGGCATCTTCCCCTGATGACATCAACTTTGACCATCTCGTCCTTCTCGGCGGTGATGGTATGCTCACTTCAGACATAATGGATGAGCTTGAGGACATTCTGCGACCCCGATGCCAGCGCCTCGTTGTAGCTTCGTCCTTGGACGAACTCGAGGTCAACGAGTTTCCACCATTGACGTCAGTGTTGAGCTTGACAGATGTTGACAACCCAGTCTTCAAGGATATAAACGAAGAAGGCTGGGAGAAGCTGAAGAAGCTACTCAGCTCCTCGGATGCCCTCCTCTGGGTAACTCATGGCGCATGGTGCGAACAGCCCGATGCCGGAACCATGGTCGGGCTGCTGCGATCCATCACATATGAGCATCAGCACCAGAGGCCTCAGCTTCTTGAAGTCCCCGATCCTAAGGAGCTGAATGCAAAGTTGTTGGCTGAATTGCTGATGAGGATCAAGCTGGGTCAGCAGTGGAGATCCGCCGGAACGGGAGGAGATATCTTGCACACGATCGAGCCTGAGCTCATGCTCGAGAATGGCGTGCTGAAGATCCTGCGACAGATGCCTGACACCGTCGCGAACAACCGGTACAACTCCGCTCGGCGTGAGATCACCAACGAGGTTGACTTAGACACCGGCGACGTCAGTGTCCAGTGGGATGACCAACGCTACATTCTGCGCGATACCAAGCTACCAGCGATGAGTGGTGGCCAAGTCAAGGTCCGCGTTGAACGGTCACTATTGGAAAGCATCCGCACTCCGTCTGGCATGTTGCATCTATCCCTCGGCACGAGTGAGCAGAAGGTTAGGGGCTTGGCCTTGTCGGGTGAGAACGCCTCCACTGTCAAAAGCGAAGAGTTCATGGTGGCGACTCCGGGGCCACTCAGCGATGATGAGTACCTAATGGCCATTGCAACATACCTCCTGGGTCATCAGATCCTTTCCCGAGTACCCGCCGGAGCCACCGTCTTGATCCATGAGCCTTCCCTTCTCCTTGCCGCTGTCTTGTGTGCCGACCAGGCTGGTAAGGCAGGAGTCAAGGTTTCTTTCACTACGACACATACAGAACGTGCTGGAAATTCATGGATCCACGTTCACTCACGAATGACAAGCAGGGCATTGACGCGTGCTCTTCCTCCTCAAGTCGATGTGTTTCTCGACATGTCTGATGTTGCAGGGGAAGACGGTCTTGGAGCAAAGATACTCGAAGTACTACCAGAAACATGCCAACAAGAGCGACTGTCAAGTCTTGTCTCGAGAAAGTCCATCGCTTACACGACCAACGAAAGCTCTAATCTACTCGAGAAGGCGAGCTCATTCGTCCAGGCTGTCTCTGGAGATTTGGCCGCATCTAGGGTCGCGACCGCGGTCCCTATCCCCCTTAAGAATCTTCCCAAGTTAAGGCAGAAGACAAGCCTGCTCAACATCGTTGATTGGCGGTCACAATCGCCGGTGTCGACTAGTCTGGAGCCGATCGATTCCAGCAAGGACTTCTTCCAAGACAATAAGACTTACTGGATGGTTGGGCTAGCCGGAGACCTCGGACAGTCTCTCTGTGACTGGATGATTGGTCACGGTGCACGATACATTGTACTCACCAGCAGGACGGTCACATCCAAGGTATCGGAGAAGTGGCTCAAGACACATGCGGCGCAGGGCGTGACAATCAAGCTTATTGAAGGGTATGTATCTTGAATTATCTTGGCCCGTTTTTCTTTCATTTCAATACCCATGCTAACAAAGGGGCACAACTATAGTGATGTGACGGACATGGACTCACTCACAAGCGTACGCAACCAGATTGTCAATACCCTGCCACCAATCCGAGGTGTGGCCAATGGTTCTTTGGTCCTTCGCGACAGGTTGTACCTGAATACGGACTTTGAAACTTTCCAAACAGTCATGCGTCCAAAGACGATCGGAACATCAAACCTTGATGCACTCTTCAGCGAGGACACGCTTGACTGGTTCATTGGCTTTTCGTCCATCGTGGCTACCGTCGGCAACCCCGGCCAGAGTGCCTATTCGGCCGGAAACTTGTATGTCAAGGCCGTCATCAATCAGCGTCGCCAACGGTCTCTCCCCGGTGCGACCATTGACATTGCTCCTGTGCTCGGTGTCGGCTACGTGGAGAGAGAGCGCAAGGCGGCGGGCGTCATGACGGAGAAGATGGTCGAGAAGCTCGAGGGCGGAGCACAGCCCATCTCCGAGAGCGACCTCCATCAGCTATTCGCCGAGGCTATTGCTGCCTGCAAGACCGATTCGGGTCGTCATTCCGATATCGTTACGGGAGTCCGGACCTTGCAAGCCGAAGACATGAACAAGGCTTTCTGGGCTGCCAACTTGAAGTTCTCTCACTTCATCCGCGACGCTGGGACAGGCAACCAAGCAGATGATGGCGAAGTGGACAAAGTCTCTGTCAAAACCAAGCTTCTCGAGGTGAACTCGGTTGATGAGGCAGCAAATATTATTCGAGGTATGTATCTTGACACGTTACTACCTACCGGGACAACACTAACAGTTGGTTTTAGCGGTCTTGACCTCGAAGCTGAACAAGACGCTTCAATATCCCGCGGACCAGGAGATACCCGACTCGACGCCACTCATCGACATGGGTATTGACTCTCTCATCGCAGTCGAGGTCCGCACTTGGTTTTTGCAGGAACTGGAAGTGGACATGCCGATGCTGAAGATCTTGGGTGGATCAACTATTGTTGATATGGTCAACGATGCCATCGCAAGACTCCCAGAGAGTCTGGCTTCCAGGTTGCAGAAGTCTGATACTGCGGTATCTATGCAGCCCGACGAGACCCCAGAGACTGTCCCGGTGCCGGTACCGGCAGTGACCGTCAGTGATAGTGATGACGACTCTTCCTCGACAAAGCAGACACCGTCTGAAGTAGGATCGGTCTCAACTGGCACGTTACATTCTGTGGCTACTCCATTGTCGATGCCACCAACTCCGGGCGAGCCCGACGTTGAGAAGTCTGAAATCGAGTTCCAACTCACAAAGTAAGCCACTCTCCAAAACATCCGGCAAGGGTATTTCTATTATGGCTATCGCAAAAAGTGGTGGTTGTATTTAGAAGCATCGGCGTTCGGCGGGTGGAGAGGCAGTTTTACATGCTCGAATGCAAAAAGACTAAACTATCGCAAAAGTAAAACATGTCTCTCCACTTGCCCGTGATATCTCTTGAACATTTTCCTTCCGACTGCACCTTCGAGTTTCCTTCTTCTCATTAAGTTTCATGCTGACTTCTCTTTATGAACAAGGACTCTTGTTGAGCCTGAGATCACGAGAACCGAGCCCATGTCATTCGGCCAAACTCGATTCTGGTTTCTCAAACAATACTTGGAAGATCAATCGACGAGCAACATTGCCTTCTATTTTAGAATTGAGGGCGCCTTCAAACCAGACAAGCTGCGTCGAGCCCTTGAGTTGGCTTGCCAACGGCACGAGGGCCTGCGCACCTGCTTCTTTGTGAAGGATGATGCCCCAGTTCAAGGTATCATGCGTCAGTCTGCGATCCAAATGGAATACCATCGAGTCTCCAGCCAGGAAGAAGTGCGAAGGGCATACAGGGCGGTGCAAGGGCATGTCTTCGACATCAAGAAAGGCGACACCCTCAGACTGGTCTTGTGCGAAGAGTCACCAACTTCGTTCTACTTCATCCTTGGGTACGATCACATTGCCATGGACGGCTTCAGTTGGGAGATTCTATTCGCCGAGCTCCAAGCGCATTACCGCGGTGCTTACGTGCCTCCCGTCACGCGTCAATATGCTCAGTGGACCATCAAGCAGCGCAACGATGTGATGGGTGCTACATTAGCATCTGATAGGCAGTACTGGCGGAACCAGTTTCCTGCGCTACCAGCAGTCCTTCCGTTGTTACCCATGGCAAAAGCCAGCTCAAGAAGCTCTCTCAAGACTTACGAAGTAAACCGAGCGAGTGCGAAGTTGGACAAAGAGCTAGCCGATCTGGTTAAAACCGTCAGCCAAGCCAACAAAGTATCGCCTTTCCACTTTCACTTTGCGACTTTCAAGACACTCTTGGCTCGCCTCACGGAGTCCACAGATATCTGCATCGGCATGGCTGATGCAAGCCGTATGGATCCAGCAGATGCCGGCGTCATTGGTCTTTTGTTGAACCTGCTACCTCTCCGTTTCGAGTGCAAGAAGGATCAGACTTTTGCCAAGTCCTTGCACGAAATGCGCACCAAGGTCTACGGAGCCATGGCTCACTCTCAGGTCCCTTTCAACACCATCATTGATGACTTGACCGTTCCAAGGTCGACACAGCATCATCCGCTGTTCCAAGCCTTCATAGAGTACCGTCCGGCGCAAACGCTCAAGTTTGCCGATCTGAAAGGTGAGCTTCCAGAAGATCATACCTCGTTTGCCAGGACGCCGTATGATGTTGAGCTCAACGTCCTGGAGGATCATGGAGGCGGCGTTACTATCTCCATCGGATGCCAATCTCAACTGTACTCTGAACATGCCGCACAGCTTGTTCTGAAAAGCTACTTGACATTACTCAAGTCTTTTGCAACTGAGCCACAGCTTCCCGTCTCCAAACCAGCATTATATGCCCCTGAAGACGTACAGGAGTCACTTGTGCTGGGAAAAGGTAAACAGAGTTTCCAGAAGCCATGGAAAAGATCATGCTAACCCTCGAGCAGGTGAAACAATGACGAATGTCTGGTCCGGAACAATTTCCCACCGCATTGAAGACATGATTGCAGCCTATCCCGATGAAATAGCTCTGAAAGACACCCTCGGCAGCTCCTTGTCTTATAAGGCAATGGCTGAGCGCGTCGATTTAATCCAGGCAGCTTTATCGAGGGCGGATGTTCGTCCAGGATCAGTCGTAGCTGCATCTTTGCAGCCCTCGACGGACTGGGTTTGTTGCCTGCTGGCCGTCCTACGCCAAGGAGCAGTCTTTGTACCCCTTGACTGCAGCCAAGGTGCATTGCGTCTGCAACAGATTGTCGATGCCAGCTCGCCCAAGGCAACCCTCGTCAACGCCGCCACTGCAAAGCAAGCCAGCGACTGGCCTGCGGTGATCGATGTTGAAAAACTCGTGCCACCATCGGAACGTCTGCCAAATCTTGACAAATCGGATCAAGCTGCGGTGATGCTCTTCACCAGTGGTACCACGGGAGTACCAAAAGGGGTGCTACTTCAGAACGCTTCCCTTGTCAACGTCTTTGAGGGCACAGCCGCCAAGTTCGGTATAGGCCGCCAGACTGTGCTCCAACACTCAGCCTTCAGCTTCGACATGTCTCTCGAGCAGACCTTCCTGGCACTTTGCAATGGCGGAACACTCGTCATTGTCGACAAGTCCATTCGAGGCGACTCGCGAGCAATCATGAGAGTCATTGCACAGGAGGCTGTGACTTACACCAAAGCCACCCCTGCTGAGTACTCATCGTGGTTCCGCAACGGCGGTGATTATGTCAAGGGAAACAAAACCTGGAAACATATCTTTGCAGGAGGCGACCGTATGACGGAAACCATGATGAGCGAGTTGCGTGAACTCGGTCTTCAGGATGCCAAGCTGCTCAACTCTTACGGCCCTGTGGAAGGGACAATCATTGCAACGAAGATGCGGTTGGACTATGGTTGCGAGAAGAAGGGGCACTCGCCAATTCCTGTGGGGACTCCACTCCCGAACTACTCCATCTACATTGTCGATGAAGGTCTCAATCTGCTACCGCCAGAGGTCCCGGGCGAGATCATCATCGGCGGGCAAGGTGTCGCGATGGGATACCACAACAATGATATCGAGACTGGAAAGAAGTTCATATCCAATCCATGGGCAGACGAAGAATACCTCAAGAAGGGTTGGACAAAGATGTATCGGACCGGCGACAAAGGTCATCTCACGAAACATGGCGAGCTCATTTTCCATGGACGAATCGCTGGCGACAGCCAGGTCAAGCTACGAGGCATCCGTCTAGAGCTAGAGGATGTGGAGAGGAATATTCTGAACGCATCAAAGGGCGCCTTATCCGAAGTTGTATGCACCGTCCGCGAGGACGCCGCATCGAATTATCTTGTCGCCCACGTCGTTCTCTCGTCCAAAACCGATGGTTTTTCGCCAGAGTCATCAAGCGCCTTTCTTGCAGATCTTCGCGTACAACTTCCTCTGCCTCAGTACATGAAGCCGTCAGCCATGTCCATTCTCAAATCAATGCCCTTGACAAAACATGGCAAGATTGACCGTGCGGCAATCGCTGCCCTGTCGCTTGTTGGTGTTGCTGGGGAGGATCAAGACGAGGGAGAGTTGACTGACTTAGAGATCAAAATCAGCAACCTCTGGAGGAAGCTACTGCCAAAGGAGACGTTGCCTCCATCACTGAAGCGGTCGTCCGACTTCTTCACTGTGGGCGGGAGCTCTCTGATCTTGGTTGAGGTGCAGTCCCTCATCCGCGCTGAATTCAGCATTGATCTGTCTTTGCAAGAGCTCTATGAGGCCACAGTGCTTTCCAAAATGGCAGACAAGGTGAAGCAAGCTCTCGACTCTAAAGCAGTCAACTGGGACCTCGAGACAGCACCTCCAAAGCTCAACGATCTGGTCAAAGCTGTCTCACAGCCCTTGAGACTCACCAATCTAGAAATCGTCATGACCGGAGCGACAGGACACCTGGGCGGCTTCGTCCTCCAGCGCTTGATCTCCGATCCAGCCGTCGCCAAGATCCACTGCGTTGCTGTGCGTAACCCTAGCAGGATCAAGTGGCATTCTGACAAACTCGCGATTTACCCCGGCGATCTCTCACAGCCTCAGCTCGGCCTCCCAACCAGCACCATAGAGCAACTCGCCGCCACCGCTGATGCTGTTGTCCACTGCGGTGCTACCCGCCTCAACTGGGAGACCTTTGAGTCCATGCGGCCTACAAACCTTCTTTCGACCCGCGAGCTGATCCGCCTCGCTGCGCCGCGCCGCTTGCCCGTCCACTTTGTCTCTAGCGGCGGCGTGTTCCCGGCAGATGTCCCTCCTTCGGAGTCCTCAGCTACAGCCCATCAGCCCCCGGCCGTTGGAGCGGATGGTTACGTCGCCAGCAAATGGGCCAGTGAACAGTTGCTAGAGCGTTCGGCAAGGGATCTTGGCATACCTGTCCACATCTATCGTACGATCCGCGCGGATGAAGGGTCGTTCCCTGAAGAGCTTCCCGAAGAAATCCTGGCTGGAATGGCAGCCGCCACAGTCGAGGCAGGCGTCATGCTCAACCACGGCGGCCATGCCTGGGTTGGATACTTTGATCTCGTATCGGCGCCGGGAGTGGCAGACAGCATCATATCGGCCGTTGTGAGTGACGCGTCGCAGAATGCAGGAGAGAAGGACCCCGCAATCAGCTTCACAAACCACAAGGGGGTCTATCGTGTGTGGAAGGGTGAGCAACTTGACAGCCTTGTGTACCGACCTGAGATCCAGGAAAGGTTGGGCAGATTCAAGATGGTACCACCGCAGATATGGCTTGGCGAGATGAAGCGCGCGGGATTCCCCTGGATGATGGGTGCCAGTGAGGCAGCGTATAAAGGTCTGGTTAAGAACAGGCGTTAGTGTTTGTTTTTTGCATTTCAACAGTTAGGATTTGTAGTTCTTCTCTTTCTCTCAAGACTTCATAGTTATTGTCAGATTTAGGCGTTTTAAATGTGTGTTTGGTGTTTGAAATAAGAGCTTGAATAGTTCATGGTAATGAACGATTAGCATTAAACGATGCGAGTCTGCTACAGAGCAATTGCGTAATAATTTGCATTGATTCAATCATTCTAATTCTCAAGTTAAGTCTAAGAATTGCGAGGAAGACTTGTACAGAGTTTGGAAAAGATCTTACCAAAACTATCGCCCTAGCACTGTCAGTCATCAAGTTCAACTGCCACAAGAGACAAAATTTTCCAAGTTAATGCTATATATCACACTGAACTGTTTCTAAGCTTTACATTGGTAGATGACATATTGCCCATCACATCCATCGTCTTTAGCTTTCACCATTCCGCTTCCGTGATCCGCATGAACATGTTTTTGTGGGAGAACGTGATGTTGGTCTCTTCTTCCCATGGCTGTTCCGGGTTGACAAATTGGAAGTCAAACGCGCGCATGAGCTGAACGAAGAGGTATTTCACGGTCAGCATTAGTTCGCTTGGGTCTGGGAGAGATGCTACTTGCCTCAAAGAAGGTCTTATTGAGTTCCATCATAGCCACTGCCTTTCCAGCGCATGTCCACCTGCCTCCGCCGAAGACGATGTCAAGAGACTTGATCATCTCGGTCCTCTTCGCATCTGGTGCGTCCAAGAAGCGTTCCGGCCGGAATATATCCACATCAGGGCCGAATATGGAGGTATTCTGTGTTAGTGCAAGACTATTGTGGCCAATTGCCGTACCTCCAGGGACGAAGACGCCGTTCAGTGTGTCACCACCGGGTGGGACAACTTTGAAATGGCCGTAGGTCAGAGGGTTCTTATATCGAAACCCTTCCCAGATGATAGACTAAAAGAAGACTCAGAAACTAATCTGCGAGAGACCTTACGGGATTGTAGTCACGGGTATTGCCCTTACCTGCAGATATGGCAGACGCTTCGCTTCGTCCATTGTGATCGGCTGTGATACCTCATTGCGCTCAATGGCGCCCTTAATCTCTTCTTTCATATTCCTGTAAGCCCGGGGCGTTGTGAGCAAGCAGAACATGGTCCCACGAATGGTCGTGGCCGTGGTGTCAGAACCAGCTACGATTTGAAGCATAGCCTCAGCTTCGCACTCTTCCCTCGTCAGGCCGTTTCGAACAAATACACCCTTGTCACCTTAGCGCCTACTCATAGAAAGCCGAGAAAAGTTGGTCTTCATGACTGTCTGAGATCTTACCATCATGTCTTGTCTCAGCTTTGCATCTGGGCGCAATCGCTTGTCAATCATGTCATAAGTGACACTGGATGAATCGACATCAGTACTGAAGCAGTCCCACATGCTGCGATGTTCACTCACGCCATCATCTTCCCCAAGCCTTTCGGATCAGTCGCCTTCGGGCCCATCATCTTGAGCATAGGCGGCGAGAAGAACAAGGCTCGCACCAGCGGCATGGACCGGATGATGGCCACAGCCTTCAGTGCCTTGTCAACATCGCCCACGTAGCCATATTTGTCGGTTCCTTCGTCCAGATGGCCAAAGGCCTCGCCATAAGCAAGCCTGGTGATCGTGTCTAGCGTGAAGAAACGGGATAGAGGAGCGAAATCGACAACGTTGGTCTTCTCCCCTACCGTCAAATGTTTTCGCCTGATGAGGTCGATGAGTCGCAGCAGCTGAGAATCCACCGCAGTGACAAAGTCGGGGTTCTCCCGTCCACTGTATCCAGCAGCTGTCTTGGCCTTGATGATGTCATGAGCCTTGTCGTCCAGGATGGTGAGCATTGAGTCTTGCGTAGGGTGTGTCTTTGCGCCCCGGTATGATTCGTGGCGCGTGTATCCGTTTCGGACGCCTGAGAGTCGGCGCAACACCTCGGGGTCGTCCGTCACAACTGTATTGGGCGCGATCCGTACCACAGAGCCATATTTGCTAAGGTCACGAAAGGCCGGGGCAACATGGCCGCGGATATGCTTATCCGCCAGCCAGAAACACGAGAATGATGCGACGAAGGGTCCCGGGACCTGGCGTAGTCGTCGCCATGCTGCGAAAGCCGTGACAACATACCACAAGGCCACCGCGGACACAAACGACACACAAACCACGGCAGCAGTGTGACCACTACGTTCATCTAACAATCGCGACATCTCTCGTGGCTTCGGATTAACGTCTATGTTCTTGACAAGCAATGACGAGACGCCCACTGGATCGGCATTGCTTCCATGAAGAGTCCAACCATACCAGGCCTCGGTCGCATCAGTCGAGACGCAAACAGTGAGCTGACAGTAGATTGTGGCTGTGTGTCATGAAGGATTCTCGAGTCCGCAACATCGGATGACATGTTGCCGTCCGTTCGTTTTTGTCGCCGTATTGCTATGTCGCCGTATGCCTGTCGCCGACCCCCCCCAATGCCGTTTGCCGCGCTGACGCGAGACGATGGGAAGTAGGATGGGTCCGTATTAGCGGGATTGAATCCAGTATTATTCTCTGACACTTCATCTAGGTCCATCAGTTGCATCTGGAGCTTCGCCTTTGTGACATCGTCTGATTGGAAATGCTAAATTTTGAACTCCCTATCATCCTGCACCCTGCGCGGTGGGAATCTGAATCGACCAGCTTTCTAGCTTTTTGAGAGGAACATTCCACTTGGCTAAGACAGATGGTTTAAGCCATCTATCCAAGCGCTATTGTATTGCAACTTGTATTGCAACTTGTTCTAAGACAATGGAATAAATCAGAAATTCATTGCGCATGTAGTCTATTTCTTGATCTATGCACTTAATCGCTTGATCAGGCCCAGCATCTGCTGCGGCGCTCCTGGGCTGCGGAAGAACTGCAAGTTTCGAAAGGCCCTCTCGGCGTCCTTCTCAGCCCGGGGAAACATAGCGGCTTCAAACTCTCTAACAGCAGTGTCGAGAAGCCCACGATTGACAAATTTGGCATCCTTAGTCCACTTGTTGAGCCGGCCCTGAGCCAAAATTGCCTCGCCCAGCTCATACCCATCCTCAAGAGCGAGATTGGCGCCGGAACCTCCCCAAGGGGTCATCAGATGGGCCGCGTCGCCTATTAAGGTGACTCCCCGTCTGTGTTCCCACTTGAATCCGACAGGAAGCATATAGAATGCCCGAGGAGTGATGTCAGTGTCCGAGTTTACGACCACGCCCTGGAGCTCCTCGCTCCAGCCCTGCCACTCCTTCTCGAGGAACTGCTTCTTGGCAGCCGCCGAGTCCGTCTGGTCGAAGCCGGGGTCTTTGGCCCACTCCTCCGGCTTGTTCTGCACCACGGCGTAGATCCAGATGCTCTCGCCGTCGTGCTGAGCAACGAGGCAGGCCTCCGGCTCCGGGAAGCAGTAGCTGCCGCCCTTGATCAAGTCCGTCACCGACTTGGGAGCGTTGGCGACGTCGCGAATCTCCGTCTCAACGAAGCACTGGCCGGCGTAGTGGGGCTTGGTCTCTGAGACGAGCGGCCGCGCCTTGGACCACGCCCCGTCCGCGCCGACGACGAGGTCGAAGCCCTTGGCGGACGACCCATCCACAAAGGTGATTTCCCAGGTCTCGTCGTCGGCAGCGACAATGCTTTGCACCCTGCGGTCCCACTGCACCGCATCCTCGGGAAGATGTCCAAGCAAGAAGCGCCGGATCTCACGACGATTGACGAGCGGCGCATTGGAGGCCGAGTAGAAGTTCCCCTCGGCGTCCGTGCTGTGGTGGAGGAACAGCTTCCCGGTCTTGTCTCCTAGGGACATGAGTTCGCTTCCCGCATTGACTAGCGTCTTCTCGTATTCTTCGAACAGGCCCAGCGCGCGGAGGACTTTCTCGCCCCGGTCGTAGCGGACGTTGACCGGGCCACCTTGCTTCCTGGCCGTGATGGCTGTCTCAGACTCAAAGATGGTGTATGGGACGCCGCCTTTGTGCAGGACGTAGGCGAGTGTTAGTCCTGCAGGACCGGCGCCGATAATGGCAATCTTTGGTGGCCCGAAAGACATGGTACTTGGCGTGAGGGTAGTATTTTCAGCGACGCGTCGTCTTGGCGAAGATTGTGAAGGATCATGGAGGTCACGAATTAGACGGTTGCCAAGAAGAGGCGTCCTTGGCATCAAAAGACGAGGTAAAATATGTGCAATTCGTCTGTGTTGAAAGCTTGCACATGCATCTACGCCGATACGGCGACATTTTTGTCAGACGGAGATTTACACATGTCCAATTGCCATAAAAGTGGTTCGACTGATCAATCCTCCTACAAGGGCTCGATGTGAAACCCAAAGGGGGGATATGAGAGCTCCAAAAATAGGCTCACCCTTCCAATCAGGAACTAATGGGACATACCCTTCAATAAGCTTGGTCGTTAAGCCCTGCGCTGCATGTGCCTTGACAGCTCCACCCGTTGACAGGACGCACGGAGTTCAATCCAGCAACGCCGACACACCGTCGCGGATAGAGGGTTCCTGGTGTAAGGCATTTTGCCGATCTGGCATGGGAAGTTCTGGGTATCTGCTAGATAAGAGTATTAACCTTTTAGGAGTTGGATGCCTCGCGTTGTAGCTTGACCGACTACGGGCAAATGCGCGGTGCCTCTATGAGGTGTCGTCTTCAGGCGGAAATAGCGTTAGGAGCGATGAAGGTAATGAGTAAATAAGTAGTTCATACCTGGAATACCTAGTAATAAGCTGAATGCTTCGCATACCCGAGGAAGAGTGATTGTACAGGGCTCGTGTTTGAGTTTCGGCTGTCCTAAGAAGGAGCCAAGCACCGAGAAAGCAGGAGTGGCACCATCATTCACTATCGGTAACGACATGTATGATCCTGACAGTTGCAGTATACCGTTGTTGAAGGAGAGGAACAGATGTAGGCCGAGTGAATCAAACGGGATGGTTCAATTATCGTCTCCAGCACCAGGGATACAGGGTGTCGTGATCTTCATTCCTTCCTATGAAATGACACGTAGAACAGGGCCACAGTGTGTCTTCCACACAATGAGCCTCTCTTCCGTTTTCAGAACGATGCCACTGGTAGGTTATGATCGTAATTCAACTCTAGGACATCAAAGGAGCAGCTGCTTCCCCTCGAAACGAAACTGAGATGCATGACGCTTGCCCTCCTTATCCTCCACTAGGCTAACAGGTCAATAGCCCTCACGCCAGTTTCAAAATTCAATACAATAATCAGGGTGGGATGTCAATCTGCCCGAAAACCCACGAATCGTGATTTTCGAGTCGGCTATCTCCACCCCTTGCCCAGCCTCCACAAGTCTATTGGACATGTCTTGTTCGGAGTCTTGTGCTCAAACTGTCTCTGATTTATATGAAACAACTCAGCTGATAGGCATGCCTCATACTATGTGACGGTAGGCAAGTGTTAAGGCAGGGGAAAAGTGAGGTTGGCAAGTGGGGGCTCTTCATCTCAGCAACAGGAGGCCGCGATGATGTTGCAATAGAATATCACGTGTCGCGATCTTACGATTCATGAGGCATTGGTGATTGATAGCAATTGTGTGACAAGCAAGCTAGAGGCCTCGAGAGAGAGAACAACCGGAATGTGGATTCAACTTGATCAAACAACACAATTTTCAAACCATTAGGGCAAGAGCCACAGCAAGCTATGAAGCTTTCATAGGTCTGGGTAAAACAGCTCGTCGACTCCATGTCGAGAAAAGACATTGTATTACATTTTGCACATCGAGTGGACCCGGTCCAAGGTCAACAAGGCTGAAAGGTGTCTTAGTGGGCATGCCTGTCCCTTTCGACAAGCCAAGAGCGTAACCGATGGGCATATGATGCTTCGCAGTGAGACATTTGCAAGCCATAGGTATAGATAGATATGAAGGATGTTGAGCATTCCAAACCGCTGGCGAGAAGCCATCTTCTATGGCCCCTTTATGCCAAGTCCGCCCGGACGTTCTATCTCCTTCAGTGATAAAACGCAGCTTTTTTGCGCTTTGAGGATGAGGACAAATTGGAGGCTCTATATGCTCGGATTGTGGAGAGTAAAAACTTACCGTTTCCAATGATATCACTCTTTGTCATGCGAAAGCCGAGTTACACTGTTATCTAGACATAGTTCAAAGACAAAGTGAAGACATCCAAGGATCCAAGGTCTGAACAGTACATCATAACGTTGACGCCTTCATTCATGTCCTCTGTCACTACCTGGCCATGAATCGTCAGGCAGGCACAGTGAGATATACCTCGAGCTAGCAGACACATACGTCCCATCGATTAATCATTCAGCCTTGCATCTCCTAGCCATGGGAAACATTGAGCTCCCGTGCAGATATCTCATCACATCAAACCACCTGAATAAGCAGAAGGAGAGCAAAGGTGTATGTTTAAGTCAGGGGCTATGAGTTGAGTAAGCATCGCGTACTACATCTTCATGTTTCCATCCCACGGCCAGTTGAACACTCCAGCGCCACCGCCCAGCCCAATCCCAGGATGTATCATAATACACATTTAATCCCAGGTCTGGTGATACACGCCACGCTCCATCTATCTTGACCATAACCTACATTTAACCTCCCCAAAAAGGAAAGCCGCTACAAAAAAAGACAAGGAGGTATATCCCAGAAACGCCAGACACTCCCAAGCATCATATTCAAAGACATATGAACCCCACACATCCCCCCTCCTCCCTACCACTGCGTCAACGCCCCCTCAACCTGCTCATCTTCATCCTCATCCTCGTCATCCCCCCCAACACCCGTCACCTCATCGTCATCATCATCATCGTCATGATCCTCATGTATCCGAAACCCATTGGGGTCATCCAGCGCGGCCCGCTCCGCGTCGGCGGCGATGAGCCACGCCCGCTGCGTGGAAGGGTACTCGGACGGCGCGCTGCTCCCCTGGCTCGCCTGCCCTTGCCCTTGCCCTTCCTCCCCTTCGGCCAAGGACATCGGATCCATGTTCTCCCCGTCCGACATGCCGTCCTCGATCCCCGGCCACGGCTCGTCCTCAGGCAGCCTCGGGCCCATACCACCAGCACCAGCACCAGCACCAGCACCAGCCTGCACACCACGACCACCCCTGTTACCGTCCAGACGATCCAGCATGTCCTCCTCCTCCCCATCCTCATAAACCTCAATGTCATCATACTCCCGGCCCCCCATCTCGCTACCATACGGATCCGTCGAGCTCCCCCGATCATCCCCATCATAGTCCATATCGTCGTCATCATCATCATCGTCGTCGTCATCAAAGATGCGCATCCCCGCGCCCGTGACAGCACCACCACCAGCCATCTGCTGCTGCCTCCCGGAGGCCAAGTCGGCAGGCGCGTTGCTAAACGGCGTCGCGTAGCAAAAGGGCGTCGTGCCCCGCGCGCCGGCGTGCTCGGGCGGCGGGAACGGCGCCAGGCTCGGGCTGCGCGACATGCTCCACCGCGGCGTCGTCCGCGGCCGCAGGCTCGGCGACCGCGTGGCCCCGCGGCGGCGCTTGCTGATGGCCGCCGCCGTCGTCAGCAGCACGGGCGAGTGCACGCTCTGCACGCGCGGGCTGGGCCGGCTGCTGCTGCCGCCCCCTGCGCCCGGGAACGGCGAGGACCGGCGCTCGTGGTAGGGGTTCGCCGCGGCCGTCGAGTACGACGCCACGCGGCGCTTGGCCTGCCCCGCCGCGGGCGAGAGTACCGCCGCGGGCGAGAGTATACTACTAGTAGCGGTAGCAGTAGGCAGCACGGCCGGCGGCATGGACGACGTGCGCACGTGCGGCGGGCGCTGGACGTGGTGCCGGCCCTTCATGACCAGGCTCGGCGACCCGGCCCTCGCAGCAGCAGCCGCGACGGGGCTCGTCGACAGGATGGGCGACTGCCGACCCGTAAAGTACTGCTGGGACGACGAACCAGACGACCTCGACCGGTTGAACGCCGCCGCCGCCGCCGCCGCAGCCTGCGCCTGGCGCAGACTCAGCCCTCCGCCGGCCGCCGCTGCAGACACGGGCGACTCGTCCAGCCGGTCGTTCCACGCCCAGCACTCCTCCGCCGCGTCCGCCTCGGGGACCTCGAAGCTGCTGCCGCTGCCGCTGCCGCTGCCGCTGCTCGTCTGCGAGTCCGGGTACACGCGGCTCAGCTCGCGCAGCTTGTGCCACGACCACCCGGCCTCGTAGGCCCGGTAGTCCTGGACGTAGGCCTCGGGCTGCGTGACGTAGAGGCGGTGCATGCCGCTCGCTCTCATGACGACGCTCGACATGAGGAACGCGGCGTCCCACAGCGCCGGGGTGAGCATCTCGGCGGGCGAGAGGAAGCGCAGGCGCGAGTCCTTGTGCACCTTGCGCAGCGGGATCCAGGGCTGCTGGAGGCCCAGGAACTTGTCGCTCAGGGGGCCGATGCCGCCCGTCGACGCCCGGCGCGAGGAGGAGGAGGAAGCGGGCTTGTGCGGGATGGTGCGGAGGGTGGATCCGAACGACGAGGCCATTGCCTGCTGCAGGCTTCGCGCGTCGGAGCCCCTGACCGAGAGGGTCTTGATCAGGCCCCGGCTCTTCAGTCTCTTGTCGATCATGCGGCCTGGGGCACACGCCCGCGGCAGCAGCCACGAGTTCTGCACGCCCTGGTCGGACCACTCGTACATAAAAGGCGACTGTGGCTCCGGTGTCTGCCGGCTCAGGGTGCTGGGCAGCTGCGTCCAATCATCTGCGTCCGCGCCGCGCCCTGACTGCTGCTGCGTGGCAAAGTGTTGGGCCTCCATCCAGATGCCCTTGAGCGGGAAGGGCAGGAAGACAACCTCGAGCTCCCAAGGGTTGTGGTACGTCGGCAGCGAGGATGCCTGGAGCGAGTTCACCTGGGCCTGGAGGGCCTGCAGCTGGCTGTAGATCTCCGAAGATTGCTCCGCGTATCGGACGGTCGCGTTTGTGGACAGCGACGCGACGCTGACGGTAGCGTCGTCATCGTGAACCCCAGCCCGGCGGCCGCTCGCGACTGTGCTGTTGTCGTCGTTGAGCCGCTTCTCCACTTCCTCAACCCTAGACTCCAGCTCGGTGACGCGCAGGTCTGCGTGCTCGTGTCTCTCATGGCAGTCCTCATGGCCAGCCACGGAGAAGGACGCATTCTCTAGCCTGTCCAACCTATGCTCGTGGCTCTGGACAGTCTCCGACAGCTGCTGTATGGTGCTGCTCCCGGGGCCACTCATCGGCGCCGCCGGGTTGTTGTTCTTGAGCGACACATCCTGGGTCTCCAGGGCCTTGGGGGTGGCGGCAGTACCGTGGAAATCCAGAAAATCAAACGAGTCCTGTGGGTTCAGGTTCCCAGCAGCAGTCTCTACGAGCGCGCCCGTCACGCTGTCCAATCCGATAGCAGCGCCGCCAGCCTCCTCTGGAAGGGTCTTCATCATCATCTGCGACTTTGCCGGACCCAAAGTCTGCAGACCCTTCCCGGCAAAGGGCCGCATATACCTGCCCTGGCTGGACTGCGCCGTGGACGGCGACTGGGAAGGCAATAGGCACTGGGGCGGGATGGGCGGCAGGGAGCCCGGCGGTCCGCGCGAGGGGGTCCGCGCGACGTTGTTCCAGTCCAGGGTGTCCGGCAGCGTGGACTCGTGCGCGGGGGTGGCAGCATTATTAGTGGCGATGTCACGGGGACCGGCAGGCAGCGACGGGGGCACGAGGTCAAACATATTAGCCGGGAAGGAGCTGTTCACGTTCAAGCCGGGGAAGTCCATGGAGAGACCCAGGTTCGAAGCCATGTGGAAAGAAGGCAGATGGTCCTGCACGGGAGTCAGGGGTTCCCGGTTTGTCTTGGGCCTCTCATTCTCCTGCCCGACTGTTACGGGCAGCCCGGCGGGCGCGGGCGTAGGCAGGCCGGCAGAGACCTGTGGGGTATGTGTCCGGAGGTCGTCGTGGAAGCAGGCGTGGTGGGAGCACATGCACCACACGGCGTGGTCCGCAGCATTGGCACTGCTGCCTGGAAATCCCGGGGCGGCGGTGGGAGGGTTCCGGCTCCAGAAGCGACGGCAGCCGCAGCGCGCTCCGCCGGAACCATGGTTCAGGTCCACGTAGTTGCAGGGCCCTCCGGGCAGATTGGCAGGTGCGGCATCCCGGGCGGCAAGTCCATCGTTGTAGATATCAAAGAGCACGGCGGAACTGGGCGCGGGTGCTTCGAGGGGTGTCGCGGCCATTGAGAGCTCGGGCACTCATCTCCTGGATCCAAGGCAGAGGGACGGCAGCAAGCCTCTAGCGCGTCGGTGGCAGCGGTAGCACGGGATGAGAGGAAAAGAAGCTCTATGGAAGAGCAGGCAGGCAGGAGAGTCGAGACGCGAAGGTATATAAAGGGCCGATCAGGTCAGGTGGAGGTCGCAGAGGCGACCACAACCAGGCAGGGCTGGGCCGCGATCCAGATTGGGAGGTCCTAGTACATGGTATTGATCTGCATTTGTTAGTCGGAGGGCCGTGAGGGATATTCTGCAAAGGAACCACGCGACTCCCATTCCCGGAGAGAGAGAGGAACGGAACCTCAGGCAGGCACTAACCGCCCGTGGTTCATGGAGTTGAGAAGAGTAAGAGAGAGGGAGAGAGCAGAGTGTGCGGGTGGGCAGCGCGCAGGCACACATCCGGCGGGAACGTACAGCAAGCAAGGTCGACAGGGTGCAGCGCGAGGGTGGGAGCTTATTTATATCCGTCGACGGCTGCCTCGTCACCGAGATTCGCAATCAGAAAGAGGACACAAAGATACAGATTTTGGCAGAGGAGGGCGGACGCGAGGATGGTAGGTAGAGAGCGGTGTTGCGACGACGAAAGAAAGTGAGGCGGCGTCTTCGGGATTGGCTCAGGCAGCGGGAGGAGGTGGGGTGGGCACGAGCAGCGAAAAGAGGAGCACTCGAGCAGACGCAAGAGAAGAGACGCACGCAGACACGCAAAGAAAAGATGGGAGAAGCAGGCGAGACAGGGAGACAGGTATCAAGTGTGGAGAAGAGAGGCGGTCGAGGTGGAACCGATGAGGGGGGGTGGGAGCAGAAACACCAGGACCGGGGCGGCAAGAAGATAACGACAGCTCTTCGCTACTTCTGTGTCCCCAAGGTGCAAGAAGCAGAGGGACCTGCAGTAGGATGACTCTACATGCAGGTAAGGTAGCTTACGGTGTGCGTGATCCTCAGGCCGAAAAGGCATATCAGAAAGGGTTGCGAGGGCTGCCGCCATGCAAGGTTCGCAGCACAGCAGCAGCAGGATTTTTGACAGGCAGACCACCTCGACAAGAGAAGACGCGTCTTGGCCAGTGCAGGCCTAAAAGAGGGAAAGGGGAGGGGCCGAGCCGGGAGAGAAGTGCGGGTTTTGGGCGGGGACAGCAGTGAGAGAGAGTACAAGTAACTAGAGAAGAGCCTGGGAAGATCCCTGTCGGGGTTGGCAGGCGGGAGGGTGCCCATTGGACGAGAAGCTATTAACACCCCGGCGGCCGAAGTCCTGAATCGCGTGTGGTGTGGGTGTGGGCGTGCGTGTGGGCAGTGGTGGAGACTCGATTCCGTCCTGCGCGTGAGCCTCTCGAGTTCGTCTTGTCCATCCAGGCACTCCAGGGCGATCAGGCAGTGATATGATGGGAAAGTCTCGCTCACAAAAGGGATTATCCATGCCAAGGATGAACCCCTTTTCGGCAAGAACTTGCATGTATGTTTTAAGCCTCGCAGGATTCTTGCCCACCGCTTTCGGTTCGATAGCCGGGATCCGGGTTGTAGCCGCACAGGGAAATCCTGTCCACTGACTGATGTGGGACTGTGAACTGGCCAAGGCCAGGATAAGCTCACAGAGATGGTTCCCGTGTCTCGAACCGTCTGTTGTGTGGATATGAATGTCACGGTGCAATAGCTAATGAGCATAATCAAGGCGCCGAGTGGTATTGTCAGGTGCAAAAAAAAAGGACTGTCCAATGCTATGTGCCTCGTCGTGTGTGTGTTCGTGAGAAAACCGTTGCCGTAATGCTCAAAGACTCTGTCCTCCTGTATCTCAACCCAAGTCTCCACAATCATCACAACCAGATGAAGTCTGAATAATAATGTTACAACGTGGCGTGTTCTCTACACGTCACAATAAGGAGGCCATCCCTCCATCCGCCTGGCACGAACCACTCCGGTCCACTCATATTCTCGCTCCTCACCTCAGACCTCGCCCCAGCTCCCCATAGGTCCAGACGAAACAATCATCGACCCCGTCCCGATCGACCCCCCGATATCCCAGTAGTGGTGCGACGAGTGCCGCGACCCAGACAGGCTGCTCCTCCTCGTCGCCGCCGACCGCCGTGTGCTCTGGCTCGCGCAGCTCGACGCGTGCCTGTGGTGGTGGTGGTGGTGGTAGTGGAGGTGGTGGTGGTGCATCGCCGCGACGGGGCTGCCTGGCGCCGGCCCCACCCGGTACTGCATGTGCCTCCTGCCGCCGGCGCCGTCCGCGCCCGACCCCTGCCCGCGCAGCGACCTGCCCACGAGCGGGTGGTGCTGCCGCACCCGCGCCGCCTTGGCCGCCGCCTCCTGCGTGCTCGACGTCGCCAGGTGCGCCGTGCCCCCCGTGCCCAGCGACGACGCCGCCCCCGCCGACGACGATGACGTGCGCGACAGGAAGCGCGACCGGAGGTACCTAAACACCAGCTTGATGTCCAGCTCCTGTTCCCACTCGTGCTGGGTGAAGTTGCCGGGCACGTGGGCCGAGGTGGCCGCCGATGCAGCCTCGCGGCGGCCAGGTATGTTCATAGCCTGTGCGGCCTTGCCGATCGTGGGGTGGAACTGAGGCGACGCTGTCGTTGCTGCGCTCTCGCCCATGGTCCTCGCGGCCGGCTCATCTGCCTCCACGGTAGTCTCCGGGATGACGGGCAAGCCCGCGTATGGCAGAGGCATCTGTTGTACCCGCATATACGTCGAGAAGGCGCCAGGGTGTGCAGACATCTGGTGCACTAGCATGCCAAGCTCTTGCGAGGCTCGTTCCAGCATGCGCAGCTGCCACATCGGATCTGAATGGTTTCTGTTGTTTCCCGCGGAGAGCTCCGAGGCCTTTGGCGTGGAGGAAAGGTCATCTTCAACCACCAGCTCTTCGCCAAACAGAATGCCTAGCATGCGGTCGTCAATGCCCATGATGTCGCGGATCAACTTGCGCGTAATACGAGACCACAGTCCCTCTTCGACCCCTAAATCATGCGGGGCATCCTGGTCATGCCACTCCGTGCCTTGCATCGTGTCGTCTGTCGGCGCTGGTGTCATGACGGCCTCCGTCACCGTACTGTCGGACCGAGACTCCCGCACCGAGCCTGCCGTCTGCTGGCGCCTACGTCGTGTCTGCTTCTGGATCTCGTCCAGCAGCAGCTTGCTCTGCTCTAACCTCCAAGCCTCGATCCTCTGGATCCGCTCCATCTGCTGGATGCGGTCCTGGTCCATCTCCAGCTCCAGCTCCGCCAGGTTGATGCCCGCATCGTGTCCTGGCTTGCGCTGGGGGTTGTACCGCTCGAATGCGTACATATGCTCTTGCATATCTGTCGCGATCCCCGCCGTGTCTAACCTGAAAGAGCCCAGGCCGTCGTGCCTGGGCAGCACCGTAGCCGATGCGTGAACCTGGTGGTGCTGGGAGTGCGGCACGGACCGGAAGTCCGGGAGGTGGCTGTCGAGGCTGTCTAGTTCTGCGTCCTCGTCGCCGGCATCCTCCTCCATAGGCTCCGCTGCCAACTCGCCAGCGTGGGAGTGGACATCGGACCGGGGTAGAGTGTTGAGGCTGCCGAGATCGCTGATGCGCGACCGGCCCGCCGTCTGTTGCGAGTCGTGGACCGAGCTGATGTACGACGTCGTTGTAGCCGTGTCAGTAGCAGGGGAGAAGAGAACCCAGGTCTGTGATTCTTCGAGTGGTGATGATGTTTCTATCACCGCCGCCGTGGCTGCGTCCTCGGGGGCGGCGCGCACAACCCTTTGCAGGGCATGCCGTGTGGTGGGCTGGTGGAAAGCCATTGTGACGATGTTGTTCCGTCGAACGAGGGTGTATCAAGGCTCGCTATGCGAGGTTATGTAGAGAATGCCCGGTGTGTCAAAAATAGAACTCTTGGCAGCGCGCGGCTGCAAAGAAGCCGTCACCGCGGACGGTCGTTTCGATGATGCGGTGAGAGAGGGCCGGTTGGGAGTGGGAGGAGGAGAGTGGGTATCCACGTCAACACAGCATCGCGAATCCGAGGGGTCTTGAAAGTGTAGATATCGGAAACCCTTCCAAGGAACTTATGTAGAAGAGCACGAAAAAGCAAAACAAAAAAGCCTACGCGGCTTACGTTGGATCGCACAGTGTCGCGCAGTACTTCAGCTTGGGGGTCGCAGAGAGAGACAAACGGCTGAGAGCATCAGGCAAGAAGGGATGCGGATGACGGAATGACACGAAGGACGAAATGGCGGGATATGGGCGCACCTGTGCTGTTATCGGGATGGATGTTGGGCACTTTCCCATCAAAGAGGGGGGGCCTCCATAAGGCGATCCAGCTCCTGAACCAGCCTGGGAACTCCACTACGAGCACGATAACTCCCCTATCATAGGACGGAACGGCGGGGGATGATGCGCTACGGGCTCCTCAACGACGAGATGATCAGTCGTGCTCGCGTGCTGGCACTTGACTCAGATTGGCAGAACAAAGGGTCATTCGTCCCCACACCTGTCCCTGTTAGCCTGTCCTGTCCGTCCGAGGGCAGGAGGATCGATAACAGCAAGGATTCCGGAAGAGGAGACGAAGGTCAGCTTGAGGAGATGCGATGCGCAGAAAGACCTCCGAAGCCAGAAGAGTGAGGCAGTTGATCTTGAGCTTACCCACGCGCAGAAAGCACATACACGCCATCAACACGGGCGATACGTGTTCTTTGCCAGCTTTGAGGTACCTACAGGTAATGCAGGGCTTATCGAAACAAGGTGGTGTTGAGCAACAGCGAACCATCCATCCGAAGTGCTCCGCCTGCCGACCCAGTCACGCCAGCGATAAGATCATGCAGCTGAGTCAGGTTCCACTCTGATACGTGGATGACTTCACTGCAAATAACCCCTCAGCCCAGCAATGAGTCCTTCGGCTTCTGTCAGATAGAGACAGTGGTATCGGTCCGTATTAGCCTACCGCTCAGAATGCAAGGCACTTCTCAACCGGTTGGCCTGCTCATAATCTCTTTTTCAAGACACGGCAATGCAGGGACATGGTGTACTGCAGGCTTTCGGTGAGAACCCCCATTCTTGAATGTGTCACACCTGGAAATGACAGGCTCAACTCGCTCTATGCGTAAAACATATTGCTCTCATTCAACAAGTTTGAAAGACCTAGAACTGGCTTGGCATGCATGTACTCTCGCAACCCGTCCAGGGGTTTTCGTTGGGCGACGATGAGAGATAACAGGGCGTACTTATTACCAGTTAGCATCTCCGTCTCGCATCCGAGCATCGGAGGAGGCTCTGGTAGACCGTAGCTCAGCATCTAGTTACCAGCCCACACCGCCCGCAGATCCACTTCTGCGATGTGGTTGTTTGAGAAGAAAATGGATACGAGCAGAGCAGGAGAGGTGTAATCGTGGCAAATCCGGGACTGCCAAAGGTACTGATAGACCCAAGGACTCATAATAGACTCGTCTCGGTGCAGTCCTGGCGTGAAGGCAGGCACAATTATGGACATGGTCGCCTGAAGGCCAGCATATTGGGGTAACCACGTAGGCAATGTCATGTCAAAGGACTACGTGGTATGGCAGCCCAGCGTAATCTCCACATCCGGATTCATCCATCACAGCGCAAATTCATCAAAGGCGACTGATCTCCTCATTCAATCAACGAGTGCGTGAAGTTGCTTGATTTTCTCTAAAGCAATTGTCTTCCCATGCAATAACCATGTCTCAGACCCATAATGACCAAATTACGCCACCCTGGATTCCAACCTCGGCTCTCGTCCTCGCACCACCTTAAGCCTCGGAGAAGGCCTCGGGGAAGCGCTTCATGTTGTACTCGAGAGGACCCTTGTTGCTCAGGAACTGGACGTAGGCACCGTCGACCTTGACGCGGCCAGCAGCCTTCTTCTCCAGGTACTCCTCGCGGCGCAGGGGGGTGAAGCCCCAGTTCTTGGAGATGATGATCTTTTGGCGACCGGGGAACTTGTACTGAGATCGGCGGAGGGCCTCGAGGGCGAAAGCACGGTCTGGAGGGGACGATGTTAGCTGGCTGCATGTATCTCTCGCTGGGGGGTTATAGGAGGTTGTAACATACTGGAGTCACGAGTGCGGACAGACAGGATGATCTGGCCGATGTTGACACGGGCAACAGTGCCGTTGGGCTTACCCCAGGCACCACGCATACCAGTCTGCAGTCTATCGGCACCGGCGCAAGACAACATCTTGTTGATACGGACGACGTGGTAGGGGTGAGCACGGACGCGCAGGTGGAAACCCTCCTTGCCGGTGTTCTTGACCAGGTACTTGTTGGCGCAAATACGGGCGGCCTCGAGGGCCTCGGAGCTCAGCTGCTCATACTCGTTGGAGACGAGGTGGATGCAGAGGGGGAAATCGTCAACCTTGGCACGCTTGCGGCCGAGATCGAAGATGCGAATCTTGGGGTCGGGCACACCACGGTTGAAGCGCGACTTGGGATACGGCTACAGAGGAAAGTGAAGGTCAGTAAAAGCTTTTGAAAATATTCCAAACTCCTCGAGCTTGTCTTGTAAGGTCGCCGGGTCGGTCGAACAGCGCAGGCCCGTGTGCTCATGTCGATCGAACGAGGCCATTCCCAGCTTTGTAATCCTCCCAAAATCTTCCGACCGACCCTCTCCCTCTCGGTCGCGACGACAAGACCTCCTCGCAGAACTGAAAAATGCCGTACTGACCTTGTTCTTGCAGTATCGGTAGCAACGAGCCGGACGACGCGCCATTTTGACTGATGTTGTCGTGGATTGCCGTTGGGAAAGGTTGTTGGTTGTTTGGGTGGAGGATGAGGTCAACCGTACAAATCGTCGAGCCTACAGGGAAAATGGGCACTTTTTCTGAATTCTTTTGCCAGCCTTGATTTCAAAGCAAATGGGCAGGTCGGCAGGTGGCGTCGGCTGCCTGTTCCTCCGCTGCAGTCGCTTAAAGTGGGTCGATTAGGGTTTATGCGCAGCCAAAACCCCACGGCGGTCGGACTAACCCCTCCACCGACAAATTTTCAGCGGGGCCCGTCCTGGCCGACAATTCAAAATAATTTGGCCGCTTCGATGCGAAATCCCGTCCCTCTCACCTCCATCACCCAGCAACATCACGACAATTTTTGCCGCCATCACCAGCAACAACCGTCACAATGGCCCCCAAGAAGAGCAAGCGCGATGCCTCCAGCATCAACAGCCGTCTGGCCCTCGTCATCAAGTCCGGCAAGGTCACCATGGGCTACAAGTCTACGTATGTCACATCGTCCTGATCGCCTCGTCGACTTGTCGCTAACCTGGCTTCTACAGTCTCAAGACCCTCCGCACCGGCAAGGCGAAGCTCGTCCTGATCGCTGCCAACACTCCTCCTCTGCGGAAGAGCGAGCTCGAGTACTACTCCATGCTGGCCAAGGTCCCCGTCCACCACTTCAGCGGTGCCAACGTATGTACAACATGGCAATCTCCTTGAACTGATTCCTCTCCTTTGTAGCTGTTTCTGGCCCGAAGGTTTCCTCACCTTGGGGCCCGCCCAGCGAAGAAGTCGTTTCCTTGACTTTGGAGGGTATCCGTGCAAATTGCTTACTTGTTTTCCCTCTCTCCAGACTGAGCTCGGTACCGCCTGCGGTAAGCTCTTCCGCTGCTCCACCATGGCCATCCTCGATGCCGGTGACTCCGACATCCTGAGCGACCAGCAGGCCTAAATGGGCGCACGTGTAGATACGGATGGCATGGGACGGCGTTCAGGTTTCGAAGCTGCGTAAAAAGCACCAAGGGCTCCGGATTGTTTTTGTGACGGTATACCAAAAAGCGTCGAGTAAATAGCTCGATGACGCATCCACCTTGATTTTCAGGTCTTTTCTAGGTCAGATAGACTACAAAGATCTGTTCCTGCCAGCCTCGGCGAACACTGATGTTCAGACCATTCAAACCATGCGTCTCTCTTGAAAGTGGTCGTGCGTGAGGGTTGTGTTGTGCTGTATGACGGTCGTGCTTGGCGAGATAAATACTCTGCAGGGTGAGAGTCAGAAATTGCTCGGGTTTGAGGCGACTACAAGCCGCCCTTCAAATGTCGAAGAAAACTATGAGGAAACTCGGTGTTTGATTCGAGGATGTGGTCGACGGCTTACATAACATTCAAGATCTTGGCCATGCGGTAGATGCATTGAAGGCGAGATTGCAATAATCCCGGGAATTGCCTTTCTGGACGCAACGGCCGGAACCATTCCCCTTTCTCCAGAAGATCGGAGCATCCGTCGAAGCCATCGAGCAGAAGTGGATACTGTATTGCAAATACAAAGCCAGGGTATTTCTCGAGGCTCTGGGTGTGTATTTCCGTTTTCATTGAACAGCTTTGTACAGAGTATCTGGAGATTCGGGGGTTTTGCAGTCACTTCTACACATGCAAAACAGCAAACAAGATCTGCCAGAATTATTTACCAGGCAAAGGCAGCTCGATGGGTTGCATTGATGCGCAGCTGTTTCAGCAGATCCGCGGCAGAGTCTGGCTCGCTGCCACCACCACGTCATCCAGATGCGACACATGCGGTGTCCCCCGAAATGCGGTAGGCATAAAGCTGTGTGCAGTGGGAAGGGTATGAGGGAGTTTCCATGGCCTACACGTGCATGAACACATACATTCACATGGCACCTTGGATAGAATAGACTCTGCGCCGTTGCTGAATTGCTGGCGTCATTGGGCTGTCACAATCGAATCGGCACAGCCAGGTTATGTAGTGAGTGCAGCTGAGCAGCCAACAAACTAGCCACTCCGAGAGGCACATGTAATCAGTGCTATATTTGGGCATAGCCTGCTCTCGAGGTAAGGTCGGTCGCCAACTTTGTTTGTTCAGCCGCTGTGAGTCGTAAGGTAGGTAGGTAGGGATGGTGATAAATGGCTCCCTTGCTGTTTTCGTTGCTTCTTCGCCACGAGACATAGGTAATTCACACCCAGCCTTTGTCCTCGACAGTCAATAAAGACATCCTTACCTAGTCCGTACAAAGTAACAAGTATCCAGGAGTCATTAACCGAAACAAGGGATTGGATATCAGCACGATATAACAGGCACCCTTGTCGAATGATCCACCCAGTCAAATCTCCTTTTTTCGTGGCTTCAGCACTCTAGGGAGCACTTTTTAGCTGCTCGAGGGCTCCATCAAATGCGCTAGAAGCCATCTGGACAAACCGCCATCTCCATATTTACTCCCCGAAATAACATTCAAGCATTCCATTCCAAACCCTTGTGTACACCATTTGCCCATTTTTGTTTCTCCTTTGCGGTTACAACACACGCTGTCTGTTTCGAGGAATGCTGCTGGCTCCAGTACCTTAGCATCATTCGCATTGCCAGGACGTCATCATCATCATTCACCTCTGATCAGGTCTGCGTATCTATCCCCATTCTCTCGAAAGGAGCTTCACAGTAGCTGCCGACCTTCAGGAGCACCCCATACTCGAGCGACAATCACATTCTTCGACACTAGGCATCATTAGGAGGACGACGACGACTCGGCAATAGTTACCATGTCTGCCGCAGCACGAAAGCCGCCCGCGGCCGGCAAAGACGGACCCAACAACTCATCACCCTCCCGCATCAGCTCGTCGCCCCGGGCCTCCAACGCTGCGACGGCCACGGGCACGGGCACAGCCACGGGCCACGTACGCACACGCTCCCTGCGGACCAGCACGCCCGTGACGGCCCGCCAGCGCCGCGAGTCGCCCCTCAAGGCGGACGCCAACGCCGCATCGCCCGCATCGCCAGCACTCGCCGCCTCCAACGCCACTGCAGAAGACGAAGCAGCCCGCGCCGAGACGGTCGCCCTGCTCGACGACCTGCGGGAGCGCCTATCGCGCGCCGAGAGCGCCCAGGAGCAGTACCAGAAGCAGGCCGAGGTGCTGCAGGCCAAGCTCGACGAGGCGCAGCACGAGCAGGCGCGCCTCGAGGAGAAGGCGCACGAGCACGAGGAGCAGGTCGAGGCCCTGCAGAACGAGAAGCGCGAGGCCGCGCGCCAGATGCGCGAGATGGAGACCATCTACGAGGCCGAGCGCAGCTCCATGACCAAGGACAAGGAGGAAATGGCCAACCGCGAGGAGGAGATGCAGGCCGTCATCCAGCGGCTCAAGGACAGCCTGGCGCAGAGGACAGCCAACGGCGACGAAGAGGCGCGGCCGTCGAGGCATTGTGAGCATTTCCCATCTCGAACGAACAACAAGACTTCTCACGCAGCAGTACTGACAAACCCCTCCGCCCACAGCAAATAACAACTCACCCAGCGTCGACAGCGGCAGCTTCGCTCCTCCCTCCTCCATCCACCGCAGCGACTCGCGCAACAACTCCAAGCTCCTGCTCCAAAAGGACAAGCTCATCGAGTCCCTGCGCCTCGAGCTCGCCGAGGCCCAGATCAAGCTCGTCGAGTCCGAGAACCAGGGCGGCGGCCGCCTGCGCGAGGTCGAGCGCCTGCTCATGGAGGCCCGCATGGCCAACGCCCGCCTGATGGAGGACAACGAGAGCTACCAGCTGCTGCTGCAGGAGAAGACACTCAAGGGTGACTTTGGTGCCAACGACTTCGCCTACCTGGGCGGTAGTGCGGCCGCAGGCGGCGCCGCCGGAGACCGCACCAGCCGCGTCTCGACCAACCAGGACGCCCTCAACGCCCTTGAGGGCCGCACGGGTGGTGAGGGCGGTGCGTCCACCCTCGCCGACGAGCTGTCCGAGGCCGCCGAGAACGAGTCGGAGAACTACCGCCGCCTCGAGGCCGAGCTCAAGGCGGCCAAGGACCAGAACAAGGCCCTGACGCTCTACATCAACAAGATCATCGAGCGCCTGCTGCAGCACAAGGACTTTGAGCACATCCTCGACCAGTCGAGCGACTCCAAGCCCGACACCAACAAGGAGCTTCCGCCGGCGCCCTCGTCGGGACCCTCCTTCCTCCAGCGCGCGAAATCCATCGCCTACAGCGCCACGGCGACCAACAAGCCCAAGCCGCGGCCCATGTCCTTCATGCCGCAGCAGCAGCACCACCACCAGCAGTACCACCAAGACTCGGCGCACGAGAATCCGGAGACGGCGCCCAGCATCCCCATCGGCCTCGGCCGCTCGACCAGCGTTAGGCGCGGTGGCGGGCGGCCCATGAGCGAGCAGTACACCGCCGGCGCCGGCGCCGCCTCGGTCGTGCACTCCATGTACCGCGGGCCCGGCGGCGCCGACGGGCCCCTGTCCCCGTCCCTCCGCGGCTCGCAGACCTTCTTCCTGCCGCCGCAGTCGTCGGGTGGCGGCGCCGGCGCCAGTGGTCCCGGCACGCGCACGCCCAGCGGCACAGTGCCCATGTCCACGAGCGGCAACTTCCCCGGCATGCGCAGCGAGACGTCGAGCACCTCTGGCGACGATAACGGCGGCGCCAACGGAGCTGGTGGCGGCGGCGGCGACGCGCAGAGCACGGCGTCTGGGTCCGCGACGCAGAGCCCGCCGCGCAAGGACCACGAGAAGACGGCCTTTACGGGCAGCAAGCCCCGTCCGCTGCGGCTCGTGCAGGAGCAGCATCCTACTGCCGCTGCCAATGGCGGCTCCGAAGGGAACAAGCGCGCGAGCTGGTTCGGCGGGTGGGCCTTTGGCAAGAAGGACGAGGCCGGTGCGAGCGCTGGGCCTGCGGCCATTGCTGAAGGCGGCGGCGATCCTGCGAAGCAGTCATGAGTTTCTTCTTTTTTGATGTGATGGGTTTGTTTTTTTGGTATATCTCGCACGAAAACAGTTTCAAATTGGGGAGGGAAGCTTTTTGTAGATCACCATCCATCATTCCCGTTTCGACTTGTGCTTTTCATTGTTATGTCTGGCCTGCTACCATTGGGTCATCAGCACATATGAAATATGGAAGGGAGGAGAACCGGTGTGCATCCTTCTGCCCAGGGGCAGGGAGGAAGGACGACAGGATAGAAATACCCTCTTGGTTTTGTGACATTTGCTGGTCAGAGGGAGGCTCATGGTCAGAGACGAAAGCGATCCGGTATACGTATATGGGCTGTGTATGAGAATGGTGATGTGGATTACGAGAAACATAGGATGCGATATGAGAACGAACCCTTCTCTTTGGATTTGTACGGACTATTGGTAGTGACAGTTAAGGACATGTCATCGTGGATGGATCATGATTTGAACCTCAGGCACGCGTGTACACTGCCTTTGTGAGGCATGATCGGGGCATTGTCAGGAAATCACGGTGGTCAGGACCAGAAACCGCTCTATGTAGGACTATTGCGCATGGCTGCAATTGTGAGATCACCCTGTTGAAGAGAACTGATCGATATCAAGTGTTGCAAATCTTAATCTTACAACAGATTGTCTTGAATAGCATTGATCAGTTGACGATTAATGTGTAGTGAATGCAAACAAACAATAACCTGATTAAGCATCGGTGAAGACTTCTTTTCTTTTTGTCGCAATCATTATTTTACAACTTCTTTGAACCTTCTTCCTTTTCTTGACATGATAACCACCCTGGGGTTGCCTCAATGAGAGGTGCGGTTGAGTCCATGACACGTACAGGTATGCTCATATGCTGGACATGCTTAAAAAGTCAGTCTACCAGATAACGTCATGTCACCTCGACAACATTTGCTGATATGCTTGAAAACGTGTGTCAAACTCGCTGCCATTCCACCGCTCTCTCTGGCCCTCAACCTTCTCTAGAGTAGGCGTTCCAATCTGCTCCAGCGCAAAGGTCGCCGCTACATTGGCGAGCGCAGCCGCATCCACGGGGCTCTTGTTGCAAGCAGCCATTGCATATGTGAATGCACCCAGGAACGTGTTCCCGCCGCCTGTCGCATCGACTACTGATGATGCATCAGCATAGAAGGCCGGCAGCCAGCGATGCCGGCCCTCTATTGTAAATGAGGACACAAGGCAGCCGTATTCACCGGCTCTTACGACCACGGTGCCCTTGTCCGAAGGGCCGATCCCCGACTCCAGGAAAGCGTCTGCACAGGCTTCGATGGCCTGTGGATCGAAGTGAGAGGCGCCCTCTGCCGGCTTGCTGTCTTGGAAGAAGGCCAAGAGTTCGAGGTGATTCGGGGAGAAGACATCGACATGTTTGCAAGCCGCCATGTGGTCGTCTTTGGTCTGTTGGCTGCAGTGTGGCGGAGTTGGCTCCCATACTAAGAGCGGCGGATCCAGCACAGGAGCACCAGGCCTTAAGCTTGCGAGATCTCTAACGTGATCTGCGAGCTGAGAGGGGAGGGCAAGGATGTGGAATGATGCGGATTCCAGGAAATGTGCTGGCAGGTCTCTTGGTGATGGGTGTAATGGCGTTGTAGTATATCGAAACGTCTTGCCTGATAAGAGTTAGTGTTAGCAGTCCGTTGACAGTCTGAGAGTACCTAAGAGGTTGAGTCCAATGTCACAACTCGGTACAACACTTACGGCCAAAGGACGAGTCCTTGTATTCGAGCAACCCTCGCGTAGAGGGCCTAGCAGGGTCGACTTGTATATCTAGGTTGACACCCCAGCTCCTGAAGCTCCTCAAGGCACTTTCGGGGAAGTCATTACCAGCCAAGATAAAGCAGCCGACTTGCCCAGCCCTCTCCTGTCCGGCCACCAGCCGAGCCCCTAGGACTGAAAAGGCACCTGAGCCGCCAGGGACGTCATGTAGAGAAGGCCGGTCAGGGAAGCGAAGCTCGTCGAGCACCACCATGCCCAGCGAGACGAACGACGGCCTTTGGGCGGCCGCTGGCGCACCCATCTTTCGCACCTAGAGACACTTGATCAGGATGCTGATTTCTTCTCACCACCCTCTGCTCTGCAATGGTCAGTCTACTTAAACCCTTACGGGGGTGGAGGAGTGGGCCTTAACCGGGCTACCGGTCACTACAAGTACTTCCGTCCAGGACCCAATCAATACCGAGATCGGCTATCAAATCTATCTCTCCAGTTATCTCTCCCCCGCATCTCAACGGCGAGTACAGAAAAAAGTGAGCAAGCCAAGCCCTTCGCTATCAGATAGTCGCTCGATACCATATCAACTCTAGCTAGTGCTTCAGATATACTAACATGAAGTAAGTTAGTAGTGGCACCATGGCTCACACGAGGGTTTTCTTTCCCCTGCACCGCTGTGCTCGCGAGAGGATCTCCGCTGAATCCTTTTTTTTTTCCTTTTCCCAGATTGCTCTCGTGATCGACTAAACTGAGGCCTGCTAATACTCGTTCTTTCGATCCCCAGCGTTGTGTATGTTCTCAACATGAAGTTCACGACGAAGCTGGAGCCACGGAAGTGGTTAACCGTCGATTACTGGCGGCTCGATACCCCGCGAGCGTCCTTTGCGACGCGCCATGGCTGGTCGAATGCGGACGTGGATGTCGTTGCGCCGGACCGGCGAATTTGGAAAGCGTAAGGGTGCCGGATAACTCTTCAGTCTGCGGGAGTGATCGCTGACTATGCCTTGTCAACCCCCAGCATCGACTTTCTTTGGCTGTGGATGGCAGACGGTGCCAACGTTGGCACGATGCAGCAGGCTGGGTCCATTGTCGCTCTTGGCCTCAGCTGGCGTGAGGCTTCTGTAGCCATGTGAGTCCTCGAGGAGCAACATTAGTCTTGCTTCCAGTGCTGATTCACTTGCAAACACCAAGTGCTATCGGCAACATCATCATTGCTGCAGCAGTTGCTTTGAACGGAACCATCGGCTCGAAACACCACATTCCCTTCGCCATTGCTTCTCGTGCTTCAATGGGCTTTTACTTCTCGTACTTTGCCGTCGTCTCCCGTCTGGTCCTCGGCCTGATCTACTTTGGGTGAGTGCCGACCCTTCAAACTAGTTGCATAGCCGACTGTGGCTAAGTGCGTCACTGTCTTGTAGAATCAATACCAAGATCGGGGCGTCTTGCATGCTCATCATGCTGCAAGCAATCTGGCCGAGCCTCAAAACTTACCCAAACGCTCTTCCAGCGTCGGCGGGCATTACGAGTAATATGATGATAGCGTACTTCGTCTTCTGGATAAGTAAGAACCAACTAGTTGACCTTGCAGCAAAAAGACGGAAAGTAACTGATGAGATTTCTAGTTCAGTTCCCATTGCTCATGATACATCCTAGCAAGATGCGCTGGCTATTCTTCATCAAATCCGTGGTTGCGGTGATCGCATCTTTTGCGCTGCTCGGATGGGCGGTTCACACCGGCGGACCAGGTCCCGTCTTTGCTCAAAAGGCCAAGATCTTTGGTAGCACCAAGAGCTGGGCCTGGGTTTACGGCATCAATGTGGCTATCAGTGGCAAGACGACCCTTGCCCTCAACATTGTAAATATCCCCCTTATCAGCGTCGTTCTTATAGAGGACCATTTGAAACTAATAACAACTGGTTCGAATAGTCCGACATGACTCGGTACGGGAACAAGACATCAGTCACATACTGGCAGCTCCTCTTCATCCCGATCGTGTACTGGGTGTTTTCCTTCATCGGCATCGTCATTGCGTCTGCGGGACAGGCGATCTACGGCACTCTGTACTGGGATCCCACGGCGATCCTCGCGCTCTGGACGAACCGCGCGGCCGCCTTCTTCTGCGCGTGCGCTTTCGGGCTCGCTACCCTAGGCACCAACATTTCCACAAACTGCATTGCTACCAGCAACGATCTCGCATTTATCGCGCCGAGGTGGATCAACCTCCAACGCGGAGCAGCATTGACTGCCTTTATCGGGGGCTGGGCCACTGCCCCTTGGAAGATCCTGGCAAGCGCCACGAGCTTGACGACTTTCCTGAGCGGATACATCATCGTCCTCGCTCCCGTTGTCGCAATCATGGTATGCACATCTCGAGAAGAAGTGTTTCTCTTAGTTACGGAACTTGTTTGACTTACATCACTTGACAGATCGTCGACTTTTGGATAGTCCGAGGGACGCGCCTTGACGTCCCTATGCTTTATCAAAACGAGGGGATCTATCGTTACCACTACGGTGTTAACTGGAGAGCTGTGGCCACGCTCCTCATTGTAGTCCCGGTTAATCTGCCAGGCTTGATCCATGCTATCAATGTCAATATCGACATTGGAAACTACGCCTATTTCTGTAAGTTGTCATACTCTTAGATATGAGAGTCCCATGGAACTGCATGGGGGCCATTCCTAGCTGACTACGTAAAACAGACAAGGCGTCCTGGTTGACGTCTACATTCATGGCAGCCGCAGTGTACTATCTGCTGAATCTCGTGTCGCCCCCGACTCGCACACTGGTGGACGCAGAACCTACACTTTATGATCCGGAAAACATCAAAGATCCTAATGCCGATGCCCAAGATGTTGTGCCGGAGGAAAAAGGACCTGGAGATGCCAGGGAATGATCGGAGAAGAGAGATCTCACAGGTCCTATATTGACGATTCGTAGATTTGCCCAGATTGTTGATGTTCTAGTTTTTCGAGGTTTACATCTTCGTGCTTATGTCAAAGTTCACTTCTGTCTTTTGTCTCTCTTTGAATGTGTCTAATCTACAGGGTCACTCGGCTTGTACCTGACAGTTTTACCAGAGCAGAAGTTAGCTTAGATGTCAAGATACAAATCTTCCCAGAGTAACATAGCAAGCAATAAATAACTTGGACAGAAGATCCCAGTAACACCCGAGGATACCTATACATACTGACGCCTCTATTACCAAATATAGAATGTTGAACATTAGGCCGCGCCGTCGAACATTCGATACGCGGCAGGAGAAGCTACCAAGTCTGAGTTACAACCACGAGCTTACGAGATAAGTGGATCTATGAGTAAGTCCAAAGTAGATTTCGATTAGCTAACTTGAGTTGTATCTATCAATGGCATCCAAGCTTTGGCATTATCTTGGACCCGGACCCAATATGATGTTTTATGAGGCAGGAGAAACCTTGGGTATTAAGCCCCTGGACAAAAACCTGCGTTTCGACTTGTGTCTGAAGCGGCGAGAAGTTAAAAGGAATAGGAAAGGGAAACACCGACATAAAAGGGAATCGCAGGTAAATAGAAGAAAAATCCAAAGCCAGATCCAATTACGTCTCTGCATTAACATTCGCGACACAGCGAGCACCGTCGTTGATCGAGGATACCGGCCCTACAGAAACCTTGCGGCGGCTGGCATTTGTAACATCATAAGCCCAGATTTCGCCGTTGCTGTTGTCGGAGATGTAGACGGTTGATGGGTTCTGCCCCCATGCAGCACCGAAACTGTGGTCCAAGTCGGATTTCCAGGTCCGCACGACGAAGAATGCATGGGTAGTCATATCAAAGCGGACCATGCGGATCTCGCCCGCATTTGGTACCGGAAAGATAGACCACAGCTGACGCCCATGGTTTGGGAGGTACACCCAGTCGAGGAGTCTCGGTACCTTGTCGGAATTGGTCGTCTGGCCTTGGTCAAGAACGGTGCCGTATGTGCTGGAGCCGGGCTTTAGGTCAAACTTGTAGTATTTGTACGCAGAGTCCAGCACCCAGTAGCAGCCCTCATTATCAATGTCACCGACAACACTCTGAACGGTGACGCCCACGACGTTCTGGGCTGTCCCGTTATTCGAAATGCGAACTATATTGTGGTTGTTGTTGTCAAGTCCATAGAGGTAGTTGTCAAGAGCATTGTATCCCAAAGCATTGATGCTTGCGCCAGGGATCAACTCTGTACCCACAGGTTCGGTGGCACCCGTTTCGATATTGACCCTGTATAGATAAGCTGCTTGAATCAGGTAGCCATACCTGTCGCACTCGAGAGTCGGTGCAGGAGTCTCGATAATGACGGTACCCGGATTCGTCCCTTCAGGCGGAATAGTCTTCGTTGTCGCGATGTTGCCCTCGGTCGTATACGTCGTCCAGGAAGATGTCTCAATTATCACGGTGCCAGGAGTTGTACCTTCAGGCGTGGCCACAGTAGTGGTTAAGTCTTCAGGCCCAGGGCTCGTAATCGTGACCCACGACTCAGGGATGGCTGGCGACGTTGTCTCAGGAACAGCTGGTGATGTTGTCTCAGGAACAGCTGGTGATGTTGTCTCAGGAATGCCTGGTGGCGTCGTCTCGATGACGACGGTGCCCGGATTCGTCCCCTCAGGAGGAATAGTCTTTGTTGTAGCCACAGTGCCCTCGGTCGTGTAAGTAGTCCAGGAAGATGTCTCGATTATCACAGTACCCGGAGTTGTACCCTCAGGTGTAGCCACAGTAGTGGTTAGATCTTCAGGCCCAGGGCTTGTAATCGTGACCCAGGACTCAGGAATGGCTGGTGGCGTTGTCTCAATGACGACGGTACCTGGATTTGTCCCCTCAGGAGGGATGGACTTTGTTGTAGCCACGGTGCCCTCGGTAGTGTAAGTAGTCCAAGATGGAGTCTCGATCACGACGGTGCCTGGTGTAGTCCCATCAGGGGTGGCCACGGTGGTAGTAAAATCTTCAGGGCCGGGCGATGTAATCGTGATCCATGATTCAGGCACAGATGTGTGAATAATGACGGAACCAGGAGTAGTTCCAGCGCCTGGAATAGTCTCAGTGGTGATTATGCTATCCGTCGTCGTCGTCGTGATGGTTGGGGGCGGAGCCTTCGAACTGTTGGAGAACGTCACGGGAGTCGTGATAGGAAGACGGGGCGAACTGGTAGGTGTGTGGATAATCACGGTGCCGGGAGTGGTGCCCTCTGGAGGTATCGACTCAGTGGTGAGCACGCTACCCGGGGTCGTCCGAGTGACCCAGCTCTCAGGGGGCTCGGATGTGGGAGGCTCGGAAGTCGGCGTGTGAATGATGACAGTACCAGGCGTAGTACCTTCAGGCGGTACCGATTCAGTGGTCAAAATGCTACCTGGCGTCGTCCTTGTCACCCAGCTCTCGGGTGGCTCCGACGATGTAGGGGCCTCAGAGGTCGGCGTGTGAATGATGACAGAACCCGGCGTGGTCCCCTTGGGCGGAATTGTTTCAGTGGTCAAAATGCTACCAGGGGTCGTCCTCGTAATCCAGCTTTCAGGTGGCTCCGACGATGTAGGGGGCTCAGACGTAGGCGTATGGATAATAACCATACCAGGCGTTGTCCCCTTAGGCGGAATCGATTCAGTGGTCCAAATGCTACCAGGAGTCGTTCTCGTAATCCAGGTCTCGGGCGGTGCCGAGGTTGGAGGCTCCGAGGTAGGCGTATGGATAATAACGGTGCCAGGCGTTGTCCCTTTAGGTGGGATCGTCTCGGTGGTCAGCACGCTACCGGGAGTTGTGATCGTCGTCCACGTAGGTGTTTCGATGACCACGGACCCTGGGTTGGTACCAGTCGGAGGAATCGTGTAAGTAGTAGGAAATGGGCCGGGGATGGTCGTCGTGATGTATTCATCCTCGCAAGGAAGGGACTCGGTGCTGCATACGTGTCAGGGATGAAGCAAAAGCGAGAAGGCCAGCCCAAAGCGCGATTAATGGGAGGGTCAAATACCTAGTGAAGGCGGTGTTGGATGCGAGACCCTTCTCCGGGTAGGTGATGATTACTGGCTGGATCTTGATTAGATGATGGCCTTCGGGACAATCACCCAAGCAGTCGGCCTTCACTGTGCGAAGCAGCTCAGCAAAGGCCAATGGGCCTAGCAGGGCCATAAAATGCATTGCTGCAAACGAGTGATGTTGTTCAGCGAGTGTGATGATCGAGCGGAGGAGAGATAGAAGAAGATGGTCGAGAAGAGCTTGACTCTTTAGCTTTGTGGGATGGAGACATGACGAGGATGATCGAGGGAAACACACTGCATTTATAGATACGTTTCTCCCTGCTTCGAGTCTACAAATCAGTAGGCATCGCGAGGCTTCGTTTCCATCCAGACATCCGAGCAATAGGGCATCACCAACTCCATTCCTGAGGGTGAGACCTCGGTGGAGAGAGGTGACTTACTAGAACAAACTATATGAATCAATGCAAGGCTCGAGAGTTTTCCATCTATCCCTGTAGCAGAAAAATATCTTGACTCCTTTGAAATTCGCAGCTGACGGTTGAGTCAAGGCTAGGGGACCGACGCTGCGAGAGCATCACGTTCCATATCAACGAGGTTCCCCTCAAGTACTCTGTTTACAGAGTCCTGACATCTTTCTGCCGAACAACGGCCAGTGTATACATCTAGGGAACATTGTTCGCTTGGGGTGGGACTTGTGGCTAGTCAACCTCGAGCTCCTCCCCCCCATTTTTCATCTTGGCCAGAAGGAGATGACAAGGCAGTCCTCAGGGAGTGGCAAAAGGACATCCAGTGCCGTAAAGAATGAAGACACTTATACAAGAGGCCTGGATTAGATCTTGATCCTGTGAGACATATCCTTTCAATTTAACCTTCGTCCAGTTCAGAGAGGATGATGGGGAGCAGCAGAGCCGGGTTTGCACATGCTCCAACTATCGGCCAAATCCGATGGCGAAATCGTCCGAGGAAGGCACAGACTGAAGCTAGTACCTAAGCGTTACTTCAGAGGGGAGAAGAGGCGGATGCAGCAGTACTCGTTGAAGTGATGATCGGTAGCTCCGGCACCTCAAGTCTCCCTCCAAAGCTGTTGTTTGGATTGTTCCCGCGTAATGAACATGAATCCCTGCATTCTACAAACGCCCTGCATCTTGTCATCCTCCAAAACGAGCGAAGAAAAAGCAATTCGACCCTACGGGAAGGCCGGGGAAAAAGCAAAGAAGCAGCGTGCTCAGACCCCCATGTCCAGACTGGGTCCTAACCACAACACTAGTAACCGGTTTGGGGGATCAGCCCAGTTTCATAGAAGCTGACCTTTGCATAACGGCGGGGTTTGTATTTTTCACAGCCGGACGCAAATTGAGTCTCCTTCCTACTCCAGTCAAAAATATGCTTGGCACGATGATGGGATGTTGTGGTATTCCTTCCGAGGGATGGAGCTAGAAAATGATAAGTGATTGTATGGGTAACATCAAGTTGCTGAGAGACATACCGGGTGTTCTCGATAATTATGACCAAGCCTTAAGCTATAGGCTTAAGTGTTGATCTGCAAAGCGATTTCATGGCCTTGCCATAGATGCCCACTGTAGTATTTCTGGCCGCTTACCCGCTTCCTTCCGCAGGGTTGGATGCAAGACATCCTTAGGAGTGTATTCCTAGTTCTTGGCATATACTACGAAAAGCTGTACAGCGGGGAGACAAAAAGGGCACTCTCCACATGCGGAAAGGTGGCTGATCTCATTCCACTCACTGCAGGTACCATCGGACGTTTCGATGCCCATTAGGGATAATTATGACAACGGTGCGGATGTACCATACAAGCGGGGTTTAGAATATTTGGCCAAAACTCATCCGGAGATACCTGAATGCTAACAATGGCTACTCCTACTCTGAAACTCACAAGGGCTATGGGCTATCTCGCTACCTAAAACTGATGGCTTAGATGGAAAGTCATGTACATATGTTAGCAGCTTGTCAACTTACCTGACGGCCCCTTCACCATGTACATGCCTCGAGGATACCCTCACGATTCATTCATCACCGAGCAAAGTTTCACTCCAGCTGGCAAGATGTCCTCACAAGGAGAGAAGATATGACTGCAAGACCCGCAATGCTCCTTTATGGCATTTGTGTCCTACCTAGCCTCCTCACGCCTGCGGCGCTCGGGTTGTCCGGCAGCACATCCATTCGGCCATGCCCAGCACTGAGGCCAGATAAGCTTGGGATTCGGTGAAAGTGATCACTTGACTGCAATCTCTTCACCATCTCGCTGAAGAATTTTAATCATGTCTCAGCAGCCAGTAGGATTGTCTATGATATGGAAACTTAAAGTGGCGTGTCCTCAGCTCTGAAGATTCAAACTTGAGGGTTTGTGTTGATCGTGATCGAACACACGCATTCTTTGCTTTACTGATTACACTCTCACGGAACCTTGAGTTCTTGGTATATTATGCCGGCGTTCTGACGTCCATCATTTATCCCTGCATATCAAATTACCAGACAGTTCGCCTTCCAACTTCATCTCTCGTTTCATCGTCAACTGTATAGACTCCTCCACCCACTCTCGCTTATTCCCTCTTTCTCTGTATCCATATTAGCCACTACTTCAAAGATTAGAATTACCAACAACAGAAAAGGGCGCAGACCAAAAATGCACTTCCTCACCTTCCTCCGTTTCTCGATGATGCTTACCGCTGGTAACGCAGCCATACCCCATGGCCGCAACATGCAGCCCCGGGCTGAGCCTTCGGCATCGTGCGACGCCACCACCACACTCGAGCCTCTGACGGTCACTGGGGATGCTGGAGGGGGCAATACCTATATCCAGTGCTACACCCTCACGTACCCTGGTCTGGGTCCTTCGGGCGTCGTCACCCCTATCGTCTACACCATTACCGAGACGTGCAACAAGCCCATCTGCCGCCAGCCGGCCGAGACGGCACCCCCACCTAGCTTCACCTGTGCCGTCGTCAACTGCGAGACCTGTGCGGCAGGTGGAGGACCTGTCCGTGTTACCGTCACTGTGCCTACCACTGTCGTCCAGGAGTACGTCTCGTCTGGCTACACCGTTCAGACTGTCACTATTCAGGATCCTGGTCACCCTGCCGCCCCAGGGGGCAGCATTCCTACGGCTGGGGGTGTCGAGACTGGCGTTAGCAGTGGGCCAACTCCTGGAGCTGGCGGTGGCGCGTCTGGTGGCGCTTCGTCCAACGGTGGTTCCTCTGATGGTGGCTCCTCTGGAGCTGGCAACAAGCCGTCTGGCGGCGGCTCTGCGGGTGGCAACTCTCAATCATCGCCATCACAGATGGTCACTGCTGGTGCTTCTGGCCACGTCAGCCTGATCACTGAGGGATCTATGATGGCTATGATTCTCGGCGCCATAGTCTTCCTATAAAAACAACAGGCGGACTTTAAACGACCGTGAGATATTGGGGTTCTTTCCATTCTTGGGTTTCGATCGAACCAGGCCTCGGCCAAACTTGTTCCATTCTTCATCTTGTCATCTTGTCTGGGAGAATCTCGGAACATCTGATAGACTTCACTCGATTCATTTTTAATTTAATTCAAATTATTTGGGGTCATACCGCCTTTTGCCTATGTAGTGCTTTGATGCTATCCGGAAATAAGTACCAGACACACAATCGCCATTGTTGCATTTTACTCCTGCAAGACTATCTCACTACCCTACGTCCTTTGATAGAAAGGAGTGTATCACATAACAGTGAAAGAATCATCGTCATTGGTGGATCTATTGCTATCCTAATGCATGTCTTAGACACGAAGACGATCTTATATACAGCCACCAACACTGTGAGCGAATACTAGCTGTGAATAGTCAGATATAACACGGTCTCCTGCCACGAGTCAACTTCGGGTGCTTGGACTCCATGCATATCTGTACAAAAGACTCAGTTGAAGACTCAAATTACGAGAGGGTATTGCGAGCTGGGTCTCCGACTTAACACCCCGGGTTGTGAAGGACTGTTGGGCAGGTTGTCTTGAAGTGGGCCTTAGTCCCCGGTGCCGGTGTTATCCGTTTGGAACAGACAAAGATCAAACCACCTCCGCATCCTGTTCCACCCTGTCAAACCGCTGCATGGGCATCCTATCGGATATGGAGTTTTCAGGATCTAGGCAATTGCAAGGTCTTTTTGTCAAGACAGGACCCAGGGCCTGGAGCAGCACGCCAGGACGACAAGATTGTTGCAACATTATCCAATCATTGAGAAAACGTATGCAGTTTGTATCGCTGTACTCATAGGTACATTGTTTGGGAAAGAATGCAAAGAATAAGGGGCACCAGCAGACTGACTATCTACAAACATTGGTGAAAACTCTTCGGCTTTGATCAGTGCAGGTTTCTATGCCAAAGTTTACCATGTTTGTGTAGTGCATTTGCCTCTGCACGCGTGACCCAGATGTTTCAATGCGCTTTGCTACTGTCAGTTTGGCATCGCAATCATCTGAAATTTTCAAAGACGCGTCAGAAAGTTCATGCATATATTTCGATGATGAAAGTAGATATTAAATTCATTCTAGTATTCATTCCATCAGCACATCCTCCACCCTTTCCCTCCCTCGCCCTTCAAATATCTCTGTACTTGACATCATCTATCCTCTGCCACCACATCTATATATATCAAATATTTCACCATTATTACAGCAGCAATTATCACACAGATTAGCATATCTGCCCCGAGACGACCGCGGTATGTAAAATGTCCTCAAGTGTCGTGTCAGGGAAGTGCTAACCTTGGAACTGGCAAAAAAGCAAGGTACTGCCATCCCTCACACCAACCTGCCAACTTCTCGCCTGTGGTGTGGCCCGCGACTACCTTTACCGAAGTTACGCTTCTCCGGGTGCCCCTCGGCAGTCTCATTTTGCCGACCTTGCTGCTCTTCGCACCCAGTTGACCCCATTGGGTTAACAGTAAGCTCCCCTTTCATTACCCCGTGGATCTGACCCCACGGGCAGGACACTTGAACGATGAGGCGAGTCTCTATGTACCTAATCTTGACCGAGTGATGGGCAGGGTGCCGTCTGATTCCCGCTGGCATACTCACCAACCTATCCCCATCCAAAGCCCATGCGGTTCGTCATGGGTCGTCTCATAAATGATGGGGCGTCGAACAATGGCAAAGGCAATGCCAAAGGTGGTCGCGCCGGTTCTTGAAGCGCGAATTTGCCAGGGTAAGAAGCACAATCCCAACCCCCTTTTCATGCGTACAAGGCCCCTTTCCTCCTTACAATCGTGAGGCTTACTAGAGACTAGATATCCCTCGCGGGTTCCATGTAATTCCGACTCTGCGGATAATGATGAACTCTACCCGCGGGACGAAGTCCACCGTGTTTACAGCAGCTCCCTCGAGTTGGAACTTGGCATGAACCTATACAATCATGTCGGGACAACCGAGAGTCCTGCTCATGGTGAAGTCGATGATGGCGGATACTGAGGCGCAGACCATGGTTCTCCTGGATGGTGGGAGAACGAAGGTGAAGCAGCTCAAGGAAATCAAGGAGTCGGATTTCCAAACTAGACGTTTACGACAGCCGCCACAGGTCGAGGCTGGAGACAAACGCCAGGGCTGTAGACATGAATGCCGATGCAGACTAGTCGCCGGTGACGGAGATCGCACGAAGATCAAGTCCCTTGCAGTGGATGTGATGCTGGATCGCCTGAAGCCCAATTCACTGGCTGGACAATCTTCCCGGACGCCAGCAAGTTCCCCGCGGGCATCCGCTACCTGCCCGGTGTCGACACGGCTGTGTTCCGCGAGACGAAGCGGTCGACCGGCCTGGCTTGATATCTCGTCGCAATGTTCGGCCCTGGCTCTCTTCTATCCAACCTAGCGGCATGGGTGCCTCTCAAGCCGCTGAACAGGGACGCCTGCGGAGGACAAGACGAAGTCGAGGACGAGACACTGGGTTGCACGGCCGGCGACGAGGAGAGCTCCTGATTCCGGTTCCGCCGTCCGCCGCTACCTCCCTGACGGCCTGCATCGTCGTCGACAGCATCGAGCATGCGGTCATGGGCGATCCCGGCCTGGGCGTCGGCGCGTTTGCCCATCCCCGGCGACTCGGGCGCCATGGTCTGCGACCCCGAGCTGCGCCGCGTTCCTCGGCCCGCTTGGGGGCGGGTTTAAGGACGTCAAAAGCGGTCCCGTCTTGCGTTCAAGCTACAGAATGCCCCTCGGCGATGTCTTGGAGGATGTGCGGAGGGTCTTTGCGCGCTTCGATGAGGTCGAGAGGGTCTGGCCGGGCTGGAGTGAAGTGGAGGGATTCGGGATGACTCCTCCTGAAGACATATCCATCACCACTTCCATCGCGCCTGATATTGATGTTGACTCGATGGTCGCATTCCGCCCTGAGGCCGGTGTGCAGATCCGGGTCCACGCCGGCCAGGGTGTTTAGGTCCAAGGGGGTTGCTTGACGTCGCAACCGACTCTTGCGGGAGTGGTTGAAGGGAACGTAGAGGAAGCGCGGTTCGGCACGACAGGTACCTACAGCGATGGAGATGGAACCAAGTCTGCCGAAATCGGAGGTACTGCAGCCAGGCACCGACTGTAGATTCACCACCAGCACCCTCGTCCTTGAAGCGCAGCGTGATAGACTCGGGTTTAATGACAACATCGAGCCAGACGACGAGGGTGACGGGGAGGGCGAATCCACACAGCCCCCCGAGGAGCAAACTGCGGCCCTAAGACCCCTAAACGCCCGGGAGCGCGCGGCTTGTTATAGCCTAAACGATGACCTTACAGACGGCAAGCTGCCCCTGGTCCGGTCCAGATTCTCTAGCCACCATTTCTCCATCGTCATCTGCGATGAGGGTCATGTGCTCAAGAATGCTGATTCCAAGGCACATCAGCTCGTTGCGGACATACAAAAGGACGCACTGCTGATCTGCACCGCGACCCCAATGCTCAACCACCCAGCTGACAACCTCAGCTACCTCCGCTTTGGGTTTTCGTGGCTTCCTGAAATCCCCTGGCTCCCCGACGACCTGGACATCAACTCACTGTACGCCCCTGAGTTTGATATCGACCGGGAAGTGCTTGCACAGCAACTAAATGCCTATTTCCAAGAATTCTCCCCCCGATTCTCGATCCAACGAACCCTCTCTCCAACAACAACTAATTCTGCTAGCTCCTTCTGGCTTATGCCCAGAGCACAATCAGACATTTAGTTTCAGACCACATCCATCACAACCAGCCTCATCACGGCACCTGCTCGTGGCCGTGGCCGTGGCCGGGGTGGCAGGCGCGGCCGTGGAGGCGGCCGGGGAGCCATTCAGGCCAACGAGGGACGCCGGAACTTCCCGGACGAGACCGACGACTTCAACGGTCGGAACATCCGGGAGGTGATCGAAGAGGGGTCCTTCACCCCCCCCTCTGGCTTGTGGACGACGTCCCGGTCCACATCTACGAGACCCGGTACGCCGATCTGGCCGAGCAGGCCAAATTTCTCCACGTCCCAAAGGAGTCTTTTGTGTCCAGCCGGTCAGATCGGACCGGGTGCTGGAAGTATGCGCACTTCCTGACGAGGGCACACCTGCGAGGCTACCTCGATACAGCCTGTTTGTCCACTGTGTGAGGTACTGGCACTTGAGGCTATTCACAGCTGTCTCGTTGCCCTTCTGCCCCGCAAGTACACCATTATCTCGACTGCGTCTCCGTACCTCAACGACACCAATGTATATAGAAGGGGTGGCTTCCACCTACTCAGACAGGCAATTAGAACTAGGGAATCAAGCGGTATTACACATATTTCCACATCGAGGACGGTTGTGGTTTCGCGCGGGAATGGGCATGCTTGGTCATACCACCAAGCACCTCAGCAATAGATGTTTCTGTGGGTGCTCCTATATGTGTATTCGTGTATTCTGTGTTGACCTTGCAGGACTCTTGGTGTGAACTTGCCTCAACAGGTTCAACACTCCGTCTCGGTGGTCTTAGTCATCCGGCTTAGTCATCCGGCTAACCAGCCCTCTGGCCTCTGGGTGGGTGGCTGGAAACGGAAACAAGCTACTGGCGGCGATTGACTCGTTCAGCACCTATTTTGGCTCCGTTTCAGCCTTTTTGGACGGAAGGGAAGAAGGGCGGGAAACGGCTGTAACCGTCAGCCCAAGACATTGGTGGACTGTGGCTCCGCTTGATTGGTGCTGATTCACAAATCACAGAGGTCGGTCGAGAACGAACCCGCCAACGAACTTCCATGCAAGGAAAAGCGCGCGCGTGGGCGGTGCGCCCTTTCTCCCTCTTTCGTCATCGCCAACAGCAAGAAATGAAACGTACGTTGGTCTCGAGCCAAGTTCTGTGGCTCTTTTGTCCCTTGTTTTTTTTTCTTTTCCTTGGAAATACATCCCTATTTTGGGCCGGGTGTTCCTTGGTCTCGAGTGGGAGCAAGCAAGCAAACAAGCAGGAAGCAGGAGGGCGGAGCCCGCACGCGCGATGATGCCGTGCATTGGGGCGAGCACGGTTGGCCCACCGGGATGCAGAAGGGCATGGCAAGCGACGGACGCGATTAGCTGCCTCTGGAACCCCGTGCCATGCAGGCTCTTTGTCACGCTCGAGGTTGAGTGGTGTGGTGACGGTGGTGTGCGATGGAGCGAGGTCTGCCCGCACGTGTGCCGCGGGTCAGGCTCTGCTCTCTTCTCTGGTCTGCCAAACTGCCATGGGTCTGTCTGTGTCTGCCCTGCTCTGCTGGCTGCTCGCTGATCCCCCTCCCGAGGGGCCAGTAGTCAAGTCTGGTCAGGTCAGTCAGTCGGTCCTGGTTGCAGGTCATGTCTTACTCGGTGCTGATTCCGGGCGTCGTTGTCGCTCTTCAATCTTCTTTGACCGTCCATCTCTTGTCGCTGTCGCTCACTCCACCCCCCTCCTCGTCTCGCTTCTCTTGACTTCCGTCCTTGCTTTTGTCCGGGCCAGGATTGATCTCGTCTGCATGCGCTGTGCCTTGTTTTCTCGTTCACGGCCCTGCAAAAAAAAGACACGCACCCGGAGCGCCCCCAGTCGCTCTACATGTAGTTAGTTAGTCGGCGGCGGCGGCACCTGGAACACTGGAACCAGCAAGTACCGGCCCGAAGCAGTGGTTGTCTTTCCTTTCTTTTTTGTGCTGGCGATCCTCCAGCCCAGCCATCGTAATATTCGTTGGCCCAAAAAAACAGCCCCTCCCACCCCAAACCGCACACATCCCTGCTCGATAACATCACCTCAGCCTTCCTCGCCCCCAGTCCCGATTCCCCCACCCACCATCACCCTGCTGCTGCCCTCTTTCTTCCTCCTCTGACACACACACACGCAAGCACGCACACAGACGCTGCTTACTTTTCATCTCATTTCCCAACCCAGGTTCCCCCAAGGAAACCACCGTGTTCTGCTGTGATATCCGTCTCTCGCCCTTACACAAGTCTTTGTCGCACGATACAGCAGACTCGAACCCGACAGACAGCACATCTCTACGTAAAGAATACCCCGCGTCACCATCCTCCGCGATGGCCGCAATCTACAGGGAGTCGGCCCGCTACAGGCGGGACGACTCGTCAGACGACGACGAGAGGAGCAAGACCACCGTCCGCCGCTACAAGGTCGGCGGCGACCGTGGCGACCGCGTCGAGCGCATCGAGCGATACGAAGAGTTTGACGACGACCGACGCAGCCGCTACTCAGCCTACCCTCCGCGCGCATCCGGCGACCTGCTCGATGTAGAACGCCGTGTTGAGCGCACCTCCTACGCCCCCGAGCGACCCCGCTCGGCCTTTGAGCCCGGCCCGCGCGGCGGCGGCAGCACATTTGTCGAGCGCGAGAAGATCGTCGAGCGGGACAACCGCGGCAGAGACGACTTTGACGACCGCTACTATGACGATCGAGACCGGGACCGCGGCCGGCTCGAGCGCTACGAGAAGGACGTCTACTACAAGAGGGACGACGACCGCTTCGGCAGCGGCGTCGGCGACACCCGTCGTGACTACGTCTACGAGAAGACGAAGGAAGTCGAGCGGGACCGCAGCGACCGGGACTGGGACCGCCACTCCCGCGCCGACTGGGGCCGCGACCGCGACGAGGTCGACGTCCGGGTCGACAAGCGCTTCGTGCGCGGCGACGAAGGCGAGCTGCGGGTCGAGAAGCGGGTCGAAGAGCGCCGCGACGAGTCCCACGGCGCCGAGGTCGAGCGCTATCGCAAGGAGACCGAGATCTACGAGCCCCAGCAGGCCCCGCAGCCCATCGTCATCCGCAACCGCCTCCCGGAGCAGCAGATCATCGTGCAGGAGGCCCCGCCCCCGGCGCCGCTCATCATCCGCAACGAGCGCCAGGAGAACCGCGAGATGGTCCGCCGCGAGCCCAGGGAGGACGAGTACTACTACCACCGCCGCGAGACGCGCGACGTCGGGCCCTACCGCGGCGGCCGCGAGCGCGACGACGAGTACTACTACGACCGCCGGAGGGGCCGCGACCGCCGCGACTACGCCTCGGACGGTGAGTACTCGGACGACGACTACTACCTCAAGCGGACCGTCATCAAGCGTGAGCGCTCCCGCTCCGCCTCCAACCAGCACAAGCTGCACCTCGCCGAGGGCGGCCTCGCGGGCGCCGGCATCGCCGCCCTCATGAGCTCCCGCCGCGACGAGGACGGCTACCTGCCCGAGCACCGCGGCCGCAAGGTCGTCGCCGGCGCCGCCCTCGGCGCCCTGGGCACCGAGGTCTTCAAGCGCGCCCGCAGCGCCTACAACGAGCGCTACGGCGACGGCGACCGCTCCCCCTCGCCCGAGTCGCACCACTCCAAGCTCAAGACGGGGCTCGGCATCGCGGCCGCCGCCCTGGCCGTCGCCGGCGCCGCCAAGTACTACCAGTCGTCCAAGGTCGACAAGGAGGAGTCGTCCCGGGGCCGCAGCCTGCGCCGCTACAGCAGCGAGGAGTACAGCCGCTCCCGCTCGCGCAAGCGGTCCCGCAGCCGCGCCGCCTCGGTCGCGAAAGTGGGCGCCGCCACGGCCGCGGCCGCAGGACTCATCAAGCACTTCCGCGACAAGTCCAAGGGCCGCAGCGGCAGCAAGTCGCGCTCGCGGTCGCGCCTGCGCACGGGCGCCGAGGTCGTGGCCGCCGGCCTGGCGGGCGCCGCGGGCAAGAAGCTCTACGACAACTACAAGGACCGCAAGGAGGACAAGCGGAGCCGCGAGCGCGAGCGCGAGCTCGAGGCGGAGGAGGAGGAGGACGCGTACTACGAGGACGACGTGCGCCACCGGCGCCACGGCCGGTCGCGGTCGAGTAGCAGGTCAGCAGCAGCAGCGCGCCGCGGCGGCGGATACGCGCCCTACCCACCCAGCCCGGGACCACCCGTCGTCGCTGATCCTGAACTAGGTTTGGTTGAGTACGGCGCCCAGCCGCTGTACACGGAGCCGCCGTACCCGCCGCGCGGCTACGACCCGGCGGCGCAGGCGGCGTACCGGGACGAGGCGGCGGCCGCCGAGGAGGACAGGAGGCGGCACAGGAGTAGGAGACACCATCGGCACCGGTCGGCGGACTCGAGGGGCAGCTACAGCGAGAGCGAGCGGGAGGCTGAGGACGACGCCGGGGCGGCGAAGAAGCAGCGGAGCAGGAGCCGGCTGCGGGACTTGGCTGCCGCGGGCGCGGGGGCCGCGGCGGCGGCCATCGGGATCAAGAAGTACGAGCAGCAGAAGGAGAAGAAGGAGCGGGAGCGGTCGGCGAGCAGGGGAGGAGGAGGCGATAGAGATCGGGATAGGGACAGGAGCGTCAGTCGGGACCGGGACCGGGACCGGGACCGAGATGACAGCGATGTGGACAGGGACCGTGAGAGGGAGCGGCGCAGGCGGCACCGCGACCGGGAGCGGAGGCGCGAGCGTGAGTCGTCCCCTTTCTAGTAGTTTTCCTTTTGTTTTGTCGATAATGAAATGACTGGCAACAACAGAGGCCTGAAGATGCTAATGTCCCAATCGGATATAGGGTACGAGGAAGAGACGAGCGCTGCCGGCGACTACGACCCGTACGACCCGGACCGCCCGCCCTCGCCGCCCCACGCCTCGGGCGGCGCGTACTACCCCCCTCCGCCTCCCAACGCGGGTCCGCCACCGCCGCCCGCGGCCGCCGCGGCGGCGGGCATGGGAGGTTTCACCCAGCACCCCAACACGGCGACGACGGACCTCAACGGCGGGTTCCAGGCGTACCACCCGGCCGACTACCAGGCGTACCCGCCTCCGCCGCCGGGCCCGCCTCCGCCGGGTGCCGCTCCGGGTCCCATCCCGCCGCCCGCGGGCCCCCAGACGTTCCAGCCGCCGCCTGCGGGCTCGGGGCCGCACCCGCACGGTGACCAAGTGAGTAGTGACTCTGCATCCCGTAGTGTTTTGCTTGACCCTGCCGCTGCTCCTCTTCCTCCTCCTCTGTCTGGGGGAGGAGGAGGGGAGGGCTTTGGCGGTGGTGGTGGTGGAGGTGGAGGTGGCGTTCCGGGTGCGTCTGCCTGAGCTTTTGTTTTCTTTTGTTTTTGTTTGCTGTTGTTTATTATACCTACTGGGGATGGGATCGTGTTGTGTTGTTGTCAGATTGTTGGCAGGAGACTGACCGTTGTTTTCTCGGCGACGACAGATGGTCTAAACACCACCCGCTCTCAACACCTCGCACCGCCTCCCACGGGGGACCACGACGACGATGACGACGACGACACCGCACCGCAACAACACAAATCCGTCGCCTTCAGGCCGCTCTCGCCTCAGTCCTCCCGGGCCCTAAGGGAGGTGCACAAGACGCAGGCCCGGCCGCCCTCACCGGTAGAAGAAATCGACGACGACAGACCGCCGGCCGACACCCAGCTCGCCACCACCACGCGCCCTCCGCTCGGCCGCCGCCGGCGCTCCTCGGACCCTTCGCACGACAGGCCGCTCGTCCCGCGCCACCGGCGCCCGCCTGCGTCTTCTTCTTCGGATGACGACGACGACGACGAGGAAGAAGACGTGATCGAGGTCTTGCCCGACCGGTTCGACAGCCAGGGCCGGCCGCTGCGGCGCAGGCCGCGGTGGACGGCGCGCAGTGGGGAGTTTGCGTACGGCGGCGGCGGCGGGGACGATGGTGATCCTCAAAGGTCGCACGCGCGCGGGGGTTGGAAGATGGCCGGGCGGTGGGGCGTGGCGGGCACGGACGAGGAGGCGGTCGAGCGGATCGTGGAGCGGGTGCGGGGCGTGCTCGACGCGGGCGGGCGGGGTGGGTTCCTCGGGCTCGTGGGCGGGTTGCTGCGGGAGGGGCTGCGGCCCGGGGGTTTGCTTGTGGCTGGGGCGAACGAGGAGGATGAGGAGGATCGGAGGGCTGGGCGGAGGAGGAGGGCCCGGAGTGAGGGGTTTGAGGGGGGGCGCGGGTGGGATCGGGAGGAAGATGGTGGTGGTGGTGATGATGAGGGGGGTGGTGAGAGGGGGAGGAGAGGCGGAGGGAGAGGGAGAGGGAGAGATGCTCTGGATGAGAGGAGGGTGCGGAAGAGGGGGTGGGAGTGGGATTCATGATTGATATGAACTTTTTTCTCCTTCTTAGGTGGTCATGATGATGATGATTTGCTCTTTGAGGAGGATGAGAGTGTGGTGGATGGACCATGATGATGGATGATGAATGGATATGCACTGGATGATTTCTTTCGTTAGTTCTCAGTCAGATTTCCTTGGAGGCTTCACGAGATCAGGGTAATGGGGTGTTACTTCTTTCCTCCTCTCTGTCACTCTGTTTTGGCATCTTGGTCTGTTTATTACATTGGATGGGTTTTATGACTTATGATGACATGTGTTAAAGCAGCGGTTCACAGCCTGTCTTACTCAATCATTGCGTGCTAATTCATTTGCTAGTTACGTTGTAATAGTTGCTAGCACTGAAGAGCAGGTTGATGGGCATCGACACACAACTTCATCATGAGAACGAGAACTTATTTGGACTTGGCAGATAGTCGGCTACGCAGGTTGGCCATGACTCTTCCTTGCCCTCTTGAGATACCTTTGTAGGTCAACAGTGAAGATATATCGCGATGATCTGCGGCGTCTGGCATTTGGCATTTGGCAGGTCAGCAATATTCATACATAGAAAGCTTCGTATACCAAAAAAAACAAACAAAAATCACTGCTCGCTGTGTGTGGCTGTTAGATAGATGTATCCATACTGGATGTCTTGGTCCTGAAACCAAACTTTTGATAATCTTGGTCTGTTTGGAAAAGGTGAGAAAGGGTGATAATAGGGGTCGAGAAATGCAAAGTAAATGGAAAGTTACATATGAGAAAAATTCGCTGAATAGTAAGTATGAATTTGGGAGAAACCTGGTATCTCCCTTTTCTTTGCCATTATACCTGACTCTCAACAATGTCAAAGCACCAGTACGTGAGGTGAGGTCTGGCCCAGCACAGTTTGAGGTCGTCATGTGTGGATGTGGATAAACCCACAGGCCACCCAATCAAATCGATCCACCAGTCTAGTTAATGCTAGCCTACTCTGCAGCTACCATTTGCAGCTTCCAGGTGTCCCTTGCTTCGTTCCATCCACGGCCAGCTTACGACAACGGCAGTCTTTGGAAAACGTCCCAGAACATCGCCAGTCTCGGCTTCCGAGCACGCATCTCTCCTCACAAGCAGCTCCGGCCCTCTGCATTTCTCTCGCCCCGAAGGGCGAACTACATCAAGATGGTCTGTCACCCCCCTGCACGCACCTCGCCCCGTTCCATAACCTCGCGCTGACATCCGGGCGCATCGCAGTCCGCCCTCTTCAACTTCGAGTCGCTCATCCTCATCCTCCTGCTCTGCATCTGCACCTCGACCTACGTGCACCAGCTCTTCCCGCGGCTGCTTGACTCGAACAAGGACGGGTAGGTTGACCGCTTTCCCCTCGACACGCCTTCCCGGGCCCGGAGAGAACGCGACGGTTCGCTGACATTTTGGCTGGGGCGGGGAAAAATCAGTGTTAGGGGCATATTCTGGAAGTTTGCGAGGATAGGAGAGAGGCTCAGCCCCTACGTGGGCATCGCCTGCGTCTTCATGGCCGTCCGCATGCTCATCTTCTAGATGGGATGGCGCGCTCTGTCGAGGCCAAGACGAGGCTAGAAGATAACCCGCCACCAACGTTACGATACGAGAGGAAAAGCCCAGGGAGCGACTTTATGCCGGTACGACATGCTTGACCTAGTGCGCCGGGGGAAGCGGCGAAATTACCACTGCGCACCGTGCGCTCAGTTGTGCTCTTCATGAGACATCACCGTGGAGGAGCGAGGGCTGGAACTTGGGACTAGGATGAAGCCCCTCCGTCCTGTGCCTGAATGATAGGCCGCGCTCGGGGAAGGATTGTTCGAGGCTGTGTGCTGCAACGCGCTCACCTGGTATGGCCGGAGAAGTATGGTGGGTGAGCTACACGACTGCAACCAGCCGCGACGATTTCTCGCCACAGGGACACTATACATAAGATATTTTGTTTTCGAGGGGTCTAATAATGAAGAATCCAAGAGAAAACAGGCCAAGCATGCCTGGTAGCTCGCTTCTAACTGTCCATATCACTTGCGCGTGTGCTGGCCCGATATGCTTGTCTCAATGCAAAGACTTCGCACTCTTGCTCGGGCCTGCGTAGACTGTGCGAAGAGACAATTGCACTTGTTCGATGCGGGAGCCTTTTCTTACGGCCATTCCCTTCATTTTTCGTGGTCCCGCGTCAAGTGAACCTTTGATACATTGATCTCCCAGTCCTCCATTGCATCCCTCCTAGATCGCGCCCCACAATAGTACAAGTAGAGACCCCAGAAATGCGAAGCTCCGGCCCCAACTTTCAGCAGGGTCTAGGCCCGGAACCACGTTTATTCCGGGGCCGCACTGCCAATCTGGCCCGGATTGAGAGTGGCAGCCACCAGCAATTGAAGCCAGCGTAGCTCTTTTGGCGGATTAGGCCAGCTCGAGGGAGAAAGTCTCGTGCGCCGCCCACCCCTAATACCTTGACCACCACCACACGACCTCCATCTATCCCACGAGAACACATTGCCGTGATCCCCACGCCCACTCTCCAAGTCGACATCGGCCTTTTCCCCATTACTTTAATTCCTATACCCGACAACAACTACCAGCCAAGATGTCTGACCAGGTGCAAGAGCTCCTCGACATGCCGCGCGAGTTCCTCAAGGAGGGCATGCAGTTCGTCAACAGGAGCCAGAAGCGTACGTTTCTCTCGCCCAAGGCTACCCGCGCTCAGCGAATCCCGAGTCGCCTTGTCATTGCCAATGACGAGTGATACACGGGATCCCCGAGTGCTGCTGGCCTGGCCTGGCCTGTTGTCTTTACGTCCTCTGTGTGAAATCCTACTGACAAGCATCCGCTGCATGCAGCCGACCTGAGCGAGTTCACCAAGATCTGCAAGGCCGTCGGCATGGGCTTCATCATCATGGGCGTTGTCGGCTACGTCGTCAAGCTGGGTATGTGTGCTTCCTTGCCCCTTCTACCGACGAGATGGATGCGCTGTCCATCCGTAGGCGGCGAAACGTGTCCTGCCCACAAAGTACTAACCATTCTTTGGTCCACAGTGCACATCCCTGTCAACCAGATCCTCGTCGCATAGAACCGGAATCGAAAGTCGTCTACTTTTCTTCCAATTGTCACATTACATGCGAGCGTTCACGGAGATGATTCAGGGCAGCAGCGGGCGGTGGAACAAACTACAAGACAGAGCAGCCATGGGGAGGGGCGAGGAAGCACCGTGGCCAAGCAGAGGATGCGAGATCTGCCGAATGCATGGTCCGGACAGGATGCTTCGGTCGCCTGGGTTGATGGCGTGCCGGCAAACAAGCTCGTCTTGGTTTCTGGAGATGATCTGTACAATTATATCAATGTTCTGGCTTGAGGGAAGGTCATGTCAGGCTCGACGGACCTTATCAGGGCGGAATAAAACATGATCGAAACAGACCAAGCTCACTTGTGACGCTGGGGATGTATTGTGATGTTGAGTGTCTACCTAATGTTGCACAGCCGGAACCCGGGATACCTATCACGGAGATGAACCCCCCTTGTGCCTTGGGGACATCAAGTCTTTCTCATAAATATTAAGCGCTAATATACAGATCTATCGCACACCCAGATATGCACAGAGTCCCCTCTACTCTGATCTCATCAATCATCCCAAAGCCAAAGAAATCTAGTACATGAAACGCTCCACAATGCAGATGACCCTTCCTTTCCCCCCCTACTCGTAGGCAACAAACATACAAAAGAGGTCACGTCGTCAGCGCGGCTCTGATCTCCGGGTCGTCGTCGTCCTCGCCGTCGTCGGCCCGCGAGGCGACCCACGCCTGTATGGTCTCGATGGCGGCGCGGTACTCGACGTCGGCGGACCTCTTGGGCGCCATGGGCGGCGGCTTGTCCCAGGCGTGCTTCTCGCGCTCGACGACGCGCAGCTCGACGGGCCTGCCCCGCGCGCGCAGGCGCTCGGCGAAGCGCCGGCCCTCGGCGAGCAGCATGTCGAACTCGCAGAGGCAGAGGTGCACGGGCGGCAGGCGCTCGAGCATGGCGTCGGGCATGAGCCCGGGCGACAGGCGCGGGTCGTCGCGGCGCTCGCGCGGGATGGGCGGGTGGAGGTAGGACGCGTCGAAGAGGTCCGTCATGCCCTTGGGCAGGGTCAGGTCCGGGCGGGCGCAGCCGAGGCGCTTGTCGGGCCGGCTGACGGTCCAGTCGAGCAGCGGGTAGTAGAGGGCGAAGCCGGCGAGGGCGGGGGCCGGGCGGGGCAGCTCGTAGCCCCAGCGCCGCGGGTCCTGGAGCAGGCACCAGCTCGCCAGGGACAGGGTGCCGCCGGCCGAGAACCCGGAGACGACGAGGCGCTCGGCGTCGACGCCGAGCTCGTCGGCGCGCTGGGCGATCTGGAGGATGGCGTCGGCGCAGTCCTCGACGGGCGTCGGGTAGGGGTAGGAAGGGGCGAGGCGGTAGTTGACGGAGAAGACGACGGCGTCGAGCTGGGCGACGGCGGCGGCGGCCCAGCGCGCGTCGTCGGTGCCGTTGCCGAGGATGAAGCCGCCGCCGTGGAAGTTGATGACGCCGAGGCGCGGCACGGGCAGCATGGCGTCGACGGTGGCGGCCTCGTCCTGCTGGAACTCGACGGAGCTGAAGGACATGGCCGAGACGGTGCGGCTGAGGTGCCGCTTCAGGCGCTTGCGGCGCTGCTTGGTGCTCCGGGTGCTCAGGTCGGCGGCGCCCTCGCTGACGGCGCTCTGGACGGTCGACTCGGAGGCGGTGCGCGACAGAGTGCCGCCGTCCTGCTGCCGGACCAGGTCGACTCTGCTGCTCGCCGCGCTGCCGCGCTTGCTGCCGGCCCTGCTGCCGTTCTTGCCATTGGCGGTGCCGTTGCCGCTGCCGCTGCCGCTGCCGCTACTCCTGAAGTGGCCCCGCGGGGCGTAGACGTCGACCCGGATGGCGCCCTTCTCCTTGCACCGGCCGAGGGTGGCGTCGAGGTAGATGGTCCGGGCGGGGGAGGGCGGGGAGGGCGAGTAGCGGCCCGAGATGCCGAAGGCGAGGCCGGCGCCGGAGCGGAGGCCGTAGGCCTGGGTGGCCAGGTACCAGCGGGCGGACTGCTCGAGCGGGTTGACGTACTCGTCGCGGACGTCCCTGGGCAGGCCGTCCTTGTTGGTGTTGTCGGTGTTGTCCGGGAGGGTGGGTTTGGGTGCCGCCGGGTCGTCGCCGGTGGTCATTTGTTGTTGGGCACGTAACGTATAGGTATTATTTGTTGGTGGTCGGCTTCTTGGTTGGTTGGCCGGTTTGGGATGACGAGAGGCCCCCTCGTCTAATTGGTAGCGTTTTTGTGTTGTTTTTTTATGACCCCTCTATCTTATGTCTCGATTTTGCTGGTAGTGAGTGGGATGGAAAGGTCGCGGGTGAGAAAATAGGTGATGCAAGGCAAAGGTAAAAAGGAATGGGCACGCGAGTCAATGTAATGGCACGGGGTGTGTTCGTTTGTGGTGAGGATCGGGATGAGGTGACTTTTGGCTTATCTAATAGGCCGCCGTCTTGTGGGTGATAACGAGCGTTGAGTTTGTTGTTTGGTCTACGGAGGAAAATACGGTGTCGTAGAAATGGGCTCTGTTTTGTCCTTCTCGCGGGCTGGCATCATTTGCGCACTGCGATGCAAGTTTGAGACGCTGGGGACTGGGAATAAGTAAACGAGAAATGAGACAAGTACAAGCAAGGAAAATGCTTCGAGATCTTTCCGTCTTCCCCGCACACTGTCTTGTCTGTCGTCGTCACCCGCAATAGGGAGCGAGCCCTCTTTGGCCTGCCTCCCTTTGGCCTCCCTTTGGCCTCCCTCCGTCTTGTGTTATCTTTCTTGGCATGCGTCTGGTTCTGGTGTGGTTGTGGCGCGCGCCCTGAGCAACTAGCAACGAGCATGAACACCCACAACCCACCTAAAGTAGGTACCTACTCCGTACTGTAATACTGGAATGAAATTCTTCCAGTTGGGGAGGCTCGCTGTGGCTGCCGCTGGAGGTGTGACGGCTCCGCTAAAACGGACCTGCTTTTCTGGTTAGTGAACCGTGACAGCGCCTCAGTTCCCTGACGTGGGTGGCCCGATCGGAGGTGACGTCATCCATCGTGACCGCGCCACTGTCCCGTTCATCGGATTCTGGCGGCGGGTATCGGGAACTTCCTCTCCTCTCCTTCCAGGGATCCACGGATCGCCGACTTACTCATGTTCATGTTCTCTCGTGTTGCGCCGACAGCTCCCAGTATTTCAGGAAAACAAGCAGGTCAAAATGCAAAGCAAGAGGGGTGTTATTATATGGCAGATAATTGGGAAAGAAGAAGAGGCACCATAAGAGAAAGACCAGGGGGCAGGGAGGAGGGTTTTGTCCGTTTACCGCCGCCGTTCATGTTGGGGTCAAAAGTGCCGGCATATCCGCCGCGTCTACAAGTACAAGTACGATCCCAGATGCAACCCTATCCCATCATCACCACCCGCCAAGGAACGTCTTAAAAAAAGCTTGGTTCGTCGTTGGGGCGATTCCCAGCAACGAATCTCACCAGTCCCCTGAAACACGTTCGGCACCGGGCGCGAGGGCGTTCCAGAAAGGGGTGTGGGATCGGACAAGGTGCATGGCAATTTTTGCAAGAACTGAACGAAAAATGAACTGCGGGTGGTGGCGTCACATAAGAAAAAGAGCAAGCCAGGTGAGCCAGGCCAACCACCACTCGAGCCAGCAGCATTGGGTTGGCTCCCGAGGTGCGAAAACCGGCTCTCTCTCTCCCTTGGTCACGACTTCACAGCGCATCCCGGGAATCGACACGACTGGGCCAGCCAATGCATGCCCGTATCTCGTACATAATGCCTACCTAGGTAATGCGTTCGGGGTCCGCAGAGGACCAAAAGGTCCGAGGTTTGACTTTTCTGCGCTGGCCCATCCCAAACCAGACTGCGGGATTCCGTGGCGGGCTCTTCGCTTCCCTGCCATCCCCGTGTCTTAGTAACGTCATATGTCATAATGTCATACACTCACTCCCCAGCAGCCCTGGCAGGGAGGCGAGATACCTTGTCCTCCCTTCTTTCGCCTGCTCCTTTTTCGTGTGTTTGTCATTGTCAGTCACAGCTTATTAGCTGGCTAGTGCCTGCGGGAGAGGCGCGCCCGCCGCTGCCATCGAAACTTTGTGGCATTTGATCGGATGGGCTGCCTGCCTTGTGATGATGATGTTATCCAAAGCAACGCACGCAGAACCGCATTCTAGAAACACCCAGAAAAAGTGAATAATAATACGGCTTTTCTCCCGCTGTTCCCACCTCGAGCCCTTCTTCCTCCCAAACATCTGATACCTTAATTCCACGGCATTTGGGTCCGGCTGCTCTCGTTCTTATCTCCATTTTCTCGCAAAGCATCATCAGATCATATTCCCGGGGCCCTCGGCGTCTGTCTGTCTGCCTGTCTGTCTGTCTGTGTGTGTGCACACCAGAAGTTCCTGCATTTTCCCTACTACCCACACACACACACTCACACACACACCTACTGCCTGCCAATTAGTCACATCCGATTTCGCGCGTCGCGGCGGACTCTCGCGGACCTCCCGGGCTTTTCGGACATCGACAACCCTACTTACTCGCTCACGAGGCCAGACCCCTTTCAGGCATTGTGCTTCCGGCCGACCCGGCCCGCGGACTGCCTGGCCGTCTGGACTTTTATTTTTCTTATTTTATACGGAATTTCCCCAAACGCGCGTTTGTTGCACTGCCCCAAGCTTACCGTCGTCATCATTCATCACATCACTGCCTCTTACACGCACCCGCACCTTACCCACCACCGGCGTGCCTGGCCTGAGCTTAGTGATTACCTGCTCGCATTCGCAGCCGCAGCATCAGTTCACGCGATACCAGAACATGCGCCATGCCTCCCGAACGCCTGTCTAGCCTGGTCCACAGGATCGTATCGCCACTGCACTCCCGCAGCAATTCCACCCACTCCCAGGAGAAGCTCGCCCATTCTTCCCAAGACAAGATCAACAACCATGAGAAGCCGGCTTCGCCATCTCCGGCGTCGCCAGCCTCGCCCCTAGCCTCCCCCGTAGATCGGGAGAGCCCCCTCAGGAACAGCCAGCAGTTCGGCCCCCCCTCCCGGAGCAGCAGCTCGACCGGCGGCGGCACCCCGGCCAGCGGCACCGTCAGCCCGCCCAACGGCGTCAAGAAGGTCGAGCACATCCGCAGCGCCCGCGCCAGCACCGACAGCGGCTTCGCCTCGGGCGGCAACGGCATGCGCTACGACAAGACCAAGCGCCGCCTCTACGAGGAGGAGAAGATCGAGCAGCGCCGCCGCTCCGAGGAGGAGCAGCTGCGCGCCGGGCTCGACGAGGAGACGCGCGCCCGCTACGGCGACCTCGAGAAGCCCCAGGAGCTGACCACCATCCAGGACATCTCGTCCCTGCCCGCCGGCGCCCACGTCGCCTTCCGCGCCCGCATCTTCACCCAGCGCCGCGTCTCCAAGAGCCTCGACTTCTTGCTGTTCCGCGAGCAGACCTTCTCCATCCAGGGCGTGCTGGCCAACGCCCCGCCGCAGATGATCAAGTGGACGCAGCGCCTGCACCCGGAGTCCATCGTGCAGGTCACGGGCACCCTCAAGGAGCCCAAGACGCCCGTCACCTCGGCAACCTGCCAGGACCGCGAGGTCGACATCTTCTCCATCCACCTCGTCAACTCGGCCCGCAACCTGGCCTTCAACAACTACATGCCCCCCGAGGCCCTGCACCAGCGCATGCAGGCCCGCGTCGTCGACCTGCGCCACCCCTCCAACCAGGCCCTCTTCCGCATCCGCGCCGCCGTCGCCCGCACCTTCCGCGCCGAGCTCGACGCCAAGGGCTTCATGGAGATCCAGACGCCCAAGCTGCAGCCCGCCGCGACCGAGAGCGGCGCTGAGGTCTTCAAGGTCAACTACTTTGGCCGCCGCGCCTTCCTCGCCCAGAGCCCCCAGCTGGCCAAGCAGATGGCCATCTCGGCCGACTTTGGCCGCGTCTACGAGGTAAGCATTCCGTCACAGTCTGGAACGGCCAATCGCTGCTGAACGTAGCACTAACACCACTTGACTTACTCCAGGTCGGCCCCGTCTTCCGCGCCGAAAACTCCAACACCCACCGCCACCTGACCGAGTACACCGGCCTGGACCTGGAGATGAGCCTGCAAAAGTCCTACACGGAGCTCATCCAGGTCGTCGACAGCACCATCAAGGCCATCCTCGAGACCATCACCTCCATGCCCGAGGTCCAGATCGTGCGCCAGCGCTGGCCCAGCACCGACCTCGTCTGGCTCGACGAGACCCCCGTCATCCCCTTCCGCGAGGGCGTGCAGATGCTGCGCGACGACGGCCGCGACGTCGAGGAGGAGGACCTGTCGACGCGCGACGAGATCCGCCTCGGCGAGCTCGTCAAGGCCAAGTACAAGACCGACTACTACATCCTCGACAAGTTCCCCGCCAACGCCCGGCCCTTCTACACCCACAAGGCCGCCGACCCCAAGTGGACCAACTCGTTCGACGTCTTCCTGCGCGGCCAGGAGATCGGCACCGGCGGCCAGCGCATCCACGTCCTCGAGACCCTGCGCAAGAGCATGATGGAGGCCGGCATCGCCGAGGACGGCATGGAGGACTACATCTCGGCCTTCCAGGCCGGCGCCCCGCCCCACGGCGGCGTCGGCCTCGGCCTCGAGCGCATCCTGACCTTCGGGCTCGAGCTCGGCGACATCCGCTTCGCCTCGCCCTTCCACCGCGACACCAAGTCGCTGCCCGAGCGCCCGCCCTCCCTGCCCCACCCGGACGCCGACACCCTCAAGCCGCGGGACCCGGACGCCGAGCTGCCGCCGGTGGAGAAGCTCATCGCCAACTACGGCGACGCGACCAACACGTCCTGGCTCGACGAGCGCTTCGAGATCTGGCGCCACCAGCCCACGGGCGCCGCCATCGGCTTCGCCCGCCAGGACAGCAAGTTCGTCATGATCACGGGCGACCCGCTCTGCGACCAGCGGCAGTACGCGCCCATCATCGACGAGTTCCTGCACTATGTCCACGACGAGCTGAGGCTCAAGCCCGTGTGGATGATCGTCTCGGAGGAGGTGCAGGAGGTGCTGGCGCGCAAGCACGGCTGGCGCACGCTGACCTGCATCGAGGAGCAGCGGCTCAACACGGAGAACGAGAACATCCCGCCGCCGCACCGGGACCGCGCGGCCCGCCGCGTCGAGCGCGAGGGCATCTCCATCCACGAGGTGCGGCCCGACGAGCAGTTCGTCCCGCGGGCCGACCGCGCCATCGCGAGCTGGAAGGCCCACCGCAAGGGCAAGCAGGTGCACCTGACCGAGGTGCGGCCCTGGGTCGACCCGGAGCACCGGCGCTACTTCGCCGCCGAGCGCGACAAGGAGGTCCTGGGGCTCGTCGTGCTCGCGCGCCTGGCGCCCCGCCACGGCTGGCAGGTCAAGTGGGCGCTCAACTTCCCCGCCGCGCCCAACGGCACGATCGAGCAGCTCATCGAGCACGCGCTGTCTGCCGTGCCCGGGCCCATCACCTTCGGCGCGGGCGTGTCGGAGAACCTGACGCCCAAGGCGCACATCGACGGCGTGCGGGCGCGGGCGCTGGCGCGCACGTACAAGACCATCGTGCACAGCCTGCGCATCAACCGCAAGGCGCAGTTCCGGGAGAAGTTTGGCGTCGTCGGCGAGGCCATGTACATCTGCTACCCGCGCCACGGCCTGGGTCTCGCGGACCTGCGGCAGATTGTCAAGTTCTTTGAGGACTGAGGTGGATGCGTGGCGGTTGTTGGGGAGGGGAGGTAGAAGGGCAGGCAGGCAGAATGGGGGGCGTTGGATGAGTTGATTAGGGGCTGCGGGAGTGGATGCGGTGTGGTGTGGTGTAGTTGCTTTACCGGTTTGCGGGAGTTGGGGGCATGCGTCTTCCATGATACCTCTTTTCATCTTCATTGCTCTCATTTCTTTTCGTCATGAACGAGAAAGCATGATGTTTTATCCTTTCTGGGGGACGCGGGACAAACTTTGTCTATACTACTGTTGGGATCATGACGATGACGGTTATGACTGACTGGACTGGTTTGATTTTGTCTCGAGATACTACTGACTGACACTGGAACGAACTTAGATAGAGACTGGTCCATAGGCATGGTTAGATCAAGATACATCATACACTCCAATTTGAAGACTCTATGACAAAGATGCAACTGCCGGAGGTTCTATGTGATGTCACTACATGTACGCGCGAAAGTTGAGGGCAGGCTTGGTTCCATCTCATGCATTGGGCTTCGAATGGCTTGCCATTACGGTTAAGGTAGGTGTTTAACATCAAAATCGTTCAGTCAACCTTCTCCGCCACACCATCTGAAAACCGTAGCAAGACCATATCGATGACGAGATTTCTTTTTTGTATATCTTTTTCTATTTATGAGTACGCTAGCACCCGCGGCTGTCTCTCAAATGGGTTATTCCACTGACTAGATCGGTGGTCATGCCCTCAGCAACGCACGCTGAGAGTCGAGAAGGTCGCGATGTAAATGTCCCCAAGACATGGCATGCCTCAATCACGCATTAGTATGCGGCGGCCTTCTCGCATCGAGCCTTTCGACTTGAGACCTGGCCAGCCATCGTCCTGCTCGAGGTCGTCCGCTGTCTCGTTCGAATTGCACGAGAAACTCACTCTCCTTGAGCAGAGTACATCCAATGCCGCCATGTGTAAGCCAACTTCCTGCAGCCTAGCCCCTCTTACATTGTCCGTAGCGGCATCGAATTTGTCAATCGTGCCATCTGGACACACTGTGTGTTGACAACATTTGATACACAACAAATATGACTGTCACAGCGTGGGATAGAGCTATGTAAGTTGCTGTTCTATCAACATGGTAGGTCGCCTGGGGATCATTTCGTGAAGAGTTAAGGTGGGTGGCGTTATGCGCTGTTACCAGGTATATTCTAGACTGTTCCGGCCTCGATACATCCTCTAATGTAGCACGGCAAATGTCCATGATGGGAGCCTTTGGCCAGACCAGCAGATAACCATGCACTGCCCGACCAATCTATAATGCTTAAAGGGATAGTCCAGAGCCGTCTTTAGATATCCTCTCAAAATGCTGGCTTGAGCCAGTTCGTAGTCGGAACTATCCATGACCGGATCCGGTCCCTGCCACTTCCTCAGGATGAAAGCCTCCTCCCTGAATCTAGATTCCGTGTTCATAAACCTGTACACTACATCGCCGGCCCTGGTACCGTAGGGGACGAGGAGCCAGCCCCTGCCCCTCACACGCGCGAAACAACGGCCGTCGAGGACTGTGCTGTCGCCCGTGGCGTAGAGGTACTCTCGCATCTCATCAAAGATGTCAATTTGTTCGAAGGCCATCCCAGCCGCACTCAGGAGTAGTTCGCTCAAGAAGGCGACCAGCTGCTCCCGCGACAAGGAGCTCGTTGAACCCTGACTGCAAGCCATCACCCCTTTTTCCCTCTGCTGCCGCGTGGCACCTTCCCACGCTATGGTCGCAAATTCCTCGGCCAGGGCTCTCGTGGTTGTGCGCTTGTGCTCCTCGATCTCCTCTGCCGTCGCCAGGTGCCTGCGGCTCTGCCACCTGTTATGAGCCAGTCCTCCGAGCCCCGACAGGAGGTTGCGCGCATTGCGCACCGCTTCGGCGTCGAAAGGTATCGATGTCGGCACGGGAATGTCGCACGTCTGCTCGACCACCCCGCAGCACCGCCCGATGTGCACCAGTATCGACGACTTGACGATGACGTGAAGTTCCGGGCTGTGGCTCGGCGCGGCGTCCTCCACGACGATCAGCGGCATGGGATCCGAGGGCCGCGCCTTGGCGGCGGGCCGCTTGGCCGTCCAGTCCGGCACCCAGCTCGGCAAGACGCCGTCACGGCGCAGCCTGCCGCTGCCGTCGTCCTCCGCCGAGAGCAGTAGGGCATCGACGCCCCACTGATCGAGAATGTACTTGGCAGCACCGAGATACGCATCGCGCACGGGGGTGGAGTAGTCGACCTCGACGTATCTCCTCCACGTGTGTGCCTCTGAGGCCATGCCCACGTGGGCAAAGATCATGTCCACGGGCTCCTGCACGCCGAGGCCGCGCCGGTTGGTGAGGAAGTGGGCGAGGAGGCTCTTGTTGCCGTGCCACCGGTTCCCCCGCGCCACGGCCATGTCGTGCACCAGCTTGAACCTCTGGTTGTGCTTGGGCAGGTCCATCAGCGCGCGCCCGAAGAGGCACTGCGCCAGGTCGTCCCATTTGACCTTTGCGCGGCCGCACTGCACCCAGGGGACGTCGGACAGGACGAGCTCCTGCAGGACCCAGACTCTCTGGAACCACGGCCGCTGGAGGATGTCCAGAGCTGCCGCGGTCAAGACCTCCCTGCGCGCCGCTTCGTCCTGCCGAGTACTCGTCCCAGCGGCAGCGGCAAAGACGAGCTCAACGTTAGGCGTCAGGCCGCCGAGGTGGATGATGGTGTTCCGCGCCGTCGCATAGATCGTGCCCATGATCCGCACCTGCCGGCTGCGCTCCTCGACGTCGTCCTGGTTGATGCACAGTGCGTCGGCCCAGATGCGGTGCTGCCGCGACTGGTCGCGCATATCTCGAAGGGCGGCGTCGAGAGAGGCTGTGATGCCATGCCGCCGGCCGTCGATAATGATGGAATGCGAGCGCTGCGGGCTGCCCCACACGTAAGAGAGGGCTGAGTAGGGGTTAATTATGTCGGCGTCGGCTTCGCTGAGGGTGGTGTACAGAAGCGAGCCTGTGAGGTCGGCATTGTGGTCTTGTGATGGGTTGAGGAGGAGGAGCCTGATGGAGGAGTCGTGCTGGAGGGGAGCGTATTCATATGGCATAAGGGACTGCATCTCTCAGGTTTCTGGTGGACCTGTTTGGTCTCACGGCTGTGATGGTCGATCGGCGAAGATTGAAGCTATCACGGAGGAATGTGGTCACTAGATTGTTGCCTTACAGACAGCCAAGGCACATGCACGTACTCAGCCCCTGTCACCCCGCCTCATGCAGGTTGTCAGATCAATCTTCCAATTACGTACATGGTAGCTGATCTAGGTCACCCTTCCTAGCCTTGTTTCTGTTTCAATGTACCTAACCCTTATTCCGTTGAATTTCTTCAAAGAATCCGCTTATTTCACTTGATTTTGGTCACACTTTGGCAACTATTCAATCTCAAACCGCCTCAATGATCGCAAGCAGATATGCACTTCAAACAAGTCACTATACTCGTGAGGACTGCCGATGTATCGGCTAGTTTACTCTCAGTCGTGGGAGATGCTCGGAGTTGTGGCGTTGATGCATGTAGCGTTCGCCATGCTTGCCAACGCGCGATCCAGGAAGAAGAGTTCTCCACCACCATCTGTTGCATTCAGACAACACGATCGAGCTCCATCACAGATTATTAGAAGGGCTTTGGCTCTGAGGAGCCCCCGAGACTTACTGTCCCTAGGCCCTCATGACTGGCTGAAGAGATTGAGGTTTCATTACCAAAATCATCCAGTCAATTTTCACAATCTTTATTCTCCTCTGAAGGACCAAGAGGCTATGCATCTGGGTATTTCCTTGCTCCAGAACTTGAAGATGTAATCCTAATCAAATTTGTTTTTCTCTTCCCTGTCTTTCAGTTCCATGATCTTCCTCGTTGCTTAGCTGCAACTGCTAGACTTTGTGTAAACATAAGCAGGTTTATGAGAGTCGCAGACCCACCCAAAGCTTGAGCTTTACCAGGCCATCTTGGCCAGAATGCCGTTAGGGTAGCGACGGACACAAGCCTTGCGGGCCTCGTCGAGCATGAGGAGACCCAGCCCCATAGCGGCAGGCAGGAAGTAGTGGTAGGCCGGGACACCCGAGGTGTCGAGCACGACCTGGAGCTGGGGAATATAGAGCCAGATGACAGCGATGCCAAGAGTGAGCGCAATCGCGGGGAAGAGGAGCAGGTTTTGCGTCTCCTTATTGAATGCCGGCGGGTGCTGGAAGATGGACAGGTGGCGGGTGCGGACTGCCATGAGGTTGAACCATTGCCTGCGGGCCATGTCAGCTCTTTTCTAAACATGCACTGTCTGCAACGGAGAAGTCAAACCTACATGACGACGAGATTGATGAAATAGATCGACGAAGCTTCGTTGATTTTAGCGTCGTAGTCGTCCTTCGTCACGTACGAAGGTACCTCGCCGAACCTGAACCAAATGTCGCTAAAGTGGATGCCCTGGCGCTCAAGGTACCAATATGCCATTGTGAAGGATAGAGTTGTCTCAATCATACCAACCACAGCGTATGCCTGGAAGATGAGCTTCCAGTTGACGAGACGAGTGGTCTTGGGGTTACGCGGGGGCCGGAGAAGCACGTCAGCCTCGGGAACTTCGTAGGCCAAGACAATGGCGCCGATACAGTCGGTGAAACAGCTGGAATACAATTAGCTACAATGTAGTACAATTTGACTACCTTTATCAGGGGTCCTTACCAGATAATGATCATCAAGAATGAGGACAGAATCTGGGGCAGTCCAAATATGACGTTCGTAAAGACTGGCCAGAACTCGGACCAGGACCCAGCCGGAAGGAGGTAAGCAATGATCTTCTTCATGTTGTCAAAGACCACACGGCCGTACTTGACAGCCTCGACGATGGCGCCGAACGACTCGAGGAGGACCATGTCGGCCGCCTCGATGGCGATGTCGGACCCGCTGGCGAGCGAGATGCCAATGTCGGCGGCCTTGAGCGCGGGGGCGTCGTTGACCCCGTCGCCGGTCATGCCGACGCACTGCTCGCGGGCCTGGAACTCGCGCACGATGCGCAGCTTCTGGTCCGGCGTGGTGCGGGAGAAGACGATCTCTCGGTACGCGCAGACCTGGTCCCACTGGTAGTCGTTGAGCGTCATGAGGTCGGAGCCGGTGAGCACGAGCGCGGCGTCGGGCGGCGAGCTGAGCACGGCCTTCTCGCTGTCGCTGGACTTGGGGAAACGGATCAGGGCGGAGCTGTCGTGGACGGTGCGCGAGACGACCATGCCGCACTCGCGGGAGATGGCCAGTGCCGTGAGGCCGAAATCGCCGGTGACCTGCAACAAGTCAGAAAAAGGCTCGTGGATAGCGGGAAATTGCATGCGTCGATGATCACTTACCATGAATGTGCGAATGCCAGCACCACGGAGGGTGGCAATGACACCGGGGATTTCAGGACGGGGAGGGTCGATCAGGGCGAGGAGACCAATCAGAGTGAGGCCGCTGTTCGTCTGGGTCATCATGCGTGACTCGAGATCAGAAGAAAGAGTATCATTTCGGATGATGCTGGCGTCGAGGACCTTGCGGGCAACCAGAATCACACGTCTGCCGTCGGAAGACCATTTGTTCTTGAGCTGCATGACCGCGGCGCGAGTTTGCTCCGTCAACGCGACAGGGCTGCCATTGTTGTCGACGATGTCAGAACACCGGTCCAACAAAATGTCAGGTGCACCTTTGACCATCAGTAGACTTGGTACTGTTAGTATGAGATCTCGTGGAGATGCAGACTGATAGGCAGCACTTACACACTGTCGGCCTTGAAAGACTTGGCCTCGGGAGCAGACATGCAAATGGAAAACTGGTTCCGTGATTGGCCCATGGTGAAGGCCTTGGCCATAAACTTGTTCTTGCTGTCAAAGGCGAGCTCAAAGACTTGCCTCCAGGCCTGTCGTAGGGCCGTGACAGGTCCTAACGTCTCCGAGAACCTGAGTGCGGCCTGGTCCGTGGCATCGCCAAATATTCTCCTGTCGGCAAGTGGCTGGGATAAGGTCTCGGCATCAAAGTCGGCGGCATTGCACAGGCCTGCAGCTGCACGGAGCTGGTGAATGGGAGACTCGGCCGTCTTGTTCATATCCTCTCGCACCGAATCCGTGGAGTAGGTCGTGGTACCGAAGGAACAGTCGTTGACAAACATCTTGTTCTATTCCAGAAACGCAGTTAGCAGGGCGCCGAACTAGCTTGATAAGCACGGTGCATCCGTACCCTCGTCAACGTCCCGGTCTTGTCTGAGCAAATGACTGTGACAGCTCCCAGAGTCTCCACAGTCTTGAGAGACTTGCAAAGAATCTTGTTCTTCTTCATAATGTTGGCCGTGATGGTCAGACTGGCTGTCGTCGCGATGGGAAGACCTTCGGGGATGTAGGCGATGGCAACGCTGACACAAGACACAATGAGAGTGGGTACATTGATCCAGTCGGGATGGGCCTTTCGCAGCCATCCTCCCCTAAACAACGGTCAGTATCGATTCCGTGGCAATGAAAAAGGCCGTCGAGAACATACCAAACAGCAGCAAGAATGACGATCCATGAGATCATGATTAGAAAGATCAACAAGACGAAGCGGAAGATCTCCTTCTCGATGGTGGTGAGACCACTCTTGGGCTCGCCAGTCAGCTTGGCGATCTGTCCAAAGACGGTCGAGTCACCAGTCGCGACAACAATACCAGTGGCGGTACCGGACACACAGTGCGTTCCCTGGAGACCAATGCAATGCGTCTCGAGATAGTTGTCGTCAGTAGACTCGACTGTGGCCTTGACTGGCTTGGACTCGCCTGCGATAAATGTTCTCGTCAGCGGATCTCTGATTCGATCGTCTTGATACGAAAAGTCTTACCAGTCAAAACGGCACGGTCGACGGTCATCTCATGGGAAACCTCCAGATACCGGACATCAGCGGGGATGCGGTTACCAGCCTTGAGCAGAATGATGTCTCCGGGCACGAGATCCATGGCGCTGACTTCAACACGCTGACCGTCACGCAAAATGTGGCAGGACTCCGGAAGCATTGCTGTGATAGATTGCATCACGCGAGATGATGAAAAGTCCTGCCAGCCATTGAAGGCGGCCTGGATGACGAACACGGCGATGAGGACAATACCGAGGGCGAGATTGGCGACGGCAGGTGGATCACCCAGAGGCTTCCACGAGATGAACACAAGGATGCCACCGATGCAGAGGATGGAACCGAAGCCCTTGAAGAAGTAGCCCATGATCTTCCAGAACCACGGATTTGGTAACGGAGAGATCTTGTTCTTCCCGTGCTCCTTTTGGCGCTTTTCTACCTCGGATGAGGAGAGTCCCCTCTCGGATTGAACAGCGAGTTTCTTCTGCACATCCTGAATGGATTGTTTATGCCACTCAATGGCCTCAAACTCTATGAGTACAGGTCAAGATATTGCTCTTGTTCGTTAACCGCAGGCTGCACCTACTGAGAACCACGGCGTCTTTGGATTTTGCAGCACCAATCTGTCTCTGCCGCTCGGCTTCGTCGATATCCTGGGAGCTGGAGGCAGAGCATGCGTTAAAAGCCACGGCGCGACCCGCAGAAAGGGGCTCAAGTTACTCACAGGCTGCGATATTGAATGGGAAGAGCGGTAGACGGGTCAATGGACCGACGGCGGCTGGTTGACCGCCTTAGGGACTTGGCTCGCTCTTCCACAGCCTTTTCCGCAAAATCGGCATGGTCTCTCCTGGACACACGAGGATTGTTTTCCTCGTCGCCTTGCTTCCAGATGAGGTTGTCGTTGGGCGCCATGTGGCACAGGGTTGTCGCGTGGTTGCGTACGGCGCTGGAAGGGATAGAGACAGAGGTAGGAGGGTGGTATTGATGATATTACAGCAACAGCTCCGATCTGCGATATGACTTATATAGATGCATGACACATGCAGGTCATTCGCGTGCGGCATGGGCAGAAAAAGACTATTTTGACAAGCTCTGAGGCATTTTCGGTTTCTTGCCAACGAATGAAGCTATCCTGTCTCGGAAACGAGAATGGCAGGCCCTTCGGATAACCTAGATGGGAACAAGCTCCGAGCTGAAAGCACAGACGAGATCACATCACTCTAGTGACCACTTGGCGGAATTGGCCGAAGTGTACACAATAATTGTCGTCACTGATGTTAGCATATCAGGCTCCGGTGGTCTGGGGCGAGGATTGGACGAGAGGTTTCTCTGCCGGCAATGAACTGCTACTAGCAACCTTGATGCCAAACAGTGGGCTCTAGCAACCCGTGCAACAGCAACTAACACTCGCAACTATTCACCTGCCATGGTACCTCGTACAGAAGATACCAGTGGGCGTCGTCAGCAGGAGGAGGAATGCCATTACGTTAAAATTAGGTAAAGAGCTGAGCATTGGCTCATAGATGTCGAGCGGGCGTCTGACGTTTTGGGACAGTCGAGTGGCACGGTCGGATTTCAGGGGCGAGGCAGGGAAAATCACTCACGTCCTGCTGATTGTACGATGTCAAACTAGCAAAAGGTCCCTCCGTTTTGGTGATGGAGCGCTACAGGAGTATTAGCTTATGCCGCAGAAAGGCCCACGCATGGTGGTGTGTTCGGTTAAGAAGAACCTTGGACTACCTCAGCAACGAGCCTCCCTTCTGGTAATTAGCATCTTGGCCCCCTGTCAATTTCCCGCTCCCCACAAACCTTAAAAGAGTCACGGCTTGGCTAGGCTGATCCCCCCACAAGAGTGTGCGCGGGAAAGGTACTTGGCATCAAGTCGTGTGCCTGATACTGCCGCTCACGAAACACTGGTTGGTCATCATCTTGGAGTACAGCGACGCTCTGGCGCCAGAGACCCAGGAGGAGCTTGGAGATTATTGAAAATTCTAAAGGGAGTGGGTTTCTTACGTTTCGTCACCAATAGGACTGCACCACGAGATCATGGATCGGCTTCTCTGTAGGTTGCGCTCGGACAAAGTAATGCAGAAATCCCGAGGCGTGCTCTGCGCTGGCTCTCCGGCCCAGAGACGTCCCAGGACGAGAATTGAAACGAAGGCTCCAACTTATCCTGGGAAGGAGATCTGGCAGTGATATTTATAGACGGTTCAGGCCGTGCCAGTCCACCAGTCCCAGCAGCCTCTGCCTCTTTCTGATATCTATCAAGATCGTCACTGATATCTCCTCGTCGCGCGCTGCTCACTGATGTTTCTGCCCCGACACGGTGCGGCATGTGATTCTACGGCAAACCGCTTGTGCTGCTTATGTGCCAGTCGGTGAGAGGTTTTCGGTGCTGGGTATGTGATGCCACGAAGCAGATCAAGCTAGGTAGTGTTCATTTCTCTTACTAGAAATCGCTCTGCAAGAATGGTGGGTGTGAGCTGGCGCGCGCCGCGTGTGCGCAGGAGTGTTGTTGTTAGTGGATACGGCAGGGGACAGGCATCCTCGGCTCCTATCCCGACTCGATTAGAGCCTCGCAGGCAGATCGTCGCCCCTGTTTGAGTGAAAGAGGAAGTTGGAGTCTTGTTTTTTTTGTTCCCGTTTGATCTTGCTACGGTGCCCACATTCCGGCACAGCAAATACGGAGGTCGAACAGTGAGAAATAAATGCCTCATGCACACCGCATGCGAGGTCTTCAAATTACCCCGAATCTGGCAATTTACCGCTAACATGCTTCGAGGAGGCCTCCCTCCCCATCAGGAAAGGGATTGATGAAATGCCTGACGCGAGAGAATTATTGACCCTTGACCACTCGTGTCTCTGTCCCGTGAGTGAAACATGGGCGGCGTCTCAGTGAATGCCACAAATCCCGCACAGTCACAAGACACCGACTTGTTAGGTGGCCCCGGCGCGAGACGGGACAAGGAGGCAGCGATGATCAGCGGTAGCGAATGTTGTGCTTCCCTCTTGCTAGGCACGAATTTCCAGACACTCTGTCCACCGAAGGCGCCGAGCCCTTTGACTGGCCTCCAAGCGAAAGCAATGCTTGTTTTGGTGAAGCAGCGCCCTAGTAGACTCAATGCTCTCTGCGATTCCATCCCATTTATTTCCAGTAGAAAAGGAGCGGTGCAAGTCAGTCGGTGGCAGCACGGTTCCTCTATGTTGTACGTGACCTGGCTAGACGGCGCATCTCATGCCTTTTTGCGCTCTCCCACAATGTCCTGTTAGAGCGGGCTTCCCAGCACTCTGTCGCCCTGGTCCTTGTCATCTGAAGATGGCGGAAACATTCGACTCCGACTCGTCCCAGACCAAGAACACGTTACCCGTGATCCTTCTGGTATCACTCCTCGTCATCACCTTGGTCACAGGCTATGTCGCTCACCGTTCGTCGCGGACGCTACCTGTTAGGGAAGCGGTGCAGTCGCGGATGGCGATCCTTATGCCTTCTCGAGGGCTGGGAGAAGAGGCAGTTCAGAGTATTCCTATCGTGAAATATCACTCACGACAAACGCTCGAACCTGGACCGACCAATGAACACCACCAAAGTCGATCGGCAAATCCATCTACCGCCTTGCCGGCACCATCGCCTCCAATATCACCGCCTCTGCTGAATCGATTCAAGCTCACGCTGCCCTTCTTGAAGAACAGAACACTGGAAAGGCCAAACCCGGATGGCCCATCAACCTGCTCCATCTGCACCGAGGATCTTGTGGAAGGGGTCGATCTACGGAAGTTGCCTTGCGGGCATGTCTTTCATCCACATTGTGTGGATCCTTGGCTTCGTGACCGCGCCCGAACTTGTCCCCTCTGGTAAAAGCCCCATCCTGCAGAGATCTTGACTGGCAGTATACTAATGACTGAACCTGGTTGCCAAAGCCGGGTTGATCTAGAAGCTCAATTAGCAGCCAATAATATCCATAGGCCAGTGAGGCTCAAGGCTTTTGGGTTCCGTGCGGCGCGAGTGGCTGTTTAGCCCCCTTATGGAACCAAAGCTTGCTGAATTGACATGTCATATGGAAATGCTTGACTGATTGTGGGTAAAGTACACTTAACTCCGTATATTGTTTCATCTGATGACAAAGACTTTGACGTTCAACAGACGCTGAAACCCATCTGCAGGGCACGCTCGGCAAGTGCTGTCGCTTGGTCACTTAGGTCCTGGCCCTCTCGATACATCCTCTTCGCCTCCTCTGAACGCGAGCACTGGCGCTCATCGCCTGCCAAGTTTTTGAGCAACTGAAGGAATGGATTCACTAGCAGAATATCGGATAAAGCCTGTGGTGATGCGGGATACCGGAGCACATTACGGAGTAGAACTGTGCTGATGGCATACCACGGTTGGAGGAGAAGCCTGGTGGGACTAGGTTAGTCAAATCCACAGCTCTGGAGAAAGCATGAAGCAAGATAGTTGCTCACCAAACGCAGGCATAGTCGCCCTGGGGTGCGATCTGAAGAAGCCGGAAGGCCTTGCGCGACTGCACCACACAGGTACTCTCGGAGGGCACAATCAAATGCGGCGAGTGCTCCGCCATGAAATGCTCTGGTGGCGGAAGATGCCTGTCCACCAAGGCCAGGCAGTGAAGATATGTGAAGCGCAGGATGAGCATGTGTAGGGCTTCAGGCGAGAGAGGAACCGATATCACACCTCCAAGAGTGTCCTCAAAGTCAATCGGGACGCTACTTTTCCAGTATAACAATGCAGTGTTGAGCTGTAGGGCGACTGCCTCCGTCTGTGAGCGGGACTGTTGTGAGGCGCGGACCGAGTACAACAACTTGTAGATCTGCCCCTGTAGAACAGCCAATCCTATTCGGGTATTGAAAAAGTCAACGGGACAGAAGCCAGGCTCTCCGGGGCCGAGGCTGGGGACAACTCCTGATGGCAACTCGACGTCCATGTCATCATCATCCTGGGAATACGCCTGGCCAATGCGCAAGCTTATGTCTCTGTCCAGGAAGTACACGGCCCAGAATACACGGCGCCGTTGCTCAATTTTCGTCTCTGTCAAAGTCGGATCCTGGCATTTCCGATGTAATCCCATAGACTGAGCCAGCCGCATTGTCGTCGCGATTAGTATCGAGGCCGGATGTGGGTTTGGGGTTGCCTGGATAATGAGGACGATGCACAAAAGTGCCTGTATTGCGAGGAGGCTCTGTTGCATTAGGCTGAGCTCGGATATGACTGCAATGGCGTTGTGGATGTAGCCGCACGACTGCTTGTTATCATACGCTGTCGTGAGTGTGCGCATTGCTCGGAAACGATGACCTAGGGCTAGTACGGCATTGATAGACGCCCACCAGTCCGGCTGGCCGGGGTTCGAGTCAAGGTACCACTCTTCGAATTGCTGTAGGAACTCACGTTCGTCAAACACATGAAAGTATTTGTTGAAGTTGCTGAACATGTCCATGATCAGTTCAAGGGCCACCGACTTCGAGGGAAGCGGATGAAGCGTAGGGAAGGAGGAGCGAGGTCCCCGTGATAGGGCTTGATCATGGGGATGTGTGATTGACATTGGAATAATGGAGTCGTTGTCTTTTGGCATGTCAATGCCGACCTGCACCCTGTCTCCACTTAGGAGTTGTGGTGAATGCGAGTGAGCTATGCGAGTTATACCGGAGTTGTATGTCGGTTGCTTCAGAACCTCTGAACCTATCCGGGGGCTCGGACTTGACACAGGGGCACGACTGAAGCCTTGCGGTACTAAGTTCTCTGAGGTACTTGTCGGAGCTATCTCAGCTCGGTGATTGGGCTCACTCGAACGATGCTCTGCAAAGGTCTTGGCTAGAAGATGTTCCATTCTGTGCAGCCTGTCTTCAAGTTCATTAAAATGTTTGAACCTGCCCGCATGATTAGCGCGTCCTAGGGGTGTTGAAATAGGAGTTTCACTAACCCCGTCGGCCTTCGAGGTTTCCGCGTTGTTGATATTGGAGTGAAGTGACATGACTTGCCGGTCTTTGCACAGTACGTACAGCCGTCAGCTGTTGGCTGGCATCTGATTTTCCTTTTTCGACATGCATCGCAAGCCTGATAGAAGTGTTATCATGCGCAATCCAACAATCTCAGAGTTCTGCAACCTACGCCTGTAGGAGCCTGCCGCGCCTTGGTGGGATGTGGTTGCTCCATCAGCAGGGTATGCATATGTTCCAACGCCAGTAATGCTATTGTCAACGAGGATAATCAGACGAACAAATGATGCCTAGAAGATGGATATCTCGTGGAAGCAGACCGAGTTATGTGATGATGAGGTAATAAGATCCCAAAACATCTGGATGACAAATCAGCCCTATTGCGTTTTCAGTCCCCGCGCGGCTAAGTAGTGCTATCGGATCTGATGCTTGTAACTTAACAAGCTCCAAGCTAGTATTTGTAACAATGGACAGATTAGTCAACAGGTTGTAGCAGCGATACTTGGGCCGTGGGATAGACCTGATGGGCTCGAAAGCAAGGCTCGAGGGACAATGCTGCCCAGATACTGAGTCCAGAAGCAGACCGTCACTCATGACGCCTGAAGCCTCTGACCATAACTGGATGAGGTTATAACCGCCACAATCTAAATCTTCACCCAGCAGTCTCGTTTTATAGAAAAGGAGGCGCATGTAAGGAATCTAATTGCTGAAAGCTTATTCTCTATTTATTGCAAGTTCCTCCAAACACAATGAATGGATGCACGATCTTGGCCAACAGCAACGTCGATGGCCATCACAGACCCCGGGTTTCGAGCGTGCGGGTCTAAAGGCCCACGAAAAAGAGGAACAGTTGCTGAGATGATGGCGGCGCACGAGGTTCCCTTCGGTATACCTTACTCTCCAATGAGGCGAAAGGTGTTGCCCTCGTGCATACTGTCAATAGTTGATTCATGATACACCAGAGTCACGAGATTCGAGCTGAACTGCCTGGCCTGGATATCTATCATTGCATACTTCCCATTAGTCCACTGAGCGATAGATTTAGAACATTGCTATATCCAAGATTCAAAACTTCTTGTAGCCCACACCCTTGGCAAATGTCTGGTACCACGGCCCCTGGGCTTTGTCTTCTGCAAGTTCAGTGTAAAACTTGCCATGTGCGGGCCCATTGATGTCCATCATGGCGGGAGCACCCTCGGCGGTGCGCTCATCAGCGTAGTAGAACCTTCATCGGTGGGATTAGTGTCGCCCTATACGAGTCTGAAAGTGAAGATACAGGAACCTACTTGTATCCCTTTCCCTTGTAGCCTTCGGCTGCACACTGGATCATGTGGGCGGTAGCACTTTTGCCAATTCCGAGATCCATCAGGTTGGGAAGGGGGTGAACGACCAAGTAGTTGCCGGTATAGATGAATGTCCGCGATGCAGACTCTGGGAGCTGGTCAAAAGCCAACACTGCCTGCTGGGCGGCAGCGAATGCGCTGGTCAAGTTGACATTCAAAGTATTTTTGAAATCCGTGAATGGCAGACCGAGTGGGTTATGCTCATTGTAGAATGTAGCAGCGGCCGCTGTGACGAATGATCAGTCTACGTTGCACCATAATCAACTCTTTTGAAAAATTTCACACCATTGTACACGACGACACTAGGAAGGCCCAGCTTCGACTTGACCTTGACGAAGATGTCGGGAATGCAGGCAGGATCGGCAAAGTCAGCCCGTATATGCAATTGCTCAGGCGTGCTGTCCTCCTCTCTCAGGCTTCGTGCGGCGAGGGCGATACGATAACCCTTGGAAGCGAAAGCCCTGCCAACGTGGCCGCCAATATTCGAGCCAGCCCCCAAGACAAGGGCAACAGGAGATCCGGAAGGCATGTTGTGGTATGCCGATTCTGCTGGACCGTAAGATGCAGTGTTGAGGCGTGAATTTATTCTAATGATGCTGTCTTTGACTCAAGGCTTGACGAAAACATTACAGGAAGCCCCCAAGACTCTATATATATACTCTGGCGACCGTCAATCCTTTGGTCGCACCTTGAGACCGACCTGGCCAATCCCATTCTATCACTGGTTCGCGGAGCGGACCTTACAAAGGGTCCGGGGGTTAGGGGGTTAGCGTGCACTGCCGTGTCATCACCCGCGCGCGCGATTACGTCGGCGCCCAATCGCCTCATCTCTTCCAGTAGGCTTATCAAGAATGGACTTGCATCTTTGCATTCAGGCGTGATTACAGAGCCTGATTACTGAGCTGAGAAGTGAGGCCAGTTTTCTATCGTGATGCCTGTCCCTTTCTCACTTGCTAATTCAAGCTGACATGTTGCCAATACATGGCGCTGGATATCACCGTCCTTTGCAACAATACCAAAGAGATAGTTGTCGATGCTTGTTATTGTTACAGATAGCCAAGTTGAGATCTAATCTTTCTTTAACAATATACATGAAGCTTCTATCAGCCGGTCCATCCATCCTAAACTTTACAAACATGCGAACTGTAGTACAACTGCCAATCTAGATCAAGCGGTGATCATGCAAGATCTCGCCAGCCTCCGTGCCGTCCAACCTGTGGATGAAGAACTGCCGCAGCCGCTCGGGAAGCCACCACTTGTCCAGCTCCTTGCCGTCACGCAGCTGGCTCATGGCCTCGAGCAGCGTGCGTATGTCCCACGTCGAGCCAAACACCTCGGGCACGGCGCGGTCCACCTTGAGCAGCTTGTACACGGCCTCCATGCCCGTGCGCACCGAGTACTCGGTCGTGAAGATGGTGTCGCGCGTCGCCGTCTCGGCGAACTGGCCCAGGAAGGCAAAGTTCTCGGCGCCCTCGGGCACGACGTCGGGCCGGTCGCCGGCCTGCCGCGGCATGAAGAAGGCCGTCACGTAGGGCATCATGACGGGCACGCAGCGCGCGGCCGACGCGGCGAGCTCGGGGATCTGCTCGACGGGGACGCCGAGGTGGTACAGCCACTCCTGCGTGATCTCCTCGCCCGTGCAGTCCTGCATCGGCTTCTTGACGTAGTCGCCGGGGACGTCGACGAGCAGGCCGTAGACCCAGACGACGATCTGGTCCTTGCGCTGCTTCTTGAAGTGCGGCTGCCGGTTGACGGTCCAGCTCATGAGCCAGGCCGAGTCGCGGGCTGTGACGATGCCGCCTGTGACGACGCGCCCGCTGAAGGGGTCGCGCTTGCAGATGCGCTGGATGTACTCCGGGACGCGCTTGTCGAGCGTCGTGACGGTCGCCGACTGCCACTTTGTCTCCGGGATGTGCGCGCCGAAGACGTCCGGCCGGCCGAAGGACGGGTCCTTGGCTGCGACGCGGCGCCAGAGCTCCCAGGCCGGGGCGTGGCCCTCCTTGATCTTGGCAGGCGTGTGCTGGTCGCCGAGGTCAGAGTTCTCGGTCAGCGAGCCGATGATGGTAAAGACGAGGTCATCTGGTCCCAGGTCGACGCCGCCCTCCGTGCCGTCCCGCACCCAGTGGATGCGCGTGGCGCGCTTGCTCTTCTCCGTGATCTCAAAGTCGATGTCTGTGACCTCGGTGTTGTACTGGAAGTTGACGCCGTGGTCGCGCAGGTACTTCTCCAGCGGCAGGACGAGCGACTCGTACTGGTTGTACTTAGTGAACTTGAGAGTGGAGAAGTCGGGCATGCCGCCAATGTGGTTGACGAAGCGGTGGAGGTACAGCTTCATCTCCAGCGCCGAGTGCCACTTCTGGAAGGCAAACATGGTCTGCCAGTACAGCCAGAAGTTGCTGTCGAAGAAGTCCTGGGTGAAGACCTCGTTGATGCGCTTGTTCTCGACCTCGTTCCGCGAGGCGAGGAACAGGTGCATGATCTCCTTCTGCGCCTTTTCGCTGAGGGTGAAGAGGTGCTTGGTCTCGGCATCCTGGCCCTGCTTGATGGTGGCGCGCTGGAGCGAGGAGTTGGGGTCACGCTTGTTGAGCCAGTAAAATTCGTCTAGCACGCTGGCATTGGGCTCCTCGATTGACGGCACGGACCGGAAGAGGTCCCAGAGACACTCAAAGTGCTCTTCCATCTCTCGGCCGCCGCGGATGACGAAGCCCTTTGCGGGCTCGTCCATGCCGTCAAGGGCTCCACCTGGGATGCGGAGCTCCTCGACCAGCGTGATGTTCTTGCCGGGAACCTGGGCATCTCGGACCAGGAAGGCGGCAGTGGACAGGCCGGCCAGGCCGGAGCCGATGATGTAGGCCTTTTTGTTCTCGGCGCCCTCCGGTTTGAGGGGGTGCGCGAATGCCTCGTAATTTCCGTGGCTGTAGTACATGATGTAATGTGGTAGTATGTGTAAAGTGCGTAAGCTTCAGATCGTGTGGGGTGTGTGGGTTGTAATGGTGTGTTGATGGTAATGTAGGATTGTATCCAGGGGTATCAAGTAGTCATGAGGATATGCAGCATAATACATCGTGCACTCTGTGATCACCATAGCTTCCTTTATATGTCCCATTACTTCGCGATATCCATTACTCGCGACGGCGTTCCCAGCGGCCGACCAAGCCCGTGGCACATGTCAGGAGAGAAGAAGCATATCAGCAAGTTGGCGTGTTCGGCCCGTCGGAGAGTGGCGGAGGCACAGCTGGAAACAATTGAAACAATTGGATGGGTGCCCATTTTCTGGGCTGAAATAGTGGGTAGTTGGACCTGCTGTTTCAGGGACAGGCGCTGTAGGGAGTGAGAATGTTCTGGTCGTTCGGGTTTGCATGATCTGATCTCCTGACTCTAACCCGGCGGCCCACAAATCGCCCACCGGCCTCGGCACGGGGTCCGGAGGATGCCGCACCGACTCGCATTTGCCTCGGCGAGCGTCATCGCCATGCTCTCGCGACCTTCTCGCCATATAACCACTCCGTCGCCCTCGCCGCTGCGGCGCTCGTGCCGTGATTGATTTCTCCAGGTACCAGGCGTTTCGCACATCTGGGGTCAAATACCACCTCCCGAGTCGGATCCGGATCTGACGCTGCTAATAAGATGGGGCTTTGGTTTTAAGGTTTGGACTTAGACTGTGCAATCCCCAAAGTGTTTTGAATCTGGGTCTGTTTAGCGCCTGGTCCTTCTGGGACGCCAACGACTCGGTTCCAAGTCAATCAGGCGTGAATGTCCTGTTTCACGGCCAATGAACATCTATTCACTGAGATCCTCCCCTTTTGGATGGACCGGAGACTGTCGGCTTTGACCGGTCACGTAATGGGATCGAGCCACAGCACGTGGATCACTGCTCTTACCAGTGAAGCCAGAGGATTTCCCAGACTCCGTTTATTGCACGACACACAACATTCCTGCAGGACTGTTAGCGAATCGAGCATGCGAGGAGCCTGCAAAAGGGTAAGAGTCGAACGCACCCGCCGAGATTATCGACCCCGTTAATGCCAATCCACCGCTTGCCAGTCCCTGAAGCAGGGGCCCAACCCACGCCCGTTTTGCCTTGTTCACCGTCTCCAGCCTCTTCTCAATGTCGGCTCTTAGCTGCTCCAGCTCCTTTCTTGTCCGTTCCAGCTCCGCCTTGTAGGCGTCCTCGCGCCACTGGCCCTGCTGCATTAACTGAGCGTGGTATCGTGTCTCCCATTGGATTCTTCTGTCCTGTTCTCGGGCGAATATTGTTAGCTGTTGCCTTTGTGCGTTGGATTCTTCTCGGCGCTGGGAAACGGCTTCTAGTTGCTGTCGGCGGAGCTCGGCGATGGTGACGTCTCGGTTGAGCGCTTCGGCACGCATCTCTGAGAGAACTTGTTCGCGGAGAGCCTGTTCACGTTCCCTTGATGCAAGCTCCTGGCGCCAACGTGATTCCCTGGCCTCAATATCTGCCATGAAATGCTCCTTCTCATCAGAATGAATTTCGAAGAGTGAAATCTGCATGGCACTTTGGTCGGCGCGGATTTGTTTCAAGATAGTATCTGTGTCTTGTTCTTGCTCAGGGCTTGATCCTTCGTTCCCAACTTGGGTTTCCTCAAGTGTCGCACTTAACCCGGATCTTTTGACCTCATGATACTGATATGTCTCGTCTAGATGGCGGGATAGCATCTTCCCAGCAACGGTCTGATTGAGGGGCAGTAACTCGTTGACAAGTTCATGTTGGATGGAGAGGGCAATCTCGTCGTTCTTCCAGTACTCGAATGCTTCTTTGAAGATGCGTTTTGCAGATGCCACGTCGATCGTGGAGCTGTCTCTGCTCTTGAGCCGCTTAAGGAGACCTTTCCCGTCGAGGATCTCCGCCAGATGCTCCTCTTTGAGTTGTTCTTCTCGTGCAACTTGCTGGACCCATTCCGTGCTCGACTCGTCAGGTGTCCACATGCTCGTCACGATAGCTATGTTGCGAAAGGCATCTTCGCCGCTGAGAGCTTTGAGCATTTCAATATTGAATCGTCTTGTCCTCCCCAGTCGTGGATCTGATATTTGATGCAAGTAGATCAACCCGTTGAGATAGTTCCTGTTTGCGTACGCTACAGAAAAAAAGTTGGAAATAGTTTTCAGTATTTCCAAGTCAGATCGATTCGTATCCTACGGTACATTAGAAATGCACTTGTTGTGCTTGATCTAAATCTGATAACTCACATCGAAACCCGGCGTGTCGATGAAATAAACGTTGTATTCTTCTTTCACATGATGAAAAATGCTCACAGAACTGGTGCCTGTCCTATAATTAGCCTTCTCACAAATAGTGAAAGGATGGGAGAATGTACAGGACGAAAGTTCGTGACTGATCTTCACGTCATCTCGCCCGGTCACCGCACTGATAAAGGAGCTCTTGCCAGATCCCGTAAGTCCTGAAGAGCTCGATCAGCATGCTACGGCATACTCTAAGATAGCCTGGTACTGTATGCCCACCCATGACTGCTATGAAAACAGGGTTTGGCCTGTGGTGTTCTGTCAGACATCTTGTGGCAAGTGCCCGAGATGCGGGGTCTTACCTGACTTTCTCAGACCCCTTGAACTGCAGAAACCGCATGAAGTTATTGACCTCTTCTCGAAAGACATTGGTTGCCTCGGATGACATGGCGACGAGCTCTGATGGGCCACGGGCAACTGTCGCATCGATGTAGTTTCTGCAATGGCGGTGACCTGGGATCGGGTCTCTTTAGTGTATAAAAATGGGAAAAGAGAAGAGAAAGGGGCCTTCCAAATTACAGAACAAGGCTGAACCGCATGCATCTCAGGAAGAACCCCGCATCCTGTGTGACACACACGAGATTGCTATGAGACATGCCTGTATGCCCTGGCGCTCCCAATATTACCCGTGGCGCACTGCCATTGGACACATCGCGTGCATGCAGCTTCAGCCTCACCGCTGGTATGATGCAGAGTGAGGACGCCTGGAGCCAACCCCTCCTGAGAACCCGACAGGGTTAGCAGCTCAGCTGGCTTCGTCACAGCCTCAATCAACAGCTCTTCCATCCCGTACTTGACCGCCAAGACCCAGGAAGAGGTTTGCCGATCTTACTTTGTCAATTCATAGCCTCAGGGAACCGGAAGAATCTGTGTATGTTGTGAACAGGTATTCATGTCCTTCTCCCGTCTCAAGATCGAGCAAATGGCTGAAACGAGTTGCTGCTAGTGGGCCTATATCCCCAACCGAGCGTACAGCCTGACTATGTCTTATGACCTTTTCTTCGACGGTGTCGAGCCAAGGTAAGTTGCTCAAAACCTTTGCGTTAATCGGAAACGCTAATATCGAGCCCCAGTGCGGATGATGTGATCATTGCGGTGATGGGAATGACGGGTGCTGGCAAGAGCTCCTTCATTTCGTTGTGCTCGGACAAGAAGCCGCCCATTGGGCATGATCTGAATTCTTGTACGTGGTCCACGTTGTTAGAATGAGCAAGCCACTAATGACATGTTCCTGGACTCAAGGTACCCAATCGGTCGACACATACCCCTTCCTCTACGGTGGCCCTCCCCAGAGGAAGATCTTCCTCGTTGACACTCCCGGATTCGATGATAGTTACCGCAGCGACACCGAAGTGCTTCGAGGCCTGGCGGCTTGGCTAAGCGCGACATACGCCAGAGGAACTCGCCTGTCTGGAATCGTATACCTGCATCGTATCAACCAGCCGCGCATGCCAGGTTCTGCCCGGAGGAATATCATGATGTTCAACAAGCTGTGTGGCGACGGCGCTCTCAAGAACGTAATTCTAGCAACTACCATGTGGGACTTGGTGGACCAGATCGAAGGGGCTGCGCGGGAGAAACAGCTTATTGAAACCAAAGAGTTCTGGGGCTACATGGCCTCCAAAGGAAGCAAGGTATACCGGCATGACAACACACGCCGGTCTGCCATGAACCTCATCGGCCACTTTGTCAAGACCGACACCAGGGTGACCCTCGGGATCCAGGAGGAGATGGTCGACCAACAGAAGAATCTGGACGGAACTGCAGCTGGTTCCGTGGTGGAGACAACGCTCCAAAAAGAGCTTGCGCGTTGTACTCAGGAGCTGCGGGACCTTGAGAACGAGCAGCAGGAAGCTCTCCGCAGGAAGGAGCACGAGATACTCGAGACAATTAGCGAGATGCGTGCCGAGTCCAGGGCCGAGCTGGCACAGATACAGGAAATGCAGGAGAGCCTGCGTGTCAGCACGGACAAACTCTACCAGGAGCGCTACGCACAACTCGAGAAGATGATCAAGGAGCGGTCGATGGCGTACAATCCGGAGCTAGGAGTGGCTACGAGAAAACTTTCCTCAGTGAATCTCATCGACACTGATGCAAGTAGCTCGACCGGCCCGCCACACACACATGAATCGCTGCTCGCATCCGGGTCTACCGATGGGATCATCCGGATATGGGACCCAGCAATGGCTGAGTGCAAGGCATCTTTCAAAGCGCACAGCTCCTTGGTAAAGTCGCTGAGCTGGTCGCACGACGGGACACGGCTCGCGTCGGTGGGAGACGGCAACAAAATCAAGATCTGGGACCTGACAGGCCGGCGCTTGCAGACGCTTGAAAGCCATCGACAGCCCATATTCTCGACCGCTTGGTCACCAAAGGGCGCCCGACTCGCATCGTCATCTCAGGACAAGACGATCAAGATATGGGATCCGGAATCGGGACAGTGTCTATCAACAACCAAGATAGATCACAAAGTCGCCGTATTCTTCCATCTGATGTCCTGGTCGAGCGATGGAATGCGCTTGGCTGGGATACACCCTTGCTACAAGATCCAGGTTTGGAATCCGTGGGCAGTCCAGCACTTGCCGGCACTTCAATACCACGGCAATTGCCTTCTTTGTTTGCTCCCGCGACGAGGTACGATTTGCATCCAGGTCTTCCCTTGGCACAATCAAGATCTGGAATGCGGCGACGCGCAAGTGGACATTGCTAGACGATAGCGAAACGAAGGCGAATGCGTTGGCTTGGTCGCCTGACGGGACGCAACTAGCATCAGGATTCGGAAGAAATCTAATCAAGATCTGGGATCCAGAAGTAGCCGAGTGCGTGATAACTCTCGGTATTCCGGACCAACAAGTTGCAATCCAATCCTTGGCTTGGTCACACAGCCCAACACGATTCGCGACAGGATACTATCGAAACAACATAATCGAGGTCTGGTATCCGGATGAGAGCGCATGCAAGCGGCTCGAGGACCAAGGCGATGCTTTCTCTGCTTTTCCTGCAGGCTTGTAATGACAAAGAACTCATTTTCAAGTTTCCTAATCCAAATCTAAGGTTACCGCCCCTGGACTTGTCATGCTCAACTTGAATACTGAAGATCCCCGCTTACATCCTGCCTATCAGGAAGGATTTATCTCATCAGTTCGGCAGACTGTTCCAGTCTTTCTCTACTTTCTATTTGTCCGTAGTTTTGCTTAGTTCTTAATAGATTGATAATTGTAATCAACGAAGATGTCATTCTATGCTGCGATCTTGTTATTACCCTTGAACCTTGAATAGTTGTGTCCCAAAACGCGTAAATAGATGGATTCAAGCAGTTGTTCACAGAGCAAAGGCCACCGGGAATGTCGCACTCTTGGGCTCAATTGTCGCTTCTGAGCTGAGTGAAAGAAGTTTAGCGGCGCCCCGCGGCGGAGCATCGCTCAGCCCCGATCACATATCGCAGAGGCAGCCCAAGGCATTTTCAGCTCTTCGACAAAACACGTAGGTTACGTGAACGTCTCGAAAACAGAATAGAAACAACTCAGCGGCCTCTGCCGACAGACACGATCGACACTGATCGCCTGAATGATACCAGCTCACGAGTATGTGAAGTTGGAGCTGGAAGGCGGGGAGTTGATCAGGCTACTTCACCTCCTACCCTCCGCAAATCATGCTGAGGACCGGTCACTGCGGTGCGAGCTCGTTCCCGCGTCCCTTTCCGACCCGCCTCCCTATGTCGCGGTGTCATACACTTGGGGCAGCGATGTCTTCCCCCGCCAACTCTTCGTCGAGAATGCGGCCATCGCCATCACCGAGAACCTCTACCAAGCGCTGGAGCAGTTCCGCGACGAAGAGAAAGCGCGGCTTCTATGGGTCGATGCAGTGTGCATAAATCAGGGGGATGAGGGGGAAAAAGCGGTACAGATACCGCTGATGGCAAGCATCTACAGCAGCGCGACCGAAGTGTTCATCTGGTTGGGCGAAGGGAATGCCGAGATGCACGACGTCATGCGTTTCTTGCAGCGGACTGGGCGCAAGTTCTTCGAGCGTGGGACCGAGATCCTGGAGCCGCGGGATGAGGAACAAGAAAGCCAGGGTTTGTGGGAGCAGGTGATCAGGGATCCCAGCCTCACCAAGGCCCAGCTTGTGTGGGAACGGCCATGGTTCACTCGACGATGGGTGATACAGGAGCTTGCCTTTGCCCAGAGGCCGACAGTGCACCTAGGCCCGGTCAGCATGCCGTGGGAGCACCTGCACGCAGCCACGAAGGCGTTGATTCGACTTGTCTCCGACGGAAGCTTCTTGAACCGCTACTTACTAAGCTACTCGGAGTGGTTTCCGGCAGACAGCCAATCGAGCGTGAACGTAACTATTCTAAACGACATCCGCAAGGGCTTGAGTGCCGCATCAGAGTCTGATGGCACAGTCGGGATATTCCAATGTGTGGCCGACGCGAGCATATTTGACTGCAAGGAGGACAAGGATAAAGTGTTCTCCCTGATCGGCATCTTCAATCACGGGCGGACCGAGCCCCTACGAATTGATTACCGACTTCCCACAGCCGTTGTGTTTGAAAAGTTTGCTCGCTTCTGCTTCGAGCACGGAGACCCGAGGGACTACCTTGACATGCTGTCGTATGCGGGCTTGTCAAGGCACATCCGCAGTGGTGAATCATTGAGAATTCCCTCGTGGGTCCCAGATTGGCGCGTGAAGCTTGAGACCACCGATCTTCTGAGCAACTTCCGAGCCGGACATCGCTTGGCAGCCACTGCAGAGCTGCTATCGGATCTCCAGGAGCTCGTGGTCCGAGGACTCGTTCTCGACAGAGTGCGGTGCGTGTTGCCGCCAATGAACAGTTTCAAATTGGAAATAGAGAGGTACGAGATATTGAGGCCTAGCTTTGATGCACGCTGGCTCGAAGCATTGGAGAAAATGTTCTCGTCTATTTTTGGGCCGTTTGGCTCCCCGACTCCTTATGCCGCAGGGGAGACAGCGTGGGAAGCCCTCATGAGGACTCTGATCATCGACCGGGACGACCTTATCTGGAATGCCGAGAAGGACCTCCCCCACAGTGAAACTCAGTCGGAGCTCAGATACTCTGCTACGCCTTTCTTTCAAGAATACGCCAATTTTAGGGCAAGGATGTTCACCGCCCTCAAGAGCCAACATTCCGTCGAGTCTGGGCACCCAGCGGCAGACGAAGAGCAGGCCGCCGTCCTCACGCATGGAACGATAGAATACCAGACACGAGCATATGTCAACTGCAAGGACAGGGCCTTCTATATCACTGAACGAGGACTTGTCGGCCTGGGACCGCGGGAGACGGTGCCTGGAGACATCGTCGGCTTGCCCGCTGGCGCCAGCGTGCCGTACGTCTTGCGTCCGGAAAAGGAGGGTTTGGCCATGATGTGGGATGAGGCGGCGGATATTGAGATTGCGAAACCGGGGTACCTGATGATGCCTGATGGTAGCATGAGGGCGCTGATCCTACGGGCTGATCAGCCACGGTACCAGTTGGTGGGTGAATGCTACACACATGGGCTTATGTACGGCAAGGCGTGGGAATTGGTGGGCTTTCCATTCGAAGAATTCACTCTGTTCTAGATGAAATCACACAAGAGGTCAGAGTAAGGACCATGGCGACTGAAAGTCTGTCCAGCTGTTGGAACTTCCTTTTCTTATATTGTCGCATGCCAACAAAGTAGGGTCATCCAGCATTCGGCAAAAGGCAAAAGGGGGGTGCCCAGAAGTCAGCCCATAAGTTTGAAGTGAACAGACATTGCTAGCGTTTTTGGTGAATCATGAATGTGACAAATGATTATTATTATTTTTTCGGGTCAGACTGCGAGCTACATCTCCATGAATTCCTTCTCTGCTAATGTACCGGATGGATGGAAGAGACAGGACTGCAATAATTGTTGTATTAGAGAGAAGACAAAGACAAGGGGAAAGGAGAATAACCACAATCGACTTTGTGCCGGCGCGCATGGGCAAGGCGGCCAACCGGCCACACAGCTACCAACATCTTGCGCAATTCACTTGCCAAACAATTCTCTGTGTAGGTACTTTGTAGACCCGAACAAAATACCTCGGTCAGAAGCCCGATCGCTCCAGGACAAGTTCCTCCCCTCAATACCCGATAACAGCAGCATTACCCTGCTGGCTCCCTCAGAACATGTGGCTAGGTATGGAGAAATATTCTCCTTTGCTGGATCTCGGCAGCGACATCCATTTCCATCTTCAGATAAGGTTTCGGATGTCACTCCAAGTGTCTGAGTCGACATGATAGTGCCTCGAGGCGTGCAGCTCACAAATGAAACCGAAATTGAAGATGTAGCCCATTCCGTCCTGCGAGAGTAAGATCAGTGTCAGGGAGAGACTTGAAGTAAAGCCCAAGGATTGCAGACACGTACCTGACTGGCCCAGAATCCCACCACATCGCAACTCTCTGGGGTCTCTACGGTATACTTCTCAGTGCTCCAGCTGTGAGGGAATGTGCACTCCCGATGCAGGCTTGTGTGCATCTGTTGATCATTGAAGTTAGTTTCCAGAGCCGAGAGAATATGAGAAATGGCCCTCATACCGTGAAGGATGTGGCTGCGCGAACGCCTCTGAGTGACATCTTGGTGATCACCTCGTTGGCGTCCGGGTCCATGTCAAACACATCATAGTCTACAGACCACCACTGATCAGCCGTCCTGCGTCCAAAAAAGGCGAGTTGATCACATCTGCTGGAGAATTCTATCGCGAGGATCGATCTCCCATGGTGCTCCCCTGGCCGCGTCCTAGCAATCCAGATACGGATCCGGGACAGTCGCTGGGATGCAGGCTTCTCAGCACCAGGGAAGAGCATCCATCGAGAGGCGCGTGGGATCATACTACAGAGCCCGGTGGCTCCAATACGGAGATGGGGAGGCGGGATGTCGGGCAGCCATTCGTAATCGAGCCGGTGGCCGGATGAATAAGGTCGACCAGGGTGCTTGGACACTGCCATACTGACTATCTTGAAAGCCTAGCAACATGTTAGTTATCAGCGAGTCTTCGACCTTTCAACCGATAAATGAAAAGATTGATGCTTACATCAAATGTAGCCTGCAGAGTCATGCCCCTGTCGCCCTCAAACTCCTCAGCTCCCAGTAGGAGAGCCTTCTTGGCGAAATCGGCATGGGTGCCCACCCACTCGGATACACAGTGACGTGTCTGCAGGGCTAGACCCCGGATCCCTTTGTCATCTAAAGCGAGACGGATGCCGAGACCCACGATAGGCAAACAGCCTGGACCATCACTAGGCACGTCATCGGTTGGGAATGCCAGTGCGAAATCGGGTTCGCCAGAACAGTACCCAAGGTTTTCAACGCCGCTTTGGCTCTCCAATCCGAGGCCCGAAACATAGATGCAGCCGTTCAACTCGACCGTCCACACATGAACTCGAACGCCATCGCCGGGTATAATGACCTTCCGGCCGAAGATATCGCGGGAGCCACAGCAGAAATGATCGCGAAAAGAGGACTGTTCCAACACCCGTGTAACTGTCTGTTGCTGGAAAAATTTATTGACGATCTCGATTGTTGGTTCAGAAGGCTTGATATGTGACCACAGGGGAGTGCCTTGACAATCTCCAGACATGGCCTTGTCGATGAGTTTGTTGGTGTTCTGCAGGACCTCAAAGATGCGCTTCTTCTGTTGAAACTTCTGGGTTTTCCTATTCCTAGTCTTGTGGCAGAATAGAAACACCCTTCTCCATTTCGTTCTGAGAGGCTCGTCCGAGAAGTGCTGGCGTGCTTCGTGAACATACTCAAACTCTCCGCCGTCGTAGAAGCGGGCTCTGAAGAACTCATCGCCCAGGGGAGCAAAGATAGCGACGCGCGATGCCTGCCTGAATGCGACCACATCATCCCAGTCGAGGAAGCCCAAGATCATGAGAAGGAGCTCAGGTGGTAGAGTTGCGAACACATCCCTCCCGACTCCGGGTAGCGCCAAAGTCTCTTGACGATCGGTTGTTGATGACGCAATTTTGAGGATATCAAATATTGTCGGCTCTTCCACGTTCGAATAATTTTCTGGGAAAGCTGCATGCGCCTCACCCGTCACTTTGCAATGAGAAGTGATGCTTGGCGGCCTGGGGACAATCTCACCACCGTAGGCGTGGCCAAAGTCAAGGAACCGGCGGGGTCTGTATCCTGTAATTTGCCCATATGGGAACGATAAGCAGGCTCTGTAAAAGGCTGCGATGCGTGACTCAGACATTTCGCTTAGGGTGTTGAGTTGCTTCTAGCAGGACTCGTGCAATGGGTAGCAAAACGCACGCTCTTCGTCAACCTCCAAAGGGTGGTCGCGGAAGTGCTTGTCGTCCAGAGCGCCTGGGAATATCTCACAGCGGAGAAACTTTCCAGCCGTTGAAGATCGAACTTTGTGGTTCCGGTCCAAGCGGTGGGTAGCTGAGATACGAGGAGAGTCATCACGCGTTGCGTACACTAGGATCCATTAGCTTCTTCGACCTTTGCTCACTTATTGTGGGGGAAAGCGTTACTTACAAAGACGCCGTCGTTGCATCCATGGATGGCGAGGCTCAAAGCCGAGTCCGCAAACGATGCAGGTCACCATATTTGACGATGAACGGCAGACAGGCAGAGAGTGATGGGTGGATATCCGTGTCCCAAGACAAGGACCAAGATGTCCGATCTGGTGTGGCCTCCTGGACACCTAAGTGCTTTTGTTGATGGGAAGGAATGTGAGTGAGAGAAGAAGGAAGTGAGGGCGACGACCAGCCAAAGCGCGTTGAAAAGGTCGCGTGGGGTGGAGAGGTGGCAGGTCAAAGGGAAGAAATTGTTTTGTTGCCTGGACCTCAGATGACTCAGTGACGTGACAAAGAGGACGATTTCCCCTTGAAGAACTTCTCACTTTGGTGGCTAGTGACGAGTGACTGTCCCAAGGCACCGATAAGAATGGTTCGGCACGAGCGTCCCAAAAGCCAAAACCAAAGGAAAGGTGCAGAAGTCAGTGAAATTCACTCTCTGCGTCACTAAGACTCTGAAAATTTGGTCCGCAACACCTCCAGTTACGCTTCCAGGCAGTGCAGTAATCCACACAGAGGCTGCTTTAGTTATTTATCATTTGCTGTCTCTTGTGACCACTTACCCTTCACCCCATACACAAGTTTGCAGCAGCATCCCATTCCTACTCCCCAAACAAAACAACCATGGCGCCCTTTCATGGCATAATTGTAGAAGGATGGCCCTCGACGACCCGTTTAATCATTACTGCTGATGATGAATATCACGGACATGCGCCAGACGATGACAGCCCGCAGGACATGCTGCGAGGGATTGCAGGGTGGCTGAAAGACATCATCGCTTGGCCCCAGGCACCGGCACAGCAGGACATCATTCGCCGAGAGATCAGGCAGTCACTACCAAAGTAGCATGGGAAGACAAGGGGAGATGCGGACAACTCAGTCCCTCACACAAGGCTACCAGCACATCCTAAACGAATTTGTCGCCATGAAGGACGATCTCTCTGAAGACCTCATCAAGGAAACGCATTGCATTCTCACCATGGGCATCCCGACCATACACCGAAACAACACAATCACAACCTCGGAGCAATATGGTGGAATTTACCGGGCAGTCATCGTCGGTGCAGGAGGCTGCAACTTTTCCACACCAAGATTCGTGCCTGTACATATGAAAGACCTCTGCCGGAGCCTCAAGGAGGATATCGACTCGGCAGAGAAGAACCAGTCCATCGATCCGGTTTCCCTGGCGTCCGAGTGCTCGCTAGGCTTTGTGGAATTCCATCCCTTTCAAGACGGCAACGGGCGCATGTGCCGCATGATTCTCAATGCCATCCTGTGCCGGTACATTGGTGTGATTGTCCCCATCGGTGAAGACGAGGACGAACGAAAGGAATACATGGCTATCAAGGTGCGGGCGAGCCAGGAATGCGAGGCCTTTTGTGCTCAAGAGAGCCGTGCGGAAGGTCCGGACACTGAAGAAGAAATTAACCGGCAAAAACCACCACGATGTCTAAATTGGGAGCGGCCCTTGGCGCTGATTGGTCAGAGTTCAATACGACTCTGGCCTAGCAGATCCAACACATGAACAGCGAAAAGCAATTCACCATGGCCGCCGAACACGACCGGCCGACCGACCGAAGATACGGGGTCCTCATGCCTCGGGACCGGCGCCCAACACGTACACACGCGCTCGACCTTGGTCCACATGATTCAAACACACACAGATACAACAAAACCCGCGATTGTGGGTCGTCGAGGGAGCCGAGGTTCTCGCAAGGCGCTGGGCCGAGAATTTTGTGGCCTCTCTCGTTATCTATCATTAGCATCGGATCCACTCCCTGTCAGGATGACAAGCAGATAGCACGCCACAGGCCCCGAAATTTGCTTCTGATTTTCTCCAGTAGCCGAATTATCTGGGGTCATCTCGTCTGCTGCTCGGACTGAATATCCTGTCGAGCAGCTCATCCATCCTTTTCCATTTGTTTTGCTATCGCGCGAAGTCTCAGGAACCAGTTCTCTTCTCTGCACTACGATTAATAACACGCACTCCTTACTACGGCCGAGATCGGAGATGAGCGGCGTTAACCAGTCGCAGGCCGGAGGCCAAGGATCGAAGCCCGGGGACTTTGAGGCAGTCAGGAAGTCCGTGATAGACCTTCTTAAGCAGCCGGACTACGACGATGGCAGCGCCGGCCCCGTGCTTGTGCGTCTAGCCTGGTATGTCATCACTCATGCTCTGGACCACGCACCGATAACTTTTTTACTTTGGTCACCGTACTGACACCTCTCCCAGGCACTCGGCGGGCACGTACGACGTGGAGACGGACACGGGAGGCTCCAACGGCGCCGGCATGCGCTACGAAGCCGAGGGCGGCGACCCGGCCAACGCAGGCCTGCAGAACGCCCGCCTCTTCCTGGAGCCCGTCAAGCGCCAGCACCCGTGGATCACGTACTCGGACCTCTGGACGCTCGCGGGCGTGACGGCCATCCGCGCCATGGGCGGGCCCGAGGTCAGCTGGCGGCCCGGCCGGACCGACTACGTCGACGACAGCAAGCTGCCGCCGCGCGGGCGCCTTCCCGACGCCGCCCAGGGCGCGGCGCACATCCGCGCCGTCTTCTACCGCATGGGCTTCGGCGACCGCGAGATCGTCGCCCTCAGCGGCGCGCACAACCTCGGCCGCTGCCACGCCGGCAACTCCGGGTTCGAGGGGAAGTGGGTCAACAACCCGACGCGCTTCTCGAACCAGTACTTCCGCCTGCTGCTGTCGGAGGAGTGGACCGAGAAGACGGTGCCCGAGTCCGGGGCGCTGCAGTTCGCGTCCGTGGACCCCGTCACCGAGGAGGAGCTCATGATGCTGCCCACCGACATCGCGCTGACGACGGACCCGGAGTTCGCCAAGTACGTGCGCATGTACGCCGAGGACAAGGCGCTGTTCTTTGAGGACTTTAGCAGGGCGTTCGCCAAGCTCATGGAGCTGGGCATCAGGAGGGATGCGGAGGGCAGGGTCACGAATACCGACAACGAGAAGGGCGGGTACCGGAGCGCGCCCAAGAAGAGCGAGTCTGCTGCGCCTGTTCAGGATGACGCGTCGCGGACGGGTGGGTGCCCTGTGGCGCATCACAAAGCGAGGTTGTGATATTGTGCAGATGGATAGACCTGGGTGATACAGATAGACATAGACATAGACGGGATAGACAGACGCGGGCTACAGATACCTCACTCTTAGAATTAGATACCTCGTCCGGACCTGGACTGAACATGAGACCACATCAATCTGGACTGGTGTGTACAACTATGCAATGAAAATTCAACTATTGGGCCAATCCGCTTCAGGTGAAAGACGAGGTACACTTGGCATCATGGACTGACCACTCGATTGCAAGGCCTTGAAGACTAATGTCTCCCATCTCCGAGCTTTTTGACAGTTCGAGCGTGGTTCGGTAGGCTCCTACCCTGTGGCCAGTGAGTCACTTACGTCCTCATACCCTCCAACAGGATTCCTCGTTGGCTTGGATCAGTAGTGTTAACATCATTCTCGATTGTGCCGCTCATCTACCCTTCCCAGCATACAAAACCACTACAACAACGCATGTTTAACATCTATGAGATCGGTCGATCGAGCAGCAAAAATAGACAATCAGGCCTCTGTGAGCATCAGGCAATCATAACGTGATGACTTTCATTCCGTTTCGAGCGTGTGTGCCCCGTGAAGCAACCGTAATCTTACTTGAGCTCTGCCATGTTTAGATCCCAAAATGGCAAAAGCAAGTCTTGTCCATTCAGTCCTTTAATAACGAAGTCTTGGCTGATGAAATTGGAGAGCATTCTGTTTCGCAAACGTTCACAGATCGATCCGATCTCTCCAGCTGAGCTTGGAGGAAGGATTCAGCCCCCGAAGTGCCAAGAATGCAGGGATGCTGAGCCTACCAGCAATCGGGTGCCCAACGCAACCTTGGAGCCTTTGAGGATGATTAAGCTTACAAACAAGAACGACCCTTGTCGGCGCTGTCGCCCTGGTTCCCCGGATGCTGAACCACTTTCGACCGTTTTGGGCAATGCTCAAGCAGATCAGGGTGAGATGACGGCAGCGCCTGGATTCACGTAAATTGAGTCCCCCCACGTCGAACAAATCATCGAGCCTCCCGTTGCCAAGACCGTGAGATATGCGGGGGCAAGTGGACATTATTCGCTCTCACTGCCGCACGCTGCCTCCACGCGCGGATGAGCGTGAGGCTGTGACCACTAGACTGACATCACAACGTCTGTTTTTCAACCTTCACGCCATCAGCCACCCGTGGCCCCCACCAGCGGAGCGTCCCATCTTCGGCCGAGTGCGACCCCGGCCGGAGAACATTCGTCATGTTAAGCGCGCCGATCGCAGCACTGCCGTCCTGCCTGTGCCCCTAGGCAGCGATTGCGTCCCGTCTAGATGAGCGTAATGAGTGGGCCTCGATACAATCTTGTGGTTGCGATCTTGTCGCGGTAGAGATGAACGGGACAATGAGCCCCCAGCCAGCCAAACAGGCGACGGCCCGGATCAGCGCGCATCTGCCCTTCGCCTACTGTCCAACCCCCCCATGGCTTGTTGTATCCACAACATGCGCCTGAGTCCGAATCAGAATGCAACTCTCGCACTGCTTCTGTGCATACCTGTGCGACCATGTCCGCCCAACTGCGAGCCAGCCGCGGCTATGGCACCAGCTGTTTTGCGGAACTCTCTCCTCTTGAGCTGCAAGGTCCGTCTTTCTTCCGTCTCAACAAAGGCGGGCCTTGATCATGCTTATTTTTGGAATCTCATACGTCCTGTTGATCATCTCCACCATCAAGATAAGCTCAAAGTTGCTTTTGATGCTGATCATCCAGACCATTGACGCAATGGTTTGTCTCCAGGGCCGACATCAAGCTACAACCTTGAAGAACATCATGAGAGTCTTGAAGTCTCAAGGGCTAAAAAAAGAACTTCTTGGTAGGTTTCCGGATATATAAGAAAGTCGAATTCCAGCCCAGATGGAGATGAAGTTTCGAACAACAACAGCAGCAATCACAACAAGATCACAACCACCACAACCAGCAACAGCCCTCATAAACGGTCGCCAGTCCTCCAGTTCAACTCTCATCTTCACCAAACACAGTCCTCATTCTCCCATTTCAATCCTACAATATGTCTTTCACCACCAAGTCCCTCATCACCAGCCTCGTCGCCGGCCTGGCCATCGCCGCACCAGCCGTGCCCGTCGAGGACGAGGTCATGGTCGCAAAGCGACAGATGACCATCCCCCAGTGCTACACCCAAGACATCTACAGCAACGTCAAGCAGGGCAAGCCGTACTACACCAAGCCCGTCCGCGTCAGCGGCCACCAGTGCAGCTCCCTCAAGGAGTCGAACTGCCAGCTCGGCGAGGAAGCCTCCCACTCCGTGTAAGCATACACTCACTCGTAGCCCACATGACAAACACGGCAGCAGGACACACATACACAAAGGAAAAAGCTAACAACAACTCCTCCCTTGTAGTGAGTTCAGCAAGTCCGTCACCGGCGGCATCAGCAGCGCGCTCGACCTGGGCAAGATCACCGACCTCGGCCTCGAGGCCTCCTTCACCTACACCTGGGCCACCTCGGACTCCAAGTCGGTCAACTCGCAGAGCGAGTGCCCCGCCGGCGGCCTCGTCTGCGGCCTGCAGGTCGAGGCCAAGATGGTCAAGATCACGGGCCACAAGAAGACCGAGTACCGCGGCGGCTGCGACCGCGTCGACGAGGGCGACTTCACCATCGAGACGGCCGTCACCAAGCAGGGCGACAACAAGGACATGGCCGCCGTCCAGACCTTTAGCGTCTGCCTTGCCGAGGACTGCAAGACCGACGACTGCAAGAAGGCCGCCAAGAAGGAGGGCATCCCCAAGTGCCCTTGAAGAGGGACTGCTGGTGCTCGCTGCTTTTCTCCGTCGAGAGGTGTGGCTGTTCTCTCGACTATCGCCTCAAATTTGCTGAGAAGTTGAACTGGACTTGTATTTTCAGTGTACTGGCTTTTGTCTTCTCGTTTTGTTTCCTTGCTCCTGTTTTTCTTGCTTCAGCGCTTCTAGCCTTGCTGTCTCACTCTCGTTCTCACGATATACTGTACGATTTGTAGCATTAACAATTGCATTTTGTCCGTTTGCTTCTGGATTGCACGTGCATGTTCCATATCAGGTCATAGGTTCGAAAAAGCCAACTCGATGATGATACAAGGAACACGAGCAGCGAGAAAATGGTGTCCTGAGCTTCGAACAGGCTTCCATTCAAGGTCGACTCCGGATCACTATCCGCCTCATCTAGTGTTGAGCGACGAGACTGTCTATACATCTACCCCCTCCCCCCCCCCATCAAATGTTGAATACAAACAGCGTCAAACAACAAAGCAAAACCCCCTCACCACCGGCTCTGCCCGTCAACTTCCACCTCCACCGGCATCCGCGAGGCGTCGACCTCGCACACGGCGCGAAACACCCGCTCCAGCACCCTCCCCATGCGCTGCAGGTCCCGCACGCCCGGCGCCCACCGCCGCAGCGTGGCGATGGACACGCCCGTCAGCTCCTGCCAGTTCTCGGGCGGGCGGAGCGGGCCCTCGGCGAGCACGGCGGCCAGGATGATGAGCGTGCAGCGGAAGGTGCGGCGCAGGACGACCCACGTGCCGCCGTGGCGGCCGTGGCTGGCGCAGCGCATGATGCAGTTGACGCAGAGGGTCATGTCGCGCTGGCCCAGGGCCACGATGGCCGGCGGGGGCGGCTTGCCGGGCGGGGAGTGCAGGCAGTAGTAGACTAGCGGGCGCAGGATGCACTCGTTCCACTCCTCCATGCGGCCCTCGAGGTAGTACGCCATCTCGTTGTTGGGCTGGGAGGTCGGGTCGTAGCGCATCGTGCCCGGGAGGTGGGATTGCCTGTTGCCGTATGACGGGTTAGTGTTCCGAGATGGGGGCAGAATATAAGGTTCAACGATTTCTTACCATTCGGAGATCTGCTTTTCCGACTCGTGGTACTGTCGGCAGACGAGCTCGATGTTCTCGATCCAGTTCTGTTCGCCCTTCTCGTATATGACGGAGAGCACTTCGTCGAATGTCCGCCTGAGCGAGATCTCGGCGAGGTAAAAGTACCATATGACTTCATTCCGCCGGGGCGAGAACACGTCAGACAGATCGTCATCCATCCCTTCGTCGCCGTCGTCGCTGGGTATCAAGTGGTGCAGGGCTTCCGGAGGTGTCGGGAACGCGGCTGGGTATTTGAACCCCGTCAGGTCACTGGCGAGCTTGATGCCGAGCTCCGTGGCGTACTCTCTGCATCACCAACCCAAAACAGTCAGTAACCAGCGTCGCACAACTGAGCATTTGGGTTTAGCGATAGGCCATACCTCTCTCCCTTGTGGATAGACCAAAACGCCCTCTGTTCCAAGTGATAAGTGACGCTCGAATGCCTCGACTCCGCACGCTCGTCGTCCTGGCCGGCCATGTGAGACCGCTTCTCTTCCCCACGCTGGCTCATGTGGTGGAAGCGCAGCCGCGAGGCCGCCTGCTGCAGATACATACACGCCTGCAGCGGCCGGAAGGCGAACCTCTCAAAGAGAGAGGCGTAGTAGAAGCACTGCACGTCGATGAGCGACGTCCCGAGAAGGCCCAGCCGCTTCTGGGCCTCCTCGTAGTAGACCTCGGCGACCTCGTCGTCGGAAGTGGACATGACTTCCGGAGGTACCGTCGACTCTCGGCGGGTGCGGGCCGATGGGGATGGCGTGGAATGGACAAAGGGCGGAGGTGTCCAGGCCCGGGAGTAGCTCGCCAGTGCGCAAGCAAGCAACTGGTAATGCGCATCAGTACAAAAAGGCATCTATGACTGGTTGATGGGGGGTAATAGACGTACCACGAGGCAAGACCTGGCATCCCAGTCCAGCCCGTCCTCCGCCACCGACCTCGCATACGACATCAGGTCGTGAGCACCCACGATCGGATTCCGGCAGTTGACCAGAGCGAGGAACTTCTGACACAACGGCACATAAAAGTTTGGCGGGAACGGCTTCCCCTTGAACCTCGGCTGCTGGCTCATGCTACGCGTCGAAGCCGGCGACGCCGAACTCCTCGCACCAGCTCCGTCGCGCTCGTCGCTGTCCCCGCGCACATAAGCGTCGAAGATGAAAGAGTCGATCGCGGCGTCCTCCTCCGTCATGACGGGCGCGAGGACAGGCCACTTCAGGACGGACTCGCACTTGGTATGCTGCAGGTACGCCGTCGCCGACGGCGCAGCTTGCCCGTCGGACACGCTTTCCGTCTCGACCGCACCGCCGCCGCCGGCTCCACCACCTCCGAGCCCAACACTACTGTCCTGGTCGAGACCGTTGGTGACCCCACTGCCACCACCACCGGCGGTAAGAGGGCTCACGCCAAACGACACGTGCTCGCTGCCGGCGCCCATCTCCGACGTCCCGCTGCTCCGGGCGTCGGCGCCCGCGCCGCCCGCGCCGGAGCCGGAGCCGGCAGACGGCGACGAGCGGGCGAGCAGGTTCCGGATGTCGTCGAGCCGCTCGAGGACCTCGCGGTGGCGGCTCGCGGCCTCGTCGAGCCCGACCTGCGAGCCGTCGCCCTCGGAGCCGTCGGTGTAGACGCACTTGGCCTGGTGGTGGCGGCACGAGCCGCACACGGGCCGCGCGTTGTCGCACTTGGTCTTGCGCAGGCGGCAGAACTGGCAGGCGGCCAGGGCGCGCTTGCGCCGGACGTAGGGGCTCGTCGCCGACGAGGACGAGGACGGAGGGGCTCCAGTGGTGGTGGCGGGGGTAGTGGTGGCCTGGGACCTCGCGGCGGCAGCGGCAGGGTCGGCTCGTGGGAATGACGAAGACGGCGACACGGTGTACATACCTCCTCCTCCTCCTCCTCCTCCTCTCGGATCAGCACCGGCCTCGGTCCCCTGGGGAGAGGAAGTCGCCGGCGATGGCGGCGGCCGCGGCAGCGGGGCGCGCTCGCGCTCGGGGACGATCACCCGGCGCGCCTTGGGCTGCGGCCGCCAATCAGACGAGGCGGGCGAGTGCGGCGGCCGGTGTCCACCGCCGCCCGGGTGGTGCTGCTGCGGGTGCGGGCTGGCTCCCTCGTCGCTGGGTCCGGACGAGGGTCGACGTTTGGCGGGGTGGTGGGTTAGCGATGGGGCGGGAGGCGACGGGGGTGCGAGGCCGCGGTGGTACTGCTGCTGCTGCTGCTGCGGATGCTGGTACTGTTGCTGCTGCTGCTGGTGGTGGTTGAGCAGCGGCGGTAGCATCGGGCCACTATAAGACGACGGGGGTGGTGGTGAGCGGTGCTCCATGTTTGCCTTGCTTATTAGTTGATCCGTGTATCCGTATCCATTCCGTCGGGCTGTGGCCGGGTCGGTTTCTGGATTTTCTTCCCACACTTTCGCGATTAAGTTTTGCCCGTAGCTCTGCCTGCCTTGGGAATGGGGGGGCCAACAGCGGGGAAGACTGGACTGGACAATCTCTCACCGCGCCGCGTAGGATTGGGGCGTGCGTGGAGGGATGACATGGGGAGGGGGGCTGAGGGAGGGTTTTGGCGGTAACTGCCGAAAGGCACAAAGCATAATTCTTTGGGGATCTGGCGACGGCCTCTAGCCGGATGGAGTTAGCAAAGGGCTTGTGATGATCCTTCTTCGGTCTTCCCCAGAAACCCGCGCTCTGGTACGCGCTATTCTCCAGTTTCTTTGCTAAAAGTCGCATTCGACTCTGGGGCTGCGCGAGGTTTGGCTGTGCCGGCGCTTTCTAAAACAATTCCCGGGTTTTACCCCGACTCTGCGGAGACTCAATTGTCCGTTGTTGGAGTTGGAGTGACTTTTTTGTCGTGACTCTTTAACTCCTCAACCGCCAAGACTGGTCAGACTTGAACCGAAATGAAGTACTTATGCACTGCACAAAGTGTGAATAGCAACCCGAATTGAGTGCCCCATGCGTGGTACCATCTCGAGCTTGTTGGCTTGTCTGGGCTTCATCAGTTGCATCGCCTAGTAAACTCGCAACGGTGAAGGGCGCCCGAGTATTGCAAATAGACACAAGCCATACATTTAGATCTATATTAAAAGATGACTCCAAATCTATTTCATCACTTCGCCCCTCTACATTCACCAAATCATTCATTTCATCCGGACTGGCACTGGGAGTTTCCAAAAACCGACGCGGTAGTCAAGGAGCGCCGCATCAAGCCTCACGAAAGCGAAGACTAGGGGCGCAGATCCGGCATTTAATCCTTGCGGTTGGGCTGCTCCTCAACCTGAGTAATCGTGCCGACATCCTCGTCAGCTGCGAGGCTCTTCTCGTTCTCCTCCTGGATCTGAACGGTGCCCGTGCACTGGTAGCCTGTACGCAAAGAAAAAGAGCGGTTAGATGTATTGGCCTTTTAAAAAGCATAACGATATTATCTGATCATTATACGTACTCTTGAACTTGCGAGTGGGGACCTTGTTGTAGAACATCTCGTCAATGTTTTCGAGGGAGCGGCGGTGGGTTTCCTGCAATGAGCCTCGTTATTAGCAAGCTATCTTCCCTCCACATCATGCAGTGACTCAATTATGCTTACCGGAAGGCAGAAGAAGATGAAGGTCGCGCTGATAAGGTTGGAGCCGAGCCAGATGAAGCCAACTGTAAAATCATGTCAGTCACAATACGATCTCTCTTAAAACCAGGACGGGACGACGAACCCTTGGGACCAATGTTGAGAGACTCGGGGTTGATAAAGTAGGGCGTGGTAAAGGCGATGAGGAAGTAGGCGAGGAAGCCGACACCGTTGCCAAAACCAAAGGTCATGGCACGCAGGCGGTTGTTGGGCACCTCGCTGGCGACGATCCACGAGGTGGGGCCGACGATGGCGGCGTAGACGCACTGGAAGATGACGACCATGGCGACGATGACCTTGCCGGTGGTGATGGTGCCCGGGCTGACGGTCCAGACGGTGCCGATGACGAGCATGAGGCAGGCCTGGATGAGGAAGCCGGCCATGAGCAGCGGCCGGCGGCCGACGAAGCGGTTCAGGAAGACGCCCGAGAAGGCGCCGATGAGCGACACGCAGGTGACGATGATGGAGTCGATGAAGGGCTGCTTGGAGCCGGCGATCTGGAAGAAGTAGGTCTTGTAGCTCGAGATGAACGGGAACCCGGACGCGCCGTGCATGGTGCCGCTGGCGATGGTCAGCAGCGTGCGGCGGCGCTCGGCGGGGCTGAACATGAGGCGCACGGCGCCCCAGCCGCGCAGCGTGTTGTGCTTCTCGGCCTCGATGGCGTCGACGATGGCCACGATCTCGGCGTCGATGAGCTCCGCGGGGAAGGCGGAGCCGCGCAGGCGCCAGAGGTGCGCCTTGGCCTCCTCCTTGCGGCCCTTGACGATGAGCCAGCGCGGCGACTCGGGGATGAAGAAGGACATGACGACGACGAACACGGGGATCACGAAGAGCGTGAAGAGCGGGATCTGGTACGACAGGCGCGAGGTCAGGTGCGAGGTCGCGTTGTTGATGACGGCGCCGATGACGGTGCCGATGCAGACCGAGACCTGGACAAAGGTGACGAGGGCGCCGCGGAGGTGCGAGGGCGCCGCCTCGGAGATGTAGATGTTGGTGAACCCGATGAAGAGGCCGTTGGAGACGCCGAACAGGAAGCGGCCAAAGATGATGGCGCTCTTGTTGGTCGACAGCACGAGGATGAGGTTGGCGCCGACGCCGGCCAGCGAGCCCACGATAAAGTTCTTTCTGCGGCCGAGGCGGCCGGACCAGAACTCGAGCGTGAAGGAGCCGACGATGACGCCCACGTTCATCAGGCTGGTGATGGACTGCTGGAACGAGGTCTCGATGCCGTAGCCCTGGGGCGCCTTGGGGTTCGGGTGGCCAAAGACCTTGAGGAAGCCCTTGAGCGCCTGGGCGGCGTTGATGATGGAGATGTCCAGGCCGTACTGGAGGGTCGCGCAGGAGACGACGGCGCAGATGCAGATGGTGCGGACGTACTTCTGCCACGTCGTGTCTCGCTCGCGCGAGGCGACGTTGGCCATCGTGTCGCTCACTTCCGTCGCCATCTTGATAGCCTGACGGTTGACGGGCTGGTGGTGTGTCGCGTCTCGTGGCGCCCCTTGATCACTGGTCAAAGGACAATTGATCACCGGCGGTCCGAGAAGGAAAAGAAGGGGGAAGATAACTGAATGGGAGAAACGAAGCGACAAAACAATCCCAATCCAATCAACAAGGATGTGGGTGAGGGATTATATAGGATCGTGATCTCGAAGAGCCAACAGCACGGCCAGAGTTCATCTGTATCTGCCGACCCGGAAAAGCAGATGCGGGGAAAGAAGGGAAGAGAAGAGAAGGGGCTTGGGGAAGGTTTCTTTCTACCCCAGGTTGTCTTTCCCCATACACAGATGGCGAGCTGCTGGTTGTCAACTCGAGGATCCGTATTGGATGCCACAGTTTTTTGGACCCCTTTGCATCCAGGGCTGAGGATGGGAAAAAATGATGAGTAGGCAGGCTGACCCTCCCCCTCCTCCCGCTTTGCCCCCTCACAGGAACGGCGTTGGGACCAACAGAGAAGACTAGGCCGGATTCTGCAAGATAGTAATGTCGGGGATGGACGCGGACGAAAGTTGTGGAGATGAAGGGCGGGGGTCGATCATGGGGCACGACGGGGTCCCCCCGTGCGGGAAGTTTATTACATCGGCGGTGATTGGCTCGGGACGGCATGCAATGCGTCAAATTCATGGCAGGTATCTCGCTTTGCACCTGAAGGGCTTAGTGAAGGATCATGGCAAACCAATCACATCCCAATAGAGCCCCGGATCCATGTTCTGTTGTCCGAAAACAGGACTCGAAACAGGGTGTGGCGACGAGGCTAGGGCTCCTTGGGCTGACTTGGCAGGTTGGGAGGGCACGGGGCTAACCATGTTTAGCTGAATCAAGGCCTGTCAAGCCTGTCTTGAAGCCATCGTCATCGTTTTCTCGGGTCTGGAGGTGTGGAGGTCTGGAGGGGGGCTGAGATCTGGGGCTGAAATGTCCGCGACGTTGCCCGATCTCTAGCCCCCAGATTGGAAACATGACACGTCGATTAGCTTCCCCTCCTCGCGTCCCGAAACTGAGGATGCAGACAGCCTGTGGGAGAACAGAACTGCCGTCGCAACTGGGGGTTATCGAAATTCCATTGTCGGAGAATGGCTTTTTAACTCGTTCCCCGCCCGGTCCACAAAATCCGTCCGCGTGTTTCCCCGACATCGCCCTCGATTCCTCAGAACGGCAACATTTCAACACAATGTGGGGTGCGAGGAGGGGTCACGGCTCGTCCGGTCTCGTCTTCACCCGCCGGATCAACTCATCTTACACGTCTTACGCCACTCTGGATGGCAACCGGGAACTAGCATATATGACCCCGGCCTCGGGGTGCTAGTCTTGAAGCATTTCCGTCCCATCTTACCTCCGCATCACACACCGACACCATCATTTTGTTCCTTGGCATACAGCTTCTAGTCTGTTGAAGACAATCTTCCCTCACAAGCCCTGCCCCGTTCATCCTGTCACAATGGCCGGTGTTCTGTATATCGACACATCCTTCACGAAGGTGACCGTGAAGCCGGTCCACCCGACCTTCGGGTGTGAGGTTCAGGTCCCTGACTGGGACAACATGGACGACGAGACTGTCCAAGAGATCAGCAGGGCGGCAAACAAGGTAGGTCACAGCACGCATCTAGACGCTCTGTCCTCTGAGGATTGCTAACCCGGGACTTTCTTGCTCATAGTATGGCTTCGTGATCTTTCGAAACACTGGCCTCAGCGACAAGGCCCACGTCGACTTCTCCTGGAGGCTAGGCGCGCTCGACAATGTGAGCCGCTTCATCACTGGCGACCGCAAGCTGCGGTACGAGTACATGGAGCTCTTTGACGCCGGCAACATCGCCGACGACGGCACCCTGCTCGATCCCGACAGCTCTCGTGCCCACACCAACAAGGTGAGTAGTGCCGCTGTGCTGCCAGCACCCATTGCCGCGACGTAGATTGACCCCCCCTCCCAGGGCAACCAACTCTTCCACACCGACTCGAGCTACAACTTCCGACGCGCGAGCTACTCCCTGCTGCGCGCCGTCGAGCTCCCGCCCAAGGGCACCGGCGGCGAGACCGAGTTCGCCGACACGCGCACCGCCTTCGTCGACCTGCCCGAGGACCTGAAGCGCGACCTGGTCAAGAACAACTACGTCGGCTGCCACACGCTCGCGCACTCGCGCAAGAACGGCTCCCCGGAGTACTTCAAGAACCTCGACCCGAGCAAGTTCCCCATGGCGCGCCACCGCCTCGTCCAGATCCACGAGGGCAGCGGCCGCGCCAACCTCTACATCGGCGCGCACCTGCACCACGTCGAGGGCCTGCCCGACGCCGACTCGGCCGCCCTGCGCGACCTGCTCAACCGCCACGCCACCCAGCCCAAGTACCTCTACACCTTCCACTGGGAGCAGCCCGGCGACATGGTCATGTGGGACAACCGGGCGCTGCTGCACCGCGCCGCGGGCGGGTCCTTCGCCGGCAAGCACCGCCGCGACCTGCGCCGGACGACGGTGCACGACGACAGCGCCCACGCGTGGGGGCTCAACGACACCGACGGCGTCACCGCCGTCGGCTACCAGCTCACCGCCAAGACGCTCGACTCGGCCGAGATCACGCCTGCCGCCAAGGCGGCGGCTACCGTCGCCGTTGCTGCCGTGTCATGAGTCTGTATGTCGTTGTCGGTGGTATGTTGGTAGACCTGCCTATATTGTGTAGTTGAGGTCAAAGGTGTTCATATTGAGGGCTCTGAAACGACCTGTACAATGAGAAGAGCGTTTCTAGGGAAGAGCTGTTCGGTGGAATATAACCGCCCTGAATGGGTTTATGAGCAACACGAAAATTGCATTACGTTTTTGATTGAAACAATGGAATGTTGGAGTTGTTGTGCAACCACATCTAGACTCTTTGATCTTGTATGTCAGATACCAGTGAACGATTAGCTCTTTTAGGTGACATTCCGTGCCATTGCAGATAAGGGAATGTATAGCTGCGGTTCACATCAGCTATTCCAGGTTCAAACCATGTCGTCGTCGATGCAAGGAGGGAAAGTAGGTCCGCTGCGCCTTGAATTGGGAATTGGGACTGATCACATGCATCAATTGGCTGCGCATCATGTGAAGAGACATCGCTTAGAGGTTAATGCAACGCGCAGCCAATAAGGAACGGGACTTTGCCAACAGCTACATCTGCCGCTGCATAAAGATGTTGCGTTGCAGGCACTCCTTCGACTCCCTGCAGATCCCTAAGATGTGCTGGATGATGTGCAGAATCATCGGGTTTGGAAACACAGTGAAGCATTGCCGGAGACACTGAAAGATCGTGCCCAGGTCGGTAGAGAACTTCGCTGTTGTATGGGTTTCGGACGTAGAACTGCTGCCTCCTTTAAGATTTCGATGGTAGGAGGAGAGAATCTTGGTGGTCAGAGAAAGCTCAAAGGGAAGATATTAGTTAGCTGGCCCTCGCACGTCCCTCCTTCAGACCTCTCTCCCCTCTCCCTGTCTGTCGAGCAACAAACGCCGGTGCCATCACGCGCTGACCTGCCAGCTTTGCTCCGAGCCACATACAACCAATAGAACCGATGCCGCGTGCACTTCCTGTGCTACCACGACATCTTCGATATTCATCTGCGGGGTGGTGTCGTCGTCGTCGACCACCTTCAAGCGAACCTCCCCTTCTAGAGAACTACTGGCTAACACCACGACTAGGTTCCGCTTCCGCCATGACTGGGTATCGCACGCAGGCCGACCGACTCCATGTGCCTCTGCGTCTGTTGCTACAACCGCCGCTGCAATCGCTCCAACTTCCATACCCACCCGAATAGCTCCAAGTGCAGCCCGTCCAGTTCCCGTATCGGTCCGTGACCCTGGCCGCTCTGCCTCCCGCCTACGGTGCTACAGTCCTTGCTGTTATAGCCGCCGCTTCCACCGCCGTCTGTGCTTTGGGCCCTCCTCCTCGCGTGCGTCTCGCCTCTGTACCATTCTGCCTGGCCATAAAATCCTCTCTCGTCGCCTTGCGGCGACAATCGAACACAGATACCATACCAACAATGGCACGACCTCCTACACTAAGCACGGCATTGCCGCCCTCGGTCTTTTCGGGCGGATCTTTTATTGGCGGCCGCGTCGGAGAACCTTCAAAAACGGGGCGTATCATGTAATTGCCCTGTCAGGGACCTTCTCCCTCGATCGGAGGCGTCTAGAGTCCTGCTGCATGAAGCGGTAACTGGCTGAGATGGCCTGTAGGAACCCAACAGACCCTGTAGCAATGTCGCAAATAACGATCAGCTATGTTGAAATATTAGGTCTCTCCACTCCAGAGACAGGAGCCCAGAGACAGGAGCAGTACATTTCCTCTGACCAAGATGCCCAAATGCAGGCCATTCAGCTATTGGAAAGCTTTGACCCAATTCAATGGTTTTTCTACTAGTTCAAGTTCAGCCATTGAACCCTGCATGGTCTAGACCATCGCAGCCAGCTGTCCGCATTAGGCAGTGAGCCCTGGCATATTGTCCAGAAATGCTTTTTCTTCTGCAGCACGCGACGGACTCAGCTGAACACCAGGCAATATTGGAAACGGGGCCACGTCAATCAAAGCCTGAGCCGCTGGTAGTCGAGACTCACGATCCCTGTTCCTAATTCCCAATCAGGTATCCACGAGGCTGGCGAGAAAAGCTGCGTAGTGCGGCGTCAGCTGAAGACGGGATGTCGTGAACAAATGCCCCTGTAGCCATATTGATATTTGGATGGATACTAGCACCAGACAGCTCGACTGGCAGTATAAAATAGGCTGCATCCTTCCAGGTTTTCCAGGATATTTTGAAGCATCATCAGCAACAACTTCCAGCCTTCACCCACCGCTCTTCCGTACGCTCCTCTTCTGAGCTCCCATCTTCCTTCATCATGACGAAGTATTCCCTGACTCTGGCCGCCCTCGGCCTGGCCGGCTTCTCTGCGGCTTCTATTTGCAATAACAACTGCGGCCGCCAGGTCATCGGTACCGCCGTCGTCCCCGGCAAGCTGCCCGTCGAGAGTCGCCAAGCCATGTGCTCGTCCTTCCTTGCCACCACGACCACTGTCACTCCTGGGTATGACTTGGCTTGGTCTATGCCAGCTTTATGCCTTCTGTGTTAACTAATTGTCCCTCGTCTCTGTAGTGTTGTCACCCAGACCCCGGCCGTCGTCTACAACAGAGCCGCTGCCTCGCCGACCGTGACAGGCGATGTCCCAGCCTACGCGACCAACTGTGCAAACAACGTCGACTACTGGTCCGCCTGCCAGTGCTTCGGTATCACCCCGACGACCGTCACCGTCACCGCCGCCACGCCCACGACTACCCTCGCCGTGCCCACCTGCACCCAGGGCGTCGAGTACGCCCTCTGGGTCTTCCAGCAGTACTCGGCCGAGGGCGCCAGCCTGCAGAACGCCTACTACAACTTCGCCCTGCTCGACCGCAACGCCATCCTCGCCGGCAAGACCCCGCTCGCCAGCGGCGTGGTCGCCCAGGTCGGCGCCTACGAGCAGGGCGACTACTCCAAGCCCTTCAAGTTCGACGGCATCTCGGCCCCGGACGGCACCGCCATGCCCTACAACGTCATCGAGCACCGCGGCTACGTCGTGCCCGCCGCGGCCGGCAGCTACGAGGTCCACTTCAGCCTCGTCGACGATCTCGCTGCCGTCTGGATCGGCGAGCACGCCAAGAGCGGCATCACCGTCGACCAGTCCGTCCTCAAGGCGCCTCTGGGCACGTACAACAACCCTCTTGTCTACAGTTTTACTGTTGCTGCTGCCGATGTGGGCAAGCCGATCCCCATTCGTGTCTTCTGGGGCAACGCGGGCGGTCCTGGCGGCCACCTCTGGAGCATTGTGGACCCTACCGGCGCCGAGATCCTCGGCCTGAACAGCCAGAAGAACTCCCAGATTGTTGCCAGCTGCTCCGGCCCCGGCACGGATGTTCCCGAGTGGCCTGCCTGGGGTACTGAGTCTTAGATGGGGATTACGTAAAGGAAATGCTCTGCAGGGTGGTAAAATGGCGTCGAAGTTTTGTTTGGGAGATAGACCATTTATAATATTGAAATTCAAGTACTCTTCTAGCATCAGCTGTGCATGAATACCCTGTGAATTCTTCTCGATTTGGATGCAGTACGAGCTTTCTAGTGCTGACTGCATGGCATTGATATCTTTTACATGATATCATTGGACTAGCATGTCCAGCCCGTCAGCAAGGTACGGACCCAAAGGATTCTTGTCAGATACTTAGCGGCCGCCTATGAGGGGCTTGATGAGAGGTCCTCCTCATTATAAGAACTGACTTTCGCGCCAGATCGACCCAAGCCCAAGGACCATCGTCGCTCTCAGGACACTGAGCACCAATCCACCAGCCATCACAAAGCCGCCCAACATGTCGACGCTTGAGCAGACCATCCGCAACACCGTCCAGGAGTTCATCAAGAGCTACGCGGACGCGACCAAGGAGAAGAAGCCCCACCTAGTCTCCAGGTGCTGCGCCGACGACTGCAAGCGTCATATCGGACCTCCCGCCTTCCTCGCGCACGTCGGTGCGCCGCCCAACCTCACTATGACCAATGCCCAGTACGAGGCCGAGTTTGGCGAGCTATCCCTCTACACGATCACTTCCTTCAAAGTCAACAACATCACCGTCGACGCGCCGAACCTGAAGGCAGCCGCGTGGTCGACCCTGTACTGCGACTTTATCGACGGGTCCAAGCATGATCGGACGCATGCGTGGTTCCTAGACTTCAACGAGGATGGTACCAAGATTGTCGAGCTCTACCAGCACAACGATGTGCAAGAGGCTGTTGATTTCCGGAACCTGATCCAGTCTATGAAGAAGGCCAGAGCGACCCAGGACTAGGTAGCAGAGCAGGAACGCACACAAGAGATTGTCTCAGTTGTTATCAACAGCGTGACTTGCACAATCCAATTTCTCATCCCTATCATGAATCCAATATGTACCATGTTGCGTGACTCATGCGTCCTTTTTCTCATTTGGATATCCTCCCTCCATGCTCCTGTGTCAAGTCCCATTTAGCAAGTTTGACTAATCCTTCCTTCATGATAGCAGCTGGCCGGACTTCTAACATTGAAAAGGTACTGCAATTAAATCAAACGTTGGTAGAGGAGCGAGAAGGCACAGTAGCACCATGCTCTGGGCGTGTTAGGGCAAAGACGACCAGGACTTCGACGAGAACTGGGAGGTTTGATAGCACAGTCAACATCACGTTATCTGTCGAGACTGAAAGAAACGTCGGGCTACTTACTATCAATTCTGCAGGTCAGGAAACACATCCAAGCCGGCTCACCATGGAGAGCCGCTATTGCCGACAGATTTCTGCACAGCATCGCAAAATCAGTCAAGGCACACATTGGGCGCAAACCTTCAGACAACTCACGCGACAGTAAACGCAGCTGTACAGCAGGTGCCAAGGAAGGTCCGATTAGCGAGCTGGCGAAGTCGTTTGTCCATGACAGAGTTGCGAGCCGAGTCGATTGTGATGAAATAACTGCCATTTGGCCGTTGCCATAAAGATCGACGAAAGGAATATGACCCTGTAAGGGCTAGATTAGTGTGATCCTCTTGAGACATATCGGAATTGCATACGGTACAGTGGGATCAAGAATAGGAGTGTAAGATAAATCTGGTCACTGGGTCAGTCATCATAAAGCCAAAACTGGAGAGGCATGCTTGCATTTACGGCCACATCAAATGCAATGGAAGTTATCACAACCGCGCGTCGCCGGCCAATGACACATATTCCATGATCTACCTCGCTCAGCTTACTGTTTGACGATTTAGTTTGATGTGAGCGAGTAAGAATGAGCCTTCGAAAGAGGCGGGCTTACAATGTCGAGTACAAAGCATTGTATCCGATATAAGAGCCTACGGTCTGTCAGCGGCATGTGGTATTATGAGTGGGAATTTGAGTTCCATACCAATGGTTGCTATGATATTGCAGACGTAGAGCTTGGATTTGAGTCGGTGGCAAACAGAGCCGCGGATGATATGCTATGACTGGTCAGCAAATTGACGAACATGAGAGCCCAGACTTACTCACAACTCTATCGATGAGAAACAGAAAGTAGCACTGGAACTGTGAGTCAGCTTGAAATCGATGAAAATGTTCCAGGTGCCTCACGTTCTAGAATTGAAACCCATTAGCATAAAACAATGATCCGTGTATCAGGCATAACAAACCTTCGAAAACACATAGTTGAACAAACACAACGCTGCTGTCGCCGAGCAAGCTGAAATGTTTTGGTCAATTCCAAGAGGAAATTCGAACAGGGCTGACGACATGAAGAATATGAACGCGGAGAGATACAGAATCAATGCCACTGTAGGTGTGATGTCAATAAAAAGAGACTAGGTCACGAACCAACGCATCACTCACCCCATGTAATAAACGGCACCTTTCGCCAGTTGTTGATAGCCGTCACTCGTTGTGCTGTGATGAGAGCATGGTCAGGACATAGGCAGGATTGCTTTGATGAGTCCTCTGATAAACCTACTGAAAGCCGCAAAGCATATACTGCTGCCCAAAATGACAACAAATAGGCTGCCCACTTTTGAAGCTTCCGGGTGTCCAATATCGCTGTGTATGTCGTTGGGTGACAAATCTCCGCGTCGGTCGCTCAGGGGCACCACGGAAGCGCCACCTCTAATGCCAAAAAACGATTTGAAATCCATTGCAACTGTAGGGCTACTCAGTGAATGTGGCAGTTGTATCATGATCATTCGAGATTGGACATGTGCGAGAGAAGAAATGGGTGCATCACGGCCTGGACATTGGTTGGAGGCTACCAATCTATTCAATTGGGACACGTCAAGCAAGATTTTCAGGGACATTCTTCCTAAGTTGGGAAACGAGGTCAGGGAGACACGGTATGCGCCGCTTCGTCTCAGTGATGCCGTCAAAGGCGTTGGCTGCATCATTAGCCGAACCTTCTTGCCCTCTGTCGCCCAAGATACCGACCCAACACCCCTACATTCACAATCGAGGCTAGGCTAGCCGTAATGTGCTTCCTAGGTTTACTGCTCTAGCAAAAGGACCCTGAAACTTGCGGATCGCGTTAACTAGCCTGGCTTATGCCAGCGCCGATCGTACGACATAGAGCGTGTATTCGGAACACATAGTACACTTGGACGACCTTTTCCGGGAACAACATGGGCCGGACCGAGATATTGGTGCTAATCCGTCCTGTTAGCATAACTCTGAGCGTTTATGAAGCGTTGGTTGTTTTAGCCCCAAATCTGTCCTAATGTCTACTTCTACCTCCTCTTGACACGACATTGTGGCGAACCTGTTTGTCTACACAGATTGGGTTGGGGTGACTACTTTTGGTGCTAGCAAGAGGACTGCAAGACCACGCACTGCCGGCTGGCCTCTAGGACTTCCAATTTGGACGACCGGCCGGATATGTAATCTTGCTTGAGCAACCAGACGTGAGCAGAAGCAGCCCCCAGCCTCTAATTCAATGGGCCGGTTTAGTGGGGATCGTGGTGTCAGCCGGTGTTCATCCCTGAACATCGTGGCAAGTAGACCTAGCAGTAGATCAAGAATACAAGGATGCAAGATGTATTGTCGAGCTCGTCCCAATGGTGCTCGAAGCCTCTACGCTTTCGAGATGGCATACAACTGGCAAGCGTGACGAACTAGCCTTCTCTAACATCTCAGAAGTCTACCTAGGTAACTTGGAAATAAGCTTAAAGTGTTAGGCAATTTGACGGGGAATGCGAAGGGGGAGGCGCGGCACTGGGCCACGGCCAGAGTGGTATAATAGTCTACCGGTGAATGGCAAGCTTTCCGGCGGTCAAGTTTCCCGAAGCCAAGCTTCCGGTGACGAAGAAATATTTGAACCACAATGGCAGCTTCAAGGTCTAGGGAGTAAAAGGGGAGGATAAACGGTTCTGCCCTTCTGTCACATACTTCTAATGTGACCAAACGCTAGAAACATCCATCTCTGTCAGACAGGAAAGCTAAATAGACAAATGTCGCGATGAAGCAAACTCTTCATACTCGTAATCCAACTTAACAACACCATAACAGACCTTAAATTGACAGGAGACATGCTTGCTTATATCCAACTTGCATCACACTCAAGGGCCAACGTGCTAGCACACTCAAAGCACTCATAACGCTCAGTCAACCCGGTTCGTGGTGGTAGCTACTGGGCAGCTGGGACACTTGTCGTAGTTCATGTAAGCCCTGCCGGGGTGTTCCCAGCACACCCGTTGGTGCGTCTGGCAGTACCAGAACGTTGGCGTGTTCGTATAGTTGCACCCCCCCTTTGACCGTTTAGGGCAACTTTCCTTCTCTCTGTCGCAGGTGGGACAGCTCTTGTACTTGTTGTACGTGATGTCTTTATGGATGGAGCAGATTACCAACTCCGCCTCACATTCGACACAAGGCTCTGACTTTAGGTGCGTGTGGTCATGCGTGTCGCATACCTCCTGGTGCTGTTTGCAATAACGGCGCTTTCCCTTTCTGGCTGGACGGCAGTTCCCCTCGCGCCCACCCTCCTTTGGGCAATGATGAGTTACGCTCGACTTTTGCGTAGGCTTCAATACCGGCATCGTGACTAAGAAATGGTCTTAAAATTCAGAATCGGGCAGGACTGTAGACGGTCAAAGTTATAATCAGTGGGACAGACCATCAAGTCCCCGAGGCCCGAGTAATGGCAAGGCCTCCATTGTGTTCCACCTTTTACCTGGTCTTCATTGTCCTCCACCTTCGCCGTGATTTAATCTCGACCACATAGCAGTATCGACGGGCTCGTATAGCCGCCCTTCTGGTCCAACCAAGCTGGACACCCTATCTTGAAAGTGCACTTTTGGACGGCCAATTACGGCGCCATACATTAAAAGTGCACTTCTAAATGTCCAACATGTGAAAGACCATACCAATGTACTAGTCATTTTTGTCGGCTGAGCACCTCTAAACCCCAATTTGCCGTGGGTAGTGATGTAGCGACTCATGTGCCCTAAGGCGTGAGTCGATGCCATCCCGCCCTTCCCCGCTTCTTTCCTCTCTCTGCCCCTAATAACCGTCTCTCTCTCTTGGTAGACGTGATTAGCTATGGAATGGCACCAATGCAGATGAGTCCTACCAGCGGAGCCGTGGATCAGAAGCTGGGGAAGAGAATAGATGCCCGTAGAGTCTTCCAGTGCTTCATTGGATGCATCCAAATAGGCTGCATGGCGGCACCTGCTCGTGGGCTTTGGGCTCATTGTCGCAGCCGGCAGTCGACCTACATTTCCGAAGGGAGATCTCATGCATGCAGGCTTCATAGCAAAAAATGAGGCGAGGATGTGGCTTGGTCCATAGCGTCAACCCAGCTTTGTAGTGCTCTTCGACTCTGCACTAATTAGACCAGTATTCAGTCTTGGGAATCGCTTTCGGCATGCTTGGCATCCCAGATAATCTTCCATCTGCGAAGTAGCGCTCGTGCCTCGTTGATTAGCTCGTTTGACGCCATGCCTTGGATGACGAAACGCATAAGCCGTCTCGAAAGCGAGTACTTTTGATCGTAAGCTAACTTTCTGTAATGCGGGCCTGCAGTTGCGTCGAAAAGACTTTTCAGCTCCAATGCCTGGGCCGAGGAAGGCTGAAGGTCTGCTTCTAACTTGTCCTCGTCCTTCTCTTCCTCGTCGCCCTCGGGACCCCATTCAGCCCACACCCAGCTAGGCGGATCGCACGTCATGAACATCGGTCCGAGAACTGCACTGTCCCAGTCCAAGATGCCCGAGATGATGGGTTTACTAGTGTCTAAGGCATCGTTGATCAAGATGTTCCGGGGAGCAAGGTCAAGATGAGCTAGGGTAAACGGCGTATCACCTAGATAACCCATCTTCTCCATTTGCCGTGCCATGATGATGAACTGGTCAATGATGTCGGGCTTGAGTCCGCCGCGGGGACGGAGACGGAGCTCTTCGGCTTTCCAGGCCAGCAAGGCCGCCGTAAGCATTTTGCCCACACTGCTGGAGGCAGCAGAGGTGCGGAATGGTTGGGACTCTGAAGGGTCGACGACCGGGTACCAAGGGGCGACATGGAGCGGCGCAACGAGCGTCCTATCCGTGGACGGAAGGGTCAATCTGCCACTCATGCTGCTCTGGACCTGCAACATCTGGCCGACGACAGCACCGAGATCCTTGGCGATTCGGCATCGATCCGAGTAGGACATGTCCGCCATGCTTTGGTGCAATGGCACACCCGGAAGGCGGGTTTGGATCATGTAGGGCGATTGCAGCTGGTTCAGAGAAGTTTCGTCAAATGCCACGACGCTCGGAGCTGGAATGGATGTCTGTTCAAGGACAAAGCGCAAGGCAGCAACTTCGTTCCCGACCTGACCGGGCTGAAAGCGTGGAACTCGGAGGATGTACTGCAACGCTGTTTCGGGTTTGCCCATAGTTCGTTTCGTCAGACCGGTGATTCGGTTGTACCCCCCGCCATGCAGACGCTCCACGGCGATCACCTCGTCTGCAGCGGCATTGGCCCAGATGGTGCTCAGCGCAAGGAATAGGGCTCGGCCTTGGAACGTTTCGAAGGGCTCCTGGTCATAATAGATGGTAGAGGTCTCCGAGACGGAACTAGGCTGCGCATCTCTGCTGTTCGACAGCGATGTAGATGACGATGGGGATGAGGCTATCGGGGCCATATTGAAGTCGGCTGCTGGACTGAGAGAAGGCCCAATATGCAGCCGGCCCTTCAGCCACCAAGGAAAGTTAGTCAGGTAGAGATGCGGTCGGATTGTGGCGAAATAGCCAGTGGTTAATTCACTGTGGCTATCTACTGTGGCATGGCATGTCACGTGACCTTTTCTGGGATCCTCAGTAATTTGAATGAAAATGAATGAACTTTCTACTCTACGGGAAGTTTAGGGTCTGCAAGCCTCTTGTCGTGGTGTAGAGTTGACCTGGCTGACCTCGCGAAAACTATCCCTGAGCATGGCCCATCCGGTCTGAACCAGTTGCACTCAGCCCCCTGATCATGTCGTGGCAAGTGCCTGAGCAAGAACTTTAATGGGTGATTGTAGATGGCAAACTCAGCGCACTGTTAGGTTCTCATAGAGTTACTAATAAGGTGATATCAAGCCCTGCCTCCTGCTCTTTTATTTCACACTTGCTGCTTAGCCATACTGCCTGATGGAACGCCAGGATATTGAGCGGTAAGTTATGTGACATGAGGAATGATGGTAAGTTGGTGTCTATGTTCGAGTTTGAAGGAAAAGAAGAAAATATCAGGGGAAAGGTCTGAGAAAGATATTATTTCTAAGCACCAAACGAGTACACGCACACCATGATATCCTAAGCGGCCACCAAACCAGAGACGACGTTCGGATGCTGGAACGTACGTTCACATCAGAGCAACCATATCATGTTTAATTTACTCTCCACCTTCTATCTCGGCCATTCTGCGCGCGGCGGCCTCTGCACAGCTCCCGGATGCGTCTGACCCAGACTGAGATGAGACCTGGACAAATCGCGACTTCCAGAAGGTCCACCGCTCCGTCGACAGCCCTCCAGATCCGCGGAACAGTTCTCCAGGGGCAGTAATTTCGTTAAACTGCGCATCGCTCTCGCCATTACGCGTACAATCGTAGAGGTACTTGCCAGCGTGCTCTATCCAAGACGCGGCCGCAGCAACGTAGCAGTCACCGAACTCACCCTGGGTCGTTTCGAGCGCATCCCTGAGGGTCCAGATCGCAAAGTTCGGCTTCCACGGCACTATCCTGGCGCCGAAAAGGCGAGCATAAAAGGCATTCTTGTTGATCCACTGCTCTTGAGAGGACTCATCGCCTTCCTTGGGGCCTGTAGCAGCGGCGTTAGCATCTCCGCGACGTATCCAGACAGGGATCTCTGACCTGTCCATGTGTCTCGAAAGGCTGATCCCGCCAGCGGCAGATCTTTCCAAAGACGCTCTTCATTTCCCTGCGAGAGTTGGATCAGACATGGCACACACATACAGGAGGCGGGATTACTTTACTCACCCAGAACGTGACTGTCACTGGCGGAAGTGTCTGCAGCTCGCGGATGACACTGATGAGCTTGTCCTGGGACTCGTGGTTGTGAGGGATCTGGCATGCGATCTGGTCTACATCTGTCCAGAACCCCCAGATGAAGTCCTCGGCGCTGCTCGCATCACCACCTTCTTGCCTAAGCGGGCACAAGGCGTCGATGGATTGAGCGACTTCTCTTGCTTTTACCGGGCTCTCGGGCTGCAAATACTCGCTGAGCACTTTGAAATAGCTGTGCCTCGGGCTGGAAGCGTCATCCGACGACAGCTGCCTGAGCGTGAATTTTATTGAGCCCATCGTCCAAGACTGGTGTTTGAGGATCTTGGCGAACGTTTGAATGAACGCGAACGTTTCTAGCTTGTGATGATGTACCACGTATCGCGCAAGCGATCAGGGGCCTGTCGATCTCCCACGTGAAACTGCGCTTTTGCTGGCCCCTCTCAATCCCCTCATTTTAGCGCAATAGGACAGCGTGTTATGAAGCATCTTGAATCATCTTGATCCCTGTGAAGGGACAAGAAAACCCATCGAAACTCCATTTACTATGTATGATGAGGTGTCCCTGTTTCTATCCCTTTATGGTATCGAATTTGAGTTCAGTTGATACATATGCCAGCTATCTACAGTGCCTGGGTCTCTCACGCATAAGTTGAGGAGGCAGTGTAGAGGTTCCCGAGATGAGCGGGCACGGCAGATCAATAGAGCAGGACGATGGATGTGCCGTTGGAACATTCAACGTAAGTCCATTCACTGAACTGCGCCGTCAATGGGCTGCGGAGATCAGACTTGGTGTTCCGGATCGAAAGGTTGCGGATCGCAGCTCAGCTTTCAACATATGCTGGCAACACCAATTAGACACTAATGACAGCACGCATACTTGAAAGATGATCCAGTGGAATACACTTGCTTGACCAAAATCGGCAAGTACCTAGATATTTTTGTGGAGCGGACGCAGATTGGTATATTTTCCATATTTCCATCCCCAGCAACTCAAAATCTGTTTCCAAACTAACCACATTCACAGCTTCGATGCAGGCCCGAGCTGCTTCTCAAGCTCCAGAACCTTGGGCATCTTGATCTCCCCGACCCGCAGCTTGCTCAAGTCCGGCTCGTACCCTTCCTCCACCAGCACATACGGCCCCATCGGCACGATGCCAAAGGGGTGCATATACGTGTGCGACTTGATGTAGTTGTCCTTGATGTGCGTGAAGTCGGTCGACTCGCGGAAGCCGGGCACGTTCCAGTACAGGTTCTTGAGCCAGTTGTTGATCTGCGGGTAGTCGTGCCGGATCGTGCCGAGGTTGCACTTGAAGGCGTAGGCGTAGATGCTGTCGAAGCGCACGGCCGTCGCGTAGGCGCGCACGTCGAGCTCCGTCAGGTCGCGGCCGAGGATGTACGGCCCGCCGTTGGACGCGATGATCTTCTCGAGCTTGTTGAGCGCGGCGAAGACGGCCGGCAGGTGCTGGTCGTACGCCTCCTGCGTCCGGGCGAAGCCGGGCTTGTACACGCCCGAGTTGAGGTCGCGCTGCATCCAGGCCGTGATCTCGTCGATGGCGGCTTGGTGGTGCTCCGGGTAGAGGTCGAGCTTGGCCTTGTCCTCCGGCAAGATCGAGTTGAACGACGTCTGCAGGTCGCGCATGAGCTCTGCCGATTCATTGTTCACAATGCTGCTCGTCTTTGTGTCCCACAGCACAGGGACCGAGTAGCGGCCCTTGTACTCCGGGTCATCCTTGAAGTAGATCTCATGGAGATACTTGGCATTGAACAAAGGATCTGCAGTCGCGCCGGGATACTCCGAATCGTTGGCCGGGAACTGCCACCCCGGCCAGCCAGAGTCGTCGCCTTTGGGAAACGGCCTGACCACGGTGATGGGAATGATGTCCGTCAGTCCTTTCAGGTGTCGGACAAGATTCGCGCGGTGGGCAAAGGGGCAGAACAAGCCTGGCTCAAGGTCAGTGTCTCCCGGAAACGACACTCCTCGTGACGTCGGGTCCCTTGCTACCCACCAATGTACATCCGGTAGCGGTCTTTCTCTGGCGGATGTTGGCTGCCCGGTGCGACTTTTCCATTCCATGATCGTGCTGGGCCGTCACCGATAGTGGCCGCCGGTCTTACAGGAACAGACATTGTCAAGGCGCGTTGTAGTGGTTAAATGAATTGTTGAGTTGTTGCTGCCTTGGGCTCTTTAAGACGCTGGAATAGCCTCAGCCAAAATCAGGGCTGACTGCTGAGTGCTGGAGTCGTCGTGCTGACCAGCCATTGATTGATCGAATGGATGGCGGGGCAACCTGGCACATTCCGAAATCTACCTAGGTAGCTAGTGGCCGGAATTGATTAATCATCCATCTTCGTTCCACTGCAATGATCGAACACTTCCAACTTGACACATATACCGGCCAACTAATTTCCAAGTCGAGATGTGTTCCAAAACACCCGAAGCCTGACAATGGCCGTGGATGTTTGTCAAGGCAGTTGGCGCGACCTCCCGGTGCCAGGCCAGATACTCAGGAGCCCATAGTTAAGTCTGCCAACTGCCAATCAACTGTCACTTCTTTCGACAAGCACACAGCATGCAGCCACTCAAGTTCCAGGGGCAATCTACTTTAGAGGAGACGATGGTCATTATTGAGAGCTGTGGCTTGGGATATGCTAGAGCACAGCCCGGTCCGTTTCTGGCAATTTTTGAGTTATCAAAGAGATGCAGAATAATTGTTAGCAGTCTCATGCTTTGTACTCTGTTGTTCGCTTTGTGGTTTTCAGATCCTTTGGTATCACGTTCCTTTATGTTCATATGTTCCCCTTGTTAAGCTAGTACCTGTGCTACGCCACAAGTCGACCTCTGTTTTTCAACAATCAGATCAATCACTCAAAACTATATAAAATATCCACCATCTTGATACTCACTTCACCAGCTCAACCCTTAACATAACTTCCTTCTGCAACACTATAATTCAATCTGGAAAAACTGCATTCGAATAAATTAGCCAACAAACGAACAGAATCGCCACAGCATGTCTAGCTTCATTGGCCTCCAATGCTTGGTCTGTGAGAATTCCATAGCCCGGCTCCCCGGCGTTGAACCAGTGGAGCTCAAGTTCCGAATTCGTAAGTAGACTAATCACATCTTCACTCCTTCTCTTATAGCCTTCTAGCATTCTAGTCTTCTGTCGGGTGCCTCGAACCCACAACTACTTGGCCACTCTTTGGGTCGACGTTAAAGCTAAGAAATATCGTTATAGTGTTTGCGGTTGAGGGACGATGGGATGAGCCCCACGTTGTCGACGTTTCCAACCTCGATTTTGACGATGACATACACGGTTATGAGATACCTCTCCCGGATTCCCAAGACACGGTTGCTGTTCATGTTTCATTAGGATGCCATTCTGGCCCCTGCACGTCAGACCCCTCGACCACTTGTGGCTTTGGTTATCCGATCCACGACGTTTGTTGGGAAATGCTCAACGCTTGTCGTTCTAGCCGGGCGCAAGATCTGACCGCTCTTATACGCCGCCACCTATCTCTTCCTCCCAATGAGGTGCCACACATCGGTCATTGTTCTGGAATTCCCGAAATTCGCGACGATGGTCACGGCCATCCCTTTCATTTGCTAGGGTGGGATCCCAACAGCAAGATTGCATACCCGCCGCTGAAAGATGTGGTCTTGCCTCCCATTGCAAGTCGCATATCTCCTACCTCCCGAGCTCCATCGGATCATGATTTGCTTTCCATGCTTCCTCTCGAGATTGTGCAGGAAATTCTGACTTGGCTGCCTTCTCCGGACGTTAAGAACTTCCGGCTGGCGTCTCGCGTCGCTGCAACTACTATCCTTTCTGATTTCTTCTGGAAATCTCGCTACGGTGGTGGCTTGGAGCTCGCGTATCTGTATGATGCTCCCTTGTCTGATCCGACCATGCGTGGACAATGGCGGTCTATCTATCTTAGGGATAGAGATCTTCATACCAGCCAAAACGACGCTACGAGGCGGTTTGCGGTCTGGGGCCGTTGCCTAAACATCTGGAACGTGATTGACAAGTTAGGCTCTTGTCAAGGAACCAGTGGCTGCGGAATCCTTGATTCCTCTACGGAAGACTATACAACCATGCAGTGGACCGACGCTAGCCACGCGGTGCAGTGGGATCTCCAGGGGGGTAATGACCTGAGATCAAGGTGCCTCTTTGAGCGAGTCGCGACAATCTCATCGACTACGAGACAGGTGTGCGTCTCAATCTTTGTCTTTCGCGATACCTGTTATATCTCTGGCCTCCGGTTCGTTGACTGCGATGGCTCTTCGACTCCTATCGGCTATGTCCGTAAAGGTTCTGAGGTGTGCATCCCTCTACCAGTTGTTGGGCCCAGTGAGATGCCCTTGACTGGATTTCTTCTCACACTAAGCCGCGACGGCATCCACGGAATTGCCGTGGAAACCAAGGAGGAATCTTCTAGCTGGGTTGGAGAGTGCAAGGAGCCAGGAACTCACAAAGACATGTTCACCAGAAGGCTTACATGGGAGGTGTCAGGTACACCAACAGGCCAGTGGCTGGTCAAAGGAGGATTCGATGTGAGTTGCCAGCCCCAGTTCAATCTTGAAAACACGATGACTAACAGCATAAAAAGGACTCTAGGCTGGTTTCGCTGTCAACATCAGTCGGCACAGCGCGGACAGAAGTGCCGCGAAATTACCGCCCCGACGAGATCCAGAATCACGCCATGTGGCGGGCCAAGACGTCCAAGACATCTCCGTATCTGGAGTATTCTATGTTGGAGCACTACTTGGAGGGCCCCCGTTGCTTGCGAGCATGGGATGACCTTACCGTGAGCCATCCTGGCAATCTGCCACCCCAGGGACTGGACTTTCAAATAGGCAGCAGCCTCTTCCAGCAGGACAACGGCTTGAAAGAATTCCCACTTTCGTGGATGAGCTTTGATCCCGCTATGGTGTCAGAGGTTGACGTCTACTGTTCAATCTCACACTCGAGAATCAGTGGATTCCGGGTCGGCGACAACCAAATTGGACACTGCATGCCTGGACCCGCCCGCTTCCAGCTGAAGATCGACGGACCAGGCGGAGAGCGCATCACAAAGATTACAACCGTGTACAGGACCCTCACTGCTCAAGAGGGGAGAGATCTCAACCACGCCAGAGAATTTCCCAAGAAGCTGTGCAACATAATTGTATGTCCTGAATACGCTTGCAGAGATGACATTGTGTGAATTGTTGTGCTAACTAGACATTCACAGATCTATACGAATCGCGGTCAAGTCCTCGTCGCTCCTCCAGGCCCCAATATTGAGAAGATGAGTAGATACGTCCACTCGACCCTGGAACACGACGCAATCACTGGATTCTACGCTCCAGTAAGTTGAAGTTTCCGTCCTCTCAATATTTGACTGTTATTAATCAATCTCTATAGGTAGAACACGGATTTCTTGATCTCGGTATTGCATACCAGTCTGCTGTTCAAAGTCTGCACTGAGCAATGAGTTGCAGATACACCCCATCACGCTTGCATATGGTGCTGCTTCACAGGCTCAAGCCTCGATCTCTTTCCCCTTAGCGGGGTTCTTTCACTGCTGGATATATTGTTTGCAGAGACAATGTCAAGCTGGGAATGGATTGGATTTTCCATCTGTTCAATATTCGGGTTTCCGTTTGGTTTTTCCCCTGGTTCTATGTCATTTCCCCTCCCCATTTTCATTCTGTTTCGTTTTCAATTTGTTTTCGAATTGTCTTTTCTGTCTCATTTCCTTGTTCGTTCTGTAGGTCCTCTTCGGCTTCCTTTCCTATCTCCTGTTCTGGTTTCGACGTTTGTTTCCATTCCGATTTCGTCATCCCCAGTGTCTTGTTCCTCAACCTGTCATTGAAGAAAAGGATGCTACTATAGATATTAAGGCGCACTATGGCAAAACTTCAAAAAAGAAAAAAAAATACACATCTCTCCCCAAGCTCCTCTCATCTCACCCTCGAGATCTTGAACCCACCGGGCACGCGCCTCTGAAACACCCCCTCGCGGTCATACCTGGCCGCCACCTCCCCGATGAACCGCACGTTCTCGGCCCCGTAGCTGCCCAGCACGTCCTCCGCCCCGTCCGCGTAGTTCATGTAGACAAAGTCGACGAGCCCGCCGACCGACGCGGCGTAGGCCCTCGCCTGCGCGGCCATGGCGTACAGCCGCGCCTGCGCGAGGGCGTAGTCGGCCTCGCTCGAGGAGACGGACACGGCCGGGTTCCATATGATGGCATTGTGACTGCCGCCGCCGCTGCTGTCGAGGCCGAGCACGTTCCCGCCCTTCCTCTTGCTGATCTGCGCCATGTAGGACGGCAGGGGCTGGAAGAACATGCCCGTGTTGAAGTTGTCGGCTCCTATCTCGGCGGAGAGCGAGGAGACTAGGGTTTCGAGGAGGGCGATGCAGCGGCGTAGGATCCGCGGGTCGTTGCGGAAGGTCAGTGTGATGGAGGCGTCCCTGGTGCATCAAGAGTCAGTTTAAAAGTTTGCTTCGGAGAAGATGTGCATGACAATGAGAGAAGAACCTACTTCGTCCCGCCAGGGAGCTGCGAAGCAAACGCCGCCTCGGCCATGGTCTGCAGGCTCGTCGAGTTGGCCAACGCGGGCACGTCCCTCAGGCCGTCAAACGCCGTCGACACGTTGCCCTGCCCCTGGGTGTTGACGTAGATGGCCCCGGCGTACGGCTCGCGCATCACGCTCGCGTTTCGCATGATGAAGGTGATCAGATGGTTGTGCTCCAGCACGGCCGGGTCCATGTCCGCGAACCCCGTCACCGCATCGACCAGCGCGTCAAACCCACCGGACGACACGGTCCGCAACTCCCGGTACAGCTTGCGTGACGGCAGCGCCTCCAGGTCGAACCGCGTGACGATACCAAAGTTGCTGCCTCCACCCTTGAGCGAACGCCACAGATCCGCATTCTCGCCCGCGTTGGCATTGACGACGCTCCCATCAGCCAGCACAACCTCATAGTTGACCACGGTGTCGCACCCGAACCCCATCTCCCCGGAGAAGAACGAGTTGCCCCCGCCCAGCAAGAACCCACCGACGCCGACATCGCCGTCCCGCCCGCCGGTGACGGTAACGCCACCCTCCCGCTCCAAGTCGGCGTACACGTCCCTCCACCGCCCGCCGGGCTGGATCCGGGCCGTGTTGGTCGCGGAGTCGTAGGTGCTCCCGTTCATGCGGCTCAGGTCGATCGTGACCCCCGCCGCGACGTTGTTGCTGCCGCGGAAGCCGTGCCCGCCGCTGCGCACGGCGATGTGCCAGTCTCCCGCCCCGCCGTTGACTTTCACGAGTGTGCTTATCGCGGCCGAGACCTCCTGCGTGTTCTCGGGCAGGACGAGGCACCAGGGCCGCTGGCGGGCGCTCTCCGAGTACCACGTCCGGATCTGCGGCTCGTAGGCCGGGTCGGGGGGCAGGAGGACGCGGTTGCCGAGGCCGGCGGTGATGAGGGCGGCGCACTGGCGGTAGAAGAGGTGGTGAGTTAGGGTCGTGAGGTGCGTTTTCAAGTCACTGGAGTGTGACTTACAGGAAGGGCTGCGCTGGTGACATTGTTGGATAAGGTCTGATTACCAGAAGACTGGCGAATGTGTAAATGTGACGATGAGAATGTGGTCAAGGCCGAGGCGAGACTGCCTGCGGAAGCAATGGCAGCAAGTGAGAGTCTCATCTTTCTCAACGGCAAGGAGAGTGAAGTCAAAGGAAGGGGGCCAGTGCAGCGCAGAGAGAAGCTACTGAACCAGAAGACAACGCCATCATATAAGTGCGAGCTTCTGCCAACCTTATATCCTTTCTCAAGCTTAACTTCAAGCTTAGTAACTTGAAGACAATCCCCCTTATCATCGTGACAGTATTACCCGGAATTGGCCCACTGAACCGTGAAGGCCAGGGATGTACGTCGTCACAGCCTTAAGTAATACGCGTATCCAGCCGTGGTATCGGAGTGTGGATCGACCAGGTTGAAGAGGATCATCAATGCGGGCGGGAGCAAGGGGGTTGAGATGCATGTTTAACCATATTTGCGGGACATTTCCGACAAAATGACACACGAAGACCCTGACAGGACCGAGGTGGCGCAACACGCGTATCCAGGGCCAAGCATGGTGATATCAAATGCTGAGATTCGACCGAGCTGCGTACTCGCACAGGGCAGTGCTCGGACTTAAGACGTGAGGAGAATACGCGGAGTCTCGTAAGCCAGCCTCCATGCGTTCGTCGCCAGAACATACTGTCGCCCATTACTCACGAGTCGCAATCCTCCAGAGCAAAGGCGAGGCGCATTCGAGGAGCGAAAACCAGTAACACCGATCCGATTACGACAATAGAGCAAGACAAAGCAATCACTTCAATAAAGAACCACGGCCAATCGGTAAAAGTCTAGCCTCAATTTCAAGAAGTCAGGGTATCATGGGATCTATCCAGGAAAAAAACAACGCAAATCAGACACTCTGATCTCTGATCTCTCTGACGATGGCAAACCAAACAAACGTCTTAGCTATACCAAGTCCCCTTCCTGCCCAGGTCAAGGCTGTGTAGGATCCGGCACCGGTCCGTCTGGCACACCTTCTCCCGATCGAGGAACTTGAATTTGGGCCCAAACGGCCCCGTGATGTAGTGGTACTGCCCAAACAGCCTCCACTGCCGCGCGTCGCCGAGGCCGTACGTCTCGTCGCCCCAGGGGCCCTCAAAGTGGAACCACGAGGTCGCGAGCCCCGGGTTGACATCGGCGGGGATGAGGCTCTTGTACGCCGTCTCGTTACGCTTGGCCTCGGCCCCGAGGATATCCATCTGGCGCTCCTCTTCCCGGTCCTCGATGTAGTCGTAGTGGTAGCCGTAGTAGTTCTTGGCCGGGTCCCAGATGGGGCCCTTGTCGGTCTGGTCGTGCAGCAGGCCGAATGGCAGGACGTAGGGGTGCTCGCCGGGCAGGGCGTACATGGCGTGGCTGCCGACGGCCGAGTAGATGACGGGCCGCTCGGGCCTGCGCATCGGCCCGTCGCTGTGCGGGTAGAACTTCTCGAGGGCGTCCCAGGCGTAGGCCTGGCCGCCGGCGTGCTCGCTCAGGAACAGGGAGCGCGGCTGGCCGTTCTCGAAGCGGATCATGCAGTGCTCCCAGTCGCCGACGTGGTTGCCGAAGCGGATGTTGAAGACGGTCTGGCCGAGGTTGTACGAGTAGAAGAAGAACCAGAAGGCGTCGAGGACACCCGACCCCTTGTCCACGAGCACGAGCACGGCGGGAGCCTTGGAGTAGCCGCTGGAATCGGGCTTGTATCGCGGGATGAACGGGACCTGCTCGCCGGCCACCTCCTCGTAGTTCCTCTTGCGACGGCTTTCACGGAGTCGCGAGTCGTGCGGCGGCCGCTTCTCTCCGACGTGGTGCGGAGGGCGTCTCGTGTCGATATGTTCCGGGCTGGAGACCTTGCGAGGGTCAGAGATGCGGTGCAGCGGATGGTCCTTGTCCACATCAAACCAAGTGGTGTCGTCGCCGGCAAAGCCATCATTGGGGTTCGGCCGCAGTGGGACTTCGTCTCCCTCCTCCGTGAACTCAGCAGGCTCGCCCTCGCGGTTGTGCAGCCACTCGGGTCTATCCTCAACATCGACCTCACTAGTGAGATAAACCATGTCGAGGATGGAGTTGAACTTGTGCAGCTCGTTCAGGGAAACAGGGAACGAGCTGTTGAACTCTCCTTTGTGGGTGTACGGCGACATATGGCGGACGAATTCCGCGATGTCCGACGGCCAAAAGTTCTCCTGCGAGTACAGGTGCACCAGCGGCGCATGGTTGAGAACGTAGTCGGGAATGCCCTTGAGCTTGCGGCCCTTGTTCGGACCTTCCCGCCTGGCCTCGGACTCTTTCCATGCTTGTGCCTTTTCCTCGACGCTCAGCAGCCTGGGTTCTTCTTCGTCCAGCGACCGCAGCTCGATGTTGCGCAGCTCGTGGTTGTCGTCGTCGTCGTGACCAATGCCGGTGCCCGGAAGCGCCGGAGGATCCCACTTGACGTGCCACAGGCCGCAGAGGCTAAACCAGCGGCAGCACTGCCGGTCGAGCCAGTGGGGGCTCGACGAGATCCATTGCTTGTCTCGTCGGCGCTCTTCGGGAGTAGGAGGAGTCGGGTTCAGGACTCGCGGCAGCACCGAGGTGAAGAGGGCGATGACGACGACGACCGAGCTGAAGGCGGCGAAGCGCCGGAGGGTGATGTACATGGCTCCGGGAGAAGCCTACACTTCTCTGATGCTGTGATGGCGGCAAAATAGGAGATATTTGTCGAGAGTAAGAGAGGGAGGCTGGAAAACTGTGTTTTGTCGGTGTTTGGTGCGGTGTCGGCGCTTTCTTCCGGAGAGGCCGGCAGCAGCGGGCGGTCAAGATCAAATGGGTGGGGGGTACGGATGCGGGCACAAAACAAGGGTATTAGGATAAGGACAAGGGAACCTAATGGGAAACAGGCCGCGACTCCATGTTCGCAAGGAAAAATGACCGTGAATGGCGAAAGGATATGTTCGTAGGAGAGGAGGAGGGAAGAAAGACGAGAGAGAAACAAGTCCGTTTGTCGGGTTGGGTGCAAGAAAGTTGGTCACCCACCCCAAACACTCAGGAAGGATCGGCTTCCAGTCGTCACAGCGTGCTGTGTCAGACTCAGCGCCTGCGCCCGCTAAACGACGACCCCCAACAGGCCACCAGGGATGCTCACTAATACCTGCGAGAGCCAGCGTTTCGGCACTCTGAAGTGGGGTACAGGGTACTTGGATATGCGGGGACCAGTCCCTGCAAGGGCCAGCCTTGGAGGCCGGCTGACTAAATGCAGGGCGCCCGGTCCCCTTTTTGGCGCAATATTCAGCACTACTAGGTCCGTCCATAAGCCGGACACGACTCGGCCACGCACCACCTTTCCCCTCGCCTCATTGGCCCAGGTGGCCCACCCCGGCAGATGCACCTCCGGTCAGCGGATGTCTCTCGGCATGTGCCGACCCTGGTCCATCTGCGACGCTGCATGACTACCTTTCAAGCAAGAGGACGTATCTCATCCAAACAAGAGAGCATGAGGTCTGGTGTTGCGCTTGCTGTGATCCATTCCATGTGGGTGTTCAGCCGTTGAGTGATGGATGATCTACTTAGTCTCTCAGACTGTATTGCTGCAACGCGAGTCTAGATACCTAGGTAAAGAAGTAGCTATCACAACCCCTCTATCATTCCGACATCAGAGGTTTCGAGCGTTTTAGCACTTTCAGGCTCTTGCTGCCCGGTATAAGACTCGCTGCAGATGTGTAGTTAGCAGTAAGTGTGGCCGACTATCTGCTTGCTCTCGATCCAGGTTATTCCAGTCTCAGAATGGTGGTGCTTTTGCCAGCCTGTAAGGCTCAAGACAGCGCTGTTTGCCTCAAGGTGTTCCGCGATTGGGTCGTCCAATGGGTGCCCGTGACTCGTAAGCCACAGTTGATAGGAGGCTCGAAGCTCCGCGGAAATTAATAGTCGTTGGCACCCTAGAACCTTCTCCTGGGGGGCATCATCATAGGGCTTTGCGTCAGGCTTCGACCCCCACAGGAGTAACTCTGCCTGCCCGTCTGGACGTTCAATCACCACGGCGCCCAAGACACCAAGCCTCTTCACACTGCGGCTGTAGGGCCAGAACGGGCGGTTGACATGGACAACACCATGTCTGTACTGGGGCTGGCTTCGTTGCCGTGGCCAGTAGTGCAGAAACTTGCACTTTTCCGATAAATGAATCTGGAGTGAAAGAATTCGTGACGCCTGGAATGCCCTCTTCCAGAGAGGGAAATAATTCCGAGAAATGCTAATCCGCTCCATTCTGGCCTCACACAGATCGTACGACATCCCTGTATGTTTCCTCTTTTAGTAATTGCCCAGCTTTCCATGGCCGGGGTAGAGCAACTCACGTTCCAACTCATGACCTATCCTCCTCGACAGGTACAATTCAAGAACTCCATGCATCTCCTGGACAGATATCATGTCCATACTTCCGCTCATCACAAGTACCAGATACGAGGCCTTTTGGTAAACTTGCTCTTCTACCCTCAGCTTCTCGAGCACAATCACAGGGCGCTTGCGAAGGTCAGACAGAAGCGCACAGTTCAGAATTCCAAGATACAAGTCGGTAGGGACGATTGGTGATCTACCCTCCTCCTCTGTGCAATCTTGGCACTTCTGCAAGGGGCATATGAACATATCAGTGGTTGTGTTATTTGCATGTGATTCCATGTATGACACGTGAGCGTGGCCATCGGGATGCCGAGCTGCGGGCAACTCGACCAACTCGACAGATTGATCTTTGTGGACAAAGCCGCTCGCATCTCTTGCGAAGAGCGATTCATCATAGATGGCGAAAATAGACTGGTCTCTGGAAACCCGCAAGATCTCTTCCTGCAAACGGCCGAATGCTTTGCAGCCGCCTTCGCCGTAAAGTAGCGGCATGTTGACCGAGAACAGTCCCATGAGACAGTAGGCTCCATCCTCAGGACGGCTAGTACCACGATTCGCTGTCCAGTTCATCCGCTGCGAGACGCTGAAATCATTCAGAGATTCTTGGACCGTTTCTGGGTCCTGCGGGTACCGGCGATTCAGGACTGATTGGGGAATACGAGTGATAGTTGACAGGTGCTGTGAAAGATTTCTTGTTGGCTGGTGCCAGTCTTTGGTGTACCCATATCTCGAGGTGCCTTTTTCTCCAATGTATGTCCAGAACACATCAAAGAAGACAACGTGATGGGGGCCAATGAGTTCTTGCAGTGTCCAGCCTCTTCTGAACCATCGGCAGGGATGGAGTCCACTCAGGTCATCCTCACGACCTTCCGGAAGCTCGAAGTCGCTCAGGTATGCATAGCAAACCTTAGACGAGGCATACCAATTAAACATGGAGTTGATCGCCTCAGAAAGTTCGGCGCTGCTGCTCTTGTCAATGCAGCAGGTATCGATCCACACATACTGCAAGCCATCTATTGTAGCCTGGATGCAGCTGTAACTAACTTTCTTGTACCCCTTCATGAGACTCAGCTCATGTCTGGGCCGGCAGATGTCTTCGTAGAGTACTTCTTCATCCTCCCATGTGTGAGAGAGGATAGCGTACTCCGGTGGTGAAGCAACAAATGTCTCCAACTTGCGAGTGTGGACATTGAGCAATCTCATCTTGCTTCTCGGAGCCCAGTTGCTTGTGTTGTACGTGGATTGAGATGCGGATGTATTTTACTTCAGGCGTTGAGAATAGAACAAGGCTGAGTTATCACAGTGAGAGTGAGAGAGGGGGAGGGAAGGTTGCATATCGTACCTATTCTTCCACATCACCTGACTGAGTCTCTCTGATAGGAGCATGCAAGTCTGATGCTCCGCCACAGCGCTTAAGGATACAAATGAGAGTGAAGCGCGGCCTTTAGCCGAAGGTAATACTTGTACATTGCCCGATCTCATAAAGGGTGAGAATGGAATGGCATACACGACAGATCTGTATCCGCTCAAAACACAAATGGGTATCTTAACGCACGTCTGTTCCCTCAGGCACTCCAGTAAAACATCCTCACACATCAACCATATCCGTGTCACCGGCAGAGAACCCTCCCACATCATCCTCCCCAAGCTCATTCCACGTCCCTGGCGTCGGGGTCGACACATTCTGCTCGCCAGCACCGCTCCCTTCCAGAGTTGTCGCCTCGGCCGCGGCCGCACCTCCCCTCCCTCTCCCGCCGCCTCTCGGCCTCCCCTTCGGCCGCCCCGTCCCCTGCAGCAGCCGCTCCTGGGCCTTCTTCGCCCGCAGCGCGCTCTCGTGCAGCTCCGCCCTCTGGCGGCGGTGCCTCAGCCGCGACTTGGCCAGCTTCACGGGCAGGCTGTCGTCCTCCTGCGCGACGTCGTCGCCGTCGCCGCCGCCGACGCGCTCGTACTGCTTCCCCTCGGTCGCGTAGACCGTCACCTCGTCCCGCTCGGCCTTGCGCTTCTTGATGGCCATGAGGTGCTCGAGGAAGCGCGCCTGCGGGCGCCGCTGGTTGCGCACGTCGCCGTGCACCTGGATGAGGAAGCCGTTGGTCTCGCGCGTGCGGTGCAGCCGGTTGTCCGGGTGGCTGCCGTGGTGGGAGCGCAGGTCTACCGGCGTGAAGTTGATGCGGGCCGAGCTGGCGGCGAGCAGGTCTACGTCGTCACGGAGTTGGCGGAGGGCCGGAAGGCCGCTTTGCGAGTCGTGGCGAGTGAACAGCATCTCTGTGCCTATGTTGCTGGCCCATTGCCCTGTGAATATCCTGCCGCGATAGGAGACGAGGGGGTCGGGGCTGTGTAAATCGAGGATCTGAATCTCAGTCGGATCCTCTTCCTCTGGGCCTGGCTTCTCCATCTCCCTGGCTGCGTGAGCCTCGTTTCTGCCCGTCCGTCTGCCCTTGTTTAGAATCTTCCGAGTTGACTGGCCGTCGTTGGAGTCATTATCGTTGTCTTCATCGTCTTCTTCTCGCTCCATCTCATTTTCACCGTTATCTGAGCCACCGCCCGTTTGATCGTTGGCATCGCCCTCGTCTTCCATCATTTCCCTGTTCGCGCCTTGCATCGCTGGCGGATTCAATAGGGGATTGACCCATGTTCGAAAACCGCCGCGGGTATGGTGAACGATGTAGTCCTCTCTGCGATTGAGGAAGTCGGGGATAGATAAGTCGAGGGTGAGGTAGTAGGTCTCTGTTTCTGTCGCCGAATACTCGTATTCCCAGTCCGAGTCGTCGCCATCTGTGACTGGAGCAGCAGACGCGGGCTGGGAAGCCACGTCGGAGCTTTCAGCCATTGGGCCTAGATGCGATGATGACCCGATCCCAATGTGCGCTGGGGTACATGGAGTCCAAGGCAGAATATGAAGTGAATGTGAGGGGCAGAGAGAGGTAAAGGTTGGAGGTTGGAGACTGATGTCAAAAAGTCCAAGAACGCGTTGCGTGGGTACTGGCCGGCATTCTTCAAGACAAAGCTCCAGCGATGAGCGAATGGCGGAGCACCCAATGCCACCCCTGGCAGCGTGCAAAATATAGCGGTCTAAGCAGGCAGAACTGGCTGATCGCGGGGTCCATTCAGTGCTGCCCCACCAAATAACGCCTGGCGCATTCAGGTCTTGTCTACCGACTTAGCACCAAGAAGCGCCCGAACTTTTTTATTTGACTCACACTGCGCCGACACTTGCATCACAATCTCATGCTCATGCTTCCGTCGTAGCAAGAAGGAAAGAGAACGACCCGACTGCTGTGCCGGACAATATCCCCGAAGATATGGCTCCCAAGGTCCACCTGCTCGACTATGTCGCCGGGAATGTGAGGAGTCTGGTCAATGCCATCGAGAAGGTGGGCTATGAGGTCGAGTGGATCAGGAATCCCGACGAGGTCGCCAATGCAGAGGTATGAGCTTCCTCCTTGTCCCCGGAAACACACCACTGACCACTGACACACCGTCCTGCAGAAACTCATCCTCCCCGGCGTAGGCCACTTCGGCCACTGCCTCTCCCAGCTTGCCTCGGCTGGCTACCTCCCCGCCGTCCGCAAGCACATCGACGCGGGCAAGCCCTTCATGAGCATCTGCGTCGGCCTGCAGGCCCTCTTCAGCACCTCCTCCGAGGACCCGGACATCCCCGGCCTCGACCTCATCCACGCGCCCCTCGACCGCTTCGACGACGCGGACAAGGCCGTCCCGCACATCGGCTGGAACAGCGCCGACACGGACGGCAAGAGCCTGTACGACCTGCGGCCCGAGAGCAAGTACTACTACGTCCACTCGTACAAGTACACCTACATAAGGGGGGAGCTCGAGGCGGAAGGGTGGCACGTCGCGACGGCCAAGTACGGCGGCGAGCACTTTGTCGGCGCCGTGGCGAGGGGAAACATCCTGGCGACGCAGTTCCACCCGGAGAAGAGCGGCGTGGCGGGCCTGAGGATGATCCGGTCCTTCCTCGACGGCACGGGCGCCAAGACGCTCGGCCAGCCCCTGCCAGCCGCCTCCCTGTCTTCATCATCACAGCAGCAGGGCCTGACCCGCCGCGTGATTGCCTGCCTCGACGTCAGGACAAACGACCAGGGCGACCTCGTCGTGACCAAGGGCGACCAGTACGACGTGCGCGAGAAGGGCGCCGACCGCAGCGTGCGCAACCTGGGCAAGCCCGTCGAGATGGCCAAGCGGTACTACGAGCAAGGGGCCGACGAGGTGACCTTCCTCAACATCACGTCCTTCCGCGACTGCCCGCTCGCCGACCTGCCCATGCTCGAGGTCCTGCGCCGCACCTCGGAGACGGTCTTTGTGCCGCTGACGGTCGGCGGCGGCATCCGCGACACCGTCGACACGGACGGCACCAAGGTGTCGGCCCTCGAGATCGCCACCATGTACTTCAAGTCGGGCGCGGACAAGGTCTCGATCGGGTCCGACGCCGTCATCGCCGCCGAGGAGTACTACTCGCTCGGCCGCAAGCTCTTCGGCAACACGGCCATCGAGCAGATCTCGCGCGCCTACGGCAACCAGGCCGTCGTCGTCAGCGTCGACCCCAAGCGCGTGTACGTGCCCAAGCGGGACGCCACGCGGCACAGCGTCGTCCAGACGAAATTCCCGGGCCCGAGGGGCGAGGAGTACTGCTGGTACGCGTGCACGATCAAGGGCGGGCGCGAGACGCGCGACATGGACGTCGTGGAGCTGGCGCGCGCCGTCGAGGCCATGGGCGCGGGCGAGGTGCTGCTCAACTGCATCGACCGGGACGGCACCAACAGCGGGTTCGACCTCGAGCTCGTCCGGCAGGTCAAGGGCGCCGTCAGGATACCCGTCATCGCGTCGAGCGGGGCGGGCAACCCGGCGCACTTTGAGGAGGTCTTTGCGCAGACGACGACGGACGCGGCGCTCGGGGCGGGCATGTTCCACCGCGGCGAGTACACGGTCAAGCAGGTCAAGGACTACCTGCAGGAGAAGGGGCTGGTGGTGAGGCAGTTTGAGGGGGAGCTGTAAGGGGTGAGAAGGAAAGGAGTCGGGGTGCATAGAGTGTGATGGGTGGGTGTAATGGATAGAAGTTTACGAGATAGATATCACACGGGGTCACGATGAGTTACGGGCCATCCGAGCATTATAGAATCTTGTTTCGCTGACAAACTGTGCGATTTAATTCGAGACGCGCTGTCCTATGGACGAGGTGAAACTACGGAAGATTATAGAAAGACTCGTAACTGTCTTCCCGGAATCATAAGAGAGAAAACGACTTGCTTGGTTCCCAGCCCGAAATGCGCCCTTTTTGTCGTGAGGAGTCGCTATGGATGCTGATGCAATTTGTGGGAACTCCGAAATATCAAGAAGGAATAGCAAGGACGGAGAAAAATAACGGCGACCAACAGACTCCAAAACCCAGTGCTTGACGGAGAAGAAAAAGAGAACATCCCACTATCTCAGAGAAAGCCTTTTTCGAACCCTACCATGCATGTGCAATGTGGTGCACTCGGTCAAAGAAAAAAAGAGAGAAATAGGAAAAAGATAACCCCAAGCTCCTCATCTCTGCTTTTCCCTCCTTTCCTCCTCTTTAGATCTCCATGCCCATAAAGAGCCAGCGGTCGCTGGTCACGTCGACGCAGCCGGGGGCCCAGTGGTCGAGCGAGGCCAGCGAGAAGCCGGCCCACTGCAGGCCCTTGATCAGCTTGTTCTCGCCGCCGTCGGGCTCGGGGCTGGCGGCCAGCATGCGGCGGTCGAGGCAGACGACGAGCTGGGCGCAGCCCAGGGGCCCGTCCGCGAGCTCGATGAGCGCCATGAGGCTGTGGGTCAATCCATGTCAGTATATATATATCAAGTGTGATTTGATGAGGTCAAAAGAAAGAGAGAGAGGACTCTTACCCTTGCTTCAAGTCCCTGTTGGCGGTGCCGGCGTCGAAAAAGGCAAACAGCGACTTCTCGCCGTCGGCGTCCTCGGCCAGGAAGGCGCGGAAGCTCGCGCCGCCGGCGTAGTCCCAGATCTCGAGCCAGGCGGCCACCTCGACGCTGCAGCCGGCGGCGGGAGACGACGACGACGACGACACCGCGTACCGGTCGGTGGGATAGTCGTTCTCGGGCGGCGTGCAGAGCTGGCCGTTGTTGTAGTCGCTCCTCCTGGAAGCGTTGCCAGAATGATCATGATGATGATGGCTGTAATAAGCACCCGTCAGGCCGGAGCCGCGCGAGGCCGTGTCCCTCTCACCGTGGAACACAGCCCGCATGGACTCGCAAAAGAACCTCTCACATTCTTCCCTGATGCGCAGTGCTGCCCCCCCTCGGCGGCTATTGAAGCTGGCGCCGGAACCGGACGTAGCCTGCGAGCCGCGCTGCTGCTTCCGCTTGGGCGTCAGCGCGAGCTCGTTGGACGCGGTGAGGGCCGCGAGGGGGGGGCTTGACGGGGGGGATGGTAGTCCTGAGGAAGGGACCTCAGGAATACCACTCTGCCCCTGTGGCGAAGGTAGTGCAGTAGTGCAGGCCGCGGAGGGCGGCGGCGTGGTCGACGAGGTAGCACGAGGCGAGGACGTTGGCCTCGCGGACGGCGCCCTCGCCCGAGTGATTACTACTGTAATTACTGTCTTGTTTTCTCATTGGCGCCATTGTTATTGCGTGGTAGCCACCGTGTTGCTGATCTAGTTTTGTTTGGACTGGAGGAGGGACAGGCTTCGATTTGTGAGCCTCGGCAGAAAGTGTTGCGTTGAGAGGAGACAGTGAGTCGAGCGAGTCGATTCGAGTTTGATTGACGGATTGATTGGTTTTGTGTTTCTGTTTCGGATTGGCTCGGGTAGGGAGGCGAGAGTGCTGTTATATAGAATACTGCTCTGAAAATTGCCTGATTCGGTTCGATCTGATGATGATGGAGATATCTGTGGACTTTTGCTGACTGGGTTCGTACAGTGTGTATGATGGATGGATGTCTTTGATGGAGGACGGACGGGACGAGGTTTTGGGTGTGGGAGAAGCGGAGGCGGTGGTGCGTGGTTTAATAAGGGTAAGGCAGCAAAAGACAAGGCAAGGCACACAAGGGAAAAGATGGGTGGGAATTGAAAAGTCCAGGAACGTGCAGCGCAGACTGTCTGGGCTTGGCTTGGCTTGGGAGTGGGTTTGCGGCGGTGGGCTTGGGGTGCTGTCAGGCCCACTCTCTGGGCCCTCCAGAGCCCCCCCCTCCCTTCCCTGGAGCAACCACTAGCGAGCGAGCTGGCGCCCTGTGGATAGCGGTGGATAGGCTCTGTTTGGCCCTCCCTGGCTCCTTGGCGTGTCCTTTGCATCACGTGGGCCCGCTCAGTCCCAGCAGATTGGCTAGGATTGCAGAGTCAGTTTGGGTCGCCCAGACAAAGGGCAGGGTGCGATTTGCTAATGGCCTCGTAACAGGAGCACAGAGAGAGGGGATGGCTTCTTGATGATTCTGGATGAGTCGGCATCCCTCTCTTTGTGTTTCCCCTCCCTTTTCTCTATCTCTGACTGGCTTCCACGCACGGCATCTTGATGATATTAGCTAACTGCCCTGCTTGGCTGTGGGGTGGAATTGACAGCCTCGTCTGTTGAAGAACAAAGGACACTGAGTCACAGGCTTGGATGGCGATGTACCTGTACTCTCACTCTTGCAGTTCTTGGTTCGATTTGCTCATTCGAGCACCGACCATCCCCGAGAGCGATTCGCACCGGGTCCTGAACAAGCCCGGTCCTACAATGCTTGCAGATACTACCCGAATGGTGCCGGCAGTCTTCTACAGGACTGTGGACAATCTATGCATGTCCATCACACTTGTAATCGCCACAGAACATCCGGGCCTGGGGTGTTCTGATCCATGGATGGCGGCATCGTCCAATGGAGGGCCGGTTGACAATCGAAATTGCCTGATGAGGTTGCCGACAGCCAGTGCGGATTGGCCGAGTGCCTCGTTCCTCTCTGCCTCTCGCCTCCCAGGATGGAAAACTACCTTGGCAAGCAAATATCATGATTCTCGAACGCCCATCATCCATTTCCGCGGCATCACTGGTGTTGCTCACTCATCCATGGCGCTACGGGTTATCGCCAGAGTCACAGACACACACCCGCGAACCCCGCAGCAGCCGAAAGTGCCGTTCGTGTGACTACCTACTTGTACACTGCGCTGTTGCGCTAACCCTCCCTGTAACCCCCTGTACTTGTAAGTACCTACCTATAGGTAGATAACTAGTGGCTGCCCCACGCACGCTTGCATGATCCGCGCCCAAGTCCCGTGTGACCGCCCGTTATCGATAGCCTCCCGCCCTCTCTCCTCATGCAACTCATGCAACTCATGCAACTCATGCAACGATGATGCAAGGCCGATCCTCCATCCCTCTCCCTCCATATCATGGCTGCCCAAACCTTACTTACCGCTCCTTATTCTCATTAACAGTGAGCTGTGCTCTTTTTAAAGTATCCCCACGAAAAAGAAAATAATATCCCGACCACCCTCTCCCATACATTCCGATCGTGTGATTCCCCCTCTCCGCTCATCCATATGATTGTGTTGCCCTCCTCCTCCTCCTCCTCCTCCAAGCAGGCAGACTACTCGGCCGTTTGTTTCAGAGCTCGGCAGTCGACTCTCTCTTGGACTGGTGAGACTGGACTATGACGGCGCCAAACCCCTCCTTGCTGATACCGTACCCTCCATCTCGGACTTGCATATGATCTCAGTCCCGTATAAGCTTTGCGCTCTCCGACGGGCCCGGACGAGACGACCGCGCCACCTGAACAAACAAACGCTTATTCCCTCTCCTCTCCTTTCCCTTTACGAGTTCCATATCGGACGGGATCCCTTTGAAAATAACATATACATGAACACAAAGGCGACCGAGCTTGTCCCGTGGTCTCGTCCGAGAAACACGCCTTATCTTGAACAGGCCCCACGGTCGTGATATCTCCCGAGTACAAACCACCCCCGACCAACACCACGTGAGGCCGTAATACCAAAACCCAAAACAGCCATAAACCATGTTCTCCACGGGCCTCTTCTCCTCGTCGTCCTCCTCATTCCACACCGGCGGCCACCACGGCACATCTGCCGCCTCCCCCTCCCCCGTGGCAGCAGGCAAGAAGGCCCAGCCCCCGCAGTTCGCCTCCTTCCTCCTCCCCAGCATCCCCGTGCCCCTCCGTCGCCGCCGCGGGTCCTCAGCAGCAGCAGCAGCAGCAGCGCTGCGGACCTCGTCCGTCTCCTCGTCGTCTGCGGCGTCCCCCCCACCCCTGTGCACCTCGCCGTCGACCACCTCCGACGCCGACCCGTACTCCCAGCCCGGCACCCCGACAGACACTACTGCTGCCTTCACGCCGCAGACGACGACCACCTCCGACGCCGACCCGTACTCCCAGCCCGGCACCCCGACAGACACTACTGCTGCCTTCTCCTCGCTGCCCCTCTCGTCCCAGCCAGGCGGCCTGTCCCGCCTGCGGCCCGACACCCTCCGCTGCCGGCGGTGCTCCGCCGACGTCGCCCTCGCCTCGCAGATCGTGTCCAAGGGCTTCACCGGCCGCCACGGGCGCGCCTACCTCGTCGGTCCCTGCTCCCCTTCCTCCACGCCACCGTCCTCTCCGGGTCCGGCGTGGGGGAGAAGGAACAAACACGACCAAGGAGGAGGGGGGGAGGAGGAGGGCCTCGCCAACATCACCGTCGGCGCCCGCGAGAACAGGCAGCTCGTGACGGGCATGCACGTCGTCGCCGACATCGGCTGCGCCGTGTGCCGCGGCAACCTCGGCTGGAAGTACGTCGACGCCGCCGAGGCGGCCCAGCGCTACAAGATCGGCAAGTACATCCTCGAGACGGCGCGCGTCGTCGAGTTCCGCAGCTGGGAGGACGGTGATGTCGACGGTGGCGGCGATCGGCGCGAGAGCGAGGACGAGCGGCAGCGGCAGCGGGTGGTACTTGGGGAAAGGGATGGCAAGGCGAGAGCTGGTGGGTCGTCGAGGCGGGCGTCGAAGGAGGACGAGTGGGTTTCCGAGGAGGATGATGACGACGACGATGCGAATGAGCCCGTCGTGTTTGACTCGGATGACGAGGAGGAGTGCGAGGACATCTTTGCTGGCGTGTGGGATGCCAGCGTCGTGGCCAAGCGGCGGAGCAGCAGGGTCAGCTCCGGCAGGCGTTGAATGACTTCTGGATTCTTCTCGACACGGTCTTTTGCTTCTTTTTTCTATGACTTCGCGACGATATACCCTCCTTTGGTTCCGGGACACTGGCGTTTGCGTTTGGGTGTTTTGCTTCCCTCTCCTCTCTTTTATACACCATCTGATACCCTTGAGGAGTTGGCAGTCGGGGGATGACAGAGGGACACAGAGCACGACTTTACATGACCGATACCACGTACCTACCTACAGGGCGGGAGAGATAGTTCTTCAGAATGGGTTCACAGTAACGAAACACATGGAAATTGACCAGTTTGCTGCTCGTTCAAATGTCCCCAATTACTCTACAAGTAATCACCGGTATCTGGTCTCGTCTTAAAAACACGAAATCTCTAAGCTGGAACCCTCATCCTCGCACCCAATTCAAACGCCGGATCTATTGCTGCGGCTCCTCGGCCACGTAGTGCAGGTACGCGCCCAGCAGCTTGATGCCCTCGATGTAGTTGCGCTTGTCGAGCTTCTCGTTGATCGAGTGCGCGCCGTCGGTCGAGCTGCCCATGGGCAGCAGCAGCACGTTCTTGCCCGTCGCCTGCTCAAACGTCAACGTGACGGGGATGCTGGCGAGCACACGTTAGCGTCAGCAAACACGGTTAACTCTCGCGACACCGCCGCGTGGTAGGAGGAAAAAGAAAAGACTCACCTGCCGCCCTCCCGCGTAAAGTCGGGCTCGACACCCCACACCCGCTCCACGGCCTTGGCCGCCGCCGAAAAGTTCCAGTGCTTGGGGCTCGCGACCCACCAGTTGCCCGTGTGCAGCGCGTCCACCTTGAGCGTGTTCTTGCTGCCGAGCTTGGCGAAGACGTCCTTGACGTACTTGTACACCAGCTCGTTGGTCTTGTCGATCTCCATGTCGGGCACCGTCCGGATCGAGAACTTGCCGATCACTTTCGCCGGGATGACCGTCTTGGCCCCCGGCGCAGAGTAGGCGCCCTCGATGCCGTGGACCGACAGGGAGGGGTACCGCCAGCGGGCCATGAGGGTGCTCTTCTTGTCGTCGTGGATGGTCGTCTTGGCGCCGAGCGACTCGTGCAGCGTCTCCATGGTGAAGGAGATGCCGTCGTACAGCGAGTCCTCGTCGGCCGTCACGGGCGCGACCTGCTCGGCGATGCCGGGGATTAGGATCTTGCCGTGCGTGTCGACGAGGCTGCCGAGCACGCGCACGAGGTCCGTCATGGGCTCCTGCGCCGTGCCGCCGAACACGCCGCTGTGCAGGTCCGCGCCGGGGCCCGAGATCTCGACCGAGTAGTAGTTGCAGCCGCGCAGGCCGTAGGTCAGGCAGGGCTTCTCGGTGCCGAGCCAGTAGTTGTCCGAGATGCAGACGGCGTCGGCGTCGGCAAAGTACTTTTTCCCTTCCTGCTCGATCAGCTCGTCGAGCCCTTCGGAGCCGTACTCCTCCATGCCCTCGAAGCACATGAGCAGGTTGACGGGGAAGTCGACGCCGGCCTTCTGGTGGGCCTCGATGGCGTTGATCCAGCCGAGGACGGGGCCCTTGTCGTCGGTGGAGCCGCGGCCGAACATGCGGCCGTCGTCGCCGACGGTCAGGTCGAAGGGCTCGGTGGCCCAGCCGTCGGCCATCTCGGCGGGCTGGACGTCGTAGTGGCCATACACCAGGATGGTGCGCTTGTTCTTGTCGCTGCCGTAGCGGGCGAGCACGACGGGGGGCAGGTCGAGCTCCGGGTGGTCGGGCTGCTTGCCGAGGGCGCGCAGCTCGACGCTGGCGCCGAGGGCCTTGAGCTCGGCCTCGAGGAAGTGGCCCATGCGGACGACGTCCGGGCGGCGGGCCGGGTCGGCCGAGACGGAGGGGATGGCGACGGCCTGGCGCAGGCGCTCGATGAAGCGCGGCGACAGGTCGTCGACCTGCTTGAAGAAGCCGTCGAGCTGGGGGGCCATCTTGCGGGCTTGGTGGGCGCGGGCCGAGTCGGTGAGGTAGGTGTGTTGCTGCTGGAGCTCGGGGCGGCGAGGCGATCGAGGGGTGGTGCAGGTCGAGGGGTGGTTGGCGGTCCTGCGGCGGTTGTTGAAGGCGGAACGGGCAGAGGTCGAGATGAAGGATCTTCTCTGGGCTGCCGGTACTGATACTGCTGCTACGGCTCCTACACAGCCGTGGGCCGAGATGGAATTGAATGCGGAAGGTCGGAGAAGCAGTGTGCGGGGCATTGAGAGGTGAAGGAGGAAGGAGGAAGAGCCAGAATAGAGTGTCACGAGTGCATGCGCGGCGATGGGCGGGCGGCGGTGGTGGTGGTGGTGGTGTGTGGAGAAGTGCGAGCCTGGAGAGCTCAACTCACATCACATCAGTGCGCCCCTCCAAAGCTTGAGTGCTCCCAGCACAGGGACTAGGTCACTACAGTGCTGCCCCGCCCCGTCGCAAACCGATAGAGAGCGCACCAATTCCGGCCGATCCCATTGCCAACAGTGGACCCTGTAGGTACCTACTGGAGGTAGTTAGTTGGCCGATCAGCCACCTGCATCAATCGATCTCCGAGCAGATTCTTCTCCAAGGGCATTCGTCTCCGATCATGTGCACTGGGGTTTGCGTCTCGGTGCTCGGCTTAATTCTTCCCAGGCTTATACACGTGGCCAGAGGTGTGTTCTCGTTCCATGTCATATTCAGGTAGTCTAGAGTGCACCCCGAGACGGCCTCCGTGGCCGAACCCGATCTCCGAACAATAGCGGAGTTCTTTCTAACTTTTCACATCGATATTTTTCAAGTTTCTGTTTTCGCCAATTGGTCCCGGAGAAGAAGAAAAGGGAAGTCGAATGGCCAGTCACAGAGCTGTCCGTTCTATCCCGGCGATAATAAGCACAATCATGTCTCCTTTCCGTCTTCGGGAAGTGTCTCTCGAACACCGGTCAACCTCATCGGCTTACCACATCCCATGCCCTTGAGCAAAATGCGACTCGTATGACGGTCCATCCACAGGATCATGTGTGCGGCATAAATTAAGCTGTCAATTACTAGTAGGAAAGATGCTACACCTCCCAAGACTTCAACCCTCAGCAAACCATAGCTACATGCTTCTCCAGGTCTTCAATACCAAGTGTCTCCTCCTTCCAGTCAAGCCCGTTAACAAGCATCCCCCCGTCGACCTCGGTAAACCGTTCCCATTAATGACCGTACTCCGTACTCAAATTCATAATCCATCTTTCGAGAGCTGCCTTTCTGCAGGGCAGCAATAGCTTCCCCTGTTCTCTGATCGTGCTATCTGTGTCCCACGCTGCACCTTCAAGGCTCTTGCTGGCGGTCCAGCATCAAGCCTATTTGTCCATTATCAAGAAAACCACCTCTCCGTAGGGTCTGGCGTCGTCCTTCATGGCACTAATGCACTGCTCTCCCGCACATTTGCACTCGCCATCATGCCCCTCCCCTTCACGCACAGCTATCCTTCTCCAGCCAAGCTTGCAAACGGCGGAGAGGCAGTATTCGACATGAGGAGGCGCTCGTTCAAGGAACCACACCAAACGATTGCAATTCTGTTTCCTCCTGATGTCAAGAGCGCAGTGATCATCTCCACTGCTCTGTGTGAGTCGGCGACGGACTTCTCGCTGAAGCGGACGCTTCGCAGGGCAACTACCCTGTCTTCAACTCGCTGTCCATTCGCCCTCTGCTTTCTCCTCCGCCCTCCTCGTCTGGGTCCTTCCTGCCATCATGATCACGGTTTGTGACTTCACACATTCAAATTTGCTGATCAGCATGACTCAAACATTTCTGTCCCTGAGCATTTCACAAGCATAATGTGCTAGCATGTCGCCCAATGTCTGATCATCCTTTGGGTATCCATCCATCCACGACCCACGATGCGGCTGCCTCTCAGTACACCGTCGAATGGAAAGCGAAAAGTGTGTTTCACCTGGAGCACAAGGTTTGCGATGATTACAACTGAACATAAGGCGCGTTTCGGGCTTTATCTGCGCTGATATTCATGGCGAGCTAGACCTCGAGCATGTTTGGCCTCAGTGATCCCGAATACTAATCATAATTAAATGCCCAATGGCTAGATTTACTACTTCTTGTAGCCCATCACATTCATATCTGGGTAGGAAATTAACACTGAGTGCCTCAGGGCACCTCTACATATATAAGGTAGTGGGCACCGGTACATATGGTGTAGGGGGAGCGACAACACACACTCGCTGTCATTCAAGCACAATGGCAGCACTGTTAAGTTTACTAGTGCTCGTCCAGACGAAAACATCTACTTCCTCCAGCCTCCATATCAGCCACAATCAGAGCGACAACAATCTCTGTAAATGCCTGCAAGTCGTCCGCCTTGCCTGTGTCAAACGGCCCGAATTCCCTGATGCTAAGATGCGGCAGCTTCTCCATGCCATCGTGACCAACACCCTCAGGCAGGGGATCTGTGCCTTTGGGTTAGCGAGGTACGCGAGGTATTCTTCGCTGTAGGTTGCTAGCGAGAGGTAAATCCTTCCTCCCCATCCCCCCACAAAGGATTCCGCATCATCAGCTTCGGAACACCGCCACGGCTCGGGCGTCTTCTTCTCCCGGACATAGCTATCTCGCTTCTCTCTCCCCGTCGAGGACTGGTTGGACGAGGCCTCCGATTGGGGAGACTTGACACAGCTGCCTGTCAAGTCTGGCGGCGAAGCGAACGCTGCAAATACGCATCCGACGTCAAAGCATGGATGGGTGACAGCCCCCCAGCTCCGGGTTGCGCCTCCGGGTTGCGCCTTCGAAGGAGGCTCATCGTCAGACAACATCGCCACCGCTCTGGATGTTCTTCGCCTCAAGGTAAACCGACCTCCTCTGGCCCCCTGCGGCGATTCCAAACGCATTTCGCTCGAGAATGTGGTGCAGAGCTGTTGGCCTGGTTCAAATCGCAACAGAAAGAACTGATACTCGAATCCATGGCGAGGGAATCCCGCAATGTCGTGTCGTGCCTCTTGAGTGGTGTATATGGGCACGCGAGCCGACCTATCAGGGAAAAGGAACCAGACCGGCAGCAAACACTCCAATGGGGGTGGTCAAAAGGCCTGTTCAATTCTGCAATCTGGTACGTGGATGATGGATGACGAAAAGGAAGCTATCTCCAGTGCTGGCCGTGCAGATCTTGCCATTCGCAAACACGAGCTTGAACACAACATGTGTGCTGCCCCAAGTGAAGCCATCGATATCGGTGATGCAGGCGACTCGCGCAAAAAGGTTTCGAGGTGCTGAAAATCCGCTGTGTCGGTGAGGTGGACTCCGGGCTTTTTCAGGCGCACAGCACTGGCTTGTGGTACCATTGTGGACGTGCCAGAAGGGAAGCAGTCCAGGTGAACACTCCCCCACTCGCTTGTCGACACTTTGAGGTCTTTGGCCATGCCTTGCCAAGACGAATTCCGGCGATAGGTGTGCGGTGTACCGGTGTTGCCCACATGCTGGTTGTGGACATTGTCAATGGCTGAAAAGATATGAGCAGGTTAGCCACCGAGATATCGTCATTGGACGGGCCTGGTGAGAGATTCTTACGCGTCTGGAGCATGTCGTCCGATGGAAACCCACTCAGTGACGAAGTTGCTTGGGGAGAGTTGCCAGGTATGCCATAGTACCAGTTCCATGCGACCGAGGCCGGAGTCCGCGGTCCGTGATCTCTGCCGCCGGTCCGCAGAGGAACAGCATAGCATTTCCCCGTCCCTCCACAGACACGGATCCAGGACAGCCTCTCTGATGCAGGATTCGCAGTACCGGGGAAGAGCATCCAACGATATGCGTGGGGTGTATCATACTACAGAGACCAGTGGCTCCGAGGCGGATATGGGACGGCGGGATATCGGGCAGCTGGCTCAGTCCCCCCAGCACAGTTGGCGCAGCCTCGTTGACTGCAACCTGTCTTGCGACGGCGCTTTGTGCCAGGACCGGGCTTGGCGAGTCCGACGACGCCATCCTGTAGGGCTGTAGGTCGCTTTGTTAGCAATGATATCACGTATTGCTTCGGCTGTTCTCCTTGAACCCTGTACCTCGCCTTGACAGCAGAGGGAGCAGGAACACATGACGATGAAGAAAATTAGGGAGGAATATGTAGTTTGACTGTGGCAAGGGGCAAAGGCCAAGCAACCCATGGTGAAGAGTGTTCAAGCAAGCAACGTACAGTGGGGTCAATCAATGAAGGATTGAAAGTAAACCAGGCGAACAAGGTGAAGAGTTGAACACGCTCGCGGTCCAGGGTGATCCATCTCGACATCCGTGCCATGGCATTTTGTGTTGTGTATGAATAAATATATATATGAAGTAGGGCTGGACAGTTCTCCCTATGATTGTATAACAAAGTCAAAGTCAACTGTCTGTCTGCCTTGGTTGATATATATTTCACCCGCCAGTGAGTCATCGCGTCATGCCAAAGTCATGTTGACTCTCTGTTTTCACCATACCCAAACGACAAATTCGAAATCCACCAAACACCCACTTTCGTGCTTCAATGAGCCCGTGGCAAACCCGCATCGGCTTCGATCCGCGAGCAGTTTGAAACCGCGCAAAGTTTGTCTCTGTACACTTGTGGCATCTGCCAAGAAAAGGAAACAGGATTCTGAGCCGACATCGAAGCCAATAGAGCGTGGGAGAATCTCGATCGGTGCTGCAAGCTACCAGCTCTTCCATCAGGCGATGACAGCTAGAACATTGACTCTGCACGAGAGGAAGACAATGGCTTGACCATTTCGAGTGAGGAGCAACGAGGGTGCCCGCAAAGAGTACTTCTAATTTTCCCATATACATGGCTCATATGATGCTAGAGAATTTCTTGGCAAGCCCCGTTTCGTTTGGACTCCAATGGAAATCCGTGGCTCTCCTTGCAAAACAACAAAGTCCTTCGAAACCATACACTTTGTGATGTCCCAAACACCTTCAACCTCGTCCAGCCAAATTTGCCACAGTTCTGTAACGCAAAACAATGCAGCGGCAGCCAAACATCTCGGATGTTCTACCAAACAAAGGCCGCACTTTTCCACAATTACGGAGTACCTATCCACGGGCCAGGCCTGGACGTCAGACATGGCTACGTCGCCTGCAGTGACGGGCTGGTCCACAGGCTGGAATCCCTGCTCGTCACTGACAAGCTTGTGGAGTCATGCGGGGATCGCGGTTCCATTCAATCGGCATCTGCGATCTATCACTGTATGCCGGCTGTCGCGGTTCCCCTCTCGAGCCACATGCTTCGCGAGATCCCCCTGGGGATCTTCACATGCGATGCCGAAGGCGTCCATTGTGTAGTTGCATTCCTCGGCCAAACGATTGGGTTACTTCGTCTGCTGTGGGCGGCAGGTGGTTCTCGGACTGGGTAGTATCGCTTGGGGTATTAAGATCCAGGGTCTGATGGTCCATGCGCCCCCATGGGGAAACATCGCCGGCTTCCGCTTTCGGAGATTCCAAGGAAGCACCCCGGCCTGGGCCTTGTTAGCCTCTTGCGTGAAGGTATCACCATGCCCTATTCGTATAGGGCACCCGAGACGCTGCGCGTGGGCGTACGAGCGCAGCACATGCCTGAGTGACAGGACCTCAGTGCCGCGGGATCCGTGATGCAGAAATCTGAAGATAAATATCGGGCTTTGCCTCCTCGAGAGGAAGAATCGGAAAGGAGCAAACGCGTCTTCACTCAAAAGCAAATCAATACATTCAGCACATTCAAAATGCAACTTACTACCTTTGTCGTCGCTGCTCTCGCGGGCATTGCCTTTGCCGTTCCCCAGGCTCAGGTCACCGACTGCCCTGCGACCTCTGCTATCCCGAGCTGCGGTGTAAGTTACCTCGTCGCCACGGGTCCTTTGCCATCGTCTCGAGTACGCATAAGCTAACAGAAACCCTTAGATGCCTTGCATCAGCTCTGCTGCATCGGCTGCCGGCTGCTCTGACATGAACTGCCGCTGCAGCAAGTCCGCCGTCATCCAGGCCTCGGCCTTGAACTGCGTGCTGGGCAACTGCGGGCTCGAGACGGCTTTGAAGGTCCGCTCTGCTGCTGCCGCTGCCTGCACGGCTTGCACATAAGCAAAGGAAACCAACTGTTGCAACATATCGGGGAAGCTCAGGAATCACAGCACTATGGGGCTCCAATTGGCTGTTCAGCATAGCTAGTCCATACGCTTCCACTTAGGAGAACAAAAACCTAGCCTATGTAGTGCTCAATGAGAAGCTGCTTTCTAGTCCTCAAAGAACCTTAGAACAATGCCTCTTTGACTTATGGTCAAAGGACCATGTGCGTCCATTGTCTTGACCCCATTATTCGAAGATTATGTCCACATCAACATGGCCTTTGTCCGTTGTTCTTTTCCTCTCAATTGTGGGCCGGCGGTCACATTTTGGAGAGTACTTTGATGCACATGTTCCCTCTCATGGTCTAGGAACTGTGGATGCTTGTTATCGATACTAGATAATGACTGCTTGTGTATAGACAGAACACACGTGGGTACTAATATTTGGTTCTGGCCATTACTGCTGCAGTGATGCTACCAAATTCTACGAATTCATAGCATTCGATACAACCTTCAGCATGGTGAAATGTAAAGCTTAGGACATGGCAGTATTATATATCTTCAGATCCTCAATAACTTGGCATGTTAAGGTCAAATGTGTATGGAACTCCGATCGATCGGCTGCACGAGAGCACAGAGGCACAGGCAACAAATCTAGCATCATTCAGCAGCTTCAAGTCCGTCCGCATAGTAAACTTCTACATCCATACTTTCAGTAAGCCTTCCCCCAAACCTTATTAAAAACTAAATAGCCAGACTAGGGATGTTTAGTTTCTTGCAACGCAATAGCTTCAACAGCTGACATAACACATAATATTTTCCCACTACCTCGGACCCTACATGGCGTGGCGCGAAGAACAAGCTCAGAACCAGAAGACCCATGGTACTCTCCGAAGGCTTCGGCCCCAACTTTTGCAAGCGCGCTCCACCATGAGTTCAACTCTAACACCGTGGACAAGCAATTACTGTCTATCAAGTTCTATCTCATGGACCACCGTGGCATGCCCCTACTCAACACAACCATCCGCTATGGCAAGCAGGTATACAAATTTTGCAAGATGATAGACTAGTCTCAGCGCAACTACGTCTGGAGCAAAAAACGGACCAAACCGCCTAAGCCACCCCAGAGCACAAAGAAATCAATACTGCTGAGATACCATCATGATTATTCTAAACATTGACACTTGATTGTTACACATCTACACTGGTTTTTCACAGGATTCCCTTGTTTCTTTGTACGGAATTTGCTATATAAGGCTCAAGATCACGACCGTCGACTAAGGTTGGATGTTGCACTCCAAGCGGCTCGTCATTCACGGTTCACAAACTCCACTGCTTTTCGAGCTCCCATATTGAGGGCCATTAGTTTCACCGACTCTTCCTCAAGTTGTCTCTTCATTCCGGAATTTCCCAGCCCCATCTGGATAACTGATCGTCAAGCGTCAGCTTTCGGTTCTTTAAAAGAAGCAAAGCTCTCGAAATACGGCAAGCCGACATCGGCGGAAGCAACATGTCGGATCATTGCCATGCCTGTATCCTCTGTGGACTCCCAGTGGATGAAGACTTGTCTGACTACATTCCAAACTGGCGGGCGGAAGCTTGGATGCTCTCTGATCGACTGAGTAAGTCAAAGGATTCCAATTTCTCCTCACTAGAAGCTGACATCTTAAGTCTTTTTTGTCCAGGGACACTGGGATGTGGCATACATGTCAGATCCCCGCGAAATGCTATCCCCTATCGGTATCGATGTGCCTGACTTCTCAAAGCCCATTTGGGTACAGACGGGACCTGACTGCCGAAACTTTGGCATGGAGTGGTGGAACTATGAGGAGACGCTCTGCGGCTTTGGAATCGAGATTCATTGTGCCTGTTGGGAAGTCCTGAACTCCTTCCGGCCAAACGAACAACTCGACTTCACAACTCTGATGCGAGCTTGCCTTTCGTTCCCCGTCGACAACTCCAAGATCCAGTTTGGGCTCGACTATCAAGGAAGAATTAACTACCGGATGCATAGCGATGTTCCCGGTGACGAATTCAACAGCCTCACCTTCTCTGAGAGAATTGGACTCCGACATGAGCCCGACCCGTCCCACCTCGAGTTTCTCTATGATCTCGATCAATACTTCGGGTACCCTCATTGGAGACATCATAGCGATGATGCATTGAACGAGTACGCGCCCATCTCAAAGGTTTTGCCAAAGGCAAAGACCAAGGACATATTCAACTCGCTGCCCTCGGAGCTCCTGAGCGAGGTCATGAACCTGCTTAGCTGCAAGGACGTTGGGAACTTGAGAAAGGCCTCTCGCGCAGCCGCTGTAGTGGGGCTCTCAGAGTCCTTCTGGAAGTCGCGCTTCCTTGCCGGCGGAGAGTTCGAGTATCTGTACGAGGCTCACTACCTGCTCGATGTCCCCGCCGAGCAGAACAAGTGGAAAGACTTGTACATGTGGGTTGCACGTTTCAGACATTCCGATGCAGTCCGCCAGAGACGCCGTTTTTGGGAGCTATCATCTCAATTCTATAGGCTCATTGACATGGTGACTGAGAGCCCTTGTCACGGCACGGCTGCCTCAGGAGTGTTTGACATCAGCGGCTATGAAGACGAGCTTGTCTGGCACACCGCCAGTTCTTTTTATGGCTCCTCGGAAGCCCTCTTCGAGCGTTTCCTTACGCTGCCGGAAACAGTTGACAGCATCTACGTTTCCACTATCCGATGGCAGGGGCGGGAGCTCATTACTGGACTCCGATTCATCTCTGGGGACGCCTCTTATGAGATTGGATACGTTCGCCAGAATAGTGAGAAGCCCGTTCATATACCCGAAGCAGATCAGACAGGGGAGAGCGCTCCGATCAAAGGCTTCCATCTGACTCAGACGTCCTGGGGTATTCGTGGGATTGCTGTGATGACCGATTCAGGCGTCACGGAATGGGTCGGTGACCAATACGAGCACCTCCCGCGGCGGAAGTTGACCTTCCCCCCGCGGGATGACAATGACATGACCTTCCCCCCGCGGGATGACAATGACCAGGACGATATTGTCAAGCACATCAAATGCGGGTTTGATGTAAGTGATTTCTTTCACCCCTGTTTGCCCTATCCTGACTCACCCTTTGCTATTCAAATGCTAACCCACCTTCAAGGGAATCAAAATGGTATCCCTATCAGTATCTGATGGGTCGAAGCCTACCGCGCCAGACCCGGACTCCGCGAGCACACGTAGGAAGGACAGGGCCCCGCTGAAGAACATCCGGGACGAGGGTTTGTGGTTTCCACCCCTCCCACCAGACCATCTGAACTTCGCCATGGGCACCCAGTTCGTCGGTAAAACCATCAGTAACTCCCCCGCCACCTGGAGCGCCTTTGGTGGTCTGAACGGTGAGAACCTTGAGGATATCACAGGCCTGAGGGTCTGGGTGCACGATAACTATGGTCATCACGTTATATGCAGGCTTGCGGTCGAGACGTCCCATGGTAGTGCATGGGACATTGGCGACGAATTGCCAGAGTCAGGAGAATATTACTTCGCGATCGATGGCCAGAAAGGCGAACGCATCACCGGCCTCTCAACTTACTACGCCCCGGTCGAGCAGGCTGACGAGCGTGATGGGAAGAGTTTTCTAGGGTTCTCGGTACGTTCTATTCTGCAGAAACTCTGTTCGTGACAGATGCTAACAAGGAGCCATCTCATAGGTACACACGAACTTTAAGCGAAGCCAGATGTTCCCTAACGAAATCGCGAATACGACGGGATCTTTCAGGCAGATGATTCCCGACCACGGTGGCCTAGTCGTTGGCTTTTGTGCGGCATGGGTCGACGGTGAGCACTGTGATAGCAGATTCACTGAAATCGGCATTGTGTACATCCCTGAGCACCCCGACGGCTACTGGTTATAAGAGTAGACAAGGACTCGAAGAGCAAGGCAGGTGGTGATGGGAATCGGCTTCTGAGCAAGACCCGGGTGAGGGCGGAGAATTTCCTGGTTTGCCTAGGCGGAATAGAATAAAAATTTGCGAATTTGTCTCGAAATGGAATACGCAAAAGAGATGATTGTGTCGCGTCCTAGCATTGAAAACGAGGGTGTAGGGTGAAAAAGGTAAAAAGGACAAAAAATTTGGGCCTAACCGCGAGTCGAACGCGGGACCTCCTCTATTGCGGTAAGGTGTACCTTACTGGGACAACCCGAAAGAGGAATCATACCACTAGACCATCAGGCCGCTTGTTGCTTGTTGAGGAAAGACACTAGTATGACTACCTATATACCCCACTCTTGCTACAGGACCCCACATCCATGGATGCATCTTAACCCTCTGCACATGCCTCCAGCGCGATGCAACCATGGTCGATTGGAAGATGGGAACAATATGCAATAGAATACAATCTTGTTGTTTCAACGAGAATGGTCCCCATGCTCACGTTTGATATGCACCTTGGGGCATGCCAGCATGCCTTGAGCTAATGCAGGGTAATAATGCAGGGTAATCCTCCATCGCGTCTTCGCCAAAGTCCGCCTCGAATGGCTTGGAGACTAGATTAATGCTGATTTGACATGACCTGAATAGTTCGAGACGCATACAGGGGTCCGAGTGCGGACACATATCGTCGGAATCCTTCTCGGATGGAGACTGAACACCTGACAAAGGGGAAATAGTCAGCAATCCCCCCCTAAAAACAAATAAAGAACACGAAGAGACCAGACGGCGACAGATCTTCCCAAACAAACAACATCCGCATACCAAAGTCACCGATTGCTAGACGCCATGGACCAGGGACGCAAGAAGAAAGTCCTCGTCTCTGGCCCATACAACGTCTTCCTCAGCACCTGCCACCCCCTCCTCACCCTCCGCTCAGACGTCGAGGTGCACATCACTCCCGGGGCGACAGCAGCGGACCTAGTCGCCAAGACGTCCGACGGGGCGCTCAAGTCGTGCGTCACTGGCAGCTGGCAGCCGGCAGCCGATCCGGTTCCACGCGCTCGACGCGCCCATGCTGGCCGACGTGTGGACGAAGTTTTCCCGGGATGTTCGGGAAAACTTCGCGCAGAGCGTCTCCTGGCGCAACCTGCGCGCAGAGCCCAGGCGCCTCATGGACACGGCCACGTCGTGGCGCGGAGAGGACTACGCGTGCGGGTCTGCCACGAGGCGAAGTGGGTCATCGGCGCTGTCGAGCCCGATGTCATCGCCGTGGACGCTGTGGTGCGTCTTGACGTCGCTTTTGCCCAGCTCTTTCTACATCAAGCCCGGCGCGGCGTGCTGCGGCTGCCAGCCTCTGGCCCTAATCGTTTCCAGTGGGAATTTGGCTGACCATAATCAATCATGTGTTGGAACGAATAGGTTTAGTTCGGGCTTGCCTTTTCCAATGCCATGGCTGCTGTTCCCACTGAATTTGTCAATATAGATCAGCTGCTTCGTCGCCATCAAGTTGAATAGCAGTACCAAGGCCACCGGCGCCTATGTACGTCGAGAGCTTCGCATTGGGCCGGTGGCATTGTTCACAGAGATGTTGGAGAGGAGGCTCTTATCATTTACCTGGCGTACGTCCCATTTCGTCTGGTCATCCGGCTCGTGAATTGTCATGCGGCCATCGCCCTGACGCCTGGTCCTTACGCGATGCCCTAAAAGCTTCTTCAAACAGCGAACCCTTGCGGATGGAACGTGATTACCAACCTTTGCTCACTTCCTCTGCTAACTTGGGACGTTGGCTCTGGCGAGAATCCAGAAGCCCTGTATGGAGCAGCTGAGGTTCCACGAGCGGTGAGTGATGGGCAACACTGTTTCATGTGATCGTCGCGGGAATTAGACGGCCCTGCTTGGCCTGAACCCTACTCACTACCACGTAAAACGGGAGCAGGGCGGTTTACTTATCCTAAAGTGCGGTGCTAGAGAAGGGAACGAGGGAGGGCACAAAGTCAAAGGCATTCATTTCACTCGACACTGCGCTTTGTAAAGAATTGGTGATATGAACTAGTTCCAAAGATCGATAAACCATCAAGAGTTAAAGTCGACAACACATCGGCCTACAACTTGAGCGCGATAAACCTTTTCTACTGCCTCTGGTAGCCGATCTATGGGGAAGATCTCGGTAGTGATGGACTTCAATTTGCCCCTCTTTGCTAGATCTAAAACATCTGCAAAGTCCCGGCGAGAAGCTGTCAACGTTCCCTTGATCATTAGATTCTGGTAAATAAGCTGCCGAGGAGTTGCCCCGACGATCATGGGGCTGTCAAAGGGTGCTTGTATGCTGTTAGTGAAGCCTCAAGGCCACTGGCGTGTAAGATGCTTGTGACCTACGTAGACCGACTGCCATTATGCAGCCTCCGACCCGAGTTCCGATGCATGCAACAGCATAGGCATATGCTGACGGCGCTGTCACAAAGACGCCGTGGGCTCCAATCCCATCTGCTATAGCCACAACCTCAGCAGCCACATCCTTGACCTCCTTGAAGTCAATGAACGCCTCAGCGCCTAGCTCCGTGCAGATCTTTCTCTTGTCCTCGCCTGTGTCGATAACGATAGGTCTCATGCCGAGGGCGGCGCAGATCTGGACTCCTTGAAGACCGACACCGCCGCCGCCACCTGGAAATAAAGCCCACTGGCCGTGCTGCAGGGTCGACTCTCGAATGGAGCGGTAAATAGTCGAGGCAGAACACATGATAGGCCCTGCCACGTGGTCTGGGACGCCGTCTGGGATAGGCTGGGTGTAATGCGCAGGGGATGTAACTGGAGGCGTATGAGTGTTAGCATGCAGCGAGTAATATCAAACCAGGAATAAGGAATTATTCTGACTGTATTGCTGGTAGGAGCCTATGATCGATGCCAATGGGTCAGCGGCCAATATCGCATATTCTGATTGAGACTGGACGCACCGTTCACTCGCATCCCTGTGTTCAGCCTTGTTGGGCAGTATGCCTCTTTGTCAGTCCAGCAGAGCTGGCAGTTTTGGCAGGTCGACCACATCGGCTTGATGCCAGCTCTGTCGCCTATTTTCCAGTCCTTGACGAGCTCGCCCACTTTGACGACCACCCCAGCACCTTCGTGACCCGGGGACTGCACACCGAAGCTGCTTAACTTGTGACCAAACTCGGTCCGCATGAAACCAATATCAGAACGGCAGATCCCGGTACAGTTCAGGTGGATGAGGAGTTCGGTCGGTCCTGTCCAGAATCAACAACGTCAGCAAATCCAGACGCAACCAGTAAGTCCTACGAAGAGGCCAAAATACCAGGTTCGGGGACAGGAACAGTCTGCACTTCAACCTTGAAATCCTGTCCCTCCTTTGTCATCACGCCAGCCTTGCAGAATTTGGGGACATCGAAGACGTCAAGTGTCCTTCCAGCTGGCCCCGCGCCTTGTGCGTCGTTCGATGTCATTGTTCTGTGAGATTGGGGGGATTGATAGCTTTGGTATCAGGCAGTACTTGAGAGTGGCCAAGGCAGCGGCAAAGATGCACTATTCAGAGCAATTGTTCTGCTTCCAAAATGTTCGAGTCGCAGACCATCAAGTTGTTCCCGTGCTCTCACACGCTCGGTTTTAATGCTGAAAGACCTCCGCAATATCTGCACGCAGACCAACGACGGTACATGTAACTATGGATTCCTTGTGGGGTCGGCGGAGGCTCCGTCCGATCAATGGAGCCAGCCCGGCCTCGGCGATCGGACATGTTCCGATGGAGTCAAACGTGGAGTCGACCTTTCCCCAACAATTCTCTGATCTTGTGATCGGATACAAATTCTATCACATGTGTGGACGGCAAGGGCACTAGCTTTGTGGAGGGTTTAATTGATCGCAGCAACGGTGATATGTACGATACTTGCCTATTTCCAGGGCGATGAGTCAACTGTCTGTCACATCGAGCAGGCTCTGAAAGGCAGATCACTGCATTACGCCTTCGATCCCTTGATCGACAAAGAAGGCTGGATAAGTGCCAGCAATGATCTTCCCCGACAAAACGTATTGGACAAGTCCCCAAGACCACCAAATAAGCTATAAACCGTGTTGACCATAGCCATGAAGATAATGGGGAATTGAGACTCTTGAACCCTACGCTTTCTTCCCACTTTTTTAAGTGTCTGAAGAATGGTCCAAAGGTCATCCCTATGAGATAAGTCCCGGTGGGCTAGGAGGAGTCTAGGTCTGGAAATCCTTCGCAGCGGACAAAAGATCTCGTCAATAGGAAGTCTAAGGTCCTGTGATGGTTCAAGCGATCAATGGAAATCAATGTGTACTTATGCAACGAAGAATGGGCGAGATGTCCTCAATTTCTACGTAATTTGACCTGAATCAATCTCAATATGAACTTGACGCAGCATCCATGTGCTCTACGTGGAATTCATGCTGGGGAGCATCAGTTTCACGGGTTTGATGGATGAGGATGGATGTGTGAACTCACTTGATTAATACCGTCTTTGGTTCCGTATATGCTCGTAGGACCTTCTTTTCGTTAGCGTATTTCCAGTCCATGTTGGCTTGGCTGGTAAACTACCTCTGATCCGAACTCTCGCCCAGTTCCTGAAGCCTTGGATCCACCGAAGGGAACTTGTGTATTGACCTGACACCATTAGCAGCCGGCTCCTCGGGAATACAACTTGGAGAATACTCACATAGCTAACGCAATTAATGCCAACAACGCCCGACTCAAATTTAGACGACACTCGAAGAGCCCTAGTGATGTCCCTCGTGAAGACACCAGCCATCAACCCAAATTCAGTATCATTTGCTTTGGCGAGCACTTCCTCTTCCGTCTCGAAAGTGTCGATGACGGAGACAGGCCCAAAAACTTCATCCGTCACGATTTCTGCTCCGGGCTTAGGGTTAATAAACACGGTAGGTTCGATGAAACAACCGCTGTCGCCAATGGTGCCTCCGCCAACGACGAGTTCGGCCTGGTTCTTGGCTCTCTCCAGCATTCCTTTGACCCTTTCGAACGAGATCTTATCCACAAGAGGACCATACGCAACATTCGGGTCCTCAGGATCACCCATGCTTTTCACAGCGTCCCGCATTTTCTGCCGATACCTCTCGATGAACTCTTTGGCGATGGACTTTTGCACGTAAACCCTAGAGGCCGCGATACACACCTGCCCACTCCGAGCCATGATAGCCTTGACAGTCCATTCCAATGCGTTATCAAGGTTCGCATCATCAAAGATGACAGCAGGGCTTTTGCCACCTGATCGCATGTTAGCAACATTTGAAACTACAGTGCCATTGGAAGGACTCACCAAGCTCCAGTGTAGCTCGCTTCAGATTTGACTGAGCACTTGCCACCTGAATCTTTTTCCCCGTGGCAACACTGCCGGTGAAGCTAATCTTGCGAATGCGCATGTGTCGCGCAAGAAGCTCTCCAGTCGTCCCATCACCGCTAATTACTTGAACGACACCCTTAGGAATGCCGGCCATCTCGATCAGGGGCCCGAGTGCCAGTGTTCCCAGAGGCGTTTTCTCGGACGGTTTGACGATGATGACATTGCCAGTGGCCAGGGCTGGGCCGATTTTATGGAAAGCAGTCGCAATCGGAGAGTTGAAAGGGCATATAGCCGCACAGACGCTGCCTCCGGCCAATTAGTCTGGCGATTTACATTTCTGTGGTGACTTGAGGAGCTTACCCTAGTGGCTCATTTCGGACCAATTTGACAAACCCATCATCATCGGGCATATATTCACCCTTGAACTTGTCACACCAGCCGGCTTTGCATTGTCAATATGATGCCTCAGGGATGTGTTTCATTATTCGTCACAAAAACAGGAGAGAGACTCATGCCACTTACACATATAACGCAAGCCGTTGACAATGTAATTCTTCTCCCTCGTCGGGATCAGTGAGACGGGATTCCCGCCAGTCATGGTGTCAAGTCTCAGCAGGCCTTCCAGATGTTCGTCCATGATGTCAGCCAGCCTGTTCAAGCACAGTGCCCTCTGAGCCGAGGAAAAGCGGCTCCAATCTCCATGGAAAGCGGCTTCTGCGTACTTGACCGCGCTGTCGACATCCTGAGGCCCACCGATAGGAACATTGCTGGAAACAATTTGGTCATTCTTGGGGTTGTGTACCGTGAAGACCGCTGTGGTACTCGGCTCCACGTACTCGCCATTGATCCAGAACCTCGTCAGGCCCGTCGGCGCAGGGGTCTTAAATGGCGGCATATTGTGCTGTGAGGGAGGATGTGGATTGATCTATGGCAAGTCTGGTTAAACACCAAGAAGCTGGGAAACATGCCCTGATGACTTTAAAAGGTCTTATCAATCCGTTGTCGGCATGGTGTAATGAACCTTTCAGAGGAAGTGGAGTCCGGCCGGGGGCGGGGAAGGCCGTGCGGAGAGGCCTTCGGACGCGGACCTCCGTCCGACGGCAATTCTAGCCTTTCCCCAGGGAGACTCAGCTGGTTTGTCAGACTGCGTACTAAAGTTTGTGTTCCACTCTTTGCGGTTGAGCTAATGATCGGGTCTTTCCCCGGTGGTTCCCTAGCTCAAAGGTTCACAGTCATTGCGGCCGAGGGAAACGAGATACAATTTTCTAGCAATCTCGACTCTGATAGCTTCAGATGCCTGGAGGACACGAGAACAATAATGTACGTTGATTGGCCGAGGGAGATATAGGAAGCACATGGTCAGCAAGCAGCAGATTTCGATATACCAGTAGGCGCACGTCAGCGTGGATGTACTGCACGACTGGTCCCCAACACTAGAACTTGGCGCTCATTTGTGAGCTGAAAAGCAATAGCCAACGGAATTCCCGCATCGATGAAGCATAACCCACACACTCATCACCTTCCACAACCAACATCTCACTAATCTTCCCACCAAGTTTTAGCGGCCCCCATCAACTGAGGGGAAGCCTTCATCAGATGGGGACTTTCTCTCGGATTTCATTCCCTCGCCTGTCTGCGCGGTGCCCGTCGTCGACACAGCGGCGGACGCGGAATGGAGTCCGTACGTACACCTTGCGTAGAACGCAGCACTGGTTCGAACTCCAGAGTCTGCAGTCGCCATGCCTCCAGAAGACATCGGGTCGACAAGTCTAGCAGATGCTACGACCGTAGGCGATCGTTTCTCGCGCCTTGCATGCGACCGGTGCTATCGCCGCAAAGCACGCTGTGACAAGATTCTTCCAGCCTGTACGACTTGCGCCCGAGCGGATGCCGAATGCTGCTACAACTCCCGTCAGGGTCTGGCCCGGCGGGACGAATTGGTCGAATCGTTGGAGAGACGCCTTCGGCAAATGGACGCCAAAAATCGGGCGTTGTCCAAGGAATTGCAGCAAGCGAGGGCCAAACAGGTGTCAACAGACCATACCGCCCGTGTCGTCGCGAGTGGATACGGAGGCAGCAGCACGTCTCCGGGGCCCGTGGAACAGGACAAGAGCAGGGAAGTCGATAATGGCAATGAGGTCGCCAAGCAGGTCTTTTCTCTTTCCCTGAATGCCGGGTCTCAGAGCCAGTATCTCGGCTCGGCGAGCGGCGCGATTCTGGCCAATCTGCTCGGAGTGCACGGTCGCATTGTCACAGCCGACAGCGACAATGACTTGGTCTTCCGGCGGTTTGATCCCGGAGCCGGGAACAACGCCGACTGCCCGGGAGGAGAAACGGGACATCAACCCTCGGAACGTCTGGCCCGCGATCTGATGGCCGCATATCTCTCGCATGACCACATATGTTACCCGTATCTCGATCCACACGACCTCATCACGTCTTTGACAGACCTGTATGCTGACAACACGTATCTCGAGCGTCATCCGGTGGAAACTTTCACCCTCGACATGGTATTTGCAATCGCCACTGCCCAGGTGCACAAATACTCCTGGCATGTCATGCCGGACGCAGAAACGTACTACGAGCGCGCTATTTCGAGATTCGGTACTGCGCTTGAGGCGGGTGGCCTAGTGGCCCTCCAGAGCATCATGTTGCTCTGTCAGTATCGCATGCTCAGCATCTCTTACAGCACCTCTGCAAGCCTATGGCACCTTCTAGGCATGGCTGCTAGGCTCGGTCTGGAAATGGGCCTACATCGAGAGGCTGTGTACGTCATTCCGCCCGACCTGTCACCGGCTGCTCTAGGGAGGGCTAGACGCAAGAACGAAGTCAAAAGAAGGTGCTTTTGGTGTCTGTTCGGAATGGACCGTATTGTGAGCAATACGCTAGGAAGACCTATGGCGATCAACCTTGACGACATAGACACGGCGTACCCGTCCGCCGAACACGAGCAACACCCTCTCTTCAGCTCGACCCCAACAGCGGACGAAGTATTCGAGGCTTCACAGGAATTCAGAAATACCTCCGTGTTTGTTCACATCACACGGCATCGGGTACTCACTGGCAAGATTCTCTCCAGCCTGCATAATGTACCGAAGAGCAGGATGCCGGATCAGACTACTTGTGCGGTCATTCGCCAACAGCTCTCTGCAGAACTTGATGAATGGAAGCGTGGCGTTTCCTCTCTTCCATTGACAGACACAAAGTCCGGACGTCAATATGAGCTTTCAACCTTCAAGTCCCTGGAGTGGTATCGTCTGCTGTATCACAACTGCATCTTGATGCTGTACAGACCGATTTACACGACGGATGACGCAAGCCCCACTGCCGAGGTTCTCGAGCGGCTTTATCATTCATCACGACAGTCTATCCATGCATATAGCCTCCTCCATCGAGATAGACGAATAAACTACACGTGGATCACGCTGCATGCCGTCTTCATCGTCGGCCTATCTTATGTGTACGCCGTCCGTACGCATTTCCAGAACAGGCGGCGTCACATCAAGCATCCTCTCGAACGCCAGCCAAGGCCCGCCGAGGGGCAGCTGTCGGCCGATCCCGCGATCTCCCAGATCGTGTCAGACACAAGGGCCTGCTCCACCGTCCTCGTCGCGCTTTCGGAACGGTGGAACACGGCGAGGGAGTGTCACAATGTGTTCGGGCGGTTATGCGATGCCGTCATCGTCGATGCCTCCGACTTCCACGTGAATTCTTCACAAAGCAAGGGCGAGAGAGGGCCGGCTTCGCCCCAAGCTCAAGCGGAACCAGATGAGCTCCCATTGTTTGACACGCTGCCCCAAGACGACTTCTCCATTTTCGCAGCCACAGACTTGGATCAGAATTACCAGGGTTGCTTCGAAGATCTACAAAGAGTCCTTGGAGGTCATTATGATGACAATATGAATGCCCTATTGTGGCCCCAGTTTGACATGGATTTGGGTTTCGATTCATGAAGCTAGAAAGCGGGAATGGCAAGGGAACAATAGTAGCAGCGACCTGGGATACAAGGACCGTCCGACTCTCTGGCGCATATTTCTCTTGCCTCTATTCTACGATCGTCTGCTGTCGAGCTAGATCAAGACTCTCTGAGAAATTTCCGGGGATATCTACATATCGGCTCTTCAGATACTGTCCAATGCCTGGCCAAGTCCATCGATGCGGTCCGAAGAGGCTCATATTACCCGATAGTAACTGGGGTTGGGGAACACCATGTGAGAACCAAAAAATAACAGAATGAACACTCATAACGTAAGGATATTCATGTTGGATCAAGGAATGAGAGCAAACATTGTGAAGAACTGATCGAGGAGGAAGTGTCATTCATTCACCACCTCTGAGAAAGTGATTCATTAGGTAAGCAAGCACCTAGTAACTCTCAAAGAGACAGCTACGATCCACAAACGCTCCCAACCAACCCTCACGATCATCGGCAAAGCAGAAAAATGCGACACCAAATTACACGCGACTCTTTGGTAGCAAGTCTAGGCTGCCATCGATCGTGGCAAAGATGGGCCCGCAAGAGGGAGGCGCGCCCGCCGCCGCCGGCAGCCCTTCTTCGACGACTCTGCTGCAGAGCACGAACCTCACCCTCCGCACCCTCCCCGCCAACTCGTACCTCGTCCACGCCACCAACTGCCTCGGCGTCTGGGGCTTCGGCATCGCCGCCGAGCTGGGCCGCATGTACCCCGCCGCGCGCAAGGAGTACGAAGAATTCTGCCGCGCCGCCGCCGAGAACGCGTCGCAGCGGTGGCCGCCCCGCGACGCGCTCATCGGCAGGTGTCTCGTCATCCCGCCGCAGGAGAGCGACGTCGCGAAGGGCTCGCCGCGCGTGTCCATCGTCTGCCTCTTCACGAGCCACGGGTACGGGCGCGCGAGCAAGGTCTCGGGCAAGCCTGGGCGCGACAGCCCGAGTGCGATCCTGGCCGCGACGAGGCGGGCGCTGGTCGGTTTCAGGGAGCAGCTGGATGCGGAGAGGGGGAGGGCGGAGGGCTGTCTGGTGTACTCGCCATTTTTCAATGCTGGGGCTTTCAAGGTGCCGTGGGAGAAGACGGCGAGGGTGATTGAGGAGGAATTCAAGGGGTGGGGTGGGAAGTGGCTTGTGCTGACACCGCCGAAGTGAGAGAGAGTTTATTTTAACATCCCCGGAACTGGACGTTGTACATAATATCGCAGGGTTCCGGGTTGCACGAGGCTCTGCAGAACGAAAATAGCTACATGAATCGGCGTTATGGTTACCCGGCCAAGAAGAAAAGCGTCAATACATCATCATGATCATCTACTTCGGAGCAATCCGTCGCTCTCGTTTGCACGCATGCAGACTATGACACAATCCCGGAATAGGGTCGCCGATGTGATTGTGATGGAACAACCCCCGCTCACTCTTTGTCAGATGCAACAATGCAAAGGCTCGTCAACTTCCGACACCCCTGTCATCCATCGCCTTGGGGTTGTCAAAGCGGCGCCCACGACATGCCGGCGATTAAGTGCTTAGCAAGCACCTTCTTACCTCGTCGATCCTCGGCATGCATCATCTTCCAAACGTGACGTATGATCCAGGACCGCATGCATCACACCCACCGGCCTCTGCACGATAGCCATTTGCATCGAGAGGACGTCGCACGATGCTCATGATGCCCAGAAACATGCAGCTTCAATCCTACCTGACCGACAAGTGGAACACTAGCCAGTGCAGGGCGCTGGTGATCAACCCAAGACACGGCGCGCATCATCCGCTGAAAGCACCAGATCGGCACACGTGTGAAGTGTGGCACCCCTCTCCACCCGTCCATGAGCGCCTGTGTCTTGCGGGGAGGGGGCCAGCCGGCGGACCGTTGCGACCAACCAGCTTCCTGAGCGACCTACACCGGCGCATGGCCGTCCAGCAGGGGTGCTCCCCGTGCGGGACATCGATTGGACTGACAGCGCCCAGATGATCGGCGCAATATCCTGGAAAACAGGCCGACTCGCTCGCCCCCCCCTTCCTCATGGGCGCAAGAGAGGAAGCTTGGAACCTGGTTTTCGACAGCTGAGAGCTCGAGATGGTGGTGGTGGTGATGGGCATACTTAAGGCGACTGCGCCGCCACCGCGGCCGCATCGTTCCCGGCGTCGCAAGGTGCCAAGCCGGGGCAAGGACACCACCACCTCGAAACCATGCGCTTCAACTTCTTCGCCGCCGCTCTCGCGGCCAGTAGTGTCTCGGCCGCGGCGATCGAGCCCCGCGCCGTCATCGCCTACGACCAGGTCGTCGGCTTCCCGCAGACGGTGCCCTCGGGCGTCGTGGGCGCGGCCTACCTGCGCTACAAGCCCTGGCTCGAGGTCACCAACGGCTGCGTGCCCTTCCCTGCCGTCGACAAGGACGGCAACACCAGGTGAGTGGCCCCTTGCCAACATGGCATACGTTTGTCTCCTCCCCAGCTGACATGCTCACTCGTCACAGCGGCGGTCTCGACACCAAGGGCGGGCAGAACGAGGGCTGCGCGCACAACATAGGCCAGGTGTACGCGCGCGTGGGCGCCTACGCGGGCCGCTACGCCCTCATGTACACGTGGTACATGCCCAAGGACTCTCCCGCGCCGGGCATGGGCCACCGACACGACTGGGAGAACGCCGTGGTGTGGATCGACGATGTCAATTCCGACTCGCCCAAGATCCAGGCGCTGTCGGCCTCGGCGCACGGCGGCTACGCCACGGTCCACGACGACATCCTCGTCGACCTGTTCCTCGACGGCACGCGGCCCAAGATCGGCTACATCAGCATCTGGCCGCTGAACCACCAGCTCGTCCTGAGCTTCGAGAAGGGCGGCGAGCAGCCGCTCATCGCGTGGGAGTCGCTGACCGACGCGGCGCGCGAGGCGCTCACCAACACCGACTTTGGGGACGCGAACTTCCCGCTCAAGGACGGGGCGTTTGAGCAGCATCTTGAGAAGGCGAAGCCTTGAAGGGCTGGGGGGCCCAGTCGTGGAAAGTAGATATCGTGACGGCATGTATGTACATAGATGATGAGACTGTGAATAAGTATTGGGTACAGTTCAATGTCGGTATGGCCTGTGAGACCCGAGTTGTCACGATAGGTACACACGGTTCTCGTGATCTGGTACAGCCGAGGCCACTCCTTGACACCTTCCAGCTCTTGAACGTACGTCCCCATCCTCCTCGCAGTTGATATTCCGTCTCCTTTTTGCCTTCTGGAATCCCTCCCACGTATCAAATCGCCGTTGCGTTGGTGACAGATTTCTCTGCCGGGTATCTTCTTCGCGCATAAATCCACAAAACACCCCACCTCTCTTCCCTTCATCACACAGGCATCGGTTGCGGGTTGTTGCCCACCGTCTTGTACAGCTCCCGCAGCTCGAAGGCCTCGTGCCCGCCCTCGGGCACCTCGCCGACCACCCGCGCCGGCTGGCCCGCCACGACGCTGAAGCTCGGGACCACCGTGTTGGGCGCGACGACGGCGCCGTCCAGCACGCGCACGTAGTCCTTGATGATGGCGAACTCGCCGACCACGACGTTGTCCCCGATGTGCACGTGGCTGCCCACGCTCGCGGCCTGCACGATGCTGCCCTGGCCCACGAAGACGTGGTCGCCCATGCGCAGCGGCATGTACGTGAAGGCGCCCTTGTACATGCGGCCCGGGGGCCGCAGGCAGCACGCGCGGCTGAGGAAGCAGTAGCGCCCGATGGCGACGGCGGTGTTGTTGGCGGGCGCGGAGGCGCCGCCCGACGAGGAGGAGGAGGGAGCGGTGCCGGCTCGGGAGAGGTCGCCGCGGATCATGGCCTCGGCCATGATGATGGTCTTGCCGCCGAGCATGATGTTTTGGGTGCCGACGAGGGTCGCCTTGCGGGCGACCTTGTTGCCCGTGTCCTGTGGGTGGCAAACGGTACAGGTTAGCGTCAAATAAAGGGCTGTCCGTGAGGTGGAGAGCATAGGTCGATATAGACTCACGGTCTCGATGTACTCGCCTCTCGGCACTCGGCGAGACATGATGGTGGTTTTCCTTGATGTGTACCAAATGTTGAAGTCCTGACAACCAAGCGCGCCACTGGAAGATGGGCTATCACGCCATCACGTGGAAGCCATAGCGCTTGTGTCCACTGGATTTCGGCCCATTAATGGCACTTGGCGAGGTCACACACCAGCTGGTGCCACTGAATCCCCGCTAAAAACTACCCGTCTCATCACCGCCCAAACGCTGTAAATATTAGGCCTGTGCATCTCGAAAAACAACCTAAAGTCATGCACATCACCACCCAAGTTGAGAATGTGACAAGGACAAAAGCGGAAAACCTCCTTCAATCTACAACTCATGCAGAGTACTGGGTGATTTGTGTGCTCGCAAAGACAGAGAAAGTGCAAAGGCTACTTGTAGCTGTCAAGAAACACAATGAAGAAAGCCATACCAGAAACCGTACGTCAATCGAATTGTGTAAGACGAGAAAAGGCTTTATAAAATACAACAATCCATCTCGTACTGAGAGGATTCTCTCTTGCTAGTGTGCCATAATGGCCTAATCCGATCAACTGCAATCATCGGTCCGATCTATCTTGAGATAAAAGTACAAAGTGAACTCCTTGGAGTCATGATGTTCCCGTCGTCTGACATTGGAGTAAAGGCAACTGTCTCTTCCGCCATGATTCGTGATTCCAAGACCGCCTCCAAGAACAATGTGCTCAAGTACCCAGCCAGAAAATCTGCCTTCCACCTATGCCCTGTGGCTCATCTATTCAGGGTATTCTTGTTGCTGTTGAGCCAGTACCCGCTCCTGCCTGTCAAAAAAGTCGCGTATCTCGCCCTCCAAGACCGACACACCAACAGCGAGACGGCTTTTATGCAAAGGGCGCCGGCACAGCGGGCACCTGGTGCTATAGTCTTCCTTCATGATCATGTGTCGGACGCAATGCTCACCCAAGATGTGCCCACATGGCAGGAGTGCGGGCTTCTCATTCTCCTTCTCGCTCGGAAGGCCCTTGACGGCCAACCGTGTCAAGCAGATACTGCATGACACGGTTGGCGGTGTGCTGGTCGGGCTGTCCAGCCAGGCCTTGACCTTGGCCCAGAACGTGGTGTCCTCGGAGGCCGGTTCGGATCGGCCCTCCGGCTGGGTAGACTTGGCACAGTTTCCTGTCAAGTCTGGCGGCTGATCGAACCACTGCAAATACGGATCGGACGTCAAATGATAGGCGACAGCCTCCAGCTCCGGGTTGCGGCTCCGAAGGAGGTTCATCATGAGGTTGAATGTTCCCACATCAATATCCTTGCTGCGTGTTCCGATAAACAGACGTTCCATGACATTGATGACGTCTTCTTCTTCGAAACGACGGCCTTTGGTTGGGATGATGTCCACAATTTCTTCCCAACAACGTTGTGCGCTGCTCTCTCTCTGCTTCTGCTGCTCAATTTCCAGCATCTCCATGTTCACGACCCCCCCGCAGATGGTCTCGAATGCCCTCAAAGTACTCGCGGTCGCGCGCGGCTGGGTTAGGGGCTCTTCTGGATGTCCTTTTGATTCTCAAGTGGATGCTCCTGCTTGTGGGAAAGCTCAAAAGATCATCGTAAGATGTTGTGGTGTCGGAATGATTGAAATCTTGGATTAAACAAGTGGTGTGGAAGTTGTAGTCTGTCTGACCTCTGGCCTTGGGTTGAGAAGAGCAGTTGTTCCATATAAAGTTTTGCCAGGGCTTAGTTTGGTGTAGAAGTGAATGGGTTGAATTCTGGGAGAGACAGTGAATTGCACATCAAAGTGACTCTGAGTGCTGGAATCAGAACTCGCATTACAACAAAGGTCGAATGCAAACACCTGTTGAAAAAGACTGCCATTCTCTATTCATTCCGCAATGGAAAAGTGACAAGTGCTGTCTGATGGGTGTCCGCAATTATTCTCCTGCCATACCTTTGGCTCGCCAACAACAAAAATGACCTCTTGGTGACTCGCTCAACTCGAGATGAGAACATCAATATCTTCGTCTCCAGACACCAAAACCGGGGGCATCAATCCGCCATTTTGCTACCTCCTTGCCTTCTGACCACCAGTGCCAAGCACTACAGCATCGCCTGCTGGCTAGTGTATTCCTCCTTGACATCATGAATCCAATGTACACCGTGAGTGCAGATTAGATGATGGCGGCCTCGATTCAAGTCCAGAACTCAAGAATGCTCGGGAAAGATGGTGGCACTAGTGTTGGCGGTGCGCCTCCCGATCACGCTGAACAACGCGATAGTCGTCACCATCATAACCATCGGGATGAACGAAGCGAAAATCGAGCGGGTAGCCATGGCTGTGGACATGGCCGTGACCCGGGCCGTGACCCCGGTGTCCATGGCCTCTATGTCTGTGGAGTCGTCCTCCATATGCGACATGTACAGACCGGTCATCGCTGTCAGAGTCGTGAGAGATCCGAGAAATACCACAGCCCATGCGACCTATGGCAGGTGGTGTTGTGATCCGAGGAGAAAAGAACTGGAAGGTTGTAGAGGGTGTCTGGCGGGAGGAAGTTCGTGCTGACGGTCTTGGGAGAAGAGATCGTTGAGATGAGGGCCTGCCAAGATCCCCTTTTATATGGATTTTCGGTTACTATAAACCGATAGCACAGCGTAGTTGTGAGATTGCATTAACTATATAGAGGCGTCGACGACAGTGAAGAGACTTTCTGAATGTTCCAATCTCTGTGTATATTCTTGAATATCTCTCACAACAGACTGTGAATTCTGTGCCGATATCTTTGAAACTTGATATTCACTCTGCTTTGTGCGAAGACGACTTCAGTTCTTCAGAAAAGTCACCGGAACGCGACAAGGAAGTGAAGGCATTGATGCAAGGGCATATTGGCATGCACTTAGAGAGTGACTATTGTTACCAAAAAAGAATGTGTGTATCTCATCGATTGATTTGTCGACTCTTATCCCAAAATCTGCCACTTTCTCAACATGGAGCCCCTATTCAGTGATCTTCTTGTAGTGATCTCAAGAAAGCCGCATATCTCGATCGTAGGCACGGAATGCTTCAGCCTCTTGCTCTGTGAGCAGTGGGTGGCGACAGACAGGGCATTTGGCATTGTCTCGCAAATTGATAACCCACGTGTCAACGCAACCATCGCCGACAATATGCCCGCAAGGGAGGTAGAAGGGCCTCTCGACGATTGATTTGCCGTTGCCCTCTGGGCTTGCCGTTGCCATGGGTTTCTTGCAGCATGGACATTTGAGAGCCGCCTGGGGGTCGACAGGCCAAGTCGGTGCGTTTGGGTATCGTGGGTCCTGCGTGCCAGCCTGCTCTGGCTTGGGTGTAACACCTTCCGGAGGTGGCTGCGCGAGCCTCTCATACAGAGCCTCAGCAGGCGCTGGGGAGACGGTTGATCTAATCAGGTGAGTCGCGCGAGCCATGCTGCGGAGTAAATGCATGGCCTCCTCTCTCTCACTCTGCTTGTCCAAGACACTCTGATAGAGTTCATTCCAATCGACGTGTTCTGCCGGTGGCGGTGGTGGCTGCCGAGTCTTGCTTCGCTCCTCCTCGTCCTGCTTCCTGGTTCTGACACTGTAGCGCTCAGGGCCAAAGAGCTCCTGCCTGCGCTGCTCTTCCTCGGCGAATTCGCGTTCTAGCTGTTGGTCTCTGGCAGACATGATGGGTGGTTGGTTGGCATCGATGGTGGTGTTGAAAGATGTTTTGTAATTCAACAAAATGCAAGCCAGCAGATCTGGAGAAGGGTGATTAAATACTTGAGCCGGGACAAAGAACCAGCTTCAAATGTTGGTCAGTCACCGCTTACAGCGACGCATGGGGTTCTTTGTCTTTGGCAGTTCCTTTTTGACCAACGAAAGAAGTGGCGCTGTGACTGTGACTGCACTAACAGGGCAGTGAAGTTGAACAAAGACTGCCTGATAGGATATTGCATGTGACTTGGTAGGGTCTCATGATGAGACTGATAGCCTACCATTGAAAGCGGTTTGCTGTCAAGGTCAATGCGTTACACGTAATTCACTTTGCTGGACCACTATCAATCAGTGACTGCAACTTATTCACTGGCCACTAGCTACATGGTGACTAGGTAATGCTGTTGTCAGGCCTTAAGCCTAACCATTCAGACACAGTCCACCCAGCTCAGTACTCTTGGTTCGGTAGTTTTTGCTGATTACTAGTGATTGAGGGGCCTTGAGGACGTGACGCGACGCAAATCGTCTGTAGGTGCAAGAATGCCGTGACGATGAGGCTAAGAATAGGTAGTCTGGCGGCTACTTCGTACCAAGATCTCCAGATGGCTCCAAGACCAAGGCCTAGTGCCCGCAAGCGCACCCGTTAGCCTGGACCGAATGGGAGTCGACCATACCAAACACATGCCAATCGCGCCTCGACACTGGCACGCATCGGGATACCACTGGAATGTGGGCATCCCATTTCCTCCCTTACAATGCAGTTGCCCAGTCACTTTTGATGGAGCCAGCTGGGCCTTTTCCCCTTCCTCTCCTCCCTCTCTTCCCATTTCGGACAGCTGAACCCTCAACTCCAACAAAGAATCATCGCGAAAGACGGTTCGCCTACAGAAACATCCTCCTCAATTGTCACGACAGGATGGACGGCACAGTGGGGTCACCTAGCCCGGCCGGCGCCGTCCGACCCCTTGCCCGGCGGGCCATCTCCACGGCCCTTATTCACTGGTTCTCTCCGCGGAGCACCTGCGATCCGGACCCTGCTCACGAGGACGTCAACCTCTGCGAGAAGCCGGTGGGCAATTCATACATTACACTGGCAGTCTGTACCAGCCTCGCGTGAGTTCTACACTGGAAGCTCGTCCATGAACCCCGTCCAAAAGCTGACTACTTCTTGTAGTGGCACGATTGCAGGGACCACAATTATCATGCTCCTGTGGCTACACTTCCGCCGTATGGCCCGAGACCGGCGTGAATATGACCCGTTCGAGCTGGCCGACTATGGCATCGAGGAGGAGGATCTTTCGGCGGAGAAGCGGCTGATGAAGAAGAGAGCATCCCTCGGAACAAAGGCATTCCACATACACGTACAAAAGTCGAGCATATCACGGCCGCGGCCAATGACACCTTGCAGAGACTCGCTACACGAGTCGGTGCACTCGTTCGAAAGGCCACTACGACCCGGCATCGATCCTCTCGCGTCGCCCTATGCCGAGGACAACCCTGGATATATACGAGAAGGCCTGTCGCCGGAGCCGCTCATCGCGAGAAATCTGACGAGTTCTCCACAGCCGATGATGGCAGAGTCGCCACTGGCGAGGCTCGAGCTGCCATCGCAAAAGAGGAAGCCAGTCCCGATATCCAAGTAGGGAGGCAGAGAGAGAGAGGCAGATATTCGAGTCTCCTAGGGAAGAAGATGGGGCTTGGTTGGAGCATCAGACCACTACAGATTTCGATGATGGATACGATGATGGATAATTTACTCAATGATCCAGGCGATGTAGGAACGATGCAACCAGGAATGGACAGCGTGACGTCTGTTTTTAATCCACAAACACTTAACACCATTTACATAGTCACGAGCCAAGAATTGAAAAGCAGAAATTCGAAACAACGATGTCTCTCCACTGCCAGTCCACGTTACATAGCGATCCTTGGATGGGATTCATGATGCAGGTCGACAGACAGGCACGACAGGTTGCGAGCTCTTGCCTTCTGCCGATCTTATAACCAACCCGGCAAAATACAGGGCCACGGGCCAACCGAGATCAGGATGATCGTCCCGCCCCCGCGACGCATTGAGAAAGATGCCACAATCAATTTACCGGGCAGGGTTGCCGCCAAGATAGGTCCACCTAGTATTTATTTTGGAAACGCTGTCCCCCGGTTCAGAGATGATGTCAAAGGGATCTGCGTGGCCGCGAGACGCCAATGCAGGCGATGCCGGGAACCCGTTCAAGGTTATTTAAACAACTGAGATCTCGACCGAGCCTCAATATCAAAATTCAGATGACACAAGGCAGTACCTGCACCTGAGCTGAACAGACTTCTTCATCATCACTTCTACTCTCCCAAAATGCACTTCACCACCTTCATCGCGTCCGTTCTCGCCGGCTCCGCCTCGGCAGCCGTCGTCCGCCAGGCCCAGCCCCCGCCGCCCCCGGCCGACGGTACGCCCTTCAATCTCATTGCGCTGAGGTCAGCCAGTGATATCCACTTCACCCACTTCGGCGCCACCCACAGCGGCATCTTCCTGGGCCTCAAGGAGCAGGCCGCCTCCTGCGACAAGGGCCCCGCTACTGAAGCCACCTTTTACCTCGAGGACGGCAACATGTTCCTCTACGCCGCGTCGGCCACGCCGCAGCAGCTCTACGTCGACACCGTCTGTAAGTTGAGATATGATTTTCGAACCTGCTGATGCTTGTGACGAGCCCGCAATCCGCTAACGTGGGGCAATTTACAGTGGGAGGCCGGGTTGCATACACGACGGGCGCGCAGCCTACGCCTCCCGGAGGGGAGCGCGGACCCTGGAAGCTCGACGAGGCCGGCGATCTGTCCTTCAACGGCAACGACTTGCTCGCCTGCCCCCAGGGCACCGACGGCGCCTGGGCCGTCTACGCCGGCGAGGGCCAGGGCGAGGGCTGCCTCGGCTTCTCAGCCCGAGCTGCGCCGGTGCAAGATCCCAACGGCTGCCTCTACTCGTCGAACCGGGCGTGAAGGACTGGGCACGCACAGAATCTCCGTTCAATACGATTATGTATATGTGAACCAAAGAACCAATGAGTTAGACTTCTGACCGGACAACCGGAGCTAGAAACAATTGCAATACAATGTATCATATGCAGGGTCAACTGGTACATAAAGCGGTGAAGCTGCCAATATTTCGGGATCGAGAGGCCCCGAGGCTAAGTGTTGTTCAGATCAATCTCCGCACTGTCGATCCCAACTCGATAAAGTCACCAAGGATTTGCCTAACTCAGGGTACCCACCACCCGCAGCCCTATCTTTCTGTTCAAACTCTTCGACTAGTCCGAATCCGTCTTTCGGGAATCTTGTCATTGGCCTGAAGTATTTGTAAAAGACAAAGAGCGGAGGTTGATGATGCTGACTGCTCACGGGGCAAAAAGCTTTGATCAATTCCAAAGAGCATTCCCACTGGCTGTTTCCTAGACTTGTCACCACTCCGGACCGGGTAGGTTAGACCGCTGCATGTCGCTGACTACTGTCGGTTATCCTCCCGGAGCCGTAGGTGATCATCGCAGGCAGCTCCTCATTGGTCTAGGATGGGGCTGCAAAAGCAATACGCCCTCAACATCCCGATCGAGCTGAAAATACGCCGCACCTTAACCCCACGCGCTCCGCAAATATCTGGGCTGGAGCAAATGACAGACGTACTTGCACATGCACGTCAGTTTGCTTATTCCGGTGTCTCTGCGGCGCTTGGTACTGTCAGCGATCTGACAGGCGCTCCAGTGACCACATCTGACGGACGGGGTACTGCTCCCGCCGAGAACGCTATCCAGGAGCTATCACCCGCCTTTCCTGGTTGACGGCGATCCCCCGTCATGGTTGCCCAGTCAAGTCAAAAGTATATAAGGACGGAGTGGTGACGAAGGTATGATCGGGAGGGAAGACACTATCTACTCGAAAGCTCTTAACAACTACAGGTATTGTTTCGCAATCTGTCCTCCGAGCAACCCCGGCAAGATGGTCGCTGCCACCTCCCTCATAACACTCTGCCTCGCCGCCACGGCAACAGCACGCAAGTGCCGCGATATCGTCGTCCCCGTCCAGATCTCCGCCCGCAACGGCGTCTTCGACGTCGCCCCGCCCGCCACCAACATCGAGGCCACCGACTTCATCCTCGACAACTTGCGCCAGGGCCACGACTATGCCAACGAGACGCTGACGGGCTACCGGACCGTTTCAGGCACCTACAAGCTGCAGACGACCTACTGCGAGCCCGATTCGGGTCCCTCGGGCACTGTGCAGCTGCTGACCCACGGCATTGCCTTCGATCGCACCTACTGGGACTTCCCCGCGCACGACCACAACTACAGCTACACCGCCGTCGCCGTCGACGAGTACCGCTACTCGACGCTGGCCTGGGACCGCCTCGGCATCGGCATGTCGCAGCACGGCGAGCCCGTCAATGAGATCCAGTCCACGCTCGAGATCGCCGCCCTTAAGGCCGTAACACTGATGCTGCGGCACGGCCAGATCCCCGGCGTCGGGTGCGCCTTCTCCAAGGTCGTGCACGTCGGCCACTCGTTCGGCTCGATCCAGTCGTACAGCCTCACCGTGACGGACCCGGAGCTGTCCGACGGGCTGGTCCTGACCGGCTTCTCGCAGGACCCGCGGTTTCTACCCTACTTCGGCTACGGCGGCAACTTTGTCGTCGCCAACACCATCCCCGCGCTGTCGCAGTACCCGGCGGGCTACCTGGCCGGAGGGGACGTGTCGGCGGCGCAGACCAACTTCTTCGCGCCGGGAGAGTTCGACCCTGACATCCTCAACGTTGCCGCGAGCACTTCGCAGCCGGTGACTGTCGGCGAGATGTTGACCATTGGTGGGAGCACTGCCTTGGTGAACCACTTTGAGGGTCCCGTGCTGATCATCACTGGAGGTGAGTTGCATCAATGATTAAAATCATTTTGTGGAAAGTCAATGATTTAACCAATGGGAATCCTAGAACGCGACGTCCCTTTCTGCGGGGGTGATTGCTATAACAGCGGCATGCCTGGCGTTGCTTCGATCCTCGACGAGTCTGCGGGGATGTTTCCCAACGTCACCAAGTTTGAGACTTGCGTTGTACCCAAGGCTGGCCACGGGCTGAACTTTGTAAGATGCACCTACACAATTCTGTTTATGGGAATCGAGGCTAACAGCAGGCAGGAGTACTCTCACCCCTTGACTTACAACACGATAAACACTTTCCTCAAGCAAAACGGGCTCCTTCCTTGATCTATGCCCTTGCGAACTTACCTAAAGCTCCAGAACCCCAAGGAGTCAGAGTTTACCTATCTGCAATTTCAATACCTTCTTTACGAGTCATATGTTTACATAAACATATCAACCTTTATTTATAATTCAATAGTCACATACTCTTTCTAAGATTATGCAAAGTAATTCTCAATTCCTATTACTCTACTACGTACACACTGACCAGCTTGAATAAGGTTTTCAAGTTTTCATTTGAAATCACTGTTTAGAGACCTCTTACATTGCAGTTTTACCATCTTGATAATACTCAGGGGTAAACCTTAACTATTGTGCTACAAGTTACTAACAAAAAGGTGAACACAAAGTCATCACAGCTGGCAAAAAGCTTGCAGACTCGCTCGGGAGGGAGTCTGCTACGAAAATCCTCTTTTCAGGGGATTTTACTGCCGCACAAGATCGCACTGTCGTCGAGTAGTGGTCTGTGTTGTCGTCGGGTTAGTCGTCGGGGTTTTTTATTTAATTTTATTATCGTCATCGGGAATCGAACTCGTGTCCTCCTCGGGCCTGCCCCTTGCATTTCCTGTCCATTAAACAATCTGACCATGTTGCCAAATTTTCCAATCGTCTTTTCCTCCCCGACAACTGACTGCGTTAGCCTTCCTTATAAGGGCTTTGAATCCTGGGGTCCATCCTCCTGAAATTCCTCCTCCGGGGCCCCCCTGGGCCCAGAGACCCCTTAACCTGGTCTCGCACACATTGCAGTTCAGAGTCACGACTCAAAGCCTCCACAGTTCCCATTCCAGAAAATAGGTTACAACAAAAAAGCGATGTTTGTCATCTACTATGTTACCTATTTCAGACTCTCGAGGAAGCTCAAGTCTCTAGGCGCCTCGACCTCGGCCATGATCTCCTCCCGCGACCTGCTCACATCCCACTGGACCAGCTCCGTGTACAACTGCTGAATCTTCTCCGTGACGGCCCCGCGCTTGCCGTCGCCGATCGTCCGCCCGTCAATCTCGACAACGTGCACCTGCGAGGGGAACGTGCCCGTGCAGAACGCCTCGTCCGCGCCGTACGCCTCGGTCAGCGAGAAGTCGAGCTCCCGCACGGCAATGCCGTGCGCCCGGCAGACGTCGATGGTCTTCTGCCGCGTGACCCCCTGCATCTGGTTGTCCTTGGTCGGCGCCCAGACCTCGCGGCCCCGCACGATGAAGAAGTTGACCGAGTTGCACGTCTTGACGAAGCCGCGCTGGTCGAGCATGAGCGCCTCGTCGACGCCCATGAAGTTGGCGTGGATGCAGGCCTGCACGTCCGTCGCCTTGGAGATGTGGTTCCACTGCTCGTCCTTGACGTCCGGCGGGCCGCGGCGCACAAAGGTCGTGCCCAGGCGCAGGCCCCGCGCGCGGGCGGCCGGGTCGGCGGCCTTGATCTCGGGGATGATGACGATGAGGGGCAGGCCGAGGTTGACGCTCGGGTTCTGGTACGGCGTCGCCTTGACGCCGCGGCTGACGACGAGCCGGATGTGCACGTGCTCGTCGTCCTGCATGTCGTTGGCGTCGAGCGTGTCGTGGATGAGGGTCAGTAGCTCGCCCTTTGTGAGCCCGAGGTCCATGTACATGACCTTGGCCGTTTGGAAGAGCCGGTTCAGGTGCTCCCTGGCGAACTGGACTTTGCCTCGCTTGGCGCGGATGCCCTCCTGGTGACCGATGTCAGCTTCATGAAGACTCGGTCAACAAGATTAAGGAGGATGCATACCCAAATTCCATCACCGACCAAGAAGTTCGAGTCAAATACTGAGACGGTCGCCTCTTTTCTTGGAACAAGCCGAAACTCTCCGGTAAGTCCATCTCGCATGCCGACCTATATCTGGGTCAGTTCAGATCAGACATCCCCCGTGAGTGTGTCTTTGTCATACCAGAATAGACTCATTCTTCTTATTGGGGACAACCGCATGAGTAGAGCCATGTGCGTCTGATGTTGCTGACGGCGTCATGATAACTATCTCTGTATCGACAATGATATGGTTGGCGGGCTCGGGCAAGGTCGCTCTTGACAAAGCCAGGGGAACATAGACGTGATATGAATCACAGTGATGGGATATCAAGAGAATTCGTTGAGTAGACGTAATGCTAGTTAATCACCAATAGATGGACGATATTTCATTATCTACTACAGCAATCCGAAAACACTAACCCGCAAAACCGCGCCACTTTTCGGTGATGTTCGAAGCCGCCTCGGACAGCACCGAGCCATTCTCCACCACCCACCCAACGAATCCCAATTGCCGAGCATACGACCCGCGCATCCCGAGAGGTACGGTACCCCCGGAAACATGCGAACGTTACCCTGATGCAGAATACTGGTGGCCACGATGGTGTACCCAATCCACATGTTGGGATGAATAATATCGAACGATATCGATTGGCCAGATGTAAGGGGACGGGACAACTCAGGATGGTTCGTAGGCGGTGTCGGCCATCGCAGCTTTCGTTGAACGCAGTGCTCCTCCAGCTTCTTGTGCAGTACGAAAGGAAGCTGGTGTGGACAGACATATCCTAATCACCACTACTGAAGACTATAGTAGCAGAAAGACCAATATGTTGTTGACAGTTGTCGTTGCAAGCGGAGCCTAAAATACCTCTACAGAAATCGGCAATTCTCATTGCTGGACCTCCTGCATCAAAGCAGTATACCACCCATTCAGAGTCTCATCTACATCAAACACGCCCCCACCTAGGAAGTCATTGACCTGGTCGAGGTAACTCTCGATGCTATCACCGGGCAGACTCCATAAATTCATCCCGGCGTCAAAGTCCTGAGTTTCCATAGCTCCATAGCTCCCATCGGCAGAGGGTGTGATGGGGTTGTAGAGCTGTGAGGTTCTGGCGCCAGGACTGTCCTTGTACACTTTGAGCCTCACAGCCTGAAACACCTCCAAGCAACGGAAGAGATTGGGAGACTGAAGCTTCGAGAGGCCTCTATTCAATAGGTCCATGCAAACCATGGTGTCGTTCTCGTGACGCCATGCTCGACCCACAGGCATAGCAATGGCTACAGTCGTGTTGGTGTTGGGCTTAATCGTTGAGCGCCTGTTCACAATGTTAATATCATGCTGATCGAATTCAAGGGTTTACAGCTACATACCAATCGCAATAGAGCGCAGCAAGACCGACCAAGAAGATAGCATGGACCTGCCTCGACGAGCGACACACCGCCAAGATGCCACTCTGCTGCTCCAACCTTAGCCAGTTCTTTACTGCGCTGGAGGCGGCTTTGGAGCAGGAGAACACCATCTGGCTCGACGGAACCATGTAGGTCGGTGATGGCCTCTGAAGCATCAAACGTAGGAGGCAAGACTCGATCTTCATCTCGGAGTACTCGCGAGAGGGTTTGACCACGGCAGTGTTGAGTTGGTGATCCCAATTGGCCAGCTCTAGCCTTATCGCATCTGCTTCGGCGGATATCTGTTGAAACGTTGTATCCAGTGCCAATCCGTCAGGGGTTCTTGCAATGTACACCGACTCGAGAATACGGCCACCAAGCTTCCGAAGTCTGATCATGTGTTTGAAGGGTTCGACAATGCATTTGTGAAAGACTGGGGCTGCTGCTGCCTCGCTTTCAGTCAAAGCGTCGAATGTCATCGGTGTGGGCATCAGGGCGTGTATGGCGTGCTCCCGGACCGAGAGCACGCGGCCTGTCATAGTCGCTACATGCCTATGCACGAGTGTTAAGCAACGGCCATGATCAGTATTGTGGACAGGGACATACCGCTCCAAACAATACGCGGACCACCATGCCCTGTTCCGTATCTCCAATTCTTCGGCTGTGAAGCCCCAGTCTGTGTTGTGGCGGTGAAGACCTGCTTCGATGACCGCGGACATGGCATACCGCGCCAGATGCCATAGATCGTTGATGTCAGCCGAGATTGGCGAGTCAAGCATCCATATAGTTAGTAGAAGTATTGCTTGAATCCTGAGGAGATCCTGCGGGTGGTCGTAGAAGTTGTGGAAGAAGTGCAGAGCAGTCTGGAAGTACGAGGATGAGTCGTTCATGTCGATGGGTCCCTGAGAAGTAGATCCGTTGCCATGCAATGTCTCCCTGCTTCCCAGAGCCAACACCACAAATACCAAAAACTTCTCCTGGTTATCGCAACTCCTTGGCTCTTGGTACAGTTTCTGAAACACCCTCCGAAGAACTGGCAGCTGGAGGAACGGCCACCAAACATGTACGCGTGCGATATACGCGTGCAGCAGGCGCCTGGCCACTGGCTGCGGTGGTAGAGCAGCTTGTTGTGTCGTCGGCGATAGATCTAGGAAGCCCCCTCTTCTGTCCGGTAGCTCTGATGGAATGAGGGTGAGTTGCCTGAAGAAAATGCGAGCGAATGTTGACCCGGCGGCTCCTCCGACTGTTTACACATATTTTACGTGAGCAAAAACGCCTGCTCCCGACCTCGCACAAGACCCCATACTGAACTCACCGTATGAACCCTCGGAGAAGCGACTTGGGCCGCCAAGCGCCAGGACGCCAACTTCCTCGGCTTCCTTCCGTAAGCTCTCATCGTCCAGGTTCGGTCTGTCAGAGAGCGGCTGTGTGGGATGGGGTCGGGCAGATTGTAGGGAAACCGATTCCGGGCCGGAGCCTACGGTGACAGGTTGAGTCCCGAGACTCTGTGCGGGAGATTGGTCAACTCTAGCTTTCAGGGCTGTTATCTGGTCCAAGAGCGCCTGGACGGTGGAGTAGGGATACGCGACACATTCGGTGATGTTGCACTCCTCTCGATGCCGGTAGCAAGCGGAGCACTGCGGTACCTTCAAGTCGCACTATGTTCAGAGTGATCAGGCTGGGGTGTGTCAGCTGCAAAGGCGTCCGGAATTTGGGTCTTACCTTGACCTTTCTCGATCGACACCGACTACATGCCTTGGAGAGCGATGGATGGAGGCCCAGCCCTCCGGGAATTTGTGGCCCTGGCATCGTGCGTCTGTGGTAGCTCGGGACTGTCCGAAGTTGAATCGCGAGCTTTGCACATCAAAGCACGCGACCAGTCAATCGAGAAGTGCCTTGCGCGAACGTGGTATGAGATGAGGTTGCAACAGCTCGGGGGGTGCCGAAGTCGGTGGTTCTTCGAACTCCACTCCTTATCTTTTTTAGGTCCGCTCCTTCGGACTTGTGCGAGTCACGCTACTCCCGCACCGAAAGCCACTCAAACGCTCTCAGCGTTGAGATAAGGTGTGCGCGAGTCGCGTGCGTCCCCCCGGGTACGATTTACTTCGGATGTGACTTCTTCGGCACTGTAATTACTGCACATAGCCTCGCGGTTGACATCAGTTGGCTCCAGGCTGCCCGGATTCCAGTGAGCATCCCGTGCAAAGTAAATTGGCATGGAATCTTAGATTCAGAGCCACGATGATCACTCCTAGAAGACCAAACTCATAGATTCCTTGCTTGTGCGACCCTCGTCCGATATCAATAGCTGTATCGGAAAGCGTGATTCTCCCCATCAGTTAGATCCTCGCCTACAATGTCCAGATGACTCCCCGTCGACTTGCCGTATAGGCGATCGCGACGCTTGTTCTCGAAGAAGCAGATGGCACTAATCAGGAGGTCAGCATCGGTACCTTATGTAACAGGCTCCATTTCCGTTGCTTACAAATACAGCATGCCCATCACCCCGTTGATAGCAAAGGCTGCCAGCATGGCAGCAATTCCAAGGGGATAGTACGGTGACTGATCCGTGCGGAAGAACTGGGGACCGAAGATATTGGCAACAGCTGTGTGGGATGTTAGCACAGATCGCAAACTCATTAGGAGAAGCTCACAGTAGAAGACTGCGACAGAAACACCAGCGAACGACTTCTTGGTCGCACCAGAGTTGTTGGACGACTGTAGACTGAGCATCGTCACAAAGGAAACATTGTAGAAGCCCATGAGGTACACGCCGACCAGCGACGCAGTTCGGTGCTCCTTTATATCCAGGGCTAGAGGAGACGAATTTAGTAAATGGTGGACGTGGTCATAGAAGGATAGTACCTACAGTGAATCATAGCCGCACCGGCAAGGGCAGGGAACGTCGAGAGGACCCAAATGATACATCGCGTGCGAGGTACGTAGAGCATGATGACCGTGGCAACGACCTGGGCGACGATGGCGACGGCTGCTTGCGGAGCAGACATGAGCGATGTCTTCTGGGGCGAGAAGCCGTAGCCGGAGATGATGAGCGGGTTGAAATTGGTGATGCCGGAGTTGGTGACGGCATACGCCATGACTCCGACGGACAGGACCCAGTACTTCGGATCTTTCAGTGTCTCAGTTACGTGTGACATCTTCCACTATGTTGTCATAAACCAATTAGCTGTTAGTCACTCATACCAAACGCTCCTTCTTGGCTCGATTCTACCTTGTTGTGGTTGTCTACGCCGGTTTGGTTCTCAGCGACCCGGATAATGGCGAGCTTCTTCTCCTCGGCAGTGAAGAACCACGCGTTTGAGGGCGCATCAGGAAGGGCGAGAACTACGGTGATGCCAAGTGCGATAGTGATGCTGCCATAGATGATGAAGAGATACTGAAGATAGAATTAGTTCGGATGTTTGTCAACCAGCCAAGGGTTGCAGGCAGCTTACCTTCCACTCAGAGAGGGAACCCGAGATGTGGCCAATAGCGTAGGCGAGAATACCACCGAAGATCTAGCAACATGTTAACGTAGTTCTCAGAGTCAAGCTGACAAGTATTTCTACATACACCCGCAAAAGTGTTGTAGTAGAGCGCCGAGACAATAGCGTGCTCCTCTCGACGATACCACAGCGAGGTCAGGAGGATGCAGCAGGGCAGCAGCGCCGCCTCAAAGACGCCCAAGAAGAACCGCGCGACGGCCAGAGTGGCGAAGCTTGTGCACCCGGCCATGGCCGTGATGGTCACGCCCCAGAAGATCAACAGCGCGCCCAGGAACTTCCCGATGCGCACCTTGGTCAGCAGCCAGAGGGCAGGCGCCTCCATTCCAAGGTACCCGAAGTAGAAAACACTGCCCAGCCAGCTATAGTCCTGGTTCTTGAGGTTGGTCTCCTTGGTCATTCCGTAGACGGCGGCGAAGCTCATGGCATTCTGGTGTGAAAAGTGCAAGTTAGCAGGGAGTGGAAACGGGGCGGAACAGCAAGGCAACGCAAGGCATAGAAGGACTGACCTTGTCGAGAAAAGCCATGGTCGAGGCAAGAATCATGGTCATCAAAACGACAGAATTGATTTTGATGAGCATGCGCCGGTTCTGCTGCGGAGTGATGGTCTCCATCCCGGAAGCAACAATCTCTTCCGCACGGGGAGTGTCCGAGCTGTTGCGAAGCTCTGACTTGCCCTCGTTCATGGTGATCTCTCACGGCTGACTGTGTAAATATTGATAGGAGATCACGTCGCGTACTCTGCAACGAGGTACTGGTAGCTGGATCGGGTCAGTTGAGGTCCAGCTTTGTGGGATGCACCGCCTCAAGTACTGATAGGATGACGATGCGGGAATCAAGGTTAAGCCGACTGTTCCCGCGGCGGTGCATGTTGCATCTTGCGTCAGGGCTCTCCTCTCCTTTTGAACGGACTGCCAACACTTGAAGACACAGGCTATTGGAGTCTCCGGAATAGGGAAATTCGTCTGGATCGCGCCGTTTCCCCAGGAGGGCTCCACAGATATCGGTCTTGCGCGAGGCCATATTTCGGCCACCCCCGAGTAGCGTCGGTCTACCGCGACCGCCTCAAATCCACTGGAGTTATCTGGAGGGCTTCACGAGTAGCGAGTAGAATCAAATGTATGGGATTTCGGCTGGCGACGGCATGTTACTACAGGAAGTCATATTTCATGATGCAATATGAGAGTGTGGGCAGATACGGCCAGTGTGAAGCACTACTGTTCTCGCAGTACGGGTGGATTCGTCTCTACCTTCACCAACCGAGCTTGCCGGCAGGTACAACATCATTCCAAAAAAAAAAAAAAAAAAAAAAAAAAAAATTGATCTCTCTTACAAAGCCCGGGTTGTATCGAAAACACAGATAATCAGTCAAAAGGTACAAGTCTAGCCATGCCAGCGCGAGGAGCAAACATATCCGGTGAACAACTGAGATACTGGCCAAAATTTAAACAGGATGTTCCCTCTGAATGATGCGAACCCAAAAGTCCTCGATAATCCATATGCCCTGATCAAAGGTTAGCCCAAGCTCCAGCCTAAGTTGAGATCGGACTTACAGCATTGTCAATCTTAACCGGCTTCTCTGCGTTGACAACGGTGAAGTCAAAACGCCTCAGCAACTATAGACAGTCAGTTAGCCACGCTCCACCTCGAGGGCCCGCTAAACTCACCTCGACAAAGATCTTATTGAACTCCATCAGAGCCACCGTCTTCCCGAGGCACTGGTACTTGCCATAGTGGAACACCAGGTCCACCGTGGCAGTCATCTGCGCCAGCTTGTCCCCGTCAGCCTCCAACCACCTCTCCGGGCGGTACATCTCGGCGTCCTCGCCAAAGATCTTCTTGGAGTGGTGAATCCCAAACGGGCTCGACCCGATTTGCGTGCCGGCCGGGATGAACTTGCCGGCGATGACGTCGCCGCCGGGGGGCACCGTCTTGAAGAAGGCGCCGGCCGCGGGCGGCATGATACGCAGACCTTCTTTAATCACGGCTTGCAGGTAGGGCAGCTCCCGGGCCTCGCTATCCCGGATGGGGCTGGAGATCCTGCCCGCAGCGACACCGGCGTCGATCTCGTTCTGCAGGCGGTTGTACGCAGACGGGTTGCTGAGGAGGTAGAGCATGACGAGGCGGATGGTGGAGGCCGAGGTGTCGCTGCCGGCGACGACCTGGAGGAGGGCTTCGCCGGACGCTTCTTCTTGCGTCAGGCCGTGCCGGATGAAGGAGCCGAGCATGTCGGGCTGCGAGGCGGCGTGGGCCTGGAAGCGCTCGGCGACGACCTTTTTCGCGACCCTTTGTGGGTTAGTTGTGCGCCGCTTGAACCACCAGCAGGCACACTTACCCGATAAATGCGCCAAAGCCCAGCTTGTCGCTCTCCTTGGGCATGGCGCCCCGCATCAGCGGCGACTGCAGCAGCTTGGCCAGGCTGGGGACGTTGGCGAGGATGAGCATGACGGGGATGAAGGAGCTCGTGATCTTGATGTAGTCGAACACGTCGTCGTCCTGCTCCAGGTAGCCAAAGGGCCGGCCGAAGGCGAGGTCGCTGATGACGTCGAGGGTGAAGTACTGGCCCTTTTGCGCGAGGTCCATGGGCCGGAATTCGCTGGCCGTGGAGAGGTACTTGTTCTCGATGAGGCGGACGAGGTTGCCGATCTGCGTCTCGATCTGCGTCTCCATGGATTCGTTCTCCTTACCCGAGTACTACACTCGTGTATGCGCGTGCGCGCAGTGTCAGTGAGGGTGCGCGACAGTCTGGGGTGGGATGCGACTGACGCCGGCGGCCATCTTGGCGCGGAGCTTGGTGTGTGCAGCTTCATCGCGCATCGAGAAGAGATTGTCCCTTGTAGGGTCGAACCGCATCGCATCGTACCCTTTGACGTTGCATTGGTCAATTGATATGATCCATGAGATATCCAAATCATGATCTGCGCTCACAAGGACCCCGTGTGTAGGCAGACCTCACGGCCATCATCCGGCGCAAGACTTCCGGATCGTCGGTGACCAGCTCGTTAGGTCCGATGCGCGCCAGCGAGCCTGCACGACGCGAGAAGCATGTGAGTAACGCAGTCCACAACAGTGTACCAGTGACACAGTAGGTCGGAGAGAGATATATTCTTAGCAAACTCACCATACTTATCGGTGACTTCCTTGATGGCCGTGGGCTGTCGCCCCTTGAGCGATTCCCTCACCATCCACCATTTGGAGAAGGCAGCCCAAAAGGGACCTGGGATGTGGGATAGGCGGTACCATTGGTAGACCGCGTGGGCCAGCCATGGTATGACGACAGCGAGAGCTAGGGCGCCGACCACTGCGCCGGCGGTTCCTACTCCCGATGACGGCGACAAGAGCCTGGAAATGTGATCCATTCTCCGGGCCCGCCCTGTTTCAGGCTCTGTTTCTTCGTTTTCCCTTCGGCTCGCTGCTCGGGGTTGGTGGAAAGGCCCGGGAGAAGAAACGGTGGTAAAGATGCAGATTCATCTTTTTGACGCAGCACAGCAGGGCTCAGCTCGTCAAGAAAAGGGAAATGATGGCTGTGAGTGGAGAGAGCGAGTGATGGGCGTAGCATTACCAAGACGCGAGACTGGGGGTCTAGTCCCTCTCCAGAGGGCAAAGCGGAGATGCACCCATGTCTGGAAAAGCTGCCCGTACAGGCCGCCGTGACCGTGGCCGTGGGCTACCTATCATCCCACCATGCCACCCACCGCCACGGCGGTCGGTTCTCTGATGAGACAGTAAATTGGATCATCGAATGATGGATCCCCTCGTCGACCACTAGGACAGGAGGGGTCAAGAGGTGCGCGGGCTGACCCGGAGGTGGGACAAAGGCCCGGCCTCGCCAGTCATGGTCCGTGGCTAGCAGGGATGCTGGCAGATAGCGAGTGAGACACGAGCGTGGCAAGCGTGGTAACTCGTTGAGACACGTCGAGTATCGTTTCCGACATGCTGGAACGGCACGCCTGTGTATGCTCGTCATCGCGGTCTCTCCCCCCTTTTCCCTGTGCTTGCCTGCCGGCCATGTCACGTCGCTCATGCAGGCCGCTATCCGTGATCACAGACCGGGGTAGAAATGACAGAGACACGCCGTTCGTCACCACCACCCACTCGACGATCGCTAGTGGTCCTTACTCACGGGCTTAGTCCGCCACCGCCTCCGTGCTATCCTGCAATGGCGCCTTTGGCCCGCTGCTGTGTTCCCCTCTCGGTCCACTAAAAGGCTCCAAATCCTGCCGGATCAAGACAATGTGAGAGGGCCGGCCCTGCTGGGGCCGTCACGAATTTCCCATGTGGTGTGGAGGAGAGGGGTGGGAAACGGCCCGTCCGTTCGCATCGCTTCTCTTCCTTTTTACCTCGACGCGCGCGGAATTGCGACGGCGTGCAAAGCAACTCTTGCGACCCCGTCCATATATCCTTTTGTTCCAGATACCATTTGGCATCCGTTTTCCTGCTCCGCAGGGCTCCTTTTTAGCTCGCTAGCCGGCTTTGTCCGTCTGATTTAGCCGGAAACGCTCCTGAGGCCTGCAGAATGGCCTCGCCCAAGAGCAAGTCGCCCAGCAAGAGCCCGAGTAAAAGCCCGGATCGACGGTCGACACAGAGCAAGAGGAGGACATCATCGTCTCCAAAGACGGGCTCTCCGCGGGAGGGCACCACCGTATCCCCCTTGAATGAGTTACAGGCGGACGCGCTTGATGTGCCTCTCGAGGCTGATGTAGGGCCGCATGAATCACCCCTCGCAGACGGAGTAGTGCTGAATGAGTGGCGTAGGACTCCACGGACGGAGAGCCCGTGGTCGACGATGGAGATTCGGCGATAGGAACAGTGAGTTCTGGCTTGACTGGTGTGTTCTCCCAGGCTAATGGTGTATTTTCTCAGCTGAACTCGTCCACAGCATCAATGAGGGATGAGCTCATCCTCCAGAGGAGCGAGCATGGGCGTCAGTATCAGGGTTATATGGAAGCCAGTATGTGTCCCGCCCTCGTGGGAGTCTCGACACTGACATCCGTCACAGAATATGTACTGCCTATGGATGAGGTAATTGAGCGCGCAACACCATGAATGTCTTTCTATACACTGACAACCATCATTCTTCAGCAAGAGACAGAACGCTTAGGTGAGGAAAAGTCCGAAGCTTTACCGCTTGTAACATCCAGACTCATGCCTGTAGACTTTCAATGCCATCTTGTATGGCTGACCCTCGACAAGCGACATGGCTTTGCTCCGATCGAGAAACCCCGGCGTGCCTTAGATGTTGGTTGTGGCACCGGCGTATGGACAATCGAATACGGTGAGCATTGTGCACCGGTGTTCAGTTCAACTTACAGATAGATACTGATTTCCTGCGCGAAGCTGACGATCATCCGGAGACCGAGGTTCTCGGCGTTGATCTGGCACCCGTACAGCCGCAGTGGTAAGAGAAACCCCGGCATTACTCCGAGACAACTCGCCTTCTGACCTGCGTAGTGTCCCGCCGAACCTCCAATTTGAAGTCGACGACTTGGAGCAGCCGTGGAACTTTTCCTACAAGTTTGACTACATTCACTGCCAGCTGATGATTGGCGCATTCCAAGACTGGCCCAAGTTCTTTAGGCAGAGCTTCGAGTACGTCGTGTGCAAACCCCTGCTCACGCCGAGCATCTCTCGCTTACATCCCCCCAGGTTCCTCGAGACGGACGGCTACCTTGAAGTCCACGACATCGACTTCGTCATCCGGTGCGACGACGACACGCTGGCCGAGGACTCGGCCCTGAGCCGCTGGCACAAGCACATGCACGAGGCCGCCAACATCGCCGGCTTCCCGCTCGACGCCATCGCGCACGTGCCCGACATGATGCGCGGCGCGGGCTTCGAGGACGTCGTCGCCCAGCCGGTCAAGTGGCCCATCAACACGTGGCCGCGCGACCCCAAGCACAAGGAGCTCGGGCGCTGGGCCATGGAGAACTTCTCGTGGGGCTGCGAGTCGATGAGCCTGGCCCTGTTCACGCGCGTGCTGGGCTGGACGCACGACGAGGTCCGCGTGCTCATGGCGCTGGTGCGCAGGGACCTGCGCAACAAGAAAATCCACGCCTACTGGAACTTCTGGATCGTGTACGGCAGGAGGCCCGCGCGGTAGGTGGGAAGCGGGCGGGCTGTTGTGGGAGGAGTTCTTTGTTTGGCGATTACTCATGGATGATGATGTCCTGGTTCTGTAGGATCCTTGGATGAAGTCTCAGGCCCTCGGGCTATGGCGTACAGACTACGAAGCGTTGCTTGTTTTAGGTTTACAATGTGACTTTGCGATACGTCGTCCATTGGATATGTCCGAGCTGCAGCTAAACTTTGAGCGGATCTGGCCATGCCAAGTCCGGCCCTGGTCTACGGAGCATGGAGTTACCCCGCGGATCCAGCCCGGGTGGGTCAGTGTCTGATCCTTCAGGGCATCTCGGGATATCGACCATAGTGTGAACGTGCGGGGTGAACCCGGTCATGATAGAGAGTGCCGTGTTTTGACGTTGTACAACCTCGCTTGCTTGATTCACATTGGCCGCCTTTAGCCATGATCGAATCAGAGATGCGTGCAGGGAGCCTTGCGACCTTGTTCAAGTCGCCATTCTCTCAACACAGCAGTGCTGCAGTCCTTGTTCTTCTGGCAGCGCTTGTCCTGCTTCGTTGTTTCAAGAAGACTCATCGGAGCAAAGAAACCATCAACGACTTTCAATTTCCACCCCAGCGACGGTTCTCTCGACACAGCTTGCCTTCATACGCAAAGCCCACCGAACAGGTCGATCAGATACCACAACAGCTCTTGGTTGCCAAAGCGCTGCCTACAACCAGGACACTATCGGTTCACACAAAGGAGACTCTCTATTCACCAACTGGGTTCTCAACTCTCGACATCAAAGCTCTGGGAAGATTTCCCGATTATGCAGTCTTGAGTGGTGTGCGGCATCCTCATGCCCTCGACCCATCATTCGACCTCAACAAGGTCTCGTTTCGACCATTTCGACCATTCAGATGGGGCTACTATCAAACGATGGGTGAGCAGTACCGATAGTATCACAAGATATAAGCTGATTGACCTCTAGCCCTTATGAAGCTGGACCCAGATTACTGGATCGAGCTGGAGCGTAACTACTTGTCCACCATGTCTCAGAGGCAGTCTCTCCTACGACGCTACCCGGACCACATCCTCTTTCATGACCCGGGCTCGGAGCTCGCTTGCCACGAACTGATGGAAATGGTCCTCCAGTTTGTATGCATCCGCTATCCGCGATACTTCTCCTTGGAAAGCGAGTCTACTGTGTTTGTTAACCGTCTCCTCCACACCCGCACGGAGGTATCGTCTGCCCATCCCTTGCGTATCGTCTTCGACAACATCCCGGAGGACTTTACTCTCATGCTGCGCAGTGAAGTCGACGGTCAGTACTACCTCCGTGCTGCGGCCGTCTGCTCGTCAGTGGGGTGGGATATCGCGCAGAAACGAGGTATGGCCTTGTCCGAGATCCACGAGCCGGTGCCGGACTACGCAGCCAAGATGGCGCGCTCAATGGACCGCTTCTTCGCGCGCATGCCAACGGACAAACCGGTGCAGAGGTGCTCGTGGACTCTGGAGGACCACGATCCACTCTTCTCGAGCCCGGCGGCTGAGCTTGGTGTCCAGTGGGAGAGGAGCCGATTCGCCGGGCGAGAAGAACACGTCAAGGTAGAAGATATACACCTCCGCTGTGACATACAGACATTGCGCAGGCTGCCCCTTACAGGGGCGATGGTGTTTAACTTCAAGACTGCTTTCACTCCTCTCACTCAGCTAAGAGACGAGCCGAAAGTACCAGCACTGTTGGCCCGAATTTTGACAGGAGGCAAACATGATCTTGTGACTCATAAGGCTCTCCCGCACGTTAAGGACTTGGCGGTCAGAAATCTAGAGTCTTGGGCCAGAGAGCAGGTGAAAAATGGCAAGGTGCCGGCTGACTGGACAGTGGGGACTCTTGATGAGAGCCCCTTTTTCCCCGGATGGAACGCATGATGACGAAGCCAATCAACTGTGGTTGAGTGTATGGTAGAGATTGGTTACATCTTATATACGCTTGTGCTGAAGGTATTTCACAGAGTTCCGGAGCGTGTGAATGAGCCAATCCCAAGCCAGTGAGTGATGTACATATCGCTAGGGAGTGTTGTGCCCACGTCTGCATTACCCCAACCGTTTGACAGGAGAGAATCTCAAGCGCCCTTATGTGCAACACAGTCTCCTGTCAGCCTTGATGATTATGCGAGCTCAGAATGGTCGCTGGGAGTCATTCTTGATCATGGCCGGTCATCTTCTTTGGTCCGAGCTGAGATAATCATTTTTACACAAACGGCAATTGTGGGCATATCATGAATTATCATCCATTATCTTGTCATATCTTCATTCCATGTTGCCTGACGGAGCCTTTTCTTTCAACACTCTCACTTCGGACTCGAAGCGGCTTTCCTCATTTTACTGATTGGCAGTGATTCATCGAGACAGAGGATGGAGGCTGTGACCGGTGACGGCATATGTGGGTGGAGGGCGGAGGCACGGGGTGTTTCTACATGTTCGTATCTACAACCTCCGTTGGCATTTGCTAGCCACAATCTAAAGTCTAAAGGATTGAGATATTTGACAATAAAAAGGACAGGTTCCCGGCCAACGCCCCAGCCTTTCATCTTCTCTTTCAAACACTCCCATTACACATCATCCAGTCGGCCGTAATGCCTCCCGATCTTTTTCTAGATCTACATCCTAACTTGAGAATGGGCCTAGATTGGCCTCGTCACCCAGTTTCAAATGTTTTGGCATGGGCCTCCCACGACTCTGGCGCAGGGTCCTGAGCAGGCTCCTGAGCGGGCTCCTGCTGGCCTTCGCTGCTTGTTGCTTGCTCCGCTTGCTGCTCTCCACGCTGACGAAGCGCTTCCCATTTACTTGTCTCGTCGAGCCGAAGCTGTCCCGGAAAGAAGATGGGCAGCAGACTTGCACCCACCTGCGGATACTTCGCTTCCAAATCCAGAAGAGCATCCATGACGGTCATCTCGCCAACCACATCTCGGTACTCGAGATGGATTCCCAAAGTACTAGGATCCCTCCGCAAGCCCACAACCACAACATTGTGAATCATCCCGATACCACCAATAGCCAGAAGATAACTAGTGTTCTCGGTCATGCCTGCTGCAGATACCAGTAACCCAATCCACATGATGGAGATGACCGCCAAGATGAACCTAGTATGTGTACTAGAAGGCCTAGGTTGCATTTGAGAACCCACTGCTAGGTCCTCCAAATTCAGGCCCTTGCCATTGCCCAAGATAAGAATTGCGTGCTGCGCGCCATTGCCGCTGGTTAAGATGTAAGAATTGTGGGAGCCTCGTCGGCATGCCCACTTTTCTATCGCCCACTCCGGCAAGGAACCTGTTCCAAGAGCCAGGACGGTACCGCAAACAGTAATTACCAGTATGGACCAATCGTGTTCTCGGATAAGCGGTGCCGTTGCAAGCAGCAATTGGCACGCCGCAACAAAAACACCGCTCCAGTAAGTCACATCATGACGTGGTTTCCCAGCCGGCACCGTTTTGCTTGGTTCGTAGATGGATATACACAGACCTGTTTGCCCAGGCCTGGGAATCTTGGTACCAGGCTTGGCCTTACGTTGCAAGTAATGATGCCTCTCGTCTATCATCCACTCGAGTCTCGACTTGACTCGAGGGTGCATCCATGAATCGTGGTCGCGTAACATGCGTGCAATGACCCAGCTAGAGTTGGTCCTCGTGTATCCATTCTTTGCGGTGATGACTAGACATGACCCTTCCGAATCTCGGGGCATGAGTTTCGTGTCGCCCACACTCGCCAGCAAGGTCGTGATGGCGTACGAGACCCACCCTTTTCCAGGTGATTAGTGATTATGAAAATTGGCGAGAAGGAAAGCCGACATACCAAATGAGAATGTGACGGGCGTAAGTCGACCTCCTGATAACTGACCAAGGGCCTTATTCACAACATCACCACCAAGCAGGAGCAGCACCGAGAAAACGTCCGTTGGATGTGTCCACTGATCTTTGAATGCTTCACCTGGCGGCGTATGCCCAGTGCTATTTGCTCGTGGAGCAATTGGGAAGTCAAAGGTATTGGGTGGCATGGTGACTTGAGCTGTGATGAACATATGGTTGAGAGATCATGACAGTCTTCCAGGAGAAATGGGTGCTCTCCTTCAATCTAGACTGTATTCTTTGGGTAGCAAATGCCTTTGGTCAGCCCAATCAAGGCAGCTGACCGCAAAGGCGAAACAACAGTATGCCTGAACGCGGGGCCACAGCCCCCTTGGCGAATGAGAGCTGACCACGTTAACACACTTGTGCTGCCACTGAGTAGAACTCAATTCTGTAGAAGAAAACGGACTTAAGAATGACCGTCACTTTTGACGAGGGGTCTATCATTGATCGAACTCGATATGGAGCACCTTGTCTTTGAGCCCGATGCCTCAGAGGAGCTTCGGTATGCCTACACAGCGGAGGTACTCGAGACCGATTGGACTCGGTTTGACAACCTTTTTGATTTTGTTGAGCCCTTGACTCCCTGGCTAGGCTTCAGTCACGATTCTATACCCCTCGGCAAGTTCATGGACTATCCCAAGAGTGCTGGCTATGAAATTGCCAAGATTTGGAATGGAGACTTCGGAGACAGTCACAATATGATGAAAACGCAGCCGGCATTCGAAGTCGGGCGGCGAGTCGCGAGTCTGTTACAAGCCTGGCTCTCCATTGGTCTAATGGAATGCGTTATCGGCAAGAAGATCCACGCATCTTACCTTGTGAGGCGTGCCCGTGATGGCACGCAATGCTTGTACACCCGGAATCTTCACTTCTGCCTACACGCTAGAGTCGTTCAGATTCGCCAAGGCCGAGTGGACAAGGCAAAGACCAATGAGGAAATGCAGCAATGGGTTCAAGAGGTGAACAAGTGGACGACGAGATTCACATGTTGGAGCCATCCCAGTTTCAGACCGAAGATGGACGGACCATATCCAGGTTTCATGGACCTCATTGAGTCGATTACGCCAGCTATCGTACGCCTTGCGGGCGTGGTGGAACAGACTCGACTATATGTTCTGCCAGACTACGAACACATGGGCCAGCTCACATGGCAATTGCCTTTCAATGTGGTTGAGAGACGGAGGGACAGTCTTCGAGCACTGGGCTGGTGTCCATTCCAAATCAAATTCATGGAGGACACGCTCACACAGTCTGTGGTAGACTGGATTTTGGCAACACACTTCCAGCAGGATCCCATAGGACACGAAGGCTGCACGGCTATTGCGTGCGCTCGCAGCGACATCGACAGGAAGACCTATCGACAATCCCATTGCTGTCAGGATGAACATCTTTGCGCGAGACTATTCCCAGATATGGGATCGGTGGTGAAGATCCTCAACGCAGATATGATTCCGATTGTTTCTCTGAAACAAGACTCCTCAGGCTCAACACTGCAGGTGAAGGGCAGCTCGCGAAGTGAGGCCGGTCTCTATATAGCGTTCTCCCACGTCTGGGCGGATGGCCTGGGTGGCGCTACGGAGGAAGGACTGCACCGATGCCAAGTTGAGCGGCTAGACAAGCTTTGTCGGTTACATGCCGAGAGCGGCTGGTTCTGGCTCGATGCGATCTGCATACCCAGCAGAGCCACCGTGGGGGATGCGGTGTACTTCAAAGCGTTAGTCGCCATCCGCGATGTGTACCTGCAGGCCAAGACTGTACTCGTGCTGGACAGGACGATAGAGAAATGCGACAGTAAAGCATCTACTGAGAGTCTATATGCGCACATCTACCTGTCCTCCTGGATGCTGAGGATGTGGACATACGAAGAGGCAGTACTAGCGCGAGACCTGGTCTTCGTCCTGGCCGATGGCTTCCACAGGTACAGCTTGCAAACTCAGCCGTGGATGCGACGCACCGTGTGTACGGTCTGGCAGTCGCTGGCGTCGCAACTGTATCGCCTGCGCGTGGTCCCGGGCGAGTTGACAATTGGGCACATCTACCGCGCGTTTCGATATCGACTTACCAATGTCCCAGCAGAAGAGTTTCTGTCTGTCTCAGGAATGCTGGGCCTTGACACAGGCAAATTACTGTCTGTCAAAGGAGAAGAGCGAGCCCGACAATTCTGGCTCATGTTGAGAACCGTACCGCATGACATACCCTTCGCCATGTGTCCCAAAATGACGCTCAACGGATTCAGGTGGGCGCCGGCAAGTATGATGTGGCCTGCGCAGACAGGTATTGACACCGCACCTGGCGGCCGGAAGGCTTTCTGCACTGAAGAAGGCCTTGTAGGAGAGTACGTTGTCTTTGAACTCAATACGACTCTGAAGGGAAGTGCTGGGGAGCGGTCAAGCATCTTCAACATATGGTCGAATGGCTGCAGCGCGCCTGAGCTCGGAGCTTGGGCAGGGCCAGGGCTGCTTCGTGTCTACTGTGTCGACTCGTGGCCAGCCGCACCGGCCACACATGACTTCAACATTCTTTACATGGCAAAGGCATCGGGTGACATTCTCAGCCAAGGTCAGTGGGTCGCTGCGGCTGCTGCTCTTGGGGAAAGAAGGGAATTGGGCGGAGATTCGAGGAGGATCCGGGCTGTCAAGCACATCGATAGAGTCCTCGTTGAGAGGTTACAAAACGCAGAGTTGAGCCAGTCACCGGCTAGTATCATGTTTGAGGGCAGGGAAAGGACCAGCATGCATGCATCCGGGAACAGCAATTTGGAGGAAATATGCATCTCGTGATCTAGTATAGTCCTGGCGGGTAGACGCCATAGGGGTCAATGTTAATACGTTGCATATCAATACGTCTTTCAACCCTAACTGCCTCGATTTGTCAGGCGAGTCCCTGCAACACTTCAGTATGTAGACTAGAGATAAGTACTATGCGACGGAAAAGGCAAGATGTGGCGAGAGAAAGAAAAAGAAATAGAGAACTGGGCGGGCCTGGGTCTGTGGGCGCCCGATATCGTTGCGATATCTGGACGATGCTTATCGATATACACTCAAGCACTCTATGGAGAGGCAGAGTTCCACAAGGCAAAACCCATTTAGGAAGTTCGAACTCTAAGTTAACCACAGTCAGGAACCAGATCTTCGATCAAACGACTTGGAAGAGGAATTGCGCCTCTCGTCCCAAGTCGTGATATGCAGCCCCCACTTGAGTCTACTTAAATTAGACACACTGCCTTGGCAAATCATGGGAGGAAAAGCAAGGAATTGCAACCGTGATAGGTGCATTGAGGCTGGGTTGCTGCTTACCGATACGACGACCCGAATCCAACGGCGGGTGCTTGGCCAGTGCACAAGCTGGGCCGGATTAGGTGCTGTCACCCGGTTTAGCTTGGCCACAGCCATCGTCAGGGGTGGATGGCTTGCTGATCTCTTTCCCCGCCTGGGAGGCAGTAAGATTAGTGTAGGGCTGAGTTGTCATGACCCATGTCATATGGAAAACAACACAACACCTACCCACTATCATTTGTGCCAGATACGAGAAGGCGCACAGCAGAGGCGGCAGATCGGCGGGTATCTCTCTTGTTGAACTCAATCCCTTGCACATGTGGTAACTGTCAGGAAGATCTGTTCCACTGGGACCACCGGAAATAATTATGCTCGAAAGATCTCCACCAAGTACATTCGAACTTTTCGAACTCAACTCCCGAACATATTCAAATTCAAAGAAGCGGGGAGTTTAATGATTGACGCGGAATCAAAACCAATACGCGAAAGTCTGTCAGGAAAAGGGCCGGAATGAGACTGTTCAAATTCGGGAGGAACGTGATCAATGCGTTTGGAGAAATAACAAAAACTTCCTAGTGGCCCACAATGTCAGACACTTGAGGGCCCTGGTCCGTGACACTAGGACCAGGACTTGTCCAGTAGGGATTATCATCTTTTGCAACGCTAGTTCGCAGATGTGACCTTGGAAGCATTGCATCCATGAAGGGCGGCAACTCATTTTGGCACTTTTAAACTAGCGCTTATGTGACCTGCTGCGCCGTGCTTGCTGTTGTTGCAGCTGTACCAACAGGATTGGTACACGTTTGCCCTGCCCCTTGTACTCTGATCTGCAGCCTAGTCGAATACCTACGTTCAATCTGACCGAGCACAAGACGAGTCGTGACTCGCTTGCGTCCGAGCTCGGTATCTTGGCCTCAATCGTCTTTCTCATTGGGATGTCGCCCGTTATTCTATGCTGATCTAAATACATTAGCTTTAGAAAAGAACACGCTTGATGACCAACTGTTCTCTTGCCCAAGGCTGCGAATCAGATCATGGCGCGCCGTCCAAAACAGGGATCCACCCGGCAGACTGCAGGGAGTACCCGTCGCGAGCTATGCTGGCTACCCATAATCATGGAAGCCAATAAGGGGCGTGCAGATCTGAGAGTGATTGAGATCAAGAGGCACTGCTTTGGGCAAGGTGTTGGGGCAGTGGACCCCAGTACATTCCTAGACCCACCGTTCAGCTTCTCAAAGAGTTGACGTATGAGAGCATGATGATGAGCAGACCTTGCAGACTGCAGCCGAGGGACCGGCCCTGGAGACTAGACACCAGCAAGATGAGATACGGAGTATTTGAGTGCTGGATGTCGCACTCATGGCCATGAAAGGCCAAGGAGGCTCTGCTCTACCCAATCTCTTGCCATCCCACGAGCACTCGCTTGTGAGCTTGTGAGAGTGTTTGTCCTCCGATCCTTGGGCCAACATGCGTCTTCTCAGCGGTATCGTGGCCTTCTGGCCCGTTGCTCTCCTCCTGTTGGTAGTCTCTGCGAGCCCGTTGCCGGACTGCAATGGCGAGCCTCGCAAGTTCGAGTTGACTCTGACATGGGAGAAACATGCTCCCGATGGTTTCGAGAGGGAAATGGCCCTCATCAACGGGGGATTTCCCGGCCCATTGATGGAGATCAACGAGGGGGATGATGTCGAGGTGCTCGTTCACAACAAAATGCCGTACAATACCACCATCCACTTCCACGGTAGGTATGTCTGCAGTTCACCTCAACAGAGCATTGTGTACTGATGAAGTGAGCAGGCATTGAAATGGAGGGAACACCTTGGTCGGATGGCGTGCCCGGTCTCACACAGCGGCAGATCAAGCCCGGTAACAGCTTTGTGTACAAGTGGAAAGCAACCCAGTACGGCAGCTACTGGTATCACGCTCACCAGCGAGGCCAGATAGACGATGGTCTTTACGGGCCGCTGGTCATTCACCCCAGGAAGACCGACCCCAAACCCTTCAGCCTCATTACCGAAGACCCCAAAATCCTGAAGGCAATTATCAAGGCTGAGGAGGATGCCAAGCCTCTGGTCCTCTCCGACTTGAGGCACGTCACTTCCGAGGAGAATTGGAAGATTGAGATTGCCGCAGGGATCGAGACACCCTGTTATGACTCCATCCTAATCAATGGAAAGGGCCGTGTTCAATGCTGGAGCAAGGAGAAGATTGCGTCGCTCCTTACACCAGACCAGAAGACCTTCCTAAAGCTTGGTAACGAGACTGCCCTAACTGCCAAGGCGTGAGTAAAGAAAGAGAAAATCTGATATCCCAACTTGCTAATGCTCAACAGGTGTCTTTCTGGCAATATAATTGGCAATGTACTTGCGGCGGGCTTGCCAACCAACCTTTCAGCTGTGCCTCCCGAGATCTTTGACGTTTGCACGCCCACCAATGCCCCACAGGAGGTCATCGAGGTCACTAAGTCGAAGTGCAGCCAGGATAAATGGGTCGCCTTCAATGTCATCGCCACCTTTGGCCTCATCACCGGTAGTTTTTCGATCGACGGCCACCCCATGTTCGTCTATGCCGTGGACGGCTCCTACATCGAGCCCCAACTGGTTCATGCCATCACAGTCACCAACGGTGACCGTTTCTCTGTGATGGTCAAGGTTGACACAGCCGGAGACTACCCGATCCGTATCGCTTCAACCGCCACGGCGCAGATGATCACTGGCGTAGCCACGCTTTCCATCCGTGACACAAAGGAAGCCGGCGCCAATGCTACCTCCACCGGGGTGGAGCCCTACATCAATGACGTGGGCCTCAACACAACCTCTGACGTTGTCTTCTTCAACCAGGGCGCCACCAGGTCCTTCCCTCCAGACGTGATAAGCCCCGTCGCTGACCGCACCTTCAAGCTGTCGATGAAGGTCGCCGGCGCCAGCTACAACTGGGCCCTCAACAGTACCATCTACCCGATGCAGTTGGACAACGAGGCACCGCTGCTCTTCGAGCCGGACCCGTCGCGCCACAATAACGTCACCATCTCGACATGCTACGGCGAATGGGTCGACCTCGTCTTCGTGGCCGTCAGCTTCCCCATGCCACCGCACCCTATCCACAAGCACGGCAACAAGATGTGGCTCCTCGGCCATGGCGATGGCGAGTTCCCCTACGCGAGCGTGGCCGAGGCGGCCAAGGCGATGCCGGGCAGTTTCAACCTCGTTAACCCGCCCAAGAGGGACGGGCTGTCGACGCCGCCGGCTACCACGGGTCCGGCATGGATGGCTGTGCGGTATCACGTCACGAACCCCGGTGCTTGGTTCCTCCACTGTCACATCCAGAGTCACCTGCTCGGCGGCATGAGCATGGCTATTCAGGACGGTGTTGACCGGTGGCCGGTCGTTCCGAAGGAGTATCTGGACTACCATTGAGGCGTTCAGTTCGCCCACGGGGATCACTTAAATTTGTTCAACATTAATCCAAACCCCCCTTCTAGCGAGTCAGTATTGCTATACCCTCTAAACGTTTCTATTAGCAAGCTATCTATACACACTGGCCTATGGTGCCTTTCCATCCGGATCAATTGTAACATTGTCTAATACCAATGATGTTTCCACGTTACAGTCAGAACTATCGTTCATGAAGTCCGAAGTACAGTCCGAACCAATCAAACCGCCACCATCAAGGTTCTTATTCTCGGACTGGAGGCCAGCCTCCCCAGTGTAGACACAAGAGTCCGACTGAAGAATGTCTCCGAAAAGTTCCCGGCTCTTCTCTACCGTATTAAGACAAGAACGCAGGAGATGCCAAAACCACACAGCCATCGATTTTTATGTCTTTCGCCCACTCGAAAACCAAAACAATCAATCATTATGACTAGCGTTTCGTTCAACTCCATGGCCGCCAGCTACGAGCGTATGGCTGGCGGAGCCACTCGAGAACTGATCGAGCGCGCCCTACCACTCCTACCGCCCATTACGTCTAGCTCTGTCGTCCTGGACAACGCCTGCGGCACCGGCCTGGCCTCCTCCGCCGTCCTTCGTCTCGCGACCCCAGCTACCCTCCACGCCATCGATGCCGCGCCCGCCATGGTCGAAATCGCGGCAGGCGTCCTGCCGCCCACTGTACACACGGCCGTGATGCCGGGCGAGTCGCTCTCTTTCCCGGACGGGACTTTCACTCATTCGCTCACAAACCTGGGCCTCTTTGCCTTCACCGACCCTGCGAAGGGCGCCCGCGAAATTCATCGCACGCTGCGGGACGGCGGCGTCGCACTCGTCACGGGGTGGGCTTCGCACGCGCACTTGGACATCGTGGAACGCGTGCAAAAGACACTGCGGCCTGGGGTGGCGCCGCGCTCGTTCCCCATTTCCGAGGACTGGTTAAGGGTGGAGACGTACAAGCGGACGCTGGAGGGTGCTGGGTTTGGTAACGTGGAGGTCACTACCCGTGAAGTGTGCTGGGCTGCGGAGAGCCTGGATGATCTCGTGGACCTGCTTCTTGGTGTTCTGGAGAAGATGATTGCTGAAGACTTGACCGAGGGAGAGATGGCCAATGGTCGCAAACTCGCTCGAGAGTACGCCGAGCCAGAGGTACGAAAGATGACCAGGCCTGGAGGTGGAGAGGTGCTGGGTATTTCTTTGACCGGTATTGTGGCTATTTGTCGGAAGTGAAGGAAAGGTGTGAGGAGATGCGTAATGCTACTGAGCTCAAATAGGAGATACTGCAAAGCAATTAAAAGGTCATCTAAGTGGTGGAAGAACCTTGTTATAATGACGGCGGTCCCGTGGAGCCGGGAACGCGAGTAGCACGCAGCTACGTCTTGCCACCTGGTTGGTCCCTAGGCTTCTTATTCTTAAGATATCCTTGACATGCTCCAAACCACAGTTACCAACGCCTTTTGTATGGCTGATACCCCGTGCATCTTTGGTGAGCATGAAATTTTATCCAAAGAATGGAAGGAGAGAGCTACAATCCGGTCAAGGAACGTCTACACAAGATTACATGCACAAACTATTAGTCTGTCGAGAACTATTCCATTACGAGCAGATCTAACTTTCATATATACAACGCCAATATCAAGGAACTAAAGATTGCTCGAGTATGTCCTAGGTGATTTAATGACAGGAAAGCGAATTTCGGGTTTCAAGATTGTGTTCATTCACTTACACGGGGGACGGATCACTGCATCGATGCCCTTCGGCAGGCTTTGCTGTGTAACGCGGACGTCAGCCTGATCAGCTGGAGGTGGATGAGCTCGTCAATCATGGAGCCTGTGATGCAGAACATGCACCAGTGCAGGAACTTCACAAGATTCCAGGAATGGGCCTTCTCACGCCACGATCTGGGAAACCGTCGGCAACACGTCGAGAATGGTAAGATTGTCGACTACTCACACCTCCCCAACCCAGAAGAAGAGGTCAAATGGCCAGAGGGATGGGCTAAGACAGCTGAAGATCTTTGAAACTAGTACATCACAGCAGAAATAGGCGGCAGATCGATTCATGTCCAGCAGCAAGTAGTGCATATTATAAGTCCATCGTATACATGCCTCTCGAATGTCTCCTTCTGCCAACTGCAATCTTAGTAGTTTTTCTTTTTTTAAACTATGATTGTACAGAAAGATCTGAAAGGTGAGGCGGTCCCGAATTCAACGGACTTGGCTTGTGAGCACCGGTCTTGTGTCCTTCTATGAATTACGAATTACTGATCGTCTGAGACACCTTCCCGCAATCCGTGAATAAATATACTGAGTAATCAACGAGTGTATTGGCAGAGCTAAAAACCAATGAGCCGTATTTCAAACTACATACCCCCTTCGCAAAATGTGTGTCCCTTGTAATAGCATTGCTACGTCCATTCTGAAACTTTCGTAACGATAATAGGTTTCAAACCCCATATGCAATCAGAAAGCTCCGCACTTGTTGCTCTCAATGCCTCCGGTAAGCTTCATCTGACGGATGGCGGATTTCTGAGAGGCAGAGAAAGGGGACATGATGCCCGCCGACAGCGTCTCATCCTTGAAGCTGTCGTAGACCTGAAAGTTGATGGCATTCTCCCCAGCAAGGAACAAGCCCTGCACGCCTCCGAGGTAGCAGTTGACCGAGTTGTAAATGTCTTGGAACTCGAGATTGTCAGTGGGCGATCCCCAACTCCATTCAGGGAACGAAGCGCTCTCCACAGCCTGGACCTCAAAGTCGATGCCACCAGACTTGAAGTAAAAGTTGTTGTTCGTGAGCGGGTTCTGGCGGCGCTGCTTGTCGTTCGGGTCGAAGCCATCGCCTAGACCAAGCCTGAAGGTACCCTTGCCCTCCGCATCACGGCCCATAAACGTGAAGTGATAGTCCTGGTTGCCAGCCTTGATGCCAAAAACTTCTCTGGGCGCAGCAGGCCCAGAGTCGCGCTTTGCAAGGTCTTCATCGTCCCAAGAGCCAATGTGGCGGACTTCGCTCTTGAGGCCTTCTGACAGATCACGTACCCTGTAGAGAAGATTAGTATTAGTGGGCATTGCGATCCCCTACGCACCCCATATTTGTCAACTCACATGTTGCTGACCCACTCATCCCGCTTGTTGATTCCCGGGACGTGCCACCCGTTGTCGGTCAGTCTCTGCGCAAGCTGGCCACGCCAGATGGCTCCCTGGTAAACAAGGGTTACAATGGCAATGACTTGAGTGATGGCTCCAAAGACACATTGAATGCCGTTGCCAGTCTCCTCCGTGAACTGGCTGCAGGAGTCGACAAGGCCATACCACGTCACCGGAGCCGCAACCACAGTGTAGACCCTCAGACCCATGAAGAGATATCTCGCAAAGTCGCCAGGGTCGTCACGGATGGCCACTTCGCCGCTTGAGCGTGCTGCCAACTCACTGCTTTCGGCGCTGCGGCTTGTCTTTACAGCCGCTTTCCTCTGGTCAGCATATGCCGCGGGTGTAGGGCAAAGGGATGATGGGTTCCGTCATACTGATATTTGGCCAGCCTTCTCGAAGCTCAGGCAAGCGGCCATCATACTGAATGCTTTCACGCCTCTTGAGTGCTTCGTCAATGAGCTGTGTGTTTCTCGTGACAAATTCCGAGAATGAGTCGGCATTCAAGTCCCTTGGAGCTTGCTCTCTGGTCCCCGGGACCAATGCCAAGATGGGGAGGACAAGTGAACCGAGCAAGAACGCCTGAGACACCTTCATGTTGGATTATAATTGTGCTTTTGAAATATAGATTGATTGAATGGTAATTGCAGAGCTTGGTGATGAGATGATCCATTCTATTCAACTCAAAAACACGCCCGGAAACACACACATCTTATATCACGCCAAGACAGGCCTTCTCTCACTCGTGAGCGAGGGTATAACGCATCAAACTCTCATCAGAGGTGTAGGAGCAGCCCCCAACATAGCAGCAGGGCATTGCACTTGAATGCATCTCCATTCTGTGCATCCCAAATCTCTCGTGAGATGGGGGCTGAGATGAGCTGCGCACATGCAGAGGAGACTCTGATGATATCGGACGTAGGTGATATTTGCCTTTTCTCTGATGGCCATTCTGCCGCGATTGGACGGCGTTCATGAGCTGTGCTTGTTGATCCTCAGAGACTAGAGAGTTGAGGTTGCAATGATGGGTAGGGTAGGGGTAAGACTCCGTAGGACGCCCGCGCCTTTTCCCCAGCATTGTGCAACCCGCCGATGTAATCTTTTAATAGCCAAGCTTCTTAGAGGCCAGCAGACTGCAGCACGGGAGGCTGTGCTTACCAGCGGTGTGGCTGCGGGAGCCCTTGCATCCCTGATCAACCAATGAAATGCCTACCGCCCCCAACATAAGCTGCATGAGGGGCACAGATTTGATCATGCTGCGCTTCGCCAGGTTTCGCTCGCGTGAGATCAGTCAAAACAAGCTTCAACAAGCTTTTCTACATCGACTTGGCAAGCGCGGCCCTCGAGCGTATCCGAGCGTGTTCATTGGAAAGAAGACGCGCCCTTCCAGTTTGTCGCTTGGTGGACGGTCAGACTCTTGAAGTTGGTGCCGTCTGCACGCTCTGCTACCATTCTCCCACGGCTTGTCCTCCAACCTTCCCATCCTTGTCTTCCCATTTTTATTGCTTGATCTCTCTTTTTCGATCCTCTGACCGAGTCAGAGTCAGCCTTTGCCAGATTCACCAACACGTTCTCAATCGGCCTGATATGCCTTCCCCTCAGCATGCAGATCCCGGCGGTAAGCAATGAGCAATGATTGTGGATCTCCGAAACGATCTGTTCTGACATTCTGCAGCCAAGGGCGCCCCGGCGATCACCAGCTCCCTCACCACGAAGAAGGGCCTCAGTCAGTTCATCACAGTCCATCCGGGAGTCCGACTCATGAGCTGACCAGAACTAGCAACTGCTACAGGTATACGGGTCTGGTTTGCATACTGCGCTCTGTGCCAAATTTTGAGTACCTACCGTGCCTACGAGATTTACCAGTGTTACGAGGGGTGGGAAGGCCTGAGCCGAAAAGACCAATTTTTCTTTGCTTGGGGGATTGGCACGACTATACTTATGGCGCTTTTCACTATTGCATATGTGGCGTTTGAAATCAGGGAGAGATCAGCGAAAACGAGGCCTAAGGCATGATTCGTTACTAAGATAGCAGAGGGAAACGGCGCCGACCTATTCAATGGCAAGCTTGTGGCTACTATGTCACACTCAATCTCTTGTCTAAATCTATCTGTTGTCTAGACTGAGGGACTTGTTTGTTTAGCTCCAGCCGCACCCATTCCTCCACAGAGGTTGGCTCTCGACCAAGAAGCCACCGCATGATATTGGGACTAACTCTCAGTCCGCGACGGTTGGAAAACAGGATGATCCTTTCCATCTCATCTTGGGTGATATCGGGCCGAATATCTCCAGTGTTTGCTGCAGCCGTTGGCGAACCTTGGCTGCCGTCCAGTTCCTTCGTGAACAGCCAGCCGAGAACGCTCTGTGTTGCGGTCTCGAGCGGTACTACCTTGGCCTTGATATCTTTCTCTATCATCTGCTCAATGATTCTGATGACAACCCCGTCCGACCTGGGCATGGTCGAGGTCAGCTGGTACTGTGCAAAGTAGTGTTTCTCGCCCTCGTGGAGCACTTTGGCCGCTGCTTCCCCCAAGTCTCTCAGTGCGATCAAGCTGTTCTGCATGTCCGGGTTCCAGCGGTATTCAAAGTGTGGCTCATCCTGGGCAGCCAACTCGGCAACAGGGTACGCGTCCATGAAGTTGGACGGCTGCAAGATCGTCCAGTTGATAGGACTCAGATAGAGACGCTCCTCAACGCGGCACTTGAGGTCGTGCTGCATGAGATAGCGGATCTGCGTGCCGGCGACAGTACTAAGAACAAAATGTCGAGGTCGCGGATTCGCAGAGACCGCGGCGTCGATCATGTTGAGTCCCATCTCTAGCTCGCGCGAATGAAGAGAAGGGCCGACATGATAGATGACTGAGGCTCCGGCCACGAGATCTTGGCAGGATGACAAGGATGTGAGCTCGACCACGACGACCTCTGCCTTTGGGTACTTCTCCTTCAACTTCGCGGCGGAAGATCCAGAGTGCGCTGCAAGGCGGAGCTGGAACTTGCCCTTGTCATAAACCTGAGGGATGAGGTGGGAGCATTGCTTGCCGCTGGGGCAGGTGATGACAAGGATTTCGGACATGCTGAAAGGTGTGATGTGCCAAGTAAGTCACTGGAAGCCACGATACGGTTCAGATGTTCACCATACAGCTTAATACGGGGTTATTGAATAGCCATCTTCGAGGATTTAGATCTACTCTCATATACCAAGAGGACGGAAGTATCGGTACGCGGTTGCGGAGTTTACCTCCTGATATGATCGAGCGACCCAAGTGATTACGCATCAATCTTTTGCGTGAACGAATTGGCCCTAGTTTTCGCCATGTCAACAAAGTTGAAAGGAGTAATCATTAGATAATCTTGTCTGCAGCAGGATTGTCTCGCGCGTTTCTTCGCGTTAAGTCCGGAGGCCTAGCCGATGCAACGCAGCACTGTAAGATGGCTAAGTGGCTAGACTATCCTCGAAGACCTACTTGGTCGAGAGATTCCCCAAATTCTCAGCGAAGCAATCCGGGGGATTTATTCAATCTTAGAAGGAGGATGAAAGAACATTAGATTCGACCCTCCGAAAGATTAGATGGCGCAGGTTCGCGCGTTGAAGAAGGGTTGATTGAGCAAAGCCTCCACAAACCCGACAATACAAATCACTCCATGTCAGAAATAACGATGCGTCGATATGGCTATCAATTTATCACACCTGATAACACATGTCCATTACAACTGTCAGGAGAGATGTTGACAAGAAGCTTGGATGACGGATCGACGAATCTGTCGCCGGGAATAATGACGTCACGAAACTCCGGCTCGGGTGACGTCAAAATCTATCCAGAGTTTCATGTCACCATCACCCAAGCTACGTAAATACAAATACAAGCCACTGACCAAGATCAAGACCGCCAGCGACTTTTCCTCAGAATTCATTCCACCAAAACACCAACTCAAAATGGCGAGTAATTGCAACCAAACCACGACCGCCGCTGGCACCACGGCGCCTGGTTCCGGCGTGCCCACCTCCGGCGCTACAGCGGGCGCCCCCTCGGCACATCCGAACACGGGGGAGCGCACCGCTCAGGGCATCAAGGGTGTCTTTGCCCAAGGACACGTGAGTTGCACACCAGCCACTGTTCATGGCCCAGGTACAAAGCTGACCAGGCCTTCAGGGCATCGGCGAGTCGCTTCGGGGGAACATCAACTCGGCGATCGACACCCTCACCGGGGATCATACCGAGAAGGCGAAGGACGAGGAAGTGGCTCGGGGCGGTTTTAGGGAATTTGCCAACAAGGAGTTTGAGAAGAAGGGCACGACGGATAAGGCATTGTGATTGAGAATACGCATCTCAACTGACTGTACGAAGTCCACTGTCAGCACTGTTCCAGAAACAGTAAATTTCTTAGCGGGCGGAACCCCGAGCTACCATCAGAACGCTGCATTTTGATGACTTGGCAGTGTAATCCTATGTATTTATTATTCAGAATACACGTAAGCTGAAATGACCAAGGATCCCTTAAGCCTCCATACATGTATGATGAACTCTAATGATACCTAGCCACCGTATCCGTTCGACTGATGAACAAGGACCATATTAAGTCTTCGGTAGCAGCATCGAAAGTGGGGCCGAATGATCCTGACCGGAGTTGTATGACAGACACCAGATCTTCTTCATCGCTCATGAATACCATCGCCCATTCTGACATTGTGACCGCACAGGTGCAGACAGAGCTTCAACATAAGCAGTGGCATTCAGTCAACCCTCGCATGCTTTAGTCCGTTTACATTTCCGGTTGTTTCAGTCCTTCATCGGCATGGTCTCGGCGGCTGCCTGATGACAAAGCAGAGGCGGACTTCCGCCAGACCTGGTTCACACAGTGGCCTACCCGGGGCCATCATTTTCTTCATGAGAAGAGGTCCACCGCCCCATGGGATCATCTCCTCCGCTTCCACTCCCATTTTCCATTGCAAGGAGACCAAATGATGCGTTCCATATCCGCCCTCGAGAGGACCAACCCCCCGCCGCGGCGGAAGTCCTGCGCTGCCTGCATCAAGGCCAAGCGCCGTTGCGACAACGGGCAGCCAGCGTGCCTGCGATGCAGCCGGAGGCGTATCACCTGCCAGTACCCTTCCAACTCTACAGGCGGAACAGGTATGGCCACCGCCCCAGCTACCCCAGGGGCGGAGATCACCGCCCTAGTTCCCAGTGCGCAGGTCCCAAGCTCTGACGCTGTCGCGGAGAACCATATGCCGACATGGACGCAGCCGCAAGACTCCAGGCCTTCATACGCCACCGCACCACTGCAGGATATGGCGGACACGGATAATCTGTCAAACGCCGAGATACTATGGGACTTTCTGCCACCGACGACCGTGACCCTCGGCGGCCACTCGGCCAGTGCCAGCCTCACACCCGCGGCGCAGCAGCCGACGCCCGCGCCGCCGGCGTTTAGCGTCCTGTCCAACTCGTCCACCCTGAGGACGGTCGAAATCGTCGCCAAGATCATCGACACGCGCCTGCTGTACGGCCTCGAGGCGATCAAGGCCGCCCCGCGGCAGATGGTCCTCGAGATGCAGACGCCCTGGGCGCACGCGTCGCTGTACCGCGAAGGGATGCCGCGCTGCATGCTCGACGCCGTCGGCTGCTGCGCGCTGTACATGGCCAAGACCGAGGCCAACGCGGCCGTCGTGTTCAGCGCCATCGACGCGCGCGTGCGCGACATCGCCGGGGAGCCCGAGCCCGCTGCGCCCGCCGAGAAGCTCGCGCGCGCGCAGGCGCTGCTGCTGTACTACATCATCCGCGCGTTCGACGGGGACATCAGCGCCCGCGCCGCGGCGGAGCGGTCGCGCCCGGCGCTCGAGAACGCGACGCTGTCGCTGCTGTCGTACATGACGTTCGATCGGCCCGACGGGGAGACGTCGTGCGGCGGCGGCGATGGGGGTGCCGGCGGTGGTGGGGCACTGACGGAGCGGCGCGTCCTGCCGCTGCACCCCATCGGCCCGACGCGCGACTTCTGGGCCTCGTGGGTGCTCATGGAGTCGACGCGCCGGACGTTCCTCACGACCTTTATCACGCTGCAGATGTACCGCCTGCTCGCGGGCGACCTGCCGCTCGACTGCGACCCGAACCTGTACCTGTGCCACTCGTGGACGCTGTCGGCGCACCTGTGGACGGCGGCCGACGCCGTCGACTTCGCCGTCGCGTGGCGCGACCGGCGGCACTTTGTGTCGACGGCGACGAACCTGGCCCGGATCATCACCGAGGCGCAGCCCGACGACTACGACACGTTTGGCAAGATTGTGCTGACGGGGTCGCTGGGGATCGAGGAGTCTAAAGGGCTGTTTGCTAGCCGTGGAGGCGTGTTGTGAGTATTAGGAAGAGGAATAGGTAGAGTCCTGCTTCGGGCCTTTTGGTCATTTAGATTCAGGGCGTTGTTCACATCACAGGTTCATAGAGGCGTCAGGTCGGGGTTAGACATCTCATTGCATCCGCTCAGCTACATCTCCCCCAGCCACACCTTCTTAGCTACATGCCCACCTCTCCGCCCTCCTTCAGCTTCCTAGTGACAGAAAGTCTCTGTAGCAGACATATGGTTGGGTGCAGAATTAAGGCAGAGTAGCGCCGTCAGTCCATCCATTCTCATAGACTCTCTCTCGGGCCCGCCCGTTCTGGTCCTGGTAGTAGACCCGAAGCTATGGAAGAACACCATTGGTTAACCAAAGTCTAGGTAACACTATGAAAGGCCGCTACTTACATGGGCGCCGTCGTTGACAGCAGTGACGCCGGAGCCGGGCATGGCAGTGGCGCCGATGTAGCTGGGGCCGTTCCAGCCGCTGCCGTCGAACTGCCACTCGCGGACCTGGCCGCTGTTGTCGACGGCGTAGACGCGGATGTGGCCCAGGCCGTTCCAGTTGATGGCGGCCGAAGGGGCAGACCACTGAGCGAAGGTCGAGCTCACTTGGAGCCTTGACGTTGTGTCAGTAAAATAGCCACACTCCCAGGTCAATCAGGGGACATTATCGTACAGGGCAGCGCCGAGAAAGAAGGCAGGCTTCATGTTGGATATTGAGTTTGGTGTGTTTGGATTTGTTTGGTTTGGCGTTTGATAGATGGGATGAAGATGGGATGAGATGAAAAGCTCTGAGCTGTCGAACAACGGCGCGACATGGTCATATTTATACCCGAATCTAAACCTACAACTGTCGTATCTTGTAGACCCATAGCAATCTTTTGCAAGGAGTACCATTCACTTTCATAGCTGAGTTGTTGAGCCGGCCTAGAGAAGCAAGCAGTCGCTCAGCTGTCGTGTCCCCGCCGGAGAGTCTCAGTTCTTCCGCTTTTGGGACCGTGAGGTGATACGAACTGGCTCGGTCCCAAGAACCCAATAGCCTATACAGCGCGGCTGCGGTGATCATCGTGAGCACAAAAGCTGTTCAACCTCACTTACCTGCGTTGGTTGTCTTGGGATCAGCCAGCCAGAAAGCTTGGAATCTTACATCAGCTACTGCATAGAGAATATTGCATTTGGAACTTGCATTGCATCGAAATGCATCGTCAGTCTGCTTGCCGAGTGCTGGCATAGACCCCTCGCGACAACGGTTCGGAGTCGCACGAAATAATGGTGCGATGGTGGTACAACTGCGATATCCGGTTCATATGCATGCAAGTATACACCGAACCGTGTCTACAAACCTGCTCAACCTGCGCTAGGGCCGGCCGAGGGCTCCTAGCGAGACGGGCCATCCAGAGCATACCGCTTCGTGGTAGCCGCTCGCATCGCTCTGGCCGTTGGTGTCGCGCCTTACGTAAAGGGAACCCGATACTTTCATACCTTGTGTGCTGGTGTGCCGTTGAGATGCAGTGCTTGGCACGGATTACCGTTGCCCAAACCAGGCCGTGATCAGGCCGTGTCCGACGCGCCACAATGCGGTTGACGAGACGGCATGTATAGACTCAACGTCGCTTAGGTCGAAAAGTGCACATCTACTGCGACATACATATGCCGACAGGAGCTGAGAGTTCTTATTGAGGAATAGCACAGTCACAGGGCTGGGTCTTGGCGATGACTGCATAAAGCTGCATGAGGGTGCGGCCGTTGAAGAGCGGGGGAACGCAAGCCACGGAGGTTCACCGCCAATCGTGAGCCGCCATTCAGCTGAATTCTTTCCCCGGATTGCATCTTCTCAGGCCCGACTCGGCTTCGAATACACCAAGGATGCTTCACATAAGTTGAAGGTGGACCGTTGAAGAGGTGGATCCGCTACGTCAATGATGTTCTAGGCCTTTGCACATCAAATGATCTGGACAATTTCCAAGGTTGTTCCGATCCGGTGTCCTCGAGCAGGCTCAACTCATGTGGTGCTGACTGGACTCCTGTGGTCATAAACCAAGGCCTACACTTTGCCTTCGCCAGATTCAGGTCATCCCAAAGACCTTCTATCGGGGAACATGTGCAGGCCATCTCCAATACCATCACGGAGGATAAGCTTAGTCAGTCGATACCAGGGACGCGGCTGTATCCGAAAGAGCCCTTGTACGGGCTTCAATCCCCAGCCTTCTTGGATGCAAATACGACTGACGGAAGTTCTGTGCCTGAAGATCAGTAGTCTCGAGTCATTCCCGCGAGACTCTTGTCTCTGCTTACTCACCAGCATGGCACACCGAACATGACTGGGTCGAATTCCAGTGAGCTAACTGCATGCTAGCTAGCCCAGGCACTGGCTCACTCTTCCCCAGAAAGCCAAGTGTGGTGTTGGAATGCTCAACGGCGCCTCCCTGGAATGTAAGCTCCGGTAGTGCCTCTCCCAGCCCCTTGGAGGCATGGCACTAGTAAGTCAATGGACCAGTGACAGGGAGTGCCTGACGCCAAAAGCTTCCGGTGTGCTCATGACATGAGTTTTAACACCATGGGATGGGGCACGGGACCTCCCAAAGTAGGCCAGAGCGTTGCCCCAACGGTGTGTTGTCATATTTGGCTCGCTGCCTTGATCTTCGCCCTGCCCTGGGCGTACCGCATCAGATTAAGAGCACCCGCACGACATCATGACCATGACTATGTCTTCACAGCCAATCACAGCATGACTCGTACGCTCGACCACCGGCTGATCGTGGCTTCTGGTTGGACGTTGAGCCGTTGTGGCTGCCGTTGGTGGCTGGGATTGGCGGGTGACGTCACGATGAAAGGCGCCCGTCCGTCATATCACCTTTCTGTAGATAAGGCAAGCCACAGCCTGCGGGCGCGCAAGAAAAGCAGGCTTGCTTCATGACATAACATGACCAAAGGCATACTGCAATTTGCTTGGAATCCTGAAACAAAGGAGGCCCTTTCTGGCGTTCACTCCATAAAAGAGATTGATTCCATCCTAGGGACAGACTGCATATCTGCTCCTCAGCCCATCGCATCGCATAATATCGCATCACCTCTCGAATAACAACAAGAACACCTCCAGTCAGCAGTCCATCACCCTCTTCCACTCACGACCGCAATCATGTCGCACCTCTTCTCCGCCGTCGAGGACCTCTTCAAGTCCTTCTACGAAATGATCGCTGCCGTCGTCGGCACCATCGTCCACCTCGGCCAGACCTTCGTCATGGCCATCGTCAACTTCTTCACGTCGATCGTGCGCCTCGTCACGGACGTGCTCAGCGGCGTGGTCGACGTCGCTGGTGGAGTGGGCAAGTTTATCGCCGGTACGTTCATCTCTATTGCTCATTCTCTCGCGAACGCGTCTACTCACATTCACTACGATCTAGGCAACATCGTCATCCTCGGTATCGTCGCTACCGGCGGCTTCCTCTACATCCGCGCCCAGCAGCAGGGTCGTCGCCCTGCCGCCGCAACCACGAAGAAGACCAACTGAGGACAATAGGGGCCGCGAGCTGCTTATTGGTTTTGGGACTAGGGAAGGATGTTCAATTTCTCTGACTTTCGAAGGAACTGGAGCGCAGGCAAGGGCGCAACATCACGAGGCGTTACGGATTAGGTCAGAATAGCAACAATAAATACCCCCGACTGTTAGTATTAGTACACTTGATCACAGTTTGACACGGATAAATTCAGATGTGACACGTTTTCGGTACATCCGTGCCACTGTCTTGCTTTACTTGTGGGTAGTCCATCCAAAGGCTTCCCGGCCAACGCCATGCCAAGCCTCTGAAATTCTCCGATACTCCAGCATGTTTGCCCTGTGCCGTTGGAATGTCACTGCCTGAACGTGGTTCATGGTCGCTAACGATGGGAGCTAGTGCAAGCGAATGCGCGTGGGCGCCCGAACCCGGGATCGCTAGAATGCCGTGGTGGTGGCTTCGAACCATGCCTGGTCGAGACTTGGTTCTGTTCCTGATCTACGTGGCCATCACACCGCGATCGGCACATGCTTGGGCTTGCTGGTGCCGGTTGTCTTATTTATCGATTGCGCGGCCATCGCGATCACACCCAGCAAAGACTGGCTTGCCTGCTCTTCCTCTGGCAGCTAATCTAGAATGACCAGACCATGATTGGAGTGACATGCCGAAGTCCCGACTGCAGATACTCGTTCGCTGCGATTCCCTCGGCCATTTTTGATGTCACGAGTGGTGGTTGTGCCATCTCCCGGCAGCATACCAATCTGGATAATTTGCGGGCTGTCTTCCAGCTTCATCATCCTCCGCCGTGTCATTGGGCCGGGCCAAGCGCGGGAACACCATTACGGCCCTCCCTATCATTATCATGTACCCCAGAATGCCCAGATCCGGAAGGCGATGCCAAGAAAAGCTTTCCTAGATGTCGAAGGATGCATGGCTTTCGGCATTTGTAGTATGAGAAGGTTTTGTAAGTCGGGGATAACAAGTGTGTTAATGAGAGTGCAAAAGGGATAAAACAAACAGATAGCCAGAGTCTAAGCCGAGGTTGGTCTTGATCTTTTGTCTCGCCAGGAAAGCCATTAGGTCTGGCCTATTGATACACTGTCTATCTGTTGCTGGTCAAGCCAAGCGGCGAAACTGAAACTCCAAACACGCCAACGATCAACGCCACACCATGTACTGGAAGGCACTCAGCCTGCTGGCCGCGGCAGCTGTCTCAGTCGATGCCGCTGCCACGCTCCGCTTCTCTTGCTCACAGCTCGTGGTTGAGCGACTAGACCCGTGAGCGTCTCTCAACCGCAATACGAGAAACTTCATCCTGACTCAAGTCTCTCTAGCCTGGTCAACCCCGGCATGATGCCTTCGGTGCATCTGCATCAGGTCGTCGGCGGTAACTCCTTCAATGCCTCCATGGATCCTGCCACCCATAATATCGCCGAGGAATCGACATGCACCTCGTGCACACCAACCGAAGACTTCTCCAACTATTGGACCGCCGTCCTCTTCTTCCGGTATGCTATTAGACTGAGGCCCGGCTTGTTTTCTTCCAATGATGGTATTCACAGTGCTGACACTTAGTTACAGTGCCCGAAACGGCACCTTCCACCGGGTCAACACCTTTGGCAACGAGCTCGGCTTCACCGGCGCCTCGGGCGGCCAGACCGTCTACTACCTCTCCTCGGGCAAGGTCACGGCCTTCAAGCCCGGGTTCCGCATGACCGTCGGCGACCCGTCCTTCCGCACGGCGCAGCAGCTCAACGCCAAGTACCGGTTCATGGACTACACGTGCCTCGACTCGCCCATGACGCGTGGCGGCGCCACGACAAGCTTCCCCAACAAGCAGTGCCGCGCGGGCATCATGGTCTCGATCCGCTTCCCGACGTGCTGGGACGGCAAGAACATCGACTCACCCGACCACCAGTCGCACGTCGCCTACCCGCGCGGCGCCGCCTGCCCGGCCACCCACCCGGTCGCCATCCCGCAGGTCTTCTACGAGACGTACTGGGACACGCGGCCCTTCAACGACAGGGCGCTGTGGCCGGCCGACGGGTCGCAGCCCTTCGTGTGGTCGTTCGGCGACAAGACCGGGTACGGCATCCACGGCGACTACATGTTTGGCTGGAAGGGCGACGCGCTGCAGCGCGCCATGGACACCAACTGCAACAGCGACCTGTTCTCCAACCGGATCAACTGCCCGACGCTCAAGACGCAGACGCTCGACCAGGCCAACAAGTGCACCATCAAGAGGCAGATCAACGAGGACCTCGACGCGTGGCTGACGGAGCTGCCCGGCGGCATGATGGTGACTTGATTGACTGTACGATGTGGCGAAGGCAGGCTTGTCTTGGAGAAAGAAGTTAGTTGGCAAGGCGTAGGGTTAGTGTGAATAGTACTCAGACCGTGTGCATGTTTGAGACGTCTAAAGCCTCGACTTGTCATAGCATACCACGTATGTCAAGCCGTTCTTTGTCATTCCGTATACTTTCTGATAAGCTGCTGTAGTTGAAAGTGGTACGAATATATATAACGAAGCAAAAGTCTGACACACACGCTGATTTGAGTCGTGCTATTGTACTTATCCGTGACCCTTGCAGTTTTCATATGAGGCTGGCTCATGATGTAGCTTGACTACTATCTTTGGCACCAACCTGTTTGAATCCATACACTCCTCAGAATAGACGCAGATTTACCCGAGCTTGCTATTTGTAATGGTCGCCGTTGGCAGTGTGCCGCGTGATGTGGCAGGGTGTGTGTCTCCAGGACGAGGTTGGAGAGCCTCGACTTTGGTGATGAGCAAGCATATGCTGAAAATGAAACTACTTCGTACGAGTAGTCCATTCATTGACAGCTATTTCAAGTGATCGAAAGCAAGCAGCCCCACAGTTTCATGTCCCCAGTTATATCGATTGATTGATACGTTGGATTGACCGGGATCGACGCCCATCCTGGTCCAAGCTAACGAGGTCAGCACTAAAAGGGTCGCTCGGATTTGCGACTTTTCTCAGCATGCGAGGCAAGCTTGGGGGCAGGACAAAGTTGGCTTCCTCAGCGCCCATTTCAGGGGAACCACATTGCTCGTGACAATATCCCGAAGAAGAGCGAAACGCCTCTTTACGGGATCTGAGCTCATCGTCCGTGCGTGTCATGATGAACGCGACGACAGAAGCCGCTGCGACCCAGCTGGGCCTGGTCGCCAGAGCGAGCAGCCACCCTTACGCGACGGCCTTGCTCGTCTTGATTGCCAGCGCCCTGCTGCTCAATGCCGTCTCCCGCAAGGCGTCCAAGCAGGTGAACCTGCCCGCATGGGTTCCCATCGAAATCGCCCTGACCAGCGTCCTCGTCGCCTCCGGCGGCCTTGGCCTGCGGCTCTGGTAAGTTCCCGACGCTGCCGGCACGCGCATTTCTCCTGCAAGGAACTCCATCCCACTGACATCCCCGGCCCCGCCCGTTCCCAGCTCGATGCTCCGCCGACGCACCGGCGCCCTCTTCGGCGTCACGTCAAAGCACTCCATCCTGCTTGACATCAAGGGCCAGGACCGCTTCTTCGCGGCGCCGTCGTCCTCGCTCAGCGGCCACATGCGCGACTGGACCATGACGACGCGCGTCTTTGGCATGGACGCCACGGACGAGCTGTTCGACAAGGCCAACGCGTCTTCCAAGGGCCTGTACGTGGCTGTTGAGCGCCTGTTTGTCAACGACGCAGCTTCGACGGCGGCGATACTCCGTGCCGATGTGCCGGGCAAGATCGCCAGGCTCGCGACGTTCAGTCCCGATGCTAAGCTCCAGAAATGGGAACTCTCGGCCCAGCGGCGCATCATCGACGACAAGGCCGTGGAGGTGAGCCTCGCCAAGCTGCTGCGCGATTTTGGCGCGTGCATCGCCATTCCTCTGCTCTACGGCCAGGACTTTGTGGATCGCTACGAGACTATCCTGTCGGACCTGTGGTCCTTCGACAACGACGCCTTTCCACTCCTGATCATCGGGGTTCCCAAGTGGGCGCCCATCAAGGGACTACGGGAAGGCGTCGCGGCCCGGTCCCGCATGCACAAGGAATTAGAGGGACTGTACCGCCGCATCACTCAGTACCAGAATGGAGAGCCCGTCGACTTTGATGCCGACATGTCTGATGTAAGCGCCGTGGCCCTGGAGCGTAACAAGGTCTACATCGAGCACGGCTACTCTGTCCACCACCGAGGCCAGTCAGACCTAGGAATCTTTTGGGCCCAGAACGGCAACACGCAGCCGCTTCTGTTCTGGTTCATCGGATATGTCTACTCCACACCCGGTCTCCTGGACAGCATTCGCAAAGAGGTTGCGCCCTATGTACAGCTGGCCGCCGCGAATCCGGGCGACGAGCCCGAGATCACCTCCTACGACCCCGCGGGACTGTCCCGAGACTGCCCTCTGCTCAAATCGGCGCTCTTCGAGACCTTCCGCCTCACTAGCGAGCCGACTTCGATACGCTACCTGAACCGTCCCCTGACGCTCCACGCTGGAGGGCACACGCACGACCTCAAGGCTGGCACATGGCTTTCTGCTCCACACGCTGTGGCCCAGTACGACCCGGAGCTCTACCCCGATCCTACCAAGTTCGACCCGGCCCGCTTCATCGAGGAGGACGAGTCTGGTCGGAGGATCGCCCGGTACGGAAAGTTGAAGCCCTGGGGTCTGGGGACGGGGATCTGCAAGGGACGTACCTTTGCCGAGAAGGAGATCCTCGCCATCGGCGCTGCCATTGTCACGCTGTGGGACATGGAGCCCGCGGACGGCGCGGCATGGAAGATGCCCGGCACGATTCCAGGAACCGGCGTCAAGAAGCCCACCGAGGACATGAGAGTCATTTTGAGGAAGCGTTCGTGGGCTGCGTGAGGCCAGGGAGGAACGGTAACTCACTAATCTAATGGTTGCACTCTTAGTAGAATTGTTGTTGTATAGACATTTTTGGCACTGTTTTGGATCTGCATCAAGATCGGAATTGCATGTGCACTAGGTCAATAGTTGACTTGAGTAGGTAGTGCTGAATACTTGAATTCCACTGCTTCCGCTCGAGGCTTGACCTCCCTCTGCAAATCCCTCAGACAGGACTCATATGATCATTCTCTCGCAAAGTCCACGCTTATGTTCAGACACGGACTGACTCAAGGGGCATGTCCTATGGAAACCAGCAAGGTGGACTCAGTGTACAGTGATGTTGCATTTGTCTATTCTCTGAATTGTAAGTCTATCTATTCTACCAAAAGGTCATACAACGCTATTGCCCAGCAACATCTTTGCTAGTCCTCATGCTCCCCCGTCATCGGCAAGTGAGGAGACCAAGCCCGTGGTGGCACTGGTCTTCGGCGGGACGGACCAGCCGACTTCTCCGACACCGCATCACCAATCCTGTCCAGGGCCTCGATGGCATCGCAGATCTCTGGCGGGGGCACCGCTTTGAACACAGCGTCGATGTCGGCATGCGGCGAGAAGTAGTTGAACTGCCACGCCAAGAAGGAGTTCTTCCCCTTCCTCCGCGTCCTGCTGGAAAACTGATGGCGCTCGTACAGCGTGATCAGCAGGAGCGTGGGCAGGTTCAGCGCGCGGATGAGGTTGACGTTGACCGAGTGGAATGTCTTTGCCGACACGAAGAACTTGAGCGGCAGCAGGAAGAGGAGGGCGAATATGTTAAACGGTGGGGGGTATGCGAAGATTGCGTCGCTCTTGACTCCTTCAAAGGTGAGCACAGCTCGGCGGAAGCGAACCTCTGATGTCTCGTCCGCGATGATCTTGGAAAAGGTGTTTGTGAGCATGGCCACCAGGATCGTGAGAAACAGAGTGTTCCCCAGGAAGGCGAAACCGATCATCAGTGCCGGACCAAAGATGAGGTGGAACTGCACAGACTCTTCGATGCCCGTTCCGTCCAGACCGAACCAGATCCACAACATCCACTTGACGATGGTGAACCACGTTGGAGTCTCGCTAAAATTATCGTTTGCATCGATGAGCCATTGCAGTGCAAGTAGGAAACCCATAAAACACCATGCAGCCAAGAAGGTGAGAAGCATGAAGTCCTTCATCATGGCGTGAAGTGAGATGAAGACGATATTGTTGGGCATGATGTTGAAGGCGACTCGCGTGAGAAGTATCGGGGCTGCCAGAGCCAGTATGTGTAGGCCATGTCCGTTGGGGAAGCGCCCGACGATGATGTCGTAGACACGAGCTAGTAGATAGACGCCGTAGATGGACGAAAATGTAATGTCGAGAAAGGACCATAGACTCTGGGAGTGTACTTCCCAGCCATGTTCGACCACGGCAGCAATCTCATCCAAGACCCACCCAGCTGTGTAGAGACAAAACAGCAGCTCAAATATCTCGCTACTGCTGTTCCGATACAACATAGTCAATAGGTAGAGAGCCAGTAGGACAAGAAAGTGGATGAATTCGATCAAGTTGCGAGAGCGCGGTACAATGAGGCGGTGGTGGTTAAGAATAGGTGCCTTGCGTGGATCGTAGAGTGAGACGGGACGATGCTTGTAATGGTCCGGCAGGATGTCGACAAAGGACAAAGGGGTGTAGATGACACGCCCTTCATACACTGCGTTGACAACTCTCTGGCATCCGGCCGAGCTGATAAACATCTTGCTCTCGGACAAGATGGCAAGCTCGAGAGCGGTGACCTTGCGTTCATGACCGCCTCTCTCCTGAACCGGCCATTGAACACGTTGCCGGCCGCCAGTCTCAACGGCCTGGGGCGCGCCCTGGAATGGGTCAAATCCTTCTACGAGCATGCGAGAGAGTAGCAAAAGCCCTTGATTGCCCGAGTTGACTTCGTGAAACTGCCGCAGGATGCGAGTAGCAAGTACTTCGCACAGGGTCGCTCGCGCCGTCGTGACGGCTTGGTGCACAGAGGTCGACTGCTCACGCATGAAGTGCAATTTGTTGGCCAACAGGCAGTACACTATAGCACATGGTCAGATAACAGTGTTGACATTGGGCCAGCGTGGCAAGGGTATGCACACTCACCCGTAGAGATGTCATCGGCATCATAAAGCCTGTCGACCAAGGGCTGGACGATGAGTGCGTTGATGCGTGGGTGTTTCAACTGCTCAAGAGTATAGGGTTCATCTTTAGCAGACACGACGTCAGTATGGTGGCTTGCAGCAGAAAGAAGAGACAGATGACTAACCAATGCTCGCAAGAATCAAACGTTGAATGCTGGTGTAGAGTGGGTAAGTCGAGCCGAACACCACATGTCGACATGCATCATCCTTGTGGGTGACTTACCGGTGTATTGTAACATATACCGGATACGTCGAAGACAGTACGGGAATATTACCGAGCTCATCCGCCTGCTCAACAGGCAAGCAAGCCTCCGTCTCGGAGCTGCCGCCGGCGACCAGGCCCTCGTCCTCCTCCGCCGAACGCCCGTCGGCCGTCCAGGCCTCGGCATAGCTCTTGGCCGGAAAGGTCATCTGCTTGCACGGCGCCCTGCACGGCGGCTTTCTTCTGCGCATAGACTTTCAGGGGTGCAAACTGCCATTAGGAAAATCAAGAATCGCTGGGCAAGCAAGCAGAGCAGGAAAAGACGCGCCGCGAAGCCACCAGGGGACAGATTCCACGTAATAAAGCCACGACTCCCGAGCCAAGCACTGACCAGCATGCCAATTAGTCACTGTAAATGCCTGTTTGAGGCTCCCAAGACTTCACGAGCCGCTTCACATTGAGAAAAGCGCGTGGTCATTGGTGCGTGGTGTCGAACAAGCCATGAGATGTGGGGGGCCAAGAAGGGACGAGTTCGCTAAAACGTAAAATAGGCGGCTAGCTCAAACACAGGAGGTCTTGAACACATCTTCGAAATACCGAAAGCCCGACAAAAGGAGAATGATAATGGCAATCTAGTCTTCTTTCAACAGTACCGTAACCCCCTTTGCAATGATCCATCTAATAATAGCGCCTGTCCCAGCGGCGAGGAACTTCGATATCCCTTGTCCGCACGTATTCGACATCAACCCCGACATCACGCTCGCGCTCCCTCCTAGCTTGCCTCTCGGCTTTCAGGTCGGCCGCAATCTCGCATTCCAGGCACGGTGCTGCAAGTCCCGCGTTCCTCTTGACTCGGCACCTAATACAGCCTCGTGGCAGCGATGTGGTTCTCTCGTAGACGACTGGCTCCGGCTCGACGCTGTACCGGGGCCCACAAGCACTGGATTCCCGGAACTCCCGGACCGGTACGGGCGGCTCTCCGACGACCACCGTAGCGCCCTGAGCATTGTAAAGCATCGTGTTGCTGCCATTCAGCGGATTGGGGTAATGGCGGTAATGACTGCGATGAGTGGTGATGCCGGCGTCGTCATCGCGTAGGTGCAAGGTGCCCTGGTTCACGATGATGCGGACAGGGCGGTCAGGGTACTCGCGCTGCAGGGCCGGAAGGACGTGTCGCGTAGCGAAATCGCCCAGATGCTCCATATCGTGAATATGAGGATCGCGCAAGTAGCGGTAGGCTGGCGGATTGCGGCGGCCAGGGTAGTAATCAGCCTCAAGGTAGGGATCCGCGCTGACGCGGTATCCCCCGCGACGAGGGGCGCCGTAGTACTCCATTCCGCTTCAGACGTGCGGAAGCGAGCATGAACGAGGGGCACTTTTGCTGCGTGCGCAGTGGATTGAGGATGAAAGAAGTGAAAGGGAAACCTGCTGAGTCGGGGTGGTCATCCCCCTCCCTTTTTCTACCCGTCGGTGTGTGAGAAGGCTACGCGCAGCACATGGTGGCACAAGGCGGCAGCAAAATCGGGCGGTATATGCGACCTGCCTACGGGGTGCTTACCTATGAGAATTGCAGGCGCAAATCGCAATCGCTACTGCTGAGTGGATGGTGTGGGAAGCTTGCATACAAACTGCAAAGCTGATAGGTTTGGCACTCAGCCCTTCCACATCACTAGAATCACATACGATGGGGGCCAAGCGAGCGCGCACCATTCTGCAGTCAGGCTTGATATGTAATTATGTCATCGAGTTCGAAACAATCCGGCCCGTAGATCTTGCTTTTTTGTATTCTCGTTCCTGTAAGGAGTCGACATTAACTGAATACATCTGGTGACGGATTTTCTCATGCGAGTCACCACTCTTGTCGTGGACCAAACTTCCATAGCCTCAAGCCTTCAAAGCTTGAACTGTGAAACGGCGGGACCTGGTTCATTCATTTCGAAGCATTTGCTCGAGTGTCTGCTCGAGTTCATCTTGGACGACGTCGTCGTCTCAAGTCTGTGCATGCTCCTCCCAAATATATGCAGAGTGCTGGTCAACCTCTATCAACAACTGTGCGTTATGGACGGAACTGGCGCGTGACCCTCGAAGTTGTCTTAAAAGAAGATATCCAATGCAATTAGATATACTGATTGGCTCCGTAGCCATCACAAACGAACTCTGTCTTGGCATCGACAAGCTAAGCCATAAGTAAAGTTCAGGTAACATTCGGCAAAAGCCGTTTACTATCAGTGCACTGCTATCTATGCGATGCTAAAGAGGCATACTGCGCAGAATCTTGTGAGTTTCATAAATTCTTGAAGGGAAGCCTAGTCAGCCAGACGCATACGAATAGCGGCGGTCCAAGTCTCACCAGTCTTGTCTCTAGGTGAATTCTCACCCCACAGCGCGAATTTCATATTAGTGTTACATAACTTACAATTCATCTGAGCCCTTGTTGAACGCAACGATCGGGTTTGGATGGACAGGCCCACCGAGATTTCGGTGTTTCTATGCAGGTACGCGAAACTTTACATGGCCCAGGACAAGCAAGCAGGCATCAATATTGCGGAAAGAGCCATTTGAGCCATTTGATACGGGTACGAGAGATGTACGACGCTCTATATAGATTCTCCAGGGAGTTTTGAGTCCTGTGCTAACGACAGAGAGCGCAAAGCTGACTAAAACGTTCAACGTATCTCGTTACCGACTCATATGCGCTGTTGCCAGAAATGCTACTGATCGACCGTGGTCCCTACTTGTATCATTGGATCCCTTTAAACTATACTTGTTCGCTCAGACCCTGGAGTTGGCCAAACCCCGATCACCAACCTACCACATACTCTACCCCTCAGACTTCTGCCCTTATGAGCTTGGCCACATGGTCAGCCGCCTTCAAATTGTAGGGAAGTGGGACAAGAGGCTCTACATCACCAGAACCAATCAAGAAAATAGATACTCGTAACCGAATAGACCGAAGTGATCAAGATACCCGCAAATTCGGACGAGCATCAGGCAATGCTTAGTGGGGTGGCAGGCTGGGGATAGCTGTCTGAGGGCTTAAGGGGGGGCTCGACAACTGGTATAGCAGAGAGGCGGGAGAGAACCGAGGTCATTGTGAAGCTACAGATGAGAAGTCTACCATCAACCCCAACCCAGCATGAGGCTTCAGCCCCCACGTCCTCGAGTCGCGCCACAACACCTTCCCCACCTGTTATGCAACCGAACCCGGGACCGGGAACGGCAGTCGGCCAGAGAATGGATGGCTCGGCCCTCGATGTGCGAAAATGCGAGTCATGTTGCGCTGCTTTGTCGCGGGTTGCCCGATCGATTGTCTTGGCAATTATGTGATATTTGCCCCTTGTCGCCGTCTCGCGCTGGGGCAGAGTGAGGCGCGGGGGCAGACGGGCTTTGCCGCACGCCAACGGTCTTGTTTTCCGGGTTGCCGATGCTCTAACGTCGGATTGGGGAGTCTTCCCCGAAGGTTGCAGGCGAAATTAGCGACTCTCTTGCAGGTAGAGTATCCCCGCTGGATCCAGATCTCCCCAGTATTTATGCGAGCTATCTTGTGCCAGTGCGACAGGCTGCTACAAGAGAGGTTAGTAATAACTTACAAGTACTTGTTCAACTCCGCCGACCAGCGCCTCTGATTCGTGGACCCCATGGGGAACCCCAGACGTTTTGGGAGATAGCTCGGGTTTGCGTCGGCCGAGTTTATCCACAGTGGGCAGATGATTGGAAGACTGGGCATTCAGGCGGAGGCTGGGCAACAGGGCACGAAGGTGCCTCACAACACCATTGGATTCTTGGGGTGGGATCAGCACGAATGTCACCCTGCGGCGTGAGGTCCATATCTTCTGGCTTGTTCCCCCTCTCTCCTCACTGGCACCAGCCCAGGCCGGTTGCCCTTCTCCTTCCCTAACTTCGACAACAGCAACGACGAACACCATGGCCGCTCGCGACGACAACAAGGCGGAGCTAGGCCCCAGGCCGTCAGCCACCAACTATGCGGTGTACAATCCTCAGGTCGAGCTCATCGAGGCTGCTATCGCAACCGGCGAGGAGGAAACCCAGCTCCCGCGCAAGGAACTCTTCCGGCGGTACTGGCCCGCCGCCGTCTACAGCATGCTTCTCAGCATGGCTTTGATTATGGAGGGCATGGATGTCGGTCTTATCAACAACTTCTTTGCGCATCCGGCCTACCTCAGGCGCTTCGGATGGCCCGATGCCAACGGCAAGCAACATATCTCAACCCAGTGGCAGGGAGCCATCGGTGCCGGCAACAACATTGGATCGATCTTTGGTCTGTTATTGAACGGCTACCTGCAGTCCCGATTCGGTTCCAAGAAGGTCTACGTCGGCACCATGGTCCTCATGGCCGGTTGCATCTTCATCCTCTTCTTCGCCGTCAACGTCGAAATGCTGCTCGCTGGTAACATTATCTGCGGTATCCCATGGGGTATCTTCCAGACCCTCACTACCGCCTACGCCGCCGAGATTTGCCCGCCGGCTATGCGTGGTTACCTGACTGCCTGGGTGTCCATGTGCTGGGGGGCTGGCAGTTTCCTCGCAACTGGTGTCCTTCGTAGCTCCGTCAACAACCTGAGCGATGCCGGCTGGCGCATCCCGTATGCCGTCCAGTGGGTCTGGATTCCTCCTCTATTTATCGTCGGCTGTGTCGCGCCAGAGAGTCCCTGGTACCTCGTGCGCCGCGGCCGCATTGAGGATGCCGAGAAGAGCCTGCGTCGCCTCGCGCGCAAGGATCACTACACTGAGCAGAGCATGGCTGAGACGCTCGCTCTAATGAAGCACACCAACGAAATGGAGAAGATCGAGGCGGCCGGCGCCAGCTACAAAGACTGCTTCCATGGCACCAATCTGCGCCGCACGGCTGTCGTCTGCATGGCTTGGGTCATCCAGATGTTCAACGGCCAGTCTATCACACAGTACGCTGCCATCATGCTCACCTCCATCGGCATGGACGCCACCATGGCTTTCAACTACAACATGGCCATTCAGTCTGTCAACATTGTGGCCACAGGCACTGCCATCGTGCTCATGGGCAAGATTGGACGTCGCACCTTCTATCTCTTCGGGACTATTGGTATCGGCTTCTTCATGCTCATCACCGGCATTGTCGGATTCGCCACAACCCGCTCGCAGTCTGCCATCCCGACTGCTGTTTTCTTGATCATCGTGCAGTGCATCTTCAAGATCTCCCTCGGCCCCACGACCTACGTCGTCGTCGCCGAGATTGCGGCCAGCCGTGTCCGTGCCCAGACCATCGTCCTGGGCCGTGCCATCTACGTGTGCTGCGGCATCATCACCCAGCAGATCAACCCGCGCATGCTCAACGCGACCAGCGACGCCTGGAACTGGGGCGCCAAGACCGGCATGTTCTACTTCGGACTGTGCTTCCTTTGGGTCGTCTGGATCTGGTTCTTCCTGCCCGAGACCAAGGAGCGCAGCTTTGCCGAGATTGACTACCTCTTCCAGAAGAAGATCGATGCTCGCAAGTTCGCGACGACTCCTGCCGATAGTAAGTTCTCTCATATCCGCTACTGGAGGCCCCCATTCTCTAACACGTCTGCTCTAGTCTTCGAGTTCACCCCGCCCGACCCGACTGCTGCCAAGATCCTCGACGTCGAGCACACTGAGACTCCCGCCCCAGCACCCGAGATTCAGGAGGATAGACGCGCGAAGTAGTTGATAATTTATGATAGTACATATCCGCATTAGGACTGGCCGAATACGTTTCTAGAACTGATGGTCAATCCCAGATGCCATGTAGACTTGGTAGCCTTGGCTGCCACCACTTCATAGCAATTTAGGAACAAGTCCCTCGCGTGGTTCAGACCCATTTGCCTGGCATTCAAGTGATCTATTCGTTTAAACATTTCTCTACATATCTTGCCTAACAGCACTCTGTTCCCCATAGCCCCAACCTGGAGGTTGCGGGGTTTGACTGGAGAGCTACGGGGAAGTACGGCCCGTTTACGGGGCATGCCAAGCAGCGATAGTCATGATGCCCCGTCTCCAGGACATGGTTTGCTTTCGGCGAAGATACCCCGAGCTCCAGTGTTAGACCCATCAGCATAGCGCAGGTGCGCAGGTATTACTTGATTCATTCCCTGTAGTTGCTTGGTTTTGCGGCACGGTGATTTGATACGAAGAGCCCCAGGTGCGGGCATCGGATGCCCATTTCCTTGGGTTTCTTTGCCCCAATATCTATTGACCCATGAGCAGTACGTGAGGTGGTTGCATTACCCTGGCCCGACTTCTCCAATTTCTTCCCTCGGAGCGATAGCACCAGTGTACCGACATACACCAACAAAGACAGCTCGCCACGCCCTCCAGCCGCCCCCAATGTGCTCACACGGGACGCACACGGCTCTCCATGACTCGGGTCCGGGGCTAGCCACCACCGCAACACCGTACCCCGTGCGAGCTCCGGGCCCGGTCGGCAAGAAGATCACCTCGTTATACAAGAAGCGCTTGGTCAATTTTTTCACCCCGGGACAGTGGGAAAAGGTGAACTTGCTGGCGTGAGTCTATGCATTTACCCAAGTACCGGAAGACCTGCCGTCATTAGGATGCTTTGCTGATATCGTAATTTCACTTGCCAAAGCGCCCTGAACCGTGGCGTGTACACCGGCTCGCCACACGTCAAGCTGTCCGTCTGGGACGCACCCGGCACATCGCGTCCGACTTTCTCCGAGGCCACATCTGCCTCAAACTCACACCGGGAAACGCAGGTCGGCGAGTCTTTCGGCCCCTCTTGGACAACACACTGGTTCAGATGCGCGCTCACTCTGCCCGAAGCGCTCTGCAAGAAGGATGCCCACGTCGAGCTCCACTGGGACTGCAGCAACGAAGCCACGGTCTGGACGGCCGATGGCAACCCGCTCCAGGGGCTGACCGGCCGCGGCGAGCGCGTCGAGTGGGTGGTCCCGGCGTCGTTCAAGGATGGCAAGGAGCACGTCATCTACCTCGAGATGGCCTGCAACGGCATGTTTGGCAACGGACCGGGCCGTCCGATCTTCAAGAACAACGCTGGCGGAGACTCCATCCAGCCGCCCGACCAGAACAAGTACTTCCAGCTATCCAAGGCGGAACTTGTCGCCGTCAACTACGAGGCGAGGATGCTGCATGTCGACTTCGGCATCATCCACGATGCGGCAACTGAGTTGCCCGAAGACTCATGGGAGCAGCACGAGGCGCTCAATGTGGCGAGTAGGATTATCGATACGTTTCGAGTCGGTGACGACAGCTCTATCCTGGCGTGTCGCAAGATTGCTGCTGAGTATCTTGGAGACCAGATCAATTCGGCAGCAGTCTATGAGAGCCAATTAGTAGATCGAAGACCGACTGTCTACGCCATTGGTCACTGCCACATTGATACATGCTGGTTATGGCCCTGGGAAGAGACGAAGCGAAAAGTTGTGCGATCCTGGTCTAATCAGTGCGATTTGATGGACCGGTATCCGGAGCTGAACTTTGCTTGCTCACAAGCTCAACAGGTCAGGGGGCAGTCATTAACGACTTCATACAGAGCAAAGAAACTGACCTGGCCCGTGTATAGTTTCATTGGCTGAAAAAGCTCTATCCGTACGGGTGGGAACGCGTCAAGGCAAAGGTCAAGTCCGGGCAGTTCCATCCCATCGGCGGATCTTGGGTTGAACACGATACAAATCTGCCCTGCGGTGAGTCGCTCGTCCGCCAATTCCTCTACGGCCAGCGCTTCTTCGAAGCTGAGTTCGGGATCCGATCGACTACGTCTTGGCTGCCGGATACGTTTGGCTTTTCCTGCCAAATCCCCCAGATCTGTCGACTCGCTGGCATGACGAGATTCATGACGCAAAAGCCGTGCTTCAACAGTGTCAATGAGTTTCCCCACACCACTTTCAACTGGTAGGTCGTTCAAAGACGACTGAGAAGAGTGCCGAGCTGACGTGGTCGTTCTCTTGTCCAGGGTGGCGCTTGACGGCAGCCAGGTGATTTGCCACATGCCGCCGTGCAAGACGTACACCGCCGAGGGCAACTATTTGGATATCACACGAAGTATATCCAACCACAAGTCCCTAGATCAGGACAACACTGCTCTGATGGCTGTAAGTACCTTACACTTTGATCTACCCGTTGTAGTTCATATGAAACACATCAGAGTACGGCTGCTAACAGAAGACTGCGAACAGTTTGGAAAGGGAGATGGCGGAGGCGGCCCGACATGGCAACACATGGAAAGGCTGAGACGGCTCCGAGGATTGGCCGACACCATGGGAGTCATCCCCCGCGTTCACGCCGGGGCGACTGTCGACCAATTCTTCGACCGCCTCGAGACAAAGGCCTCCTCGCTCGTGACTTGGTACGGCGAGCTGTATTTTGAGCTCCATCGTGGCGTCTACACCACGCAAGCCCGTACAAAACTTGAGAATCGAACCTCGGAAATCCTGTTGCACGACATCGAGTTGCTGGCAACCATCGCTTCTATCCAGGACAAAGACTACAAGTATCCCAAGAAGGAGCTGGACGAACTCTGGCAGGGCCTGATGCTTTGCCAATTCCACGATTGCTTGCCCGGGACTGCGATTGAGATGTGTTACGACGACTCGGACAAGGTGAACAAAGTCGCGGCGAGTGTGCGGCGTTCGAGCAACAGGCTAACTCGAGACTAGGTGTATGCCAACGTGAAACAGACCGGAAATTCGCTCCTGCAGCGTATTTTCCAAAGCTTGGGTATCGAAAGTCTCAAGGAAGTGGGAACCCAGAATTTCGACAATGTCATCGCTCTGAACACATTGCCTTGGCCACGCAAGGAGCTGATAGCAACGTCGAAGACGGAGGCCGTTATCGCGTCAGGTCAAGGCCATGCGCTAGCAGTGCAATCAATCAAGACCTCCGGCGATGGCGTGGGTCTAGTCGCTGTGAAGGAGACTACCAAGGGTGTCTTCCAGCTCGAAAACGATGACCTCACGGTAAAGATTGAGCACGGGTGCATCACGTCGATCTATGACCGAAAAGCACGACGAGAAACAGTGTGCGGTAAGGCAAACCAGTTCGTCGTCTTCGACGACAAGCCGGTCTACTGGCAGGCATGGGACGTAGAAGTGTACCACCTGGAGACCCGCGAGGAGCTGGTGAACTCGACGACCAAGATCCATGAGGACAAGGGCTACAGAGCGAGTGTCGTTGTGGAGACGCGCATTAGCGAAGCTAGCTCTATGAAGACTGTCATATCGCTGACAGCTGCCCTCGACGGGCAGCCCTCGTTCGTCGAGTGCTCGGCAGATGTCGACTGGCACGAGACGATGAAGTTCCTCAAGGTCGAGTTCCCTGTGCAGGTTCGCAACACTGAGGCTTCGTACGAGACACAGTATGGTATTATCAAGCGCCCGACTCACTACAATACCTCGTAAGTATTCTTCAATCCTCCAGATCCTCCGTCTCGACTCCTAACAAATTTCAAGATGGGACATGGCCAAGTTTGAGGTCTGTTGCCACAAGTTTGCCGATCTCTCGGAGCACAATTATGGTGTGTCCATCCTCAACGATAGCAAGTACGGCTTCACCACGGTGGGCAACGTCATGCGTCTATCACTGTTGAGGTCGCCCAAGGCACCCGATGGCAACGCGGATATGGGGCAGCACCGAATCCGCTGGGCCATCATGCCTCATCAGGGCAGTCTCGGTGCCCAAATCGTCCAGACCGCATTCAACTTCAACAACCCCATGCGTCTAGTTGCAGCTCCCAGTGGCAAGTCCTCCATCTTGTCGCAAACCCCTATCACTCTTACGGGTGACGACAATCTTGTCCTGGACTGGGTCAAGCGCGGCGAGGATGACGAAGACGTGTCACAGGACAATTTGCCAAAGAGGAAGGGGAAGAACGTTATTGTGCGAATCTATGACGCTCTGGGTGGTATGGGAAGAGGAAAGATCAAGGCTGCGTATGCAGTCGAGAAGGTATTTAAGACCAACATTCTCGAAGATGATTTGGAGGAAATTTCGGTGCATGATGGAGCGTTCGAAGTCACCTTGCACCCGTTCGAGGTTGCTACTTACCGCTTAGTACTGAAGAACAGCTAGGGCATGATGAGGTAAGAGAAACCCGGTCATCAATAAGTTAGAACGATGAACGTTTTGTTGGTGTTCACTTAGATTGACAACGGATTTGATCTTATAAAGGGAAGTGCTGTAGAAATAAGCGCCACCAATGACAAACTACATGCTGGAGAGTTGTAGATCAGATTTTGTTCCATCATGCGAAGTCACCATATTGATACTTGCAAATCCTTATTCCAACAGGGGGCAGGGCATACGTTTTCTATCTTTCCGAGTGCGAGTCTCAACCCCTTGATATTGGTCGTCTCCTTGCATACTAAATGGCGCATCGACGCGGGGGCCGAAAGCCATGTGAGTCATCCCCACAGCAAGTCTTTGTTGCTCTCGTTCCCGAGCTTCTACCATCCAATCTGAATATCTTCAGTCCAAGCAATCACTATTTTCTCAATAGAAAGTGGCATACACGCGTCAGAAAATGAGCACCGGACAAGATCATGATATAAGAAGCGAACTACGCAATCTCAAGGTCCTCCAAGGTCCCTTCATAGAGTGGGATGCCGCCGCATTTCCGCCCACGCCTCAAGAAGCATTTGGAACATGGCTCAACGAAGCCGTCAAAGCTGGAGTAAAGGAGCCGCACGCCATGACGCTGTCCACGGTCGATGGTCAGGGCCTCCCGGATGCCCGAGTCTTGATCCTCAAGAACGTCGACCACCGCGGCTGGCACTTTGCCATCAAGGCCGACAGCCCCAAGGGACACCAGCTGGCGAGCCGCGGCCACGCAGCCCTGACGTTCTACTGGCCGGACCAGGGCCGCCAGGTCCGAATCCGCGGGAAGGCGATCCAGCTCCCGGCGGAAGAGTGCGAGCGCGACTTTACGGAGCGCCCCGTGTCCTCAAAGGTCGCCGCTCTCGGATCGAAGCAGAGCCAGAAGCTCCGGAATGAGGCTCAGCTTGAGAGGTCTATGGATGCGGCAAAGGAGACTTTCGACAAGGACCCTGATTTTGTTTTGACGAGTTGGAAGGTTTTTGCCGTCGACCCGAGTGCGGTCGAGTTTTGGCAAGGTGCTAGCAGTCGGCTTCACAAGAGAATGCAGTACACACGCACGGCCGCGGGCGGTGCTTGGGAGAGGAATCTCCTCTGGCCTTGAACCGATGACGTGGTTTGCCATCCATTTTTATTGCATACCAGGATGCTGCTAAATACTATTGAGAGTTCCAAACCATGAGATGCGTATCTATCGCAAAAACAGCACCCAAAAAACGCCAACGATGCTCATGTTAACCCGTAGATCATTCTCCGACATGTCCTAGCGCCTCATGGCTGCAAACAGCTCCGGGGGTTCCGCTCCCAGGCACAATTCCATGTCCGGTTCGCACTTCTTCATCGCCCGCTGGTACGCCTCGCGCTGCGACACCGTCTTCAACCACCTGAGGATGTTCTCGTACGGGCTCAGGTCCAAGGAGTAGAAGTACCGCATCGTCGTGACGGGGAACACGGCCATGATGTCCGCCGCCGAGAACTCCTTGCCGCCGAGGTACTCGTTGTCCCTGAGCCGCGCGTCCATGGCGGCCAGGCCGCCGGCCACCCGCGCCCTGGTCATGTCCGCCATGGGGCCCGTCTGCCCCGAGGAGGCGAGGCCCATGGCGCGCGCGAGCGCGGGGGTGAACGTGCCGTTGACCCAGTGGAACCAGTACAGGAAGTGCGGGTACTCCGGGTCGGCGGGGCCGAGGAAGAGCCTGCCGCCGGCGTGCTTGTGGCACAGGTAGGTGACGATGGCGCCGCTCTCGGCCATGGTGAGGTCGCCGTCCTGGATGGTGGGGGCGCTGCCCGCGGGATGGAGCGCCTTGTACTCGGGCGGGGCGAGGAGGGGCGCGCGCGAGTAGAGCTTAAGGTCGTAGGGCAGGCCGAGCTCCTCGCAGAGCCAGGGGATGCGCTCCGACTGGGAGACGTGCAGGTGGTGGATGAGGATGGTCATGGCTGCGGTTGCGCTCTCCGAGGCCGGGTTGGAAATGCTGTGTGGACTGTCGGTCAGCAGAGTTGCTGCGCGGCGACAGTCGAGCAGTTTAAATATAAGCGTGAAGTGGATGTTGATGCAGGTATGGCGGGGTACCGTCCCGCCCGGGATGGCCGGATGTCAGGATGCTCGATTCGAGTCCAGCGTTGGACGAGTTGAGATCGGAACGGACGCACTGGAACCAGGATGGCCACAGTAGGCGGGACGTAGGGCCAGCAAGATTCAGGACCGGAAAAGAAGCCAGAAGACAAATAGACATGAGTCGATTCTCGCTACTTGCAGGCACCATGGCTGCTCGGACACTTCGGTCGGAAGCATTTTGAGAACGCCGGTTCGGTCCGAGGCGCGCTGTTCTGGACAACCTTGCGAATAGAATGCATCCTGTGTTTCAAAGTTTCAACTACCACCTCGCTTTGGCAGATCGACGCTGCCGAGGTTTGCCACGGGCGACTCATCGGGCTGTACCATGAAATCGTCCCGCAACATACTCTTAAGCCTCAGGCTGGGTAAACGTCACGAGGCGGCAAGAGAATATGCTTGGCAAAGGCTGTCCATGATGGTCTTCCCTCATCAGTCATTTCTCAGCAATCGAAATGGCTAGCTACATGATGAGCGACCGCTGCTTCATCGCCCTCGAAGGCGCCGCAGACAGGACAAGTGACCGTTGGGGCTGGCGCTGCATCGTTGGCGGCTGCATCGCCGAAGGTCTGGCCAGCCGTCTGCTTTCCCTTGCGACGCGGCTTGGCCTGCTTCACATACGCGTCGAGACCGACTGCTTGAGGTTCAGGCGCCCGGTCTTGCTCTTCTCTACCGCCTCTGTTCCGACTTCGCCGGGAGTTGTGCTGACCCGAACCTGCAAAGGTTTGATGTTCTCCCGCTAATGCGAACGCACCGGAACTGCTTTCATCATCTTGAGTCGCCGACTCCGACGCGTCGCCCTCCGAAGTCGAAGCCATGGTCTGCACGCGGCCGACTCTGCCATCCGCAAGCCGGACCTTGATGCCGCGCGGATGGTTTCCCCGCGTCAGGACGTCCCGCACGGTGCCAGCGACCGTCCGGCCAGTAGGCTGGTCTGCCTTGAGCACGATGTTGACACGGGCGCCGGCCACGACCTCGGCGGTCGTGGGGACCCGGGTCCGCGCCGCCGCTGTCGCCGCTGCGCGACGCATCTCTGCGATCCTATCTCTTTCGCACCCCAAGTCCCAGCTACTGGGGACGATTGTTGAGATCTCTGAAATACGGAGACGTTGCGCTCAAGAGGAATGTGAAATGTCGATCAAGATCAAGAATTGGCGCAAAAAGTTTCACTGGGACATCACTAACGAAGGAACTTGGTCTGTGCGGCTCTACTGTGATTCTGGTACGATGCATGGAATCTCGTCAACCTTGTCAATCTACTTCACGTAGCCCCAAAGAAAAAAGCCAAACCAAGTGACAAATATCACCGAGGTCATGTCTACCTAAGTATCCACGTCTTCACCTCGCCAGGATAGGGCTGAAGAGCGAAATCGAAGATGCAAGGAGTGTTTATGAGCCGGCACTCATCCTCGAGCATCCGTACTCCATCCACGAATCTCGGCAAGGAAGCGCTTCCTGACAAATGTCTGGTCATCGCCAAGCGCCGCCCTTCGCGCCACTTAAATATGGAGATGGCAGGGACCGTTGGCGCGGGCAGTGAGCAGATCGCTATTTCAGGCAAACCCCCTTTGAACCCCCTACGCAGGCCAAGCGACCCAATCCGGGCCCTGACAGGCACTGGTCCAGTGGGATTCGGGCGCCGATCGCTGGATCCGTCCGCCATTCCCGTCGCCTGTACTTGTATTCTTGTTTCAGAGAGCTGGCATGCGGATCTCAGGGTCGCATTGTTCTCCTTTTCGCTTCGCCCATTCACATGAGAGAGGCTCAGAGGGTAGCTAGACAGGCGGAGCCCGTATTCTGCATGAATCAAGTCAATGTAGACGCACATCCGTCAACTTGTGATCCCGGGATTCCGCCCGAGTAGAAAACCATTACATCACCCACTGCAGGCAGTAGCAAAGAAGTCCCTTTTTGTTCCTCATCTCTGTCCTGTTGAAGAGAAAAGAGCGTGTCTTTCCCCTCTCCTATCTCCTCCATCATCGGTTGTAGATCAGAGCAGATCGATTGCTGCTCGTCCGTTCGCTTCAGTGACCCCAAGTTACCACCCCCTTACCTTGCACCAAGATGCGCTTCTCCCTGCTCACCGCCGTCGCGGCCCTTGCCTCCTCGGCCACCGCCATCCCGCGCGTCAAGCTCTTCAAGGCTTTCCCTACTGCGGGCGGCGTCAACTACACCTGGTCCGTCACCAACTGGGAGGCCGGTCTTACCCGCTCCGGCGGCCACTACGGTGAGTTGTCGATCCAGTCTCGAAACCCACGCATTTACATCAAACTGTGACTGACAAATGTCCTTTCCCAAAGGCTTCAACGTCACCGGCGAGGCCAAGACCACCGGCAACCAGGTCCCTGCCTTCAGCGCCTACTGCAGCGGGTATGAGCAGCCCCAAGACTACACTCCCTGCACGCTGTACGGCGGACGTCCCGGCCAGGAGGTCGCCGCCAAGCTGCTGCCCGCCAACACCACCACGGACCCCGGGGCGCATCTCGCCGTGAGCTTCGAGTTCCCCGACGTCAACGAGGTGTAAGTTCCCCTACCTTCTTTCATGATACCGTTTTGCCCGAGACTGGGTGCTAATGCAGGTGGAAATCAGCAATATGTGGTGGAACTACACGGCCTACACCACAAAGCCGTACAACCAGGTCTCCGCGCCGCCCATGAACTTCACCGTTATCCCCTCCGAGATCTACGGTGTGGCGTAAGGCGCAGATTGCTAGCGTGGCCGGCTGCGACTGGTCTGGGGATCGCTAACACGATCCGTGTAATTCTTTAATGTCTAAGAAACTTGATCTATGAGTCTATGGACAGTCTAGGCTGCCAAAACAGCTGCAGTCTCTCCCGTCAGCCCTCGGAGAGGGGCCTTGTCGGCATTACGTTCATCCAATACAGGCAGCGCCATCTTGTCGCATTTTGCCAAAATAGCATACAGCCTTGATGTGACTTTTGTCTAGACCGCGCTATCTGAGCGGGTAATATCTCTCTAATCTGATATGCTAGATCTGTGCCCACGTACCCGGATCATCCTTCCTACCTCATTGATTTTGTAACGGGCCTGAAACCTATCGACCTCTGGGTTCTCCTGCCATGTTTTCCGGACATAGACACGGGTTCATCTTCTTGATGACTTGTCTCTCAACGGCGGCTCGGTTCCTTATGGTGACCAGATTGCCTACCGTGGACCTAGCTACGAGGGACAAGGTAGGGAGACGTAAGCACGTTTCATAGCTCTTCTTTCGCTAACACCTCCCGTAAAGCTATTAGGTACCATGACGAATGTCTCAATGAACGCATTCGAGAACGAGCCTGGCGTGCTCAAGTTCGCTCTTCTTGTGCCAAGAGAGCTCGTTGAGGGAGACACATCTATGTATTCCATTGAAGAGTATGTGATATAGCCCTTAGGCCCAGAGAACCTATTGCTGAGAAAACACAGATATGCCAGCCAGGATGCCTTCAGATCGCACCTACAGACCCAGCCAGTCAAGGATATGTTCGCCTGGATTGACTCGGAGAATATCTATACCGAGCCTCCACTGGTCCACAGGCTCGATTCCATAGACGGATTTGACTTCATACGTCCGGAGCTGATACAGGAGTATGACCCTTATGTCCTTTGGCGGGAGGTAGCGTACAAACCCGGAGCGTCGGCGAGTGCCTACCCACTCTGGCGAAAAGTGGTCCAGACAAGCAAGGACGAGAGCGGGACGATTATGTATGGCGTCTATAACGACACCTCTGGTAGTGATAAAATTGTCACGGTTGAAGCTTACAAGGAAGAGAAGTATCTCCAGCTACACGAAAGAAGCACGACGAGTTTAGAGCTGAAACAAGCAACAAAGGACACAGAACTGCTGAACAAGATGACTATTCTGCGGTTGCAAGGCGGCTTCTTCTATAAACCTCCTTCAGTCTAGACAAAATAAATGTCTACGCATAAAACTTCACAAAGTCCTCCTTTCGCCGCTGCAAGAATTCCTCAAAGGTCCCGAACCGAATTCCGTAGGAATTGGCCTTATCCTCATTGAAACATTTAGACATGGTGCGCGCCGCAATGTTTCCCTGGATGAAAGGATTCTCTTTCTGGGCCTCGATCTCCTCCACCGTGTAGAATTCGGCCTTGAATTCCTTTCCGAGCGCTTGAGAAATTTGGCGGGCGATCTCGGCAGGCGTGAGAGGCTGTCCCGCAATCTCGATCTCCTGCTTGTTGAACTTGCCCGGGTCGTCGATGGCGGCAACGGCAAACGCGCCAATGTCCAGCTCGTCAATCATATCGACCCGCGTGTCTGGCAAGAGAGCCGTCTTCCAGACCCTGGTGGTGGCGATGTCCGGGTACATGATGGCGTTGGGCGGCAGGAAATTGGCCATGAAGAAGCCCGGCCGCAGGATGGTCCAGCTCTCGAAACCGGATGCCTCCTTCACCATGCCCTCGAGCTTGTTCTTCGCCAAGAAGAACTTGGCGAATAGCTTGTCCGGGTGCCAGCCCTCGGCCTCCCAAGGCCGGTCCGCCAAGAAACTCGTCGACAGCACGACGCGCTTGGCGCCGGCCTCGCGGGCGTGCTTGAGGATCGACCGGACCTGCCTGATCTCGTGGTCCGGGTCGGCAAAGTCGGGCATCATGGCGATGAAGACGGCGGTGCAGCCGGCCATAGCCTTGGCGAGGGTGTCGTCGTCGTCGTACCCGTCCGGGGTTGGGAACAGCTTGGCGCCGCGGGCAGTCAGCTTGCGGGCGGTCTCCGCGTCGGGGTTGCGGACAAGGCCGTGGGCGACCCACCCGGGCTTGGTGAAGATGCGGTGGGCCACGGCGCCGCCCTGGGTGCCGGTGATCCCGCAGACGAAGACTGTCTGGGGTGACATGGTGATAATTTGTGCCTTTATCCTGGAAGCTCTTGATAGATCTCGACTATCAGGAAGAAACGTTACTCGCTTCATGGTCGCGATATATATCTGGCCTTGCGGTATTCCGCAGTCTGCACTCCTGGGAACTCCGCCACGGGCGGCCCGCATGTTTCGCTTTCAGATAACTTATGTGCAGCTGGTGTAGTTATGCCAGAGTTCCGGACTGAGGCGGAGCTCCGCCTGCGGCGCAGCAGCTGAGTAATTGGACTTCAAGATGTTGAACGTCGGATTACAAATGCACAAGAACGAGACTCAATATCGAGACAATTGTAAAATAAATATTCATATTTCTATCATTCACTTGATGATGCAGACAGACGGTATGAGGTTTGAGCAGGTCGGAATTGGAGGATGCGGGTAGCTCCTGTCATAAAAGCCGTCCTGCTATCCGCCGCCCTGGGTTACGTCATTGAGATACACTACAACATTGAACCTCCTGTCCTGCAATTTCAACCGAGTTGAGCTTCTTGAGTGGCTGTATGTGCCCATATTGATGTGGTACCTGGACACTGTGCACCACACTCCCTTCAGACCTTCGACAGCCGGCCCTTGGCACACCGACCGGACGAATAAATCCCTGGGGCTGTCGGACGTGAGATGAACAAACCCGCAAGTCATGCGGACCAATTGTCCCGGACCCATATCGCGAGCCGGACCGCTCATATGGCCGCACGAGCGAAACCGGCAGCGAGATGTTAAACATTCTTGACAGAGGCCGATTTCATTCTCTTGAATCATGCCAATTGCGTCAGCTTATCAGGAATAACCTGGCCCCCCACCCGGGTTCTCTAATTAATGACTACAGCACTATCGGTTACCCAGTCTGGTGTCTTTTTTCGTGGTGTACCTCGGATTCGACAGCAAGACGCGCTGAGTGCGAAGCTCTTGAACGGGCACACTACGTTAAACACTACCCCGGCCGCTATGGAGTTCACATGTACTGAACTGGCGAATCAAGAAGCAGCAGTGGGATTTAATGACAGGATTTCCTAGTGCTGACAGCTCGTCCCTAAGAAGCAAACAATCGGAATGTCAGCTGTAAAATTGACCTCCCCTGATTTGATTCTCCCTTGAGTCTGCTTGCCTGCTTCAAATCAAAACATCATCGCCCTCACAAGCCTCAGTAAGAGAAGCCACCGAGGTCATTCGCGGTGAGCATGGACAAACCTAGGGTCGCCATTGTCGGCGCCGGTAAGTGTTCCTTGGCTGCTGCTGCCAGAGGGTCAGAGGGTGGAGCTGTGGGTACTGAACGCTCATCGCAGGCATTTCCGGCTTGGTGTCGCTCAAGGAGTGCTTGGCTGAGGGTCTCGAAGCTGTGATATTCGATGACGCCAACCAGATCGGCGGCGGCTGGGTCTATGACCCGGACGCAAGCAGCGGCCGCTCGTCCATCTACTCCGGCTGCATGCTCAACTCGTGCCGCGACGCCACCGCCTTCTCCGACTTCCCGCTGGACCCCTCGCGCTACCCGGACTTCTTCCGGCACGAGCTGTTCCGGCGGTACATCGAAGAGTATGCGGAGCACTTCGCCCTCGCCAAGCACATCCGCCTGCGCACCAAGGTTCTCGAGTGCCTGCCGCTCGGGGACGGGACCTGGAAAGTGCGCGTGCAGGAGCAGGGCGGGGAAGTCGAAGAGCACACGTACACGGCCGTCATCGCCGCGACCGGGCACCTCTCACGGCCCAAGACGCCAGGCTTCCCCGGCAAGGACACTTTCGAGGGCGTGTTCCTCCACAGCCATTACTACCGCAGCCCGGGCCGGTTCGAGGGCAAGCGCGTCGTCATCATTGGTCTCGGCGCATCCACGCTGGACATCGCCTGTGAAGTCGGCCCGCAAGCCAAGGAGCTCCGGGTCATCGCTCGCCGAGGCGCTTGGGTCCTCCCTCGGTTTGTGCTGGGCAAACCGCTCGAAGCTTGGGACAGTAAGTTGATTCCGCTCGATTCCGTATCTCGGCAATAGCCAGCTTCTAACACCGCGTCCAGACCGCGCCACGCAGCTCTGGGTCCCCTCGGGCATCGCGCAGTGGGCGCAGAAGCAATTGCTGCACTTCGTTGACGGAAAGCCCCCGAAGGAGCTGATGCCCGACCACAACATCATGTCTCAGAACGCGGCGGTACGCGGCGACTTTCTGGAAAAGGTGCGCTCCGGCCTCGTCAAGATCGAGCGGGCGGGCGTGGAGCGCATCACGCCGACGGGCATCGTCTGCACTAACGGCACCACCTTCGAGGACGTCGACGTCATCATCTCCGCTACCGGCTACGACCACTATGACCTGCCCTTCCTGCCCGCCGACGTGGCCCGCTCCGAGTCGACGCCGCCGCACCTTGTCGACCTCTACAAGATCATCCAGCCGCCCAAGTACCGCAACCTCTTCCTGCACGGCTGGGCCGAGCCCATCGGGTCCCTGCCACCCACCGCGGAGGCGCAGGCGCGTTATACCGCCGGCGTCCTGTCAGGCCGCGTCAAGGTCCCTTCCGAGGAGAAGATGTACGCCGAGATCAGAGCCGACCAGAAGAAGCACGCGGAACATTACATCCACTCGGAGCGGCACGCCAGCTCCGTGCACTTTGCCGACTACATCGACGACCTGCTGCGACCCCTGGGCGCGGTGCCGACGTTCCCCAAGATGCTCTGGCGCGTCTTCTCCACCGGCCATCCCTGGAGATCGTGGAAGGTGCTCTCGGCCGTCTGGTTCGGCATGCCTATTACTGCTGCCTGGCGGGTCTGTGGCCACGGTGCGGACCCGGCGCTGGCCGAGGAGGCTCTTTTGAGGGTGAACTCGAGCAACAAGGATCTTACGCCGCGTGAGAAGGAGGTGCTTCCCGAGAGGAGGGGCAAGGTGCCCGCTAATGTGTGATTGTAGAAAGTGTATTATTGCTTGGTATGTAGTCGATACTTTGAGCGTTATTTCATAGTGTCTTGATAGAAAGTTGTAGCCCTAAATGCTACCGAGGCCGAGGCTGAGCCCATCATTATATCCAATACAGTCTGACCTCTCCATTTGCTGAAATGACAGGATCGGGAGTATCGGGTTTTAGGACTTGACTGCAAATATTGTAGTATAAGGTGCGTTGGTCACCATCAGGCTATCTTGGGGCTTGTGGGAATCCACTGCTGTAGTGCACAAGGTTCCCGGCCTTCCGTCCGAGGACTCGGAAAAGCTCCGCTTGGTTCCACTTTTGCCGTGCGGCAAGCCCTCCGTAAATGAGGCACAGGCCGGGGCCCGAAGGCACCCGGAGTGAGCAATATCTCGGAGGGACCTTCCAGTATGATATGTAATCATGATATCACTACGTGATTGGAGCAAGAATGATGTCGCCGTCATTTGGAAGAAGAAGTCTGATCGCCAGATCCTGCCAGATGTAGGGGTGGCATCCAAGCATTCGGGGAAGAGAACAATGAGACCATGACTGTAGCTTCCCCACTCTGTCGGATACGATATACATTGACTTTCCGAAGTTTATGCACTCATAACCGCCAGTCCGAACAGTTGTGGACGAGAGCGGCATGGCCCGGCCATTCTGGCAGTATGAACATTCGACATCTGGCATTGACCGAGAGACAATGATGCCAAACCGGCACAAAAACGAAAGAAACACTTTTCATGTCGGCGTTCAGTCAGAGGCGAAGACCAACCTCCTTTATATGGTCGGCATGAGGGTTGGCGGACGGAGCTGACGCGCGAAGCCCGACCTGCAGAGACATCCACCAGGGAGCGTTGTTGAGCCTCGGCTTGCTAGCCAAGGATGGAAGCCTGCCCGTATGCTAGTCATGTCCGTCATCCGGCTGGCGTCTGGAGCTGGCGCGCCATTGTCCCAGGACTTTCTGCCGGTTGGAACCCGGCCCAGCAAGGATTTTTAGGCCCCTCTGGGCTTACATTCAACAGTTGGGTGAGCCGCAGATGAACCATACATTAGGCTACCCTAGTCGAGATATTTCCCGCCAAACGATTTTTGCCTTTTCCATGAACCTCCATCCACGACTCCAGTTTTGGTTGGTCTTGGCCGGCTCATCACCTTGTCCATTCCGTCGCCATGCCCTGCGAGTCACCTAGAGTCATCCCATCTTGTCCGAAATGTGACTTTTGGTGAACTAGGCCTTGTCCGGAACCTATTCTACTGCAGTGTTCTTCAATTTTCCCGGATTTACTTCCATTTTGGGAAATTCTTCTGCATATGCAGGCCGTTCCACGGTTATATGCGGTCGCTAAGTCAGCCTCATGCTAATCGAGGGTACCAGTTTGGCCCTGTGACGGCATGCCGATCCTCCGACACGGTTTCCTTGACTTGTCTTGGTCCCTTAGCCAGCCACAAAGACTGCAAATTTTACATTTCTCGTCCGTAAATCCTATCTACAGGGCTTGGGTGGCGTGATGGGAGTGTTTGACTCTTCGGGGCGGATTTCCTCAAGACCCGGCTGGACTGACGCCTAGTGTTGAACTTACCAAACCGATGTTGGAGAAATCTAGGTTCGTAACGTCCGTAAAGAAAGCCAAGCCAGGAACGATCGAAGCAAACCGCCGAGACCCTGCTAGTAGTGTCTATCAATGACAACATGTGTCTCCCCACAAATGCTACCCGTGACATACACCGTCACCTTTGAGCATCGGAAAACAACCCTGGCGTCCGTTTTGCTATAACCGTCGAGGATCTCGATTTGTACCTTCCTGTTTCGGTGATTAATGCTAGATACATGCCAGGTGCTGGGGTAATTGGAAACTTGAGAGCCTGAGGGCTCAACCCACGTGGGAAGTTCCATACATGTTTTGCGATTGGAAGCATTTTATCGTTTACTAACACCGCAATGACAAGTCCACCTGAGAGTGGCTACATGTTTGACCTGTGAGCGAATTCGAGAGCTTGTGACATCTACCAAGCGTGTCGCGCCTGACCTTGGGAGACACGGATGCGACTGTTCATCCTCAGCTCCGCATCTGAAGATATGACGATATTGTCGGTGATATGATCGTTCGACCTGGGTCGACTGCACATTTCTGCAGGTGAGTGGACAGGGGTACCATCTTAGATTAATTTACTGGTCGAGACTCGCAGCATATCAGTAGCCTGTACATTTCTTGGGTCTAGACTCGGCAGATGGGCTAGCAAAGCTCGGGACCGAGACCACACCACCTGGTGAGAGCTTACTTTTTGTAGACTTCATATCTGGTATAAAGGATTTTGATAAGTACAATAAAACGGATTCACAATGCCATGCCAGTTTCATTACTTCCGTTGTTTTCACCAACGGTCAACCACGGAGCAAACCTATACAGCTGCATGATTACATCTGGTCCTCCGAAGCATCCGCCAACTCTAAAACCTCGTACACTAAATCCCCTGCCAAGCAAGGTCCTTTTGAAAGGACGACTTTGTTGCTTCCATTCTGAAAACCCGGCGAGATGGCCGACAGACGCCCGTCTCAAACAGTCCCTGTGGGTCTTCGTCGTGAGAGCTCCGTGGCAAACGGAAGCCTATTTCGCTTTGAAGAAGGATTTTACTCCACCCAAGACCTTCCCGGGCTTTGTCCTGAGCTGGAATCAAACATGGAGCAGCTCACGGTACAAAAGTCGAAGAACCAGACAACACAGACAGAGCTCTCGGCACCCCCACCGATCCATCAGTCCTCGGAGGAAAAGTCCCTCAGGAGCTTCCGAACAGCGCTACCGCCACCCTCGCTCTCCTCGGAGTCGTCTATGACGGATCTCAAGGCTCACCAGGAGCCCGAGTTCCCGGAAAAGAAGGGATGCAGAGTCTATCGATTCTTGAGGTGGAATGTTGGTTCCATGTACAAGAGGATCTTCACGGTAGCCTTTTTGGGTAATGTTGCCACCATTATTGTTCTGTTGGTCCAGAACCTCATCGATGGCTCTGGCCTGACTTATGGTGAAGCTGGCACTGCTGTGGCGTGCAACATTCTCATGGCCATGATCGTCCGGAACGAGCATATCGTCAACGGAGTCATCACTGTGTTTGGCGTCTGGCCCCGCCGGCTCCCACTCCGACTTCGACACTTCTTCGCCAAGGTGTACTGCTACGGTGGAATCCACAGTGGGTGCGGGGTCGCCGCGACATTCTGGTATATGGTATTCCTCGGACTTATCACCCGTGACTACGTAAACTCGGACATGACAGTCATCCGGAGCCACATCCTCGAGGTCAGCTACGCTATTCTGTTCCTCCTTGTCAGTATTCTCGTCTTTGCCTACCCGACCATTCGCATCGCCACGCACAACTGGTTCGAAGGGATCCATCGCTTCATGGGATGGTCTGCCACTCTTCTTTTTTGGGTTCAAACCTTCTTGGTTGCCGCAGACACCGCCCAGACCGCCAACATCCCATACTGGAAGGCCCTTCTCCAGACTCCCGCATTTTCCATCCTCATCTGTATTACCTCGCTCGTCATATATCCATGGGCCCGCTTGCGGCTCCGTGATGTCGAGGTTCAGCCCCTGTCCAGCCACTGTGTGAAGCTCAACTTCACCTACACAACAGGCTGGTACGGCCAAGCAGTCCGACTCGCGGACTCGCCCCTCAAGGAAACACACGCATTCGCGTTGATTCCCAACACCACGACCGAGACGGAGATGAAGCGTGGCAAGCCGCAGAACCTCACCTATGTCGATAAGAAGGGCTTCTCGGTCATCATCTCCAACGCTGGCGATTGGACCCGCCGCATGATCAACAATCCGCCTCGCCAGATTTACTCGCGTGGTGTTCCGCAAGACGGTGTCCTCCGCATTGCGCTCATGTTCAGGCCCTGCCTCATTGTCGCTACTGGCTCGGGTATCTCACCCTGCCTTTCTCTCTTCATCGATCAGCCGACGCATCCCGTGCGGGTCGTCTGGGCTACCAAGGACCCCCTCAAGACTTTTGGCAAGCCGGTCCTGGACACAATCTACGGGGCCGACCCCAACGCCGTCGTCATCGACTCTCGCAAGGATGGGCGGCCGGACGTTGTCAAGCTTGTCTACCAGGTCTGGAAGAACAGCGGTTCGGAACCCGAGTGCGGGTTCGAGACTGCGGCGACAGCGGCCGGATACGAGTATCAACGGAGTAAGACGGCGGGTCTGGGGCGCTGTCAAGCTGTGATCATCATCTCCAATCAGACAGTGACGAGGAAGGTGGTTTACGGGCTTGAGAGCAGGGGTGTGCCAGCTTATGGTGCGATCTTTGATTCATAGCGGGGGTTATTGGTCTTGCTTCGCTCCTTTCATTATGTATTGTACAAAAGCTGTCTCTTCTCCACGATTGACTCTTTGGCGATTCACGGCAACGACGAAAATGGTTCGGTCAAATATTTATATACTAATAATGATAATTCCAAGTATCAGCCACTCTATCATTGTTCTTGCTCTACGATTTCCAATGCTTCGCGGTCTTGATATTACGTCTCTGCCGTGGTTTGCCATTGATCGCCCAGAACTCATCGACCCATTCTGCGATCTGTGAAATGGAGCCATCCTGGGCCTCCCTGACACCCGGGTTCACGCGGTTGTACGCTCTCAAGTCCTGGCAGTGAGATGCGTTCTTGATCATGAACACTGGTGCGTCTGAGGTCGACTCGAGCGGGCCGCCGGGCCGAAATTTACTCGACACGGACGCAGACCTCCATGGATCGTATTCACTAGTGTCGTATCATGTCAGCCATAGTCTTTGTTTGTTCTGGTCAGTTGCAGCTAACCCATTCACCCAGACCAGCCTTTTGGTATCAGTCCGATGCCACCCTTCTGTCTCGATATTGAGCATCTCAGCCGTCTTGCCCCTGTTTGCCCCATATGTGAAGCCCTTCTCCTCCGGGAAGAATATGCCACACTGTCGCTCGAAGTATTCGGCTGTTATCAGGCGCGAGGCGATAGTAGGCCGTCCTGCGGGCGCACCGGTCTGGAAGTAGAAGAACGGTTCGTTGCAAGTCATCCAGACCCATGGTCTATAAAACAGATTGTCGGCACTTCGGTCAGTGTACATAGGGCTTGTCAAGTTATGAGTGTCAAAGCAGCGGCTTGAGTTTGTTGCGGAAAGATCTGTGTAGTTGTAGTGCTCGGCACAGACTGGCAGAAGCTGTTAGCCTCATGCACTTCATTGAGGCATTTTACAATTTGGTACTCACATCCTGGGAGGTACTTGTTCTTAAACCACGCAGCGAACCTAGCCGTGAGCTTCTTGGCCCTTGCTTTGGCCACTGCCCGATGATGAAGTGCCGTGGATCCGTTCCCGCAGTGCCTACCCTCTTCAATGGCGTCGCACATCTTAAAGAAATCGCTGTAGCCTGAATTAAATTGGATACTTTGCCAATCGCTTACGGGAAAAGCAAGAGCTCTGTCCATATGTCAGTGTGTCGAAAATGAAAGCCAGTCTCCTTATTTTCCTTACGCTGCAAAGTCGTCGTGCTCCAGATCCCCAAGGCCGAAGCTATCCTTTAGCTTCTGCGCGGCATCTTCGTCGTCACCAGTCAGAACATCATCGACATGCTCGATAATGTGCGCCATATCCTGACTACAGTTCTTTGGCATGCCCTCCTGGATCGGCATGAAGTACTGCCAATAGTCATGTATAGCCTGGACGGGCGCGCTGCTGGCGTGGTAGGCCCAGAACGTCCCCGGCGAGAGCTTCTCTGTCCATGCCGCCAGTGCTCCGGAGTATGAGCCGCCAGTCATGATCCATGGCTAGAAAGCAAAGACAACAGGTCAATAGCGATACTTAAGCGAGGGCATCAGCTGATGACCTACCGCATTAGGAGCGTTGCTCGTAGAGTTGTCATCAAATGGTAGATGAACGTTCCGGGCAAAGCGGACGAAATCAAGGACCGAGTTTCGCAAGGTAAGGTACTGCAGCGCCTCCGTATCTTGAACTTTGAATGGCGTTGAGAGGCCCCAGTACCGATCTTGGAGGGTGTCAGACAAGGCTACACAGGTCCAGATAATAGATAAAACGAACGCTCAACCATTACGACAGCTGCCTGGATCTTCTTCGCCTGCAGCCCCGGCAGTGCCGCGTCCGTAAGGTATCCGCCGTACTTATCAGCAGCCGTTTCGCCAGGAGTGAATAAGACGACCTGTCCAAATGTCAGAAATACCCATATTCCCGGTCGCAGACCTCCAACATACGGGATACCCTGGCCCTCCCCAGTACGTGAAGTTGAACCAGTACCGCTGATTGAATGTGCCGAGATCAGGGTCGTCATGGTCGATGAGCTGCTGAAAGGATGAGAACCCAGAAAAGTTCACTGGCGCATACTTGGCTGCCTCGAGCGCAATTAAGCCTGGCCTAAAGCGAGTCGATAATGTGGCATAAGCCACCGTGATGAGGGTTGCTAGGGGGAGCAATGTTGACACGACTGACGCTCTCATCTTGAAGACTGCCTTAGCTGACAAGGAAGCAGCCTGGCAAGTAAGTTTGCACCTGAACTAGAGGTCGGAAGCTTGGAACGGCAGCTTTATAAAGCTGGAGCTGTTTGCTCCGACACCGAAGCGATATGGTAAAGGGCGGCTGGAAGTCCCCGCTGTGGCACTGGCAGTATGCCTTATCTCGCAGGAGAATAAGCAAGAGGTGCTATATGAAGATGCAGATAAGATGATGCCATGGGATCCGTAGGCCGGCATTGAGATGTGTACAGTGAGAGAACTGGGGCCTGCGTGGGTTGAGAGGCCCGGGAAGAACACCTTACCAGGTTTTGTTTGTTGAATTCTATGCACCATGAGCATTACTCGGGTCTATCAACAAGAAGGAAAGGGTTTTGACTGAAATAGAACACTACCATCCGAGCATGCATGACTATGCTACGGTCACAACGCGTGGGGGACAAGGGCCAGCAAACCGGCCTAGAAGCGGTTTTCTAGAGCGGATTTTGGGCTTTACCATCAGAGCTGGAGGCTTTGGCATCGCGGGGTGTTGGCGCCGAGCCCAGAAACGGCCACGGCCGCGGCTGATTGATGAGTTCACCCGGCTGAATTAATCAGGGTAATATCGAGGCATCACGCGTATGTGTCACCTATGCACACCAAACATTGGCCCACCCTGGCACGCGCTCTTCTCCAAGAGTCTGGACACGGGATTGGAAAAGAGTGGAATCTTACACGGAAAGGAGATACCGATGGGCTGCCATGAATATGATTAAGGTTTGCTATTGTTGAGAGCCGACTCTGGCTAGTGCGCTTTACACATTCTCCACGTTCCACGGAACGACCTACGCCACTGTTACGAAGCAAGTTTTGAGGAGCATGATAGAAGGTCACAAAAGAGAAGCTAACACTACTCGGACTGGGGCGCTTGAGGGCTTTTGGAGCGAGGCCTGATTTCCGATGACCGCGAAGTTAGCATACGCTTGCAGGCACGCAAAAGCCAAAGCTGGGGGGCGACATAATTGTGATAACTAGACATTAAAGTAAATCTTTGTCTGCTTCTCAATAGACCATCTCGGGGTTAAGTGGAACTAATTGTGAAGAAATATTCGAGAAGCTTTATATCGACTTATCTATACCAGCCTAGTTCATTCCACGATCTGAAGAGCCAAGCTATCGGGGGGTCTGATTTACTGGCACGACCTTCATCACCCCATTCTCCTCTCGGACGGCAACCAACTTGTGTCCGGAATTCGTCGCTGGCAACTCTACCGGTATGAAATTCGATCCTGGCAATTCCACTGGCATGAGTCTTGTCTCGCCGTTCTCCACGCGGATCACAACAGGCTTCTTCGCCCGTCTTTTTCTCGCGCATGATCGGACGCATAACCCAATGCAGCCCCCTGTGCAACATATGAAATGGGACGCCCTGTGTGGGAAAAGCGCATGTCAGCGACGGCACTCTCTCGAAGAAAGGCTGGGTTGCAGGAACGGTGTTTGGGGACTAACCATAGCGCACACATCATTATCATGACAAGGTACTCGTCGTCAAGCCACGGTTTGCGCGGCGCGTTAGACGGGCTTTCCAAGCTGAATGATGCGAATGCTAGGACGAACATGGCTGCGAATGCCAGGGCCCAGGCCAGTATGTCAAAGCAGATAACGGCGCCGTGCGAAGGCTTGTTCTTGAACATTGTGCCGGCGACGACCACCCACGCGGTCACTCCGAGGGTTGAGATACACTAGAAGAATTTGGTCAGCGAGACGTTAATAGCTAACCCCGAGGTGATAGCGTCTCCTCTTGGGCACTTACGGCAACGATGCCGCAAGCAGCGTTGTCGCTGGCATGGTAGGGCCTGCACTCGTCCGGGTGCCAAGGGCTACACTCGCCGTTCCAGCGCCTGATGTAGCGGATCAGAAAGGCCAGGACCACGATCGCATAGACGGATAGGGGAATCCGAAAGGGCAGCTGCCAGAGGAGGTACTTCCTGCGCCTCGGCCGAAGGGCGACGTTGTTGTTGGCGTCGTCTGCGGGAGCCATGCTAACTGTGCAGGCTTGTGCGAATCGTCACCGGGTGTAAAGATAGTGGGATGTCGAGATGACTGATGGAGAAAGGGTCCGGCGGGTATTTAATCGCGATGGGTGAAAAGGGCCCTGACCCTGGTGTTGTGGCTGTGTTTTCTCCAGCGGCACAGCACATTCGTGTTGAAACCAAGCGATGACCCGAGAAAGCCAAGACAATTTAGGCATTCACTCTATGGGTCTGACAGAGAGTACAGGCACTATTATTGGACAGCCCTAAGGGTGGCCGCAAAGAACAAGGAGATGACTGTCAAGAGTGGTGCCGTTCTCTCAATTCGCCAAGCAATGACTATGCTTTTTTCAATACGATGTCCCGAATAAGCATTGAATACCACCGTACCCGGGATGCTTCCTTAGACCCCGGTCTGACCGGCATCAGTCTACCACACGTAGCGGAAATGAACGTTTTGCTTGTCCGTGAGATCCTTGAAATCCGTGTCGACGTGGACACGCTCGCCGCGCGTGCTGTCAACGCGATCTCGACGGCAGTTCTCCCAGTAGCAGTACAGGCCATACAGCGCGATGGTGATGATGGCAAGCACGTACGCGCCCAGGATGGCGCCCATGCCAAGAGGGTAGAGGGGTGCTTGATTGGCCTTGAAGAACTGGGGCGCGATGATGTTGGAGACTAAAGGCAATGTCAGCGATGGCGGACTAAACGAGGAAGTGGGCGCCAAGGATCGACGGAGGGTTCTACGTACTGCAATATGCAATGAAGATGACGGCCTGGACTGTGACTTTCTTGGTGTGCCCGGCAATGTTGGCGACGTTCAGGGCCAGGCTGACGATATAGGGGCCGAGGAAGAACTTGGCCATCCAAAGCGCGGCGAGACGTCCGTGGATAGCGTTGAGTGGGAGGGTGTACAGGAATACGGATGCGATCATGCCGATGATCTCGCCGCCGATGATGATGCCAACACGGCACTGTAGCTTGGGCCAGCGCCGTGTCAAATACCAGACGCCACCATTGCAAAGCCACGAGGAGACAGTGGCGACGGCAGCTTCGGGCATGGTCAGTAGCAAGGCGGTGCGTGAGTCGTACCCGAGGCCCTTGATGACCAGAGCTTGGAAGTCTTCACGATTGACGATTAGCTAGACAGTTCCTAGACGCACTGAGCAATGGCGAAACATACTAGTCAGACCACCGTTAGGAATGCTGACGAAGACGTTGAAGAAGAACATGAGCCACGTCTTGGGATCCCTCAGGGCCTCCCAGACCTGCTCTTTCTTGAATGTCTTATTCTCAATGCCAGTCTGGTCGGCACGCAGGCGTTCGACAGTAATGGCTTTTTCGCGTTCTGTGACAAACTTGGCCCGGATCAGGTTGTCAGGGAGGAAGAGGCCGATAATGACGGACCACACAAGGGAGATGGAGCCGATTGTGATGAAGAACCACTTCCACTGGTGGCCACCGGCAATAGCACCGACACTACAGCCAGGCCTGGTTAGCTTTTGAACTCAGTCTGGAAAAGGTGTCTCTAAGAACTGACCCATAACCGATTGGAGCGGTGAAGAAGGTTGACAGGTTGGTATACATCAAGCCAGACCGCAATGATTGCTCACTGTCCATGACGTTAGCTACCTTCTCCTTTGTTCCATCAGGCTGTATCTGCACGTACTGTCGAGTGTACCACATGGTCAACATGAGGTAGCCTCCAGGGATGATAGGTGCCTCCAAGATTCCGAGCAGAACCCTCAGTGCTATCATAGCTGGGAAGGTTCTTGTGTACGCAGTCGATATAAGGATAATACCCCAGACTAGGGCATTGAAGTGAATTAGTCCTGTGGCTATCGGCAATGGTTGCTGTGCTGATTTCGGATACTCACGAAAGATAATGCCACACATCAGCTTGGCTATGGGCAACTTTTGCAACAGACTTGCGGCCGGGAAGCACCACACGAGGTACCTATTGAATGATAAGATCATCTTTTCTCAGTCCTTCAGGGCAAGAGCTACGTTGTGCCATATCGTCGTGACTTACCCGAAGTAGAACGCGCTTCCTAGCCAGGAGTATCGGTCCCCTTCCGAGTTCGTGTCTTCGCGCATGCCAAAGAGTGCGCCAGTGGACGTGCTGACCTTGTCCATGGCACCTAGGACGATGTTGAAGCATAGCAGTGGGATTAGGCGACGGTCGAGTTTCCACCGTAGCGAACGCGCCTCCTTTTGCGTGTACGGCTCGTTCTCGCTGAAGTAGTTGGTGTAGGCGGCTGCGACGTCGTCCTGGCGAGTTGGCTGCAAGACGCCGTTCTTGTTCTCGATGTCTACGGCAGTGGTCGTCTCCATTGGCTTGTTGGTCGAGCTCTCGACTCGGTCCATTATGACAACAAAGTCCTTTTTCCGGGTGATGGAACGGGGTTGGGATTTGGGGGGTGGAAAAAGTGAGAGATGCAAGACTCGAGATGGGGAAAGGAAGCTGTAGAGCAAGTGATCTTCGGATACATATACAAACAAGGCTCTGTACCTCATACCCGTCAAATCATTTTCCCTGATATCCCTTTGGAGCGGAGATATCAAGGTCCCAAGGCGGCCCCATGTCTGGGGATGCGTGGGACTGGATATGCGGCATCTCCATCCCAGCGTGATAAGGAGTGGATCTGGGGTCGGCGTTGTTGCGACTGTAGGAGTAGCATCGGCACGTTCGGAGTGGAGTCTCCCTAGCGCCCGATACTCATGTCAGTGTCCACTCTGTGCATGTCTACTCAGGGATGTAAGTGCGGAGAAGACACAGGAATGCCTCAACAACCCTGTCTAGAGATAAGCGGCGCAGGGTCTAGTGGGAGAGTGTGGCGCGAGGTGGTGTTACAGATGTTGCCAAATGGTGTGCCGACTCACCAGTTGTTGGAGATAGGATACTCAGGATCGTAAAACACGAAAAAGGTTCGGGATCTTTGAGGATGAGGTGCTTGTGTAGATTAGATGAGAACTAGTTTCTATCTAATGCCAATAGCTAGATTACTACCGATGGGCTCGCCAGCCTTTGTCCTTCGGCGTATGTCAACAATCGCATCGGCAAGCCGCTCCACCCCTTCCTTGATAGCTTTGTCTTCGTTCCAGGCCCAGCACAACCTAAGACACCTCGCGTACCCTCCGTGAGCTTCTGCTCTGGGAATACTACCCTCATCACCAGCTACCACAAACATGTGACCAAAGGCAACGCGCAGGGCGTACTCCTTGAAAGCGAATGCCGCCACTGTCTTGGCCACAGGTAGGTCGGATGGAAGCCGCACATATAGGAAGTACCCACCAGCAGTAGTGGGAGTGGAATGTGAAGATTTGTTGTTCTCGATAGTGACTCCCAAGGGAACAAGTCGGCTCTCAATACTTGATATCAGAGTGTAGTATCTGCTTCGGTAAGTGGGTATCAGTGTGTCCGTGATGTACTCTTGCAAGTGGTGGGAACGTAGCATCTTGTCTACGAATGTAGAGGCCAGGTGCGATGGAGCACCTCCTGAGCTGGACGAGCCTCTGTCAATGTGTTAGCGATACGCAAGAAAGCCATGAGGTGATGTATTTTTGCCACGATACTTACACCTCGCCCAGTTCTTTGATGAAAGCTGCAGTACTCTCGGCCCAGCCAACTCTGATACCAGGTCCAATGATCTTGGAAAAGGAACCGTTACTCAGCGTGTTGCCCCATTTGCTGCCTCCCTCGAGCTCGCGATCGAGGTCGACTAGCCGTGGAGGTAAAGGCGCAACCACTTCTGTTGCGGCGTTCTGATCGGCAGGCCAGCTGAGAAAGTCGTACACATCATCAGAGATAACAAGAACATCATGCTCCCTCGCGAGCTTGACCAACGCCCTCCGATTCTCCAGCGAATAGGTCTTGCCACTAGGATTGGCAAAAGTTGGCGTGCAGTAAACAACGTATTTGTAGATCTTGTTAGGGTAGTTGGCTCCGGTCTTCATGCGTGGCTCGTCTGGGAGTCCCTCGGCCTTCGCCTGCTGTACAGCGCTAGCCTCTGCCTTCTCTAGCTCCTGGCGTAGGTATTCGACGTCGATGCCCTCGCAATTCTCAGGAACGCCGCGCATCTTGCCGTGGAAGCCGTTGTCCTCGAAGATCGGGCAGGCAAGGAAGTAAGTCGGCTCGACCATGAATATCCTCCGCGTGTAGCCCGCGTCAGTGAAACGGGCCAGGACATTGGAGAGATTGGCGGATGCGCCGTTGCTGATGGCTATTCTGTCAGAGGTGACCCCTCCAGCACTGGGGTTGTACATCGAGGTGAGCCATTCCGCAACGCTCTGTCGGAATGGCGGATGGCCCAGATGCGGCCCGTAGACGAGAGCCTTCGCGACCTCGGCTTCTGACGTGAGGACTTCTTGTGCGCCGGCGAGAAGACCCGCGGCAGCAAACAGACGCGGCGATGGCCATCCGAGCTGGAGGTTGATAAGCTCCTTTGAGGCATTAGCATTCCCCAATGAGCCCATGATGATGCCTGGTGTATGTGTAGAGGTGGCGTGTGGGATGGATCAGGCCGCTGCTTCGTGCAAGTTAGGAGTTGTACGTTGTCCAACTTACGGCATTTGAACTTGAACGGCTTGGCATCTTGGACCGATGTCCTGCGTTTGCTTTCAATATACCACCCTCTCCCAGCACTTCCTAGTTTGGTTGCCAAGTTCTCCGCATCGGCGGAAACACCGTGGGCGAGCTGAGAAAGCCCCGCATAACGGAGCGTCGCCTAGTGTCGGGCGCTAGGGATGCTCCAGCCCGATGACGATCGACACACCTTTCCATGGTGGGATCTTCAAGTCATCTGCTAATCTCGACGACCAATAGAGATGATGCAGAGCTGCTACTACTGTTGGAGAGTTGGCTGATCAGGGACTTGAGGAGATAAGCCGGCATGAGGGGAATACGCGACCTGGGGAAGATCGGCCACTCGAATCCGACCTTCTCCCCCAGCACCACTCATCTGTCGGGGCCATGCCGAACCGACGTCGACATGGCTGGTTTGCAGCGAGAGATGCGGTTCGCGTCCGCGACCGGACGAATATGGGGAAGCAAAAGCTACTCCAAATTGCGGGACAAGCTTCTCTTTGAACTTCTTTGTAAACATTCCCAGCTGCACTCTGTCGTGGTCCATCTTTGACCGTAGCTAACAAGTCACCTTATCTCCAGCATCATGTCGCAGAAATACCCTGATGTCAAGGCGGAAAGCGCCGCATTTGACGCCGAGGTGAAGGCCATCGAGAAGTGGTGGCAGTCTGATCGCCAGAAGCACATCAAAAGGTATGCATGAGAACAGCTTCCTTCAGAAACTCGCTCTAAACCGCGATAGACCCTACACGGCCAAGTCCATCGCTGCGCTTCGCAACATCGGCTTCAAGACCGACTATCCCTCCAGTGTACAGGGCAGAAAGCTGTGGAAGATCCTCAATGAGCACAATGCAAACGGCACGTACGAGCTGACCTTTGGCACGACGGAGCCCCTCATCGCGAAGGAGATGGCCAAATACAGTATGTGGAAGCTTGCCCACCAGTCCAATAGCTTAGCTAACTCAAGCACCTCCCAGTGCAAACCGTCTATGTCTCGGGCGCACTCTGCGGACACTCTCAGGCGGCCTGGCCGGGCGAGGACCACGCCGACTACCCGGCCGACACGGTCCCCTCGGTCGTCAAGCGCATCTTCAACTCGCAGCTCTTCCAGGACCAGCGGCAGACGCAGCTGCGCATGCGCTTCTCCGAGGAGGACCGCAGGGACCTCGAGTGCATCGACTACATGCTGCCCATCGTCGCCGACGCCGACATGGGCTTCGGCACGCTGACGGGCTGCATGAAGCTCGCGCGCAGCTTTGTCGAGTCGGGCGTCGCCATGGTCCACATCGACGACCTCGCCATGGGGCTCAAGAAGTTTGCCAACGGCGAGGGCCGGACCATCGTGCCTACCTCTGAGTACCTGCAGCGGCTCACGACTGTGCGGATGACGTTTGATATCATGGGGTATTACCTTCCCCCTTGCATGATGCTGGAAGATAAAGAGCGTGAGTAGCTAACACCCTACCGCAGGGCAGACACCATGCTTCTCTGCCGCTGCGACAGTGACAACGCAGAGTTCATCAACAGCGTCGTCGACCCGCGCGATCACCCCTACGTCCTCGGCGCGACCAAAGTTGTCCCTTCTTTCCTGCAGGCTCTCGCCACGGGCCGCGAGTCTGGCAGGGACTACCTGGCCGTCAAGAAAGAGTGGAAGGCATCGGCGGGTCTAATGACATTCGACGATGCCGTAAAGTCCCAGGCCGACTCGGAAGACCAATACAAGAGCTACGAGGCCGAGGTCAAGGGCAAGATCATCGCGCTGCAGGACCGGAGGGCCATCGCCAGGAAGATCACCGGCAAGGACATTATGTTTGACTGGGAGCTACCCCGACTGCCGCGCGGCCAGTACATGTGGCAGTGGTGTACGCAAGCTGTCATCGACCGCGCCGTCCTAGCTGCTCCGCTCGGCGACGTGACGTGGAGTCGACAGGACAAGCCCAGTAAGTGTTTCATCGTCGTCAATCCCCCAAAACGCTGAACGACGCGCTGACACTGCCGGGGACCAGACAAGAAGGATATGGAGGACTTCCACTCCGGGGTCCGCAAGGTCTTCCCGAACCGCCTGTTCGCTTTCGGCTACACGGGCGCCTACGACTTCGTCAAGGCGGGTTACACGGAGCAGGAGGTCGAGACCTTCCCTGCCGACATCGCCAAGCAGGGCGTGGTCTGGCAGGTGCAGCCCATCTGGGCGACGCAGGGCCTCAGCCTGCACGCCAAGCAGTTCGCCGAGATGTTCAAGAAGGAAGGGATTGCGGGTTACATGCGCAACGTGGCCAAGCCGGCCATCGAGGGCATGGCGACTGACAAGTATGGTAAGCCCACGTCGCGCGGGGGGTATCTGGCAGACGCCTTCTTTGATGTGGTAGATGGCGATGAGATCACTGAGGTAGCTTAGACGAGACCATCATAGACAAATTTCATTGCATACTTAAAAGATTGATTGTTCACACTATTCTGGTTGATGGTTGTCAAGATATCAAGACGTGAAGAAGAGTGGTATCATATCGTTGGGTCGAAGAGGCCCGGGAATCCCAGCGCTGCGTAATCAAAATCGTCAGGCTCGAGGTTTGAAGTGTCGAGGGTGAAGAAGTGTGGAGTGACTGGCTGAAACAGATCGCCAGTGATTGCAGTGCCCATCGGAGACTCGTCGCTCTCCAAAATCTGGTTGGACGGATCATTATTGATCGCATCTTGGGTTAACTGCAGTGTGCTGGCTTGCTGGTGGTGGCTGACTGGAAATGCCTCAGTGGCCATCTCTCTAATCATCCGAAGTGTATCGCGATGCACGACGATAGCCTCGATCTCTGATAGCAAAGAGAGTAGCTTCTGGGAGGACTCGGGCCGTATCCTCTTTGGCCGCAGACTCGGACTCGCCACGAAGTTGACGAGGGGTACTTCGCGTGCCAGGATGTCAAACGCGTCTCTGAGCACCTTGGTAGAGTGCCATCTCTCTGCAAGGAGAGACAGTACTATACTGCAGCACCGGACTGCTTCCGACACCTCAGATGGGTCAAAGGCTGCTGACCGTGATAGGCCCTGTGTCGCCCAGAAGCAATAGAGTAGGGCAACGCCACTTTTGAACTGGGCTATCAAGCCCATCCAAGCTTCGCTGATCGCTGATTCTCTTTGAAACTTGCGAAAGATCAAAATGGTTTGCACACATGCTTTGACTGTCCAGTCTCCCGCAGGACCACCGGCTGTCTGCCTGTTTGGCTGGTAGAGCATGAGAAGGCTGTAGTTGTATACGATATGTAACCACTCCTCGTGCACCAGCGACAGCCTCGCTCCGTCTTCTGTGTATCGGTGGCAGAGAGACTTCCACCTGTCCAACTTCTCTAGGATGTGGCGGCGCCAGCTAGGCAGACGGTCGAAGTCCTTCTCAAAGTCTCGATGCAGAGTGGTGTTGAGTATTTCCGACTGGATCTGCCTGCAGTATACGATGTGTAGTGCTGCAGAGATGTTTGTGTAGGAGGGCTGGCTGTGCGGGTCGTCCGGAAAGGCCGCCTCACAACGCCGGTACAAGTCGGCATCGTCGACATTTGCATACATCTTGGTTGTGATCTGGTAGTCAGGAATGCAGAATGGCAGATGGAACATGGTGCTGACAGCCCGATCGAGAGCATAAGCGGACCAGAACACTCGTCGTCTTAGCTGAATTCCGACCTTCGCCGCAACGTCGGCCGCTCTTGGTTCCGCGTCTGCCAGATGCAGTTGCGCCATGACGCAGTAACGCATCGCCGTTGACGTGATCGAGACGAGCCTCTCTGTGGAGGGCGAGTACAGCGCATGCATAGCTAGGAGCAGGTAGGCCTGGATGTGGAGGACACGATCCGGCAGCGAGAACATGTGCGGCAAGTATCGTGAGATGGCGACCTGGTAGAAATCTTCTTGGCGAGCTTGGGACAGCTGGAACTCACCCGTCTTGCCAAGAAGAAGACTGATAGAGAATATCATGTTTGCAAAGAAGGCTAGGGTCATATCCTGCTTCCTCCTGCTGATATCTCTGATTGGTTCCAACTGGAGAAATGGATAGCGTGTTTGAACTCTCTCATAGTAGGACTGGAAGAGCATGTCTTCACCAGATTGTTCAAGAGACGGAAGTTCTGGTAGGGGTGGATGCATGGCAGACTGAGACGTAAGATAAACTTGCGAAAGAGGATCGTGAAGGCTAATAGGTAGCATGCCGATTGCCGCCGAGGTGCGGGCCGGGGTGACATCCGGCGTGGACAAACTTGGAAACACTGGTCTGCTTCTCTCTCTTTCTGGTTCAGCTTGCGAATGCACTTGTTGTGAGCTGGGAAAGCCTGCATTCCGAAGGTCGGTTTCCGGAACTCTGCTCTTCTCCAGATGAGATACTCTCTCTTCGAGCGACGCTATATCCCCGAGTAGAGCAAGAGGCGGATGTAACCCATTCGTTGAAGTACTGGAAGACGGTCAGTGGCCACCCACATTCTTATGGGTAGCTTCACTCTCACCTAGCAGGTTGAGGCCAGTACGGGCGTGATGGTGCTTCATGGCACTCCTCCCCCGACCTGGTACAATTGGCACACGGCCGTTCATCGTCGCATTTTTGCTAGATATGGAATCAGCTCAAGTCTCGCGCCCGGCGGCTAAAGATAAGGTCGGCTAGCTCACCTTTCTCCGCCGACATCGCTGGCAAGCAAGCGTCTTAGGACGCTTAGTTGGAGGCTCGTCCGACGCGTCAAAGGTATTACTGTACTGTAGGGCAGTCCCTGGAGTATAGGTAGTCATGATTCATCTTCTGGTATTATTTTGGATAGTTCACCAGTCCAGGTGAGACGGGGTGGAGGATGGTGACTAGAGCGACGCAACTACATGTACACTTGCTTGGAGGTGGTGGTGCCGGGTGGGGATCCGGGTATTTTGACGCTACACCCCGAGATAAGGATCATTGTGTGCATGTTGGTGAAGGCCGCAGCAACGTTCAGACCGGTATGAAAGGGACATTTCTGGGAATGCAAGTTGATTTCGGGATATCCTCCATAACATTCAATGTCTTTGCTGATTTGAAGCGAGGTAATTGTAGTGGAAGGGAAAGAAGCGACGATTCGCCCTGGTCTCGAGGCACACCCGACGATAGCACGTGCTGCATCACGTGTAGACTAGACCCACACCTGCAGATCCGAGGTGTGGTGCCTTTCTCGACTCTCCTCCAACGGCAAACAAGCCATTTCAAACTCGCTCACCAGATCGCAATTGAAGTTTCCAGTCGCTTCAATCAGCATACCAACATGGGGCACGCAGTTACCGATGCGCCGCGGCGTACGTACACCACTTTTCCCCGCCCTCAGGCCGTCCAGCATGCACTGACTGACTGATCCGGAATCAACAGAAGCGACCCGCGAAGAGATGCGGGATGCGAAGCTGCCCATCCAGTACCGTGACAGCTGCGCCAACCTCCTGATCCCCCTCAATCGATGCCGATTCGAGACCTACTATCTCCCATGGAAGTGTGAGGTATGTGCCGAGAGTGCCTGCGCAGCGGCCGGAGCTGCTTCGAGGCCGGGACAAACTCCCGAGCCCGCCGCGACGAGACTGACCCGATTGCTATCCTTTAGGACGAGAGGCACAGCTACGAGAAGTGCCAATACGTCGAGTTCAAGAAGCGAGTGGCCAAGATGAACGAGCTGAGGGAAGCAAAGGGCGGCGCGAGGAGCAACTAGACGGCTGGAGTTGGTGATACCATCTGGACGATGAGGACCCGAAGTCCTGTGTACATATCCGGTGTTTCGACAAATACTAGAGGATACAACACTCTTGCTGCTTTTTTGTCATTGACTTGGTGGAAAAGCTGCAAGGCTTATAGGAAAGGCCGCTCTCTTCCTTTGCGAATGACTGAGGAGGGCTGGTTTAGTTGGTGGACGCAGGAAGGTTGTTTTTGTGCAGCTAATTCGTCTCCAGACCATCAATTGCATGCAAATACTCCCGACGCACCTCGATGACCATCGCACGAACTTATCAGATACACAACTGTATCATCCACCGTGAAGATTCGAACTCGTTGGAACCGAATTCGCGTGTGCCTCGCAACAGAAGCCTCGGTCTTTTCGACCTCGACTCACCTCCCTCCCCCGACGTCACAGTCAGAGACTTGTACAATTCTGGCCCTGTCGAGGAGCCGCCTTTGGCGCAAACTCTAGGATTCGAGGAACCCACCGTGATCACTTGCGCACAGCCACTCGGGGATTCAAGCTACTACCGACCACGATAGACCTCCTTGTGTTCTCAAGATGCATTCCTCTGCTAGTCAGATCTCACATTCGCTTGCCTCTTCCCGTACGCCCTATCCGGCATACTATACGTTGCACATGTCCTTCTAGTTCCGACCTTCTTCCCAAACGTCAGTTTCAGCTCTTCCTTCGGACTTCCAGAAGTAGCAGGGGCACTACAATCCTCCACCCATGCCATGACCGCAGACGTGCCCCATTTACGGACCCCCGCGCAGGTGTTGTCCAGCACATCGTCTCTCGGAGGGGGCGAGTTCTGCGCCAGGGCCAACATCTCGGGGATAGTCTCCCAGGCATCACCCGTGAGCGGGCTGAAGACCACAGTCTTGATGGTGAACGCCAAGGCCATGACGGCGTGCAGAACCAGCAGGACGATGCTGAAATAGTCAAACCACCCGTTTGCAGCGATCACGAATCCGTGGAAGTACGCGCGCATCGTCATCGGTGTGGCGGCTCCGGACGATGGCTTGGGCATCGTGACCGTGGGATCCCTTCCCGCGATGATGTACTCGCGAGTGCGCGCCCACGACCAGGGCTTGGAAAGCTCAGGCTCCAGGGATGCGCTGTAGTTGAGCATACGGTGCGAGGACACTCGAGAGATGGTGTCGACAAGGAGAGTGGAGATAATCAATTCGGTCATGATGGCGACTTCCTCCTTCTTGCCGTCAGCGAACTCGTCTTTGTGAAGGGCTGCTGCAAGCACGCTCTCTAAAGTTGTGCTGTTTGCGGGTAGGTTCTGTCGACTGTCTAGGTTGTATCCGTCTAATGTTGGCAGTGCGATATCCCACCACGAAGTGTCGACGAATATCTTCCTCCAAGTTCCGTCATCGTGAGGCAAGAAGTAGCTCCACCCCCAGTCATGCAACAGCTTGTCGATCTCCATGCGTGGGCCACCCTGGTCCCTCTCAAAGTCGTAGATCTGTGTATTGCCGCCAAAGTTGACAACTATGCTCCCTTCTGCCCAGCCGCTGAGATGCGTGCATCCTCTGGCTGTCCACATACCCGTCAGGGTACCATTGGGTCGGACCGTCGGCCAGAGCACGGCAATCCCCTGCTTCTCGTTCTTGGTGCCAACCTCAAACATCAACGGCACAGCGAGGAAGTGACCCCTTCTTTTCGGACCAGCGCTCGCAATCCTGCTACGCAGGCGTCCCTTATTGATCGGCCCGAGGACCTCGAATCTCCCCCTGTCGCTCTGCGCGTGATCGTTCACAGGCACGAGCGGAAACGATATGTTGGACCAACTCTCGCTAAGACTACTGCTCAGCTGCGTGACCCTGGTGTCGCACCGCACGCGCACGAGCGGCAGGTCCGCCTGCACCCGGTGGATCTGCGTGAGCGGGTAGGACGCAATCCAGGCGAACGGCGAGACGCGCGGCCACCGGGCGTGCTCGACGGCGAAGTAGACGGCGTCGAGCCACAGCGACCGCGCGGCGAGGAGCATGTTCGCGGCGGGCGCGTGCACGGTGGCGGCCCAGCTGTCGTCGATGAAGCGGACGGTCGCACCGTGCGCGCCGTGGTAGTCCGGTCGGCGGAGGCGGTACTGGACCGACTTGCGCATCTTTGTGTCGGTGAGGTCGAAGTCGCCGAGCCAGTTGGCCGGCAGGGCGTGCCAGACGTCGACGTGGTCGTACGTCGCCTTGTAGCCGGACGAAGGGCAGACCGGGTCGAAGAACTTGGAGGTGTTGGTTGAGCAGTCGTAGCCGTTGAGGGATGAGCTGTTGAGCGTTGTTGGCCACATCTCTTCTTTAGAACCTGATGGCACGAGAAGCGTTAGACTTTTTTCTCTTGCCATAGACAACGAGAAGCTTTGGGGGTTTACTCGCCATTGAGCCAGATGTGAGCCCCGCCCATTGGCCAATCCATCGGTCGAGGGATCATCAACACGGCCGTCGCGGGACCGGCAAGGACAGCGATGCCGCCGGAGACGAGCAAGAGACCGATGAAGAAGAGTTTGCGAAGTAGACATGAGTCGCGGTAGACCAGAGAACCGAGGAAGTCAGTAGACCAGAAGAAGCTATTGGTCCTGATCTCAGTAGATGTGCATGACCTCGGACTGGAATTTGCAATACCTGACCTGGGTGAACGCGAACCCGCTTCCCAGCAGGCCCAGCGGTACACCACGATCCGTGACCAGGCGGTGGCGCAGAGTATCAAATATGATAGTGGCCAAGCTGCCTACAATAAGTAGTTCCTGTGGTTCCGGGGTTGCTCAGCCAAGAATCATACAGAGTCAAGGCACCGCTAGGGATTATACCTGGGCCTTTGCACAAACTTGCAATACGGCTAGCTTGAGATCATCCTGCCCACTCACCCCGACCAGCTCCTCCCCGATGTAGAGTGTCATGAGATTGATCGTGATGATGACGAGGGAAGCCAGCGAGGGAAGGACGTGGACTCCGGATCGGGCCAACGCTGTGAGTCGCGAGCGCCGAAGAAGGACTTTAGCCTTTTCTTCCCCGAAAGTCGTGACCAGTATCGCGAGGCCGATGGAGCGGCAGTAAGATGTTGAAGTGTCGCGCACAAGCCTAGCAGCTCTGGCGATACTCCCAATAGCATCCTGTAGAGCCTTAACCAGCCTCTGAGCCCAAGTCATCGGCATTATTGACCGTTTCCTGAGGTCTATGAGTCTCATTCTGCCAGATGATCGAGTCGGTTTCGCGCATTCGCAAAATAACGCCTCAAGGGTTCGAGGATGCAAGAAAAGTGGGTGAGAAGAAGATGTCCTATCTTGCATTTAAATGAGGCTGAGATTACGACTGGGCATCTTCGACTGGACTGATTGTTCTCACTAGCTAATCGACAGGGATACACCATGCAGCATCCATCTGTGCCAATGATGCTCTGTCCGAAGAAAGAGCAGGTGGTCGAAGTTGGGGGCCAGATGTTCAGCTCCCAATCCCATGCACGAGCACATGGGGTGTTCGTAAAGATCTATTTCCCTATCTGGACTAAGCCAGCCTGGTTCTTAGAATTCACCAGTCACTCAAGTCGAATAGTACAAGATCTTTCTCAATCGAGAAAACGAGGGGGGTAAGCAGCTCAAGTTCCCCGTGTTAATTGGACGAGCTGATAGTGATACATGCACTTGCAAACTCCGCGTCCAAGGCTTTTATCTCCTTTAGTCCCAAATAACTGCCATAGGCCCTAGTTGAGTCGAAAGATCGACGTCCCCAAAGCTGACTTGCCCAGCGATGCGGCCCAGAAAACCACTCTTCGTGTCGCGTTCCATAATGTGCAAGTCATTCGTAACTTGATTTGCTACTGCAATGAATCCATTTCGAGGGTCGCTAGAGAGCGAGAAATGTCTGGGAATCTTGCCGTGGGTGCTGTTGAGGCCGAGGAATCGCAGAGGCTGGGGATCGTTTGCAGCAACAGCGTAAATGGCGAGGGTGTCGATATCGTCCAAAGACTCAGTATTGCGGTTGGACACGTAAAGAAAGCGGCCATCGTTAGAAAGAGCAATCTCCGAAGCTAGGTCTATGTTCTGCGGCTTGGTTCGCTGATCACTGCTGTTCAGAGTGGAAACGACTTGAAGGTGCGTGATCTTGAGAGTTTCGTTGAGGTCAGACCTGTAGTTGCCACAAGATAGGCTCGGGTGGTCAAGTGAGAACACATTGATGGTGTTGTCTATCTCGGAGACAAGATACATGAGATTCTTAGTTCGGCTGAGTGGTGAGAAGAGGATATGGCGCGGTCCAGTCCCCAGAGCGAGCGTCATGTTTCTGATTAGCTCCACTTGGCCAGTACTGTGCACCTGGTAAAGGTACACTCGATCGGAGCCTCTATCAGGAACAGCTAGGAGGTCGCCGTGTGGACTGAATACAGCCTCATGCGGGTTTGCAATTTGTTGAGAGTCGCCCGTTCCCGGGCCGGGGTGTGTAAGGTTGTACTTGAAAACATGTGTTGCTTCGCCGATATAGCCGTCGGGACTGAGTGGAAAGACCGAGACAGTAGATCCATCACTGGAAGATGGCACATGCTTCATTAGTTACAAGGACGAAGTTCTTAAAGGGCGGTCGAACGTACATGTTTGCCGACGCCAAGGTCTTGCCATCTGGAGAGATATCGACATAGACGCCGCCATCGCCATGCGAGCTCTTGCTGTCAATGAAACTTATCTGCCCACCAGGCATCTTCTGAAAGGAGTAGACGCCCGCGCTGTCTGATGTGTTGTCGGGGAAATGCTTCCTGGAGATGGAAAATAACTTGTCGCCTCGTGCATGTAGCCAGCCTGGCTTGTATCCAGCTTCTGTGGTGCTGAGGACTCGAATGCTCGAGTTGGCTGGCTTAGTAGGGTCGAAATCAAGGGTGAGGATGCCGCGCTGTTGATGCGCAACCCGCATGGTGAAGCTCGAGGAGACTGTGGTGAGGCATGTGAGGAATGCTATGCCCAAAGCTCTGATTGACGACATGGTGAAGAAGTGCTTCTGCTCTTATTTTTTCGTTGCCGGGAGAAGTATCTGTAGCAATGGTCAGTGCCTCCTTCGCTGTTTTATAACTTGCTGCCGTGGGACGGAAGCAACAGGACCATCAAATGATGACCTGAGTCTTCGTGTCGATGTTCAAATTGCCGCTGAGCCACAACTGCCTCGACTGCAACAGCACTGGGAGCAGGGATCCCCAGCTAGATAAAATGTGCAAAGCATCTCGGCGCGTCATTTGATTCGGAATAGTTCCCTATTGCCATCTCGTGCGCAGTGTCCGACGGTCTTTATCTCAAAGTCCTGGGTGGCTGAGGCGAGCACCCGTGGGTCCATCAAGCTTATGCCAAGAACACACTCCGATCTGGGTCCTTTATGGCTGAGACTTTCATGCCAGGTCTGTCAAAGATCAAACAAGAACTAGTGAAGGCCCGCCCGTCCGGCGTGTCCCTGTCAAATGGTGAGCTGGACATTGGGCACATCTGCTATTCAGTTGAACCTGTGTAGTCAAAACGATTGATAATGGATACTTATGCCCGTAAGAGAAAGACACACAATTATATTACTAATAATTTCAGTGGTATTTTAAGCCTGAATGATAAGTCTTCGTGACAATCACAAGTTCCAAGCTGCTCAAGCCCATGTCATCATCCTGCTTCTTGCCAACTCTGTAGGGTTTGGTGCGGCTTCTTCGAGTAACAAAACGGTACAACTAAAAGAGAAAAAGGTTCTAGAGTCGCTGGACAACGCTACTAGCGAGAGAAGGTGTCAGTAAACCCACAAGCTGTGGCAGGGACAATGGGTAGCACTGACATTAAACTAGATCCCCCACATCAATGATGCCTTTGGTGCCAGCTTTGATCAAGGTCGACAGCGCCGCGAAGGCCACGGGATGCTGCAACTTCCACATCTTGAGCTTCTTCTGGGTATCTAGACTCTCCTCAATTGATTTCGCGTTGAGCCCGAGCTGCTGGCAGTGCCCTCCTAGCTCGGCAGTCTTCTTGACAGCCTCGGCGACCTTCTTCTGGTACGCCGGCTTCAGCACAGGTGTTGCATTTAAGCTTTCACCCTCCATCGTGTCTTGCACGCACTGGCTCGGGTCCTTCTCCCACATCGAATCCAAGGACTTGCACAGATCTCCAAGTTCTTGGCGGGAGTCGGCGACCAATTGGCGTGTCTTCTTGGCCTTGTCGTAACCGCTTGTGCCCCGTATAGTCGGGTCCTCGGAGAGAAGTTCGAAATTTTTGACTAGCTTAGCGACTTCCTTATCGACAGTCTTGTAAGTGTCCTTCGCCTTTCCGAAGGAGAAGGCGTCAGCCGGTGCCTTTTTGCCTTGAAGTTGTGCCATTATGCGTGTAATGGAGGTTCAGGCGGAGAGTTCTACCTTTACAGAACCTCTGCAAGACCTCTCTGGCAAGTGCTGCGACCGAATTTAAATATTCACGGCCCTGGAGACACAGCCTGGCCCCTTCCGCCCCCAATTGTCTCGATTGTTAGCCTATCGAGAGCGGGTAAGCTGAATACGAACATCAGCGTAGACCCTAGAAGAATCTACATAATTGGATACCATCGACGTGTAGCTGAGCTAATCGCTGCCTGACTGCAGAAATTAGTGTGATCACGGATTCTTAACAATTGGGGGCTAATCTAAGACCTAACAGCATTTACCGATATTTGAGACACTGGAAGTTTCTACCTTGTCGCCCGCTAGATTGATGTGGATGGAAAACGAAGGTTGTCATAACTGCCTTCACGATAGCCTACTCCGTAACCAAGGCACTTTTCAATCACAAGCAGGTCATCAAACTCGCATACATGACGCCCATGATTCGGGCATTACTGGCTAGTGAGTTGACTTCAAAATGCAGACCGATACATTACATCTTGTCCTAGTGTAGGCTAGAATTAGGCTACCCATTCCTCTGATATACGTCGGAAGAGACCCTAGCCAGAGTACTTGGAAGAATGGGTAAGAACCTGCAAAAATCCAACTTTTGCCTGGCAGAAACCAGGCCCTTATTCTTTAATGGAATACCAGCAGCTACGCAAGGCATTCTGTTTACCTTCGCCACGCACCCCAACACCACAGTAGCGGCCATCTATCCAAGTCGGGCCCAGTCAGACACTTTTTCTTGATTAGGTTATGCACGACCGGCGGACACGTCTCTCGAAAGGTGTGGAAATGCGTGCCGGGCGAGCAAGTTCAATCCCATGCGCAACATCTGTGCTGTGCTCTTTTGGACGATGGAGGAGATTCTTCGAGGGAATTGGCCTCTCGGGCAATCCCATGGCTCCTAAGTCCATGGCTTTTACAATGAAAGCTCACCCTGTGGGCATTCACATCGCATCCAGCACGGAGATACGAAGGAGCTGGTTTAGGTGAAAGCTTAAAGGCGGTGTCTTCTGGCAGCAGCAGGGTTCCATGCTACCTTTGCCCTGGGATTGCTTCACCAAGAATCCTCATATCTGACGGTGTGTCATTGCTCATGCCGTCTTTGCCAACACCTGCATTGCCGCCCGAGCACGGAGAATGGAGTCTACCCAACAATGCAGAATGGTATTGATGCACTCTGTGGTTGGACTCCTTCAGTTGGGGTCCAAGAGCCACTCTTTTCTTTTCTGCTAGAACGTGCACCTTCCTCTGCCTCGCTCGCATCGCCGCCCCCCACGTAGACACATGACAGGTTGCTTTATTCAAGGGTGGCGGGGTAAAAGAATAGTTGCAAGTGAGATTGCAAAACTGAGTTGAATTTGTTGTTCAGAAACCATGAACGGCTTACAACAGCCGGACTGAGTCGTATATCCTCCATTGCACAAAAGCTCTCTAATTGATGTCCGCAGATAAGCCCACGCATGGAATGAGCAGCATCTTCGTGAACTCGTCCAACACCCGGGTACTTCCGCTGTTCGTACCTCGCAGTCGGGATGCCCTCTTCCATTCCGTAGTGAAGTCTCCATAAGTAACTAATCCACCGATTGTCTTCAAGGATCCCGGTGGATTCTGCTTTAGCTCTAGATCGTGCAGACCATGCGTGAATGATAGATCTACCATTCGCGGCACGTATGAGCAAAAGCCAACTTTAGTGACTTCATAGACTGCCTGAGATAGTAACGTCATCAAGATAGATCTTCTAGCGTTCTCGTGCACCATGCTCCAGACTGCGTCAGGGAGCAAGTTTGCGCTGGAAGTTACCCGCAGATGCAGTTGGACAGCCCACTCTTCAATCAACTGCGATTGGGATTCGGCTTGTGCCCGTTGCCTTACGTCTCCATCCCATAACTGGATAGTGTGTAGTAGTAAGAGCGCCTGCAACGTTTCGATGTGTTCATCATATGACAAAAGGCAAGGAGGTTGTCGGAGGAAATCGTTGACAGTGCTCTCGACTATGCTCAGCACAAGGCTGTTATTGGTAGGTGTCCTTGATGCGTAACCCGTGCATGCGAGGAAGGCCTTTTGCATCGGCGATGGCATTGGTGAGGATGCATATTTGGTCGACGGATAGATGAAGGGAGCTTCAAGACAACTGACGAATGTGGAGGGCCAATAGCTGATTTTGCGCACGAGGAATCTCAACTCTGGTGTCTTTAAGACGACAATAGTGAGATCCGAAGGCGGAAAGCCTTCCGGGTAAGGTACGCTTGGACCTAAAGTGGCTTGTTGAATGAACTCGGGCGCTCCCTTCAAGCTCCGGATCCCTGGATTGCCTGAAAACTTTGCAACCCGCACCGATGATTCGCCAAGGTGTTGTGTCTCTGCAACGGCGTTTGCCGAGACAGTGGGGGTGACCATTTTCCATGTGTAATCATCTTTTGCAGCAAGGGGCTCATTCTTGTAGGAGCAGGGCAAGTCCCGGCGGACGCACCGGGAGCATTTTGGCAACCTTGGGATACATCTGCGCTTCGCATTTACGCAGTGTACACAGGACCGCTGTCGGGAGATCATATCTGTCTGCCGAATGAACTGCTTCTGAGTTGATAAATTCGTTTCAAGAAATTGTCCATCCATCCCATCTTGCGGGTCAAAAAGTTCGACGAAAATGATACGGAGTAGGAGGCAGGTCCTCGTGTATGGACTTCCGTGGAGTTCAAATCGAATCCGGTTTAGATCCCGCAAATCGCCAGTCAGATGCTGAACTCGATTTGGTCTAGCCTCCGCAACTCCACCATGAGGGTGACGACCATTATTAATCCCCCCGTCGGCCTTGATGAAGGTCCGTCCAAGCCAGTATTCGTGGTCACGAGTGAAATAAAGACTTCTTGAAGATTCATGTACTATAAAAATACTATATATATATATCCTCTCTCAACTCGTGTGTCAAGCAGCCTTCTCCATTGTGTCCATTGCAATTCCAACATCCATTGAATTTTCAAACTATTTCAACTATTATCCAGTCATGGCCATCATTGAAATTGTGTTTCCACACTTCAAGGAAGGTGTGAAATTAGACGAGCTGGAGACAAAGCCTTTTCCTTATCTTCTCGAACAGTTACGTGCCGTAGGCATTCTAGGCATGCGGCGCGGTACCATCACGACAGACAACGATGTTGATGTGTCCGAAAAGAACAGAGGCACTCTCCTTGTTGGTATGTGACAACGAACTGCTGATATTGATGGCAATACTAATTACCTCTTTAGAGTATCCAAAGGCGTCTGCCTTTTACAATTTCCTTGCATCCCCAGAGTTCGCCTTGTTCAAAGACAAGGTAAAGCATGGCGTCACCGCACCACCCACGCTCAAGCTTTTCGAAACAAGTAGTGGTCTAGAAAGCGTCGGTGACGACACGGCATTGGGATTGATCCTACTTAGTCCCAAAAGCGGCAACGATCTAGCTGGCCTACTAGACAGGGTCAAGTCCTTAGCCAAACCTACTCTGGGCTCTCGCGCTGTCTTTGGCGTGAATCTGAATTCCGAAGACAACGAGATCGTGGTGCTCGAAAGCTTTAAGGATCAGAAGGTCAGTACTAAGTCCGCATACTAGATGAAGCTTACTAATGTATGATTGGTGATTGATCAGGAATTGGAGCAAGCGAATGTTCGACCAGCACAGCAAGCCTTGTTGAGCCAGCTCCGCGAGATCGCAACGATGACCCACCTGCTTGCGAACATTGCCAAAGTTGATGTCTGGTAGTAGGGATTTAGGAAACAGAGGATCGTGGTTGTTCTTTCCTAACATGTCCAACAAGATTTCAAAACTCGTTAGCTCGTCTCTCAACTCTTCAGTCCATATTTAAACACCATTTCAAGCTCGTTACCCTACAAGATCGACTATACTGAAAGCTCCATGCTAGATTTGACGAATGGTTTCATTCAGCCTCAATCAGATGGGAACCGCGACATGCTGATGTTGTACTGGGCGATCTGCCGTTGCTGGATCGACATTAGCCAAATTACCTCCGTACTGCCCATCGTAGAACAGCTCTATGTTTGTAGCTTCTCAATTTAGCCAGCGATAACTTCTAAATTTGACACTCGATTGACCCGTCTTGGTCTTGTCCCCGGTTCGCGGGGAAGTTTTGACGCTCCGAGAGGCAGGGCCAGGTATTTATTTCGACTGGTCTCGACCACATACGTGTCATTCAAGGAAACGCCGGTCCCTTTTCAAATACATCGGTCTTGCTGAGACGAATCACGCCGAACGTCACAATGATCTCCGCTCCATCGAAGCTTCTTTGCGGCCTGCTGCTCTCGGGCATCAGCGCTGCTGCGCCACCCATAGAGTCCCGGCAATCGGCAGCAACACAAGTCGTACGGCTCGCCTCGATCGAGAACGTCGCCGTGCGCTCTAATGGACAGATCCTGGCTACCAACATGAATAGCGCCAACCTGTACACCGTCGACCCTGTTGCCAAGAAGAGCTCCACCGCAGTTGTTGTGACCGGCGCAACAGGTCTGAGCGGAATTGGCGAGGTCTCTCCGGACGTGTTTGCCGTAATCGGCGGCAAGGGCATCTACAAGGTTGACTTCACTGGCGCATCCCCCAAGTCGACCCTCATCAAGCAGATTACGGGGGCTAGCAACCTGAACGGACTGGCTGTATTCAACGACGACACGGTGTTGGTGGCCGATGCCGGCAAGGGCAGCGTTTACAAGTTCAGCATCTCCACCGGGGAGTACTCCGAGGCGTTGAAAGACCCGACCATGGCCCCGTCGGGCGCCATCCCCTTTGGTATCGACGGCATAAAGTACAGCAATGGCACGGTCTGGTACACCAACATCTTCAAGAACAGCTTCCACAAGGTCAGCGTCGACCCCGAGACCGCCAAGCCCACTGGCTCCGTCACAACGCTCTGGACAAACCTCATGGGCGACGACCTCTGCTTCGGCCCCAACGGCAAGATCTACGTGGCGACAAACAGCGGTGGTACTGTAGTGGAGGTAGACCCTGCTGTGGGAAAGCCGACCGCTGTTGCCCGGGTCAGCGGTTCTACGTCTTGTGCCTTCGGACGGACTGATGCAGACAAGAATGTCATATATGTCGGTGGTGGCCAAGGTGTCTTTGCCGCGACAATCAAGATTTGAGATTGACCATCTTCATTCATAGGAGCTTAATAATACAATACAACAGATGTCTAACACTAGTGATCCTTTTTCCGTCTTGGTACTCCCTCCAACATCAATGCAAACTGTGCCGTCGACGTCTCTCACCAGCCAAAGATGGCTTTGCGACATGCCGGGTGCAAGTGGCGGTTTTGTCTGAGTTCCTCGGCGAAGCGTGGCCTCTCCAGGATCTCACTCCTGGTCTTGTCATCCAACAAAGGCAGTCTAGACGGTAAGCCCTTATGTGGCAGCCTGGAAATGCTGAAGATGTCGACCAGGCATCCTCGCAGAGGATGCGGTCGAGATCCCGGACGGAATGCAAAGTCGATAGCTTCGAAGAGGGTTTTGCCAAACCAGTCATTGAAAAAGATCCGAAACAACGCAGAACATTCGCCTCCGTAACTTTCATAGTACTGGGCGTATTCGCTTTTCACGTGTTCGCAGCGGCGATCGAGTCGAGTTTGTATTTCGCCTTTAGCAAGGCCCGCAAGGATATCCACGCCAAAGTAATCTGCGGCATCGAAAAGACGGAAGAAACCTAGGAGATCAGAGGAAGCTGCTGGGCCCATGACATGAGATACTAAATAAGGAATGCGATTTAGTTCTGCGCCTCGGCCTATAACAGAGGGTTTTGAACGCACCCTCTTGGCTGTAAATAAACTTCACTACCCAGTCGAAATGTTCCGGATTAACCTCATCAAGCACCATCTCTGTGCAACGGGATTCCTAGTCATGAAGTACTTAACATCACTATTATGAAATTCTCAATGAAACGATGTTCTTACAATGAATCGTCGCTCATTGAAAGCTGCGCGAAAGTATCGAGATCCAGCTCTGAGTATGGCTTTGTGCAACCTCCACTCTCGATCTTCGCACTTGATTGTAATGTCACTGCCTTCGCCTGAATAGAAGAGTCTTGAGCTATGTCAGCTTCCCTATATGAAGATCTTCATAGCGGAGTTAATGACACTCACTCTTTAAGAAACATCAGACGCTCTATTGGACCCCGGTCCATCTCGAGACAGTCAGGATGATAACGGGACGTAACGTCACTGGAGTCCGTGTCACTCATTGTTCTGACTATGAGACTGGCCGCAAGTACTGTATCCGTGCAGGAACGTGTAGATAATGAGATCGCAATCGTGTAATTATGTGTCTGATGAATTTTGGGGAAGAGAAGGGAGGGAGGCAATATTATAAATTCTCAGATTGTCAGAATATATTTGACTCATTGAACCTTTGGTTGAAAGGGATGACTGTACAAAAGAATGTTAAACAGAAAGACGGCTTTGCTATTTGTTAAACAAACTAAACCAAGCTCTGGCTTTGCTTTTTGTCATTGAATAGCATTCAGACTGATGTCACACCCAAAACTTTGCCAGCGATTTCCTTTATTGTCCTCAAGTGTAGATCAATCTTATAGCTGAGTCATTGTCGTTTGATTTTACAGTCTACAGTTCTGAGGTATTAGGTAATAATGTAGAAGCTGAATGATATACATGCTGTCGTCGCAACAGTTGCTTATCGGTCGTTTGGATAAACTTCCTAACAGCAGAGAATGACGAACATCTCAGGGGCCTGAAACGAGGGTGTCTGTCCTAGGTACAGCTGAGAGCATACCCCAGCTCAAATCAGTGTCCATGAATCCAAGCAGTGGGTCATGAGTACTGAAATCGAGGTCGACGATATGCGAGGTGACATGCGCCAAAGAATCAGGAAATACGGATGAAGCACCATCCAGGACCATGTCGAGATCTACCTGACCATCCGCAGAAATTCCATCTGTCTCGGTAAACAACCTTGCGCTTTCATAGGCAGTGTCTGAAGCAGATTGGATTGTTGGGCCTTCATGGTCATGGTCGGCGGTCAACAGCCCAGGCTGGCTCCGCGCTACCACTGCGTGGGCACATTGTGCCAAGTCGCGGACGAAGGGGAAAGACTTTTTTGCACCAGTTGCGAGCTCCAGACGGCCAAAGTATCCGGAGATGACGTCGAGGAGAGACAGGTCCATCTGGATCGTGGAAAGCTTCGGAAAACGGATGATGTAAACGAACAGATTGACAAAGGCCATGAATGGATAGTAGAAGAATAGCCTGGTATGGTTAGTGCTCGCTTATTTCACGACGACAGGAAGTATACAATCTTAGGGAACTTACCACACGGGCGTTGAGCAGTCAATCTCAATGTAGTGTGTGAGGTTGATGATTGCTCGCGCTGCCTTGACGACGAGGGGCGTGCTTTTCAGGGCCTGCTTCTCATAAAGCGCCTCGTTCCCAACCGACATTATGGGAGCCAGCCACGGCCAGGAGAACATAGAGTTCAGTACGATGGTAGCACCGTGGTAAGCGTAGTGAACGTAAATAATCTGGTTGGGATGCAGGCCTGCTTTGACGGCTGTGAACCTTTTCAAGTCCGAGCCGGGCCGGAGGGGGACTGGAAGTGACTCGGCCCAGCGAGACATGCGCGAGTCAAGCTTTTGGAGCTGGCGTATGGATTCCTCGAGGGGAATGTTTTTGCTGCGGAACACAGACATCCAAGCCGTGATATCAGATGACAGGCGCGCATGTTCCACGACCTTGGAGATGAAGATTCCCTCAAGTCCCTTGGATGCAGGAAATCGCGGGATTGAACACGTTATATCTCGATCATCAATGGCCTATGTGTAGGAAATAACGATACCGAAATCAGCTTGGTTTGTGTTTCATCTAGGTTGAATCATGACTTACCGATGGTCTTCCAGCCCGGAGAGATATGTGCTTGTCGTAGCAGTATATCGACCAAAATAGTAAACTCCTCTGCGAGATTTGTGCGTCGGTGAACTTGCAGTCCTTCGGCGGGTGCCTATGCAAACCCTGAGATTGTGCAAGTCGCGACGCGCTCGTGCAGAGCATGTACTCTAGGCAAGGGCTCCCAAGACCCTCGACAAACATTGCCTGTTGGGAGAACAAAATGGGATGATCAATAACCATTCCCCAAAATTCGAAAGCACGGAGACTTCTTACCATCGCAATCAGGGCCTGTACACCCATAATACTGACTCTAGTGAAGAGCAACTCGGTATGCACAGACATGGCGTTCTCGAAATAAGGCCAGCACTGGTCCTGTACGTACGAGAAGCTATGGTGCTCCGAATCATTGCTGAGTAGTTGCCGCTTCCCTGCCGCATAGACCGTGTTTCGTAATGCGTACCACGCCGGGTCGTCCTGGGCATGGCTCTGCTGTGTGAATGTTTGACGCAGACGAGCCTCAAAGGAAGGGCGGTGTAGAACAGGAAAGCTGGCATCAGCTTGTTGGAAATACGCTGAACGGAAACAAACGTCAGCGTCTTAGCTATCTGAAGCAGGACGAAGCATATTTATCTCACCTTCATAGTATCTCCATGCCGTCTGGAAGTCTGGCTCGGGCGCCCGCTGGTTGGAGAACCAGTTTTGTAGCTTCAGTTCTTCCCCAATCATTGACATCATGGTGGAGCTTATGCGAGGATATTGTTTGTTCTGCGTCTGCTGAGTAACCCAATCGATTGCTGCTGAAGAGCAGATAGCCAGAATTGAGGTGGCCCCTAGATGCCAAGTTAGTGACGAAAGCAGCCATATTGCAAAGCCGTCGAGAAGATGTACCGTGATATTCATTGGCCATCTATTGCGTCTCATTAGCATTCATCTGCAATTTGCCACAAGAAAGAGGAAACACCTACATTGGGCTCAATGACGCTTGTGTCAACACTGTGGCGGCTCTCTGCCCCAGTCGAATTGCTCGATATTGATGTTCGTGTCTCGACGTGGTCAATATCCCATAGCGAGCCGAAGTCGGTGAACGGTACAGTGCCAGACGCTGTTACAGGCGGTGACATGATGGTGGGCATAGCCATAGGCGAATTGCTGTCTGGCAGCATGTTTGATACAGGGGAGACAGAATGTGAATGATTCTCAGCCGGCATCGCGCCGTGCTGTGTAGTCTGATAGGACTCGATGCTACCGCGACGATCCATCTCGGAGATCGGTATGAAGAGACCTTCACTCGAACTCTCGTTGAAGCTGTCCATCCGGATTTCTTCACGAGCCGCCGATGACTGCTGTTGTGGGGATCTATTCGAAGCGGCAGGTGTCGGTCCTGCATACACTCTGATGGAGTCGCCAGACGATGCCAGCAACCGACCTTCGCGTGGTGTCAGTCCTCGATCGCCAGTTCCATACTGAGAAGGGCACAGTAGCTGTGTTAAACGTACTCTTGTACTTGCGCCGGATTGTTTTTGACGGGAATACACAGTCTACGCTCCGCGCCTGTGAGACGTGTCAGTCCTCGGAGCACATCGACTTTGACCTCGGGAGAGCAAGCTCGGGGAGTCATACCGCGCAATAGCCACAAGGACGAGACCCGTCACCTGGATGCAGTCTGTTAGCCGGACAGGTCGGCTCTCTCGGGAGGCTGTTGATCAAGGCTTACACTTGACCTTCTTCTCCCTACAATGGAGACAAGCGATCGCGCGGCGCTTAGCTGGGTTGATGTCGGCCGTGTTGGTCATTGCCGCCAGTCAGTGCTCCGGGTCGCCTAAAGAAAAGGGCAAGGTAAGTCCAGGTGAGCCTTTTGGGGACGGTTGGAGTATGTAATCGGTCGACTGCAGGTAGTTGCAAGGGAGCGTGGGAAGTGCGCGAGTGTGGGCGGAAGAAGCGGAGCTCCTGGTCTGGGGGAGGGGGTGGTCATCTCGGATATAACTAGCTATTGCTGGGCCCTCTCAGCAGCACATTGACTACGTTGACCTGCTGAGGAGTAACCCCATTGACTAACTTGTTCCAGTCGGGGAATGGCCTAAACAAGCGAACGATTCCCAGCGATCAGGTCTCGTGCGGGGAAAAGCTGGGGATGATCTCCACCCACACCTTACCATCGGGCCCGAACTGCCCAAAGGATGCAAAGTGAAATCAAACGTTATTTGTCTTTGACACACCGGCACGAATTGTATTTACTGGCACGACAAGCCCGCGAGTTCCATGTTGAAATGTGCAGATTCAGTTGAACAAGACAGAGGCAGACTTGGTCTGACTTGAAGAAATGGCACAGAGACTCGTTATGCTATCTACACGGCTTAATACGCCTTGCCGTCCTTCTCAGCTTGCTCTCGGTCCTTGCCGATGTACAGCGCCACGCTCGCCTCCAGGCCACATGCGAAATCGGCCTGCCGCGTCTTCATGTCCACAGGGAACGAGACGTGCTCGTGGACGAAGCGCCACTGGCCGTCCTTCTTCTGCAAGATGCCCGTAATGCGGAAGGTAAAGTCAAAGTCAACGCCGTCCTGCGAAGTGCCCCAGTATCTCTGCACCATGCTGGACCAGCCCGAAGTCGGCGAGGTGGCGTACACCTCGAGATCCTTGTACGCAATGTGGGCGTTGGCAAAATATGGCCCGATGCGGTCGAAATGGGGGCCAAAGCTTCCGCGGGTCACAATGCCCATGAGATCGTAGTAGAGCACCTGGTCCAGGTCGTAGAACTTGTGACCTTCGTTCGCGTCAACCTTGAATCTGAAGTTGGCAAAGTACGCCCAGTCCTTGTAGTGCTGCAAGATCTCCTGCTCTGTCGACTCGAGGGCCGGGTCGTGGTACTGTGCATTGGCGTCGATGGTCAGTATTATCATATATGAGGGTTAGAGAGTGACAGATGCTTACACCGCTGGGAGGATAGCTCAGATCCTTGTGCAGGGCCTCGACAGTTGTGAGGTTAGTCTGGTCTAGTCAGCTGTCTGTTTTGCTCTTGTGCCTTGTCGAGTCCGTACCTCATCTTTCCACTCGCCAACGGCCATGTTGGAGTCTTGTTTTTCTTTGTTTGGTATACCTAATCACTTGTTCTAGGATTGAAGCAAAATGTGCAATTCTCAGATTCCCATACCAAGACTAGATTGAGGCCTTGTTGATTCTACCATCGAGTGAAGGATCGCCCTTGTCTTGTACCATTTGTACCAAGTGTCACCGACACGAGGCTAGACACTACTAGTGGCTGGCACATTTCCAACATCTGATTGGGTTCCGGCCCGAAACCCTCGATTCTCGCCTTCAAAATTTCGGACCGGCCGGGTTAGGCAAACCCCACACTCAAGGTCTCTCCACATTTCCTACCCCAATTTCTCCAGGTCCGGCGGCGCGAGTTGAGCATTTCTTTACGGACAGTTGGAGGCCATACACTTGTTCATTTTGCTATAACACTAGGTCAAGCATGGTAGCTACGCTCTCATGTGCAACGTCCCCATTCAAGCGAAATCGGGGAATCCTCTCGGACCGATCTCGACGCGCTTGTGTAATTCCTTCTCAGGAACGCCCTTCTCCAACCGCGCAATGAAGTCCTCGGGGTCAAAGTCGGTCCCCACGGGGTTCTCCGCAAAGTTCTCGGACCGCATGAAGTCAGTCGCGTCATCCGGGTTCTCAAAGTTATCCACCTGGGTCTCGATCATGTTGCCGTCTGGGTCTCGGTAGTAGATGGAAGTTGTGGGGCCGTGGTTGACAGGCCAGACGGGCTCGATGCCCTTGCTCTTGCGCTGCCGGTAGGCGAGCAGCAGGTCGGACAGCGAGTCGAAGCTGAACGCGATGTGCTCGAGGCCGCACGACTTTGTATTCTTGTCCGCTGTGCCCGGGACGGAGGCGATGGCGATACGGTGGTGCTCGTCATCGTAGGTGAGGAAGGCGATGAATCCGTTCTCATACACCGTCGTGCCTCCCAGAAAGTCCTTGTAATATTGTACCATGCGCTCGAAGTTGTTTGTGCGTAGCACGACGTGCGCGAGCTTGCTCGGTGAGATCACCTTGCCGGATTGCTGGTTGAAGTCGATCCCCATTGTCGATGTGTTAGTGATGTTCTGGGCAGAGCTGTTGAATGTGGCTGGAGAATTCAGTCTGACTGCTTAAAAGCAAGGCAAGAATTCGCCATGACGATTTTATACACCACAATGGAGGATGTGCCACAGTTTTCCGCGTCACATAGCCGTACACAGAGTTACACACCAGCATCTGGTGTGTAATCCCCTCGGGACAGTCTGTAGCTAGCATGCCACGCCATTTTCAGGCACCGATAGCCCTAAACACGCCATTCTATCTCCGGCACTAGACCAAGGTGCTCCCAGACTTACCGATCCGGTACGAATGTGTGGGCCCTCGGGCTGTTGTACCAATCGCATGACCCCCGGCTCCGAATGTATCGGTCTGAGAATGGAAGTGAATTTGGCTTAGCTTATGTAGAAGTGAATGAATACTTCTTCTAGAAAGTCCCTATCATGTTTACTAGGATTTGGTACTACAACCAGACCCAGCAACCTTCATTGTCCAGTCTGCCAAGAAGAGCGCACCCCTGCATACATCCTCACTCGCCATGCCTGCCAACACTAACGGCAATGACCAGAAGCCTAGAGGTCGCTTCATCGTGGTCGGCGCAGGCTATGCCGGCCTGGCCACCGCGATCGAGCTGCGAAGGAAAGGCTTCGAGGTACAGGTCGTCGAAGCAGCTAAGAACATGACCACCCAAGGTTGGCACAACTTCGTATCTTACAGCCACGACATGACATGCAGTTCTCTAATCGCTGGACAGGTGATATCATCCAGGTCGGCTCCAACGCCACCCGCGTTATGTCTCACTGGGGCAATGTGCTGGAGCAAGCTGTCGCCGAGTCGGCCCAGCCCAAGGACATGAAGATGTTCGACAAGACTGGCAGAGTCCTGCTCCATGCCCCTCTCCCGACAGAGTTCAGCGGCTTTCCGGTCTTGTACTCCAATCGCGGACTGTTGCAGCGGCTCATTCTCGAGTATGCGCGCTCGATTGGCGTGGAGTTCCGCTTTGGGGAGCGCGTGAGAGAGTACTTTGAGGAGAAGGACGGCGCCGGCATCGTCATTGGCGATGAAAGGATCAAGGCCGATGGAGTCGTTGCAGCTGATGGCATCCACAGCCTTGCGAGGAAGCATGTCATTGGAATCCAGCAGCATCCGCGGACCAGTGGCTTTGCCGTGTACCGCACCTGCTTCCCACTCGATCTCCTGGCTGATGACCCGCTCACCAAGCCACTGACGGAGCTGAAGGAAGACATGTTCCGTGTGTGGTTGGACACAGACGTGCACGCCATCTTGTTCATCCTTGCCAAAGTGAGACAGGTGGTCATCTTCTGCACCCACAAGGTTGGTCTTTCGCGGCTGCCCGTAAGCTGTAGGTTCATTGCTAACGGATCACTGCAGGATACCTACGAAGTTGAAGAATCGTGGACTAACCCCGGAGACTTGGATGACATGCTGAAGATCTCCAAGGGATGGGATCCCGTCATCGTCGCCGCCATGAAAGCCGTGCCGCGAGACAAGTTGATTGACTGGAAGCTTCTCTGGCGTGATCCGATCCGGCAGTGGGTATCTAGCACCGGACGCATCACTCTGGTCGGCGATGCAGCGCACCCGCACCTTCCTACCTCCGGGCAGGGAGCCGCGCAGGCCTTTGAGGATGCTGGGACGATCGGCGCCCTCGTTGACAAGCTTGGTGTTGAGGAGATATCCACCGCATTCAAAGCATTCGAGAAGCTTAGGTGAGACTCGCTGATCATCTGAAGGATCTAAAGTACTAATAATGTGTGCCAGATACGAAAGGACAAGCTTGACGCAACGGATGGGCTGGGAGACTCGGCACAGATGGCATCAGACGGACTGGGACATGGTTGCTGCCAACCCCGAGTTTCTCAAAATGCCGCAGCCTATGTGGCTGTACGATTTCGATGCTGAGCAGTACGCGTATGACCGCCTCGATGAAGTTGTCGATAGCGTGAAGAATGGCACTCCATTCGTCTCCAAGAACCTGCCCGAGGGCCATGTTCACGAGGACTGGACTGTGGAAATGATGATGGACTTGGAGAAAGAGCAAGCCAAGGAGCATTTCTATAGAGTAGCCAACAAGTAATCTGGACAGGCAGCTGAGTTTAGTAGAATTTGATTCTCATGAATACGATAGGCCTTTTATACCAGTTCAGATGTCCTCTCCCATGCCATTTCTAGAGGATAGCTAGGCTGATTGTGATCTACTGTAAGCTGTCAGGGACGATTGCAAGCTTGGTAGTCTTTAGACCGATAGAGCAATAGAACAGTATCAAAACTAACAGCCTTTGGATGGATCAAGATTTGATGATAGAGATATCATCACTTTTGGTCAAACATAAATTATGGGCATGGTTCATGCATCTATGGCCTCCGCTACTTGGGACCGCGGGATGCCACGAGTGATGACTGCTATACAAGATGCTTGACTTCTATCCATATGACTACATATGATCTAGATCTAAACTCCTGCTTCACTCTGATACTCGAGTAATCTTGAGCCTCATTCCGTTCAGTGGTCGTAAGCTGGGACCGCTCCTCTGTGGCTCGACAGGCCCCGTGTTTTCAAACTTGAATTGGCGAATAAGCTCCGTCATGACCGCTTTGAACTCTAGCAAGGCAAAAGACTTCCCAATACAGATTCGGGGTCCGGTCGAGAATGCCTGGAAGGCATACGGATCTTTTGCCGCTTCTGGAAGGTTGTCCCACCGGTCAGGGTCAAATTTGTCTGCTGTAGGGCCCCAGATACTTGGGTTGAACTGGGGCGCAGCGGGCGCGACCACGATCGCTGTTCCCTTGGGTATCACTACTCCTTCGATTTTCAAATCTTCGGCTGCTTCTCGAGGAAATCTTGGGGCTGTAAAAACTTAGTCTGCTGTTACTTGCCAGTCCATGAGCGTCAGGAGCATACCAGGAGGGTAAAATCGCAACACCTCATTCGTAAAGTTCTTGAAGTATTCCAAGCTGTCAAGGTCACTTTGACTTGGATTTGGTGACGTAATCTTTTCTTTGATCTCGGCTCTCAAGCGTTCTTGTACCTCAGGGTGCAGAGTCATAGCATAGAGCGCCCAGACCATAGTGCCAGCCGTCGTTTCGTGCCCACTTTTCGAGATCATCCAGTCAGCAATGAAATAAAGAGGGCCAGGTAATTCTGCTTATACTTACGCAGACATGAAGTTCAACAACTAGAAATTGTGACGTAAGCCTACTGCACCAGGGTAGATTGCGGGTATGGGGAGAGACTTACATATCCAAGCATCTCGTCCTCGGACCAGGCATCCTGACTTTCTTCAATCATGAGAGTGAGGAGGTCCCGGCTGGCCTTTTCCCCATGGATTTCCCCGCGGCGGTACTCGGCCTTCCTCTGCCGAATGTGCTCTCGTAGAATGCGTCGAACTTCAGCATTGGCATTGACATAGTTCCTATTTGCTTTGAACGGTAGGAATGGACGAATGGGGACATATTGGTGGATGAATGATATCAACAGCTGCGCTGGCGTGGCACACTCGAAGATCTTTTCGTAGCTCATTGCCAATGGCGATGAAGTCGAGAGGGTATTCAGCTCATATCCAAGAGCAGCCAACCCGACAATGTCTAATGTTGTCTTGGAGAGAAGACCGGAGACTACTGGCTGTCAGCGGAAGCGTGTGTGAAGCAATTTCGAGGACTGAACCTACCATCAATGATGTTCTTGCCCTCATCCAGAGATTTTGAAATGATAGCAGATGTCTCCCGGGCCTTTTGTTCGAAGAAGGGGAGTAGCCGCTTGATATTGCCAAATGAGAAAGGTGCTGGTCGGACCATAGATTAGAGGATGTGCGTGCGTCATGGTCAGTTAGTGGGACTTACGAATCAAAAGCTTTCTCTGGTGTCTATGCTCCTGTCCTTCCGTGAACAAGATCCCTATTCCCGCTATCTCTCCGACAATCCGTCTCCAGTATCCTGGCTTCACAAACGAGTAGCACTTTGTCTGGAGTACTGCCTTTTGGGCCTGGGCGTTATTGACCATCAAGACTTCAGAGTTCAAGACCGACAGGTAACGAATGAAGGGGCTCTCTGGATTCTGTTTCATCCACTTCGTCTCAAGTTCGCTGGGTAGAGCCTTCACCTGATTCAAAGTCTGTCCAAGAAGAAATACCCCATCCTGACATCGTCAGCAGACGAACTTCAAAGACCGGAAGAGGGATCTCACCTGAGGGCCAGGAACGTTTCGCAGCGGCGAGAAATAGAAAGGCCATATGAAGATGTAAAACAGTCTGGTCACAACATACTGCAGAACCGTCAAATAGATGAAAGTTTTCGGCCAGGTATCTAAAGGCAACAGTATGAGGCGATGGAGCAAGACCACCTCCACAGCGGACGCCGTACTGCATTTGACGAAGTCCATGGTGTTGTAAGTTCAAATTCGTTCGCCAGGGATGAATGCCAACCTCAGAGGCCTCGACTGTAATTGTCTGTCTATTTCCATTCATTATCTTAGTTATAACGAGCATTTGATACGCTGGTAGTCTTAGCGCGAGTAGCACCACAGATTCGGGGCAGTGAGTGGTGCCGAAGATCTCGGAATGTCAACGCATTGATCCCCACCGCGATCTCCGCATTGAGCCCCACCTTGAGCCCCGGCCCGAATCAGAGGTCCGAAACGTCGTCTGTCCGGCCTCCAAATGGTCTACTCGCATGACACGTAAAGCCATATGGACCGCTCAGATATACGCGTCCGCGGGGTTGCGAGGAGTCTGGATAAGGTTATATATCGCCTTTCACTTTAGATCGGTTTCTGCCGAGGAATATCCCCAATCCTCGTGCAGATCACGTAGAGCATCTTTCACGCATCGAATATAGAACGCAGTGACGGCAAGATTACGCAATGGCGGCACCTGGGTTAACACATGCCTTTGACCTGACCATCAATGGACCTCCTGGGTTCGCTTCTGAAGGCAGCTCATTCTCAAATTTGAGCGCAGCTTATGGTCAGTTTCCAAGGCATGAGACTCGCCGTTTGAAACCTGCTGCTGACGCACTCCGCCTAGTGTACGAGGGATCTTTGAAATCCGCGGATGGAACCATCGAGATTCCTTTGTTAGGTGGAACAGACTGGATGAGACTGCACGAGACTTATGCAGACATTGATGCTCGGGTTTCATGCGCAACGAAGCCAGGCGCTGCTGGGCCACAGCTGAACTGCGATGTGAGCTATCGCGGTAAAATCGCATTCCATGGACCCATGAAGGCATTGTGGGCGGGAGAAAAGAGCTCTCTGGATTGGCATGAAGGTTATTATTACACGTCACCCGTGCTCGAAAGTAGGAGCGAGCAGCTTGCATGGGTCAACGAGACAGTCTTTCTTGGTATGGGGAAGATCACTCTCACTGAGGCTGGCAATCTACAAGTTGTGTATCGGATATTCAAGGTCCACGCAAATTAGAATTGAATATCAAGTCCTTCATTGCATTGTCCTTCTTATACATTGATTGGTGCTTCTTTAGGATATGTGTATGTGTGCGCCGGTCATGGGTTCAAGTCCGTTCCAATCGCACCTCAGATAGACTAGAGCGTAACTACCCCGAGCTTTCCTTCAAGGCGCACCAATAAGGTGTGGGGATGGTGTTGTTCGAACAACTATACACAGGGTATTCATGAGCATCTCTAGACCCAACTCACTAGCTATAGATATCCCGCGCGGGAGAAAGCCCCTCCAAGACCCTAGAGGCTTTATGCCACCGCCTCTGTTCTACAAATATGACGAGAAACGTTAGAGAGACTTATTAGAGGTAACATCTTGGGTTCAAGGCTAATTTCTAGCTTGCATTCTGTAAATCTCTTCGACTTCTTTGCATTACATAGTCGTCAGCTAGAGTGGTTGATTGCATATACTTCTATGAGTGCCTCCAGGGCTCCATTGCCTCCTAATTAAGACTTCTGTACATAAACTATTGGTAGAAGGGGGAAAGTATCTATTCTTACACACTGCAAAATCTCTCTCTGCGCAACATTGGACAGGATCATGTTGGGATTTCAACTACAATTCCGAGATGCCAACAGAGATAGCAAGATGTTTCCATATAGTACTTCAGATTTCTACAGGATAAGACAGAAGTTGCTGCAATCTAAGCTTTCTAATCTATTCCGTCAGATCGTGTCGGTTCGCCGAGCCAGGTTCTCAGCTGGTTGCTCTGCCAAGACGCCCAGCTTCATCATTATATCCTTGTACTGGTATGATCCATATCAAGGCTCATTCTTCGGAGCCTCACTTCGGATGCTGTTACACAATATTCCACTTGTATCTTCCTCCGCAAAGTCCTTTTGAATAGCCTTCAGCAAGAAGTAGGTATCCCCAACAAACAACAGGCCGAACACCCCCAGCGGTGTCCAAAACCCGAATCCCCCGTTCCAAGCGAAGGGCCCCGAATGGGTAGCGTGAATTGCCGCGGACCAAAGGAACATGAACGGTACAATGAAGTTGCCGATCGCCATATACTTCGGGTAGAGTGGCTTCTCCCGAGTATCGAGAAGAATGGCGTACGCCCAGCTCCAGCAAAGTGGAAAGAAGGATGAGAAGGGCATGATCGCAAATATCCAGAAGGAGTCGTTGGCGAGCTCGAGGAGTGCGGGTTCTCTATCTCTCCGGAATGCCGCTACCGCGAGCTGCATCCCTGGAAGGAAGAAACCGATCGTAGATGCAGTGCCAGAGGCGAGTTGCAGTTGTGGCAGAATCCAAGGCATGTTCGGCATGCGCTGCATCTGGTCGGCGACAACGCAGTAGAACGGGATAAAGAAGGCGCCGGCGAACATCATGAGAGCGCTGCCCACGTGCATCCCGGTCAAGTGCGCTTGGTAGTGCTCTAGCGATCGCTCTGCTGACCACCATGGGCGCATAGGCGGCAGGAAGCCCGAGGCGATGAAGCAAGAGATGAAAAATCCGCCCGCGATTGGCCCGGAAAGTGCGCACGCGTAATGAAGGTTTCTAGGCTTCAGAAACCCGGTTACCGCGACCTGGCTGAGCCAGCGATCGAGCTTCTGCCATTGTCGGCTCAAAGACATTTTGATGGATTTTGCAGCTTTGCAGCCGTGCAAGTGAACGGTCGTTTAACTTCGATGTCTAATCTCGAATTGCTACTGATAGTCAGTTGATCACTGGTTATGAAACTGAAATTAGGATCGTGATTATATGTGCCCTAGATTCTGCCAAGGCGCGAGGAACGATACGCTACATTCGGTCACGAAGAGGACGATCTCACTGTGTCTCAACCTCTTCAAGGCTTCCGGGCCGAAGACACAAACGGTGTTGAGGGATGGTACTGACTCCGGCCCGAGGCTGCAGATCTCGTGCTAACGAAAAGAAAACAAGTGTCTCCGCACTACATGTGTTCGGCCAAGCGAAAAACAGTCCCGGGAATCCTTAGTCCCGAATTTGAACACTGACCAACTTGGGGTTGAACGCCAAGTGGATACAATCAAGTTGTACGGTAACCTAAGCGCGATTGGCTATGACAACGGCAAGGGCCGACTGCTGTAGATCTCAGACTGGCGAATAGAAAACAAATGTCCCCATCCACCCACCTGGCCTCAGTCACGGGGAAACAGTTCCCAGGGTCCCTAGTAGCAAATATTATCGTTGGAGTTGAACGCAAAGTGGATACAATGAGACTCTAATTAACCTGACTGGAGTGAATGAATCTAAGTGCGGTCTATAATGACAACGGTGAGCCATAACTGCTTCAGATCTTAGTAACCACCATCGTGACTACTGTCGTTGGAAGTAGATTAGATGTATACTCCATATTGAGCATCTAAAGCCGGGCCTGGAATTTCCCATCTTCCGCTTCCGAAGCCTCCTCAATCCTGTAGTACTTCTGATAGAGAGGTAGGCTCTCCGGGTTGGCAACCACACTGGGCTCGAACTTGCGGCCGCAAATTATGTTTTTGACCGTGATTTCCAACTTCTTCCCCACGTTGGAGTAGGGGATATGATCAACGTAGAAGACGTATTTTGGGATGTGGCGTCTGCTCAGGCTGTCGCCAATCTGTTGCTTGATCTTTTCCTTGAACGCCTGGGTCCGCGGCATGCTAGGCTTTAGTTTCAAGAACAACACCACAGACTCGTCGTGATCCTGTGGCCTTCTCTGGCCAACACAAACGGAGTCTTCCACCTCCGGGAACGCGCGGATGACATTGTATATCTCTGCCGAGCCGAACCGGACTCCTGATGGGTTAAGAACGCCGTCGCTGAACACGATATTAGGATACGCTCAAAATGGCTCGCTAGGTGGGATTGACTTACGATCTTCCAAGCATCTGAATCCCATTCGTCTTGGGATTGATTCGGATCAAGTCACCCTGTACCCAAATGCCTGGGAAAACCGAGAAGTACGCAGCCTTGTACTTTTCATCGCCGTTCTCGCCCCAGAAAGACAATGGTTGACTTGGGAATGGTTGTTTGCACACGAGTTCGCCAGGGGAATCGTCTTTGACAGGTGTTCCCTTCTCTGACATGGGGTCGAATACGTCCACAGCCATACCGAGAGACTTTCCTGAGATTTCATCTGCATGAACCGGTGTGAAGGAATTTCCGGTCACGACTTCATGCAATTAGCCTGAGCCAACAGCATAACCAGGGTCCCCAAACTCGACTTACATGAGCATGCGCAATCCGTACCACCACTGCCAGATATCAGCTGCACCTTTCGAGGGAAGCCCGTATTATAGAACCATTGTGCCACATCCGAGGGCAGAACCGAGCCAGTGGACGTGACCTTTCGAAGTGCGCTTAGGTCGAATTGACTCGCTTCATGAAGTATCAGCGTTAGCGGGTTCCTTCTTCATGCAGTCTTGGGTCACCCACCTGGCTTCACGTTGTTATCCATCAGATCAGTGAGGTACTTGGCGGAGGTGCCAAACACTGAGACTTTGAGTTTGGCTAACAAGCGCGGGATGTAGGTAATGTCTGGATACAAGGGCGACCCGTCCAAAACGACAATCTTTGCTCCTGTGCTCATGGCGGTGAGCAGGAAGGCCCACATGATCCAAGCTGTCTGTCACAATACAGTTAGCACTGCCATGCCGTAGTTTGACGACCTGCTCATCTCCCTGGAGTAACATACTGTAGTATACTGGAAAAGAATATCGCCCTCAACCACACCGATCTGCATGATGTAGTCCTTCTTGATCTGAAGCATTGCTCCCTATTGATCGTCAGAATCTCGTGAGTATATCGTAAATCAATCGTCAGCGTGGCGAGACTTACTCCGGCGCTATGTAAGATACACTTCGGGGCTCCCGTCTAGTCGTCGTCTCAGCTTTTACATTCGTGTTGAGGACCGAAGCAATGCTTACCGTTCCAGATGAATAGAACACGAAGGCAGGGTGGGCAAACGGCAATTGCTCAAATTCAAGAGGCTGTGGCTTAGCAGATCCGATGAACCTTTTAAGATCAGTGACCTTGGCGAATTCTGCTTCGAGCTTTTGGATCCTTGACGTCAAAACAATCTTCTGAAGACTAGATCCAGCCGAGACCTGCTTGGCCCAGGATCGAATGTTCCCGCTCAGGTCCCGCACTTTACCATTGTACTGCACAGACGAAGACGCAAAGACGAGCTTGGGATCGATCTGCAGAACGCGGTCCAGGATCGCCTTCTGTCCAAAGTCCGGGGATACCGATGACCAGATAGCGCCAATCGAGAGCGTCGCGAGACAGAGTGCAATGGCCAGGCCCGACGTGGAGATGACAGCAGCGACTCTATCTCCCTTCTTTACACCGTGGGCCCTCATTGCGCTTGCAAGAGCCTGGACTCGATCGGAGAGCTCGCCCCACGTAACCACGGTCGGGTCCAGGGATCCTTCCGCAACGTCATACAGCGCAACTTCGGATCGTTCGCGATTCTGCAGGATGCTGCCCGCGAAATTCATTCGGGCGTCGGGAAAGAACACGGGGCTCGGAAACATCTTGCGCTGTGAACGGCATCAGTATTTTCCACACATTACACCTATGCAATGCTCGAGTAACGCACATCAATCTCGTTAGCAAATGCACGAGAAGGTTGCTTCGTAGCACGCATGTCCAGGGCGTCGAACAGCTCCATCCAGAAGTCCCCAGCTGTGGCCGGATTTACCGACCAGTCATGCAGATCCGCATAGCTGTTGAGGAAAAGCTTGTACTTCTTGTTGATACGGTTGCGGAACTTTGCTAGTGGCGATCTCGTCAAGTCGTAGACCGACGGTTCCCAGACAATCGGATTGTTCGCCTCAGACATGTTTGGCAACGGTCAAGTACAGCTCTCTAGAAGATAGCAGAGGCAAGAGAATAAAGTTCAAAGAGATGTTTCAATTTGCAGATGTTAATTCTGTTTCAGAGAAAGGAATAAAAGTGAACGTTGCAGAGCAAGTATGCACGCCAAGGCGGCCCACAGTAGCTGTCCGACTAAAACAGGACTGGCGTTCCGAAGCCGAACTCACCGAGGGATCGATACCGAATCGGGGCATCCAAGCAGCCGATCAAGCATCTGTCAACGAACGGCGCTGCTTGGTGATATTTTCGGTATGGTGAAGATTGCTCTTATTTAGGAATAGCTAAGCTATTTCACTATGTAAAAGATATCGGAGGCTACATAATCCCCTCCCTCGGAACTCGACAGGACATCATTGTGGTCAATTAGCAGTATACCCGCTATTTCGGTTAGCCTGAACTTCTGATCTGGTGGTCGTGGTACTCACCCGTCAACTACGAGAGCAGCTCCAGTCATGAAACTGCTCATGGGAGATGCTAGGAATATGATCGCTTCTGCGACCTCTTCGGGGTTTGCTAGTCGACCCATGGGAACCTTCTCAATTTCTCTACGCATAGCGCCACCCTGAGAAACTGCTGCTTCCATGGTCGCTGTCTTGATATATCTGACCGTTACAAGCCGTGAGCTGGCTGCAGAGAGGGGAAACGGGGATCAGGAAGGTGCACGTACCCTGGGCACACAGCGTTTATACGAATATCGTCCTTCGCATATGTATTTGCGTCCTGTGATCGAATGAGTCGTCAATGGCTCCCAGTCATCAAGGGATTCGCTGCGGGAATACACTGCAAACTTACATTCCTAGTGATAGCCATTACTCCATGCTTACTGGTCATGAAGAGCGTCAGTATGCGCGGGAGGCCCAAGGACGTTGCACAACAGACGACGGGATTGCTTACCTGGTGTTATAGGGAGCTGCCGGGGTGTACGGCGCAGCCCCAGATAGTCCAAAAATTGACGCCATGTTGACAATGACTCCTCGGCTCTTGACTCCAGGACTGGTACAGTTTGTCAACGACTAGTTTGCCACGACTGTTGAAAGGATCGCCTTACCGCACTTGCACGGCCTCTTGCAAGAGCATCTGCCTCAATTCCTCTCTCTGACACAGCCACATTCCAGTCATGTTCACGTCAATGACCTTTCGGAACTCTTCCAAGGAGACGTCGGTCGAGGGCTTGAGAGGGCCGGGTATCCCAGCAATGTTGAGTGCGATATCAATTCTACCGAAGTTCTTCACCGCGGTTCGAACGGCCTGGGCCACGGATGTTTCATCACTGACGTCAGCGACGATAATTAGAACCTCCGTCTTGTCGGTGTGCTCTTCCCGAATCAGATCGGTGGTCGTCTGCAGTCCGGCGTCGTTCACGTCGACCAGCGCAATCTTCTGGATCCCATGCCGAGCAAGAGCCACGCTTGTGGCTTGACCGATGCCTTCATGCCCACTGGTCAGGAACAATTAAGTACTATAGCTCGGGGGCGACTGTACCTGAACCAGCCCCGGTAATGATTGCAGAGCCCGTGAGGATTTGTGACATTTTCGGCAACCCGGTGTGAAAGGACAAGGTTTTCTCTGTGCGCAGGACAGCGGCGGATCAGGATTGTCGAGCTCTACGAAAATTGCCGATATCCAACCGTTAGCGTGAACCGAGGACTGGCAACTTTCTAGAATCCCTATCAGAGATTCGTAGCGATAATAATAGAGGCATTGTCGTCGCAGGGTTTCGGGGTGCCAGCAACGTACGATGCTGCCCCACCCATGTAATGCCGGAGCCGTCAGCTTCGGACCGACAAACGTGGCGGCCGACCTTGGCCCGGCAAGTAATGAGCTCGATGACTAAGGCAAGAGCCGCAGTTTATTTACTTCGTGTACTTCATGCCGATCATAGATGTTGACGAGCATTTTTTTCGATCTGAAAGAAGATACTCACGATCATCGACCAACTATGGCAGAGTCCTCAACCAATGGCCGGGATGCCATCGAGCATCTTGACGAGCACACAGTGCTTATTGCGGGAGGCGGCCCTGTTGGTCTCATGGTAGCTACTGTGTTGGCTCACTATGGCGTCCGCTCTGTAATCCTTGAGCGTAACAATTCGACCACGAAGTGAGAGAATCCTTCTGCAATCCATGTCCGGGGCCAAGACCAAACGCTGACCAAGGTTACAGATGGCCAAAGATGGACCTGACCAACGGCAGATCCATGGAGCTACTGGCCAGACTAGGACTAGCTGAGGAAGTTAGGAATCTTGGTGAGACTCTCCGTCGAGAATCCCACGGATACCCGTGCTGATGTCTTTTCTTGCGACACCAGGTGTACCCGAGACAACGCCTTCCAACGTCTACATGACCACCGGCCTCCACAACTCTAAGCCCATTACCAGCTGGGAATATCCCTCCGTGCGCGAGCTCCGAGCTCAGTTCCGAGACGACAACAACGGCACCAGCCCCTCAGAGCCTTGGCAAAGAATATCACAGGAGTTGTTTGAGAAACTACTCAAGAGCCGATGTGATGAGAACGACTTGGTGGATTGCCGATTCGGCTGGAAGGTTGATGCGTGCAAAGAGACCGAAGATTTCGTGTCTATCGATGTTACCCACACCGAAACCAAGCAGAAAAAAAGGATCCAGGCAAAGTTTCTAGTAGGCTGCGACGGAGCATCAAGCCGAACGAGACGCGATCTAGAAATTCCCCTTGATGGTGGACCACTGTAGGTTCCGCTCGGCCACTTGTGAGCAACTAAAGGGTTAGGATACTAACGCTGATATTTGAGAAAGACCAGGGTACACTCTACTTGTCCACTTTAAGTCTCGGGATCTTGGCAAGCTTTTCAAGTTTGGACGCTTCTGGCACCTGTTCATTTTCAACGACTCTGGTCTCCGTGCTGCCGCAATCTGCCAAGATGACAAAGACACATTCACGACCCATCTCCTTCTGCCTCTGGAAGCAGATCACGAATCAATCGACTCGCACGACGCCATTTATCAGGCTCTCGGTGGTGTTGGAGCTCCTTACAAGATTGCAGTGGATGAGATTCTAGTCAGATCTACCTATAGACACAGCATTGCAGTGGCACGGACGTACAGAAGTGATCTTGGCAAGGTCTTCTTGGCAGGGGACTCGGCACATCAAAACATTCCGACCGGCGGGTATGGTATGAACACTGTAAGTCGGCCCTACCGCTCCTCGGGTTGCAGCCATGAGCACTAATATGACATAGGGCATTGGAGATGCTTACGACATTGCATGGAAGCTCGCCGCCGTGATCAAGCAGAATGCCGGGCCGGCATTGCTTGACTCGTATGAGGAGGAAAGACGTCCTGTTGCTCTCAGCTCGATCGAGCGCTCGGGGGTGCATATGCAAGCGCATATTGCCATGTCTGAGATCCTCGGCGGCAACGCAGCGCTCGTGGAAGAGGATTCCGCAGAAGGACGACGCCTTCAGCAGAGCATCGACCAACATTACAAGATGCACAACGGAGAGAATATCGACCTCGGCGTCGAAATGGACTACCGTCACAAGTCTGGTGTCTATCCTCATCCCAGTCAGCAGGATGGCGAGGCGCCGCCATGGGACCCATCTCGATACGTTCCCAGTACGTTCCCTGGTTCACGGGCTCCTCATGTGTTCCTGCAGGACGGGTCGTCTATTTTCGACCATTATGGGCCACTCTGGACCTTGGTACAGTTTGTCGACGTGGGCAATGAGGGTGCACCCCGATCACTGCTCGCAAGCGCAGGAGATGCTGGAATGCAACTAAAACATGTCGTGCTCCGTGGCGAAGACCATGCACGCAAGTTGTGGGAGTACCCGTTGGTCCTTGTTCGCCCCGATGGACATGTGGTCTGGCGCGGTCGGCAAGCTCCAGATGAAGCGATGGCCAAGCAAATTGTAAAGATAGCCACTGGCTGGGAGAAACAGACAAGATCTGACAGCAAGAAAGAGCCCCTGTCCACCAAATTCACCGCCACCATGAAGGCAGACAGCCAGGTTCACGAATACAAGCTCGAACAGATGGGAGCTATGCAGTTGTAAGGTCTCAAATCCACTAGATAAGACCTTTCTTGCACCAAATTAGAGACTTTCGTTTCGAATCAAATTTTGCCTCCTGCGTGGCGATGTGTTACTCACAATAATCCAAACCCGTAGTAGTTGTGCAAGTGGGTGTCTGAATAGTTGACGGAAGTTCATCAGGAGCTACCTCGATCTTAACAATCAATATCCTTGTCACATCCTTGCCCTAGAACTCGGAAGGGCTATCCCACTACCGAAATCCGATGGACTTGATGAATAGTCAAGTATTTCTGTTAGCAGTCCGTCAACTAATCTGACCATCACTTGGTTGTGGAAGAACCACAAAGCCAAGAACCCTGGAACACAGTTCCCGAGCCCGGATCTTCAGCCCTATCCCTTAGACACATGAATTGGAAACTCCTCAGATGTCAGGCATCTCATTACTTCCAGGATGCTCATATATGGTTGCTGACGTAATAGGTTCCTTCGGCTTGATATCTTGCCATATTTAGAGCCGAAACTTCGGCATGCGCGTATTCATCGGGCCCAACATCTCCTTGAGCTGGGAGATACCGCAAAATCATGCCCCAATGACATCATGGATGCCACTCATTCATTGCAATTATCATCGTTGTCGCGGATGATGGGAATGCACAATGCGCAGCTGGGGTCTCGAACCCGTATTTCGGCCCGGAGATCTGCAGGGCTATCTCACCAAGCAACCCAGCGGTGGACCGAGAATTACATCTAGCGCAGTGCACTGAAGCACTCTCCACACTCTTGTCACGCAATGGGACCGTCCACCGAAGTGACCACCATGGAGCAGTCTGGTGATGTGCAAGAGGAGAAGAGCAAGAAGAGGCGAGCTCGCGTTGCCTGCGTGTTATGTCGCACCCGGAAGGTGCGCTGCGATGTCGCCTACACTGGCGCACCTTGCACGAATTGCGTCCTGGACGGGACTGAGTGCATTGTAAATACACGGAGGAAGCACAAAGAGTGAGTCAAGAGCCACCAAGTGCAAATGACGATAAGTGATTATAGAATTGACCGATCATGTACTTCCAGCTCCCTCCGACCGAAAACATTTGTGACAATCTCCCCGCGAAATCAAGACGATGCTGGACCGTCAACACCAGACACCGCCCGTAACCCCCAGGATGGATCGAATAGTGGACGCATGGCATGCAGTGAAAGGGACACTTCATTGCCGAGAACCGATGTGATCAGCAATCCTTCACCTGATAGCATCTTTCAAACCGGTCCTATTAGACACGATCATGGCCCACGACTTGCCAGCTTCGGTGCAGACGTTCCCTATTCATCCTTCCCATTCCTGACCCTGGACAACATCGCTCGTTTGAGCCCAATCGAAATCAACTTCTTGGAGATGCAAGGGTGCTTTAGAGTGCCCAGTCGATCGTATCTTCAGGAATTCGTGCGCAAATATTTTCTGCACGTCCACCCTCTCCTACCTATACTCGAGGAGTCGAGTTTCTTCATGATGTTTGAGTCGGAACAGCCGACCAACAAAGCCGACGGGAGATTATCACTTTTCATCCTACAAGGCATCTTGTTCGTCTCGTGTGGGGTGAGCCCTCATCCTTTCCCCGAATGCTTCTTCATCCACTGACGTTTCACTCTTGCTTTTAGTTCGTCCAACCTGAAATTCTCTACGCATTGGGCTTCGACGATATTCGCTCTGCGAAAGCTACTCTATATCGCAGAGCGAAAATGTTGGTCGACCACGATGCACTTTGCGATCCTGTAGAGATCGCTCAAGGGGCGTTGCTGCTCACGTATTGGGGCAAGGTCGACGACGGAATTCGGCGGAACACGTCCTGGCTCAGCCTGGCCATTCAGAACGCCGAGAGCGCCGGTGCTCACTGGAAGGCCTCCGCAGATGCTAGATTTGGTACCAGAAGACGTCTTCGAAGGCTTTGGTGGTGTTGTCTGATCCGGGACCGCCTTATGTCCCTCGGGCTCCATCGACCAATCCTCCTTACCAGAGACCATCTTGGATCTGATAACGAAAACGAGCAATCGATGACACACGGTTTGGGCGCCAATATGCTTTTTGAAAAAGTGTATGGCGCCAAGCACAAAGATGTTTTCGGCGCGGCGTTTATATCGTTGTGCAACCTTTGTCTAGCTCTGACGGATGTCCTGCTCTTGGTTCATCCTCTGCATGAATCGACGCAGCGACTGCAGCAACGAGGCAACATGGATCCGATAGCTTCGTGCCACAGGCAGTTGAATCGATGGTATGCCATGTCATACAGTCCGTTAATGGCTGAGTTGACATCTGCTGAGCCGGACGAGGTTCATACAGCAGTCTCACTTCTCTCCATTTACTATCAGTAAGAGTGATACAATTCTTGGAGGATGTTCATGAAACTGACCAAAACAGCGCAGCCAAAATATCTCTATACCAGCTTGAGATTGTACAGAGCAATACGGTAGGCATGGAGTTTACTGACTTGCCAGCTGCCACTTCTGGGATGCAAAAGGCGGCAGAAGCTATCGCGAGCTGCAGCGAGGGAATATTCAATAGGGGACAGGCGATCTATCTACCGAGCACCGCTCCTGCGTGCACTGCGATTCCACTTCTTCTTGCGGTGTTAGATGCCCGTCTAGCCAAGCGAAGACCGACCACACCTGAAGGCAATAGTCCTATCGCCCGCCTGGACCGGCTCATCAAAATCATGGATGTATATCGTTGTCAGTACGAAGGGGTGGATACGATCTCGGAAGCTATCCGCCGAGTACTGACCTTGGGAAGTCTGCCTGCAGTCGGTGACTGGATGGAGCTTGTTGCGACTCACCCACAGGTATATCTCAAGTTTGTCATCTTCTTGGAGAAGACACTGAGTAAGGGGAGATACCTTGAGGTTTCGGAGGTACTGTACGACAGTAGTGGCCCATTACCATTGACGAGGCCGCAGAACACAGACACAACTTCAAAGCATGGAGCCAACGGGCCATTGACAGGCAATAGCCCAGATGGGGTTCTTGATGAGTTCGTCTCGATACCATACGACGGGGTACAAGACGAGTTTGGATTTGACGCATGGTCGATACCGTCTTTCGACATGGATATGTTTTCAATGGCCAACTAGTCGATAGAGGAAGCCGTCCTATATCCGAAATACATGTTTAATATACCCTCGTCTTCCTAGTGACGACAGATAATAGTTTGATACACTGCGTAAGTGTCATCAGGGGGGCCTAGCAAGCTATCTTTTCGAGCCTTACATCTTGAAGCCTAAAGTGGTGTTGCATGGGCGTCGAGAAACAACACACCGCCACATCGCAATGAGCCGTATGGCACCAGTCTCGCATCGCCACTCTCTACCACATCCCCGCTGGCCTCACATCATGACATCACTTTGACAAGACATGACCACTATCAGGCTGGCGTAGACCGTTGCCACTCAGTCTAGAGGCGCTGGTGCTGTACCTTATCGACTTGAACAAGATTTGATACAACTTTAATTGGGATTCCTCACCATCACACAAGCCAAGTCCGCCTAACGCACCCTGTACGTCCTCAAAAATACCTCTCTGAGACATGGACTTCGTCCAAAGACGTCCGAAGTCCTCTTCGCCTTGTTCACGCTTCCTAGGTAGAAAGTACTCTTTCAGACCCTATATACCTTGCGGACCAGATGCGTTGAGCCCAGTGTAGTCATCATGAAACTTGAAGAGACCCGCTCGACTACATGTAGACGGGGGAACTGAGAGAGCCACCTTTGTGATACCACGAAACCAATCAATGCGACATTCGCGTATCAGTCATTCGCGCTTCGGATGAAACAAAGACCTCAACACAGTCCACACAAACCCGAGCGTAAAGCGAGCCTGGCTCTGGTCATACAGCTGCGGCCTATCCCCGACCTCCGCCATCTTGCAGGCCAACTCCGCAATCGCCGAGGGGAAATGCTTGGACGAGCGAGCGTACGCCGCCACGAGATCGTTCCCGTTTGTGATGCCACCTAGCCCACACCCCCACGTTAGCCACAGGCTTTTCTCATCACGGAGTATTAATCAGTGCACTGTGCATTGTAGGTGTGTACGTACCACTCGTCCAGAGATTCCCATCCTGAAGCCAACGATACTTCTCCCCCTCGAACCTGGCGCCCGGAAACCGCTTCCGCAGCACGTCCTGCATGCCCCGCGGCCCGCACACCCTCTTCCCCTCTATGATGCCCGCCGCGCCGCAGAGCAGGATGCCCGTGCACACGCTCAGCACGTCGGTGCCGGGGTTCTCGTAGTGGCCCCGCAGGAAGTCCAGCACGTCCTTCTCAAAGGTCGACGACGGGTCCGGGCCAGGGACGAGCAGGACGTCCAGCCTGCCGGGCTGCACGTCGGCGTGCGAGAGGTCGTGCGTGGCGCGCACGGTCATGCCGGCCGTCAGCGTGACGAAGAGCGCGGCGGCCGCCGAGGTGACGTAGACGACCTCGACGCTGGGCGCGGCGTCGACGGTGGCGCGCGGCAGCTCCGTGATGGCGGAGAGGTACTGCTTGCTCATCATGGCGAGGACGTCGACGCAGGCGAGGTCGAGCAGCTGGGTCTCGGCGGGGATGAAGACGCCGATCCGCACGGGGCCGGCTTTGGTAGCCATCTTATTGTTTTTCTTTTTTTTTTTTTTGATAGTCTGTATACGGTGGGATGAAGTTTCTTCGATTAGGCGTGAGGTTAAGTTTGCTTTGAATATTCGAGGAAGATGATGACATGTCGCTGCATCTTATACGTGACGCGCACCTTAACTTCCGAAGTGATTCGGCGGGCTGATGCGACCGGCACAATTGACGGCCGAAGGTGGGTGGTGGCTTTTGTGGGTCGAGAGCGCCGTCTCCGTGGAAATCACCCCATTCGGCCCTCCGGGCATGATGGTCGGGCTTGGCTGAGAATGCGGCATCTCCGCGGTCAAGATGACGAGGAACGGATTCAGGAAGCCCAAAAGCACAGAGTAGCGTAGTAAAATATACAACAAGTAGACCCGAAATCACCACGTCAATTCTCCCTAGTCTACTTTGACCTATGTGAACGCCATCGCGATGCAAAAAAACCAAAATAGCCCACTGGGTATATCCCGTTGATCAGCAAACCCGCCACATATCTGGGCGCAGGCTACGACATAGATCCAGACATCAGACTCTCTAGCATGCCGCTCGTCTGGCACGCCATCTGTGCCCGCTCGACCTCTCGCTTCACTCTCTTCCTCAGCAGCCGGAAGCCTTCGTCCAGCTCGGTCGACGCCGCCGAGAACTCAGAGTAGAGGTCCAACAGGTGCAGGCCGACATCTACACAGACAGTCGTGTACCGCGGGTCGACAATATGGATGCAGATCCACTTGAGAATGGGCTGGACCGACACCTCGTCGCGGTTCTCGAGGGCCTCGCGTAGGGCGCTGCGGTGGCGTAGCGCGACGAGCAGGGTCAGGACGTTGAGGTGACTATGGTCCTTGGCCTGCGGGTCGAGGACCTGGTCGAGCGCAGCGCTGTAGTGGTGGTGCCGAAGATCCTTCTGCCACTTGGTCTCCTTCTTGCCCCGCTTAGCCTCGTTGGCGATGATGACATCAACGCCTTCCCCGATCAAGTCGAGCCGCTTGCGCGAGTCGACCGTGCGCTTGCGCTTGGCCTTGATGGCGTCGAACTTGTCAGCCGTGCCCGCCTCAAGAGCGGCCATTTCTGCCTTTCTCTCCCTCTCGCGCTCGGCAGCGGGGCCGGAGAGGCGGGTCTTGATGCTCAGAACGCCGGACTGCATGCCGACGGCGAGGTGGCGGTCTTCGGCATTGGCGCCGGCCGAGATGACGGAGACGCTGAGGACGGGCGAGGGGTACTTGGAGCTCGCGACGACGTTCCACGAGCCGGTCTCGAAGACCTTGACGTGCCCGTCGAGACCGCCCGAGACGACACGCTGCCCGTGTGAAGCCAGACACAGAGAGGTGACCGTTTTCTGATGGTTGGTGATCAATTGTAGAGGCTTGGCAGCAACCAGATCGAGGACGGAAATGGCGTTATCCGCAGCCGCAAGGATAGTGGTCCCGGAGGTGAGGGGGAGCACGGCTTCGACGGGAGCAGCGTGCTTGAAGGTCAGGACCGACCCGCCTGGCGTCCTGGCATCCCATAGCCTGACAGTGGAATCGTAGGATCCCGAAACCAACATGTTGCTGCTCGAGCCGGTGCCGGTCATGAACGAGCCGCATCTTACGTAGTCGTGGTGACCGACGAACTGCCTCGTGGGCTCATTGCTCGGGAGGTCCCAGAGCTTGACCGTCCTGTCGTCACTCGCGCTCATGAGCGTTGTAAGGTCCGTGGGCGACCACCTCGAGACCCAGACGGGTTGCTTGTGGATGTGCCACGTCTTGAGAATGACCGCCCGGCTGCCGCCGGCGACATCGAACACCTGCATCTTGCCGGAGTCGTCACCGGCGACCAGCACGCGTCCATCGGCGCGGATCTGGCCGCTGCGGGCGACCGAGTCGAAGCGGCCGATGGTCTTGAGGGGCTCCCGCTTCCGTATGCTGTAGATGTCGACTCGAGGGCCGGCCGTGACGGCAAAGAGGTCGTTCTGCCTGACCGCGTTGGCCGTCGAGGGCGCTATGGAGGACGGGGCGGGGAAGCTGATGTGGGAGACGGGCCACGAGGCCGTGGTGGTGTGCGACTTTTGGGTCTTGAAGGACTTCCAGTACCTCTGCTCGGCGGTGATTGGCGTCGGGCCGGAGGGCAGCCGCAGTTGCGGGAGGGGGGCGACCTCTGCTGCCATTGTGGTCGGGGCGGGAGGGGTGGTGGGCGGAGAGGAGGTGTGTTCTGCTGCGAGGCGATGTTGAAAAAGACGAGGCTCTCTGCTTGGACTCTGGAATAATTTTTTCGCAGGGTCGCTGTTATCGATAAGCAAGGCCAAATCTCAAGCCAGTGTGAGGTAACTACCTAGGTACCTTACTCCGTAGTCTAGTGCCTCTACGGAGTACAAGTAGCTGGAGCCAAGCCAAGCCCATGCGCTCAGTGCTGAAGTGTGGTGGGGTCGACCATGGGTGAGTGATTGGCTAGCGAGGATATGCATCTCTCTAGGGGTTAGTTCCGATTCATCAGAACCCGTGGACGATTCTCCTCACTAAAGATCCGCTAAGATGGCTGGCGACATGGCTGTTGAAGGCCCCAACGGACATCATTGATGGAATTAATGGGTGCTTGCATGTCGACGATAGGCTACCTGGGTATTTCGTCCCGTGGTCTCGCACCCATTCCGAAACAAAACCCCTCAACACTTCCCTCACGGCACTTTACCTACCTAACTAGGTGGTATCCTGCAACTTCTTTAGCTACCTAGGTAGGTACTTAGGTATCCTTTGAGCACGTGCTAAGGCCCCGTAGAAGCAGTCAGCTTTGGAATGCCGTTGACCCAGGCCCATCAAGCTGTCCACTCCATCAATGACCGAGCGGGGTTTCTTCACCAAATCTCCACTGAACAGCGTCTCCCGGGATCCTTCGCTTAGGTGCTTGGCCAGCGAAAGGTCTGGCAACTTGGTCGAGCTACTCGGAGAAGAGAGGTGGCTGACGAAAGCCCGTGCGAACCCTGTCGCCTTGTGCTCGGGCAACCCAATCGGATCGATCCATCCTCTGGGTTGGTCTCACTTTTGGCTGGCTGGGCCTCCACCGCAAAGACAAAAAGAAAGGTTGCTTTGCAGTAGTCGAGCCTGTCGAGCCCACCCGCGACCATTCGCGACCAGCGAGCACGCCGTCAGTCAGGTCCAGCCAGTCCTGGCGCTGGTGCGGGTGGTGTTCGCTGGGGTGCCGAAGCGGAACCCAAAAACCCCAACCCAGCCCAGCAGAGCCCAGTCTAGTTAACTCAACCAGAACCACCAAACGTCAGAGATCCGGCAGCTGGGCTGTGTGTGTGTGTGTGTGTGCGTGCGTGTGCGTGTGCGTGTGCGTGTGCGTGTGCGTGTATGTGTGTGCGCTGCTCAGTCTGGACTCGACTGGTGACTGACTCTCTCGGCCTCGTTGTGCGTGCGCGCAGAGGAGGAGCAGTTGGAGGAACGACTCACTCACCGCTCCACACTTCTTCTTCTACAATCCCTCCTCCATTCACTTCACCTTCACTGCGACGACTGCCGACGAAATCGAGCCTCCCGCTCGGCTCTTCTTCCCAGGCGCACCCTGCTCTGCTTCTTTCCGCCCGAACTTTTCCTCACTTTGTAGCGCCAAGGTCACCTCAGGTTTGCTTTGTTCGAGGCGCTTCCATTTCCATGCAACCTACCGGACAGGATCACTCACCCGTCAACAACACCTCAAATCCGCGCACTCTTCCCGACCATCCGATCCTGCTCGACTGTTGGGCTCTCTCGCTACCTCAGTGTCTGCGATAAGGTCACCCTAGAGGCTGAAGCTCCCAGACGACAGCATCTGCGGATCTCAACCCCCAGCCCGCCTCTCCGACAACATTGAACCACCTCATACTTCGACCTGCTCGTCCATTTGCCAGCTCGACACCCGCCCTGCTGCTCATGGTGAGCCTGGCTCGGTGCTTCTCTGTCTGCCTGGCCTCGGAGTGCTAATCAGCTCTCGCTCACACTTAAGGCGCGATCCGATCAGGCGCGCAAAGGCCTCGATAAAATAACTCCTGAAGCCTTGCGCGACCGCCATGCGACAACATGCCGAATCACCCGACCGCGCGAAGGCATATTTGTAAACCCTTGACTGACCGCGAGGTCGCCCTCTCCAACGACACCGCCAACGCTTTCCTCGGGCCCAAGCGAAAGCCGGCATGGCTCTCTGGCAATCGCCCGTCACAACCTACCGTCCCTCCTCCTCCGTGCGCCCCTCAGGCACGAACCGAGTAAGCACCACAATCCCGAGATAGTGCCATACATCAAACCTGGAGCAGAGGGACTCGGATACAGAGAGAAAGACAACATGCTAATTCCTGACACTAGACTCAGCCCAGCTGTCCTCCCCTCTCCGGCCCCAAGCGACGAACCTAGCCCTGTCTTTTCTTCCGTACTAGACAGCCCGAATGCTTCCTCCACCTTCGTGCCCGGCCCGAGTGTCGCTAGTCAGACTCAGCCAGCCATGCCGCCCTCCCTCCCATATACAACCGCAGAATTCGTCTGCGCCAGCCCTGTGATGTGCGATCCCATCCAGTCTGGCGATGGCACCTCCCAGTTGCCGACCAGTGATGCCTCCCAGCTACCCCTGGGGAGGCCCAACGTGACGCCCTCGGTCTCCATCCCGAACCTTGGAGCATCAGGGGCCCAAGCGGCTCCAGGAATCCAGAGATCATTCACCTTCCCCTTATCTACGAACCCTCTCGGCTCACCAGTCGCCCCTCCGCTTGAGAGCCAAGCAGGATCGCCAAGTGTGAGCTCTCGCACAACAACGCCAAACGGCGTCAATCACGCTAAGCGGCGGCGTCTCAAGTATGTTTGCCATTCGGGTGGGCTCTACTTTGTACCACCAAAGCTAACCTCGTCGCCTGCAGCAATAATTCTGGCTCGTTACAGTTAGCTACCTCGATTCCTAGGATCAGTCAGCAGAGGCAACTCATTACGAACCTGGCATCGGCATCTGCTGACTTGGCCCGTCCGCGTCTCGTGCTGCTCAAAGATGCGTGTGTGCGCGATGACATATTCTTCGTCTTGCTGCACCAGCTTTTCTGCGTCCACACCCGCAGCCCCAACGAAGTATATCAATATATGAACCAAGACGTCCCGAGCGGTGTTATCATTGGCGGCTTCCGTGTTGTGGAACAGTTCCTGAGACCAAATAAGGCCATGAATGACCAACACCTGGACTGGTTCACTTCGTTCCCGGCTCCACTCAACACCATCCTGACACAGATGCCCTCCTACTCAGCTCTGCTAGGGGACGTCAGCCACTTTTTGTGCCTCCTCAATATGCACTGGGAGATGATGCTCCAGGCAATGATGGCCAGGAAGTTTCCATTCCTTATGGAGGAGCTGGTCGCGATACTCAACTGCCGGTCCCCGGTGCTTCAGGACATTATCTTCACCTCGTCGAGACGGAGGCTCGAGGTCAACGATCAACCTTTTGGCAACGATCTAGACAGCCTGTTTAAGATGAACAGACAGTCCCGATCCAATGAGATCATCGAGTTCATACCTAACCCTACACCGCAAGTTTATACTAGAATTTTAAACCGCAACGCTCATCTTATATCCTCCTTCCGCGAGACGATTCAACGTCAACGCCAACATCAGTTCCAATTTCAGCAACAGGCCATGGCTTCCGCTCCTCAGCATTCCCGGATCGCGCAACAATCACCACCCCTAATGCAGTCACCCACCGTCTCTTTCCCGATGCCGATCCCATCTTCCAACGCACCAACTCCTGGTCCGGTTACCCCGCAATTCAACCCTCAGCCTAGCGAGCTGGGCGTGCAGCCTCCCTATGTACAGCCAGGGCAGACCCCGACCCAGGCGCAAGTGGCGCCTTCGTTTGCTATGGCCGGCGTCGTGGGAGGACAGCTCGGTCAACAAGGAGGAAATGCACCTCCTATGCAGAATCCGCCGTTTAGTCAAGGCCCATTCCCTTCGAATGCCGTCCAGATGGCATATCAGTCCCCCGCCCACGATCCTCACCAACCCTCCAACATGGGGCAGCTAGCACCCCAGAGACGTAGCCAGACGTGGCATCAGCCGACTCCACAACAGCAGATCTACCAGCAGCAGACCTACCAGCAGCATATACAGCTGCCATTCACTCAGCCGCCCTTTGAACAACAACCACCCGCCGTCCAGGCGCAGGCACAGGCACAGATAATGGCACAATGGGCGCAGGCGATGCGACAAGCGCAGCAATCGCCCCCGGCACAGCCTCCGCAGGCGATGCGACAAGCACAGCAATCGCCCCCGGCACAGCCTTCGCAGGCGGTGCCGATAGCTCCGCGCCCACAAGTGCAGCCAGAAGCTGTTCCGAACCCTGCACAAGGTGGATTGGTCAGCCCGCAGCGTCCTCAAATGCAGGTGGTGAACGGCTCTGCAGCACCGCGACCGGCCTCCCGTGTTCCTGCTGTGCCGTCTAAGCCGCAGATGATGGCAGACGCGCGCATCTTCCCTCCGCGAGGTTTTCGGATCACTCGGAGCGAATGGCCGTATGATCTCGCGGACCCAAAGGCCCTCCAGATGTCTCTGCATCAGGCCCACCTGCGGAGTCCGAAACGAGTCCTGCGTCCCGGGGCCGCCGAGGGGGGTTCTGAAGAGGTGCAGCGCTATTATCAGGCGGTCCAGAGGTTCGCAGTCAGCCCGACTCCCATCCCGCCGTCGCAGTACATCTACCGGTTCGATTTCGATGTCGACCAGGCGAGCTTCGCGCTGCTGGAGACATCCGTAACACCCTCTGGCGAACGCCTGCCTCAATCGAACTACTTTCAGGGCAGTCTCCGCTATCGCCTGCGCTGCATCCGTAAGAAAGGACCGCTGCCGGAGCCGTTCCACTTCCTAGAGGCTACCTGGATCACGACGGAGACCACCTGGCCTAGCCACCTGGGCCTCAAGCTCAACGACGACTGCCTCACAGTCCGGCGACAGACACACAACGGCAAGGACCTGCCACTGGAGCTCACGACCCTGATCAAGCCCGGCACCAACAGCCTGCAGGTCTCGTACCCGCCGGCGGTTAACACCATGCGGCGGAGCGGGTACATCCTGGCGGTGGAGATCATCGAGACGATGAGCCACTCGAGCGTGACCGACCTCGTGTGGAACAGCGGCCTCGTCGACGCCCAGGTCACGCGGGACACGGTCCGGTCGCGCCTCGCCAAGTCCTCGGCGGGGGCGGCGGCGGCGTCCTCGGACGACGAGGGCCTCGTCATCGTCGAGGAGGGCCTCTCGATCGACCTGGCCGACCCCTTCAGCGCCAAGATCTTCGAGGTGCCCGTCCGCGGCGCCGGCTGCGCGCACATGGAGTGCTTCGACCTCGAGAACTGGCTGCAGACGCGCCCGCCGGCCAGCAAACCCGCCCGGTGCCTGCACAAGCTCAAGCCCTGCGGGTGCAACGAGACGCCCGAGCCGTCGCACCCGGACCGCTGGAAGTGCCCCGTCTGCGGCGAGGGCGACGCGCGCCCGCGCAGCCTGCGCGTCGACGTGTTCCTGCTCGAGGTGCGGCAGCGGCTCGCGGCGGAGGGCCGGCTCGGGGCCAAGGCTGTGCTTGTCATGCCCGATGGCAGCTGGAATGCTGTTGGCGGGGATGACGATGGGGACGAGGGCAGCGATGGGGAGGGTGCGGTGGCGGCGTCTGGTGCTGGTGCTGGTGTGAGTGCGGGCGTGAATGGCGTTGCGAGGCGCAAGTCTGCGGCGCGGGCGACGGCGTCGGCTGATCGGGGGCAGCATGTTGAGGTTGTCGAGCTGCTCGACGACGATTGATTGAGTGACAGGGTTTTGTTTTTGGAGGGAGGGTTGCCGATACCATGGGCCCCCTTTTGCCCCTCCGCTGTCTGTTCGCCTAGTTTTGTTGCGTTTTCTATCGATGATCACGGACGGGGGGGATACAGGCGTTCTCCTTCTTGTTCATGTTACCACGACCCTCCATACCGATTTCCCGGTTTGTTTTTTTTTTCAGCTAGCCGGCGCAGCGCATTGTCTATCCTTTCTAGTTCTGTTTGTCCTTTCCAGGCTGACGGGTAAACGACGCCTCGGAAGCCCGAGGGCCGATGTGTGCCCATCCATGCCTTGTAGACAGAGCAAGCGTGCTGATGCGACGGAGTTAGTTATACCAGGCGTCTTTTTCCTGTTTCTGCCTGTCTCTCTTTCTGAAAACGGCGATTAGTCTCAGGGGTTCCGGTGGCGATAGGCGTTCCTCATTTTACTATTTTCCTCTGCATGGAGTCCATCAGGCCAGAACATTGAAGGGAAACAGACCAGCCTCGCGGACTGGAGGTAACGAGCGAACAGAGAGATTCTTCCTTGCGCGTGGCATTGCCCCTAATCTTATACTAGGAGAGGGTGAGCGACCGGGCACAGTGAGTTTTTTACAAGCTTTTTTTTCCCTGTTTATAACGACGTGTATGAATATTACACCTTGTTAGGATACCTAACTTGGACTCTCTCCGACATCACTTCCCCGACTCTGCGGAAGCGTCTCTTGAAAAGAGAGAGAGAGAGGCACACATATTCCTAGAGGTCATGGACACATTAGATGCATCGAGGATATTCCTTCCAACCGAAAGCGCCACTCCACAGTGATCGTGAATGCGTATCGTTGACTTTTCCTTCTCTACGTGTGCGCCTTTCCATGGTAACATGGGCTACTACATCCCCCATTACAGCCATCCTCCCCAAATTGCGCCGCTCGCCATGCCATTATCCTGCCTCGAACCTTCGCCATATAATATAAATATAAATATATATATATAATTCCAAATGAACTCCGTCAGTTCTTCTCGGGTATCGTACTGGGCGCATTCTCGTTCGTCACGCCGCTGTAGGCCGGGCGCGCCTGGCCGGGCGGCAGGATGGGCCCCGTCAGCTCCTCGGCCATGGCCTCGTCGTAGCTCGGCGGCGCGTCGTCGTAGGGCGGGACCTCCTGGCCGGGCCGCAGCTGCGGCGGGTACAGCGTGTCGTGCGCGGCCTGCGGGCCGGCGGTGTTTGTGCGCGGCGGCAGCGGCGGGACGTGCTGATATTGCTGCGGCTGCGGCTGTTGTGGTCGTGGCCTCGGCGGCCTCTGCTGTTGCTGCTGCTGCTGCTGCTGCTGTTGCTGCATCCTGGCGACGAGCTCGGGCGGCGGCGTGACGCCCGAGTAGACCTCCACGGAGCTGAAGGTCAGCGGGAGGAAGATGGCCTGCGGCTGGACGGCGGGCTGCTTGCCCTTGCCGAACATGGAGGAAGACTGCTGCTGCTGCGGCGGCAGGCCCCACGACAGGCCGAGGCGCAGCTCGAGGCTGTACTCGCGGTCGAGGTTGCACGCGACGAACGAGGGCATGACGGTGTTGGGCAGCGGCGCGGCGCGCCAGAGCGAGTCGGGCAGCGCGGCCTCGTGGCCGACGGGGTCGTCGGCGCCGCAGAGCGGCAGGGCCAGGTTGGAGCGCGAGACGACGACCCAGCGCGTCTGCTCGGCCGCGTGGAGCTCCTGGCAGCGCAGGTGGGTGCTGCCGACGAGGTCGACCTGCAGGGAGACGAGGTGCACCACCTCGCGCGAGGGGACGAGCTTGCGCGCGATGAGGCGCAGCGGGATGGGCTGGTTGCAGGTCAGGATGGCCGGGTGGGGCAGGCGGGCGGACATCTCGATCGAGGGGGGCAGGCCGTCTTGGAGAGTCTGGGCGTTGTCTGCGGTGCTGCTGCTGCCGCTGCCGGCACCGTTGCTTGGGCCGGCGGTCGGGCTGGGGACGGCGAGGCTGGTGCTTTCTTTGCGGGTGAAGAGCGAGCTCTTCTTCTTCTCCGGAATGGGAGTAGGACTGCGCTCCTGGAAGGTGAACGGTCTCCGCGCGTACGCCTCGCGGTTCTTGCCATCGGCCTGCTTCTCCTGATTCTGGGGCCGCGGCGGCTCGATGGGCAGGAACTTGAAGCCGAGGTGCTGGCGCCAGTTCTCGCGCAGCAGGCCCGGCCGCTGGACCGTCACTTTCACGTAGTACCTGATCTCGGCCCTGCCCGGGAAACCGGTGAAGCTGGGCGGCAGCGTTCGCGTGACGTGGCGGTACATCAGCTGGCGGCTGCCGTCCATGACGCGGATGCCGGAGCCGAAGATGCCCGCGGGGCCGGGGAGGCCGTAGCCGCCAGCGCCGGCGAGGCCGCCTATGCGGGCCATGGCGGCGCTGTCGGCGCAGGCGTTGTTGAAAGGCAGCTTGAAGCTGAAGGGGAAGGCGTGCTGGCCGGGCGCGAGGTTGACGGGCGCGGCGTGCGCCGGGGTGCCGACCTGCGGGAAGACCTGCGACACGCGGTAGAGGATCTTGTGGTTCTCGCTGACGATGTTGCCCGACTGCGCGTTGCTGTGGAGGCCTCCGCCGCCGCCGCTGCCCGGGTAGCTACCCGGTAGACGGCCGCCCGGGCCGCCGCCCTGGTACCGGGGATCTCCCGAGAAGGGCGCGGCGAGGGCGGTGCGGGACTCGCCCTCGAGCTTGACGACGATGGCGCCGACGAGCTCGGGGCGGGGGAGGTGCAGGACGACATGGCCGGTGATGACGTCGAGGTTGGTGTAGAAGTCTGGGGGGTCCGCGAGGGCGATCCGGAGCGACATTGTGAGGCGTTGGGACGAGGTGCCGGCCCTTTGCCCTTGGGTGAGAGAAACTGCTGTAGATGTGGTTCTTGCAAAGGTGTATGTATCCCTTGGAAGAGGTGGGTTTTGTTCAGACCGAGTCTACAGTTCTTCCTTGGTGCTGGGTGGAGACGACGACGCTGGCGATGTGCCGGTGCAGCATGTTTGCATGTGTCAATGAAGAAGGAAGTACTGGCTTTCTTGCAAGCAGCAGACTCATCAAATATGCTTGTCTTTCTGTCAACAGCAAATGCCGGCTTCGACCCGGGTGGAGAGACTGGGCTGGGTTGGCGTGCTCCTAAGAGAGCTCAAACCCGCACCAGCGGGCTTTTGAGGCTGGTGGGCGCCTCTCCCGATAAAAGGCGACGTAATGGCAGGTGCTAAGCCTCAGCGGCTCTTCCAGCGGGCTTCGGTGTTGGCATGGGAATGAGATGGCCGCGTCGTCCTTGTGACGTAGCTGCCGAAGCCTCCGGGAGAGTTCGAAGCCTCCTTTAGGATTGCGAGATGCGCATCTAGAGGACACTAGAATAGAAGCGGCGTCAAGATGCGCGCAGAGGACTGATGGAGGGATGAAACTGGCATCAGCATCATGAGACGGGCCTTCGTCATTGGAGACCTTGTCCCCAGCAATTGCGCCTTATCGATAACGCTGCGTCTCGCGGGGTCTGGTGGAACAATTTGTTGGCCTGGCGAGCCTGGCACGATCATAGAAGGTACCTAGACTTGAGGCAGGGATTTGGCCAGAATATGCCCGATAAGCCCAATTCCACATCCTTATCAGCAAAAAAATTCTGGCCCCTCTTTCGATTCCGCCGTCTAATCCTCCACCGCCTTCACCCATCTCCGTCTCGATCCTTGGTCTGCGCACTCCTCGCCCAACGATTTCCTTAAAACACAGGTTGGGGAAAGTCATAGTCCCTCTAGAGTGTTTGAGCAACCCCTGCACCACGATGGGCAAAGCAAAGACGGCCAGGAAGGCTGGGTCAGCAGCCTCCAGCCCGTACGACCGCCCCTCCAAATCGGCCTCGGCCCAGAAGAACAATATCTTCAAGTTCAGTATGTTGCTCTATCGCACTTCGCCCCAGTCTCTTGACCTTGGCAACTAACACATCTCTCAAGACACCAATGTTGGCCAGCATATTCTCAAGTATGCCATCGACCATCCACTCACCACGAAGAGTTCCGCAAGCTAACTAATCAACTCCCAGAAACCCCGGTGTTGCCGACGCCATCGTACAAAAAGCAGACCTCAAACCCACAGACGTCGTCCTCGAAGTCGGTCCCGGTAGCGGAAACATTACCGTCAGGATATTACAACAGGCGCGCAAAGTCATCGCCTGCGAGCTGGATCCCAGGATGGCGGCCGAAGTCACAAAGCGCGTGCAGGGCACGCCCATGCAGAAGAAGCTCGAGGTGCTGCTAGGGGATGCCATCAAGTGAGCTTGACAACATCAGCTCAATTACCCAAAAGAAGCCATACTAACGCTGCGATTCCAGAACCGAATTCCCACCCTTCGACGTCTGCATCAGCAACACTCCCTACCAGATCTCCTCGCCACTCGTCTTCAAGCTCCTCTCCATGCCCAACCCGCCCCGCACGTCCATACTCATGTTCCAGCGCGAGTTCGCCCTCCGCCTCACCGCCCGCCCCGGGGACGCCCTCTACTGCCGCCTCAGCGTCAACGTCCAGTTCTACGCCACCGTCAGCCACGTCATGAAGGTCGGCCGCTCCAACTTCAAGCCCCCGCCCCAGGTCGAGTCCAGCGTCGTGAGAATATGCCCCAAGACCGGCGCCGACAAGCCCAAGGTCAGCTTCGACGAGTTCGACGGCATGCTGCGCATCTGCTTCAACCGCAAGAACAAGATCATGAGGGCCGCCTGGCTCGGCAGCAAGGAGGTCCTGAGCATGATCGAGCGCAACTACCGCGTCTACTGCGCCATGAACAACATCCCCATCGACGATAGCGTCGTCGACGACGAGAACGGCGTGGACGAGGACGAGGACATGGAGGTCGACGGCCAGGATGCCAAGGGCAATGGCGACGAGTGGGGGGGCTTTGATATGGATGTCGAGGAGGGGGACGACGACACGCCGGCCTTCTTCAAGGAGCTCAAGGCTGCCAACGAGTCTATGCCCAAGACGCCGAGCAAAAGGAAGAAGACGAGGCTAGCCCAGCTCATCAGGAGCAAGATCGAGAAGGTCCTCGAAGAGACCGAGCTGGTCGACAAGCGTGCGCGGCAGTGTGACGAGAACGACTTCTTGAGGTTGCTATTTGCCCTCAACTCGGAGGGCATTCACTTCGGATGAGCAGGGGACGACAGTGATTTGGGACCTCTAGCAGGATTCAAGCCGGGCGATTGCTCATCAACGGGTCCTCCATCAAAGATTGGGTGCCTTGAAGATCTCACTTCAGATCGCAACAGATCTGAAAGTGGTCCCCCAAATTTGCCTAGGGATACGTTTACACGGGCCGAGCAATGCATCACGCGCCATGTCGGCTCCAAGGAGCCTAGAAGAGTGAACACTTATGTCGCTTATGGGAAACGACGCGGATTGCAGGTTATGGAAGTTCGTGGGGAGACGACGAGGAGAATCGCATCAAAAGCGTATCGAGTTGAGCGCAGCATGTTGGGAGTATGATACCCTTATTGAAGAAATGGAAAAGCTTGTGTTCATCTCGGATGTCCCCAACTATTTATCACCTATGCCTCCGTTTGTGTTAGGTACCTTTCCCCATCGTAACCGAAATTCAATTTCATCCAGATTCATCTTGCAACTGACTCTCCCCCAAAAGAGTTCAAGGCAGCGGTCTGAAACTTGGTTGTCCCGTTGGACATTTGTAGCCAGTTTCTCACCCGCATTACTCCGTTGTGAACAGTTCAAATATTGGCCAATTTTCGTGGTGATAGTCATCCTCAAGTCTTGCAAATGATATGAACCTCGCAAAGATATCGTTAACGCGGCCCATAGCCAACTCACTGCAGGGGTTGATGGAGGCCTGCGCAGATGGCGTTTTCAGCAGGGTTAGGCGAGGGGCTGTGTGCATGAGTGAGGCTGAATGGGCGGCCTTCTTACCTCAGGGTTCATGCAAATTGCCACCTCTTGTTTTCACATCTTCCCCGAGGTATTCTCGAGTAGAATCACTCGCTACGATACAGTCAGACGCATACTATTATTCCTTCTCAGAAATGCAATTCATGTCCACCTGCCTCAACACCTTGTTTGCCGGGTGGGTGGGCTGATCGCCTCCAGTCGGTGATGGATCCCGTCAGCGCTGTGGCTAGTTTCACGGGCATCCTCGGCTTCGTGGGACAGTCGCTCAACGGGCTCGTCAAGCTGAGGGAATTCTTCGTCCAAGTCAAAAGAGCACCGAAAAAGGTTGCCGACCTGCTGCAGGACATTGAAGAGCTCCACGCCACCCTGAATGACGTGCGCCAGCTTGCGGGGCTCTTTAGCGACGATGATATCCCATCTGCCGGCGCAAAGCGACCCGACATATCTTCCTTGCTAGCGAACGTGAGGTCGTGCACCGAGGACATTGTCGAATGGGCTCAGGTCGCCGAGGACCTCGACCCAGGGTCGCTGACGGGGTTGCGCTCCTTCTTCCGGAGGGCCAAGGTCGCTGCCGAAAAGACCTTGTTCGAAGAGTTTGGAAAGAGAATTACAAACCATCAACACAAGATAGGGCTCAGTCTGTCTATTCTCGGGAGATCCCTAGACTATCTGAGCCACACCAAACTCGACAGCCTTCACTTCCAGTTCAATGGCTTGACGGAGGCGCACTTGCGACTCAACGAGGTCGTCACCCGAGAGTTTGAGAACCTAGCTCCGGACACCGACACCAAGCCCCTTGCGGAGATACTGGCAGAGGCTTTCCGAAACCAGGAACGCGCCCTTGACGATGTGGTCGGCGAGCTCACCGAACGGATCAGTGTCGACTACCGGTCCACGCATCGCAGCATCAGAAGTATCCAGAGCAACATCTCCACGATAACGTCATCCTTCTCATTCCATGCCAAGGACCCGGATGAGTCCGAACTGTCTGAAAATGATTCGGTTGCAGCAACCGATAACGAAGAGACGCTGGAATGGAGTTGTGACGCCTTGAGCGGGATCGACGTCGCCTTCCCTGATGAGACGTGCTTGCTCTGCTCAAGGCAATACAAGCTCGAAGATGCATTCTCTCGAGGGCATCACTTGGTGTCGTATCACAACTACGGGAAATGCAACCTCGAGGTCGCTTACCAGGATTGGTCAGCATTGAGACGGCACTTGAAGCGCTCCCACAAGTTGACAAATCAGCTCAAATCGAACCGAGACGTCTTGCAGGCCACCTTTCTCAGGTCTCGGGTCCGGAGGTCCAACATCTTCCGGCACCGTGACGGGGCGATAAGCCGTCGACAAAAACAAATAGAACCGGCGACTGAGAGTGAAGAGTCCGAGACGACATCGCTTCTTATTCATCTTATGCAAGCGAACATTGTCTCGGAAGCTGGCTCAATATGGTCCCCAACGTCAAATACCCCTGGTTGGAAGGCGCCGTTCACTCCAGGAGACACAAATCGGCTTGTTGAGTTTCTAGATGCACTCTCGAAAAAAGCTATTCGGTACGAAACGACAGATCAAACTCAACTGAACCTGCTGTACAAAGCTGCCTGTCTAGAAGAACAGATAGTTGTCGAGAATATGCAAAGCAGGGTCGGCTTTGGGTACCCAAGCGATACCGAGCGGCGCATCGAGTACCTCCGCAAGCACAGAGGCCAGGAAGCTGCGGGTCAAGACTTGGCCAACGTGTGGATTGTTGCTGACCCGCCTCACGAATCACCCCTGAATCAATACATCGAGGTGCCGCTTTCCGAATGTGTAGAGTGCTCCGGTTTCAAGCTGTACCGGAGCGCCAGGGAAGCCAAGCATCACATTACCCGGGAGCATTTCGGGTCTGAGTGGACCTGGAGGAATCTAAAGGATGCTGAGAATCCGATGGTTGTGCAAGTTCCGGGGCGTCTCAGACATCCCTCAGTGACGACGTTTCAAGACACCCACAGCCTTTCACGGCGAATTGACAAGTGGCTTAATTCGTGCTTCCTCGAGTCCAATGCCACGCAAAGGCTGCTCAGACTGTCTCCGGCCACGAGACACCTCTTCGCAGCAAATCACAAGGAATGGTTCCTGTCTATCATGGCGGCGTGGGACGCCTGTGGCAATCTAGGGCCGCATGAGATGCAGTATGCGCGGTCGGATGGAGCTGTGGACAGTAGAGATGGCTGGTCGGACGATGAAAGGTACGTCATCTTGCAGGTAGTCTATCGTACGTGGAGAGTTACTGAGAAAAGAATGCTCAGTAGTAGACTGCCACAGCGATCTGTCGCATCGGGTCCTCGGGACAGGTCCCTCCTGTAAGTCAAAGCTCCCCCGAGACCTAATTTCCCAAATCCTAACACTGGCTAGGTTGTTGGGTAAGGTGTCGTCCTTACGGGCGAATAACACGCGAGGATGGACGTCGACGGCTCCTACGGTTACCTTCGATGACGCGACTACTGCAGTCATCTCCCAGCCTCTCGTTGAAGGGAAGAACGCTTTGGCATTGTTAAAGAAAGATGGCCTAGAACTTACCTGAAGAGGTGGTCCTTTTCAGCTCACATTCTGTGGCGATTCATTACTCAATGCCTGATGACTAACTCGGGTACCAATGCCCAGTCGTAATGTGATCTTGATGGAGGCCTAAGGCAGGCCAGGAGCTGATATGGCGTTCGGCAATTTATCTAGTTTAGGCAATAACTAGTCAGCAGACTAAAATGGTTCGGGTAGGCCTCAATATGTAAGCCCCGGAAAGGGCAAAAGTGATGAACTCTCAGGCTGTGTCAGCACGCCTTCAGCCCTCACTCAATCTCTATCTCTGACCAAAAGTCTAAGCCAACTGCGTCCCCTGCGTTTCCCTGCGCCTGTCCCCCCTATTCTTCTTTTTGAGCCTGAGCTCATGTGTGCTCTTAGGTTCTGCAGAACTACTGTGACCTACCTAGTACTGGATTGATCTAAGAATTATTATGACTAGCCTACGTTTCGTGCAGTGTTTTTATATTTAACAGCCGTTAAATTCGGCACTCATCCCTAATTGAGTTCAACTTTCACTCGATATACTTGAGCTTCACTGCTTGTAGCTCTTCACTTGCGCTGCAGAATTGTGCAGTACAAGGGACCTATAGGCACAGTACGCATTTCAATAATTGCTGTTACAGAGCTTAAGGACGTTTAATAATAGGCAAATCGTCTTGATGATCCTGAGGTAGAACTGGCCTTGTTCCTAGATATACCGGAATTGCATCTAACTGTTAGAAAGCACTCTCTGACTTTAACCTATATCTGTTCATTCAAGTCATTGGATAACTTTTATAACTATAACGAAAGCAAAGGAATGAAGGGCTCTTCCAACACCAGGAAAGAGAAAACTTGTTAGCGCGTATTATTAGCATTGTCGGTATGTACTTCTATACATTGCTATGGCAACTTTGAAGTGACCATGAGGACAGCTCTTGTCCTTTAGGCAAGCGAAGCCCTGCAAAATGCACATCTCGGTGACCTCAGTTTTCGGAACTCGCCCCAAGCTAGGAAGTACAGCTTCACTAGCAAGTACGTATAAAGTTGGTGCTGTTTGTGGAGGGTGGTCAGCATGTCAGTCCCACCCAATCACAGTTGAACATGTCAATAAGCCACAAGAAATGGCTGGTTGCCTTACGGGTGCCCAATGCGCCAAGTGGTTGCCTTCTCTGGTCATACAACCCAGACTGCTGAAATTGTACCTATATCAGCCTGTCCTTCCTTGCTTTCTTGCAGCAAAATTACAATACCTCCAGGCTCTTGCACGATATGACCCTCGGCACGGAAACCAACGAGGAGAGAGTGAACCGGCGTGCGTTATGACCTTGCAGAAGTACATATTTTGGTGTGTCCTGCATTCCTGACGTGCGGCCAGTCGCTGAATAGTTAGTTGATAACCCTTCAAAATAGGCTGATGACCCCAACATACCATAGTTGGTGACGTGGCTGGCGGCCTTCCAATACGGTTGGGCTGCAACCCTATTCTTTGTGCATTGTGCCACGATGACTTCGGGCGTACAATTCAAGCCACGCGACATGGGGGGCTTGGCAAGACGCTCTGGAAAGACTAGCTACTGCTGTATATAACCCTACTGCTCAGACAAGACAGGCTGTAGTCTTTCCTTTCCTCCTTTGTGGCAATCTTGCCAGTGATCTGAAATCACAACCCGAGATTCCCAAACAGTTCTGAGAACTACCACGCCTCAAACTCCAGTCTCTTTCACCCTGACACATCACAGCATGGGTTCCAACCACTCTTCCAGCCGCTCCGTACCCGTTGGGCCAATGCGTCTAGTACGGATGGCGGGCACTTGCGATGCAAAGGGTAAAATGATGATCCAGGCTCGAAATACTCAGGGCGGACCTATCTATGCTGGGTGCTACGCCTTTGTCTGTAGTGACAGATCTGAATACATGAATAACGTCACAGTGACCACCATTGATATCAATGGAGCTCTGGCAGAGGAACAGACCATACATCGGTAAGGGTATCCACTGAGTATGTACTTCTGGTGACATCTAAATTGCTGATCTGCGTAGGAGCAAAGATGGGCATCCGTACATCAAGCCAGGTGTGGCCCTGCCAGGTCAGCCTGCCACTTACAATGGTTTGCAGCTTGATTGCACTATCAAGCCCGATAAACCTTACTTCATTGAGGTTTGGTATTACCCATACGCCAAGGAGCTGTGATAGCTTTCGCCACCCCAAAGCTATCGTTAGCTTGAGATATCACAGAAGCGGAAGGACGCAAGTTTGGCAAGGCTGGAAGATTTGAAGAATCTGGCGGGTTTGGATTGGAGTTGAAAGTAGTCAAGGTCTCGAGGATCCAGTTAAAAGGCGCTTTGGCGCCTTCCTGTCCAATTTTCCTCGCTTCTCATCTTTCGGTCAACCATTTCTACCTGTTTCTTACTTTTGAGTCTGGCTTTCTCCTCCATCCCCGCTTTCATGGCAGGTTTTGAGTGCAAATGAGATGGCGCAAAGGAATTTTGTTATTTGTTGCAATCAAAAGCGAATGAACCTGACTCTGGAGCTTGACTGTATCTGGGATATTATTGGCAAATCTGGCAGGATCTCAGCAATTCATACGTTTGCAAAGCTCGCCTGAAATCCTGTTTTGACTCAATTTGTAGAATTTGTTGATTGTATTGAGGGTTGTTGTTGCCCTTCATGTTTGTTTCAAGTTACTCATTAAGCTTCGCCAGTCCCATTCTCATCGCTTTAAAACACAAATCTCATGCGCTGATATATCCTCTGCGATCTGGGTGTCAACTCTTCATCGAACATTTGTGACAACTTCTCTGCAAGTTCAGTCTTTGCCCACGCATCACCCTGCCACACGGTGCCACGACAACTGGCTCACATTCTCACATTCCGCGGTTCGGGCTCCTGAAAATTGCAAATATCAGGAGCCTCTGGAATTCCAAATTGGTCGACTAAGCATCTCCCAAACCATATCCTGAAACGACTCCGTACCTATCACAACACCCCTTGGTTACTGTTCGCTGGTCCTTCCAACCATGTACCACTGCGCTCTCTGTGGACAGAATGACGAGTTGATGAGCCCGAATCCACATTCGAGCTACTGTGCAAGTATGTCGTACCGTGCCTCCCACCGTTTGACTGGCATCTAACCCAATTGCAGTCTACATCATCTCCGGCGAGCCCAACCGAGTCTACTTCCACGAATTCAAGCCTGAACAACAAATCGACGAATATCACATCGTGGTGCCGGGTCGGAATGAGCCTGGATACCTTCACCTGCACTATATTCCAATCTCCAACAGGCACGATAATCCCGGAGATCTCTTCTGCCATGGTTTTGCCTTCCACCATTATTGTTGGGCCATGCTTCTGCATATACAACCAGATATGCTTAGCCAACTTGTGGTAGTGCACGAGATACTGTCATCTTTTCCAAAGTTTGCGTGCGAAATGCCCCAGCTCGATATTGGACACACCTACGGCGGCAATCTCACTACCTACATTGACATGATCCATGGCAAGGCGGACGAGACCGCCGAGTTCAGTGGCTCGTACCAACCCGATCTGAACCGAATTCGCAGCCTTGTGTCCCTTTTCGGGAAAGACTATTCTGAGAGCAGGGACGCATTAGGTCACATCCCACAGGATCAAAAGAAGAGGAAGTCGAGAAAGAGAAAACCGAAAAAGACAAAGCCAGCGAAAGACAAAATCTCCGAGCTACCTGTGGAGCTGCTCCATATGATTCTGTCCCATTTACCATCGTCATCTGTTGTCAGATTGATGCAGACCGCAAGAGTCTTCTACATGGCCGGATTACCCGATCGATTTTGGCAATCACGGTTCACAGATGGGTATGAGTTTGGGCACCTCACCCAGGCGGTGGCGCTCCGGGACAAATTCCGAGGGTGTTGGAGGTCGGTCTTCATGGCTGCAAAGAAGATCCAAAACGACCCACACGTTCTTCTGAGAAAGAAAGTGTATACAGTGGCGGTGTACCTTGCTGACATCATCGATGCACGAACGAAAATGCGCATCTGTCAGGGGGGAATGAGTCCCCAGAGCCCTGACTACCCAAAGGGCGTTCCCTTCGACATTCCTGCCTTGATTGCAAGGCAAAGCTCTAGGGTGCGAGAGGTTTACCTTCAGTCTTCTGGTGAGGATAGAACAACGGCTATTCGATTTGTTGGTCTTCAGACTCCAGTAGTAGCTGTTTTCGTGTCGTTGATCACGCTCGGCGATGTGAAGTACGTTGCTGGCCTGCGGATTGTCGAAGGGAATGGCAAGTCCCAGACTCTGGGATACCTAGATTCAACCCAAGAGATCTCTATGATGACATTCCAAGAGCCAATCATCGGGTTTCGTTTTGCGATCGACCGAGCAGGGGTGCGAGGTGTAGCTATGATCTCATCGTCGCGTAAAGTGTCACCCTGGGTTGGCGATTATTGGAATCTTGTCAAGACTGAAGGACTGACTAACCCTGGAGATAAGATAACATGGCTGGAAGCAGAGTTTGATGTATGTCTCTAGGAAAATGGGGTTCAAAGCAGAAACTAATCGGGGTTTTAGGCTGTCAAGCTCGTGAAACTTTGGATCTTCTATGAATTACGGGAGGCGCCAGAGCATCTTTTCTTTGATGAACATTGCGCTCATTGGCATTGGGGCATACCTGATCTGGATCTGGGATGGAAACGGGGAAGTGGAAGCTCCCCTACCGCTGGACTCGTCTGGATCAGTCTGGAGAGACCAGACCATCCAACTCCGTACGCAACGGGCCTGACTGTCTATTATGATAGACGCCCACAGTTGGGGGACGCTGCCGAGCGTATGATTCGGCTCGAGGTTCACTTTGGGCGACAGCTTATTGTCATCGGGAGGGAAAATATCCTTGATCCTGCTCACAACTTTTGCAGCAGAACCCACTTTTATATCAACGGTGCTGCTGGTGAGCGAGTCACAGCACTGGAAGCCTATTATTCGAACACTTCCTCTCGTTCCAATCGTCTCGAGCCACAGGACGAGCCCTACGGCTTCACGGTACTTGATACTTGGCATGCTTTGCTACCGAACACTGCACTAACGTCCTTCTCTCTCTAGATTTATACGGACCGCAACAGTTACGACTTTTTTACGCCTTCAGAAGAGCTAAGTAACGATTCATTTTGTTCAACTTCCAGCAAATTTGAGGCCAAGGGCAGTCCCGCGGCGGGCCTCTGTGCAATCACCGTAAGCTTCACTACCCCCTACGGACCGTGTGGCCAAGTGTTTCCCTAATCCCTTCATGAATACAGAATAACGGCATCATCCAGCACGTGGGTCTTGCTTACAGATAGGCTATCGGTTGATGGCAGAGACGATCATAGCTGCTTTCCCAGATCGTCAACACCTGGCTGAGAAAGCCTTGCTTGGAAACGAACAAGAACGGGCAACTTTGCCTTCGAAGGAAGACAGCTATGTTCGTGAAATTGTTCGACTTTTGCTAGAAAATACCGGATCGTTTGCTCAAAGCTCTGTATGGGACTGGTTTGACCAGCTTACCACGCTGGCTGCTTGGTTCAGACATCTTCAAACACCCTTTCGAGGAGAATTGCTCAGGGGCATTGCTGATAGCCCACAGACCCGGAACTCCTTACCGAGTTGGCAGGCAAGATGTCGTGCGAGCGAGCCGCAACAAAGCGAACTACAGAGGCGTCTTTCTGTTGTACATTTCACGATATTTGTCACCGTTGCCGACTGGAGCCGGTTGTCATTCGATACCGAGAGGGTGGGCAGACACACTGGCTTTTCCGGCGCTGGACACAAGACGGGCTTAACAACATGGGGAAATCCGCGACGGAGAATGGGTACTGTGATCGATAGACGGGGGGTTTTGTGTCTTGCCTGTGGGATTGGACTGGGATATCCGGGAATTAGCGTGCGGCACAGTCAGGCGCAATGGGCTTGTATTGGCACTGTCCCTCTGATAGATTTTGACAGTCGCCAAGGCTACTAAAGCCGGACTAGAAAACCATAGCTAGAATTGATTGGTGAGCGGATCGATACCAGCACAAGACTCCTGCTGTTTGTCCATGGCCTCGGTCTCGGGTGTAAGATGTACTATGAAGTGGTATATGTTGAAGAGCCCAGAACACAGACTATGGCGTGTGTCAATCTCGTGATGAAGTGTAGTCACCAAGGACAAACCTCATGTCCTGTCAAGGACGTCTTGGACCCACCCGACGGCAGCCAAAGATAAGGCTTCGGCAACTGGAGGCATCGATACCTGCAGGCGAGAGTCGTATACTCGACAAGGTCATACAAGATAGAGAATATGAGCGACATCTTTGAGTCTGTGACTGGCCTGCTACTCCGTACAGGACTGAACACTCCAGAATGTAACAACGATACCGGCAGACCGGATCCGAGGCCAGCTTCATCGGCACACATAACCGAAGCAGGGCTAGCTTTTGGCCTTGCTCCGGGTCTCCCTCTGACGAGACATGCCCGTGAATGGCTACTTTAATTTCTGCCAACGACATAAACATGCGGGGACCCCAGAAGTCGAATGGTTGTATCCGGCTGTTTGGCACGAGGCTCTCTGCAAGGCCGGACAAGAATCCGGAGCATGTCAGGGTTGGGGCCACCCCGCATCCAGACTTGGCGGGAACTTTTCCGCCACACACACATGGGAGAGACTAGGACAAGATGCGACTCCAGCACAGTGCAGTCCCCATGAACCACGCTGGTTTTCTGATTCCCCACATGTCGAGAAATCACAGACCCTGGGGAAGTCTTGGGCAATCTCATACTGGGGCTATAAAGCAGGATTCTCTTCCCCGACATGTCGGTTCGTGATGCTACTCTCCCCACACCGAGCGTCAATTCGAGGATCGACAGCACGTCACGCCCTCAAGTCTAGACAGTCGACTCTATCCCACGGCACGGCCTCTCGACAAGCGAGCAGCCATGGCTCCCTTCAACACTGGTAACCGGTCCGAGGACCAGGTCACCCAGCTCGTCAAGGAGGACAAGACGCACTGGTACAAGAAGCGCAACCTCCGTTACCTCTACATGATGCTGTTCTGCTGCTGCATGGGCGTCGAGATGACCTCGGGCTTCGACTCGCAGCTGATGAACACGAACCAGTACTCTCAGCAGTTCAACAAGTGTGCGTTGTTACTCCAGGCGGGGGGAGGTTTGGGCCAAGTACAGATATCCGCTGACATTTTGATACTGGACCAGACTTTGGCAAGGGACACAAGTCAAAGGGCAAATACGCCATCGAGGCCGGTCTCCTGGGGTTCATGACCTCCTGCTACCAGCTCGGCACCATCTGCGCCGTGCCCATCGGCCCGTGGGTCAACCAGACCTTTGGCCGGCGGTGGTCCATCATGATCGGCTCGCTCATCATGGTCGTCGGCGCCATCCTCCAGGGCTTCTCGCAGCACGTGGCCATGTACATCATCGCCCGCATGATGCTCGGCTTCGGCATCTGCTTCTGCATCATGGCCGGCTCCGCCATGACGGCCGAGCTCGGCTACCCCAAGGAGCGCGCCGTCCTGACCTGCCTCTTCAACCAGGCCTACTACATCGGCGCCATAACCGCGGCGGCCATCTCGCTGCGCACCGTCGACCTCAGCGACAACTGGGCCTGGCGCATCCCCTCGCTGCTGCAGATCTGCCCGTCGCTGCTGCAGATCTGCACCGTCTTCCTGATCCCCGAGTCGCCCCGGTGGCTCGTGTCGCGCGACCGCGAGGAGGAGGCCTACAACATCCTGGTCAAGTACCACGCCGAGGGCGACGCCGCCAACCCCATCGTGCACGCCGAGATGGCGCAGATCCGCAGCACCGTCAAGCTCGAGATGGAGAACGCAAAGATGTCGTGGATGGACATGGTGCGCACGGCCGGCATGCGCCGCCGCGTCTTCATCATCGCCCTGCAGGGCGCCTTCACGCAGCTGTCGGGGTCCAACCTGTTCTCGTACTACTCGTCCCTGCTGTACGAGATGATGGGCTACAACAACAACTACGCCAAGACGCGCATCAACATCGCCTACCTGTGCTGGCACGCCATCGTCGCCCTGCCCATCGCCATCTACGCCGTGCGCTTCCCGCGCCGCTGGGCCTTCATGACTGCCACCACGGGCATGCTCATCTGCTTTATCTCCATCACCATCTGCTTCGAGCGCCTCAAGGCTGCCGACTCGCAGGGCCAGCACAACCAGGCCGCCTCCATCGCCTCGCTGTTCTTCTACTTTGCCTACACCCTCCCGTCCAACATCGGCAACCAGGCTCTGCAATACAGTAAGCTTCTTTTCCTGTACCTTTTCGTGCCGCCGTCTGCTGTACTAACGTCTCCCACAGCCTACGTCGTTGAGCTCTTCCCGTACGCCACCCGGTCCCGCGGAGTGGGCGTGCACCAGTTCTTCGGCAAGGCCGCGGGCTTCCTGTCGTCCAACGTCAACCCGATCGGCATGACGGCCATCGGTTGGAAGTACTTTGCCGTGTACTGCGGCTGGATCACGTTCGAGCTCATCTGCCAGTTCTGCTTCTACCCGGAGACGTACAACCGCACGCTCGAGGAGCTGACCTTCCTGTTCGAGCCCGAGGAGTACCGCGCGCAGCAGCACGCCGCCGTCGAGAAGGAGCTGCAGGCCGAAGGCGGCGGCGGTGAGCACGTCGAGGAGCACGCCAGCCGAAAGGAGGTCGTCTAAGACGGGCTCAGAGGTCGGCTACGTTGGGCGGCGGGAGAGGCCCGCGCGCCTCGAAAGTGCCGTGCTTCCGTATCTGGCCCGGGCACCCGCAGCTTGATTATCCAGTCTTGTCACCTCAGCGAGTGTCCATGTCACTCTGAGCAAATCTTGACATTCAATACATTGCCCGCTGAGGGTGTAATACACTTGTTACTATCAAAAGATTAGAGGAGTAATACTGGTGATCATGACCCTATGCTTTCAGAAGCAGCCATGAATCCAACCTGCAGTGCCTCATTTTTGCCCCTTGGTAAACTGATGATCCAGGCTCTCCTCAACCGTGATGGCAAAGATTACAGGGGCCTTTCTCAGACTTTCCACAAGAATCTCCATGCATGCCCCTGGCTCATGCCGAGGAAATAGAGATCTGCTCCTCTGCCACCCGAGGCACCGCTTTCGGGATGTCACATCAGCAGTAGATTACGAAGGTATTCTCGTACTTGTTCATATGAGGATGTCAGAGGAGATACGGCCAGGCTTGCTCCACAACGACGGCTAGACACCCTCTTGTACTGGGACTGGTTCCCAAGAGGCGGTCTCATATTTCAGCCCGAATTGAGATCACACCGTACATAATATCAAGAATCAAAGCCTTGTCAACACCCTTGCATTACATCCCCACTACCTAAGCAGGTATCTCGAGCAACAAGTCGTCCCACGCACTTGTGGTTATCTAGCTCCTCCCTTCCCAGCACACGAGCCTCTCTCTTCTCACGTCACCACACACACACTCGCCTGCACCTATCTATCTCCCATCTGTCCAATCACAGCCGCCAACAGATGCATCCTCCCTCCCGATCATTCAGTAAGAAGAAAAGAAAATCTAAAGTTTCAACAAAAGAAACAATGATTGGTATTGTGCGTAAGCAGTGTAGTGTATCTCTGATCAACCACCCCCACAGTCATCCTCCCCCTTCTCCACTCCCAGCGACTCTCTCAAAGTAGTCTCAACAAAGTCCAACCAAAGCCAGCAACATATCTTCCCTTTTTTCCAGAAAAGTGCAAAAAACAAAGGCTGGGTGTCATCATCGTAGAATGGTATACTAGGTAGTAGTGGTGGTAGTAGGGGGAGTAAAAATGCAAAAAAAAAAAGGACAGTGAGGCTGTGTGAATCGCTTAGTCTAAAAGTTGTTTCGATCCCCTTCCGAGTCCGTGACATTGGTGACATCTGGTGGCACCCAACACCACCAATCTCCCCAGCTTGGGAAGAAAATTAATAGATAAAAACACCATTTCTTTTGGCTTCATAACAAAGCAATATGACCAAAAAAAAGGAGAAAGCTCCCCGTGCCATGCCATGCCATGCTGCGCTGTGCTCTTTGTGACTGTACTGTTTGCCTCCCAACGATGCCCTGCCTGTACCATGCGTTGTCGACTGGATTTTGTGCGTGTGTGCCTGGGTGTACTGCAAAACACACATGTTGTACAGAGGTAGTCAAAACAAGTAAAAAAAAAAATGAAAACAAATCAACATCATGCCTGCAGGACAAGCCTCAACTCAGGATGCCGCACTCAGGATTCAGCTCAGGACGCCCCAGCGCGGAATCCCTCAGCTCACCACACCCCCAACTCAGGATCCCTCCCTCAGGATCCCTCATGGCCTCCCAGCCCAGGAGTTCAGGAGATCAGGATAAATCCGGCACAACAGTCCCGTTCTCAGGCAGCTTGGGATTACTAGCCGCGTTGGGCTTGACCTTGGTCCGCCCGTCGATCGGCACGCTGCGCACCCGCTGGCTCAGCGGGAGCGAGTACTTGAGCACGCCCTTGACGATGAGGTCGAACTCGTCCTTCATGATGCGCTCCCAGCGCTCCGACCCGCCGTCCGTCTGGTTGCCGGGGCGCCGCAGCCGCACCCCGCCCGTCGACGCCGAGATGCCCTGGTGGAAGAAGGACCCCTCAAACGAGAGCGGGCTGTCGAACGCCGTGATGGTCCCGAGCCGCATGTTGGGCGCCTTGTCCTCCTCGTCGTCCGACGGCGGCTCAACGGCAGCGCTGCTGATGTGGACCTCCTCCTCCTCGCCGCCGTTGTTGTAGTGCCCGCGGTCGTCACCGCCGTGCTGCGGCCGGCGCCACCACTCCGAGTCGGTGCCGGCGTGGGGCGACTTGGCAAAGACCTCGAGGTCGGCGGCGTCGACGTTGACCACGACGACATTGGGGTTGTGCGCCTTGACCATCATGTCGAACATGAGCTCCTGCTCGCTGGCGATAACGTTGCTAATCTTGACCAGCTCGATGTCGGTCAGCGGCTGCGACGTCGCAAACATAAAGCCGATGGCGCCCGAGACGACGAGCAGCAGCATGACCGTCAGGACGAGGCAGCTCGCGAACCGGTTCAGGAAGGACGGCTGGTGCCGCCGGTAGGCCTGGTGCTCCAGCGCGCGCAGCGTCATCGGGTGGCGCCGGCTCCTCGTCGACCGCGCCGACCTCATCGACGACGGGATCAAAGGTGTCGTCTCGTCGTCGGCACCGGTAGTGTCGCCGAGGTCGTAGCCTAATGACATGTTGTGGCGCTTGCCGGTCGCATTCCTCCCCGAGTTGAACCGCGGGCTCGGCGGCCCGGACGACTGGCGCGAGTTGATCATGCTGCCCATCTTTGACCTCGCCGAGTTGACGCCGGGGAAGGGCGACTCGTTGTCGAATAATGATGTGTGCCCGTTACGGCCCCAGCGGCCGATGTGGTGGTGGTGGCGGGCGGTGCCCCGGTTCGATCCTGCCGTGCTCCTCCCCGTACCCTTGCCCTCCTCGTCGCCCATAGCGCTGTCGTTGCCGCTCGTATTCAGCGTGTTCGTGTTAACAAACTTCATATTTTTCTTGACGGCGGGTGCGCTTGTCACCGAGCCCTCCATCACGCTGTGTATCGACCGCATGCCGTTCCTGTCCACCTGACTGGCCATCGACGTCGTGCTGGGCGTGCGCGAGTGGAATCGTTGGGGCCGGTCGCGGCCATCTGGGGGGTTAGAATCATAGACAAACGTCTCCTCCGAGTCGGACGTGTTGGCCTCGTCGACGGCGCTCGCGACTTTGGCCTCGAAGATGTCTGCTTTCGACGACGCTGTGCGCGATCTGAGTGTCAGTAGGCTGGTCTTGGGCTGTAGACTTAGGCTCTGGTTGCGGGCTCCCGGCGCCGAGTGGCGCTGGGGACTGAGGGGCTCATCAGCGTGCAGGCCTTGCCCACACGGCTTTGTCGGCGAGAGACAGGCATCGGTCCGGGAGGAGACCGATCTGAGAGATTGGTGATGCCGCAACTTGGGTTGAAACTGTAACTGTAGACTTGAGGGCTCACCAGTGCCTGAAGGAACCGAGGGCTGTTTCCGACTCGGCTTCTTCTTGTCCTTCTTTGGACGTATGGTCTCGGAGCTCGGCTTGTTGCGGATGCTCCCGTTGGAAGCCGCGGCGCCGCTGGGGGCGAGAGCGACCTGGGGTATGGACGTGACGGTCTCGGTCTCGACGGTCATGGTCTGTAATGAGGCCTCGCCGGGCTTGCCCTTGCTGGGCTTTATCGACGCGCTCGACTGTCGCGTCGTCAGCGGTGGAGGCGCACCGGAGGCACCCGAGCGGCGGTCCATCTTGGAGGAGACGCTCTCGCTGCCGCTGTCGTTGCGTTCGAGGTTCACCTTGGGCTTGATGGTCTTGGTCGATGAGGGGACATCGGATGAGTCGGGCTGCGATCCGGCGTCGGAGGTGAAGCTGCTCTCGAGTTTGGAGAAGGCAGCATCAAGCGCTTGGGGCGACCCGAGAGGGCTCGCTTCTTGGACCGTTTCCAGGGTGCTGTTGCTTCTGGCAGGTGTCCTTGCGCCGGACTGCAGGAACACCTCGTCGCTATCCGTGTCGGTCTGTGAGAGGTCCATGATGGGCTGGGGTGAGGGCGTGGCCCGCTGGACATTGATGGTTGGTGGTTCCTGGTCTGCCTTTCGCGCCGGCGGTGCCAGCTGTGGCTTGTTGAGGATGGGGGGCGGGGAGCGCAACCTGGGGGAGACGGGCCAGCGAGGGGCGGCGGCGTCTCTTGACTGGTCGGCGGAGAGGGTGGTGTTCTTCTGAGGGACGGCAACTCGTGCGCTCGCGTCGGAGGACGCGGGATTGAGTGTCGGGATGGCGGTCGAGGAGAGACTCTTGTGGGGGCCAGGCGAGGGGGCAGTAGACCTCGAGGGCCGCGACGGGCTGGTGTCGGCGCTGTTCTTGCGTGATCTCGTGCCTTGGGGATTTCTCGCTGCTGCGGCGGCGGATCTGAGGGACGGCCTGCTCGGGGAGGACTCTCGAGACGCAAGCGGTGTCGATCTTGCAGAATTCGAGCCGGAGATGATGCCAGAAGCTTGAGCTATCTGCCTTGCGAGGTAGGAGTCGGTTCTCGGTAGAGCATTCGGGGGCGAGTCGCGGGGTCGACGTGCGGGCGTGGGATGGAGGTCAGGATTGGGATTGGAGTGACGTGCTTCGTTATTGTTGGAGGATGCGGAGGAGGATGGCTGGCGGGCACCAGGGTCTGGGGTCTCAGTATCGGCGGCGGCGGCGGTGGTGGAAGAAGCAGCAGAGTTTGACGACTTGTCCATGGTGGCGGGTCAGGTGGGAGGAATGAGGCCTCGTCTAGCCCGCAATCGTCATGCCAGTTGGAAAGGGTCTCGGCTGCAGGAAAACGGAGTTGGCTACGACTACCTGGCACGAGAGCAAATCATGACTGCCGGGGATTCGGGAAGGGGTCCAGTGGGTTCGCAGCGTGTCTTGCAGGACGAGAAGAGAAATGGAGAAGTGCGGGTAGCAGATGCGGCGTGCGTTGGATGCGTCCGTTTCGAGGGATTGCTCTGCTCTGCTTGGTCGTCTGCCGGCCGGTGGTGAATGCGGAAGTGAAGTGGGTTTTGGCGGTGCTGCAAGAGGCCTTGGTCGCTCTGGAAGGTCACGAACAGGCTGGTTTGTGTGTTTCTGCAGGCCAGGCTGCGAGTGGACAAGAGACGTGCAGAAGAGAGAACAAGCAGAAGGGTGGCCGTAGTCTGACGATGACGCGATGGAGATCGTCGTGGGGAGGGAGCTGTCTCTCTCTGGGTCTCTGGGTCTCTGGGTCTCTCTCTGGGTCTCTGGCGGCGGGCTAGGCGAGCCCGTCAGGGTAAGGTAAGATGGCGGATGTCGGCGGTTGGGTCGAAATGGCAGACAGGAGGAGTGTGTTGGATGGTACCGGCCAGCAGCAGGAAGAGGGTGTGTGTCTGGGTGGGTGGTGTGGTGAGCGAAGGGAAAAAGCGCTCAAGCTGTTTAAGGTTCGGGAAGAGGGTGTGTTGTTTCGCTCCCTTGTGATGCGCGTGTGGTGGGTGAAGTGATGTGACGGAGGCGATGATCAATGATGATGTCGTTTCTGGTCCTAAGTTAGTCCTAACCGACTCTACCTAAAGTACAAGTAATGGTAATGGGCACCAGCCGCTATTTCTGGTAGGCAGGCAGTGGCAGGCAGGCCGCCTAATCCAGCGAGCCAGAGGCCCACGGGTGGTAGCACTAGCCCTGGAGGAAGCCCGGCTCGCTGAACAATCTCCGGAGTTTGGGCTTGTTTGGGTACGCTGGCGCCTGTTTTTTTCAGGGCTCTGGGTGGGCGTCAAGTGGATCCCTCTCCAGTGCAAGTACCTCCAGGGCTCTCTCACGTCGTCTCCCCGGACCACCGAGGCAGTCGGCCAATCCTCACCAAACCCCATGTGTACCTCAAACCAACAATTACAAGTCCTGTCGCACTGATTTAGGCCAGAGTACAAGTACATGCGGAAGAGGCGGGATTGGCGGGATTGGGCCAGGGTGGAAGCGAGACGAAAGGTAGCAGCAGTCGCCGATTCTCAACAATGCGGTACCACTCGCGCCGCTGTTCCGGTACCTCTTCGTACGAAGTACAAGTAAGCTGATTTCAGCGGTACTGCCTGTTCCTGTCGGACAGGGTCGGCTGGCTGGGATCATGATCACCGATCAATCAACTGGGCATGAATAATCTGTAGCAGATGCATCAGATCCATATCGAGAAGGGCTTCTCTCCCCGCAGAACAACGGGCCATTCAACTGCTGGCCGGGAGCTACGGAGAACATGAGGTCGGTACAATTGTTTGGTCTGCGACACTACCACAATTGGCGGCCTCAGGTACTTGGACTGGAGCAGCGCAGATACTCTTATCTTAGATGTGATACATAATAAAGCTAAGTACCAGAGCTTGTACTATTCTGTTAATGCTCCACTTGAGTCAGATGTCTCTCTCCCCTGTCAGATGAAAGGGCCCCCCTGTCCATCTCCCGCCTGTCTCCTCTGCAACCTGTTTTCCGCCAATGCTTCTGGAATCCCCAGCCAACCGACCTTGGTCCGCCCTACCAGAAGAGACCACTTTCTCTTCATTTCCAAAACGCAGGCCCTCGCCCCCTTGCCCACTTTCCCAGTTCCCCGGGAGGGCAGACCCTCTCCTCCTAACCTTTCCGGTCGTACCCAGGCCTGCGAGGCCTGCCAGTCCCCTCTTGCTAGGCTCTTCACGGCAATGAGTGTTGAGTCGAGGCCTGTCGCCCGCTGAAGCCTCCACTCCCTAGCTCAGGTACGAACCGTTCCGGCGGTGAAGGACAGAGGAGGGCGATGATGCCCACGCGGATCGGGATGAGGGCCAAATTTATCCCTGATGGTCGCGGCAACAGTCAGCATGATCATTCTCGAATATATTTTGGGGATGGATGGGGAGCGATCGGCCTCTATCAAAGAGTACACAGGCTTCGAAGGCACAAAGGCAAGCTACAAACCAAACCAAGCAGAGCCCGTCAACCTACCCCCAACGGACAGATGGACAGGTATATTCTTCCTCCATCATTTTCTCCCTCGGCTACTAGTTATTTTGCTCGACTCAAGGATGGGGTTGCAGCCAGTGGAGTTCTGCATCGCTGCCAGCAGCCTCTCACAGCCGGCCAAGTGGACGCGAGCTGGCAGTGCTCACGCGCCACCACCCTGGCAGCAGGCACAGCAGGCCTGTTTTTCCCTTTCTGCACTTTCTTGCTCGGTCTCCCCCCATTTGATCGCGTCGGTTGCAGCACGTGTCCCTCTCCTCGCACGTCCACTGTCGATATGTGCTCGATTATCTCTTGCGGGCGTGCATGCGTGTGCGCGAGTGCGCGTGCGCAGTGCCTTATCCGCCCACCTCTTGATCGTGAAATAATTAGTGCAAAGTCACCTTCAGGGTCCAAGGCAGGATGGACAGGTGGTAGTGGGCACGCGACACGTGGTTGGTCGGCACTCAAGAGACTTGCACATCCATCCATGGACAGACAGTTAGTTAGGCTTCATTCACACTACGCGCCCCCGACCCGATGCCAGTCAGCCATCGCTCTCAACCCTCAACCCTTCCCTCCCTCTCCATCCCCAGAGTGACATGTCAGACGATTTCCGTCAAGAGTTGGCCTAGCCCTGGTCACCCGCGCAGGAACCCGTCTTGTCATAGGCCCGTCCCTCCTCTCGCGCTAGGTACCCTCCCGCCGCCCGTCCATCATCTCTTGCGATATCTCTATCCACTTAGGACCACGGTCGTCAGCTTACCACCCCGCGCCCGTCTCGCGGGGGGGTTATTTGCTCACGGTATTCAAAGTGATTTTTAGGAGTGTTTCGTCATATCAAATAGATATCATATTCTGTGTGGATGCTCTCATGGTGGCAATCGCCCCTATTTCAAACGCCGGCTTTTCATCCGGAAGGGCTTGTCCAGTTACCGCGTCCCCTACTTCTGCCAGTGTCCATCTGAGTTGGTACTGTTAGCCCGGGGGTCTACTCAAGTCTTGTCCGCGCAACGGCGAGGAAGACTCGGCCCTTGGGGTTCGGATGTGTTGGGTGCCCAGGCCACTTGCCGCTGATCCATCATGTGTGCCGTCCATCTTATCCGCATCTACACGTAGAATACCGCCGCGTCCGCAATGAGATAAGGTAGTGTACGAAAGCCTTGCATCGTCGGTCTCGGGCGCGTCCCCTGTAAATGTCAATGAGTGTCAAGATTTGACTCATGGCAGTTCTTGATGGGAGTAGCGGCAGACATGACAAGGCTCTTCGCTGAAGGAGTCACCAGAGATAAGTCTTGTTTCGAGAATGTGCGTATACCAACTTGAGAGTATCAGAGACTTTCAACATCTCAAGGAACAATCTCAAGGAACGGGAACTCAAGATGAGGGTTGCCTTGATCTAGCATAAAAATTATTTCGCCGTTGAGAAAGCAGACTGCCGGAAACTTGAGATGGACCCCCAAAGACCCTAACTTCAGACTGGGATATGATGGATATAACTGAGCTCAGTATATAAACCTCGGGTCAACCTCTATCAGGTATAAGCCGAGTTACACTGGTATCCAGACCCAGTTGAAGAAACGCAACTTGAACCCAGTATGATGCATATCTAAGCACGCGACTAGTAGCTGAGGTCTTTGAACGCATTTTTCCTAGGCATCGCGGTCTCGGGCTTCGGCTCGACCCTGGGGAACCTGCCCGACTCGAACTGCGCGGCAAATATCGACTCCATCGGGTCGACCGGATCCAGGCCGAGGCCAAGCAGCGCGTCAATCAGGCCCCTGTCGCCCGACACTTCGGCCATGAGCATCGCCGACGAGCCCTCCTGCACCGCGTCCCACAGGGGCCCGTCGAGCGGGACTCCGGCCTCGTGGAGCTTCAGGACGGCGTGGGTGTTCGCGCTGAAGCACGCCTTGGAGATGCAGGTGAACAGCACTTCAAAGTCATCCTCGTCCTCCAGGAGGGGTTCTATGTCGATGTGCTCCTCGTCTATGTAAAAGTCCAGGAAGTCATTTTGCTGTGCGGTTATAGCCACGAGCAGGATCTCGGCTTGTGCCTCTGGGTACCACGGCCACGGGTACTCCCGGAACAAGAGCCGAGCAGTGTCGATGTGGCCTTGCTCGGCTGCCGCCCGGATGACTTTGATCTCCGGCGGCTCAGCACCACTGTCCAACAGCAACTGCACGATGTCGGTGCAGCCCTTCCAGGCAGCATACTCGATGGGAGTGGGGCTCGTATGAAGGCCATCCCCGTCGGCGTTGGCGCCCATGTCCAGAAGCATTTCCACGGTTTCGATATGGCCCTGGAGGGTCGCCTCGGCCAGGCTGTCAGCGAGAAGCAGAGGTGAGCAGCCGCCGGGGTGTTCCAAAAGGAGGCGCGCTATATCTAGGCGCTTGAGCGCGATGGACTCAAGGACCGCAGAACACCATGGCGGGTTGCCGATCCGGAGCCCTAACCTGGGCTCCAGCAGCAGCCTGACGATTTCGATGCTGCAATGCCTCACGGCTAACTCTATAACGTCATACTCCCGGTCGTTCACGTCCACGCTAGGCTGGCTTAAAATGTGCTGTATCAGATCGAGCCGTGAGGCGCAAATGCTTATGGACAACGGGTTCCCGATAAGCCAGCAGCCCTCGTTGATCGTCTCGTCTCGGAACTCTGACGCATCGACTGGAAGTCCCAAGGCAATGCGCCCTATGGGTATGAGGGATTCCGGGCTGATGTCTTCCAGATAGAGCTCTTCGTCACGCTGGATGTCCGCAACAATGTGTTCGGCACCCCGGTTTCTCTCGATGTGTCCACAGAGCTCGTACATATATGAAAGACCTTTTGGGTCATCGGCGGCCAATCCCTCTGATTGCAAGATCGCATCCACGAGGTAGTTGAGAAGGGCGGAGATATTGTCATTCCAAGGCTCCTGTGCATGTGGGCGGTTCCTCATATAGGTGGCCACGAATCTGAGTGCGCTGGGGCGCAGCTCTTTTGGAGGCCAGTATTTCTCGAACCGCTCCTTGTCACGACACAAGTCTGCCAGCACAGATTTCTGCGCGAGCGTATACAAAATTTCCTGATTGAAGGTTTCTGTCCTGGATTAGCGGGCAACACTGAAGTCGGGGGATTGTTCGAAACTCACTGCTGACAGCACGTAGCCTTACAGCTTCCGGTATGTCTACAATTTCAATCAGCTGTTCCATGACGCCATGGAAACATTCCGCTGGAAGCCCGAGGAGGTTGAATCCAGACATTGTGCCGCCTTCGCCCTTGCTCAGGGCCCCGTGGTCTTGGTGGTGGTGTCTGGCGTGACAAATTCAATGACTGAATATCGAGAGTGCTCAAGATTCCCAAGCCCACCGATCAAAACTTGAACCCGCCTCTGTCCTCTAGTTCAAGTTCATGGCATTGGGCACACTCAGATATCTTGGTCTCTCCCCCTGAATTCAGGGTGAGCGGTCATGGTCTGGTGCGGCTGAGCCGTTTAAGTGGAGCGGAAAAACCCAGCCCATTTCTTGGCTCAACCAATCCAGCGATTGGTCGAAGGAATGAGGAAGAGCTGTGAACACTACTTTGTACAACGGCCACCTTGTACAACGGCCATTCCAACACCAGACGCTTGGCTCACATAGTCAAGCAGCGGCTCAGCCAAGCCATACGCATGCTCTCGATAGAGCAAAGAACAATCGCTGCCTTTTCGGCTCTACAGCTGCTGTGTTTTTACTATGTATTGGTGGGGAAACAGGAAAGAACCGCGCAGGGATCCGTCGCGCTGGCTCACGAATGTGGGAGGACGTATATCAACCATGCTAAACGAATAATAAACCATACTTATACTGAGAAAGCGTTCCCAGAATCAGGAGTATCAACACTCACATATGTCGAGGTCTATGCGGCGTATCTGCCGTGACCAAGATATCAGCTCCAAGAAGGGAAACAGAGACGGCTTTGATCAGATGGTGACTTGGATGAAACACGGCTTCTAAAACCCAGCCAACTCCTGCCCCTCGCTAACATGCATGTCTAGATCTCTAACTAAATCTAATGCTAAACGCAACATCTTACACGCTCAGTTCTGTCTATCGTGATCAGCCACACGGATGATCAGCTTCTCGTACAACCACCTGCCAAAGTTGACAGACGGCGTGTCTATGTACCGCGTCACCACGTCCGCGGCCCAGATGCACACGGGGAAGAACACGGCCGCGGCGCCCAGCATCGCGAGGCCGTACTGCCCGTCCGTCTCGCGGCCCGTCATGCCCACCAGGGCCACGCAGAGGTGCCAGCCGAGGGTGTAGATCAGCGGCCCGTGGACCAGGTACAGCGCGAAGCTGATCTTGCCGAGGTACTGCGGCACGGCGCCGGTGAAGATACGCTGCAGGAAGGGCGCCCGGTCGAGGGTGAAGATGAGCACCACCGACGCGATGGGGATCCAGAAGTTGTCGTAGTACTTCTCCCGGTACAGCTTGGGCATGATGCTGTAGAGCGTCTTGTAACCCGGCGTCTGGAACCCGCTGTTCTCGAACCGGGGGATCGAGAGCAGGTAGTAGCAGAAGACGAAGGCCAGCGTCAGCAGGATCTTCCTGAGCCGCGGGTGGACCACGGGCATCTTCAGGCCACGGTAGCTGCTGAGGATGCCGTTGGCCCACGCCGCAGGCCCGGCCGTGTCGGAGTAGGGCATGCGCTGCACACCGAGGTCGGACTCCTGCGCCGCCCGCTCGGCCAGGGCGAAGTTGACGTCGCACGCCAGCATGCCGCCGAAGAAGAGGAAGATCTGCCAGTAGGAGTAGCACATGCAGTACCACATGGTGAAGACGGTCAAGGCCATGCGGACGCCGGAGCGGAGGCGCGAGAAGGCGACGTGGGCGAGGAAGAGGATCAGCGCCATCTCCCACTCGACGGTGAGCGTCCACAGGTTCGGGTCGTAGCCGAGGCCGCGCATCGGGTCTCGGTCGAACAGGCTGGCGAGCGAGAGGCAGTTGTGCCACCAGCCGCTCACCTGGCCCATGAAGGTCTCTGCCCGTCCCGGGCTCCGCTGAGGGATGTCCGTCCCGTACCACGTGTCGCCCTGGCCGTACCAGTTCAGGCGCACCATCAGGACCTGGATGAAGGTCACGGCCATGGCGGGGAGGAACAGCCGCGCGTGTCGCCGGAACGCCGCCGACGCCATGGCCTCGTCCATCTCGCGGAACCTGCGCTGGCGGGCCAGCTTGAGCGGTTTGTAGCTCAGGGCGTACCCGGAGATGACGAAGAAGATCATGACTTGAGGCAGGCCGGAGACGAAGTATCGGAGGAACGGCAATTGTATGAGGAGGTTGTCGTCTTCCGTGACGTGGTACCCCTGATGTATCTTGTTCGTGAACGCCAACAGGCTGCAATGGTGACATACGACGAAGAATGCCGCGGTGCCTCTGAGGCCGTCTGATGATTGACCACATGGTTAGTTCTCCTGGCAGTGGCCCAGTGTACAATGAGCATAACGGAGGGACAGAATGTCAACGACGCACCCAACCAAGCCGAAGGGTGTAGTTTCTTAGGCGTTGAGCCATTGGCCAGGAGAAAGCTGGGCAGCAGCCCTCGAAGATTGGTCGCGTGGCCCAGACATCGTCCTCGCCAGTTTCGTAGAGCTGGCGCGGGCTTCTCGGAATCCATATTGTCTGTAGTGTAAGGAAAGGAGACTTCATCCACAACCTGCCGCGAGGCCGCGTGCCCGGGAACTTGGCCGTATTCAACGTCCGTGTGATCCTTTGACATGGTAATGAACGACGTGGAAACAGAGCAGGAGGAACAAGTGGATGTCCCGGGACGTAGTTATGGGGAACCCCAACCATATACCCGTCATGCTTATCTGAGGAGAGCCATCTAGACCCCGAGGACCCTCAGTGACCCTGGATATGCTTCAAGGTTTGGAAAAAACTAGACCGGTTTGGTCTCGTTGAACCGAAATAGCGGCATGGGCTGAGGACCGTTTGGGATGGCTAGCGCGAGGAATCGGGTGATGCAAGCTAGCCTGCAAATCCTGTCGGTCCTCATTAAGGGCTGAGACCAAAGACTTCGAGTGACCGGAGTAAGTCCGCACGCTTCGTGATAGGTAGGCATACGCAAGTGCTCATTGACCCTATCTGGCAAAAGGACCATGCCTTTCAAGAAGGTGGGCGTTATTCCTGACAAACTTGACGCATTCCAAAGCCAGCATGCAGAGACTATTAGCAGGCCGGCGAAGCACTTGAGGTCTGGACGGCATGTGAGCTAGGGTGTGTCAGGGTCTAGTGCCACCTAGCTGAGAAGCCGATCAACCCCTTGAAGGGACTTCTAACCTCGATTCTTCTTCGACTGCCATGTGCTAATCTCTCTTGGCGAACTAGCACGCGACGGTGGGTATTCTTAGCGCTTGAAACATCGGCTGTTCCTGGCAATACCTTCACTTGCGGCCGCCTGTGGATAAAACATCCTGTTGATCCTGTCGCATCCCTTTCCTAAAACAGGACACCTTGACCAACTTGTCATCACGAACCCATCATTACATTCCAGAGGGAGGAACCGATCAATCATCATGACGCCTTTTCGCGCCCTCACCGGAGAGACCCTCTGGTCGGAGTTGACTCCGCACCGCTGAAGTTTCAACCCCCGAGAACTGGAGCGCGTTCGGTAAGAGTTTTGTTCAAGTCTACGCGTCAACAGTGCAATCTCCTGCAGCTGGCGTTCCAGGCCTTGGCATGCGCAGGCGATGCGGTCACAGCGTGTCGAGATCTGACAAAACCCTCGATCCTTCAAGACGATCACCCTCTACGATGAAACAGCCCGCTACCTATTCATAGTACCGAGACACCCAAGACTTCTGCCATGTGCAGCGAAGCAACCACTAGAAGCGCCACCCAAGCGCCACCAACGCCACTAACCGCGTCAGCAAATCTTGACCTCGGGTGGCCGGTAATTTCGACGAATGATAGGATCCTTTGGTGAAAATTTGCAGTGACACTTCAGGCCTGCCTGCGAGTAGTGTACCCGAGAGCAATACTGCTTGGCTACCCCTAAAAGAGATCAGCATCTTCCCTCTTAGTTCATCTAATCCCTGTGGCATTCCCTGTAACTACTTGTACGGTGTCTAGAAGATTCCTGGACAATCAACACTGAAGGGGATAGTTGTACTCCATAGTTTGGTCCCGCTTGATCGCCCTCCATGCGATCCTTTACCTTGTTCACGATCCAGAATCTACTCCACATATCTAACCATGGGGAATTGGATTCCAAACCCAAGTCGATAGAGGCGAAGACGTCTCAGGCAGCATCGAGTGTCATGTTTCTCGGCCGGAGAGCATCGTGCCTCGGCCGAGGGGCGCCGCACTCTGGCCTAGGAAAGACAATAACGCGTTGAAGTGGCTTCGAATCGAGCAGACTAAGTATCCTCCCTAAGACCGAGAGCCGACAGCCGGCTCAGAACAGCGAGTCTATGGAAGAGCTGGCGGCCGATCAGGATACGGACCTGTCCTATGAATGCCTTTGACGTTTCGCTTTGGGCTATCCTTGGTTTACGCCTGTGTGTCATTCGATTTCACCAGCATCTTCCTCAACGAGAGACAAGTTCAATCCTTCTAGACAAGCCTTGAACAATATGAGATGAATGGAACAGCTACGCAATTTGAAGATAGCTGGAGAGTATCTCGTTGAGTGTGTCACTGGACCGATTTTGACTACTCATTCCGATACTTTTGTATAGTAAACGGCTCGGGACTGGTCTTGGTATTGAAGAAAATTTGTGTGGTTTTTATAATAGAAGCCCCTCCATCGCTAAGTATCTAACTGTATTCTAAGGTATAAACTAAGATTTGTCGTCTCCCTAGATACATATGTAATACGTGCCAAACTATTCTTGTGTCGGTATATAAAAGTGTATAAAAGTTTCTCATTCTGCCGGTCTTCAAGTTCCATGTATGGAGAAATATAACCCTATTGCAATCCCGATAGTTCAATGAATCTCTGGTTTAAGAATCGAAGTCGTAACACCAAACTTCCAGTGCTCGGGTGCACAGCCTAGAACTTATAAGGCTTCGGCGTAGGTATGTGGTACTTCATGGACGTAGCTGGCGTGGGCATCGGAAGGAAACCAGATGAAGCCGTTCCCGTGGGGACGATAGCGTGCCTCGGAGGCAGAATGCCGGTCCCGGTCGGCAGAGGAAGAGGGATAGTCAACGGCGGGAGGATGCCGGTGGGGAGAGGGAGACTGATGGGGGGCAGGATGCCGGTGGGGACGGGCATGGTCGGCACGGGGGGAGGTCCGGTACCGATGGGCGGGAGGACTGGACTGGGGATGGGTGGGAGACTCGGGATTGGTAGAGTCGGCATCGGCATAGGCATGGTCGGCTTTGGCATAGTCGGGGATGGAGGGGTCGGGACCGGCGGGACCGGGACTGGCACGGACGTCGCGCCCTGGCGAGCCGCATGGTGGTTGAGCGGCAGAGCAGTGGCCAGGCCGACAAAGAGTGCGGCCGAGATGCTGAACTTCATGGTGATTGGTTGGGGTTGGTTGCTGCCGGATGAGTATGAGACCGTGAATGCCACTGAGTGCCGGAACCAGGAAGATGAAGTTGCCAACACACTGACCTTCTGAACTGAGGAGATGTCAACGCAGCTTTATATCACGGCTGTTCCGGTCTATGTCGAGGAGATTCTTTTCTGGCCGCAGGCACGACATGATAATGATAAGTCAAATTATTCTCTTGGTCTCCAAATGAAGATATATTATCAATATTTGCTCCTGCCATCATACCTTGGTCATCGACGTCTTGTCCCGGTTCACCCGAGCGGTGAGGTTGGAGACCCTGGTACGACGGGAACAAGAAAAACCGCCTTGGTATGTCGTTGAATCTTCGCAGCATACATCGGGGGTATCTCCGGAGGTCGATGCAGTGTGATTGGTGAGCTATTATCGCGAACCTCAACGGTCCCACCCGTGCATAATGGTCCGCAAGGTGACCAAGTTGTCATTTCTTCTCTTTGCATGCCCGGCTTTAGCCGCCCACGAACATCACTATCTCATCACTTGGTGAAAGCAAGAGAAGAACGACAGCAGCGCTTACAAACCCCCGCCACCCTCCATCGCGATGCCGAGCTACACTCGTCTAATCAACGTTCTGACATTGTGCCGGCTCTTGCTCATGCACCCCTCCCCATCTTATCACCACTGGCCGGGGTTCGGAGCGTTTCCAGTCTCAACTCACCCAATAGCGTAGCAGCAGAGGGCGCAATCTCTGTTCTTCTCCTGAATATCATCCTCATCCGAAAGTGCCAAGGCTTTCGCTATTCAGAGCGCGCAGCTCCAGATGGTCGGAAAGGCAAGCCCACTTTGCACCTCATTGCCCAGAGCCTCATTTGCCGGGCCTACTGCAGGGGCAGCACACGGGACGAGACTGAGAGGCAGGACCCTCTCACGGCAATTTTCGAGGTCAATCTTTTCGCACTTCTACCGGGGAAATCTGCCGAGTCTGCTCAGCGAGGTGGGGGCACTTGGGCTTCGTTACGGCACAAAGCGTGGTATGTACCTGGATAAGCCAGGTCGACGACGTCTGAGATGGCGGTTCGGTTCATATCGTGCCACCTCGGAGAGACAGTGGAGGAGACGGCGTACGCTGTATTACTTGAGGTTATCTAGATATTCCCTCCTGTATTCCCGCACGTCCTTGTCCCTGCACGCTCCCCGCTTCCCGGATTATTGCATATGTCCCGAGGCCGGCGTTCACATCAGGGCAGTGATCGGCACAGCAATGCCGGTTATTGTCTGCCAAGCCCCAGCGAGCGCACTCTTGTTCCGTGTTCTTTAATCATTTACGGGCAGCCGGAATATTGCTAGCAGCAACCTAGCCAGGTCCATCGATATCGCGATGTCGTGATACGCCCGCGCATCGCGCACCTGCTGGCCGCTCGCTCCGGCTTCCCCGTGGCGCTCGACAGAGGCGTCCCTGGTATTGTCAATAGCGACCTTTCCCAGTCTGTGCGGTCAGCGAATGGGAAATGGCAAAGGCCGCACCCGCAGAGTTGCCCGCCCCAGGGCAGGCTGGTCGACCACGTGAACAAGGCGAGAGACAGAGCGGCACGGGGCAGCAAGGCCCTCGCGTTGAGGCTCGCTGACGCGAATGTGTGAGTGCCCGGAGAGCCAACGCCTGCTGCGTCCAGGCCCATAACTTGCTGGACTGACAGAAGACGGTGAAGCAGCAGAGAGTTCAACTACCGACTCGATTCTGAACCGTGTAAATGCCAGGTGTTCAAGAGCAGGCAGAAGATCGCGCTGATGGGATGCTGAACCCCAGTATAGGCCAGCGGCGACCACGGAGCTAGGCCGTCGATAGGGTTACCGCGACTGTCACCGCCCGTGTTTCAGTGGTGTAAGTATCTGTAGAAGGATAATATCTAGCATTGACTTGCAAAGGGCGAGAATTTCCGTTTGGGATGTCGATCTTGTTGATCTGTGACACAGAGTATGATTCGGGAATAACAGACTTCCACGAACTAGAATGCCACAGATAGCATCGGCTGGTCCACCACTGTGTTTGCACTAGATTAAAATGTGAGAAGACTGTCGGAAGCAGACTTCTCAGTGATCCACGAACTATGAGATGGTCTGGAGCATCCAATGTTCCAATCAGCATCGCTCGCAACAGAAGATCAAACCTGCACAGTGTATAGCGATCATTGACAATATCCGGTGTTGAGAATAAGCGTATCATTTTCTTCGGGGTGAATGCTCCTTGCTTGATTTAACACCCTCGACTATTCAGATCCCTCGCGATCTCGATCTCCTGTAACCCACACAGCCAGTGTCGGTCAATGTCTACTGACGTTGTCGAAATCGGAGGTTCAACCCTTGACCACGTAATCAGGCTTTTGTCGAACTGAGACATCCGGATAGAAGATTGAGTCGAGAAATGATCATAGCGAGATAGTACCTGTTGCAACTTTAGCCACAATCGCGTCTTTGATTCTGATCGACAAACAGTGCTACTTGACCATGCCTTCAATGACGAAGGACGAAGAGCCATTGCTGCCCACTCTTATCTTGCGTGGACACCATGCAAGCCATTGCAGGCTGCAGCCTGCAGGTAGCTAGATAACATTGGGCCGATGGCGGTGGTGATGACTGATGGCTGGCCTCCAAGAAATATCGGCATCTGCACAAATGGACCGCTGCCGAGCAAAGGAATAACCCGACTCACAATATCGCGAGAATTCAAACGACAAATTCTACTCCCACAACGAGCATGGCTGAAGCGCGTACTTACCCAGCATCCCCCTTTTCATGCCTCCAGACATTGTGAGATCAGGCAGGTCGTGGAAAATCCACGAAGAAAACATAGTCAGAATACGCGTTGGGACGCCATGAGAACAAACACCGCTCCTGTCAACAGTTGACTTGTATGAGTGCTTAGCAGACCAGCTTGCCAATTCTGTTAAGCAGCTCATCAAGAAAAGCCAAGTAGGCTCTGTCCTCCCTTTTGTTGGCACATTCATTGACCTCCATGCTAGGTGTCATAGTGAGGCAGGACTTCCTAGACAAAGAAAATTCCGAATCGAATAGTATCGGATAGAACAGGCAACACTCGTATGGGCCTGAAATTGTTCCTGATGATTCACTCGAGGACCAGTGCCAGCAAGGTAGAAATAGTGCTCAACGCCCACCCCCAGGCAGAAATGTTTGCCACGTACTGGAAAATAGCATACCTGAGCTCTGCGGGTTTGTGAACAACCTCTGCTTGGTGGAAGGTCGTGAACAGTTGGTTCCCTATCGATGATGTGGTACCAGGACATGCTTGCAAGCAGTGAGTCACGACACGCTATCACCAGCAACTGAAGGCTAGGAACTACTGAATGAAATTGTCACATTCATGCTTCGTCCCACTCTGGCAAAGACCTTTCCCGTGTCGCCTGCTGAAATGTTGCCCGCACTTACATGTCAAGATATTCCCAAGCCTTGGCTCCGGTCCCTGGGAGAATTACTCAATACGTCACGCATACTCTGTTTGCACCTACAGCTAAGGTACAGTCACTACCGGTACAGAGCTGACATCTTATAGAATGACCTTCCTCCTGAGAGACTCTTCCTTTGGTCAGGAACTCTTCTTACCACCAGTGCCACCGCGAGAAAGCCATCCTCTTCAATTTACACAAAGAATTCAAGTGCAACCCGCCGTTATCAAGTTTCCTCTAACGAAAGTGTATCGGCATCAATCACGCAATCAATCCTGTTCCTTCTGTCCTAGGACCGGCCTAGGCAAGTATCTTCCAAAGACGCTTCGAGGGGCCAGGCTGACAAACTCAATACCTAAGCCTATCGTCACGTCAACATGAGTTCTTTGGTAGGCCGATGTGCGCATTTGGTTTTGAACGACGAATGGGTTCTCTGGGAGGCTATGACCGAGGACAAGACAAAGGGTAATCCGCACAAGGAGCTGATTCCCTGCCCTTGCAAGGGCTTTACCAAAGAGGCACCCAAAAAGGTGAGGATGTGCGCTTGTGGTCACAAGCGGAAGAATCACTATGCGAAGGCATCGGAGCCTCAGTGAGGGTTGAATAGATCAACATTGTGTCATTAGAGGAGCAGATCAATCTTCTCATTAATACAAGACTTCGGAATAGCGTTGGAGGAACATGGCCATGTTGATTAGGAGGGATCATGCGGTAGTTATTTACCTCGATCATCGATGCTAGTATTGACTCGCAAAATGATGACAATATCTTCATCTGGGAATCGTTTTGTTCGTCGAACGTATTATGTCTCTTCCTCTCCTGTGCGAGTGTCAGCACTAGGATCCCTGATGATGGCTTCGGAGGTGACCAATCAAGAGGTCCGATCGAATGATCCCAACATATTATTGACCCACACCAGGGAAATTCGTCCCCCTTTTCAACTTCAAGATTCGTTAAGAAAATCATCGCGGTAGGAACAGCGAAGCCTGGAAGGATGGCATCGTTTGTGTGGCAAATACTCGGATGGGGACCCAGCCGGGTCCCGCCGGCAAGAGACCCAACAGACGAGGTCCTCCCTTGCCACACTTGGGATGATTCCAAAATGCTCCGGTCATTCACGGTTATGTGGATGTTCCGCTTCGAGGATGTCTTGGACCCGGACATGCTCCATGCGGCACTGGCGGAACTGTTTGAGATGGACGGCTGGAGACGCCTTGGTGGAAGGCTCAGACTGAGAGTATGTGCTTTTGATTTCAAATGCCTGATACAACACCAAACTATATCACACTGACAAACCAAGACAGCCAGACGGCAAGGGAGAAGTCCATATTCCGAAGAAGTTCACGCCGGAGCGGCCCGCCGTCTACTACACCAAGGCGCACCACGCCATGCGCATGTCCGACCACCCGGAGGCCGCCAAGCTCCCCGCCGCAGGGTCTCGCCCGGCAACCTTCCCCAACGCCCGGCAATACGCCAGCCTCAGCGTCGGGCCTGGCGCTCCCCAGTGCATCGAGGACTTCTTCTACTCGGACCTGCCGCAGTACGCCCTCCACGTAGTCACCTTTGAGGACGGGACACTCGTCACGGTGAGCCACAATCACGCGACGAGCGATATGGGCGGTCTGTCCACTATCATGTCCGCCTGGAGTCTGGTCCTCGCCGGCAAGAAGGACAGCGTGCCGCCGCTCGCTGGATGGGATAGCGACCCCATGGCTGCCATCTACAAAGCCGAGCTGACAGACGGGGTGCCTCTCGAGAGGGCGCATATCGAAGACAAGCTTCTCACGGGGTGGCGTCTGGCCGTCTTTGGCATCCGGTTCCTGTGGGAGTCTACCTTTGCGAACCACGAATCGCGCATCCTCTGCATCCCTCGGAAGGTCATTGATGCGCTTATGGCACAGACGCGGGGCCAGCTGCCCCAGTCGGTCGACTCCGAAACTTCGGAAAAGCCATTCGTCAGCGAGAACGACGTAATTGTAGCGCTGATGCAGCAAGTCTACGCAATGGCGCACCCCGCCGGGTCGCAGCGCACCATCGCCATCCTCATGGCCGTGGATCCTCGTGGCCGGGTCGGGTCGGCTCTCCGTCCGGACACTGCGTACGTACAGAACGCTCCGTGCGGCGCCTTCGTCAAGTGCGCCGCAGCAGACGCTCAGACCATGACTCTTGGTGAGCTAGCTTCGCGGTGCAGGAGCGACGTCGTTGCGCAGACTACCGAGGCCCAGATCAAGGCCAACGCAAACCTCGTTTACAGGAGCCTGTTGGCGAGCGGGACTCAGCCCATCGTCGGCGACTGCACGATGGAGTTTACCAGCATGTCGAACTGGTCCAGGGGCAAGCTGTTGGAGAAGACAGATTTTGGGCCCGCGGTCGTCACTCCAGGGAAAGGTTTGACACCCGGGAAGCCTGTATATTTCCAGGCGCAAAGCATCGAACCGAAGAATCCTCTGTCCATGACTGTTTGTATCATCAACGGCAGAGATGTGAACGGCGACTTGTGGATGAGCTGTGATCTGAAACCCCATGTTTGGACTCTTCTGATGGACCACTTGGGCAAGATCGATGAAAGTGGATGAGAGGGATAATGATCGTATCTTTTTCACTTTCTAGTAATATTGCTTGTAGAATCTATATTTATCAATATTCTTATCTCTATACCCGTTCCTCACCGGGCTGATCAAGCAGATACATCAAACTCGTCAATAACACTGCGCGGCTTGACGAACTTGCCTAGAGGTTTGTATTCCAGTTCGTCAAAGCCAAAGCCCTTGGGCCCGCCGATCTCAAGACCCCTCGCGGTCGAGGTCCATTTCTCTGATGCCGTCATACCAAGCACAACCACGGGCAGGCCGTAACGGTACTCTTGTGTGCCCAACGCCTCGCCATTCTGCGCATCGATGACACAGACCAGATCTGGGACCATGGCCAAGATCTAAAGCCACCCCGCCGATGGTCAGTTGAAATACAGCGAAAAGAGTTGCAAGATGGGATTCACTTACCTCTTCCTTGCCTGTAGCATCAATCTTCTTGGCGTAGATGTTCTCGTTCTTGAACGGGATAATCAGACGCTCCTTAGCCGAGCCCTCGGCGGCAGCGGCGGTCGACTCGATGATGACCTCGCCGTACGCATGCCCCAGACGTGTGACGCGCTCGACACCGATGATCTTGCCCTTGAAGAGAACCCTGGCCGACTGGGCGCCGCCGACCTCGGCAATGATTGACTCGGCCACGGTGTCGATGGTGTTGGTGCATCGGGACAGGGCCACGGCACGGCCAATTCTCCAAGACAGCGACATTGTGTTCTCGACGACCCACTCCTTGGTGTTCTTGCCGGACACTGGGCCCTTCGCGCAGCCGACGTGGGAGCCCATTTGCGACAGAGCACCACGCAGGGCACGTTCTGCGTCCAGCTCGGAGCGGGCTTTCTTCATGATCTATATTCGGCATATAGTTAGCCACTTGTTCACTACCGCTTTTAAAGTGATGACGACTCACAATTATCCTACCGTTGCCATCAGAGATGCAGGTAGGTACCATCACTGGCTTAGGCTCAAAGACGACTGGCGTCGTCTGCCATGATACTGGGTAGGCTCTGCCCATCCAGTCACCATCGATGGCTGGGATGTCTAATGCCGACGAAGCACCTATGGCGAGGCCCTGCAAGCCGTTTCCTCCGCCGATCTCGAGCGGAATGACAGCAGTCGGTGTCTTGTTGAAATACTCGTACAGCTCACGCTGCGACTCCAGGATCCTGTTCCGGTAAGTCAGCTTGTGCGCGTCTTGTGGTGCCAATCTTTGGAGGAGACTCACTCGTCTCCATGGGGCTTCTCGATAGAGACCTGTGGTGAACCCTTGCCGCCACCGCATGCAACGATGTCATCATCCTTGAGGTCATGAGGCGAAATGACCCGGAGCGTGGCACCTTCCCGCAGCATCTCTCGCAGACGGAGGAAATGCTGGTAGGGATTGCCGCCGCCTCCCGTCCCCAGGATGTAGCAGCCGATTGTGATGAACTCTAGGTCGGTCTCGGACAAGAGCCATTGTCTGTTGGTAACCTTGGGTTTGTACGAATTAACATACTCCTTGGTGAAGACTACCGAATGTGATGAGTCGGGAACCTCGGAGGAGTCCTCGACACCAGCCTTCTTCTGGGCGATATGGTTCGTGTCGTCTGCAAACTCGTCCAGATCGCCGTCTGCATTGACCGGCACGTCCTCAAAGTCAGTCCGAGAGTAGTCAAAATCGCCCACTGCTTTCACAATCATGCGAGACTTATTGGCAATGTACTGCATTCTGGTATCAGTATGGAGACAGATCTTGGTTGGCCATGGTGCGGAAGAAATACCTGAAGTGGGAAGCTGTCCATTTCCGCAATGGTCACGGTGTCTCTCACGGCTCCATTCTCGACCGCCTTATCGACGGCTCTTTCGCATAGATCTTGCATGATCTCATCTTTTGTCTTTGTCTCGGTGCTCTCGACAGAGTCGACCACACCGCTAACGCGGGCCGTTGCCGCGCCGATTGCGTTGGCCACGCCCGACCAGTTGGGCTTGACAACTCTGCTTGCACCCTCGAGACTGTCGGGAGCAATGACTGCGCCGCCTCCGACAAGCACGACGGGGATATCCTCGGGCGATGTCTTCATCGTGTCCACAATGCCTTCCAGCATTGATTTGACCTTAGCTTTGAACTCGGGCAGAGTGGACTCAAGGCCTTTGCCCTCCAGTTTTGATCGGTCTCCAATTTCCACGCTCTTGTCTGCCAGTACAGTGTAGTCCGTGGTGGTCGGAATATTGCCACCGAAGATCAACGCCTTTTGCTGGATCTGGTAGCCCACACTCTCCGGGCCAACTGTCAGGTTTCCGGCCTTGTCGTGGCTGACTATTGATCCACCTCCAAGGCCGATACTCCTGACATCAGGGTAAGAGAAGTTGGTGCGGACGCCAGCGATCTCGCTATACGCCGCGGCCTGTCGCGGGAATCCGTTGCTCAGGAGGAGGCCGACATCAGTCGTCGTGCCGCCAATGTCTACAACCATCATGACTTCTTTCTCCTGCTCCTGCATCAGGAAAGCCGCACCCCGCATGCTGTTGGTGGGCCCGCTGGAGAACGTCCGAATGGGTAGCCTCGCGGCGGCAGCGGCGGGAAGAATGGTGCCATCGTTTTGCGTGACAAAGACGGGGCATTTCAAGTTCAGGCGGGAAATGGCGCTTTGGAACGAGTGGATGGTCCGACGGGCGAAGGGTAGAATAGAGGCGTTGAGGACGGCGGCGTTCTCCCTCTCGAGGAAGCCGATGTTGGCCACGTCCTTGGAGCAGACGATGTCGGCTTCGGGGTAGATGCTGCGGATGATCTCGGCCGCCCTCTCCTCCTGCTTGAACACGATGTCGATGGGGCTGAACACCCCGATGATAGCGATGCTCTTGATCCCCTTGGCCCGGATCTCCTCACACTGACTCCTCACCGCGTCCTCGTCCAGCTCGGCGATCAGCGTCCCGTCAATCTCCAGCCCGCCATCGATGATGCCGCGGTGCCCGCATATGATGTTGCGCAGCCGCGGCGGCCAGTCGATGCCGACGGGGATGTCCTTGGAGAAGGGTCCCGCCAGCCGGATCACGCCGACCCGGGCGAGGCGCGACTGGTCCATCTCGACGACGGCGTTGATGAAATGGGTCGTGCCGATAGTGACGCTGGCGACGTCGGCCGGGTCGACGCTGGACTGCGCAAACATTTCGCGGATGACGTTGTTGATGCCATCGCTCGGGTCCCTGGTCGTGCTCGACTTCTTCCACGCGCGGATGCCCCTGTCCGGCTGGGAGGACTGCGCCAGGTCCAGGATGACGCCGTCTGTGTTGGTGCTGTGTGATCCGTTAGCATTTACAGGGCATTTTCCTCTCCGGAAGAGACCGCCCGTTTGCGACGACGTACCCTCCCACATCAACGCCAATACGGAGCGTAGGTGGTGACTTCATCTTGTCTGACAACGATGGCATACGCTGCTCTGCGTGCGAAAGAGGTCGGTCTGTAACCACGATGCAGGATTCGATCACTGTGAATGTAACTTCATGTGAAGGGTCGATAAGATAAACATTTGTGAGGCTCAACCAAGGAACCCGTTATTACAAGTCCAAGCAGCCCGATCACGGACGTCGGGGCGTCCCCGAAAACCGAAGTCGGCAAAATGACCGTGTGGGCTGACGGGTGTGGCGTAAAAGTGCCGTCGGCAAATTCCCAGTCGGCCAACTTTAAACGTCTGGGTCCTTATCAACCGTAGTGGCTGGGACTCAGGAGCGTCCATTACAAGTAGAGGCAAGAAATCGTGTGTTCCTAGGTCAATAGGGCAAGATATTGCACGAGACGGGGAGATAACAGGTTTGAGGCCAAGGCACTACCGTGCGGAGAAACCCAGGTCTGCTCCTCTTTTCGACCCTTGTCTGATTGTTCCAGAGCGCTCCCAGGCTGAGGGAGCTCATCTGGGTGTCGAGGAATTGCCCAATGGAGTAAAGCCCGATGCCGATCTACGGTCTTGGCAGCTCAAGTGCCCGGTTTTGATAGTGAGATAACTGATTCCCGGGACCATCCCCGGATAACAGTCTCCCAGGGCATGGCACGGTTGGCCGATCGGCATGGGAATAAAATCCCAGTGGCCCGGTCCCTCATATGCCATGTGGAAAGGGTCCTGTCTTCCCCTCCGATTGCATAATCCATTAGCAAATTGAAACCGGAGACACATGGCGACGAAAGCTCTTCGCAGGGCCCGAGAGGCGGCCGTCCTCAGGGCCGATGAGACGCGCCGTGAGGAGACGACGGCTTGGTGCAACCGCGATCTGGTGCCCATGCCGCCGTCGCGACGAACCTGGGGCTGGTTCAACTTCTTTGGAGCTTCCGCGCTGTAAGATGGACAACCTCTACTATTTGGCCTTGCAAAGGAAATCTATGTACTAACACGAGACGCATGACTGAAGTGGCGCGCTCAACGTCGCGACATGGCAGACACCCAACACTTTTCTGACGCAGGGTCTGTCGGTCGGCCAGGCCATGATGATTATCGTTGTATCGCGATTCTTCGTCTCGTTCTTCGCCTGTGTCGTCGCCTGGTGTGGCTTGACGTGGCACGTTGGCTTCACGGTCCAAAACAGATTCACTTGGGGTTTGCGCGGAGCCTACATTCCTCTTCTCCAGCGCGTGCTGCTGAACTTTATTTGGACTGCTCTTCAGTGTAAGTTTATCGTCTACATGCCGTCTTAACACATCTAACATGGTCCGCTCTCCCAGGCTGGAATGGTGGTAAGCTAGTCACGTAGGTCATACCCGTCATGAGCTACCTTGGCATTGAAATGATTCATTTGGCTAACAAGGCTTATTGCAGTGTCTGCCTCACGGCACTCTGGCCTTCCTTTGGACGCATGCGAAACACCTTGCCTTCGAGCATGCCGACAACCACCCAAGAGATGGTTGGCTTCATTGTTTTCTGGGCCATCTCCGTCCCCTTCCTCTTCATCCGGCCGGAGCGATTCAAGAAACCCTTCTTCTTGTCCAGTTTGGGCTGTGGCATTGCCATGATCTCCATGATGATTTGGGCGCTGTCCGTTGCGAAGGGTGTGGGACCGGTGTTTTACAAAGGCCAGAACGTCCCCGAGACCTCACGGTGGAGCGTTTCCTGGATCATCATGGCTGGGCTGAACCAGGCCATCGGCCAAAAGGTCGCTGGCATGACCAACGAGAGTGACTTCTCTCGGTATTCTGGCAGCTACTCTGCTTTCGTTATCGGAACGGTCTCTTGCCAGTGGATTGTCGGCATCCTCGTCTCCCTTGGTGGCTTGGTGACCACGGCAGCGTGCCAGGTCATCTATGGCAAGATCTGGTGGAACCCACCAGACCTGATGATGGTTATGATGGACCGTGAGTTGACTCTGTGCATATGCCAATATACCTCACGCATGTACTAATGATGAACACAGACGGCAATGGATCATCGGGCGCCCGGGCCGGTTGCTTCTTCCTCGCTTTGGCCTTCACGTTTGCGGTCCTCTTCCAGAATGTCTGCGGCAATGCTGTCGCTGGAGGCATTGACCTCGCTGGTATATTCCCGAGATACATCGACATTCGACGAGGTGCCATTATCACACTGGTTGCCACATGGATCATTCAGCCCTGGCAACTAATCAACAGGGCTGCGACTTTCGTCTCGGTGCTCAGCTCCTTCTCTGTCTTCTTGTCGCCTCTCTTGGGCGTCATGATCTGCGACTACTTCTTCATCCGGCACCAGAAGATTAAGCTCAACCATCTCTACCACCCCGAAGGGTCCGACTACTGGTTCAGCCACGGCTTCAACCTGCGCGTGATCCCGGCCTGGATCGCCGGGTGGGCGCCCACCATCGGCGGCCTGGTCACCACCGTCGGCAACTACAAGTCCGCCCCCGACGCCCTCTTCCAGCTGTACTACACCGCCTTCTTCAGCGGCCTGTGCATCTCCTTCACGCTCTTCTACGCCATCAACTTCTTCTTCCCCATCCAGGGCCGCGGCGAGTTCGACGCGTACGACGACTGGGCGACCTTCACGCCCGCGGAAGCTGCCAAGTTGGGCGTCGTCCCCCACGTCGACGCCGAGGAGCTGGCCCACATCCCCATGGGCGCTTCCGGGTACCGCCGGCCTGCGCCGCTCACCCAGAAGGAGATGGAGCTGAGGGCAGATGCACCGGTCATCGAGGGGACTTCTGCCGAGCCGGCCCCCGCCAGGCGGTGGTGGAAGCTGGGCAAGAATGGCGATGCGTGAAGGGTCAGGATCCGTGCCGAAGTAAGAGTTGTGCACCTAGCATCAGTCACAAGATATCAAAATATGTGTCGTGAGAACTAGGAATGTGGGAAATGGTAGAAAACACCATACAATTGACAGTACAGGGGGCATAGCGCAAGATTAGCCTTCCAGAGACATTGTTCTACATTTATCGTCAGTCACCTGAGTCGAACTTTCTATGCTGTCAATTTACAGCCAATTATAAAGCCTCGCAAGTCGATAACGAAGTGCAGAATAGCCTGAGAAGCAAAGGGCAGATTTGTTAACAGAAGTTCATCAAGAGATACATCAATGCATCAATGCAACCACTACTCTGGAGCGCCTGAATACCTTGGTACAGAATTCGACACAGCTCTCCATACCTGTTGCCATGTCCACTCAGGAGGGACGCCTTCCCAGCCAGGGAAAGAACCAGCAAGTCTAATCCGATTATAGTTTCCATAGCCCTCAACACCGCCATCATGGCAAAGTTGCAATCGTGGCGAGGATCGTGGAACAACTTGTATAGAAGGAATGAACTTGGAATATCACTTAAGCCATCAATACCTTCTCGTCTTTATGACCATATGGATCTAACTTGGTAATATTAGGTGGGAAGCCCGGTCGAATATGTAGCTTCCAAGGGATAAGGTGAGAGACATATGGGAAACTGCCCTGAGGGGGATCTCCCTAGCGGCGGTAAACGATTTGGGGAAGTTCCACATTCAAGAGCAGCCAAGAGTTGCAAATATGGGGAGGACGAGCAGAAGAACCGTGGTTCTGTCTGCCCTAATGTAAGTGCTTCGGGTACCGGAAACTGCTGGGAAGCCAGGCAGGATCTACTTCGGAGCGGAAGATTTGCCTATCTGCTCAAAGTTGCAACCGTAAATTGTTGATGTCAGCGACCGCATCAGCACCTGCGAGACTCATCATGGCTGTCTTCTATGCGATTGATCCCCTTTGCGATGCCGACTTTGAGCGTTTAAGCCACATTTGCGAAGCGTCTGCCACAGTTGCACACCCTGCCACCCGCCCTGAACGACAAAAGCACCCAGCAGGGTCAAAGAGACCCTTGGCGGATCGCCCCTGGGACCGCGCAATACAGCAACTGCACCGGAGCATTCTGGGAGAATATTGGACGCTCGGCTTATTCCTCGAAGCTTTCATGTTTGATCGCCGGTACCTATGTGACGATGCATATGGCCAATACCGACTCAACTCCTACCTCTGTCCCGTCCTTCAATCTGTCGCTGCAATTCTCTACGAACAGGAGTGCGGTGGCCATCTCGAGCCTATCGAAGGGGCAAAATTCAACTCCTTCATATATCGTATACACAGCGTCCGAGCGGTCGACTTAATTCCGTCTCTTTTCGAGCACATGCTTGTCATCGATTACGGCCTCGGAATACATCCACTGCGTGGAGGAGGCTTCTGGTCACCGGTATGGTTTATGTGGCGTGACCTAATACCGCATGTCAAGGAACTGGCAAAGCATCTCTGCTGGATGGTGGGCCAGTGTAGCCAGGGTGCCATACCGGGCATGGATATGTTGGACTTTATGGGCCATCGCTTGAATCAGATAGGGTACTCATTCAATATGGCTGACGTTGGGATTATGCTATTCTACTACCATACTCATCATACAGAGTTAAGCCAACAAGAGTACTTTGAAGGTTTTACGGGCTATACGGGGGTTCTGAACGAGCTGGTTGCAGAGATTCCGACGAGAGGGCCAGGCCGTCTTACTCGGAAGCTTTCCGTCGACTTCTACGAGCTTATTCCAAAATGTGTCAGGAACGTCGATCTTCGACATGAACTTCGCGTTGCCGTACTGCAATTGGCGATCGAGCATGGGATCAGGATCCGTGGCCCTGAGATTACAAAGGACTTGTCGAATTGGGCAGCATGACAGAGAAGCATGTTGAGAATGATGCGCGAGATCGCGTTTGGAAGTGGTAAGTAGCCTTGCTATTGCATGCTGGTCAAGCCCGAGGTATTCCTCGCTGACTCTCGGTTATTCGAGGTGGAGGCTCGCAGTCGGTATTGGAGCAAGCCTCGGTGTTTCAGTACTGCTGGTACTGACTGCCGTACTTGCGTATCTCGGCGCAAAAAGGAAGGGCAGCGGCACTGCCTCTGGAGATCACAAATAGTCTCAAGGACTGGATGGCGGGACATTGTATCTCAAGACTCTCCTCTATGACTAGTATTACTACACAGGGAAACTGGACATATCTATGAAATATGAGCGCGCGGGGACATGGGAGCGAGTTCTGGTTGGCCAAGAGTTGCTAAGTAGTAAATTGGCGATGTAGGATAGAGAATGATAAGATGACAGAATCCTAGCGTGCACTACGCTAGATATCATTGTTGCTTGTTGCGTCCTGCTTCAATGACGAAGAGTTGAATCAAAACATCATCACCTATGCCAGACAGAAGCCTTACTCTTTCTTTTCAGCCCTCTCCTCTTCCAGAACAGAGTTTCCCTTGATTATCTGAGCAAGGTCACATCCATAGAGTAGATTCCCAGCGGGGTCCCATCGCTCGCATCGCCGCCAAGCATCACCTGAGGAGCCTGTCGAACTTGTCGTTGAGCTGGATGAGCCTAAGAGTTCCGATGCCTTTAATGCCTCCGATACCGCTAATGAGTACGATGTTGCCCCTGTCACGCCCATCCAGCGGTCAGCTTCTATCCCGCCCCATCGCCTCCACCAACGTGCAAACTGCTGGGCCTTCTCCGCAACCTCGTGGGCATGATCTTCCACCATTTCCAATGAAGGTATAATTACCCCAGCAAGACTGGCCATAACCTTTGGGTTTATGAGTTGAAACCAGTCTACGCACAGGCCGAGACAGAAGGCAACCATTCGTACAACCCCTTGAGCCACTACTACAAGGGTGAGAATAAACGTGAGCAGGTTCACCATGACTTGGGTTTTGCAGCCTTGAAGTCAGCAAAGGTATTCTCAACGACTAGGACTTAAGTTGTTCTTAGGACTCACACGACATTGTGGGTACCAAAAGCGAGTTCCAAAGGAGTATGGAAATTTCAGACTTGTGAAGGAGGCGAGGTTTATATGACCGATGATGGGCTGGCTGGTGTTGAAATGTGACTTATTTGTACTATGCTAAGGAATAAGCGCATTGAACGGTACCGTGGGCCAAAACCAACTCATAGCCAAACGCAATTGGTCTGGTTCTGGTTTGCCATCCATGTTTGTCTAAACTCTGGTTATCCAAAACCTGTCATTAACCTCCTGCGATCAGAGCTCTGGGGGAACCCATTGATTGACTACCTGGTACACCCGATGGAGACCCTTGGTGATGACACCCCTAAAACAAGAACACGGGCGGCTCTCTTCCCTACTCTTCAAAGCTCAACCTTGGCCTATATCCCAGACCTAGGAAAATACGGGCTATGGTCCCCTAGTGAAGGAGGATATCCATAACAGACGCAAAATGGCCAACCAGTGGTACGAGGATCTTCCTCGGATGCATCACTTGGGAATGGATATTCCACATTTGGGAATGAAGAGCCCCCAAGAGTTTGAATAACTCGGCAATCCACAGTGTTCGTGGAATGGCAGCCTTTGAGTGTTGTGCCCCGTCATTGTGCGTTCATTTGCTCTGGTTACCAAGGCTTAAGACGTGGCGACCTGGCCGGCCCTCCGGGGAGCGTGGAACGGTCACAACCTGCTCTGACACCCCGACGGACGCGATCCGATCTTATGGCACCGTCACGGTCATTATTTCCAATGCCAGAAGCCGACATCACGCATCTATTTTTTACGACTCTAAACAATATGAGTAGGTGCACACTAGCCGAGGCAGAAATGTAATGTTCCCGCCTCGACCTGACATCTGGAGGAGTGTTTCTCACCGATTCGACGACACCTTGTTGTCGTCGTCGTCCAACCCAACCCTGTGGAGTCCACGGAGTCAACCACGAACCAACCAGCCAGCCAATCGGGATCACCGCGCAGCAAACTCATTTTCCTGATCGGGCGATAGCTTACTTTTCTGACACCAGAAGAGAAGCCTGTGCCCGCTTTGTCAGCTCACCCCAGAAATTCTTAAAAGGTCAAACATGACGACACCCAATCTCCAATCCCATCCGTTCGGACGCAGTGAAACTGTTTTGCCTAATCAGGCGGCATACCGTTTGCCGAATTGAGACAGGCACTCCGCGCTGTTGCGACACACGGACGCCGCAGACGACCGACATGGACTTTACCTTTGTCAACACGACCGACGCCCCGCGCCTGTCCCGCGCCGAGGCGAAGCGCATGCGGGCTCATGTCACCAGGACCAACTTCTCAGAGCGCCGGCGCAAGAGAACCACGGTCCTGAAGCTGGCAGGTGCCGCCTCTGAGGGGGACAATGACGAGAGGTTGCGCCGGCAGCGGGAAGTGGGCTCGATTCCTTCGCCGCGCAAAACGGCCATCGTAGATTCAACCTGTAAGCATAGCCGCGCACCACCCTAAGCAAACAGAGACAGAATTGTGGCGATCTGTGTGTGATGTGACTAAATGAGAAATGACCCCAGTACCCTACTCTGTTCTGCAGACTGTCATGATTAAGTACTGGCGCGACGATCCAGTCGACAGCCCAGGGTGTAGAGAATGGGAGGCCTTCGTCCTGTCCGAACCGGCACTCTTCGAGGGGATAGTAGGCGTCAACATGCGTCACTGGTCTCCCGCCCCTGCATTTCAAAAGAGGGCAGAGGACCACTCCTCTCGGGCTGTGTCCATCATTATCAACCACATCCGGTCCGGAACTGCCCACCAAGATGGCGTTCTTGGCGCGGTGGCCACGATGGCATTGAGCGAGAGCCTTGACCGGAATGAGAAGTCGTGGAGGATGCACCTAGACGGGCTAGCTCAGATTCTCGAAGAGAGAAAGGCACGGGGCGTGCGGAGTATGCCCTCATGGTTCACTGGGTTCATAGTCATGTATGTGCCTGCCCCCCACCGCTGTTGCCCCTTATGGTTAGTAGTGACTGACCTTCTTATGCAGGGATCTCATGAACAATGTGCTCGGATATCCGAGGGTGTACAACACCCAGGTGGTGCAGGCCCTGGCCGGTAACGGCCACCCAGACCTAACCATGGTGCTGCGGATAGGTGCCAAGCTTGTCAAGTTCCGGAAGACGTTGGCGGACTATCGCAACGACCCAGAGACAGGCGCGCACGTGGCGGACAGGCTCACCGAGATGGTGGACGAAATAGACCGCGAACTGCGCGTGATGCAGGCCAACAAGAGCGCGTACATGCGCGCCGCATCCGTCGGCGCCCGGATCTTCCTGCGCTTCGCCTGGCCCACCGAGGCCGCCAGGCCGGACCAGCTGACGAGGCTGGGGTGCGAGATGAAGCACGCGGTGTGCGAGTTCCCGTTCCGGCAGTGCCCCTACATGGACCTGACGTCGACGACCTTTGTCATGGGCTTCCTGGCGGCCGAGAACGACTCGCCGACCAAGTGGTTCTTCCTGTCGCGCATGCGGCACGTCGTGGCCGAGATGCAGTCGCGCGGCTGGGACCGGCCGGACGTGTACTACATCGAGCGGGCCATCGAGTCGGACGCGGCGCTGCTGCACAAGTTCAGGGCCGTGTTCGATCCCGGGTGCTTCCCGTCGCGGGACCGGCCTGCGCCCCAGCCGAGGCTGCTGCCCAAGTCGGACATGGCGCGTGAGATCCAGCGTGTTTATGACCTGACCAAGGTTTCGCATTGACGGATTTATGGACTGGTGTCGATTGACTGGGAGGGTTCTGCTTTTGAATCGGATTTGGTTCGATACTGTCATTACATCTAGCGATGTTGGGCGTGGCATGGCGCAATATGGGAACTGTTTGCAATGCGGCTGCAAATTGACGACGAGATGGTAAAGCGGTGCAATCTGAAGTATTATGACCTGATACGAAGTAACTGGAGTTCTGACGAATGCAGTCGGACTTATTGATGTCCATACGATATGTGAAAAAGAAAAAAATCAATAGGAATCATTCCCAACTATTCGTTCTTGGTTGCGCATCTGTGGTCATGGCAAGTGGAATCAGAACGTACCTGCCGCCAGCCAGTGCTGTCAATGACGTAGTCGCTCCCCAAACTTACACCTCCATCAAAGATCGTCACTTCCTCACATCAAGCATCCCAATGCTCAATCTCAACCAAGCTTTCCTTTAAGATTCGAGCGTCAATTGACTTCCAATCTACTGCCATACATGCCACCGCACCCCTACCTCTCAGTCCTAACCTCGACCCGCCGCATCTCACTCAGCCGCCGCCCATTCACCGCCACCACCACCATGAGCTGGATGGACTCCTGGTCCCGCCCTTCAAAACACCAAGCCACCCCGGCACCCTACTACCTCCTGCCCGGAGGCGACTCGACGCCCTACTGCCGCACCTGCGGGCGCGCCATCGGCAGCCGCAAGGCCGACAAGAGTAGCAGCGGTGGCAGCAACGGCGGCGCCGCCGCCGCCGCCGCGAGGTACTGCTCCGCGCGGTGCCGGAGCAACAAGCCCGGCCGCCTGGACCGGGAGATCGAGGCCGCGTTCGTGCGCTTCCTAGAGGGCAAAGAGGAGCTCCCCCCGACCACCAGCATCGAAGCGACAGGCGAGACTCCTGGAGTAGAGGGGAGGAGTAAGAAGAAGAAGAAGAAAGGCCCCTCCGGCAAGCCCGCCAAGGGCGACAGGCGTACCCTCGTGCTCTGCGACGCCGTGCAGGCGTACATGTTCAACAAGCACGAGGATGCTCCCACACCCGCCTCCTCCTCCGCACCAACACCAGAAGACCACCACCCCGACACCAACACCGATTCCCATACCGACCCCGCCGAGCCTCCATCACCATCACCACCCGCCAACCCCCGCGACTCAGCAATAGACCTCCTCCCCCCGAACCTCAAACCAGAAGACGACTTCTCCCCAAGGTCCGCCAACCGCGGCCCCTCCCCAGACGCAGAGCACCTCGCCCGCCTCTCCGTCCGCAGCGGCACCCGCGTCCGCCCACCGCAGGCCGTCTCGCAGGTCAACGGCAGCGTGGGCGGCGAGAAGGGCCGCGCCGAGCGGCATGGCGAGACCGACGCCATGCGCGCGCGGCGGCTCGACGGCCAGCGCGAGGTCCGCGAGCGCGAGAAGGTCCGCGCCGCGGCCCGCAGGGGCGTCGTGTTTGGGTTCCCTGTCGTCAACGACGACCACACTACCGATAACAACGATGACGGAGGCAAGAGGAGGAAGAAATGCGAGGCCGTGATGCAGGGCAAAGTCGTCGAGCCCAGCTTCGCAAAGGGGAACTGGGGCGTGCGGTGGCGGGAGGAGTGGTAGTGCCACGTCACCCATCCGGGGACACGGTTTCCCCTTTCAGTCAGAATGCACTCCTCCGGATATTCTTGAACTTAAAGATGTATTTCTATTTTCTGGGTATCATCATGTAAAAAGAAAGCGTAGCAAATTGCCTTCGATCCCCTTGGTCCTAACTCCGACCCCCGACCCGACCCAAAGACAAATGTGAAATGCTAAGTCCACCACCAAGTCCGCCCACTCGGGCAGCATATCCAGGTCCACTAGTCCTGGCCTCCTCGCCAGCCCAGCCCATATATATATCCATTATTTGACAAGAAAAAGACCATGTACACCGAGGACACTTTCCTCGATTCCCATATGCATTACATCCTCCCCCAAGGGCACGACACGCCACTGGGCATGATCCCACCCTCGCAAAGCCACCCTCCCAGAGATCAACACAGGGGCAGGACGACACCACACTCTCCTCTCTCATAATCCCCCCCAGATCCTCTCCCTCCCTCCCACCTGCTCCCCAGGATCAATACCGCTGATGCCTCCTAGCCCTCCCAGTCCCAATATCAATCCGGCTCATCTCCTCCGCGAGCGCCAACTCTCCTCCTCCTCCACCACCACCTCCCATCATCATCCCCATCCCCATCCCACCGCCATACCCTCCAACACCACCACCGCCACCGGGCCCCATAGACCCATCATTCATCAGCGGGATCTTCGCCGGCACAGGCGGCGCACCCGCCGGACCCGGGTGGTACCCGAACCCACCCCTCTCATCGCCACGGCTCCTCGGCCGGCCGTACCGCGACGACGAAGGCACAGGGTGATTCTCGTTGGGCGGCGCGTAGTAACTGTCAAACGTGCTCGCCCGCACCATCTGCCGCGGCGGCGTGTAATTGTCGTGCCCGTGCGGCAGCGGCGCCAGCGGGCTGCCACCTCCGCCACCACCTCCAAGACCGGGCCCGTTCGCGCCCGACATGACGACGGGCATGGCGCTCTGCCGGTTAGCCTTCTTCTGCAGCCTGTTCCTGCCCGTCGACGGCGGCGGCTGCGGCGAAGGCTCCGGGGGATCCGATCCGTACGTCACGGGCGACGAGGCCATCGACTGCGGCCGGCCCGCGATGCGCAGCTGCCGCCTGCCCGTCGAGGTGGGCATCGGCTGCGCGCCGGCCGGAGACGGGCGGTTGGTCGGCGTCGAGGGCGCAGACGGCTTCTTGGGCTCCGGCTCGGGCGCCCACGTGTCCATCGGCAGGTGGTCAGACGGGTCGATCTCCTTGCCGTCGTGCGTGACGATCTTTCCGGCGTCGTTCATGTCCGACCTCATCGATTCGTTCGAGTTGGCTGACACGACGCTCGGGTTCAGAGCGTCATAGTCGTCGGGCCCAAAGGGGATGCCGGATAGTCTACGCCCTTCGGAAGGCGGAGGGGCCGGACTGATGGACTTGCGCTTGATCGTATGATGCGGGTTGGGGCTACCCGAGTGGTAAGGGTTGGGTGAGATAGCTCTAGGCTTGACAATGCTGGGCGACTGTCCTCCAGAGTACACCACCGGGCTCCGGTCAAATGACTGTTGATGTTGAGGTGTATGCTGAGGTGTCTGATACGGCTGTGGGGAGCCCTCGGGCGCGTATCCAGGACCAGCCTCGATCATCCGCCTTCCTCGCGGTGGAGTCTCCATTGGCGGCTGCGTGTTTCGCCGCTGGTGCCGTCTGCTGTCCTCATTGATACGCTCCGCAATATCCATGGACAAGTTCGGATCCATCCCCGGCACGAGAGAGGCCGGGACCGCAGGGAGTCCGTATTGACCAGCGCTGTTCACAGGCTCATCGACGAAAGTGTCGCGGGGGTCCGAATACTGCTTAGAGTACGAACCACGAGAGTCATGGGCGCCAGGGGAAGTGCTCATCTGCGGCACGTACTCACGCTCCCGAGATGATATGGGCGACCCCGAATGGGCGTAGCTGTTTGTCTCTGGGCGGCGTTGACCATTCTGTATCGGTGCCGGAGATTGGGTGTAGTGGCCAGAAGCCGAGCTACCACGACCTCCGAGGTTGAGCGGTGCAGGGCTCGCGCCATTGTTGTAGTCGGGCTCATCGTAGTCGTAGGGGGACGGCGGAGCCCGAGAGCCGCTCTTCCTGAATGAATGCTGGACTACGGGACTCGGAGACTCGGGCGCATCCTCGACAGTCGGCTGCATGGACCGGAAGTGGGGATCGTAGTTGGAATCGTACGAGTGATGCCGCGGTGGTGAAGGTTGGTGCGGCTCCGGCGACTGGTAGTCCGGGCTGCTCGGCAGGGGCGCGGGCGCCGAGTCGTATGGCCTATAGGCAGGACGTCCCGGGTAAGCGCTGCTAGAGATTGACTTTCGGTGTGCCTCGTTTCGCAGAACGTCGTGTCTCATGGACGGCGGCGTCCCCTTTTGCGGGGACAGGTCGTAACCACTGCGGAGCATTGCCTCTTGAGCAGCTCCGCTGTTATTCCTCGTGCGGTGCACGGGGGGTGGCGGCGGCCTATCCTCATCCGCAGGCAGCTGCCGGGGGTCGTTCACCGGCGGCATGCTGTACGATGATCTGGTTTCGTCGAAGCTGGACCGCGAGTCGTAGCGGTTGTGAGACTGCCGGCGGTAGTCGGCACCGTATTCGGACTCCTCGGCATGGCCAGAGTACCTGTCAGGCCTGTCCATCGAACCGCGCTGCGCATACTGCATGTCGGCTGAACCAGTTGGGGGCGCGTAGCCGCCGTTGGGAGGGACTGGCGAGTACTGCTCGGGCTGTGATTGCGGCTGGGGTTGGGGGTATCGCCGTGACGGCGGCGTCTGGTACTCTACGGCCTGCAGTGGCGACTGGTTTGGTATGTAGGATGTCGGAGGGGTTGGCTGGGGTCGAGGTGGTGTCTGCGCATGTTCTGGGATAGACGGCTGTGGTGATTGGCCGGTGACCGGATCCGAAGGGAGTGGACGTCTCTTTGGAGGCCCTCTGGGAAGGGAGCTATGGGCTTCCGGCTGCTCCACGGGCTTGGCCTTCGCAACGGGCTTCTCCGGCTTCGGTCTGCTGTCGTAGTAGGTGATCTCGATGCGGACGTCTCCGGCGTATTTGCTCCTGCAGTTCAACGTGTGCCACGAGTCGCTCTGCCCACCGCCGCTGACGATGATGTCGCGTAGGTCAATCCAGCACTCGCCAATGAGATCGGTCCTCTTGTCATCGTTGAAGACGGAGATCTTTAGTTGGTAGTAGTCAGGCGAGTCGTGTACTGTGAATCTCAACTCCTGGTCCCTGTTGCAGGCTGTCAGCATATGGATCATCAAATCTCTTACTCCCAATTGCCAGTTGGAGGACGCTCACCATCGTGGTGTCTGGCCTCCGCGGATGTCGGTCTTTGTCTTCTTGGCCTCCTTCCCCAGTCTCGCCGCGCAGTAGGGATCCTGCTTGCCGATTGTCTTCCGGTTGGGCAGGTTCTTGGCCCTGTCGATGATGAGCACCAGCGTCCCGATCTCGGGGCCATCGATGCTCATGTCGGAGAAGATGCCGGCCGTGTGCGCGCCATTGAGCGGATGCGACTTGATTTTGGCGGCCATGGCTGCTGGAGTACGGAGCGAGTCTCGCGTCGCAGATGGACGCAAGGCTCGTGGCGTTGCTGGCCTGCTGGCTGAGGTCGGATTGTCTGAGAGGGGTTGATTGTTTACTCGGCCGGCTGAGCCCTCGCTCGATGTTGCCTTTGTTGACTTCCCCTCAATTGTCCCGCCTGGTGGTCGAGTATCAGCGAGAGACTTCACCACCACGAGTTACGCAGATGAATCAATGCGAGTTCTCATGAGAAGAGAGAAGATATGAGAAAGTAAAAAAGAATGTCTGATAGTAGTTACCTAGCCCTGCATCTCGGGAAACCAAAACACAAGCATCGATGGAAACAGGTTCTGGTGCAGAGTCTAATTGTTGACAATGGCCCGGCGCCTCGACTTGGCGGCAGTGTTTAGCTTGGGGGAGGGGGGCCGCTAAGTTAATGCTCCTGCGGCCTGTGGTGTGCTTGCGCGTTTTGGTGGTTGGGGGCCGCTGGGCCAATAGTGGGCTTGGGCGGGTAATCATGGTGGCTGGAATCGATCGACTTGGGTGGTTGGCGGGTCCCAGTTCCCTGCCCAGTGCTGCTCCGTTGCAAGGTCTTGCAGGGCGCGGCGTTCCATTCTTACCCATTCCAGGGATGTTTCAGCAGGTCCCGGCCGCTAGGACCCCCATTGCGGGGCGGTCTTTCGGGGCTCACTGGTGCAGCTCTGGCCGTGATCCCTGTCTCGTGTACAAGGCAGCGAAATTGTACCTGCAGCACGTTGGCCCGTTGGCCCGTTACGGGGGGAGACCTCGAGCTTTGTTTACTTCCATACAAGCTGGCCGTTTTTAATGGGATGGGAAAACTTGACCTCGATTGACCTCGAGTCTGAAGCATAGAATCATGGCCTGATTCCCCCATGTCTTCCTCTTCCCACCTCCAAAGCTACCTACTCAGAAGGTGGGGAGGATGGATCAATCGATGCACAGACTCGCCAGCAAACACGAAGCTTGGCCGTTCAAAATCATGATCCGCAGCTCGCTCTCCGCAGCACAAAAACGCAATGGGATTACGTCTCCCCACCACCTCGCGCACCCCTGTCCACGATCTGAGCCTTGACGGAAGCTTGGCTGAGGCAGATGCGTACAAATCGGAGAATTCAGAGCAGCAATTGAAATGCCCCGCAGAATAGCCTCGCAAATCCCCTAAGCTAGGCACCGAGATAATATGCACAGTTAGTGGCCCGGCGTGCAGTGACGCAGTTTCACATTCCTCGCTGTGCCGGAAGCCATTGCCAGCTCTTACCTTGACGACATGGGAACATTCCGAGGGCCCGGTACAGAAATCCCGAGTGCTCGTAACTACTCCGTAATACCTATTCTACAATGAAAACATGTCATCTACTGGATAGCGATATGCCTTGAGTGAGGTACCCCGATTCAATTGCCTCCTAAATCTCGTGCGGCATAAAACGCCTGCTCGCTACTTGTACACAGTTCCTCCTTGCAGCAGGCCCCATACAGACTTGTGCGCGCTCACCACAAGTCGACAGTCCAGCTACTGTCTGGAAACGAGATATCTACTGCATACCCTCGAGACGGTCCTTCGCGGACTTCTTGGCCTCGTCCGAGACCTTGGGGTTGTTGAGAGTGCTGTGCTTGCCGGGTTAGTCGTTGATGCGAGAAACGCCAGTGAGTTCAGCAGGGAACTTACGCCTTCAGGCCGCCAGCAACGTTTCCGGGGTTCTTGTCGCCAGAGTCGGTCGACTTGGGAACTACACCCAACAGCGTTAGCATGGAACATTTGCAAATCGTAGAGAGAGAGGTTGAGTCTCACCATCACCGCCGTTGAACTCGTTCTCGAGGACCTGGCGGGAGTGCTGCTTGGACTCCTCCGAGGTGTTGGGGTTGTTGAGGTTGGCCTTGTGGCCGCCGGCGATCTGGGCATCAGTAGGCATGTTGAGTGGCGGTTGTGGAAGCTGTAAAGGCTACAGGAGTAGCTGCTTTGGTGTTGGTGAAAGGGTGTGGGGCTGGGCTTGGTGGTGTTTGGAAGTGATGATGAGCGTTGTCCAATATTGGAGGGTTGAAATCCCTCTTCTTATAGACATCTGGACCTCCATCTATTGCCATGAGCCATAGCTAAACATCACCCTTCGACGTAATGGATGCCTCTCCATCTGATGCATGACGAGGGACGATCGCGGGCTTCTTCGTCATCCAGTCCATTTCATCGGCCGCGGCGGTCGTTGACCTCAGCCTCAGAGGCAGGGATTAGGCTCCTCATCAATCCCCGTCTAGCCTTGAGCTCGAGGTCGTGACGCCTTAGACTCTGATATCGCTGGATGACTGGCGGGAAGAGCACAGGGAAGGTTCCTCGAGTAAGCACCCCGCGTGAACCGCGCCAGCCAAGGCGACGGCGGCAAACACAGAGATGCTAACATGACTAGAGGGCAGCATCTCGGTCCCGTGTTAGAATCCGCTGGGGCACGGGGTATCCCGCGGCTTCGAGATGCACACCGGTCACTAATGCCAGGAACGGGTCTGCTCCACGGCCCGGCGCCAGCTCCGCGAAATGAACAGATCACCAGGCCCCTCCTCCATGGGCCATCGGGACTGAAGCAGACAAGATCCTCGACGAGGATATGTGATGAAAGGAGTGCATTGATGATTCGCACACCTGTCGGGTCACAGATTGATGGAGCTTCTCCAGCTCATGAGTGAACCCGGCGCATGCTTCACCGCTTTAGCTTCGACGGTCTGCAACGATTGGTAAACCGGTTTCCATAGAACTGAGGTTGGCCTCAAGGGTCAATGCATATCCTCAAACCGTAAATGGGCATATGGCCTGACCAGGCACGAGGCATGCCCGAATCCCCAAGCGAGATCCGTTCGTGGAGGTTGTAAGGGTAATCAACTCAATTCTGCACTAGCAGACAATCGGGCATCGGAGATGCTCGCGGGACAATCCTTGCGGAACCGGAACGGCCAGCCCGGGATCTAGTCAATCCATTTTCCAGTTCTGTCTCGCCTCGAGTGATCGCACGGGGCCAGGGACAGGGAGGCAGTGTGGTCCTCAGGAGAAGGACCAGCGACCCCTACGCCCTGTCCACTTTACCAACTGGACACCCTGCGAACCAGGGGGTTCGAATGAAGTATCACATTTGAAAACCCCATTGAGGCGAGGGAGTCGCCCTTTCGAACTTCCACCAGGCCCGAAGCACTGGCTAGCACGTAGGGACTGTTCAAATTGGAGCAGCAGTCAGGAATCGCCAATGGCTGGCGATCCTTTTGACGAAAGTACAGGCATTGTCGTCCAGTTTTCCCCCATGGAGCGATCTCGAAAAAGAAAGCATAAAAGCTAGGGCTGAGCACTAGCAACAGGAGCAAACTCTCCGTCTCTTTGGATATGATGAATCACTCCAGGCCTCATGATGTCAACGACGGGGGTAGAAGCACAGACCATCGAGACGGAAACTGAAGCGACCCAGGAAAATGAGATATTGGATACCTACAGATTGATAATCAGCTGTGAAAGAACAGATTGATGAAACAGATGTAAGATCTCGTGTAACTCTTGTGTGAGATCGTCTCGGTGCAATGAAGCGCGAGTCTGATGGACTGCTGTAGTGGTGTGTTGCAGTGGATTTCATGTCTGACCGACAAACCGACCATTGGCTTGAGGCTCTTCACCCGTGTCCGGGTATCCAAACAGCCGGGATGAGCGCAGTTGGCGGCAGAGAAAGGCAAAAAAACCCAACAGGACATTCAGCTCAAAGGCCACGAGCAGCTGAAGGCAGATTACACCCTCGTAGCCTCACCCTCTCGCAGACGCCGCATTCAGCTGCTGAGCCTCAATCAAGATGATCAAATGTGTTTGCGCGCGCGCGCGCACACAATATCGCTGACATAAGCCATGTCGCGAATGAAACCTCAGGGTATCTGTGTGCAGATCGCAAATCTGCCTCGTTGCTGGCGGCCGCATTCCAAGAAAAGGGCATTGCATAAGATCAATCATCAAGATTTCGAAGACAGATCGTCTAAAGTCCAATACATGCCATCGGTTGGTCTACTCCTCTAGTATCGAGATGTAGTGCCCAAAAGAGTGCTGTTTTTCAGCTCTGCAGGGACACTGGCCAAAAGTCACAGGGCGTCCTAGCAGTGCTATTGGCTGCCTACGCCCCTGGAGCTTGGCCCGTTCGGTGAGTAGCGCGGCTTGAGGCTGTGAGGCTGTGCTCTTTTTGGGTTTGCGGGACCCGCCCCAACCCCACTGACTCTCAACCTCACCTCCGGCGTAGTCCGGGAAGCCAGGACGACGACCTCCACTGACGCAATCGCTCGAGCATCAACACCTTTCAATTCGGCATCACACATCATCGCCCGCAGCAGAAGGACAGCACAGGGCAACAGGGAAAGCACCGCAGCCACAGCCCATCCAATTCCCCTTGCACCGCATAGCACACCGCGTCCACTCACCATCCAACCATGCCCTCCTCCTCCTCCTCCCCCCAAACAGACCCCCACCCAGGCCCCCTAAACTACATCGCCGGCTTCCTCCTCGTCGGCCTGGCCTGGGGCCTGACGACGCCCTTCATCCGCCGCGCCGCCAAGACGCACACCCCGCCGCCACACCCGTCCCTCGAGCGGGCCCGGGCCGCCGCCTCGTCCGCATCCGCGTCCTGGGCCTTGGGGCCCCGGCTGCGCGCCGCGCTCCTGGCCGCCTGGTTCGGCGTCGCGGACCTGCTGCGCAACCCGCGCTACGCCGTGCCGCTGCTGCTCAACCTCACGGGCAGCGTGTGGTTCTTCCTGCTCATCGGCAAGGCCGAGCTCAGCCTCACCGTGCCCATCGTCAACACACTCGCCTTCCTCTTCACCGTCGTGGGCGAGTGGTGGGTCGAGAAGAAGGTTATCAGCAAAGGTGAGCTTTCAAGTTTTTTTTCCCTTCCTTTTTGCCGGATCTTCAGATTCAAGTTCCTGCTTTTCTTTTCTCTATCTACTGGGAGAGTGTGTTTCGCTGACGATAAGGGGGTTGCACGCACAGAGACCATGGTGGGCATGACGCTCTCGCTGTGCGGGATCGCCCTCTGCGTGCACAGCAAGACGAGGTGAAGGATGGGCCCCAGAAGTTTAGAGTTCCGTAGCCGCTTCACCGAAGGGGAAGGTCAAGTCAGAGTAGTTCAGAGATCGCCACCGGAAGCTGGACTTCCCCTGGCCCGGGGTTTCTTGGAGGTGTGCTATTTTTGAACTGCGATTGGTAGATGCTCCAGAATCATGAAGATGCTCTGCTAATGCGGGCCGCGTCTCGTGCAACCAACTGCGAGCTCAAAGTCGGTACAGAAATTTGACAAAAGTACTACCCCTGGAGAATGAACTGAGGGTCTGTATACGCAAAGTGAGACAAATCAGGCCCATGTACTCTGGGAAATAGTTCTATGTGATGATTTGTCATTGAGATTTGGCTGGTCGATTGGATGCCCATGTTGAGCCCATCGACAACTACCGTGGGGTTCATACATCCGCGCCAGGCAGACTCTCCCTCAACACCACGCCTCTGCCTGGAGGTCTAGGAATACACAGACAATGGAATACGAGAAAAATGAGAAATGAAAGAAAATGCCCTTTCCCATGCAATGCATCCACCATGAAATGGCTAAAAATCCTAGCTGTCCACACCGTTCCAGCCAGGCCCCGTTCGTGTTCCAACGACCAGCGTCAACACTTGCCCACCCCCTCTCCCCACCCTGTCTTCCACAGATGGAAGTAACATATTATGTACATAGAAAACCCCCGATAAAAGATGAAATGACGAAGAAGAAATATGTTTTGCCCCCAAAAGAATCGAAATGGGCATCCCAGTCCATGCTTTTTTGTATCCTCTTGTGTCGCCATGCATGCATGTGTTGTTCCCGGTAATGTGCGGCCCTCCCGCAGTTCCATGAGAATGAGAAGAAAAATGTGTGGTATCTCTGGAGAAAATGAGAAAAGAGAAATGATGCTGTGTAAAGCAGAGAAAATTGCAGCAAAAAGAAAATGAGGACAAAAATGAAACAAATGCTCTGTCGACGAATTCCTGGTGAAAATCGTCGCGAATTATCGTCCATCGTCGAAAGAAAGGGACTGCCTCCAGCACAGCTGAAGAGACATAATCTCTCCCTCGGACTTAGGGCTCATCGATTAGTTTCGTCCAGCTCTCACTTCATTCGATTCGTTGGCGAAAAAGAATCGAAAAAATTACCGCCTCGTCCGCAGCCAGCGCTGCACCGACCGCAGGCTCGGGTCCTCGGCCGTCCAGCGGCCCATCTGCACGTCCTGCGCCTGCAGCTCGCCGTAGATGCCCTCGTCCGTGATAGCCTGGAGCTCCTGTCGAAAGCGCTAATGCGTAAGTCAGATTGGTCTTGTTTCCCGCTGCGTGGTTTGAGAGACATACTGCTCGCAACTGCTGGTCGCAGGCCCTCAGATGCGACTGAGTCCTCGACGACGGCCGTGTCCCCTGGAGCACCGAGTCCCGCCACTCTATCCACCGCTGCGCCGCCGCCTGCCGCAGGTAGATCTTCTGGCCTTCGTGCCTCCTCGCGTAGGCATCAAGCAGCACCCTTTTGTTGGTGAAATTCTGTCAGCCTATTTCCTTCTTTTCCCCTTTATCTCTCCCGCATATTTAGGCACACAAAAGAAAGGAGACATGGGAAACTCACTGCTGCAGCTCCGCCTTGGCCTGCTCGTCAGGCCCTCCGCGCGCCTCGGGCACGGACGTGTCGGCGCCGCAGTTGAGAATGTGCTGCCCGTCAAGGGCGCACTGGCGCAGCGCCGCCCACCCTTCGGTGTAGTAGTCGTCCATATTGTCTGGGTCCGTAGGCGCCGCGGCGATGTAGTACTGCAGCGTACGGAAGTCAGAGAGCACCTCAGCCACTCGTGCCGTGCGGTACGCGTTCACTATGAGCACCGGAGCGGGTTAGTCTCAATGCCTGGTACTCTTCCTTGGTCGGGAATATGACCGAATGTGCGCACACGAGACACCTGCCAAGGACATGGCGCTCGTGGGGGTTCAGTTCGGAGGAGGGTGGTGGTGGTGGCTTACATCCGTCCATTGCGTATTAGTGGCAACGGGCCAACTTTTTCCTCAGACAAGACGGTGCGCCAGAAGCACTAGCAAACCAAGTCGACAACGGCGATACAACCTGATCTAGCTCCTTCTTCCCAATGGTCGCTATGGCCAGCAAGCAAGCAAGCAGGCAGACAGGCGAGATCACACGCAGGCGCAACCAAGACAGACAACGCAAAAGGACAACGCAGACGAAGCGCAGCAAGTGAGGGTGTGGTGTATTAGGCGCAAGTAGAACCCAAGATGATCCGTAAAAGGCAATGCAATGCGCAGCAGCAGAAAGAGGGAAAGCCTAGCTTTTCGCTTCGAGGAGGTGTATGGGATGGGATGGATGAGAGCAGAGGGTATCGCGGATGGTCGAGACCTCTGGTGGCTTCTCATGTCCTTTTGTACGAAACGGCGTGACACCGTTGGCAACCCGCGCCGTTGAGAGAGAGGGCTTGCATGACTTGAGGAAGAAGAGTGTTGGTGGAGGAGGAGGAGGAGGAGGATGAAAGAAAGCACAAAGCCATGTTGCATGGAGACAAAGTAGCCTAGCCTCAAGCCCTACCCGAGCCCCGGCTAACACCCGGTAAGTAGCAAAGTGCTCCTGTTTGGGTAAGGCGAGGACCAGTTCCGAGAGAAAAAGGACATGCGTTGAGTGTAGAGGTTGGAAGTCACGGTCATGACCGAGAGACATCCGTGACGGAGCCGCACGTTGGTGCCAAAATGTGCCCCGCGAGGATCGCCAGGACCACTTGGTACCCCTTGGGCGTAGACTTACAAAGCCGCAGGAGACGCAGATGAAGACCTTAGGTGAGGAAAGAGTGGGAAAGGCTAACAATTCTGCTCAGTCGATCAATGTCCATACGATGCGCGATGCGTGAGAGATCCGCACTAGGAAAGTCTGCAGGAGTAGTGCGGCAGGGGGTTAGAGAGAGAAAGTGACGATGCGAGTGTGTGTGCCTGCATTCCGAGAGCCCCATCAGCTGTCAAAAGGCCTTGTAAGCAGCGTGATTGGGCCGTGGGAGGTGTGGGCTCGGAGAATACCATCATGGGAAAGACGCATCAATGGTGGACCAGCCCAGCGGAAAAGCTAACGCAAGAATCCCTGACGAGCTGTGAATCTGCTTCCCCGGGAATGCTAGGGGTCCCTTGTCTTGTCAGTCTGTTGTCCCGTGGCCGTGTCTTAGCCCGGACCTTAGGGGAGTGGGAACACACGCGCGGATCGCTTGGAACACTTTCCGGGCCTATTTTTCTTATTCCCCTCCTCGCTCTCTTCCGCTGTTGGGATCCGCGATGGCGATGCTGATTCTGCATTGTGGTGAGTGGACAAGGCGAGGTTGTACAACCTGCGGTCTGCCGAGCTGCGCTGGCTGCATGGAGGGAGAGGCGATGCATCTCATCTGCAGGGACAGAGAGGGCGCCCTTGCAGGTGGCAGCAACAGCATCAGTAGTGATAGCCAATAGCCCTTGGCCCTGCCGCAGTCATTGAATCATCACTGCAGTCAAGAATCAGTCACAGGTTGGCGCTGCCAAGGGCTGCACTGCATGCATTGGGTGGGATTGCGGGTTCCAGCTTTGAGCTGCGCTGCATCTTCCTTCGTCTGATCTCAAAACGGGAGCCAAGGTCTGGTACCGTGCAGCTGGAGCCGAAGGTACCGGAGAGACGCCGATATGACTGGGATGACGGCATATTACATGCATGCGAGTTGGCAACAGTACATCCACGTAGGAGCATCAGGATTGCATTGGCAGGTCGAGCCGCGAAAATGCTTCCCCTGGCGTTCCATAGTTTTTTTTTTTTTTTTTTTGATCTCTTACATCTCTGGCCCCAGTCTGTAGGTATTCAGTATGCCAATGTCCCATCTGTAGGATTTTAGCATCTCCTTTAGTAAGTTCGGCCAGTAGTAGCCCAGTGGGGGATGGCGTGGTTGGCTTGGACCATCATTGATGTGTGTGGAGGAGGACCCATGATCCGGCCGTGATCTACCAGAGATTGAAACACCTGTAACCCGAATAGGTATCTGCATCAAAAGTCGCGACTGGAGACACAAGAGGAGAGAGAGCAAGAGAGGCCAAGCCCAGTTGGTAGGGCAAACGGACCGGAAGAGGCCTCAGATCTCAGCGCATCGTAGATTGATATCCAATACGCGCGAAGAGAAGAGCGAATTGCCCGATCCGGTTCCGGAGCGCCTGGACCAAGAGTGGCAGCGATGCGGCTACTTTCAGCCACCATTTGGTCCGTTCCGTTCGTCTGCCGTCCCTGTTGCCCTTTTGGGGTTGCTGGGAGATGGTGGGGAGGCACTTCGCTGTTGCCAATGGACAATATTCGACTGATGGAACGTGAGTGAAGAAGCAAAGATAAAAAAGGCCCCTCGTGGCTGCAGGTGCTAATCCCAAGCTGGGCACTCAGCCTCCCCAATAGACGCCTGTAGGTCGAGCGGCTACTCGCCGGTTTGGCACGTTTCGCCTCGAGCTAGCCCAGCCCGCTTCCTTGCGTGCCAGGCCCAGCTGGCCTGGGGTATTTTGTGCCTGCTTGTGATCGCAGCATTGGGATATTTTTGGTGCGTTTCGATGCAATGGCTTGCATGACTAGCAGCACGCCCTGTTCCCGATGCTCACCAGGTCACGCCCCCTCCGTCCCTGCTGTGTTTGCATGGCATGGAGTACCTGTGTACCATTGACATCAGAGCGCATGCATCAGTGATCGCCTTTGCATTCCCAGCACCCGCGGCACGTAGGGCTAGGTGGGCGGGGGAAACCTAGACGAAAGAAAATGTCGCTGTGGGGAGAGAAATGGAAAATGGGAACTCCGAATGGCTCACTGGCAGCGAAAAGGACAATTGGACACGGAGGAATATCCTTGCCAAGAACCATCCAAAAAGGACAGAGCAGACAAATGGGCGTGGCCTTCCCATGTGGTCTAAGCTTCAAGAGGGCTTAGCGGCCTAAACGCCAAGTGCCAGTGATCGGTAGAGCCCGAGAGCCCGTGACTGTAGAAGGCCCACCGCTGATCCAAGCTTGGACAAAAGGACAGTGCTGAGCTAAGCTAGCGCACTTTGGCACTGGTTTGGGGATGGCGGCGGCCTCTTTTTTCTTGACCGCTCTGACAAACAGCGGCATCGTCAATGACACAACATCCAGACCTGGTCACGGGTGTGGCATGCAACGAAGGAGGGAGAGAGAAAGAAAATGCCGTGGAAAACATACGATCCGTCGTACTCTAGAAAATGAAAACAAGACTATCGCTTTACTAGTCGGCTATGCTCTCCAGCTTGTGTGGTATCAAAGAAACAGACGAGATTATCTTACATCATGCAGTGCGGTGAGGTGAGGCTCCCTGCAACATCTACGATCCAAACTCTCCCGAAACAATGGCCCGGGTAGCCTTAGTGCAGCAGGCTATCTGCGGTGGCTTGCATCAACCTGCATTGGTACAGGGCAGACTCATGTTTCCAGCTGCCCTGCCGGGGCACACTCGACCAGCCCACCGCCCTTTTCTTCTCTAGTCTCATTCTTCTTCTTCTTCAACACCAAGCCATGCCTCGTCACGATGCTTCCCCATGTGCCATCAACGTGGTATTTGTGGCTTCACTTCTAGCCCCAAACAGGTAATCCCTTCGTCGCGGCAGGCACGTCACGACGCCCTGCATGCCACAGTCCTCGTGCTGGCATTGCTAGTCTTGGTCTAGACTCTCCTCACAGACTACCCGGCATGTTCATCTTTCGCCCCGGTCAGCCTCATCGATCCAGGTAGTCCGGCGTCGTCGCACTACCTCATGCGGCTCTGCGTCCTCGCAGCTGAAACAAGCATCGCTAGCATCACTAGATCTCCCGCTTCTTCCCAAGGCTGTTTCAGGGCCACGATCGCTTCTGGCCCTCCAGGCCAGGCCTCTCAGCCTTCCCTCTTGCCTCAAACCGTCACTTCAGCCCTCAGCTAGCATGCACCGATCAGGAAACGGCAAGCCAAGGGCAGGCTGAATGCAGTAATCGGCCCACCTGCTCGTCCGTGCCAGACCAATACCGCTCCGGGAAGCGATCTCACAGGAATGGATGTCATACGTCTCGGGTTCAACGTCCTGATAGGCACACGCCGGGGCCCTTGTTTATTTCTAGGTATGACACATGATAGGATGGCTAATAACACACGCGAGAGGACGATGCCAGGGCTGGGGAACGGGGTACCTGTGACTCCTGGCCCTTGCTGCACACAACCCCTCTTGCTCTGCCCCCACTGAAATCCCGCGCGCCCGTGACGGGCAGTTCGAATGGCCCTTGGCTGCACAGCGTCTGTGGAACGAATACCTGCCATTGCCGCGGCTGCTTTCCTGCCTCTCAGGCAAGACACGCATACAACTCGCCCCTTTCCCCCTTTTGTGTAAGCTGCTGCCGCCACCAGAGCACGCCTAAATAGGAGAAAATCCACACCCCACAAACGGCTTAGTCCTTCTCGGCAATGGCCTGTAATCGGTCATCGATCTCCTCCTCCGTAAGCACTCTGAAGCCAGGGTCTGTACCCTCCTTGCCGTCAGCTCGGGGGCCGCCCACGATGCCAATCTCGATCTCCGTCTTTTTGAAGTCCATGCTGAGCACTGTGCTGAGGGTGGTGATGGCCAGCTCGACAACCTCCTCCCAGCTGCCCTCTGCGTGGTCCTTGTTCTTGAGCTTCTTCTCAAGGTGGTTCAGCGCCTCCTGCTGCTTGGGTCCGGCAGCCGTGCCCTTGTAGCCGATGTAGTATCCGGCCGGGTCGCACTTGAACAGCTGAGGGCCGTTCTCGGAATCGAGTGATATCAGGGTCGTAGCGACGCCGTAGGGACGCATGTAAGCCTGGCAGTTCAGGTCAGTACGACGGTAGATCTCTTGCAAACACTGTGGTTTCTCTTACGCGCTGAGTGTAGACCTGGCTGATGTTGGCCAGCCTCTTGGCCAGGACATCGCTGGGCATCTCGTATCCGTACTTGTACCTGAACTCGGCCGCCTCGCCTTGCGCACGTTGGGCAAAAGCGCGCGCATCTGCTATGGAGCCGGTCATGACGCAGCCGACCGAGGGCGAGATCTGGAAGATGTGCGAGACGGAAGAGGGATCGATCAGCTTGTCCTGCACAGATTGTCAGCTTCAATAGCACACCCTGACTCCATATGTAAGCGCCATCAACGTACAGGGACCTTCTTCTGGGACAGGACGACCGCGCAGTCCTTTCCACGGACGCCGATGGACATGATGTTGGCGGCAGTGATGGCCTTGAATGCATATTCTACCGGCAGTAATCGTGTTAGCAAGGTCGTGGACTGGTCAGAAGGCCCGCTGCCTGGTTCTCCAGCTCTCAACAATTGGGGGTCCAGCTCGATCGGTGTAGAGCCAACAACACAAGCGGAAAGGCTGATGCATACCGACTTGGTACAATCTTCCCTGGTCAGAGAAGATCGTAATGTGTCTATCGAATCCTGCGCTGCCTGCAAATTCATCACTGTCAGCTCATAATCCCAACGCAGCTGAGATCACGGTGATGGAGGACGCACCCGACATCTTGTCTGAAGATGATGAGCTAGATCTCGACTGGTTCTACTTTTGAGATTGTAAGAAATGCGATCGATCGGGTCGTTGGAAGGCGGTGGTTTTTCGGGGAGAGTCAATTGCCAGGTGGATGGCGAGGTCGCAGGCTGATGGAGCTTTCGTCTTCGATGATCGCAGAGCTTCACCCAGTTGACGCGTTGGCAGGAGCTTGCCTAGAAGGCTGGAGCTCTGCCTTTCCTTACATAAGCCGATCTGGCGCATTGACCAAGCGCCAGCTGGCGGGCACGACCTGAGCTGGCAAAACTGATAAGACTTCCTTGCAGGGGGAGCAGGGCCCCACCGCTCTACGATAAAGCAATTATGGATTGGCTCTCGAGTGCAGAAAAAAGTGAGGCAATCCCAAAAATTACAGAGCAGACCAGAGCAACGAGGTGAAAGCTGCCCAATCCACTCTTGCCGAGATCCCTGGCTCTGGAATCTGCTTGAAGTCTCGTCTGGAGCCCGCTTAGCCGGATCACACGTCAATTTTCCCTGTTTGTCTCTATTAAAATCGGCACGCAAAGTCGTCTTAGCGTTTCCCTCCGCCTCCCCCCCAGTGCGGTGTGCTCGAGTCTGTCTCGTCTACCTCCTCCCGCCTTTTCTCTCCCTTGGACCAATTATGTCTCAGAAGGTCCCGGCCTGGAAGCGATTGGGCCTGAAGCTCAAGGGCTCTGCACCCGACGGCACCACTGCGTCACCCGCAGCCCCCTCCACGCAGCCTCCTGCACAGCTACCCAACACCTACGGCGACTCCTCCGCGTCCCCCAATTGGAACACCAACAAACGGAAGCAGGTGCCTTCCTCGTCCTGGTCTAATCAGGACAACAGCAACAGCTACAACAAGCGCCCAAGGAGAGACGAGCCCGGCACACCGTCTCTGAGGAAGCAGAAGTCCGTCTCCTTCACCGACGACACCAAGGGAGGCGCCGCAGACAACACCAACCCCGAGCTCAAAGCCAAGAAGAAGGCCAAGAAGAAGGCGAAGAAGAATCCCGAGCCCCAGGCCCCAGCTGCTCCCAAAGCTTCCAGCGTTCAAGCCGCTCTGGCCTACCTCCGGCAGTGGGACACCTTGCGAGACTCGTGGAAGTTCAACAAGAACCACCAGATCCTGCTCATCAAGTACGTCTTCATAGGCGACACGATACCCTCGGCGGACATCGAGGCCTTCTACAGATACATCAGCGACCTCAAGGGCGGGGTGCGGGCACGTCTGCGCGAGACGGCCGAGGAGATCAGGAAGAAAGACATGGGCGATGGCGCGGCCGGGTTTCCGGAGAAGACTCTGGGTAAAGAGTCGAAACAGGAGGAATATACAAAGCTAGTCTCTGGCCTGGACGAGGCTGGGGAGAGCACCAATGCCAATGGCAAGAGGATACGCAGGATAAGCGAGGTGGAATACGTCTTGCGCACGTCGGACCCGGACATCAGGAGCCGACTGATGAAGCGCATGCGCGCCAAGAGGATCGCAGACGAGTTGTCTGACAGCGGGGAGAGCAGCGTGTCTGGGACGACAGCAAGCTCATCGGGCCCCGAGGCCGCGGTCAACGGCATGGAGAAGCGGGCCAAGCTGAACGACGGATCGCAGCAGAAACTCAAGCGCAAGAAGAAGAGCCGGACGGCCATGGACTCCGACTCGAGCAGTTCAGAGTCAGAGTCGGACTCGGACTCGGATGATTCGGACGCGGACGACGGCACGTCCAGCTCGGGGTCGGACACGAGCTCCTCTGACGACTCGGATGACGAGGCCGAGGCGGGCGCTCCGCTGCAGAACCGCGAGGAGACGTCGAGCAGCTCTTCGTCTTCCTCTAGCAGCGGATCCGATGCCGAGTCGGCGGAGGACTCGGATGACGAGTCGGCAGAGGGCTCTGACAGTGACTAGGAGGGCTTGTCAGATGTCTCAATGTCACGGGACGATATGCTTATGCTGGATGATATGCTTATGCTGGATGATCGAGATTTTGCCCTGTATCCGCAATTTGGTCGCGACTATTGGGATCTCATGTAGCAGCACATGATAGCGCGCTGAAAGACCTCGACCGAGGCCGCCAAGCGATGCATGTCGTTCAAACAAATGATACCCCTAAGGTACAAACGTCGACAGATAAACAGAAGCAAGCAGTCCCGGGGCCAAGGTTCAGGACAACGCTCTCATATTTAAAATGCTATCCAACTGTCGCCTTTCTGCGGCGAAATCCGCTGCGTCGAGTTGTCCCCCACCCAGAACCAGAAAAATGTGCCAGCAGGATGATGTCTGCGGCTATGCCTGACCCGTTCGATCTATCGCCATGTCTTCTATGACAATGTGTAAATCGTTGATGCACACAGGTATTATACGATAATGTATGTGTATGTGTGTGCATGTGCATGTGCTGGCTCGTTCCTCGAGCACTTTGATCCAAAAACGCCCTGGGAAATGCAAATCACTAAAGCCTTCCCACTCCGCCCATGAGAAATTCCAAAATGTGTAAAAACAGACGCTCAGTCACTCTGCCCCTCATGATGTTGAAGCAGCGTCGCCATCTCCAGAACACCAACCGTTTCTCTCCCGTACTCATCCACAACGAGGAGCACTTCGCCGACCTTGCCATCCTCATCGTCGTCGTCTTGTTCTTCCCGCCTCGCCAACCGCCGCACGACATCGCCAACCACCTCATCCACCCTCACCGCCGTCGCCGTCCCGCGCGACACGACAAGACCCTCGATGGCACCGACCTCGACCGCCAGCTCCGCAGCACCCAGCCTCCGCAACCGACCAGGCACAAGCACAGCCCCGTCAGGGCACCGCGCCCAGCACCCGCCGGCGGTGCAGCCACCGACCGCCACGCGCAGGGCCTCGGCGCCCGTCGCCGCGCGCCCGGCATTCAGCAGCGGGACGTCGGCCCACGGGACGCTCAGCTCGCCCACCGCCGTGCTGTGCTTCTTCTGCGCGATGGCGGCGCCGATAGCGCCGCCCGGGTGGTTCCGCGCAAAGACGTGCGCGACGCGGGCGTCGTGCACCTCCCTGCTGGCGGCCATGGCCAGCGCGTCGCCGACGGCCAGCGCGGCGGTGGTGCTCGTCGTCGGCGCCGCGAGGCCGAACGAGCGCGCCTCGGGCTCGTGCACGGGCGCCGGCAGGACGACGGCGTCGGGCTGGCGGCGGGCGATCTCGGCGTCGGGCGAGGAGGTCAGCAGCAGCAGCGGCAGGGCCAGGCGGTCGAGGTGCGGCAGCAGGGCGAGCAGCTCCGGCGTGCGGCCCGAGTAGGTGATCATGAGCAGGACGTCGCGCGCGCCGACGTGGCCGAGGTCACCGTGCAGCGCCTCGGTCGGGTGAAGGAAGGAGGCGCGCAGCTCGAGGCTGTTGAAGGTCGCGGCCAGCTTGCGGGCGATGTGGCCTGACTTGCCGACGCCGACGAGCACGAGCTTGCCGCCCGCGGCCGAGGCGGCGGCCACGAGCTCGACGGCGCGGCTCAGGGCGTCGCGGGCTGGCGGGTCGGTGGCGTAGAGCGCGGCGAGGTTGCGCAGGGCCGTGGCCTCGGTGTGCAGGACGTGCACGGCTGTGGCGAGCCGGACGTCGAGCTCCGAGCTGGACTCTGTGGTTGTTTCTGAGGGGGTGAGGACCGGTGATGCGGGCGCGGATGTTGGTTGCTGCTGCTGATGATTATTGCTGTCGAGTGAGAGCTCCTCTATCGGGGAGCACAGGCCGCTTGCCTCGGGGGTGACGGGAGAGGGAGGGGATGGCGGAGGGATGGAGGGGAAGGCCGGCGCGGAGCCGACGAGGTAGACGGCGCTGGTCTGCACGGGGCACCGCCGCTCGGTCATCGTGAGAGGTGTACTGAGGCCGAGGAGAGGTATCTTTTGTCCTGCTGTGATGGACCCAGCCAGCTGGTCAAGGTGTGCGGTTGGCCGTGGAAAGCAGAGACTTTGGCTCTCGCTTGGTGCTTGCGGGACTTATGAGTCCAATACCACCGGGAAGCTGTCCAGGCGGGAAGGTGTTCAGGAGATCATTCTCGAAGAAGGTCTGAGGCTGGAAGAGAGTATGAAACGCGAAGGAGGAAGACAAATTAGATGACGCTCATATTGCGCCTAGCTCCAGATCCTCGTTGATACAAGGGAGCAAGCTGAAGATGTCCACCCCTCCAAGACGGACCTCGAATCGCTAATCTCGGTGGAGTAGATAAGATCCGAGCAGATATGCGGGTAAGTTCGGACGAAGCGAGTTCACAGTCCGGCCTCGCGGGTAAGGTCGAGAGTAGGAAGAAGGGAGCAAAGTTGAGCAGGAGAAGGAACAGTTATTCATTGGTAATGACTTGGGAAGACTGAGAGCTAGTTTCCCCAGACACGAATGATGGGAATACTGTACCGATCTATCTACCTTGATGTCGACTTGGGGAAAGGATGGCGTAAGGTGGAAAAGAAAAAAAAAGGGGACCTACTCCGTAGGAGTGCGTGGAGGGTCTCCGTCTCGGAACGCCGAAGATAACCTTTGTCACCAATGGGGAGCTAGGCCGAGAGTCTAAGCCAAGGTACCATATTTTAGTTTCCCCTCGTGCGTCTTTGGTGCGTCGTGGCGTTTCGTTCTCGGGAGGTTTTGGCTCCCTTGTCTCGAGTGTATTGTCGTCAACGATCAACGCCACCCTCCATCCATTCCATGGCAAGACAACGTCAAGCTGGAGCAAGTCTCCACGACCACGACGCCTGCAGCAGGGCCTCAAGTAACACTTGCTACTGTGCTTGCCATGCCTCAGCGCATGACTGATGATGACTCCTTCGGCTTTCACGAGCCAGCAAGGCAATGCCGTCCATCTCCGTGATTTGCCCCGAGGAGACGCCCGATCCTGGTGGGGAGACTGTTACGCACGATCGTGCAGCATGGCCGGCATCATGCATATTGCGAGTGATTTAACCTGCAGCTGCTAACTGAACAGGCCGGCAACACGTTTCCCGCTCTCACCTTCTCTCCTCTCTGCAGGGTCCAAGAGACAGAATGGAGTCGAGTCGAGATCGAGTCCATTGCTGAGACCAATGGAGGGGTCCAACCAATCCGGGTGTGTTTGGCGCAATGTTTCCCCTCAAAGGTGTCATCGAAGGGAGCGGCGAGCGGCGCAGTAGCTATCGGACTGCCTCTCTACTCCGTAAATTCCATCTCTCCAAACGAGCGCGTTGCATCTCTAGCCCGTCTCAAAGGGAAAGGTGTTTGTCAATTGGCAGGTTAGCGGTGAAGCGAGTCAAACCCGGCGATTATTTCGAGACGCCGCGCCCGCCAAGGGAAAATCGATGACGGTTAGAGAGTGAGGAGAAACAACCTGGAAGAAACTGTGGATGCCTCCAGGGGCCGGGCATTCTAAGCTTCTAGCGTGGAGGGGCTCCCAAATGGCGCCTCGGTTCAGGGCGTTCCAGCGCGCGATAATCAAAAGTGGGCCGTTGGCTCGATTTCAGCAGCGTCGAATCAAAGCACGTGGTCACCGTCACGATCCTGGGTCAACATCAATTTCGAAAGTAGTCGACAAGGGCTGGGATGAATTGTATTGCAGTTCAAACTATCTGAAACATGCCTGCCGGTGTCTCTATTTGCAGTTGACGGAGCCAGCTCCCAACCTTTCATCTAGTGATCGATACGAAGAAAGTAAAACGATACTAATTCATAGCTATCTCCTCACACTCCTGAGCCGAGCTCTGATGCTCAGCCCTAGAAAAAGTTCCCGAGCGGCCTGACAGCCAACTCCGCGTCCTCAAGATAGTCCGGGCAGACGCGCTCCCACTCGAGGTCCGGGATGGTCCGCTTCAGCATCTGGTACATGTAGAGGAGAAACTTGTGCTCCACCACCGAGTCTTCTCGATGCCCTTCCCGGACGTCCCTGACCAACCTCCGGTTGATCCACTGGACCCTCGCCGTCTGCGCCCCCCGCATGACCACGCGTACGTCTCCCCGCGCATCGATACTCGCGTAGAGCCTACCGATCCCGGCCGTGTCCCAGTGCTTCCTCAGCTCGGAGAGGCGCTCCTAGACCTCCTTCTCCAAGGCGTTGAGCGCGATGTCGAACTCGCCCTCCGGCAGAGCCAGCGCGTTGTTGACGTAGCAGCCGGCTCCGGAACTTGGTGACGCACTCGAAGGCGAGCCATACCAGCGGCGCACGGTATTGACGACGCAGTCCCTGATGGCGCGACCACGGAGCTCGACACCGGCACGGGTCACCCCGTCCAATGGGTCGAGAGCAAGGGCCGAGTCGAAGCGGTGTCTCTCAGCACCGAGGGGACGACCGGGAGATACTCCGCGCGTTTGCGTATCGCGATACGGTGTGTAGTGGCGAACAAGGCTTAGGAAGCCGAAGATTGGGGCCCACAGGTCGACGACCAGGAGCTCGCCCTGCTTTCCACCTCGCGGGTGGACGAGATACGCGACGTGGTGATCATCTTCGCGGCCTTGGTGGGCATCGTTGACGCTTTCGTCGTGAGGAAAGACGTTGCGGGAGAGAGGAGACTTGACTTCGATCTCGTTTATCGAGGCGCAGACCGCTGGATGAAGCACAGGAGTCAGTAATTCTGCTATCTGCGGCAGTTCTAGGAGAGTATGGATGAGAACTTACGTCCGAGGAGGAGTTCGACGAGTGGTGCGTTGACGAGCGCCATGTCATCGTACTTGTGTCGCTTCTGAGTCGACCGGACGGCATGCGGGAGGGCGCCAGGAGCGTTGGATCCGTCAAACGTGCGGAATACCGAGCCGCCCGTGTACGGATCGTCTTTGAAACTGTCGTCCATCCGAGTTCTTCCGCGGCCGCCCATCGCGTCTCGGTCGTACACACCAACCTCCTGCAGGAACAGAAGGGTTTCAGAGACCTTGGCCACGCGATACAGCACCCTGGCTGCGTTGTTTACCGCCTTGAATCGTTGGACTTTGTCTCCATCGACAATGCTGTCCATGGCTCGGTCGATGTAGATGGACGAGCTCGCCATTGTAACGAGTTTTCAGTTGAGGATCGAAGGTAAGGCTCCGGAAAGAAGGAGTACCTTGAACAAGGTGCAGGACTTCAAAGAGAATGGAAGATCTTGGTGTCTGTCTTCTGTGCAAGAGCTGTGTGATGATACAAAGTACCTCTGGTGAGTGGAAGCACTTTGAGATGCAGCCCCAGATGGTCAGAATCACATCTGCAGGAGGAATGAAAGAAGGCTGCCAGTGTTCCATGGCTGAGGGCAAAGAAGAATGAGAAATAATGTCTTTATATATATGTTGAGGGCATCGCGATGATGCGCTGTTGTGTTGATTTCAATGGTTGTTGAAGGTGAGGCCACCGGTCCATGCCGGAAGACTTTGGCAACCCCTCCGGACATTTATAGGACCGTTGCTCCTGATTTTGTCCCTTCGGTCAGTTAAACAATAGATCAAAGAAATGGATCAGGCTATAAGTGTCCGCGACGTCACTAATTGTTCAGATTCCTATGTTATTGTATTGGGTTAGCTTGATCAAACAATAGTGAATTCTAACCGATCAATTAACTCAACACAAAATCTTTTGAATACCATTCACACCCACAATAAATAGAGCTTGTACCCATTACCTAACTCACAACGGCCGTGGCTACTCCCAGCTCACTGTCCGCCTGCCCGTAATACAGGAACCAGCGGCCCCGGAACTGCACCATGCCCTCAGTGAAGACTACCTCATTCACCAACCCCACTCTCTCATTCTTCTCCGACACCACCACCGACGGCCGATCCAGACGAGCCAGCGGTCCGTCCTCGAGACGATCAAAGTCGACGAGCATCTGGCTGATCGAGTACTGGTTGTTCCGATACCCGGGGCACCCGACCGTCGCACCGTTGTACACGAGGATCCACTTCCCGTCCGCCGTCTGGACAGGAGCGGGACCGGGCTCCAGCAGCCGGTCCTCCCACGGCAGCGCCGGCGCCGCAAAGTACTCGTTGAACGGCTGGGCCTCCCAGTGCAGCAGGTCGTCGCTCTCGGCGCGGTGCATGAACGCGTCGCCGAAGAGCATGACGTACTTGCCGCGGCCGTCCCGCTGCGGGAAGATGGCGCCGGCCTTGGTGTGGCCCCGGCGCATCTGCGTCCGGCCCTGCACCGTCAGCCGCACGTCGACAAAGTCCGGGAACAGCGGCGGGCGCTTCTCCCAGCGCACGAGGTCCGTCGAGGTGGCGAGGCACAGGCGCGGCGTGTCGAGGTCCCACGCCGTGTAGGTCATGTAGAAGACGCCGTCGAACCGGTGGATCCGGGGGTCCTCGACGCCGCCGCCGGCCTCCCAGGGCTCGGTGGCCTCGAGCACGGGGCGGTCGAGACGGGTGAAGGAGAAGCCGTCGGCGGACCAGGCGAGGCCGATGCTCGACAGCAGGGCCGCGTTCTGCGCGCGGTAGAGCAGGAACACGGTGTCGTCTAGGACGATGGCGGCCGCGTTGTAGATGTAGGCTGACTCGAAGTCATTGTCCGGGTTCGGGACCAGGAGCGGGTTGCCTGCGTGCTTGACGAAGGGCCCAATGGGGAAGGTCGGGGCTTTGTAGTTGGGATCACCCTCGCGAGAGGCCGGGGTGATCACAGGGGGTGTGGAAGAGTAGAAAGTCGAGGGAGGCATGGTGATCTGGTTGTTCCTCAAGGAAGGGGGGAAGGCATGAAGGTATGAGAGTCCTGGCCAGCGGTGATGTGCGGGGATTGCCACATAAGTACTCCGATATATCGTGTGCGGCGTAGTCAATGAGTGGAGCTGGATGGCTGTCGTCGAATCAACGGGTAGTTCTCAAAAACCACGCATTGAGTAGTCCCCTTTGGTCAATAGATCAGACGTGATTCTTGCTTTCACGGAATTAAAAGGGGTTCGCTCGAAGTCCTTATGTGCCTGCTATATCTCGATGAACTCTCGTCGGCGTTCACGGCGCCGGGCCGGACCCACATCATACTGTATGCGGGAGCGCCACGCTGGTGCCTTGGCGGAGGCCGGCGGGCCCGTTTGTCCAAGGATGTCCGACAATGATGGACATAAGCCTTTTGATACCCACGCCGGGATGGTGCTGCCAGGGGAGAAGGTCGAGATAAACAAATACCTGTGTTGATCGGAAGGATCCAACAAGGCTTACTACGGCAGTCGATTAGACGATGCGCAAGGAAGGGAGAACGCCTCATCAGGGAACCGAATCGTACCAATCACAACAGTTTGCTCACCATGGCCTGCATCAAGTCACACGGGACGGGCGTTTTCAGCCTTGGGCATCCACGACAAGCACCGCCACTTCCAGCCTGATCATCCTTCACCGACATACCCCGCAACGTACCGAAACATCACTTCGCAGTCCAAGAGGAGCTGCGAGAATCGTGCAGCCTTCATATGTTAGACGCTGTTCAGACTACGTAATCCATCAAAATCCTCACCATGGCGACCCAGCATACCTTTCCTGAGTCGGCGACGGATGCCTTCAAGACGGCGATTCAAAGCTTCAAAAAGACTCTCAATAACGACAAGCTCTACGCCCAGATTCTCCAGACCAGTTCTATCGAACAGGTATATGATATGACCGACCAGCTCCAGAAGGAGCAATCAAAACAGCACAGACTCAGGAATCTCGCCAAAGTCAAGCCGTATTTGGACCGGCTTGATGCATACACGGGCGCCATCGACACCTTCGTACAAGCAAAGCCCGACATTCTCGCACTCATCTGGGGCCCAATCAAGCTGCTCATCCAATGGGCAAGTGTGCTCTCCAAATCGCTTGATGCACTCATCGATATGGCCGCTCAGATCGGGTATTTACTACCCAAATTTGGGCACGCAAAGAGAATGTTTGGAGACAGCGATCAGATCGATCTTCTTCTGGCCCTGTTCTTCCAAGATATCCTAGACTTCTACTCGGTCGCGCTGAAGTTCTTCACCATGCCGCGTGAGTCTAATGGAGTGCTCAGCCTGGGCTGCCAGCTACTTGAAATATCAGATGATGCTCACAGTTCTTCAGGATGGAACCTTATGTTTGAAGCGGTGTGGCCCAAGAAAAAGCCAGAGATTGAGCATATTATCAACCGTGTGGGCCGTCACGCCGCTATGCTTGGGACTGAGGTCGGCCTAGAGCATATCCAAGCAGCCTATGAAGCTCGCACAACCGATCTTGAACATTTCAGAAAGGTTCATCTCCGAACAAAGCATACAGAGTACAGCATTCTGGAGACTGCTATGGCCCCCACTTTCTACGACAAGAACTTGTATGAACTTCAAGACCGTCTGTGTGAAGGGACTGGCGATTGGATCCTGAAGCATCCTACAATGCAGAATTGGCTGGACTTCAGGCCAGAGGAATCTGGAAGCATACCGCGTATCGTGTGGCTTCGTGGGATCCCCGGTGCAGGTCAGTCAGGACGCCATCACAGGCAGGATTGTCGTTGAGAAGGTTGAAAGTTAGTCTATCATGATTCTTGCTGATATTGAATTAGGGAAAACATTCCTTGCCGTTTGCCTTATTCAAAAGCTTCGATCCATGTATCGCGAGCCGAATCATGTTGTATTTGCAATTCTTACTCATTCACTTAGCGTCTCCACGACCTCTCTTTCAATATTCCACTCACTCATCTTCCAATTGGCTCGGGACCATCATCTCATGTCAAAGGGCCAACCTGAAGAACATGAGTCAGTCTTGCAAGACTTCATTTGCGAGACAGACCGGGGCACATTGGCCTCCAGTCTCGATGCAGCCACAGAGTTGTTGATCAAGCTTCTCCAGCTCTCTGGCCCAGTTCACATTGTTATCGATGGCCTTGACGAGATTGATGAAAGGCAACGACTTCATTTCCTTGTACAAATCCTGACAGTATCTCAGAGTTGCCCAGAGACCCGCATCCTGATTGCAAGCAGAGACGAAGCTGACATAAAAGCCGAACTGGAGTCAAACGCGACAGCTATCCGGGCGGATAATTGCAACGCGAGCAGTATCAGACATTATGTCACTGTCCGGTGCAATCAGTGGATAAAGGCCCATAACTTTAGCCAGGAGGAAAACCAGGAGATTGCGGTTCTCTTGGAACCAATCGCTATAAAGGCGCAAGGTAATAAATTCCCTGGGTAGAGCGCTAACCTGCGGCACTACTGTGATACTTATGGAGTTACAGGAATGTTCATGTACGCGGAGCTTATTCTGAAAGGCTTGGATTTTCTCGATGGCATCGACGAGATACGTGAAGAACTCAAAGTCCTACCTACAGACCTCAAAGCCGCGTAAGATATTCTCCCTTGACTCCCATCAATCCAGCTCCACGGAAAGTAACACTTGATAGTTATGGCCGCATCTTCTCCCGCATCAACGAGCAACTCCCTACAGAGTACTTGAGAGAGAAGGCACGCAAGATTCTGGGGTGGGTGGGGTGTTCTCCTGTGCCCTTGACTATCCAGGAACTTGACCAAGCTCTGTCCATCAAAGTCGGAGACTTCTGCCAAATACCAGGAGCCTACTCCACTCTGAAGATTGTGCATCTCTGTGGCCCGGTTGTCGAAATAGTGGATAATGAGGTCCATTTCGTCCACTTCACTGCGAAAGAGTGAGAAGCGCCTGTTGCATACGTGCTTTCAGAGTTCTAACAAGTTTTCAAATGCTAGATACTTCTTCGACTCGCGGATCAGCAGCCATCTGAGCACGGCCCGATACACTCTGAGCCTGGCAAATGTCTGCATCACATACCTCTGCCAGCCTCATCATGACCCGACCTTAGATCATGGCACCATTGCCAGACACCTTTGGAAAGGTGCCTATCGACTTCATCATTTCGCTGTTTGCGAGTGGTTCAACTTGATAAAAGCATGCTGTTTATTCAAAGAACTTGACAAGAGATCTGAAAGCTGGCGACAATTGCCCCGCCTGCTAGAGCAACTTCTGAAAACAAGAGCGAATAACTCGTTTCGATCAGCAGGGGAGACTGCCCCCCTGTTACTTGAGAATGCCGAGACTCTGGGTCCAGAAGTCTACGAATTGTTGTGCCAAGAAGCTCGTTTTCTCAAGGATTCTGAAATGAGATTGTTCACAATAAGCAAAGGTATGTGGAGTCAATAACATGTTGGGGTCTAACACTTGGTTAATGCTTTAAGTTCAAGGTGAACATCTCACATTTGATCCTCTGAAGCTTCGATGCACGACAGTTGCTGTAAATCGCGCACTGGAAGAAAGGATCTGCCCTCTGAACGCGAGAGAACCAGAGTCGACAAGCTCAGCACCTTGCTTGCAAGGCTTGCAAGATTTCAATTTTATCCAACTCAACTACGGAACGAAATTGTTCAAGTGTCCATTCGTGAGCTGCGCACTGTACCGCAACGGGTACGAGGATGTGAAGCTCAGGCAAAGTCATGCCAAAGACCACCAGCGACCATGGAGATGTGAAATACCCGCTTGCGAATACTCCGAAATTGGCTTCCTCTCCCGTCGAATGAGAGATGAGCATCTGGACCAATTTCACTGTGTCGACCATTCCGGCGAATCGGTTAGCCTGCGCGACAAGGAGGTCTCTGAAGAAGATTTTTCCTTTGCTTCAGCTCTCATTCGAGCCAACAAAGTTGAGATAATGCGAACCTGGATAAAGCAGTATGCAGGCGACATCCCGCGAAATACTCCGTACCTTAATTGGAAAAGGGATTTAACTGAAAAGGAGCAAGTTTGGCAAGCATTACTCACCGAGTTAGCCTCTTCAGGGTCTGTGGAAATGCTGCAAGATGTGTTGGGACAAGACGTTCGTGTCTTTGCCATTCGAAATTTGTGCAACATCATCCTTAATCCAGCCATCGCCAGTGCCAATCTTGGGATTGTGGAGTGGATAGCTGCCAACTACAAGTCGCCCCATTCTTCATCCGAGCACTACTCAGCAACCTTAGCCCTGGCTTTTCAAGTCGAGAACTTTCACGCTATTCAAGAAGCTCTCAAGCCCCTCAGCTTGCACTTGTTCAAAACCGGAGAAAAGCAGATTGCATTTTACTCTCGGGAGATAATTGCGTCAACAGCAAACTGCCCTCGAAGGGAAGACATACTTATCTCGCTGTGGAAAGATTTGAAAATGATACGGAATCCTCGTCGTGTTCATCTTGAGTCAGGGCTTTGTACTGTCGCGGCGACAACTTGTTCTATCAAATTAGCGTCGGCACTTCTCGAGTTAGGGGCTCGTGCTGATGGACGTGGAAGCGGTTTGAAGACACCTGCGCCACTTCATCGTGCCGCTATGAAGGACAGCTTGAGAAATGCGAGGCTTATGCGGTTCTTGTTACAACGCGGCGCTAATGCAGATATCACATATCGAAAGACAGATGGATTTGTTGATCGGCAGTATCGATTCAAGGAAGCCAAAATATCGGACGAAGTTGGCACAAAAGGACTGTTCAACTGGTTGGGCAAATCTTGGGAAGAGCTAATCCGAGATCCTTGGGAAGCAAATTGAGAGAATATAGGTATTTGAGCCTAAGGCATGCGAGATAGATCAGAGCACTCAGATGTACTACTAATCTCTGTCGATGAGTCGTTAAAGCAATTCTTGAGTTCCTAAACAATGGACGAAGAAATATCTATCAGTTTCGAACAAATAAGCTGACTGGTTGGGAAAATCCAGCTTACCTGCCATCTCTGCTGGTCTATATCTGTCTGCAAGAGTGACCCAAAGTCTAAGGAGTCGGATATGACTCTCAGCTTATCCTTTTGTACCCATTGGATATACTGGTTGTCTTGAGTAACGTTGTCTTTCTGCGGTGGACTTTGAAATGGGAGGGAAATGCCGTAACTCACATTTTCTATTGACCGCCTCACAACGTAACGAGTTACAAATACCTGTTGGGACTGCCCAATACGATGGACTCTACCAATCGCCTGGGCTTCCGCCATTGGGTTCCATTGTGGCTCGAGGATATGGACGTGGCATGCTGATATGAGATCGATTCTACTTGTCAATTTGAGTGTCAGCAGACCGTATAGTACGTAGTCAACAACTTTAAGGATCAAGGATATATGGAGGAGGGCAGCCCACCCCTCTCCAGCACTCCCAATGCTGGCGAGCATGACCGTACATGCCACATCAGAGCTAAAGCGTGCAACCGCAGCCCGTCTCTGCAGAAGCGGCGTTTGTCCATCAATTCGCTGTAATCTTAAACCTGCTTTCTGAAGGTCAAGCTGAACAAAATCCAGCACTTTGGTCCAGCAACTGAAAACGACACTGGCATATGAACTTGCGTTAGTCTGAGAAATCAAGAAAGTTGACTTGCTTAGGACTACCTCTTTCTGGGCTCTTGGCTGCCCGTTGAGTTTGACTGTTCTGTCAAAATGTTTCGGACCAAAGTTGCAGCTTTTGCTGACTGATAAGAACCGGAAGAGCCCTGTACCGTGTCTTCGGCCTCGTCAGAGGCCTGGCACATCAAACAGTCATTGACGTCATCGAGTTCCTCCCCCTCTTGTATGCGCTGCTGGCACATATCACAGATACCGTGCCCGCACGATAGTATGGAGTCATCGTCAAATCTGGCCAATGGCCCCTTGCAACCAGAGCATTGTTGTGAGTGTTGTTCCGTCGTCTTCCAGTTGCTAGCACAATGACTTTTTGAGCGCCATGCTTCTAAAGCCTTGGTGGGTAGTACTTTATCTCCGTAATCGCAGATTAATCTGAGGCAGTTAATCAGACTCAGTATGTTGTCGTCATAGATTGCCCTGGACTGGGATGCTGCGCTCTTTGCCCTGTAATTGTTCACGCCTGACGCAAGTTCAGCCGCTCGGGATTTGAAGAAGTTATACAGTTCTTGATCAGCCTCTCCGAGATCGACCCATGCAATTCTTTCGATAGGCGGTCGCATTCCCATACTCGTACAGATTGTTCGTCGAAGGCAAGTGGCCCGCACCATCTGTTTGAGACGGTTTATGGCATTGGGTTGTCGGTGCCTTAGAGGCTTGGTAACCCAATGATCAAAAGCTCGTTTCTCCGCCAGTTTGGGCACTCTGAGGAAGCTGAGAAGCGCACCGTAGTCATCAATTGAGTTGTGAATCGGAGTACCTGTAAGACACCAGCGACAGATGGCGCGTTTCGAGATGGCGAGAGCAGCTTGATGGATTTTCGACATGCGTGAGCGAATACGGTGAGCTAGGACAGAGAAGGGATTCAAAATGAGTGAGCTGTAATATGTTTCATGATCTCGGAATGGAGGGCGTACCTTCATCAAGAACCACACGATGCCAATAATGCGAGAAAAGAGTATCTTCTGACGACACAACGAAATCTTCACGGAGAACTTCGTATGTTGTGATAACAATATCGTGCTGAAGAAGGCTAGGGACCAAGGTTTTTCTCGAGGCCCCATGGTAAATGACGAACGTTACTGAATCGAGAAGGTGCCTGCGCTCTGTTTATTAGCACCTAACTAGTGATGTTATTTTCAACTATTGGCCGTTACATTTTGATCTGAGCCTCCCATCCAATGATAACTGAAGAAGCGAGTCAGCCATCACATGCCGGAATTGACACATATTAATTGTACTTGCCTGACTTAGGGACGATGATCAATGTGGTCCGAGACAGTTTAGCATCGATCTCAGCCTTCTTGAGATCAACTATATCCAGATACCAGCAGATCAAAGCAAGTGTTGTAAGGGTCTTCCCGAGCCCCATTTCCTAGAGCGTACTGAGCTTACTGAGTTGCGTCATCTTCACATTCCCAGCTAGCTCACTTACATCTGCCAAAACTCCTCCAAGGACCGGGTGGGGATCCCGCTCTCGAGCTCCCGTCACAACATGGCGATAGCCGTTCGAGGTTGCTTGCCATATCGTGTGGACTGTGGCGCTGTCGAGACCGCCGCGCTCCTTTTCTACCATCATCGAGAGTGCTTCCAACTGATGACTGCTAACAATTAGCTACTTGTTATAATGCAATTGATTCCGAAAGGAGGAAGGGCCAGTCGCGATATACCTGTGGAGTTTCGATTTGAGACGTCGACTTTCCGTGACTTTTGTGACTCCAGAAAATCCATTCGCCTGGTCAAAGATCTTCCAGATAAGTCCTTTCCCGACTTCGTCCAATTTTCCACTCGCCTCGACCACACTCCCACTTGCCGATATGGAAACACCCTCGATCTGTGGCATTTCTGCCCCGGGTCTGAGTAGGAGATGGGGATTGAAATAGGGCACGCTGGCATCAGCTTCCTCAGCCGTAGGGTGTTGAAAGAAAAGGCCCGACTCAGACATCAGATCTCCGATCCCATTTCTGTCTTCTGCTTGACCGTAGATCAGGATCCGAGCAAGGGCATTGTCCCGCCTTAACTTGGTTCCGGATGTGTCCTTACTTTTGCCTTTTACGGTTTGTGATCTCTTCACAGTCAGAGTTGCTGTCAAGTGGACTGCGAATTCTTTCAAAAGTCGCTGCAAGTCTTTGCTGACAATAATCCCAGCAAATTGCTGGTGATCTTCGAAGTGGAGGCTTATGATGTCTCCATCTCGCGAAAGCAATACCGGCAAGCAGTCGATCTTGCCCTGATAGGTAGTGGAGAGTATGACTTCCAGCACGATCTTGAAACCTGTCAGAGTTTGAACAGTAGCATAAAGTCCTTTGTACTTACAACCCCAAAACACATATCATACTCGTGCTCTTCGATGATCTCCCCATTGTCTGGGGTACTGAGCAACTCCGCAGGCGTAGATTTGCTTCTTTCACCATCAGTGAACAGATCGTCGTCGTCTTTCTGGCTGATCATCTCTGAATTTCCGGCACAAGGCTCCATTTCGGCGACATCTCCAAGCAATATCGTTGGTTGTGGAACAGACTGTGTGGCCGGGTCTTGATAGGTGGCAGTGTTGAATGTAAGGTCACAGCCGACGGAAGGAAAAATGCTCGCTGGGTCTGAGAACTCAGAACCATTGGAGTAGTGTTGGGCCGCATTTGTGCCATTCAGGAACAAGTTGTCAGCACCAATATTCGAACTCAAGCCATCGAAACCCCCATTCGTTTCTTTATAGTCAGGTGAGTTGTCGATGAGGTGTGGTAGATCCAGTAGTGTCGGATCTCCTTGCCCAGTTGGGGTATATGGCCAAGCTTCGAACTGGGCCGTAGAAACGTCAGTGCCACTGCCTGGCAATTCTTGGGGAGCTACGGCAGTACCCCAGGCTAGTCGCGACTGATCCCAATTCAATATAGTATGAGCAGTATCCATCGCTGTCAAGGCTGGGTCGGGAGACCAACTCCATGACACTTGTTCTTGCCCAGCAAGCCGCTTCGATTCATGATGCTGCTCGTCCGTGAAGGGACAATCTCTCTTCTCACTGCTGATCCCCACCTGGTCGGGAAATGTCAAGTCGGTAGTATCGGTAGCCATCTCTTCCATGAGGGAAATGGTATTGTTACCTGCGAATTCAAAACACGCCTATCAGTACTTCGTACGCTTTGAAGCACTCACAGAGCGGTGTGAGAGTTCGCTAGACAAAAGTTTTCTGTCACTGTCAGAGTTAGAAAGAGCGAGATTACCATGAATGCAGCAGCTCAGCCTCAGTGAACTCCACCACAGCACGCCACGTAGCAATTGAAATGGTCCGATTCGTCCAGACTGTAGGTCCTGACGCGTTGTGACTTAAAAGTGCATTTCTAGATCGCGTTTCCTTAGGTAGTGTGTCAGCCTGCAGTCTGCCTCGGGCACCCACGGCGCACACCTGATGTTACCTAAAGTGCCGACTTTTACTACATGGTCTTTTAGCGACTTAAGTCAATAATCGATGCAGCCAGCAGTCCGTTGGCCTTTTTGTGGCGAGGTAGCCCCTTTCGCAACCGTTCTATGGCCCGAGCAATTCTAATCACACCTTCCTCGAGATCCTCTTCGTCCACGTAAGAAAACGTCAAGCGTAGAAATGCATCCAGATCAGCACTCTCCTCGTCACCGTGCACTTGAAACATGGGCCCGCTCCCAACAATCAAATTCTCCTCCATCGAAGCCTCGACAACGTCACTAGATGATAGACCATCAGGAAGCTGCAGCCATACGAAATACCCACCATAGGCGTGGCCGTCGATCAGCCCAGCTGAACGAGAGCGAATGCCCAGGGGTTCCAAATACTGCTTCACAGCGGCCATTGTGAGGCGATGTCTCCGTTGCAGTGCAGGCCGCACGGTGTTAGCGAGGTATGCTTGTAGCGCGCCAGACGATAGCATGTCTGCCATGATCGCAGCAGAGAACTGGCTAGGCGATCCGCCGGACTTGGTTGAGCCGGTCTGCGCGAGCCCGAAGGCGAACTCCCTCGATCCCTCCAGCCATCCGGTGCGCATGCCGGGTCCGGCCATCTTGCTGAAGGAGCCGTTGCTCACCGCATACCCAAAGCGCCCGGGATCTTCAGGCGTTGGGCCCACGGCGAGGTCGATGTCGCAGAGGCGAGGAAGCACCATCTCAGGATGCTCAGCCGCCTCGACTCGCGCTGAGCCTGAGCACTCCAGTGGCCACTGGAGTAGGTCATAAACATCGTCGCATATGATGAGAGCGTCATGCCGGCGAGCTAGGCTGACGAGGTCCTCCCTGCGTTTGACGGACATGGTCTTGCCTGAGGGGTTAGAGGCCGTCGCGACGACATACACAACATGCCGGTAGAATTTCCGGTATGGTCCAGAGTCTTTAACTGGTGATTGCTTTTCAGTGTTTCTATTAGTTTGGAGGCCATTTGGGCAAAGTTGACTGACAGAGACATGATGAATACTTACTGTTCCCCTCTGCGCATATTCTGCTTCCATTTGCAACATCTTCTCTTCCAATGCTTCAATGTTAGGTCCCTCGTCGTCCTCGGGAAAGCCTTTCAGACGCCCGCTGAAGCCAGCATCCTCAAAAATGGAACAGACGAGGTGGTATGTAGGTGACACAAGCCAGACGGCCTGCGTTATGTGGGGATCCGTGAAGCTCTGGAGAATGCATGCAATGTTTTGACTTGCACCACCCGAGATGCATATCCGTTCCGGGTCGCGCTCAACATTGTAGTGGCTATGTAGCCAGGTTGCTATACCCTCGCGTAGCGGTTGGAATCCTGGATCTGCGCCATATTGCAGCGCCGGCTCGAATACTGCGGGATTCGACAGGACAGCCTGAGATGAAGCTGCTAAAAGTTCTCTTGGTAGAAGCGAAGGATGAGGCCAACCGCGGAGCAGATTAATCTGTTTGGGGCTGTTTTGGGGCATGATTAGACTCCTCAACCACCTGTTCTTGTTGCACTCACTGCGAGTTGTTAGCTAGGTGTCTGGCTGCATTAGAGTACTGGGGTACTGGCCTGGATTTAATACTTTACCACAGCTCTAAAAGCGCATTCAAGGGGCTCACATCCTACTTCCATTGGCGGAAGGTTCCCTATGTTCCACACCCCGTTTAGCTTAGATCTCGGCTTTACGCCTGCCGGGCTTATTTCAGGTCGGGCCCAACCAAAACCGGGAACGGGGGCGAGCCTGTGGAGTTAGGCCCTTGAGGTTCCCAGAAGGGCATGGGACTGCGAGCATGCTCCAAGTCTGAACCGGAGCGGTATTGCCCCTTTCAAACTTATTTTGCCGATGTACGGATCTAGTTATGAAAAGGAATTCTCTTGCCGATCTCGGAGTCGTGTTATTCGTTTGAGAGTGTTGTCGGTACAACAATTGCAAGTAGATCTGACACTTAGAGATTCTTCTACGGGAAAAGGTTACCCTGTACCCTGAACTACCATCTACAGATATTCTCCCTCTTTGCATACTCTCTCCTATCTATTTCCTCAATTTCGCCGCTACGTGATTGCGTGCTCGGGTCCACACGGACATCTTTGGTGGGTGCAACTCTTCATCCGCTTTGAGCTCGTCAAGCCCCGTCTGAAGATCAACCTGTTCCAGAGGAATGGCCCACTTGTCAAATCTTCCAACTGTAAGCTTGTGACCAAAGTAAAGGACGAAGAAAATCGGAATGCCGATATAGCTGCTCAGGAACGAGGAAGTGGACCAGGAACCTGGCAGGAACAGTTCAAATCCATTGATAAGGCACAGCAGAATGAACACAACGATGCAAAAGTACGAGGCGTAGGGTTGCATGCGGGAGGTGAAAGGGAGATCCGCCCTGTCGAGGCCCTGTACTTTGAACGCGTTCTGGAACCGGATGGAGGTCTGAGAACACCAAAAGAGTTAGCCATTGCCCCTTTAAGCCTGAGATTTGGTAAAGACTTACGATTGCACAGACAGTCCACGAGATGAAAGCCGCGGTGTTGACGAGGTTGACAAGCCATGTGAACACTTTACCGGACTGCGCGTTGACGTTGAGATATGCCAGAAGAGAGAACGCAGAAGTCGCCAGTACAGCCATGTAGGGCACGCCCTTCTTGGTGCACTTGGACAGGAACTTGGGCGCGTCACCGTTGATGGACATCGAATACAGCGACCTGCTCGACTGAAAAATGAAGGCATTGGACGAGGACCAGGCAGACGTGAGGATAGCGGCGTTGATGACGCTATCAAGACCACGAATGCCGGCACGCTTGATGCCGAGCACAAACGGCGAGGATCCGGCTCCAGAGTCGCCGCTCTTGAGTCCTGGCTCGTTGGAGGGGCAGATTACGCCAATCGCAAGGACTGAGCCGATGTAGAAGACGAGAATGCGGATGATGAAGCTCTTGGCAGCTTTGGGAAGATTTCGGCGCGGGGCCTTCATCTCTCCGCAGCAAAAGACGAGCATCTCGGGGGCGAACGAGAACTAAGGCAGTCATAAGTCAGTTGACGTGAATGAATACATAACCATGGAGTGTGTGACGCACAGGAAGAAGAGCAGATATTAGAGTACTCCAGAAACTGACGACATATCCTCTCGAGCCCTCCAGGATGTACGGGTTGAACGCTCCCGGGTCGCCCCAGTAGTGGAAGGCCAGGAGAGGCTTGCCGGCTGGACCGCCCCACCAGAAGAGGATGAACGCCAGGATGAGCAGCCCGATGATTGTGATGATCTTTAGGGAGGCAAAGTAAAACTCGGTTTCTCCGTAGACTGAGACGGGCAGCAGGTTCAGCCCGACGACGACGACGATCATGACGGTGATCCAGACCGCGGGGCTGATGGGAGGGTCCCAGAAATTGATGACGAGACTCGCAGCCGTGATTTCATAAGGCACGAAGATTCCCTGAAGTGAGGTATTGGGTGTCAATAACCAGTCTTTCCCCTGACCTAATCGAGGCCTGGATACATTATTGTACTTACAAAGGCATACCAGTAGTACCATCCCATGGCCCACCCCAGCGATGTCGAGACATAGCGCCGGGCGAAGTAGGCAGGTGTTGCACCCTTCACGGGCCTATTCAAGTTCAAAACACATCAGCTATCAGCTTGCTCCCAAATGAGTCGATATAGCAACGCAACTCACAGATACGATGCCGTCAGGGCAATGGACCCGACAATAAGAAACACCAGGGCAGACATGATGATGTAGGTGATCAAGGTGAACCCCGGCCCGCCCTTGGCCAGCGTCGCACCGCTCCCGACGAAGAGACCTGTGCCGATGGTGCCTCCGAGAGCAATAAGCTGCGCATGGCGGGACTTGAGGCCTCGCTTGGTGCCACGCGGGACCGCTGATGTATCGCCGCTCGCCTCGTCGGTGTGGGATTCCGTGCCTGCCTGCGCCATGCCCTTTTCAGGGACGTTGAAGGATTTGTCCAACATATTGAAAGGGTTTTCTCCTCCTGCAATGAAGAATGATGCAGTCTGCAGAGGGCCTTTGGGAGAGGCTCTGGGTAATTAAAGGGAGGTCCTCCAGAACCGGGTATGGATCTGAGTATATATGAACAATCGAAAGTAGTAATGGAAAAGAACAGAGACTCGCCGGTCGCCTCTCATCCCTTTCACGCCGCCATGTTGTCGGGATCTCCCAACGACCTAGACGAGACCGGGGCCGCACCGACAATTCGAGATGTACCCACCTTCGCTGACGGTTACCACTTTCTTTGCATGAAAAAGGGCCTGCAGGGTCTGCTTATCTGCGCGCCTTAGTCATGAGGGGGCGCCGCGATGCCGCCAGTGCCTACGCTAAAGTCGTACGGCGCAGGCGTTGTGGAGAGAGCTCTATGGGAAGCCGTAATGGCCGATCACGGTGCTTGGCAAGACTTTTTTTTATTTAGTCCTTTGAAAAGGTTGCAATTGGTCAAGGGATTTTGAACGGGTCACTAGTTATCAAATACCCTGTCTTCAGGTTGGGAAACAAGGGATCGATGTGCATCAATGCCAACTGCCTGGATGAGTCCCGATCTGTGATAATCCATTACCAATGCCAGAATGGACCTGGGGTAATCCCCACCGTCATTCCTCAGGACTTTATCTACCAAGTTCCTTACAGACAATTTCTTTGACAAATGTTTGGCACATATCTTTGTGTTTTGTGATCATAGGCTTGGTTAGTTTCAAGGTCCAACATGTTGTTATCTTTTCTTCATTGGTATGTAACTGAATTATTGCTTATTCTTCCAAAAGGAACTCTGGTGACTTGAGATCTACCCATCCCAAATTCGGCTCTGACTGCTTCCATCCCAACCGGTCACGGACCAGCTTCGAATATGTCTTGACGTCCTTAATAGGGTAGCTGAGGAATGGGATTTCCTGTAATAACACGTCCGTCAGTAAAGCTTTCATGGGGAATACTGCTGCTTAAATCACCATGTTGCGCAGGAAGAGCCTTACCTCCTGACGGTGAACGCCACTGCACATGAACATGATATGCACAGTCCGGCAGCCCGTAGGCATAGAGTACTTGCCCGCGCCGTGGTACAAGCTCCCGAGCATCACAAACGCCTCGCCGCGCTTGAGCTCGGCGTCCTCGACGCCTTTGTTCCCGTCGGGGCCGAAATCCGGCTGGTCGTCGCCCCAGAGGTGCGAGCCGGGCACTATCCTCGTCGCGCCGTTGGCCTTGAAGGTGTCGCACGTCGGCACGAACAGGCCCAGGAGCATGTCGCGCCCGCGCGTGTACTCGGTGGCGGCGGCGTGGCGCGCGTGGTGGTTCTTGTCGTCGCGGTGGAGCTCCTGCGCGTTGGAGCCCGGCTGCGAGGACATGGTGATGGAGATGGAGAGCAAGGGGTCGGACTTTTGCACGGTCGGCTTGGAGCCGTACCAGATGGTCGTTTCCAGGCCGATGAAGTAGTCTGCGATGGCCTTTTGTCGTGTTTTGATTAGTGAATAGGGTTTTCTAGGCTCTAGACAATGGACACATGACATACCTGGTACAAGGAGTCGGAGAAGAACTTCTCCCGGACAGTCTTGCTCCGTCCGACGAGGCGCGTGCAAGTTGCCGTGCCGCCGTTGAGGGCACCAACGGTGCTCTTGGACGAAGCGGAGATAGAGGCATCGAGGTACGGCTGGACCTCTTTGTTTGCCGCCTCCAGAGACTCTAGGTCTGTGAAGTCCTTGATGACAACGCAGCCATCCTTCTTTATGGCGTCAATGAAGGCCTCAAGGCCTGCTTCTCTAGCAATGCGCTGGACCATCTTTCGCAGACTGAGGGTGAACAATGAAGTCGGGAGTGGGGAAAATGATCTTGATGATAGTCTGGCTATCAATTCACAACTCAACAATTCCTCCGACGATAAGAGATGCGTTTCCGCTAATTATATGGCTTGATGCGTTGTGTGATGCATCTTTCGGATGGTCACCTTCTGGCAGTAACATTCACTTTGAAGGAGCTAAACGCGGCCGAACTCGGCTGTTCCGAGAATGGTAGGCGTCAGCGAGGCGGTGGAGTGTCCGACGCTGGCCCGGTATTACATTCAGTATCCGGACAGTCTTATCATCATTAGCTTTCCCCGCAATCTTTCCAGACCAGATGCTACCATTATAATCGTTGACTTCGATCTGTGCCGCGTTCACCCGGATCCCTGAAAAGCAGGTCTGGAAAGGCGTCAGCGTTATCTACGGCTGTATATCTCAGCTCTCGGCCATTGACAAGTCTAGATTGCTAAGATCCTCCGCCCGGTTCTCCTGAGGACAACAGCCCATGGAGCATCATCGCTCTCACCCATCGCCTGATCGTGGACCGACCAGGCCTCTCTGACCACGGACCACAAGCCCTTCATGTTCCCGATCCGATAGCCTAGCATCTGGTTCCACCACTCCTCCCACACCCTCCTCTCCGATGGCTCGGCTTGGCACGAGGCCATGAAGCCGGGCCAGGAGATTGTCGCCGTCGGCGTGGCGTCGTAACCCGTTCGCCTCTTGATCTTCTCGATATCAGTCAGCTGTTCGGCCACGCTCTGGACCAACGCCCGCATTGTAGGTCCGCCGCACGGTGCCACCCGTGCGTGGAAGTAGATACGGATACCCGCGGCAAAAGCGAGCGTGTGCTTGGAGGCAAGGAGAATGGTGACGTCGTCGCTGGTGCGAAAGGATGTGAACGCTTCCTCGCTGATATGCCACGCGTCCATCTCCTCGATGAACCTGTCGCATTCCAGCGAGAAGGCCTCCGGTGGGCTGCAACCGCCCAGCTTGTAGAAGGCGGCGTTTCGGGATAAGAGACAAGCGCGGCTGAGGAAGTTGACTAGCCTGGCTGTGATCCCGTACGTGTATTCGAGTGAATGTCCCGCTCCGATGAACTCTGCCGGGCCATCCGAGTCGGGCCTCCACGGTAAGGGCTCCAGACCAACATCTGTAGAATCGCTCAGGGTGCGTAAGAATGTCGAGATATTTACGAGGTGAGCCCCGGGCGATCCTGGCTGCACGTGTCCTCGCAGGCGTGAGACAAGAGCTTTGGTAGCATCCAGATGTATCCAGAATTCCTCCATCTGGCCATCCATGACATCCGCGGTGACTAGAGTCAGCATGACAGAGAGGACTGCCTCGCACTCGGACAGGCTGCGATCAGCCACAACCCCCATCTCATCCTGCCGAGTGAGATCCAACGAGTTCAGCGCCCCTCTCAGGCGTGATACAGCCTCCACACGAAAGTACCTGGCCATTGCACTTGCATCGTCTGTTCCATCCAGGCCACGAAGGTGAGATGTTGACGACGAGAGGAGAGAGTAGACCAGAGCGACTTTGCTATCCAACACCTTCCAGCTCTTCATGGCATCTCTCCACGGCACTCTTCTTGCCACGGCCATCGCTTGGTTGGCATAGATGGAGCTATAGGCGTTTTGTGAATGAACCACAGGCTGCAAGAGAGTTGCCACGTTTTGGAGATAATGGTCTAGTAAATTACTGACTAGGCTCTCGGCTTGTAAATCCGCACTGGGGAAGTCAGGGACTGATCCGGATCCCACACGACTGTGATGGGGACGTTTGGTGAGAAGCATGTTGGAGCTTCCATCGGGCAGAGGCCCGGAGTCCTCGGCAACAGCAGCGGTTGTTAATGAATTGGGATCCAATGAGTCGGCGCTAGATAAAGTCAAAACCGGGCTGTCGTTGCTGCTGGTGGCAATAGAGTCTAATGGCGATGTTTGGCTGATCAATGGTGGCGAAGCTGTCTGTCGAAGACCACACTCGCCCCCACTGTTTCGAGCGCAGAAGATACCAAACGGCCCTGACCAGAGGCCCTCTGGCCGGGCGGTTGCTGCCAGACGATCAACATCTTGCAAGTGCTCATCCACATCGTTTACCTGACCGGCTGGCCAGTGCGGGTTTCCCACTATGAAAGAGAGAGAGTCAGTCGGAGACACTAGGGTTAGGGCGAGTGCTTGAGTAGAGCATACATGGTAAACTCATGGCCTGACGGCGGTATGACGACTGCGACACCTCATCCTGGGCAACCCAGAAGAGAGGCACGTTGTAGCCCTGGCACTGAAGCCGTGCTTTGATACACCGTTGGCAGTGCGGGCGGCCCAGGTCGCATTTGACCTTCCTCGATCGACATGTCCAGCATCTACTATAGCGTGAGCGTCGCTCCCTCGGGCGTCTGTAAGGTATCCAGCCAGATAAAAAAGTCTTACCCTGTGAAGGTCTTGGTCTTGGTTTTTGTCTTTGGCTTCGGTGGATCCATGGATGCTCAGCAAGGCGGTGACACATCCTAGAGGATGGAGAAAGGGGCCCACCCGCGCAGTCGAGACCTCATAAACAGGTGGGAGTGTTCGTGCGTACTACAATCCCATTGAATGCAACGATGAAGCTCCAAGAGGCGTGCTGTAAAGGTGTCACAAGAGATGGTTGTCCGCAGTATTTAGCAACCCCCGTGGTAGCCTGAGTGGATTGACTGACGTCTCGATTTGGCCAAGGGAGGGAGAATGATAAGGAATTGATAGAAGCACTGTACGGTTTTAGTGCATATCATGCTTTACAACATGTCTACTTGGAGAAGCGATCCACTTCAGCGCTATGCGAAACCCGATAAGTAAAAGTAAGACGGTGTGTCTTTCTTGTTTCCGCTTCATGCAGTTTAAAAAAACTGGAAAGGTTGTCAATTGCCTGGGTTGATAGTAGTCATAGTCCTTGTTATTGTACATGAATAAGCATCTAACGAAATCAAGTGCCATTCTTGGGGTCTCATGCTTGATGCCCGTCAATACCTGAGCCTCATACTCCGTGCCAACCTATGCACGAATGTCGTGCTTGATAACAAACTGTAGAAATTTCGTACAGCCTTCACACGATTCCCATGCTCTTCCTCGATCCTCAACGAAAATCCTCCTTCATCACTCTCATTAGAGGCTAGAGGCCGCAACCTCCTGAACCTACTCTGTGGGCAAGTAGTCATTCAACGATGATCGGAAGTCTGCATCGGCGTCCGCGGGGTCCCCAATCAATTGGCGTAGAGGTGCACGGAAAAACTCGAAGTCGGGCCTGTTACCGTTGATTACTGCAATGTACATACAGACCAAGTACCCACGGACACCGGGGGTGGCAATCAAACCTCCACGAATGATCGCCGCGCCAATCATGTGATGGCGATGAGAGAGCTCACTAATCACAGCCGAGTCGTTTGTGTCCTCTGAGACACTTGTAGACTGACGAGGAGAATGCGTAATGGACGATGTCGCCGCTCCAACGGGCGAGGAACGGAGTTGGGCTGCAGTCTCTTCAGCTGGTGCAACTACCCGGACGGTTCTGGCTTGGGTGGTGTCGGTGTCTTGGCCCTTTTGGCGCTTTGGCGGAGAATGCCGCTGCATTTTGGGACTCGGAATCCTCATGCGCTTTGGTGTTTGCTGCAGGGTATCCGGAAAAGATGATGCCTCTGGCTCTGGTTCGGGGACACTGGTTGACTCCGAGTCCTGGAGCACTGGAACACTAGAAGCATGGGCAGCGCTGAGCCTGTCCTTCGATGCTTCGGAGAGCTGTTTGTCCTTAGAAGAGGCTGTATCTCCTTTATCTGACGAGGCTTTGGACTCCTCACTTGGAGAGCTTGCCTCTCCAGCACTGTCTGCGACAAGAAATTGTGGTCGTGCAGCATCCATGTCAGTTCCAGAGCGAACCCTCGAGGCGACTTGTTGCATTGAGAGGAGATCGTCCAGGGGCGGTGGGTTCTCCAAATTTCCCCCCTCCATGTTCGTGATCTCCCGAGATTTGACTCTGAGGTCTCGGAATCTGTTGAGTATCATGGCTGCGCGCTGTCGATCAGGCTCAGCATACACCTCCTCGGCATCAGCTCCATTGCCCGCGTCGACGAGAGATCCATCTGGCGCTGGTGTAACGGGTCGATGTTTCCCTGATCCAAAGGGCACCTGAGGGCGAGCTCGGGTACCCTTCCATGCGTTCTTACGGAGCGTCATGTGCTCGGCCTGGGTATCTGGGGCCACTGTAGGTGACATGGTATCCTCAACATATTTTGAGGATTCAGGTTCGTTGAGAGGAACAAGATCGCCATCCTCTTCGGACGACGACGAGATCGCCATATTGCGGCGAAGCGCCTTTCTACGACGTGACGACATCTCGCTGTTTGGGTTTGAAGTGAGGGATTAGTGGAGGTCGAAGTCGGGGAGAGTGATAGAATAAGAACCTACATGATCATAAGAATCTGAGACTGACCGTGACGAGGCGAAGCTGAAGGACCGGTGAAAACAGAGTAAGAATGAATGAAGCCTAAATTTATCTAGTGGGGCAAAGGGAACATATCCCATCATAAAAGTCCGACACAGAGTGACTGTTCTTTCAGATCTCGTTCGCTTTCAAATATCTCTACTATTCGGCAGGGCATGTCATTCAAAAACAGGCATCACCACTGAAAAAGCCGAGCCCGAGGATTCTCCCCCAAACGATCAAACGCTCTGCCGAGAGCAAGAAAAGTCCGGTCCTTGAACCTGGTAAGCAGCCACTAGGTGGTCATTCTATCTCATGCACTGACAAGCTCCCTTTCTTTACCATAGCTCATCATGGCGGAGGCATTCCCACATCTGAACCCGACGGGCCAAGTCTTCGCTGCCTACTACGAGACTGCCTGGGATCACTTCCTGGACGGCAAATACGACGAAGCCAACAATCTCTGCAAGTTCCTCCTCCTGCAGCCAAACCTGGGCCGTTTTCATCAAGCTGGCTGCCACCTCATCCTTGCACACTCACCAGACTGCTACGTTCAACATGCGAAGAAAGCTGTAGAGCTCTACCACCTGATCCGCACCACCACAAATGAGGATATCGAGCATAGAGACAGGCTCATCAAACTCGCCGAAGAGGTACTCGAGAAAGCTGAGCATGATCACGCGATCTATTCGAGTCAGGAGTTGACTGAGGAGGAGTACAATACCGCCATGGAGGAGGCCGCTCGGTTTCAGATGGATGCAGAGGCAGAGATGTACGGATACAACCAACCCAATGGAGAGCAGGAGGGCGATGACAGTCAGGGTTCATCGGCCACCGCACAAAAAACTCCCAAGACGGGTACATCTCAGTCTCAAGAGCAGAAGGACTCTCAGACATTGTTCTCTGCCAAGAGCTCTCCCAGTGCCAACAGGTCTACTGGTGCTAAGGGAGACTGAGGGAGTGCAGGATGTTCACTAAGAATCGAGATAAGATCAGGAGAAAAAGTAATTTCACAACCCCTACATTAGCGATGCTAGTACTCGAAGGTACGAAAATGAATGTGACGCTGGAGTGCCCCAACAAGCGGATGTCAGGATAGTTGGCGGAAATTCATCGAAAGACACCTTATTGCTAGCAATACGAGTCTTTTCTCTAAATTCGTAAGGGCCATATCACTACAGAAAACCGATGGATATGATGGAGAGTCAATCACCTCTGTTGGCGGGCCATCGACTAATCTGATCGCGGGAGGGCGACGGCTTGTATCAGAATATTGGTGGTACCGTAAGTATCACAGGGCACCATTCCTCATTCTCTCAGGTCAACGTTGTCCAAGGCGGCGCGTTTGTCGATATATTTAAGATGAAAGACATGGCCTCACGCGACCTAAGATGGAATGAGAAGGTGGAATTGTCTCGCTATCTCCATATATCCAGTTGCACACTCTACGCCACGCCGTTTTCATCTCACCTACTTTCACCTCAACGCCACGCTCCACCTATACATACTGCAGCACTTTTTGCCAGGAGTTCAGCCTGTAGTAACAAATAGGTCCTTCAAGGCTCACCGGGCCAGATCTCGTCAGCCAGCTGGCGCACGAGCTTGAGCTTGTTGACCATGTCCTCGCGGGTAATTGAGTTGCCGAGGTGGTGGCTCGCAAATCCGCACTGCGGGCTGACACCAATACGCTTGAGCGCCTCCTCACGAGTCTGACCGGCGCCCTTGGCGACGTAGTCGGCGGCCTGGCAGACGCGATCCTTCATCTTGCCGAGATCCTCGAGCTCGGGGAACTTGCTGGTAATGACGCCCAGGACGACATTCTTATGCGCGGGCAGCTCGGTCAGGGGCTCGAATCCGCCGGCGCGGTCGGTGTCGTACTCCAGGAAGTAGGTGTCGACGTTGATCTCTTTGAAGAGCTTGGTGGCGACGCGATCGTACCCTCCCTCGGAGAAGTGGCGAGAGTAGGCAAAGTTGCCGCGGCACAGGTGCAGACCAACATGCATGTCAGCAGGCCGCTTGGAGAGGCAGTCGTTGTACAGCTTGACGTAGCTGTCGAAGAGGGCGTCGGCATCCTCGTTGTTGTCCTTGAATCCTTGGAGCATCTTCTCAGAGCAGAAGTCTACATTTCCACCAGGTCAATATCCATTCCTTGCTTCCTTTGTCTTTCTTCACACAACAGCAACAGATAGATGTACGTACAGGCCAGGTTAGGATCGTCGAAACTGACGTTGCGGCAGCCGGCGTCGTACAGGATCTGCAGCTCAGCCTGGTAGGCCTTGGCGATGTCGGCAAAGTACTCCGCGTCATTGGCATAAACCTCTTTGGGATACGCATGGCCGGCCTTGTATCGCAGGTGGTACCAGTTAGGTGCCGGGAGAGTCAGCTTGGCCTCCTTAACGCGGTCTTCCGGCAACAGGCTCTTGAGGTAGTTCCACTCGTCGGTGTAGGTGCTGCCGACGTGCTTAATCTTGCCGACACACACCACGGACTCGCCAGGCTTGTGTCCAGCCTCAGCTACGATAAATTAGTCAGCTCTGAGGATTTGGAGGGTCCTGGAGGACTCGGAAGTCCCTGGGTTGGGTGGGTCCACGTACTGAACGCCGCGAGGTCCGGAACGTAGAGCCGGAACATATCCAGCGGAGGATTCATGATCTCCTCCATCCCTTCAAGCCCTGGCCAGAAGGTACCCCAAAATTGGTGTCGCGAGTGCTCACCATCTCAGGGTTAGGGTTAGCAGTGTATTTATTCAATTCCTGAAAGATCTGGTTGTCCGGTTGAGCATCAAGACCGGCCGGAGCAACGTTGACGGCGCACGCCGCCAAAGCAACACTGGCACCAAACCAGCGAGCCACGCGTGTATTGGCGCCCGCTAAAACATGAAAGGGTATTTAAATATCAAGATTGTCATCCGTATGGCTCGTTGTGAGCGAGTGTCGTGTCCGGGGGTTCGTCGACGCGCCATCGCGAGGTGTGAAGTTGACCGATCTTGACGCTCAAGGACAACGCTAAGACGCCCACCCCGAAGTTCAAACTTACCATTGACGGCATGAAAACCAAGGTCGAGCTGGAGCTTGACAATGTCCTTGATGGTGCGCTTCTCGATTTCGCGTAGCTCGGGGTCGTGGGTGATCTCGAGAGCCTTCTTCCCGTCCATAGCAACTCGCTTATCGACGAGCTCCTTCGGGCGAAGAAGAGAGCCTATATGCTCGGCCCTGAAGGGCGGCCTCTGGTGGTTCTTGGCAGCCATTTTTGTCGTCTGGAAGTAGGAATGTGTGTGTGTGTCGGAGATTGGGTTTGTGTTGAGGTCTACATGAGCTACCGAGGGGGCGAGACTACAGCTATTTGAAGACGACGCTACGCCAAGAGCTTCTCCGCACCTCGACACAAGAAGCACATATTCAGGCACATCACCCATGAGCAACAGGTCTCTGCCCCTCATCGGAGCATTCTCAAGGGCTCGTACCTGGGGCCGTGGATACAGAACCCCGCACTTGGTAATAGATGACATTGCCAGCTATTGTGGTGCCGGAACGTCAAGGGCGGCGCTAGAACGGGTCCTCCCCGGCGCCGGTGACGACAAGGTCTTGGGGCTGTGGCCTCTGAATGGTCCGCCGTTCACGAAAGGAGTGCCGGCATATGGATCGCTGTCCCTATTCCTGCGGGCCATGCATCCATGGGGTGCTTACTCGCCTGACTACTGCGTTTTAGTGGCCTCCAAGTGGGTTCAGGAGAGCTTCCACTCGGGCCACTGCATCCGCAGGCGTGGTGTTTCATGACAATACCTAGTCCGTAGACAATGTAGGTATTGCTTTGCGTGATTTACATATAGTTACAGATGCACTCACTCCGCCGCCTGATAGTTCCGTCTTGAAGCTCAATGCCAATCCTCAAACTTGTGACAATGGAGTTTGACAAACAAACCCTCTGCAGGAAAGAGTGGGACATGCATGCATCACCGTCCGTTGCTACACAAAAATGCAGCACGCTCAAGTCTGCTGGATTCTTGATGCCAATTTAGGCAATGCTAGGTGCCGCCTCCGCCAACACACCGCTGAAACAGGCGCTGATTGGGCCGGGCAGTCGCCCCAAGGCTGGCCTCAGGGCTATGGGATGGGAGGGCTCGCTTATCACTTGACGCACCCCGCTGGTACAGACTTCGATGCTTGGTCGTGGCTGCCAACCAACGCGCACCCCACCATCACTCGCCACTCACGACGCAGCCTCGATCATCTTCATATGAGAGCTCGTCGCAGCAGCGCTCTTTGTGGGCTACGGGTGATTCTGAATCCTCAATACAAAACCTGACTAGAAACTCTTTTATTTGGTTCTTGTCACTCTTGAGTGTTCGTCCATTCATCCAAAATTACTACGCGGTAGCTTGCATCGTGGACGCACAAGCTCACCATCACCATTCGACAGCTCAAGTAAGTAGTAGGCTACGTCTCGAGCCGAGATCCGTACCGACCCCTCCATCCCAACCATGGCGTCGCCCGATGTCCCGGCCCCAGCTGTGGCCGACATCGAAGCCAAGCTCCCTCCAGAGGTGATGTCCCAGATCTTCAGCCATCTGGACTCGCCGGCGCCCTCGGACCTGCGCCTGGGCGACCTGCCCAAGGGCAGCATGTTCGAGTCGTCCCCCACACCCCTCAAGCAGGTCTCCCTCGTCTGCAAGCGCTGGCGCAAGATCGTGCTCCCCGTGCTGTTCCGCAAGGCCATCTGGCACCTCGACCGCTGGGAGCTGCTGCTCGTCGAGCCCAAGCCGGACCATGTCGCTGCTATCCCCATGCTCGCCTGGCTGCGCCACGCCGATCTGGGCCGCTACGTGCTGTCCTGGACCATGGTCGTGGGCGACAGCTACGGCGGGCAGTACAGCCTGCGCATGCGCGACGGCGCCTCGAGCACCGTCCACACGGGCAGCCTGTCCAACCTGCCGGAGCGGCCGTTGCCCATGGGCTCTGAGGGCTTCCTGCCCGACACCGCGACCTACGCCGAGAATAACAACTGGCTGTGGGACGCCGTCTTCTCCGTCGTCGATCCGCTGCGCTTCACCATCGTCGCGTCGCCTAGGATGCTGACGTCGCTGATGTCGAGGATGCTCTTCCTCGGCGACTCGTGGGGCTTCCAAGTCCCCTACCACATTCTCTCCCTGTCACGAGAGGAGTCGACGAGGACGATGCCGCCACCCAGAGACGAGGGTAAAGCGCCAGAGGCGAAGCCAACATCATACGCTCAACCGTACGCCGACTCCTGGCCCGAGCCGGCAGAATCGTCCTCCTGCGCGGAGAAGAAGCGCACCCGCGTGGCCTGCAAGCTCTTCACCATGCGGCCCTGGTCCGCGGCCCTGCTCAACGAGGGCTCCTCCATGCGCATCTACCGCATGTACGAGTTCTTCCTCAAGCGCCCGCCCTCCATCCTGGGCGCCCTGCTCGGCGCGGAGGACTTCCCCAACGACGAGCCGCTCCTGCCGCCCACCGTCCGCGAGCTCTCGTACGTGGCCGTCTTCCCGCTGTCGAGCCACTTCAACACGCTGGTGCAGCACCTGCCGCCGCTCGACAAGCTCTTCGTGCAGCTCGTGCCCCGCCCGGAGAGCGGCGTGCTCGACGACCCGGAGCAGATGCGCGGGCTCGACCCGGCCGACCTCTGGATGGAGCGCAACACGTGCTACTCGCTCGTCATGCACGAGATGCTCGAGCCCGGCTCGTCGGCCATCGTCGCGCCAACAACGGCGGCGGCAGCGGCGGCGGCGTGGAAGGGCCTGCGCGAGTTCGAGTCGGGCGACGCGGCGGACCGGGAGGCGTGGGCCATGGCGGCCGAGTACGTCCAGCTGGCCGGGCGGGGATGGCGCGTCGGCGGCGAGGGCGTGTTCCTCAAGCGTGGAAGTGGGGAGAGCGGCGACGGTGGAGATGGTACCGAGGGTGGGGAGGGCGAGGATGACTCCGACACGGACGCGTCTTATGACAGCCAGGAGGAGGAAGACAGTTACAGTGGCCCGCCTCATGCCGGCTGGGGAGGAAGTGGAGCAGGAAACAATAACTACAACCACCACGGCGCGCATCCTGCAGCAAATGGCGGCGGCGGCGGCGGCGGCTCGCTCTTGTCAGTACAATCCCTGCAACAGTCCCTACTACCGGCCAGCTGTTATGTCATGTGAAAAGGGGAGGGGGAGACAGAGAAGAGGAGAGAAGAAGAAGGGGGACAAAAGTGCTAATATCGAGTGTGTGCTGTTTGCACAAAAGTCAGGGACAGCTGAGACGCATCGCCTTCAACGGGACGAGCGTGCTGCCGTTCTCGAGCCTGCGGCTGTACGTGCACGGGGGGCACGACGAGGAGGAATAGGAGGACCCGACCGAGGCTGTGAGCAAGTTGAAATTGGGGGATACGGGCGAGTATGTTTGGCTTTGCAAGGTCTACTTTTTCTGTTTGTTTGGCAAATTGAGGCGCAATATGGAACAAGGTAAAAAGGGATCCCGTCATGTACATGGGAACTGCTGACGACAACTGGCATTGCACACGGATTCATGAGGAGGAATACGATACCCACCCCCAAGGGCATAGCACGGATTTGTTGTTTGCAAGGCGCGATAGAGTTTATGGCCATCACTGGTAGCAGTTCCGCAAGAGGAAAAGATGATAATTACAAAATGATATTTCTAGTGTCTAGCTATATGGAGGCGGCGTCTCTCAAGACTGAGAAATTAAGTCGTCGCCCGTGTCGATGGAGATTTCACGCACACCCGCGCCCGTAGATGCATCCCAGATGGCATATCAGACCCGCCGCCCAAAACTCCGGATTATGTGAGATACCCAAGATTGACAAAAGGGAAAAAAAGAAAAACGCCATATAGGTGCTGCGCCTGCTTCCCGACTGCGTTGGAACTACACATTCAAAATCTCCAAGGAATAGTTGTCGTATCGTGACTGCATGCCACGCATACATGCAGTGCTCTACCCTCGCACCTCGCCGGTCTAGACGTCATCCTTGTCGCTCTCGCCGCTCTCGTCGTCGTCGTCGTCGCTCGCGATGTCGACCTCGCGCCGGCGCTCCTCCTCGGCCATCTCGCGCCACGTGCTCCAGCTCAGCATCAGAAAGGCCACGATGATCATGCACCCGCCCGCCATGGCCGCGGCGGCGGGCGGCTCGCCGCTGACGAGCCAGTCGGCGACGGCGACGATGAAGATGGTCAGCAGGGACGCGACGCTCGTCAGCACGGGGCTCGTCAGACTAATCAGAACGAGGAAGCTGCCCGCGAAGGTGGCGTTCATGACGACCGACAGGAACAGGTACCAGGCGACCTTCCCCGTGGGCAGGGCGAAGGTCTCGAGACCGAGCCAGTGCAGCAGCGGGATGGGCACCCAGAGCACCGAGAGCGTGAAGCAGCCGATCATGGAGCCGAAGGTGTTGGCAAAGATCATGCCGCGGCCGGGGCTGCAGCCGTCGGGCGGGCAGGCGTAGCGCTTGTAGATGACCTCGTAGAGGCCGTACAGCACGCTGCCCAGGCCGATGATGACGTTGCCCATGAAGCGCTTGCCGGCGGCCAGGGCCTCCTCCTGCAGGATGGCGGCCTCGATGGCGGCGTCCACGCCGTCGAGGGGCGAGGAGGAGGGAGGCGGGGAGGAGGAGGAGCGCGTGTCGCCGTACGCGACGACCATGACGCCGGCGATGGCGATGAGGACGGCGATGCTCTTGTCGGCGCGCAGCTTCTCCTTGAGGATGGGCACGGAGAAGGCGTAGGCGAAGAAGGCGCTGCAGTTGTAGATGGCCGTCAGGTCGCTGGGCGTCGTCATGTTGACGGCGACGTACCAGCTCAGGCCCGCGACGGTCAGGGCGCTGGTGATGAAGGCCGTGGTGCGGAGCATGTAGGGGACGGGGCTCAGCGACTGGTAGGGGCGCGGGATGTCGAGGTCCTGGCGCTCGACCATCTGGGCCGTGGAGCGGACGAGGGAGACGTGCCGGCGCCAGAAGGCGGGCCAGGGCACGTCGCGCTTCTGGAAGCGCAGGACGGCGAGCTGCACCGGCCACAGCAGCGCCCACGAGCCGTGCGTGAGGTAGAGCATGCAGTAGGCCTTGTCCCAGCCGTTGCGCTGCACCCAGGCGCCGAGCATGGTCTGCACGGTGAAGGAGACGAGCGACACGACGAGGAAGAAGGCGGCGTACATGTACTTCTTGCGCGCGGCCATGCGGGCGTGGGCCGGCGGGCTGCGCGAGCGCATCGTCGAGCGGCGGCTGAAGGTCGGGCGCGTGGGCGTCTCGGCGCCCGTGGCGCTGAGCAGCGCCGCCTGGGGGCTGCCGCGGCGGGAGCCGATGTACGACATCCTGCCCCGGTCCGGAGTGCCTTCTGCGTAGAGGAGAGGTGCGGCCGATCGTCCGTCCGCGTGTCTCAACATTGGCGGCCGGTAGTCCTCTTCCATCGCAGGTTTCGCAGCGCTGGACTGGGGAGGGCGGGGAGGGCTGGAGGGAGTGTGTTGTGTGCTCGAGAGGATTTGAGAGGGATCGACAGGAGGGTCTTGGTCCTGTCAGGGCCCATCGAGAATTGTGGGAAGATGGGATCTCGGCTCGCAGCGTAGGTGTCGTTATCGGAGTGTGTGCAACGGCGGATGGTTGGTCGTCATCGGGTCGAGACGGGGAGATGCGCAATCAAGCAGCGTTCGTTCGTGTCAATCGGGTCGGAAAAGCAAGCCCGGATTCGCAGCAGGTTATCGCAGCGATTGACCGTCGTTCTGTCGACATGGAACAGCGAGGAGGACTAGCGGGCGCAAGCGAGCCGTGTCCGGGTCTCTGGATGCGATCTATCGCGTGACGATCTCGTGGAGTGCCTGCACGGGAATGTGACAACGGCACGCAGCGTAGGTACGGAGTAGAGGGCCGAGACAGGCGTGTGTGGGTGTCGTGTGCGTTGTGCGTGTGGTGGGAAAGGGATGGGAATGGAACCGGGCAGCATCACGAGCCAGAAAAAGCAGCGAGCATGCCAGAATACGTACAGTACGGAGTACAGGCGCAAAGCCCCCACCCAGGCACACGCACAGTGGAGCCCCCTTCCCGCGTGCGCTGGCCTCGGGAGCCAACCAGGAGCCGACAAATCAGCCCAAGACGCCTCAAACGCCAAGGCTTCCCGCGCTGAACCTTGCTGGAATTACGCAACGGCACAGCGCTGGCCCCGCTGGAATCTGTCCCTTTCGGGGTTCATTTTGCAGTCCACAGGCCCGGTCCCAGGGGCTCGCAGTGCCGGTATCCGGTGGTTTTGGGTGCTGATGTGGTGTCAATTCATTGATTGCACCCACCAGTCCCAAGATGCGACTGTCTTTGAAAGTCTTTCAGAGTTGGCGAGGCTGTGATATCTGTCTCCCACCCTCCCCTCAGCCAACTCCGCCTAACTCCGTGTCACGACTCTTCGCGGTCAGTTACACAAATCACGACACCTCAGCCGACTCAGCCCGACACGGCTCGCTATGCCAAGCATTCCCAAGACATTTGCCTCATCTCACACAGGGCTGGGCCCTCCACCTCATTACGTACTGGCCCAAGACAATGAGAGGGCTCCGGGAGGGAGATTACCCAGAGACAGATATCCCTTTCCGGATCTCTTGGCGTCAACAATCCGAGTGGTTCACATACGGTGTCAACGGCCGCTGAACACGGAACCCGTCAGCGCGCATATTTCAAGTCTTTATTTACAAAGTAAACAGATAGATTCAGGAGCGTTCCGACAAGATTAAACATGACCCTTTGAAAACCAAAATGAGATCGAGTGTACAGCTTCCTATCTAGGGTTGATTGAGTCAGCCAGGCAGCTGAGTCAGTTTTTCAACACAGTGAGAGGGCACACCTTGTTAACTTCAATGGTTGCTTGTACTGGAACTCCAATTGTTTTCATCCCATCAATCAAACCATATATTTTAGTAATTCTCATGGTGCAAAACGATGCATTAGAGTTGGATCGGCACGAGAACCAACAAATGTTATGCTGCAACCCAACTGCAGAACAGTAATGTCATGTGACTATTAGTATTAGAATCTAGATACAGCCTCATCGCTTCTCTGACGCAGCATTGTCAAGGCGAAGCAAGAAACTTGCGGAGGGAAGTCAGATGGAATGGCAACTAGTAAGAAAGTGGAAGAGACGACTCAACCTCAACGGTCATAGAGTCTAGCGGAACACCAAGCAAGACTTCACACTTGTTTCAACCAGCAAGTAGTCATGTTCAGGTTCACCGGGTTGTTGCTGTTAACATTTTGCCAGACTAATTTGCATTATCATAGCCAAAACTCCCATCTATAGCCCGTCGTTATAAATCATCAGGTCATCATGGATATCCCAAGAGAAGAGTAGAATGAAACCACGAGTCCAAACTCCGAATCAATGCAGCGTGCCTCGCAATGCAGAAAAGGAACAAAACCACCCAAACGTCACACTCTACCACCAAGCAAACACCAAAATAGAACAACCACCGCTCAAGAGCCAAAGACCTCGGACAGGTCGCGCTTGGCGTTCTTGGGGATGCCGCACTTCTTCAGGCAGCTCTCGACGCCCTGGACGATGTTGGCGGGCAGGGCGTCGCGGAAGCTCTCGATGTCCTGGCCCTTGAGCATGTCGACGCCGTTGAGGGTGGACTGGACGATGTCGGGCCGCAGGCTGAAGAAGGCCTGGGCGACCTGCTCGACGCCCGGGTCCTGGTTGTTGAAGGCGGCGACGAAGACGGCGTCCTCGCAGTCAGGGTTGTACTCGGCGTGGATGGCACTGTGAGAAGGAGTCGGTTGTTAGTGCGAGGTGTCTTCTCTGTGATGTAAGAGTAACAAAAAGACTTACCCCTGGGGGAAGACGGCGAGCGTAAAAGTGTCGGCCAGGTCCTCGCGCGCGGTGGCGCCGTTCTCCTGGAAGAACGAGGTGACGAGCCGGCCCTTGACGGGGATGTTGAGCTCGGTGGCCCGGTTGTGCACGTGCGGCGAGTTGAGCCCGCAGGGCCCCAGGAAGGCGACCGACATGGCGGCGCCGTTGCCGATGAGCCCGGGGAAGGTCTCGGCGTTGGCGGACACGAGCCTGCCGCCCTTGCCCGTCGCGGTGGCGCCCTCGGGCGGGTTCTTGAAGTCGAAGATGAAGTCGCCGGGCTGGTTGAGCAGGTTGACGCGCTGCTTCTGCGTCGGCGCGAGCAGCAGGGACTGCACGAGCTGGGCGTCGCCGGCGCGCGAGTTGGCCTTGACGACGGCGGGGAGGGGCTGGTCTGCGGCCGAGACGCTGCCCCTCTTGTTGTTGGTGTTGGTGTTGGTGTTGGCGGCCGGGGCGGCGAAGGCGGCGGACGCCAGGAGGAGGAAGTCGGTGATTCTGACCATTTTGAAAAAGATGTGAGGAGATTGAAATGAAAATGGGAAGGACACTAGGAATTATGTAGTTGAAGGGGGTATCTTTTTTCGTGAACAGGAAAATGCGTAAAAGGAAAACCCAGAGGAAATTCAACTGTGGTGTTGAGATTGTTGATGTGAGTGATGATGGAGAACAAAAACATCACTGGGGTGCGGTGGAGAGAAGCATCTTATAGATGTTTGCACGATGCTCCGGCCTCGATATCCAGACCTTCCGGACGAGGAAATATTCGTCGACAGTATCAACATTTCCCAGAGCAACGTCAAGTCGAAAGCCTCGTTGTCAAGCTGCGCCATCACGACGGCCGCCGCTTGTTGGGAGGCACAGGCGGGTCTTGTCCCCTCTCAAAGCAGTGCCCGTTCATTAGCGGTGTATGGGAACCAGCTGGCGATGGCCTCATGGCCAGAATGCGGAGCGAAACACAATACAAAGTAGACTCGCGCTTACTTTTTGCGCCTACGCCCCGGCGAAGGATGACTCCGCCCTGTGTTAGTGCCACGGCCAGCTGTTCATTCGGCTTACTCTCCCACCGCGCCGGGACGCTGGGGATCTTTCAACTGGCAGCCTCAGCTCCGGGGTTCCAAGGTCGACTCCACAGCTGCAAACCCAACTGCTGCTCAGCCATCATTTTGGCTGGTGTGTGCTAAAAATGGGTGCAGGGCCAGCGGGCGATCCAGGATGATGGGATGACAGCGCTATCTGGTGGGAGATTGGCGCCCGAAGCGCGCTAGCGGGCTCCATTTTACCGACCCCAACGTGGGCGACTTTCACCACGTTGATCCACCCAGCACCTCGTTCGAGAAACAGCCTCCCAATGATAATGTCTTTGTTTGTATTTTTATCCCGAGACCCTTGCCCAGTGGCTTTGTGGGGAAGCTTGCTTCTAGAAATCAGGTAGACAACAACGCGACAACAGTGACGATGGCAGTCAGCGCCGAGACACAAGTGCGATCCTACCTTTTCACCATCCTGAAAGCCGACGATGGGCGGCCGACAAGCTGCAGCTGGGAGGAACAACGTCTGACAAATGTGATCCCTCGTGGACTTTCCTGCCAGGAATGGATCAGGCGGCCCAATAGGTTGTGATGAGACTTTCTGCCAAGCCTGCAGCGGCCGTGTGTGTCCATAGCGGAGTTTCCATTATACCCCACGATTCTCAATATCGCCCGGTTCGGACTGCCCGTTTCCACAGTAGCTGAAGCGCGCTGTCGGCATCTCAGATAGCCGGACGTAGCATCCATGACAGTACCCGCAAAGGATGGAATTACCTGTTATTGCAGACCTCCTCATAACACGAACCACAAAAAGAGCGACTTCCGAACATGCCCGGATAAGATTCTATATCCGAGCCGAACCCACAAACAGGGCTATATCAAAGGCATCACCGTATCGGGTCTGAAGAATTCGGCCCGAAACTCTGGATGCATGCGTTGTGTTTTGAAAGCAGGCAATCTCCATCCAGACTTTATTCTTTCTGCTGGCACTCAGTGGCATTGCTCTTTGATTTGGGCGATAATGGGGTCGGGTGTGGGTTGAGAAGTGTGGGTTGAGAGTGGTCGCTTGATCTATGGTGTCGTGGACGAGTCCGAGAATTATCGTGAGTAGTTGGGGTGGGTGCAAGGAGTGCGTCATGTCAAAAAATTAATTTGGCAGCAAAATATCATGGATGATCGTGGGCGAGATCGAAGATTTGACACAAGGTATATAGGGGAGGTTAGGTTGAATGGTTATCATAAATCGATCGAGCAAGCGGGGTCCATGGCGCAGTGGGAATTGGCTCCCATTTGCGACCTGCACAGCCTTGGTTAGTTGCTAGGCTCTTCGGTGGTCGCCTCTGGAGGTAGTAAGTCCTGAGAGGAGGCCGGGTTGGCCGCCGGAGTTACCCTTCTCAGGCAGTCGAGGACATTGGCGAGACTGTTGAGCCACGGTACGCTGTTCGGTCCCTGCTTGCGCCCTTCTTTTTTGCCTTTTTGTGCCTATTTTTCAAATCTCAGTTTTCTCTCGCCTTTCCCACTCTCTGACAAAGTGAATGCTGACTTGACCACAGGTCTCACAGTAGATCGAGAGCTTAACTAACAATCACAATGAGCCTATGTGCGCGAACAATTAAGCAGTAGGCTGAGAACTCTCTGGGTATCACTGATCAAGTTTGTGATCTGAATCTGTGTAGATATACATGCAGCACTATCAAATATTGATCCATAGCTAGCAAGGTGTTCCGTCCCAAGACCTACCGTCTTTGGTCAGGTTCGTCTCTTTGTGCCCGTCCATATGCCGCCATGTACGGAGGACTTGAAGTTTGGCAAGAAGTTTGCGGTACTGTCAAGAAAGCAGCCGCAAAGGTGAGGGTGCAAGCATTGCCATTTTTGAGCCAGCTACTTGTTGCCATCCGGGCAGCGGTCTCGGGCCTCAATCAGAGTGTACTTGGTGCTCGCTCATATAAACGGTTCACAACGTGTTGACAGTACCATTATTCGGAGGGAAGCAACTCAATTCGCTAGCTCTTCAGAGCTAACAGCGGCTCGTTCCCTCCATCTATGCTACCTATAGAAATCTCAATGATACGGAGACATATGTATGGAAGGATGACACGTGTGTGGCGTGTCAGCTTTGGCATTGTTCCAGGAGCCAGCTCCAGTATTGGCGTAACGAAAGGTCTCTTGCGAGGGACAAGTCGCTCAGGAGAGAGACAGCTGATCGATCCCCAGCCCTACCAGCTCCCCCTCAATCTCCTCCTCAAGCTCCTTCTCAAGGTTCTCTAGTATCTCAGGCATGTTCTCACCCGCACCCGTCGCCTTTGCCCCAAGGACGTAGAAGCTCCTGCAAGCGTTTGAGAGCTTTCCCAAGTCCAGGTACCCGTCCTTGTCCATGTCAAAACGGATATGCTGCAACATAAAGTAGTAATGCCAAAAGTGCCTGCGCCCGTCTCGCATCATGCAGCGGACGCAGGCCTCGAGGAGGGAATGGACGGGCAAGACCCAGATCGGGGCTTCAGTCGTCAGAAAACGGCCTCTCAACTGGCCGGGCTCAACAGAGGGAAGGGAAGAGTCGGACGCCTTGATCAGTCCTTCGATGGGGGGAAGACACCGGCGCGCTTGATCGCGGTCCATGGCGCCCAGAAACCACAGCGTCGTCGACTGGGGGAAGAATCCCACCTCGAGACCGTTGGTGTCGCAGTGCATGTGTGCTGTTGGGCGGGGGTGATCTTTGTGTCCGGCGGCGTCATCCTCCTCGCACTGTCGCAGGTCCAGGACTGGATCGTAGGCGAGTGCTTCTGTCGCATCGGGGATGAGCGAGTCGGGTATGACGAAGTTGACCGACTGCCAGAGTGATTAGCTTCATTGGTCCGTTGAGAACGATGAATGGTGTCTAGTTACTGACCGAAACAGAGACGAAAGATCCGTGGACGTTCAGTAGCAAGCCTTCCCAGAGCACGGCTGGGATGCCCCTTGCCGTGAGGAGGTTGGCGATCCGACCGACCAGGGCCTCAAACTCGTCATTACTCTTGATCATTTCGTCTCTCGCGCTAAAGGCTTTGCAGAGTGACACAGGTAGGTGATCCAGCTGAGAGGCCGTGATGTATCGGACGACGCTGGGAGAATTAAGCTGCTCGGCTGTCGGTGGTGTTGTGAAAAGCTTATGTGTCTCTTTCCATATTCCGAGATAAGCAGCTTGGGCTTTTCGTGCCGATCTGGAAGGGATGTTGCTGGCCAGATTGCCTCAACTCACTTTGCAGTCAAGCAGTCTAGATGACATTCACCTGATTCGCAAACTGAGGTCAGGCCGCTGGATGTGTCAATTTTGTCTGTTGGGTGAATTACTTGGTGGGCAGGCCCAGTCACAAAGGAAACAACCTTGAATCATCGGAACTAGAATCGTTGCGTTTGGCAAGTTGCCGTGGAGTCTCTTCCAACGTCAACTCACCCTCCATAACCCTTTCTCTGTCTCGTCATACATATGCCTGTTTCTATTCAATATGCTCAGGAATTGAGATCCTTTTGCCTGGCCATCCGCCATCCTGACCTACCATGTCAAGCAGGAGGTCCTTCCGCTATTGAGAAGACAAGGAAAGCGAGACTTATTACATGAATAGACAATGTCAATTGCAGCTTCATTCATTTGTCTCCGTACTGTTGTTGTGCGCAATGTGAAGGGTATTTCAGCTCGAGTAGAATTAAATTCGTATCAAGCATACGAGATGTGAAGATTTCGGGCCTGCATCTCATGGTAGTATTGCTGAGGGACCCTGCGAATGGCGATGGGGCCCATGAGGCTGTCTGTTGGTCTGTCCCCGTATTATGAACAGTACGTAGTTATTCACTCTCTGTTTACAGTTGGTGCTTCCATAAAGCAATGCTTCATTGCATAACCTCGGCCCAGATAGTCTGAATCTAGGTTGAGTCTTTCTCGCAAGACTGAGACAAAACAACACAAAAGGCAACGGGCCCCTAGCAGCACATATCACACCGCCCCCAAAACAACCCTGAATCTGGAACTAGTTACTCCGTAGCTCCTTTGCCATCACAATCTCGGTCCATCCTTCAGCACTGGGCTGGAGTCCTCCAAAAAAGGGGTCGCCGTCTGGCTGTTTAAAGTTTAGCGTGGCCCCGGCTGTTCTGCCGTGCTGCGTGTTTCAGATTTTCCCTAATAAGTAGTAATAACTAGGGGAACACAGGACCAACTCACAGCGTGAAACCCCCACTAACCCTCAATCTGCCGTACTTTAGCTCGAGGCGGATCGCAGGATGTGCCCCTGACTGGAATTGCAAGCCATCCTATTTGCCCGCTTTTAACTGGGATCGCCATGCGCATCCATCCATGGTTCTGAAGATCCGTACTTGACAAGTCCTGGTGATCTTATCCTTCTTCCACCGAGCTTGGACAGGCATGATATTGGGATCTGTGGGGACCGCGTGCACGGCTGCTTCTCTCTCCTCATGATTGAGTCCATCCCCCATCCCAGAGTAGCTGATGAAGTCAGTCGGGTTTTCAAGGGAGGCTCACTCTCTTTCCGTGAGTTTCTGGCGGGACTACCATATCAACACTACTCTATTCTGAAACACCCACAAAGTGGAAGATGCATTCCTCCTCCCTCACGAACCAGGAGGTATCTGGCATCGTCATGTGTACAGAGTGACGACAAGTTACCACAGTTCGCGGTGCCACGAGGTGGTCTTTGTCTTGGCACACGTCGAGCATTCCCCTCTCTGGTGAGACCCTTGCGCGCCAGAGACTCTCTCTCCTCCTCTTGAGGGAATACGTTGGGCCATCCTCATCGCCGGACCCCTGGAATGGCCTAGGGACCCGTGGTCTGCCCTCGCCAGGGTGTCTGAAACCGAGCCACGGCTTGGTGTCGCTCCATTTTTTGACGATCCCAGGAGGATGGAGGCAGGGAGGGAGGGAGCTGAGGAGAAAGACTCTGACTACTTTTATGATACGCTCGTCCCGCGCAGTTCGTCCTGCCTCTCTGTTCCTGATCGCCTCAATCGTCATTCTCTCGATATTCTTCTATCTTCTCGCATCTGTTCGCGTGTCCGTGCATTCTTGTTTGTCGAAATATACACTCCCTCCTCAGTCCAAAACAAAAAAAAAACACACTCCTTCTCTTCAAAGTTGACCTTTGATTCCTTGCTACCTCGTCCTCTACCGCGCTCCCCCCCTAAAACTCAAAATGCAGCCCTCGACCCTCCTCCTCGCCGTGCTCGCCGGCGCCGGCGCCGTCTCGGCCCAGTCCGCGGGCGACATCGGCGACCTCGTCTCCCAGGTCCCCGCCTGCGCCCTGAGCTGCATCCTGCAGGCCGCCACGGCCGCCGACTGCGGCGTCGCCGACTACAAGTGCCAGTGCGCGCACCGCACCCAGATCCAGACCTCGGTCGACCCCTGCCTGCGCAAGGGCTGCTCCGACGCCCAGGTGAAGCGTATGTCTTTCTCCTTCCCACCCACCTCTCTGTCCATTTGCCTTTTTGTGCGTAGTAGAATGCGTTGCTAATTTTTGTACGACGCCGAAACAGAGGTCACCGACATCACGACCCAGATCTGCAAGGCCGTCGGCGCCAGCACCGACACCGCCTCGTCCAGCGGCGGCGCCAAGGGCGGCAGCGCCACGACGGGCACCCTCGAGACGGCCTCGGGCGCCGCCAAGACGCCCGCGCAGACCAGCTCCCCCGCGCAGGTCGCCGGCAGCGGAGCGGGCGCCCCGGCCGCCGCGGGCCTGGCCGTCATGGGCGCCGTCGCCCTGGCTGGTGCCTGGGCCCTGTAAGAGAAAGGAGTTCTAGTCTAGTCTGTCTGGTTCGATTCGGGTTTTGCGACGACGATGCAAGGTTTTGCTCAGAATTCTGTGTATAAAAGTTTCTCAAAAAGATTCCCAGCAGTGGTTTGTTTGGCCCAACGCTATTTCGGGGGCCGTTCTTGTCTTGCTCTTCTATCTATCATGTCTTTTCTCTCTCTCGGCTTCTCGTCTAGATGATGTAAATCTTCCGTATAAAGCATCAGAAAGAAAACTTCAAGCCAGAAAATGCAAACGCCTCGACGGCGTAGATGATACCATAATTTCTCTACAATGCTCCCTTCATTCCCTTCCCAACATACAACTGAGCAGACAGAAGGGCTTGCACCTGTTGCCTCTAAATCTAGCCGCTCTTCTTTTCTCTTACTCTAAAAGTCCCACCCCATCCCATCTAACCAGGGAAGAACTGCCCCAGCGCACCATCCCTGCCGCCGTCAAACAGGGCATGCGCGTCGTCTATCGCGGCAAAGTGCCCCGCCAGCTCCATGCCCTTCCTCCTCTCGGCCTCGACGCGCCTCCAGTCCCAGTCGGCCAGGTCCGCCGCGCCGGCGGGCAGCTCGACCTCGGCGTGGACGTCGGCCTCGCCGCCGCGCCAGCCGGTGACGGGCCGCTCGGGCAGCAGGCCCGACTGCTCGAGCACGTAGGTCGGGTGCACCGTGAACCGGCCGAGCTTGAAGACGTACTTGCCCACCGCGGACGCGACGACGCGCCCCTGCAGCTCCGCCTCGCCGGCCGCCACCGTCGCGACCCTGCCGCGCGAGGCCCAGAAGCTGCCGCCGTCCCACGAGGCGGGCCGGACCTTGCCCGCGGGGGCGACGAAGTGCGTCATGGTGTAGAGCCACTTGCGGTCCCAGGCCAGCACGCGCGTCCACATCTCGAAGCCGGCCAGGGGCGGGAGCTCCTTCTTGAAGCTGCAGGCGACGGCGCCGAGGGCGACGCCGAGGCTGCCCTCGGCGACGGCGCCGGCCGGGTCCCGCACGATCCGGAGCTGCTTGTTGCGGCGGATCTTGTCGAAGCCCGGGGCCATGAGGTGCATGACGCACTGGGAGCGGGCGACGTCGAGGTCGGAGAAGTAGGTCGAGTTGGACTTGTGCAGGTTGTAGTCGGTCTCGCCGGGCGACGTGTAGCTGCGCGTGACGGAGTAGTGGAAGAGCGCCTTGGGCGGCAGCGGCTTGCGGAGCTGGACGGCGTGGCGGATCATGGAGCCGAAGACGCGGATCTGTGCGCGAGAGGGAGGAAGTGTCAGCAGCCCTAGCCCTGTATGTGTCATGTGAATCAGAGGAGACCGGTGCTGCTTACCGTCCATGCGCCGGGCAGGCTCTTGGTGTTGAGGAGCACGTAGATGAGCAGCAGGATGCGGCTGGTGCGGCCGGGCCCCGTGAGGAAGCGGACGGCAAAGTCCTTCCAGTCGACGTGCATGGCGCGCCGGCCGGCCAGGACGGCCGACGCGAGGCCGACGACGCCGACGACGGGCATGAGCAGGCCAATGTTGGAGGTTGAGCCCCCGACGCGTCCCGCTGCCGATGCCATTGCGGTCTGCTGTGTGGCTCTACCGCGAGATTACGCGCTTTCCGTGAGTATCGGATCGGTTGCGCGACGACTCGCTCCGTCTGTCGCGGGCCTCGGAGGACGGCTTGCTGAGCTTGCTGAGAAGGTTGAGCTGTCTGACGCTGGCCAAGAGCAGGAAAAGAATGGCGATGGCCCAGAGCGGCGCGGCGCGGAGGTAGCAAGTGAGGGTAGTGGCGCACTTTGAAAGGACTGAGCTCTGGCCTGGCAATGGCATAGAGAATTGTACGTCAGAAAAAAAGAAAGAAAAAAAAGATAAAGGATAAGGAAAGAATGGCGTCGTGGTGAAACAGCACAGCTTACGGCGCGGGTTGATGCATCCTTCTCGGACTCGGCGGGCTGTCACAAGCAGGCGAAAAAGATAAGATAGTGTAATCAACTGGCGCCGTACCTCGGCCCTGCTACAGTGTCTCGAGGGTCTCGCGAATGGATCCAAGCCAAGCCTGGGATGGATCTGCCGACGCATCCAGCCTGAGATCGCAATCCAGGAGCACGGACAGGTACAAGGTTTCTTGGTGGGAAACCGGCCCGTCTTCTATCTACAAGTACGTACTTGTATCAGACAAGATATCGACTTGCAGCATGTAGGACAGCTTCCTTATGTGGATCGTCAGGTTGATGAAGTCCCAGCTCTCAAGGACTGCCTGCTCCCTCAAGAGGCTTCTCATAAGCACCCAACGACTCACCAAATCACCAACTCGCTAGCAGCACAATGCGTAACTACAGGCGAACGAGAGTCGTTTCCTCAAGCGCCCTCAGGCTTGGGACCTTGTCCCATGATGACAGGGCATTCGGCGCTCTCAGGGAACATTCAGTCGGAATTCAAGCGCTCGTCAGATGTCGTGGACTAACTAGTCTTGCTTACTGATCCTCTTGTCTGATGGACAACCGTCGGCACTAGGTGCTATGGACGATCCAGTCAATTATGAGCACGATGGATTTGCATTGATTGAAGACTGTGAGGCGATGAAAGGGGCAACGCCGTCTCGTTACCAGACGAAGTAAGCTCTTATCGATAGTTGGAGCGACCAAGCTGGCCCGCCCCGCACATCACTGTCCTGTGGGGCTGGCTCGATGCCCTTTCATGAAGGAGGAAACGTTGACAACCGTCACCAACTAACCAGTCGACATCGCACTCTTCGCACCCACGGCCCAGCAGTCAAGATGCCTGAGCAGATTTCGGTCCTCTTCTGCTGCCTCGGCAACATCTGCCGGTCCACCATGGCCGAGGGCGTGTTCCAGTCCATGGTGAAGCAGACGCCGTACAAGGCGCACATCAAGGAGCTCGACTCTTGCGGGACAGGTCAGTGAGCCGGCTCGAAACTGCAAAACCAAAGCGATCAGGAGACTGAGACCAGCAATACAGGAGCATACCATGCCGGCGACGGCCCGGACTCGCGGACCATGTCGACGCTGGCCGCCCACGGCATCAACGACTACGACCACGAGGCCCGCAAGGTAAGACTGACCCTCATCTGCCCCCTGGGAGCAGCTGGCCTTTGCTAACCGAGATGAAAAAAGATCATGATGGCCGACTTTGACCGGTTCGACTACATCTTCGCCATGGACCGGTCGAACCTGCACGACCTCAAGAGCCTGCAGAGGCGCAAGCCGGGCAGCAAGGCGCGGCTGATGCTGTTTGGCGAGTTCTCGGGCACGGGGCGGGCCGAGATCATCGACGACCCGTACTACGGCGGGCGCGACGGCTTCGAGATCGGGTACGAGAAGGTGACGCGCTTCTCCAAGAACTTCCTGAAGGAGACCTTTCCCGAGGTTGAGGCTTGAGTGTGCGAGTTTCCAATGTGGAGACTGAGACGGAGAGGAGAGAGAACGGATGAAGAAAGGATACCCTTTTTTTATGATTTAGACCAAGGTACTGAGCGGCATGATAGAGGACGACCAGACCTTTCTAGAGTCCACTGCTTCTAGGCATGACTTCCTTCACTTGAGGAAATAGAAAGACATCCCAATTGATTGCTTGCCCAGTCCCAGTGTAGGTACTTTATTGGATTCAACCTGGAATCCACGGATTTGGGCTCAAAGGCGCTAGGCCGCCCAACTCGTGGCCTGCCCGGTCCCACCAGACCACCTCCTTGGGCCCTGAAACAGGTACCCGTGGACCCGTCCAGGGGCTCGCTTGAACTAACCTTCACTGGAGACAGCAAACTCAATTCCACGAAGCGATGCGTGGAGTCCAATTGCACTTCCTGTCCAGAACGTCGCGACTGGCATGGAGGTGCTTACCAAGATGCATTTCAATCAAGGCACCGAACAAGCTTGTCGTGATGGCATCAATTCGTTCCGCCTTGCTCGGTGGTCCGCAATGCCGGCTGCGCCACCTCGTTGCGCCTCTATTTGCAGAACGGCTCATCCCGGGTGCATGAAGGACCCAAGGGCGTGGCTGTGAACGGCGGCGCGCGGTAGTGAGTGGGCTCATGAGCTCTCGCGCGCTCTCTCTCTCTCTTCTCTTTCCTCTCTCTCTCTCCCCTATCTTGTCGCTTACTCGATCACATCTCGCATCTCGTCGTTTTTAGGCGCCGCGTGTAAGGCGATGGATGCTGGCTAGCGTCTGTGTACGGAGCCAGCAACGGCGAGATGAGATCCGTAAAGGGTAGGGAGGATTTCCTGTCGCGCGCGGCTACAACAAACAACTGGGAGTGGCACACCAGATCCGGCAAATCACATCGCAAACGGCCCCCAAATCATGCCCCAAATGGCCCTAGAGCAGTGCTTTGCGATCAGGCACCCCCCGCCGGGGATCGACACAGGGTGAGAGGTGACATGCCATGTCCAGAGCTGCGGGTCTGGGTGCCTCCCCCCTCGCAAGCTGGCCAACGGTAAGGCCGCATCGCCCTCCAGACGCGCCCGTCCATCTCAAAGCTTGGCGATGGTCTCTTGCTCCGGCTCCTCTCCCTGCCCGGCCATCAGCCATCCGTGCCAAGGGGACGCTGTAGAACGAACAGGAAGGAGGACAAGCATAGCGTGGTGAGAGAGAGACGTGGAGATGGGCAAAGGTGCCAGAAGATGACATGAGACGAGCCTCGGAAGCAGGTAAGAATGTAATGTAACTTTGACTCTGCTGCTGCTCGTGCTCATCGCCAACGAGTCGCAAGCCCACACACCCTGCGCAGTCGTGGCCCTGTCCAATGCCGTTTGCTCAGAGAGCTGCATCCCCCATGCCTTTTCCCCATCAGCCCAAGCCCCTCGTCTCTTCCCGCACCCGCCATCACGGTGAGATGGGGAGGGGGAGGGCTTTTGATATATAGGTAAGATGTCACCCGCCTTTCCCGTGGTAGCTGGTGTGTGCGTGTCTAATCCATTCTTCATCAACCCCCCTGGCCATCTGCTATCTATTCCTGTTTTCTTTTCAGTCTTTCTCCTTCTCTTCCCTCCTGAATCACCAGTTGTACAAGCTTCTGTCTGCTAGGTCAAAGGGAGAGAATAAAGGTTCGACAGACCTTCTCACACCACCACCACCCCGACTGCCGCTTCAACAGTTCCAACGTCTGCGGGGATCCGGATCAAACACGGCCTTGTCCTGCCCAAAACAGCTTCTTTCCCGCCCGATCTGCGTCTTTTTCCACCACAAAGAAAGCCAGATAAAGGAGGCGTACACCCACGGCGCAAACAAGCCATCAATTGGCACGCCCGCCTCTCGTATTCCACCCCTTTTAGGAATCCCAGCTCCCGGCTCCCAGCTCCTAGCTCCCTCGTTTTGGTGGTGTTTGCCAGTCCCGCCGACCCGCCGCTTCTGCCTCCGCCCTCTTCACCCCACCCCGCCATTTTAGACCGTCGCCTTCTCCGTTGAAGACACAGCGTCAGCCCCAACCCAAAGACCACCGAGCTTGACCAAGGGAACCAAGACAGGAAAAGACAAGGCCAAACCCGCCCGCAGCTTGCTTCTCGAGCCCCTCCTTCTCCCGCCGCTACAGGTTCCCATCCGACCCAAAGCTCCCTTCTTCCTGCTCTCGCTCGTGTCTCCCAACGCTCTCCGCCAGGCCACACGCACACACACTCGGGACAAGATGGCGGATCTGCAAGGACGCAAGGTCTTCAAGGTCTTCAACCAGGACTTTATCGTCGACGACCGCTACACCGTGACCAAGGAGCTCGGCCAGGGCGCCTACGGTATCGTCTGGTACGTCGAAAGCGAAAGGGGAAACCCCGCGACACGCAGACGCAGAAGCAAACCGCATTTCAGCCCTGCGTGTTTCGCGATCCGCCCAACCTTTGACAAACCGCCTGACTGACGCTCTTCTCCCCCCCCCTAAATACAGTGCCGCCGTCAACAACAAGACGAACGAGGGCGTCGCCGTCAAAAAGGTCACCAATGTCTTCAGCAAGAAGATCCTCGCCAAGCGCGCCCTGCGCGAGATCAAGCTGCTGCAGCACTTTCGCGGCCACCGAAATGTAAGCGCCCGCCGCAACCACGCGCCGCCCTGCCCGGCTCCCTACGAACAAGACACACCACCACGAAGGCGATCAACGGCTCGCATCATAGCACAACAGAACAAATGCTGACCTTTTTTCTCTTTTTGCCCGCGTGGCTAGATCACCTGTCTGTACGACATGGACATCCCCAGACCAGAGAACTTCAACGAGACGTACCTCTACGAAGGTAGACATTACCCCCCTCCACAGCGACGCAAAGAACAAAGAGAAAAGAGACAGAAAAAGCTAACGCACAACCTCTGCCCGCACCGACAGAGCTCATGGAATGCGACCTGGCGGCCATCATCCGCTCCGGCCAGCCCCTGACCGACGCCCACTTCCAGTCCTTCATCTACCAGATCCTCTGCGGCCTCAAGTACATCCACTCGGCCAACGTCCTGCACCGCGACCTCAAGCCCGGCAACCTGCTCGTCAACGCCGACTGCGAGCTCAAGATCTGCGACTTTGGCCTCGCCCGCGGCTTCTCCATCGACCCGGAGGAGAACGCCGGCTACATGACCGAGTACGTCGCCACGAGGTGGTACCGCGCCCCCGAGATCATGCTGAGCTTCCAGAGCTACACCAAAGCTAGTACGTCGCCGCTACTGTTGTAACATCTCTCCCCTCCCCGTACTTTTCCACAATACTAACCCGTTCGGCCACCCCCCCCCAACAACAGTCGACGTCTGGTCCGTAGGCTGCATCCTCGCCGAGCTCCTCGGCGGCAGGCCCTTCTTCAAGGGCCGCGACTACGTCGACCAGCTCAACCAGATCCTGCACATCCTCGGCACGCCCAACGAGGAGACGCTGTCGCGCATCGGCTCGCCCCGCGCGCAGGAGTACGTCCGCAACCTGCCCTTCATGGCCAAGAAGCCCTTCCCGCAGCTCTTCCCCAACGCCAACCCGGACGCCCTCGACCTGCTCGACCGCATGCTCGCCTTTGACCCCTCGAGCCGCATCTCGGTCGAGCAGGCCCTCGAGCACCCCTACCTGCAGATCTGGCACGACGCCTCGGACGAGCCCGACTGCCCGACCACCTTCAACTTTGACTTTGAGGTCATCGACGACGTCGGCGAGATGCGCAACATGATCCTCGACGAGGTCTACCGCTTCCGGCAGCTCGTGCGCACGGCGCCCGGCAGCGGCGGCGGCGGTGCGGCGGGCGCGGCGGCGGCGGGCCAGCACGGGTCCGGCGGCGCGCAGGTGCCGCTGCCGACGGCGGCGGCCAACGGCGGCGCGGCGGGCCAGCAGTGGAAGGCCGAGGACCCCAGGCCGCAGGAGTATGTGGGCCAGCAGGGCGGGCTGGAGCAGGAGCTCGCGGGCGGGCTGGACGCGAGGAGGTAAAGGAAGAGGAGTGTTGGGATATCATATATATTAAAAGCGGGAGTGAGTGAGTGAGTGAGTGAGTGAGTGGAAGGGAGACAGGAGAGAGAGAGAGTGAGTGAGATAGGGGGTTGTGATGTTTCCGGTTCCCTGTTTATGAATGACCTGGGGGATTAGGGGGGGATGATATCTTCTCTCTCGCAAAGGAGGAGAGGGAAGACAGGCGAGAGAGAGAGATTTACAGACACCTTTTTTTCCATATCATGTTGGCTTTTTGTTTTTTCACAATCCCCCCTGATGACCAGAATACAGCACGCACGATAATGAGAATGCCTTTTTCTTTCTTTTCCATTCAAGATATGATATCTTCTTGGTGGCTAACTAATCTGTGCTGTTGAACCGTCTTAGAGACCTTGTTCTCGACTTAATTCCACCTTGCGGATTCGAGGGACGGAACCCCATGACGCCAGCCAGAGGTCGGCAGTGACGTGACTCGGCAGTGCTAAAGCACGACGGGTATCACGGCATTGTGTAAGCGCTGCCACTGTGGCGGGGGGACACACACTAGTCTCTCGTGTCTTGGAGTTCCTGTCTTGAGCAGTCTGTCTAGGTAGGTACTCTTCTTAAGCGCGAAGGATGGTGGCCTTCTTCTGCTCTCATCTCTGGGCACATGGTCCGGCAATGGTGAGTGGTGGACATGTCGATGGTGTCTGCCCGGCACTGCCTTTCCGACCCCCCCTCCCGGCGTCAAGGACCTACGTGTACGGAGTAGGTCGGTCCCTCGTGACGGCGGTGGAGATGTTTCAGGCACAGCCAGTCAGGTGGAGCAGAACTGTCGCCCTCGTCGAGGTCAAACTTCCCCGTCTTGCTCCAAACAAACGGAAAGGGCCAGGCATGACATTCAGCAAGAGGCACGGAGAAGGTGTACGCAACACTTGGTAGTCGGACAATGAAAATTATTGATATCACTACTCCCACTGGAACAATATGACATAACCTGCTCTAAGATGCAGACAGATGACCCCAAAGTTATGCAGCTCTCCCAAGTTTGATCCGTCGTGCCCATACATTATCATCACCATCACACTCCCAAAGGAATCAAACAGACCAAGACAACGTCAACAACAAGGTAAATCTTCTTTTCTCCTCTTAAGACGTCTCGCCTCGTACGGGTGGGGGATCCAGCAGGTAAAAAACGAAAAAAAAAAACAATATGTACAAATACACCCGAAACCCTGGGACAAGAGAGAGAAACATACGTGTATCTCTCCCTTTGTATAGACAATCAATCCCGGAAAGATGTCTTCCAACACACCAATAAAAATAAGAAAATGCTTCCCAAATGCAGGTCTGATCCACCACCTTGTACCAATAAACCTTCCTCCCTTTTCTCTTCTTCTCTCTCATTCGTGTCTTCCAGTCAATGATAAAGGGTCATCGACAAGCCAAATAAGTCTATGCAGATGCAAAGAACCCCATTAAAGTTATCCAAGCAGCTCCCCAATACCAGCGTACACGTGCAATCGTCAAACTCTCGCCATCTAAGCGTAGAACCAGTAGAAAGCAGTGTACGGCACGCTGCCGGCGCCAGGGGCGCCCGACACGCTGCACGCCTGCGGGTTGCCGCCGGCCGTGATGACGCGGTAGACCAGCGTGATGCCCTTGCTGTTGCCGTTGTTCTTGAGCTGCAGCCAGTCGACGGCGCCCGTAGACAGGATACCCTTGTCGGCTGTGGCGGGTGCCGCGACGCCGCCCGTCTTGGCCACCTTGCCGAGCAAGCCGGGTGCCGAAAGGTCAAAGGTCGGCACGCCCGCGGTGTCAAAGAAGTGGTGGCCGAGGAAGGGCATGGGGCCGACGCTGCCGAGCGTCAGGTCCGACGGTGCGGGAAACGGGTCCTTGGTGGCGCCGTACTGGGCCTCGGGCAGCACGTTGGGCGCGTCCGGGGTGCCGGGCCCCTTGGCGGCGCCGTTCTCGAGGTTCAGCGGGATGTCGGTCGTCCAGAGGGCCGTGGTGGTCAGGGCGTTGAAGCCTTCCTGGGTCAGGCCCTTGGGCTGGCCGGGGAAGAAGCTGGTGACGTCGTAGAGGACGGCCAGGGCGCCGAATAAGCTGGGCTTGGACGTGGTCTCGTTACCGCAGGTGTAGTTCTGAATGCCGTGGCCGAGAGCGACGTGCAATAGCTTGAGCGAAGGGTCCGGGTTGGGCAGGTCGGAGGCTATTTTTAGAACAGTTAGCGATGTGCTCCCAAAAAGGGAAAAAAGAGGTCCTCTATAGAGGGGAAAAGTGCGAATTTTGCACGTAAAAAAACACACGTACCACCAGTGCTTGGAAGAGTAGGAACGCCAGGGATGGGCGGCGAGGTAGGGTCGGTAGGGCCCCCCGTGGTGGAAGCCGGAGGAGGAGCGCCGGTGTTGGACGGTCTTGGCTTGCACGGGCCCGCAGAGGCGAGAGCCAGCAGGCCGGCGACGACAAAGGACTTGGAGAGCATCGTGACTGAGGGACGACGACGAAAGAAAAAGGGATCAAGACGAGAGAAGAGGAAAGGAATTCGAGAAGATGTCGGGAATAAAGAGCCTGGAGATATCTTGTAGTAGATTACGTGGTGGTTGGTGGTAATCTACTGTAAGCGCCGAGCTTGCTTCAGAGGCGGACACGGGAACGGGCCAGGCGAAATGAGTATTGGTGAAAGCTGCCAGAGCTTCGAGGGTGAGACCACACAAGAGCAGACAAAACTTATTTTCGTGTTTTGAGAGGGTTTCGAAGAAACGAAGCAACTGTCGAATGCCGCAGAGGCCAGAAGGCAAGCAAGGAAATACGAGAGGACAAAAAGGGAAAAGAAGAGAGACCTCGAGTCCTTGGCTGGTGTTGTTGAAGCTGGATGGGGGGACAGGAACAGACGAGACTGAAGCAAGAGGAATGATTGGGGGTTTATATCTCGGGGCTTTCAGGTTCCCAAAGAGAAGGACGACGGTAGACTGGATTCAGTTTAACCTGACAAGGAGAAGTGTTGGTCTCTTGCTTGGGACGAAGGATGCGAATCGTTGAACGTCTGGGTGGAGAACGGGGTCATGAAGGAGGAGGACGGGGGCTTCTTGTAAGTCCAAGAACTGCAACCTCGAGATCCTAAGCAAAGCTCGGACAGCTAGGCGAGACGAGGGGGGCTACAAGGCTAACGGCTAGACAAGAAGGAGGGAGAACGGGCAAGCTGACGGCGAGCAAGGAAAATACCTACTAACAGCTCTGGCCGCCATGTCTTGGATCATGTAGCTACCCTCCCCTGGCGCATGTATCCCGTACCATGGATGCACACATGGAGCTGCACCCTACTGCACTGCACTGACAAGGGTGTCCGGGAAGGACGAAAAGGAAGAGGCAAGAATCACAAAAGCAACGGGCGGCGGAACAAAAAAAAACAGAGGCCGGAAAAGCAACGGTGATGGAGCCAAAAAAGGGCCTGAGCTGCGGCGCTGATGGGAAAGCGAGGCTGGTGGGGGAGGGTGTGCCCGCGTAGCGCAACGCAACAGCGGGAGGCGTAGTCTAGCGCAGCTTGGATGTAACTGTGTATGAGCAGTGGTGCCCTCTTTTGCCCTAGTGGGAAAGTGGGAGACAGTGGGCAAAGGAATAATGAAGGAGGGGGCACAAAAGAGAGAGAGAGAGACCTGAGGGACACAGAGCAGAGCGGCGAGGAAGGCTGCGTCTAGAGATGCGACAGGGATGCTTCAAGATGGTGTGGACAGGGGTGGAATGGCTGGCTCTTGCAGGGTTCTTGGGGACTGTGTTACCGCAGCGCAGTAGCGTAGAAAGACCAAAAAAGAGGCTGGACGGGGATGTGGCCGTTTGCAAGCGATTTGTCGCAGGGGTCTGGTCCTAGTCCAGGCTGGTTGAGAGGCATGGGCATGTGTGCTGACGAGCCCGTTGCCCGTTTGAATTTTCACATCTCGCCAGCTCGCTCTCCTCGCCAACACACCACCCCGCTCCTCTCTGACTTACAGTAGCGCTTCCTGACAGAGGGCTAAGACCCCAGTGGCAGTCCAGTCTGTCAATGTCAGCTCGCTTTCCCCTCATTGCCATTTCCATTGCCGCCGTGCTGCGCCTATCCGGGGAGGATGATATCCGACAGGAAGGATCTGGCGCCGGCCGTCTTCTGGAAGACGTCTTTTCTTCTCCCACCGCCATCGAGGGATTCTGTTGTAAGCGCTACTAACATGGCGATGCGTATCCTGGGTTCGTAGTCATGCTCCCAGAAAATCCGCACCCAGACGGATACGAAGAGTGAGATGTACTCGGTACACACATCCACCACCAGAGACAGGGCTCTCGGTCCGGGGGCGGAACCAAGGGTAGGTGCTTAGCGCAGCGTGGGTAAAACGGCTTCCGTCTCCACAGAATCCCCCTTTGAGGCCCTCGCGCTCAGACCAAGTCGTTCTTGTCCGTGTTTGTGGTTTCTTCCCAGCACCGACACTCGGGTTCAGGGTCGGTATGTTGGATCCAGATGGTGGTATTCCAGGAGGCCGTCGTTTCGTATTGCTGCATAGACCTGGCACAGATCGATCTGGAGCAGGCAATATTGGCCTCCGGAGTATGTGCGGCGGGCCATTTGCCATTGTACCGTTCCATCACTAGAATCCCTAGGGGACGCGGGACGAAAGTGGAGGGCAATGGAGGTTCTGGCCTCCGCCACCACGGGGAGAGCGAGCACAGGCCGCATTGCGCACGCTTTGGTTGCAACGACGAGAGTAACTACGGAGTAGTAGTCATGGTCGTGAAAACGTGGCTCTCAGAAAGCTGGAGGGCCCCATTGGCACGCGGAATCCTTGTGTTGGCCCTGGCCGGAGGCAGTCCCCAGAAGACGCTCCCAAGCCTGATAACCCCCGCTCCCGCGCGTCTAAAGTCTTGGTCATTGCAGTATTATTTGGTGCTGCTTCTAGTTAGAGGCGGGCTTGAGGCCGTAATGCAGCACCTGGCCGCTGGGAGCGGCCGCTGGGAGCGGGTGGCTGATTAGGCGATCCTTGGTGCTGAAGCAGCGCACCACCAGAATCAGGCCATGTGTCGTGCGTCTCGATGGAGGGGATCCTTCGGACCACGAGGTTGACTGACTGCTTCTCACGTTGACGGATAGAGAGCATGCAGCTGAGTGTTCGGCTCCGACTTGATAGTAAACGTGAACTTGAATGCCAGTGAAGATGGAAGCAAAGATGAGAGGGGACCGGTCCCTTGCTAGTGTTTGAGGATAGCTTGTCTGGCAAATGTTTCGTTTCCTCGCTTCGGCCCCTGGGACGTCAGCACTGACCTTTCCCAATCCAGCAAAGCATCTCTTTCCGGTAGCAACAACGACCGTGCACTCTCTCTCTCTCTTTCCTTCTTGGTACTTGCACTCACTGTGACGACCTGCTCTGTACAATACGGACAATGCCAACCCGGTCGACCAGTGTTTGATCTTCGAAACATCATCTGAACTTATTTTTCTCCTGGCTAGCGTCAGTGCGAACACTGCCAACAGCAACCGGGACAGCCTAAGAGGGCGCAAATCCCCACTCTCATGCACATGGCACGGGGATCTCGTTGACGTTTTCGTCTCAGGTTGATCTGTGTTTCCGAACGCGATGTGATGATGATGATGTGACCGTACGAACCCTGTCGTCGATAACAGCACTCGAGCCCGGACACGAGGGAGGCGTCGGGCGTCGCGTCGGGCGTCGGCATCGATCGCCGGTGCAGCTGAATTACATCCGGTGGGCTGCAGATTCGTCACCAATCATCCGACGTGTTCCTCCTTTCTACTGCATATGCAGGGCGTCTTTCTGACGAAAGTCGTCCTCGTCCTTGAGTACGGCCACTTGCTTCAGCACCAGCCACCGGACGATAACTACCCACCCCAATTTCATCGAGACAGAGGCAGTCGCACAAGCTGCAACCACCTGTTGCCTGTCCACGATGCGCCATAACGCCATCACGACGATTGTTCAGGCTGCCGTCCCGAAGGGCCGGGTTAGCAGTACCTACCAAAGCCCCCAGTGATTTTCATGGCGAGTGCTGGGTAGGGCTAGCAAGGCCTGCAGATCTAACACTCGGCAAGCTTTGTTCGGATCCTCCCTCTCTTTAGTGGCAGGGTCTGCCTGTCGCTCTGGGTATGTACAAGTGTACAAAAACATCCTCGTCGAGCACTCCCTGCATTTCCACCAGACCAAAGCCCTTGCGAAATGAGACGGTTGCACTGCTTCTGGGGGTTGGGACCGGCCCTGTAAGGCTAGTCTGTACAGACTTTCCAGGGCATGATATCCGTACGTATCATCCCAGAATCCCCCGTGCAATCCCTGTAGGTGATTCTCCGCCCGCTATCAGACCCCACTGAGGCCGTCAAGTCCTCCGCGCAGAGCCGGAGACTGTTCCTGCTACCAACACCGCTTCGATTAGATGAATCTGGAGCCAAAGGCGAATACACCCACCTTCAATCCTCTGTTTCACATCGTCTAGGATAGGCCATGCCTTCAGCCAACATGACTTCCCTCTAGGCTAGTTCTTGGGCAAGAGGATCATGGCCCAAGACAGTGGACTGATGACGGACTCAACGATGTCCACCCCGTCCTGGAAGTCTCCATGAACCGGATCACACAGCCTCTCAGGATGCCTATGCGCTGTGGGCTCGCCACTGACGTATCCGGAGGGTGCCCTGAAAGCTTGGAGTGCCGTTGTCAGGTCTTTCCGCGTCCCATTGTTGGTGTCTGAAGTCATTAACGCGGCCGCCATTTTCAAGTTGTGCTTCTCTCTCGATACCAACTGCCAGCTGCGAGACTACGCTGCATCCGATATTGGTCAGATCTTCTCTCCTACCTCCATGTCCTTCGTCTTGCGGGCATCCAAGCTGAGCCACCCCTCGAACGCCATGGACAACAGGCTCTGGTCGCTCTGGGCAGCTGTCTCGTGTGGCCAGACACATGCTTCCCAGCATCTGCTCGCGTGGGTGTCTTGGTATTGACCCTGAAGCTGTTATGCGTATGCTGACAAGTCTGCTTAGAGTACTACGAAATTGCTCCCACATGCGCTGTGCTAGGAAAGGTTGACAGAGCTCTGCCACAACTGGCTCCGTGCTCTACAAGTCCAAGTTGCTTGGTGTTCGCATAGACTGCCGGCTCTGTTGGCGGCATCACCTTCCCCCTTTATGCTTCGGGCAGCACTACCCACGCTTTACTCGCCTAGAATATGCGTCTCTCTTGTTTCGTCCTCATGTTTCTCGTGATACCGGTACACGAGCTCATGCGCACTCACCTGCCACCTGTCGACCAGCTCCGCTTCATCTGACCTGCCTCATCATGGTAACATTGTGCATCCTTTTCCTTGGACACTTAGCCGACTCCTCTTGACGGCCATGTTCTCTGCCAGCTTTGGCACTTTGACTGGCACAGCTACTGAGAGTTTTTGTTGGCCATTCGCGACAAGAGCACACGCTGGACGGCATTAGTTCTGTTTTCCTGCCCCCCCATGCTCCCCATCCTTTGCCTGCTCCGTTTTTGCAGGAGCTTACTGTAGAATGGAGGCCGGTAGCCATCTCTACTCAATCCCAGGTTTGAAGCCGTAGTGTTAGCGTAGTTTCAGGCTCTTCTTCAGCCCTCGAGAGCATTGTGTGTCAGTTGAGATCCTACGTGTCAGCCCTGGAACCAGCCCAATTGGTCTCTGCGCGCAAGTTACGCAGGATGCAGACCCGGGATTCTGGAAGCAGGACCAAAAAGCCCCGGTAATTAAACAAGCCTTGCCATGTGCCGTGCCGTGCCAACATCCGCGAGAAGCGAGGTTTTAGAAGTCAGTCTGACAGGATCGCATGAAGCTCCTACGCAGGAATACGCGAAAGGATTCCTCATGCTGCAGCGTACCACTGGCACTCAAGTTCTCTGGTAGTCAACCAGGCAAAGACCACTGTCAATGTCGGCAGCATCCACAATTTTGCCATGACCGTTTTACTACATCGGGCTGGCTAGCTTTGAGATTACTATCCCTATATCGTCATCTTGATGTGATATTTCCGAGTAATTTCGGACCCTCGAAGTGCGGACAAGTCTGCCAGGGTTCCTGATATCGACTGGACTCCTGGTTATTGTTTGCTACCTCCCCAATCCTAAATTGGAGATATCTCTTGGAGACGGGCGGGACCTTTCAAGCGCGTACAGAAGTGCACAATGGCGGCAAGTCGGAATTCGGCTCTGGCATGCAGCAAATTGGTCAAAAGTTCATCACGCGTAGATGCACGGCGTCACGAGGGTCACTTGCCATTCAACGTACATTGTGTGGTTGCAGCAATGAACCCAATATCACTCAATACGTCTGCCATCCACAAACTTGCCTTATTTCCGCTCAAGTGTGTAAAGTCGGTGTGTCAATAATTGCTTTCCCGGATGCTCCCCCGCCATCACGGCGTGTTTCCTCCCTTCAGCAGCTTTGTCGAGCTCCCCTTTCGAGCACCGTGCAGCTCATCAAGATGGTCAGATTCCACTAGACTAATGCAAGCCATGTCCTGACAGTCATCTAGAACCGGGCCTTACTCTTCTCTCGCACCTCTTGTACCATTGAGACCACGACGTGCCCGCTGCAAGTCGGAACGGCAACACCCACATTTGTCAGTACACAGCCACCACATGTTGTTACATTCATTGAGGGCAATCTAATTATGCGTCTGCTCGGCTGCACGGCGTCTCCAGCCCTCGCCCTCCTGTTGGTTCGACAGCCACCCATCTCCATTTATGGGCCGCCAGAAGCGGCCGCATGTCCAATAGTCGCTGCTCGCGTCGGTCGTTGGGCGCTTATCAGGCAATTTCTGCGTCTGCATGTCCAGGGGCCAACCGCATTCGGCATCCGCACGCATTTCCATCCTCGCTTGCATCTCGCATCTCCTCCTTGCATTGGAAAACTAGACCGATCAACGCTGGGTAGTTTTGCTTCTTTGCTTCCATCCTCAACATGAACACTCGCCATCTCATACCCTCCCTCACTCCACTCCCTTCCCGGCCCTTCACCCTTCCGTCTCATCAAGCCTCCTCCCACCCTTCCGCAGAGGCTTCATATCCTCCCCAAGCTCGTACAGAATGGGCACGCCCGTAGGCAGATCCAACCCCACAACCTCCTCGTCGCTCAGCCCGTCCAACTCCTTAATCAACCCCCGCAACGAGTTCCCGTGCGCCGCGACGAGCACCGTCCTGCCCGCCCGCAGGTCCGGCACGATCCCCTCGGTCCAGTAGGGCAGCATGCGCCGCACGACGATCTCGAGCGACTCGGCGCCGGGCGTCTCGACCCCGGCGTACCGCGGGTCCGCGTCCTGCGCCGCGCGCTCGGCCTCGCCAAGCGGCGGCGGCACGGCGGCGTACGACCGCCGCCAGACTCGGACCTGCGCCTCGCCGACGCGCGCCGCCGTCGCCGCCTTGTCGAGCCCCTGCAGCGCGCCGTAGTGCCGCTCGTTGAGCCGCCAGGTGCGCCGCACGGGCACCCAGTGGCGGTCCGCGGCGTCGAGGGCCGCGTCGGCGGTCGCGATGGCGCGCCGCAGCAGGGACGTGTGCACCACGTCCGGGAGGCGGGCCGACCGCTTGATCAGCTCGCCTGCGTGCCGGGCCTGGGCGAGGCCCAGCGCCGAGACGGGCACGTCGACCCAACCTGTGAACAGGTTCTGTTCGTTCCAGGTAGACTGGCCGTGGCGAAGGAGGACGAGGGTGTAGGGCATTGGGAGGGATGTTGTTGGGGGAGGCGGGGGGCGTGTAAGGTAAGGTTGGGTAAGGTTAAGGTAAGTTGCTCGAATGTAGAGTTTTCGTAGCGATGATTCTTGCTGGTGAGATGCGTCAGGATGAATTCGTAGAATGTCCACCTTGGTGGTCCGTATTTACCTCTCTTAGATATCCTTTGGAAGACTGCGTCATCAGACCACCTTCCTGACTCAAGACCGACAAGTCCGGCTCCAGTGTCTGTTGTCTACCACAAGCACACCAAAACTAGAGATCTTGTCACGCTGTGTCGGACACATCCCTCGGAGACAAATTGGTCTCAGAAGCTTACACCCTGTTGGACTTTAATTATACGCTAAAGCTCTATGTCCTCGGCCCCGAAATCTCCGGCGTGTGTACACGGACGAACCGGCCGGAAGATGCACCTCTCCCAGTGCCTCTCTAACTTTTGGCCGTCGGCTCTTGTCCCTCTCTGTCAGCATTCTCCTAAATGTGGTGAAGTAGCCATAACCCATACAATTACCCATCTACACAAGGCCATCTTTTTTATTGTCCTGGCGTCTGCCAGCAACGCACCTCGTTTTTTCTATTAATGAGTCTTGCATGCATCCATCCCACCTCATCTGTCAAGGTATTCTGTCAACGGTAACCGAATGCAAGCGGCTTACGCCCTCCTTTACACGCGGCATCGCAGATGCCTTCCCGACAAGGGAGTGCACTTAATTTGCACGCGCCTGCATATGCAATCTCTCGGGTTGGTTTACACTTTGCAGCATCTCATTCGATGCCGGATGGGTGTGGACCAGCCGGCCAAGATAATGATTTTATTTGCAGATGTGCACTTGGGCAGACGGTTACCATAGATTGTGAGTAGCTGAATGATTTCACCCGAAGACCCTGCTTGCATGACTGTTGTAGCTTTCTCAATGTCTCGATGTACCTTTGACATACCGAATACACACTGCACCCTCTCTCAATTTTGACAAGACTTGTTCTCGCAGCTAACAAGGGTTGCGCGTCGCGTTGTAGTCCACAACCCTACGCGCACTACTTCTCGATTCGGACACGTTTGAGCATGTAAACACTCGTTCACAGGAACTCTTGCATTGCGAAAGGCCAACCAAACCGCTTACCCAACCAGTTCAATGCTATGCGAGTCTGTGGTCGTCATACCCTCGTCTCCTGAATACCAGTCTAGACTTGGAGACTCTCTCGGCGGATAGGCTTCAGCGTTGATTGCCACCTGAGTACCGTGGATTCTGTATCACTGCAAGACGAGTAACATACATACCTGGTCACGAATCACCCTCTCCTGCTTGGTAAAAATAACGTGGGCCATTTGGCAAAGAGTAATTATAGATACAACTGCCCGTGCTCCAAAAGCGTTTAACCATTAACTTTCAAGTAACTCTAACGTCCAACGTTTCTAGTGAATAGAGGACACGAGTTCATGCTGGGTCGTGTCTAAGATAGATAACCACCTGCCTGATAAAACCTCCTGGCACCCGCATGCAAAGGAATTGAGGGCTTTGCCATCGCCACAGGGTCCAGCGGATACGACAGAGGGCTTCTCTCTGGCGGAATGTGGGCGTACTGAGCCTCAAGCTCGTGGCGACGCTCGACCAGACACCAGGTCAGCAGGTACGCGATATCCTCAGGCATGTCCTCCCGCACAATGATCAAGAAGTCTGAGAAGTCAATGGTCGGAATCTCTTGGGGGATGGTCTCCCAGAACCCAGCCCGGATTGAAGCTCGCCGAAAGCCTTCCTGGGCAATGAGCCTGGCGACGGCACCGTCCTCGCTGGGAATGGGTTCCAAGCTGTGGTTCTCCATCAGGTTCCTCCACCAAGGAGTCATAATTGCTTCCTGAAGCACGGCGTCGGCGTTGCCCACTCGCATGTTCTCGATGGCCTGCTCGGGCCGGGTCGTCAGGACGTACGAGCCGCCCCACGACTTCAGCGTCTCCTCCGTGACGCCGTGGGCCTCCATGTATCGCATAGCGACGTAACCGATAAAGTTGGTGCCGTCGTCCACAGATGTCGCGATCCTCAACGCGGGCTTCTTCCGCCTCAGCTCCGCCCACGACCGGATGCCCCATTTCGGATCGATGGCGAGCAGCATTCGGTCGCGCTGCGGCAAGACCGCCAGCGTGCGCAATGAGGGCATCGGCCCGGTGCGGGCAAACAGACCCGTCCCAGTCAGCGCCGTCTGCATGAGCTTGGCGGGCGTGGCGATGCAGAGGTCGGCCTCGCCGTCGTGGACGAGCTGCATGCCTTCAACGCCGCCGTCGCGCATGCTCCAGGTGGCCACTCGGGTGCGCGGGCCCGCACGGTCGCTGAACTGCTGGCTTAGGAAGGCACAGATTCTGTGGAAGTTTGCCATGCCCCAGTCTCCGATGAAGTGGAGGGTCACGGATCTGCCGATGGACGGCCCTGAAGATGACGTCTTCTCAGCCATCCTGATGATCACCGGCTGGGAGGATGCTGAGGGTGCAACTGTTCAAAGAGGTTCAAAACACTAAGATCAAAAATTGAGTATGCTGGTCCTCACGAGATGTAATGATTTGGTATGGACTGTCTTGCTCGTCTTTGTCTCGAAGGAAAACGAGGTTGGCATCCTCCCCACACTCAAGTAAGAGCAAACACCACCACATCCCGCAAGTCCCACTCGTCCCGCAATGCTTCATGTACTACTTCCTTCTTCCCCCAATAGTGGTGGCATCCACTGGCTTGCCACAGGACGGAAGGTATGCACCTAGATAGCGTGGGATTAATGCACGGCAGGTCCTTGGCAGAGGATGAGTGACCGCTGTTTTGTTTCCACCACGCTTGAGGAAATACCGTCTCGCCCCCTTTTGAAGTAACCCTAGATCTACCGGAAGTATCGCCTTCTGGACTGCGGAGTTAGTGTGCTTGCTCGATCTCATCAGAAAAGCTGGAGAAGGGAGTACTCTATCCTCCTTCCATTTTGAGGAGCTTTCGGCTTGAGGGTCGGACCAGATGCGACCAGTCAGTGCCCGCCAACGGCAACAGTGGGCAGGCTCGAGCTTCAAAGCAGCCCCCTTGCTCGACGGGACCTCGACGGGATCCCTCCGGATCGAGTACAGGAAACGGGGTGAGAGTCTGGCATGATCTGACGGTAAGTAACGAGCCAAACGACCTTATGTAGTCAAAACGGAACCAGCCGAACGGTGGCGGCGGGACAGTTCGTACCACTTCATAGCGGGGTTTACTCAAGCTGTTGCACAGCAACAAGTTATGATGACATTCTCATCTCTGGCTGGCAAACAAGACATCATCGCCACTGCCATCATCACACTCTCTTTCCTACACCCATGACCATGACTGCCGATATTAACGACACGGATTTACAAGAGGTGTATCGCACCTTCATCTCAGGATGCCATATTCTGCACCATCACGGTGTGCTCGACGCCTACGGCCATTTATCAGTGCGTCACCCGCACAAGTCCGACATCTTCATCATGAGCCGTTCCATCGCTCCTGCGACGGTGTCCTCCCCAGAAGATTTGATCGAATATTACATCTCCACGGCCGAGCCTGTCGACCCTAGTTCTGCCAAGGGGTACGCCGAACGTTGCATACACAGCGAATGCTACAAGCTTTATCCAAACATTCGGAGCATTGTCCATAGCCACTCTGAGGCTGTGGTGCCGTACACCGTCAGCGGTGTTCCGATGCGTCCCTGCTACCACATGGCAGGCTTCCTAGGCGCAGCAGTGCCCGTCTTCGATGTGAAGAATGTCTACCAGGAAGACGACAAGCGAGACATGCTTATTTCTAACACACGCCTGGGGAATGCGCTTGCCTTGAGCTTCTCTGGGCGAGGAGATGGGGAGACACTTGATCACTCGGTTGTTCTGATGAGGGGCCATGGATTCACGGTCGTGGGCGAGAGTATTCAAGACGCGGTGCTCCGTGCCATATTCACACAATCCAATGCGCGGATCCAGACAACAGCGCTTACCACAGCGGCTGCCACTTACGGGACAGGCAACTTTCACATCAAGTACTTGGAAGACGAAGAACTCGAGGATACGGAGGACGTGACCCGCTGGTCGGTGTCTCGGCCCTGGGGTCTCTGGGTGAAGGAGGTCGAGGCAGCTGGGTTGTATGTGAACAAAGCATGAGCAATAGAGCCTAGGGGGAGGTGTAATTATGTCTCGGTTCATTCCATTCGCCGACCCATGTTTTCGATGTTTGCTTTCCCTTTGTCCCTTGCTGCCACATGACGACTTCCGTCCAAGGTACCCACCACGCGTGTGCAAACATTCCTAGCTTCTACCGCAAGAAAAATCGACATTGAGATTCATCACAACTTGCAAGATGCCTCCTTGGTGCAGGCTCGGTGGTGGGTCCTGGTAAATCCCCCTTCAGACAATTCAAGGATCAACTTCATTCGGACCTACATGCCATCTTGGACGGGTAGCTTTCCTCCACACACCCCCGCACTATCATCCCTCGACAAGTCTCACCAATTAGAATTTAGGGAATGAGAGCAATTGGGGAATGGGGACCGGATCGTTGGTGCTCTTGTGTCCCCTCTTTGTTATGATCCTCTAATACCCCTCCCCATGCTTTGCAGGGTGGGTGGCGCGGTGTTCAGTAATTATGTCTTTCTATTTCTCTTGTTTTCCTTCTCACGGCTAGAGTATCACCAGCCAACCCAGCTAGCAGGTTGCCTTGGGGACACGAGTTTCGTTACTGCATGGCATTGGGCTTCAGGCTCATGCTGGTGGCGCTCTATCCTCTGATTTCCCTTTCTTTGCTACATCTGGTGGTCAGCATGACCGAACAAGTCTCCTACCAGCGGACCTATGAAGGACGCCCAATGCAAATCAATACCCGGCGTCATCGACCGCAAGAAAGGAAGTGCAGTTACTGTGGTCAAAAGTTCTCAAAAACCGAGCACCTGGCACGGCACGTGAGATCACATACGAAAGAAAAGCCCTTTGGATGTCAAGCCTGTAACAAGTCATACGGCCGACAGTACAGACTCTTGCCTCATTGCTCCACGGTGCATTGACAAGGCTAAATTGTTTTCATAGTGATTCGCTTTTGCGGCATATCCGCACACATTCTCTGCCAGAGGGTGCATCCGTTGCATCCTATATCGAAGTTAGCCAAGTTCCCTCGCCGTCGATTTCAGAGTCAGCAATTATCGTGGGGTCCGAAAAATCGCCGAGCAGCAACTCTGGTCACCCGGGTGGTCACTCCCCTCCTCGTTCTTGGGGTATAGACAATTCACGGGCATCGCCCTCACAAGTATTCGATGGCGAGCCGCTGACTGCATTGAATGGTGAGAGGGCGGCGGACACAGCACTCGGCTATTCCAACACAGGACCAGAGTCCACCTCCTGTATACCGCAGACCATCTCGCCGCAGCCCGCCGGAGGGGACCCATACATCAGCGGCGAAGTGAACTTCTTTGATACTCCTGCAGAAGCTGGTCTATGGGATATAAATCTGAGTTCACACCAGTCATTTTGGTTGCTCGGTGATGCCTTTGATATCAACGCGCTCAAAGATTCTATCTCTGCGAGTATCCCAGACTGGCAACAGGTTCACCACGCTATCCATGAAAGTCAGAGTCCCGACCCTACATTTCAACTTTCAGAGGAGACTAGACTGCTATCTCCCAGCGGGTATCACTCCACAATTCAAGAGATCTGGTATACCAGAATCAGTCACGATGTCGCAAGTCAAGACGGTCCTACAAGGTTCGATCAGGAACAGGTGGACGAAGCTTACAGGGCCAACCTCTCGAGCCGGCTTCGTCCGCATTTGAGCGATGATTTACTCCCATCTGCGGACTTTCTGGTGAGTGGTGACTAAGCCCTTCGTCCAGCATTTGCTTGCATCGCTATCAAGACCGACACTAAGCTTTACTAGAATCTGTGTATAAAGCTCTACTTTGCACGATTTAACCAATTCTTACCCCTTATCCATGCCCCGTCATTTCGACCATCATCTGAAAACGCTCTATTACTGCTCTCAATATGCTCCATCGGCGCACTATTCGTCGGTTCGGCGCCTGCTGTCGCACAGGGCAAGAAGATTTATAAGAGGCTTAACAAGGCGATCTTGACATCGGTGAGTAGTTCGAGCATGGATCCTCACTTCAATAAGGACCACGCTTATCATAGTGGTAGTGGGAGACTTCAATACGATGCGGCGGCCAGGAAGCGCTGTCGATGGTGCAGGCGGCCACCCTGGGACAGACATTCGGCATGCTGAGCGGGAACGCCAGCGATCTTCTTATGACCGAATGCTTCCATGGCACCGTTATAGCATGGGCCCGCCGCGATGGCATGTTCAACTGCGTCGACCCTCTCCAGCTCCAAGGGCTCAGTAACTCTGCGTGTGCCGAAGATGCTTGGAAACTCTGGATCAAAGCCGAGGAAACAGCTCGTATTGCAATAGTGTTGCACATTCATGACTGCGAGCTGGCTAGCATCTTCCACCATGAGCCACTTCTGCGACATAGTGGCAATGCTCTTCCACTTTGCTGTTCCGAGGAGGTATTCACTGCGACGACTGCCTCACAGTGGCAAGAGCTGGTGAAGGATAGAATGGAAAGCAGCCACAGAACCAGCATAGGGGGTGCAATGCACTCCTCGCAGACATGCTCACACATGCATGCCTACGGGTTGTTAGCCTCCATTATTGCCTCCACATTTGAGGTCAGGAACTCTCCCATCGACCTAGCGACGGCGCAGAAGACCAGAGCTGCATTGATGGATTGGTTTAATGCCTACTCTAAAGCTGGGGCAGAGTCGACAGAAGATCCTCACTGCCTTATGGCATTGTGGCACGAGGCATTCCTGTACCTCTACGCTGACTTTGACCTCCTGGAACGCCTTATTGGGAGGGACGGCCCTGGCATTGCAGAGGATAGCCTCGAAGCCGGCCGGAAATGGGCTGCAACTTCGGAAGCCCGGCGCTGCGTACTTCACGCCTTGCTGATCCAACGCCACATGGAGGTCCCACAGACGAGTATGCAACCAGCTATACACGTAGCCAAGGCCTTGTTCTATTCCGGTATGGTAATCTACTGCTATGTCAAATACCAGCCGAGACGAGAAGCTACCACGTCACTCCTTGACGAGGGAAGCTGCCAGGAGTTCCAGATCTCCGAACCCAGATCTAGCTCTTCCCGTCGGGCTTGGAGGGCCCGCTCATTGCTGTTCTGTTCAGTTGACGCCAGCGCCCTGTGCAACGCGGTTGATCTTCTGCGCCGCGTGGGTCCCTGGGAGATATCTCGGAAGTTTGCCAGCATACTAGAGAATCTTGTGAATGACCTTGCTAATCCCTTCTCGAATGGGGATTCCTAGTCTATCAACTATACTAGATCAACTCTTGTGGGTTTTTGGAAAGAGGAAACATGAACCGGTTCCAGCAGGTCCCGACACACACCGGACATTGCGATACCCGAAATGTCCTCGAGTGGTGACCACGAACCTCAATCTTGGACGCCCCTCATGTTACCCGAGGTTCTTTAGCCTAGTCAAGGGTATATTCCACCTTGGTATACAAATCAAACAGACACAACCAATGTAAACCTCTACAGAAGACCAGAATTGACGGTGGTACTGGAAGATATTAAAAAGTACTACTTTGCGAGGCAACCTACATCACTCAGGCACATAGCCATCCCTGTTCGGTAAGAAACCCTCAACACCCAGGCCAAATCCCTCCCACCCGTCAAACTCGGTGATGTACTTGATTGCCGCCTTAAGGTAGTATCCATCCTTCTCACCGTAAGTCTCCGCAAAAGCCTTGAGCGCGCGCATTACCTTGAAAAAGTGATCGTCGAGCGCCCACTTGTGTTTGAGCGCCTTCTCCGTGACCCAGGTCCAGTCGCGGCCTTCAGTGGGGATCGAATCGACGGCGCTCTTGTCGAATGGCAAACGGAACTGAAGAATGTAGATGAAGATTGCGTACATGGCGTACTGGCGCAGTATGCATTCCCGGCGGTCTTCTGGTAGGTGGTGAAAGAGGATGCGGAGCGCGTGACAGACCGTCATGACGTGGGCGTAGAAGAAGTCGTATTTCTTCTCCCGGTCGCCGGTGCTAATGGCGACCAGCACGGACATGTCGCAGATGTGTTCAAGCGCTTTGGCAGGAGACCCGACCTTCCAGGCATTCCAGTGCTCCAAGGCTTCCTGGAACCGCTTCCCAAGGATGATACCAAAGCCAACTGTGCCCGGATGCTCAATCAATCCGTCGAAGCGCTTATCGAGCTGTACTCGCCTGAGCACCTCGGCAAGCGAGTCTGTCTGATATGTCGAGGTGTCTGGTGGGTATTGATCCAGAAGCCCATGAAGCGGAGCATACTCGGTGCAGAAGAGGCTCAATGCCTGCGATGCAACCTCGGGGATGTTGAACTCGTAGGCATAGGCAAGATGAATGAACGGATGAGCAACTAAATCTGATCAGCATTCTCGCGCCAACACGCTGGCTCCCACTTTGAGGAGAGAGACATACGCCCTCCGATACCTCCATTCACGATCGGCTCTGGTCCTGAGAAGAGGTAGTTCTGTACCACCTTGTTCCAATCTCCGTCATTCTTCTTGATCTCCTCGTCGAAAAAGTCAACATAGGCCATAGTATACCTGTTGTTTATTAGCAATAATAATACTGCAGAACACATCATATATCAGCTGGCCTCATTCGCTTACTTCTTGACCGTGAGCGAGTCTCTCCAGTTCTCGGCTGTAACCTGGTCGCCTCGGGGGAACGAGTCGTCAACTGCGACCAGAGTCTTGATGTCGTGCTCATAGGTACGCTTTAGCTGGTCCTTGTCGGCACCGAGGGCATAGGCCGAGCCCAAAAGCTAGTGGCGAGTCAGAATGGCTATTGACACGCCCGCCCTGGCTCTCTCTTTCGGTGAAGGGAGCGTCCGAAGAGCTGCACTTACGTGTGGCAAGTGACTGTGAAGGATCAAGCTCGGGTTTCGAAGCGGTGCAACGGCTTGATGACCCTCTTCTAGCAAATGACGCAGTGCTTGGGTACGGTCATCCTTGAGCACGTTCACGTCATACTTGGGGGCAGGGTCCAGCGTAGTATTCCCAGTAGGCTCCGGGAGGCGGACAGAGTAGTCAGTGGTTGATGCCATGGCCTAATCCTGCCTTTGGAGCATTGATCGACAGAAGATACTGTATGATACTGTTGGAGTGATTAAATATCACTCTGCCTTCGCTGATACTTCTTAGTCGCAGCCTAGGAACTGAGCAAGTAGCGTGGCCGTCAGGGGAAGACTCAGTGAATATGCGGCTATTCGTAATTCATGGGGGAATCGCAGTGCCCCTCTAAAACAAACCTTTCCACCTTTATTTGATCTTTGGATCTCTCTGAACTGGTCCCTCCCCGGAAGCGGCTGCCTTTGTTGTCATGGTAGAATTCCACAGCTCTGGTCCCGCAAAGTCTGTTGGTGGCGGGAACCCTCCCCACACCCCACAGTTTTGCCAGGGGTTCCTGAAGGTGTTGCCCACACAGGATTAATCAACAAAGCTGCTGGTTTGACCAGTCAGAGTAAACGCTTTAGAGCGGGCTGCAAGATGCTATATAGCTTAAGACTCAAGGCACTGCCTCAACTCCCCAGGTATCATGCTATATCAGGCTCTCCCAAAAAGTGCGTGTTCGTATGGTTGTCGATCACAACTTGTCCATTTTCAGAGAGGCAAAGTCAGTTATCAACTACAACATCTCTAGAAGACGAGTGATAAAATACAAGGACTAGAGAGAGAGAAAAGACCGAACTGAGAAAACAGAAACCATGTCACGAATGGAGCGGCCTACTAGTATAGCACTTTTAGGGGCCACTGGGAAAACTGGGCGAGAAGTCCTACGCGGTTTGCTCAAGAGTACTATCGCAGAACTAAACATCTACGCACGGTCATCCGAAAAATTACTCAAGATGTTTCCCACCCTTCGATCTGACTCTAGGGTGAATCTACATATCGGCAGTATTCATGACGAAGAACTAATCAAGAGGTGTCTCTCCGACGCGCAAGTCATCATCTGCACCACAGGATCCAATGGGATGAGCCCCAGCACCATCATTCAAGATTCAGCTTCCGCCATCTCCGCGGCCTTGCAATCGCTCAAGCGGTCGGCCAACTCGTGGCAACCACCTCGAGTTCTTCTCTTATCTTCATCAACAAAAAATGAGCGCCTTGCCGCGGCCCGTCCACGGTTTGTGCATTGGATGATCACAACGGCATTCCGGATGGGTTACGTTGATCTCGACGCCGCTCAGGCTATTCTGTCCCAGGATCCATCTCTCCTGTCACTCCTGTCGGTGCAGCCCAATGTTCTCGTTGAAGAACCCGGGTCTGGTTTCGAGTTTTCGTCGGATTCTGTCAAACTAGGTTGCTCGTACGAAGACCTCGGCGCGTCTTTCGTACAGTTGGCCTTGAATACAGAGTACAAGGAGCTGTCCAGGATCGGTGTCTCGAGCAAAGAAGGAGATAGGGGCATCGTCTATGCTCCCATCATACTCTTCCGGATATCTCGAGGCTTCTTTGTCAATTACTTTCCGCTGGGCGTACATTTGAACCGGCTTTTCGAGCGAGCCATGCCGCAATTTGCGTAGGATAGATAGATCGGGAATTCCAATAGCATGACCAATCCCATTCACCAGACAAGACTGGCTAGATGTTGTCTTTTTCCACACCCATGCTTTCCTAGCTAGACCAAGCTGCAAGAGTCCTCCTGAGAACATAGAAGCCAAGGCCAACAGCCCATACAAGAGCCAAGACACCGAACAACAACGGCTCAAATGTAGCACCTCTGACCACAATGAACAGACTAACAAACGCGAAGAGCAGGGGTATCACGATGAACGGCTTGTATGGTCGATCAAGTGAGGGATCTCGGAACCGGAGGACCAAAGCCCCAAGCACCGTGAGAAAGAAGAACGAATATTCGCCCATCCCGTTGAAGGTCAAGAGGGACCTGAAATTGCCAAAGGCAATGTAGACGGCTGACAAGATGGTGGACAAGATCAAGGCATAGACAGGGGCGTCGGATTTGGAGTCGTCAACAGGCACTCCTGGCTCTTCTGGTGATGAAACGTCCTCAGAGGGTGAGGAACGCAGTGTGAAGTCACCATAGCCGATCCGTCCGAAGATCTCGGGGAGCCAGCCGCGCCGTGCAGCGGCAACGGCCATCCGCCCAGCGACGAACGAGTTGCCAAGCAAGGATCCGGCGACTACAAGGCAGACCACAACAGCGGCAATTATGCCGAAGGCACGGCCGAGCAAGCGGGTGATCGCGGTCTGGGAAAACTGTCAATGAACGAAATCGGGAACATGGTGGGGAAACTTACAACTGCGACACTATCTGTAATTGAGATCATGTTCCACGGAAGAAGGACGTAGTAGGCAGCATTGGCTGCGACGAAACCAACTACGACTGTCGGTATAGAAGAGTTAATAGCCAATGGCAATTGCCGCGCCGGCGCAGAGAGCTCAGCTGTAATGTAAATAGCCTGCTCTGTAATTAGCCTTTATCTCTCAAGGTGAGCCGTGCTTTTTCTCTTGCCTTGTCCCAACCAGAGTATGCCCAAAGAGAAGCATATATTGCTGTCGAAAAGTGGCCGAGTATTTCCCATACGTGTAGATCTCCCCAGACGATCCGAGAGCCGTCCGGGTTAAAGCTATCTCGATTTTCGAACCATGATCTGCGGAACCAGTCTTTGCCCCCGTTCTTCGCATCACGTCCGAGAGAATGGGCAATTACAACTCCCAAGCCAGCAGCCATGACGGCCAGAATACCGATGAATTTCGTCACCACGAAGAAATTGTTCAGCCGGGTACTGGCCTTCGTGCTGATTGCATTGGAGGTGTTGGTCACGACCAGGATGGCGATCGATAAAAGTTTATGCTTCAAACTTCCAGCCTCACTCGCAACTCCAGCGGCAGATAAGATACTGTCCACAAAGACAATGCTCAAGATCGCGAGCGTCGCCGGCATGACGGCCACCACCCAAGTCCAAGCTGCCAGAAAGCCAAAGACGTCGCCAAAGATGTACTGTAGGTAGGCCTGCACGCCGCCCTCGCCTGGTATGGCGGTGCCGAGCTCAGCAAGAGTGGTAGCACCCGTCCACGCGAGGGCCCCTCCGATCAGCCACGTCAGCAATGCCGCGCCGGGTGATGGGACATTCTGGTCGATGGCCCCAGGGGAGGTAAAGATGCCGCTCCCGACGACGATGCTGATGATGATGGCGAAGGCCTCAATAGTGCCTAGGTTGCGCTTGAAGACACCTTGTTGTTCCTCTTCCGACAGAGCTGCATGCGTCTCGGCCGTGCCGTACGCTGTCGGCTCCTCTGCCGCCGCATCTGTGTCGCCGAGGAGGGGAGTCTGAGAGGCAGCATCTGGCTCTCGCATCGATGCCATTGTATGACTCGTATGGGAGGGTTTTTGAGGTGAGTATGGTATGAATGATATTGAAGCTTTGACTTGTCCTGAGTATTTTGCCGGAGGTGAAAAACACCACACGTATCTATCTGCCGCCTCGCAATGCGTGTAAATAATTACAACGTTGTTCAATAGGTGGTGCGAGATTGGCGTGAAATCACGCACGCACCGCTAATTTATGATGATGACTAAGGAGGGGCGTGCTGGATGATAGACATACCCGGATTACTATATGTACACACCTCAAGAACAAGTCACCAATGTGTACTTTCGTCAGATGAGAAGGGTCATCATGTTCGCTGCTGTTTTATCACTAACCCTTATTAGGTGTGGATTAACTTGCTGTCACCTATGAGAATTGCAGAGGGTCCCCGGCATCCTGGGATCAGAATGAATGCTGACAATTTCAAAGCTACGATTGAGTGATACGTAAGAGGGTTATCTGAGGATTTAACAGGCTCAAGAACTACTGGCGCCGAAATGACTACCCTGTACAGTAATAACATAATCTTGCAAATCAGAAAATGAGAATGAAGCAATGATTTGACGCTTTGGCGGTAGAGTGGAAGTGTGCATCAGAGTCTTCAACCAAGTTGAGCAGTGAAACAAATCAGGAGCACAAGAACTTCTGGAAGATCAGTCTCTTCGGGACAGTGGGCGGCTCCAGGTGCCAGACAGATGACTTGTGCCACGGTGAATCCTTGGAATAATTCTGTGTCCAGATAGCTTGCAGGGCGTTGGGTGTTGGCCAAGCTAGCTCTTCGTTCCTGAGCCACATGCGCATGATATGCCTCTGTTTCTTTGCAGAGTCCATGAAGGCATCGCGAGCGTGGAGGATAGCGAGGTTGTTCACGAGAATGATGTCTCCTCGCTCGGCCTGTATCGCAAGCTGGTGCCTTGTAGCCGTGAAGTGCACTGCATCGAGAGCTTCAGCCTGTCTTTGTGTCATCCTGGGTACTCCTGGTGTCCAGGGCGCGACAGGTGAACCGGTAAGTGGGCGGCGCGAGAATTGAAAGCTGGGCCCATGAACGGGACCAAAGTTGAAGAGCACAGGGCGACTTTCCCACGATGGTGTTGTAGTAGAAAACCTGAGAATCTATGAGTCGAATCACTATCCGGTGTATGAGTCTGATAGGGCTTACTTGTTGAAGATCCAATCCTTTGACAACATATGTATCAAATCTGGTCGGTGTCGTGCGATCTCGTTGTACACTTTCCCAGAGGAGGCAATCTTGAAGTGCCCTCCGTCTGCAGCTGTCTCTTGCACGTACATGGCAAGTATATCGCAAACATCACTGTGAAAGGGCTACTTGAGGTGAGATAACTAGACAATCGCAATCCAAATCAGTCATTAAGAACCGTAGCTTACCTGAGCAACATTGGAATATGGAGCTTGCCGCATTTCGGCACCCTCAAATGTACGCCCACGATCCTTGATGTGAACTGCGATGCGTGTCAGTGACGGCTACCTCTCGCAGAAACTGCTCAATCGCGTACTGATCTTGCTCCCGCCTGAATCTTGACAAGCTCGGGTGTTGCCAATGTAGGAAGTGATGCCAGCGTACGCAATGACGCGCTCAAGTGGCGAAAAGGCGTGAGGATCTAGACCACGGATAACGCAAAACCCAGCTCCTCCGTGGATCGTCTTTGTCAAGTCTCTGAGCTTGGACTCAAGCTTTGGCAGTCTGAATGTTTCAGGGCAGACCTCATCGACGTGGGGATTGTCTGATCGAGCTGAACGAGCCATTGATCAGTTTTCATGAAGGAACTCCACTCGAACCATATGCTACGGACCAAGAAAATGTGTGACTGCGGCAGAAATCTCTTCCAGATCATGCGCTTCCAATTTGTGAGTGTAAGCCATGTCATCCTCAAAGTCAGCCCCGGACCAGACACGCCCAGATTCAATGACTTTGGGGTAACCCGAAGGAAGAGTTGTTGGCAGGTCTTGGTTTAGATCTGCGAGATTCTTGGACCGTTCGAGGTGTGCATCCAAGGAAGGATTCCATGCGATATCGTAACACGGACTGTCGGCCCATGTTTCCTGCTCGCTAGTCTGCAAGTCGTGTCGTTCTAGGAATTCCTTCAAGGTCTTCTGGCCGTTGAGGGAGAAGGTTCCCGTGGTGTGTGAACCAGCGGCAGGGAGCTGTTGTGTAATAGTCATGGCCATCTCGAAATGCTGACTAGGTGGTTGGCCTTGACATAGAATGAAAAGAAGAACATACTCAGACAACGAATAAGGCTACAGAAAGAGAATACACACATATATATATACACTTGCCGAGTTCAGCGCAACAGAGGGAATCACTGCACGGGCGAAACGGCCCGCGATGAGGCTCAACTTCCTGAACAGCTGGTCTCTACCCCCACCCGCTGCCACCAAAGGAGGGTGGTCGCGAACACTGATTAGCCTGCTAGGGTGGCGCAGGTTGGAAATTCGAGCGGGCTGCACACCATCTCGCATGTATGAGCGGCTTGATTCACCCAATTAAGTGTGATCACATGGTGCCGATCCTGGGCTGCAAAAGGCCCTAATTGATGCAATCTTATCACACTGAGAACATTTCACTAGTGATCCATGTGGTGTGTACCAAGTTCAAGAGCATTCCAGACGGGGTCGAGGATTTGTAAACGTATGTCTGTTTGATGCATAACTCCTCGTTGTCGTGATTCGTGGACGACCGAATCGATCTCACCTCTAGACCACCAAGTCATGTTTCTCTTCACTAACGTAACTTGAGAAGAAGAAAGTCTCTTGCCTGGATCAAGAGTTTCTAGCTGTTGTCAATGCTCATCATTTGCAGTGTTGTCACAAGTGTTCTGTCCATCTCGGAAGGCCCCAGGCATGCTCAGCAGCCAGCCAAAACCTTTGGTGAATCCTATTCGTTCCGTCCGCCTCCCATTGCGCCTTCACTCCGTAGGCATCAACAAAACGGACGAAGTTGTTGACACATTGTCGTCTTGTCTCCTGGGTCCCAGATGAAGAAAACGTGATATGTAATTTCCGCTCTCTGCGGGCCCCGTCTGGCATCAAGACTATCCGGTGATCCTCGAATTGCCATCTAACCATGCCAAGATATATGGGCGTCAAGCCTCTCGCCGTGGGAATAACATCGCTAGATAAATAGCCAATCAGCTTTGTTCCCACCAGAAGCCTAGGTCGTAGCGAGAGAGCGCCTATAGTCCTCAACCAGGCCAACGCCTCGGGACCTTGGTTTGAAAGAACTACTCACCGGAAGTAACATAGAGCCATTGCCTTACGCGCCACATCTTCGAGGCAAGTACCCATTGCTTGCCACGTCTGAATTGAGCGTGATGCCTGCCCTTGGCTCTCAAATCTAGAAACATTACCATGCTCCCTCCACCGTCCCGTCACTCCCAAACGGCGGCTCTCCCATGTCGCATTGAGTGGCTGAATAGCTGCTCCATTATAGTCGGAATCAATCAACACTCCCGTACTTTCGCAGCGGGCCACACGGTGCCTTCCAGCAAGATCAAAGTACCGGAATTGAAAGACATAAGGGTATGCTGTTTCCAATCGATTCGCTACCTTCACGGCGAAAGAGGTGCATCTGCCGGTCTGCAAGCACCATGTGTCTCTGAAGGGCCCGTTGAAACAGTCCTCTTCTGTGAATGCCTCCTTGGACCACTTGCCGAGTTCTCCCGGTGCCTCGACGAGATCCTTATCGCTGAGATCAAGTGATTCTCTCAACCTATCTATCATGAGATAAGTACTATGAGGCCCTTCTTTGAACGCGTCTGACCACGCGTCCAGGGCAGGTTGCAACGGATCGAAAGGGATGTCCGGTCCGCCTGCGTTGGCCATGGCGAGGGGTAAGCCAGACCACGGAACGGGTCGCTTGGGTGTCGCAGGATTACTTAGTATGCTCGGGAGACAAGGGCGCAAGACGGCGCACCCATGTGCAAGCCCTCAAACCACGAGCGACCACGACTGGGAGTAGCGTACGTTCATTAGTGACGTCGCTCGTGTCGGTTCTTGCCAAGCAGGTACGAGAATCACCTCTGCTCACGGTCGGGTAGGAATTGCAAGGTGCAATGAGGCGGTACATCTTTGATAGGATGTCGGTTAAATGTGTGCCTTCTTGCCGAAACACGCTGATTGGACTGGATAGGAGGGGTGGCAAGGCTGATTATGCAACTATGGGCATGAGGCGCCTCTTTCGGGCTCAGATGGTGGGCGGGGTCAGCTGGGCTGATCTGACACAATTGGGTCACAGGGCTGGGAATCAGGCTCAACTTCACTTTGCCAACATCAGACCAAGGTTTGGATACTGGACTAACTGGCCCTGCTAGTACAGCTCGCTGCAGCTACATGAACGTCATCACACCCGTGTTAGGCCTGGGTGCCTGATTTCCGCTTGAAGCAACTCTGTTGGCCCTCTGACCGGACTGGATCTGCGCCCCTGAGCCTAGGAGGTAGCACTCTTCGGGGAAGGGATCGAGCAGCCATCCGCTCTGTATCTGATCCTAAGCCTGCTCTACCACATCTGGAAGTTCTCTGGATCTATCTTGAATCAAGCCGATGTTAGTTTTGTTTTCCTACATCAGGGATGTGTCCGGCCGCCACCACATGGGAATACCCGGATGTGAGCAACGTGGCCACTAGCTCATGGTATCAGAATGTCCAGGTCTCGGGATATGCAACCCAGCCTCAGGGTTATTCATACGAATATGGTGAAAGCACGCCTAGAACCACGGTTCCAGCGGATCGACACACCTCACGGAGGACAAAGGAACCTAAATACTACCGGGACGAGAAACCGGGAGCCTATCGGACCTCTTCCAAAGTCCACTCCGTGAATCACGATGATAGACGCGATAAAGGGACAGAGAAGCGTTTCTCATCCACACCAGTGGCGGAGACGAGTCGTTCCGCGGACACGCCAGTGTTGTCGACACCTTTGGCCTCGTCTCCCGTGCAAGGAGATTTGCCATTACGAACAAATTCTATGGTGCTCAACTCTGGGATCTCATCTATTCCGACTGTCGTTCAGCCGGCGAGAAACAGTCTGCAAGAATTAGAAGACCTCTTCGATCTCGCGACGGCCGAGCTTGATGCGCACCCATCCAAGAGTACGTCCAGTCATGAACCCCAGCCTCTGTACGATATCTAATCATCTAACTACTCTGCCATCTTGAAAGAGCCTCCGTGGGGTAGGGTTGGGGCTTTGCTTCCACAGGATGCAGCCAAAGTCATCTATGAAGCGGAGGGCGCCCATAGCAAGAACCTTGGGAAGCTGACCTTGGACAAGTTGAAGAGAGCAGCACACAAGGTGTCAAGTCAGGTGACGAGAAGAACAAAGCCCTCCGAAAGGAAGCCATCCCCTCGAGGCGAAGCCAGGAAGTCGAAACGTGACTCTGAGAAGACGTCACACAAGGAATCCAAGAGCAAGTCCATATTTCGGTGATCTGGCTTGGAATTCGAGGGTACACATCACATGGCCATTTGGCAGATAGAGGCCAAATATTTTAGTTATACTTGGGATGAGCATTTGTATGAGGCAGCTGTCGGACTCGACAGACGGGGTTAGTGGCATATGTGACGATTATGTTTCCTATCATGGATGTCTCTTATCCTTTCATATTTCCTTGGTTTCTCTTCCGTGCTACTCCCTTATCAAGTTCTCATGGCAAAGAATGCTTATTCGTCTTGAAGAATTCTTGCACAAACCCAATAATCGAATTTCAACCGTAGGAACATTCTTCTAGACATGCAAATACAAAGGTAGCCTATGACCGGATATCTGTAAAAAGTCAAGCTTGGAATGCCAGAAAATACTAAAGGGGGTATCTACGACTTCTAGGAATGAACAGTAGCTTTCTAACACTGTTTCTGCCCTATGTCTTAGGGTGATCTATGCCAAACTGCATCGACGTGTCGAATCCTCCCCCCATGGTATCCCACCACGGTGATACGTGATCTCCCTTCCAACAGCCACCTCTCCCAGTCATGTCCTTCGTACGATTGGGGCCAGTGAGTCGTCTTCTCCTCGGCAACTATGTGTTCTCGTCTGATCCAGCATAGGCACCTCATCCCCGCAATCCAGACTCTCCACCGTCTTCTGTATGGAATTCCTCTAGGATCCCCATGGCTACCTGCGGCGATACTCCCTCGGCTTTCCTTGCTGCAAATCCGCGATCGTTAGCCTCTACGAGAACTGACTCGCCATAAAGCGAACATGGGACGCTAAGACAACCACATACCTGACCATGGAAATGCCGTCACGGCTTCTTCTCGTCTCATGGAGCCCACCTCTTCCCAAGCTTGGTCGAAGAGATCACCCAAACCTGTGTCTGGACGCGTCTCTTCTGTCCCACCACCTGGTGTGTGCACCACCTTCTTTTGCCTCTCTTCTCCTGTAATACATCGGTATGGGCTGCTGTCGCGTGAGCTGGGACGCTTCTGTCGACGAGGGCCACGCTCGTCGCAATCGTGCGTCTGGTCTTCGTCTTCGCGCGGCTCTGGGGGTGCTTCGCAATCGAATCAGCAATTGATGCGGCTCTGCTTTGTGGGGTGCTGCCGACCGGCTGTCGCGCTGCGGTAGTCGATGCATGCGGCTCGCTGGTGGTCAAGGCAGACTTTTCGGGCGCATGGGAAGGCGGACGGTGTGGAGCATCGTCGATGCGACAGCTTGGTTCGCGCACTATGCGGAAGACGACACGTCTCAGGATCCAGACTCACATCTTGAACGGGCGTACAGCCACAGCGCTGCTGCTATCGCCGCGAAGAGGACGAAGTAGCGACTCATTGTCGGCGTGCCTCGGGTTCTGGCAGACTCCTCCGGAAAACTATCATCGCGAACAGCACGGGCAATACACGATGCGCGCTGCGGTTCGTTTTGTCGAAGTTCGCCAGAGCAAGGCCAAGCGCCGCGGGCGCAAACTTGATCCCTGGATCCCTGAAATGATTAAGTTGGGGTTACAATGTAGCGGCGGGGGGCTGAGTGTCGCGTCCGTCCCGGCACAGGAAATTGATGAGCAGTTGGCCCCCTTGCCGCCCCCTTGTGATGGATGCCAATAGCTCTAAAACGAGGCGTTCTCGTCGGGATGATCTTTGGCGAGTACTGCTCAGTGTTTTGACGACTGGACAAGGAGAGATCTCAACAGAAAAAGCAACAGCCAAATAAAAAGCAAGGGTTTGCATTCTCGGCGAAAACGGACGCAAGTTTGTGCGCAGCAGAGGACTGCCAGTGGCCACGCTGGCGCTGTGGAATGCGGGAAGGGGCATGTTTGGCCCTCATGTCCCCATGGACTACCAATCGAATTCAGGACTGCTCCCAACGCTGCTACGGCATGTTTGGCTGTGGTAGTCTTGGGTTGATGCAGTCATACCTTAGGATTGCGGGTATCGACACATCATGGTCTCTACCTTTGTCCGTTGCATTGGGCATTGCGAAACACTGCTTGATTCAAATTGTGATATATTGCCTAACGATTTACCCAGTGAAGGAAGAACAGCAAGTCTCAAGCTCAAATTCAACGTGTAGTATCAAATCATCATTCGTAAGCAGCACGGAAGCATTCGCTCCCTGAGTAAGCCGTCTTTTACCTGACCAGGGCTGCATTCCCAAACTTCGGTAATCCCATGTCACATTCGGTCTACAAGTAATTAGATGGGGAACCCTTGACGGCTTTTGGTCACCTTGACTGACCGATACCCCCGAACCGGGTTAAGCTCCGGCTCGCCATGTGGTGTAGGTGGACCAACAAGGACCAGGGTTGATATCGCCTCGTAATCATCATGTCTTTGAAGGAGGATCATCCCTGTCAGGGGATAAGGAAACTTCAGATAAGGCTCGAGCTTTGGCTGTCTCGGGGTGATTTTCACCCAATACCACTGGCAGATCATCAAGAGGTTTCTTCAAGAACGATTGTGCTGCCTCGGGATCGCCTTGCTCCAGGGCCAGGCGAGCAGATGCGACTTGCAGCATCAAGGAAATGGGGCTGTCCTGTGCTACCACATCTGCAGACTGTGCCGCTGATTCCAGGGTCTTCTTTGCCTCATGCAGCCAGCCAGCACTGATCTGACCGTCGGCCAGTGCGATGCGTGTGGAAAGGTGCATCACGAAAGCCTTGGGCGAAGTTTTTAACTGAGAGGCTAACAGATCGCCCAAAGTCTCAACGGCAGCGTCGAATTTGCCAGACTTTGTCTGAAGGATCCCTATCTCCTGCTGACATTCAAGGACCGAAGGGGCATCTAGGCCATGGTGGCGGCGTTCCGCAGCGAGGGCTCTCGCAAGGCAGTCTGCGGCCTCATCGTAGCGGCCCTCTTCCCGATTGAGGACTCCAATATTCAGCAGGGTTCGCAGCTGTGACGTCTCGTCCGGCGCAAATCCCAAGGCTTCCTGTCCTCGCCATGCCTCCTCCAGTAGGCTCCTCGCCTGGGTCAAACGTCCGAGGTAGCAACACATGCGACCCAAAGCGTTGGCACTGCGTAATGTCTCAGGATGACTGCGCCCTAGGATACTCTTACGCTCCGAGTATGCCTCCTGCATAGCTGTCGTTGCATCTGTCCACTTGCCCATATCATGAAGAATGATAGCTCGGCGGTGTTTCAGGGTCAACAAGTCGGCCATGTCACCATCTTCGCCAGTGGCATCTGCCAGTGCCTTGTCGAGTAGAGCCACTGCTTCTTGGAAACGACCTTTTTGACGATACAAGAGCGCAAGTGAGGAAGATGCTTCCCTACCGTGCTTCCCGAGTGTGCCGCACGGCTGAGTATCATGCTCTATAACGCTAAGAAGACGGGGCTCGGCTTTCTCAAATCGGTAACATCGTCGATACACCATACCCAGAGCAGCCTCGGCCGCGAGTGTGTCTGGGTGACTCTCGCCACACGACTTTGCTAAGAGCAATTGGACATGTTCTAGAAGCTCTTCCGCTTCTTCGTACCGAGACTCGAGTATCAGGAGCTCGCCCAGCCACCGGCTCGAGTTCAGTGTGAGTAAAGATGAGGGCACACTTTGAACCGAGCTTAGAGCTTCGAATATGAGTTTCGCATGTCGAATGCTTCCAGACGTTTTCATCAAAACGCCTATCTGGTAAAAAGAGCGGATTGCGATCGGGTTTGCCAAGATTGATGGCATAACGTGCCCCGTTGGATGCTCACAAATTAGATCCATGCATGTTTGCGCGTGCGGGAGCAGTTTGAACAGCGAGGAGGATAAGGTTGCGGCCTGACTTTCGATGATTTGCCCAATAATTATCATGGCACGGATGTTGGTCCTCATACATTCCGCAGGACCAAGTCTCTGTCGTGCCCAAGCATGCACCAGCGGGTGGAGATTGATGAATCCATCAGCGCTGCGCTTCGCTAAAGAGGACACGAACAGGTTTCGAAACGCCTCTGTCAGTTGGAAAGGTCTTTCACGGGCCTCCTGTAGCCATTGGAGGTCTTGTGGAAGGAGAAAAGGCTTGTTTTGCTCAGTCGACTTGGCCAGAAACATTGCCTCCCAAATCATCTGCCTGTCGGAGAAGCCGAGGACCTGGAGCAGCTCCGCAGCTGCTTGGTTCTTTCGTACGAGGCGCTCAAAAGAGATCTCCCACGTCCTGAAGACAGATATCTTCGGTCCCCAGCTCTTGCTAAAGCTTAACATGTCGCGAGGATGGCTTTTCAATTTGGGTAGGTACTCGGACAGTGCGATCTGCGTTTCGCTAATGAAAGCGCCGGCGTTCTCCAGAGCCAGAGGCAAGTACCCTAGTTCTTTTGCTATGGCCATAGCGTCCCTTGTATCTACTAAATGATCAGCTCTGATCGTACTTAGCATAGCGGTCAAAGAATTCTTACCTGTGTCAGTCTTCCTTCGATAAGGGGCATTTTCCACTATGATTTTGGCTGCCTCGTTCTCGTCAATGACATCTACTGGTATACTGAAGCCGAGATTAGCTGCCGTGGTGAGGCGGCTGGTGATAATGATACGGCCTGCTGGGCTTTGTGGCATGTATCTCTTAGCTGGATACTGGGCATCGTCGACATTGTCCAGTATCAACAGCCACGTAAAGTTCCCATCGTCTGTCGAGAGGAAATCCAGCACTGCCTGGGCTATCTTCGGCAACACTCTGCTGTCGGTAGATAGTTGGTACGCACTTGAAAGATAGTCACCGATCCTAAGTCGCGTCGTAAGCGCCTGGTATCCCTCTAAATCGCCAGATGCAACGACAGCGCTTACGTAGCGCTGAGCAAAGCTCCGTAGAGACAATAGGGTATTCGTCTCGTTTGACCCATCCACCCACACAACAGCGGAGAAACTCCCCTTACATTGTGCGGCGAAGGTGGATGCAGCGCATGTCTTGCCCACGCCGCCCATGCCGTTGAGGACAAGGATTCGGGTGGACTGCGCGGTATGCTCCACCTCATCGGGAACTGGAAACATGTAGGACATCATAGCAGTCAGTAGCTTCTCCCTTCCGAAAAAGCAGCCCGGCTGATGCTGATCTTCCATCCATAATGGGGCATTGGGCAGTGGGCTCAGTGGCATGGTGAAGGTAGTCAGCGAGGTAGCGAGTGTAGTGGCTAAATTGAACACTGCTTGTGAGCTTCGCGATCCGGAATTCATCCAGGCTTTATCGCTTACCTCTTGATAGCGGTTGAGGTTGTGTCACTGGCACATTCCAATCACTGCACGCGCCGGATTTAGCGGCCAATGACTGGTCCAACATCTGCTGCAGGTGGTACAGGATGCTTTGGTAGTTTTCGTCTTTTTCGTGGTCGAAACGGATTAAATCCTGGTGGTCTCGAGGCCACGACAACGATTTGCCACGTGCGTGACCAGGGATGACTGCAGATGTGGATGGGACAATCTTGAGTCGTGTTTTTCACAGTCAACACTCGGATCCATTAAGATGACTTTGTCATTAATTTGTAATGAAACGGTGATCTTACCAAAATACTCTTGAAGGGAAGAACCTTGGTCTTCCTTGTTTCACAAACGAAGATCAAATCAATGTTCGGGCTGACCCTGCGAAAAGGATGGTCCTGGGCGCGCAGTAGCTCCGAATCTGCTCGCAGATGTCGAATAATTCGTGTGTTGGTGTTCACAAAGCACGAGAGCAACTTGAGGAAGAAATTTCCCCAGAACGCAATCCTGCTGCCGGAATGGGGTGTGCCAAAGAACACCACGCCAAGGGTTGAGCTCTTTATCAAGGACTTAGCAGAACTACACTGGCTTGAACGTATTATCATCTGCGACACGAGTTAGGACAACCTCGCACGACAACTTGTGAGACTGTGGTGCTCATCAGCTTGTACCTCCTTCACCAAGAGTCCACCCAAACTGTGAGCCAAAAAGATGATCGGATGGCGTTCCGTCTGCGAACAAACTTGTCAGTTGTTCTTGTTCGAGATCTCCATAGCAACGAAGAGCATGGGACTAACCTTGGTTCTCTCTCGGAACTCTTGAAGCTTGGCGAGGAAGTCTTCGGCGTGTTCATGAAAGAATTCCACATTCGACCCTCCTTTCCCTCCATGCGTTCGTACGTTATATCCGTACGAAAGTACGCGTGCGCTTGGTATGTCGTCTGGAAGCAGGTCGGACAGCCAGTTTCTGCCAGACGAGCTTGAAGTCCAGGATCTTTCCCAATGGCCGTTGAGACCATGTACGGCAACGATGCTGGGACAGTGTGAGCACTCTACATTTCCATACTTGCCAAGTAGATTTGGCTGACATGTGGATACAGGGAAAAGAACATAGACATACTCAATTGATGCTTCAGACCCTGCTGCATCGGTCGGGCTGCTGGCAGACCTAACTAACTTCACACCCCAGTCTCCAGCATGCTGCCCTGGCACACACCTTGCGGGCAGGAGGATGTCCGGCTTCTCCATGGGCTTAACTCTTTCCCGCCCATGTCCTAAGTGTGATGAGCGGGTACTTCCTGACCTCCGGATGGCGATGCTTCGTGATGTCTGCCGGCGGTGAGTAGTGGTGAGGAATTTTCCCCGCCCAAGATCTGGGAATGGGCAATCTGCCTAAGACCACATCAAGGTAAGGCATCCTGGCTCAGCCTGATTGACCGTATTCACTCTGCAGACAATAAAGGGACCGAGGCGCGCCCTCGAGTGCCCAAGATGGGTGGTGCCCGCATGGTACGATTCGAGAGGCAGACCACCCCACGTTTTTGAAGTGGACATGCAGCAAATGGCTGCAAGAGCAAGATGCACACATTCTAGACCACCAATCAGCTCAAATCCAGATTCCTCCGCTACAGCAAGCTAATGTAAGATGGTCGAGAGACGTGGCATTATTCATGGAGGCTGCGTAGATTTTATTTGTCAGTGTGGGCGGAGTTCATCCTGACCGAAACCACTTCCAACCTATCACACTCGACCGTGAAGACACTTCACACACGTATAGACACAAGGTGGTATGCAACTTTTCGAGTTTGAATATTACCAGTAACCCCAGAGGTAGGTTAGACAGAATTATGATGTATTTCAGATACTGATTTATGAGAATCAATTCATCTCCGAAACATCTTAGTCGGACCATTGGTCAACCAAATCATCAAGGTTGGCTCCCCATGCCAGTTGCCTTAAATTGAGGCGGGTACTGAGTCCCTGATACTGAGAGCCCGACTTATGTAAATAACCCCCGCCTTGGGCCATGATATCTGAACTAGCCTCCTTCTCAAAAAGCTAATGTGAGAAGAGAGGTGGCTGTACTGTGAGGTAGGTCAGTAGCTCTAGCCTTATCTAGCCCTGATGTTGAATTCTCTATGAGTATAGTCCATCATATCAGTTATAAAGCATTAAGTCCTAACCTGTGGTGAAGGTCTCTAAAGTAAATATATACAGCAGCTTATATACATCAGCTCGACTAACTACATACCCTTGAGTTAAAAGCGTGCTCTTAAGAATCGTAAATAAATCTAGAGTGTATGAACACGTTATCAACGAGCCAGATACCAGCCCGAAATTCTTGGGGCCAATAGTGGAGGACCATGAGCGTAGCTGAACTTGATATCATAGAGTTGCTCGATATTTGAGTTATCACGGAGAACAAACAATGGCCAATAAGACAGTTAGAGCTCATCGGAATGCCCGCTACCTGGGTTACTCCCTCCTTCAAAATAGCATCCTTCTCGCGCTCTCCTATAGGCTATTGATTTTTTTCAGCTTCAATGCTGAACTAATTGTGCTTGGAAGATAGCCTAAGCATTACATGACTGATCACAATGAGGCTGACAACCCACATGAACCATTCCAGTTTTGCTTGATGACTACCATTGAGCTTCAACGATCCCATTCTCTTTTCTCACTCCTGGAAGCATGCTTACTGAGCGCGCTGACGCCCCCTACATTCGTATTCCATGTTCAGACATGAATTACAGCCAAACGCTGACTCATATGCGTACTTACTGCTGGAATCTGGGCGTCTTTGGATAGGTTATTACACACACCATTGGCAAAGTGTGGTGACAAGTCTGTGTGATTTCGTAGATACAGGGCCTATTATCTACTACGCTTTCGCTCGAGGAGATGAACAGTATTATTCTTCTTCGCTTTGACCTTCTTTATTCTACCAAACCAGAAACCCCAAATAATTCCAACTTTTCAAAAGTGTCATACAGAACGAATCACTATGGCGGACAATAGCAAACTCAAGAAGTTCCTTGACGATATCAGCAAGGGTTCCCTCAACTACTTTCCCCCCGATTCAGAGGCTGTCGGCTTCGACTCGGGTCCCAGAGCAAGGGTTGCAGCCAAGCTCTTTCGCGACATTCTGGGCGCTTTGAAAGCACTAGGCGTACACGACGAGTGGATCCCAGGCACTCTTGACCACTTCAACGACTCGCTCCTTATCCAGGGCATCTCCTTCGTCATCTGGCGGTACAGCCAGGAGGACCCGGACGATGCCGTCGAGAGGTACAATAAATTCGTCCTTCGCATGAACACGTACTACCAGAGCTTGGTTGCGCCGACGGCCAAGAGCACCGCCAAGCTCAGCAAGGAGGAGAAAGAGGACGTGGACAACTACTATAAGAACTTCAAGTACGTCGCCCACCTGGCGACGGATAACAGTCCCTATTGGAAACACATCACCAAGAAGCCCAAGCAGCGGCGGGAGATCATGGAGCTTGCTGTTACGGTGACCTCGACCATGCATGGGCAAAACTCGCCGTTCCATGACGACTCGCAGAGAGTGTGGGAGGAAAGAATGCCGGTGGAGGACGAAGAATAAGGCGGCTTGGGGAGAGAGTCGGCTCTTGTTAGCAGTGAAATCGAGACCTGTATACGTGTGGCGGGTTTGTTGGATCGAGTCAAAATAGTCACCAGTCTGTGGATCAACAACAACTAACTCCTAGCCCGGTCTTGAATCACTCGTCAATTTAATTTTGCATTGTTCTTCAAGAAACTTCAAGCCTGGCATTTGATCCGAATCTAATTCATCGTTTCGTTCGGGCGCATCACTTGGTTTAGTTGTATTAGCTGTTGTATGTCCCCAAAGTTCCATTCACACATGCCTGTCACTTGCTCAGTCTCCTCAGGCTCGGCTCAGGAGCTGGCCAGCAGATATTCAGCATATGACTGAATTTAGGTTAGTTATATCGTCCCTTAAAAAGAGTCAAGTTTTACTGATATTTAATAAAGGGTATTTTTAGATGTTATATCTTGCCTAAGGGCCTATCTATTAATCTAAAGTTTTATCTATAAAGATCAATCTATTAAGAGTATCTTTAATATTTAATATAACAAGCACTACTTTGATATCAACCTCTACCTATATAAGACAGTCTTCTATAAGACCAACTATAGCATTAACCCTACCATTATCAACAGGTTTACTAAGTGGTAGACAGAGCACAGGTTCAGCAGCTAAGAGCTCTGTAAGTAGTGATTGATAACTTTATAGAATGACGCATCTGATGGTATCAGGCGCATGTGATGATTACGTGTATTTAGGATCGCATCCTTTGTGCGGAAGCAGGCCTGGAATTGCCGTACTGTGCTGGGCATGGCATTGTCTTGCAACAGAATTCAGCCGCGCGAGTTATGATTAATATACCCCATCCTCGACTTTCTTAATACTGGCATGAAGGCTCCATCCTGTCTGGCTTGCTCGGGCGGTGACATTACGCATTGACGAGTATGCAGCTCAACTTCTAGGAACGTGACCATTCTTAGGACTGATGGACTCTCGATTTGGCTACATCAGTCGAGAATCGGTGTTTTCGCCCCTGTGAAGATGCCTAGTGCAAGTGTACCCCGAGTTGAACTCGTAAATGATGTTGCCAGGTCTTTGAGCGCACTAGGGAGAGCGGTTGACGATGGGTGTTCCGGGTGCATAAGCATTGATGATCAGGAGAACACCCGCCTTCTTTGATATGTTCTATAACTACATACCCCAATAGACCCACGATGAGAGAGCCTCGATTTATGTCGACCCCGGCACTAGGCCGCGAAAGGCAGGCCGTTGCGTCAACCCCATACGACGCCTACTTTTGGTAAATACTATGTCCAAGTATATTGGTTTTCCTGCGGCCTTGGCGCCGTGTGTCTGTGCATGTCGGAGTGGCGATTTTGGGGAACGTTGCAGGTTCAGATAAGGCCAGTGACTCATCCGGAACGGCATTCGGAGTTCGCGGCCACGTCAGCCGGGGTTGCGGCATGACCTTATGTGAGGGCGAGGGCTCTAGTGCATATCGGCCGCTGGCTTACTGATTTTATGTATCTCTTTCTTTGAGTCAATTGAAACCCGTTTGGGAAGAAACAGTTGGCAAGCTTTGATTCACTAATTCTAGTTGATGTTCATATTCATTGACCTCTCTATCAGCATACCACGAAACAGAGTATCAATCGAAGAGAACCCCATGAATCGCGGTGATTATGCGAGATCGCCGGGGGCCGTCGCCCTCGGTGATTGGAATAAGCTCCTCATACGTTCTTGCTAGCTCAAAAAGCACTGCTTCGGCGTCTTCAACGGCTCGAAGGAGAGCCTGTGCAAGTCGGCTCGCGGGATTGCTAAAATCCACTGGTTCAACAGCCGCGCCCTCAGGGACCAATGCCGCAAGAAGAAGAAGGAGTCTCTGTTCGGCACGGGACACCGATGGCCATAGGGGCAGAAGCTGAGCAACCTGGCTCACAACAGCGTCTCGAACCTCCAGTCCGACAGGCCCACCAGAGCGCAACTCATAGCCCCAAAAGTCAGCCAGATCTTGCTGACAGCCGGCCATGAACAAGGTGTAAAGCAGGTCAAGGCGTCGTTTTCCCGAAAGCTGGGGGTCTGAGGCGATCTTGGCTAGGAACCTCATCGCTGGGGCTGTCGCGCTGTAGATGCTTTCCTGGTGGGTAACCGATCCGGAAAGTTGTGAGTTTGCTTCGTCCCAGCAATCGTTGTTTGAGGCAAGCGTACGCAGCATATCAGGAACATCTGTCGCCTCGCCGTAGGCATGCTCGAGGGCAGCCCAATTGACGTCGTCCACTCCTTCCAGACGGATTGGCTGGCCAGGGCTATCGGGCAGATCCTCATCCACATCGAGCTTCATTGCCACACGCTCAGAGGCGCGTGCTGGACAGGATCCCAGGGTCTCTAGTCGACGTGTAGAAGCAGTGACCGCGTCCAATCTATACAACAAGCCATCTTTGTTGAACTGCTGGAGACAGGCTCTTGTGTTTGGGATGTGATACCGCCAACAACTTACGTCACCACCGTGATGTCGCGCAAGGTTTCTTAATGCCTTCTCCTCCATGGCCACCCACCACTCATGGTCTTTGTCAGGCTCTGGACCATTGACCAGCGAGAACACGTCCCACAGGCGCTTAGGCTTGGAAACTCTTTGTGATTCCTTCACACCCCTAGTTTCAGATCCTCTTCCCAACTGGCCAGCCTCGCGGGCTGCAATTAGTCGATGGCCACGGTTTGCAAGCGCGAGAGCGACATCCTCTGCCTTGCTTTTGCTGGGAACCGTGATCTTGTATTCCTCCGCCAAGGGCCGCCTACACACCATGGCGTTGCTTTCCATTTTGACACGGGAGGAAGTGATTGGAAAGGTATAATGATATCAAGGAAGAGGAGAGATGATTAAAATGCAGTGCGACATTGGTTGAAGGGGCCCCTGGATACGGTCACAAGGCAAGGTCTTGAAAGAAAGTGGATTAACGTAGCAATCGAAGAAGCGAGGTAAGCTGGCCTATTAATGCACCCCGCACCAGCAATTCCCCCGCAAGGCCCAGAAAGCAAAGTCTTGGCACTTCACATCTGCCCACCAGCCACCGCCAGCCTTCTTGAAACCAGGGTACTTCTCGGCGTTGTAGTCAAACCAATTGGTGCCGTTGACGGAGAGGTCGCCGTAGACAGGGCAGGCAAGAGCTCTAATCACGGGCTTGATAGCTGTTCGACCCAATCGAGATCCGTGATTGTATTGATGGACTTATCCTCCTTTCTGTTTTCTTAGGAGTCTATATCTAGGGGGATCTAGTCTAGAATAGGCCTAGCGTATTTTTGAACCTGTTTTGATGATCCCCTTAATGGCGGAAAGTCGGCTTTTTAGTACTTGAGTGGCACCTACTAGGGTTCTATCAAATAAGAGGCTCTGAAATGCTCAGAGTGGCAAAAGAATCACTTCAGAATACAAGTGCTTCTCAGCCCTGTTGATGATCTATTCAATGATCTAGGTTTATCACCAATCAGGCCTACAGTCGCTGGGATTAGCCAGGGGTTTATCAGGGCTTGGCCAGGGTTGTTAGGTGATCGGTGTTGATCTTTTTGTAGATACCTGTATTTTGAAAGATACCAAAAAGCCGCCTTTCCGCCATTAAGGGGATATGAGGCTTGTTATGCAGAGACAACACTCATTTATGAATTCTGCACAATTCCTTCGCATAAGCCAAATCCATATGCCACCCGGAGTCCGGTCTAACAGCTGCTCTAAAGGCAACGCTGAGATGAAGAGTTATCGTTCATTAAAGGTGTCATCGCGGATAACGTCACTAATCGGTTCAAGTGTCTCAAAGATGTGGAAAGTCTTGATCAGGCCTCTTCACTGCATCTTTCAAGTCTTACTAGCCCTCATTCTTGGCTGTCGACGATCTACCCAGGCAGGCAGTCGGGGCCATAAAGAGATACAATAGCCAGTCCAGTCTTGGTGGAGGAAGTATGGCGAATTGCCAGAGTGCCTCTCGTGACAAGAGTGTCGTCCATGCCATTGAGTAGCCCCACGCTCGTGAAGGGCCTAAAACCAGAGACTGTATTAGGTAATGGCAAGGCACACCCTGGATGCTCCCTTGCAAAGAGCCGAGAAGAGGGACGACATTATGTCATATGGTAGTACATAAAGTACAAGCTAATAAGTCAGAGGACGCCCTCAGACGATGAGAAGTGGACACCAAACTTGGAAGCCGTACGCGCGACGATACGATTTGCAATGACTACAGGTCGACTAGATGAGAACTAAACAGTTAGACCATACACCACCTAGAATAATAGCAGGTGCCGCTTCAGCCGCTGGGGATAGGATACTGAACACTTGGAGAATAGCCTCCAAGCCAGCTAGCTAGTAACAAAACCAAACCACGGGAATCCGCAATGATAAGACAATTGAAGTGACAGAAGCGAGAAGTGGAGGATGCATGGGCTTTCGAAATGTATATGTGTTATTCATAGTTGCCCTTTCGGGTCAGTCCGTAATAAATTGTGCGTTTGTATGTAGCTAGAGGCGCAGGTACTGGATATTAAAGGTACTTGGAGGTACAGGGCTACAGCCACTTACATTTGTAGAAATCCATTAATGACCAGTGATTTCTGTTAGAGATGAGATATGTATGCCAGAAGGTTAAGAACGTATTTCTTGAGGAGGTTCCGGGCGCTACCAGCTAACACTTAGCTTAGGGAATAAGCCGACCATATCTACAGATGAATCTTATGTAACCACCCTCACCCTTTTCATCCCGGTCGTTTCTAACGTCTCTGTGAAATACTGATAGTCAATGTTCGGCCCGTTTCAATCCCTAAGCAATCTGCACTCTTGTTGGCCTTCCCCAGCGACACCTTCTTCACCTCCCAAGCCTTAACCATCGCCCTGTTGGCCCAAGATTTTGGTTTGATGCTAGGCTTCCAGTCGATTACAAAGCCATCGGAACCCTCTAATGATTTTACCTTCCCACTCCTCTGGTATTATAGCTTTCTCTGCTTCCTCTAACGTTACTGTTGGAATGTCTGACTCTGTGCTTTTCCTTGTTATAATGGGTGCTGCTTCATGCACAGGCTCCCTGTGGATTGGAATACCTTGTAAAGCCCTTTGCTGCTGTATGAACATGCTACCAGATAATGGAAGGTGATTCACCTGTCGACAGTCTCAGGAGAAAGGGATTCCTTTTCTAGCAACTTTAATGAAAGAGAATGGCCGCAACAGTTGGCCGCGGTGCATGGACCCCCTTTCTCTAAGTTGAATGCTGCTAATGCAACCGGAGTGTCACGGAGCGTGAGGGAAGGTTCCAGAATCCAATCAGCAGGCACGCTCTATCCCTGTCCAGATCCTGTCTGGGATACTCCTGCTCTGTCCTAAATCTCCCCTAAGTAGGCTTTGTTCAGACAGTCTATAGCAGTCTTAAATTACAATCATGTCAGCTTCACTGATAAGACTAAACTCAGTCGTGTCACGAAACCAACCGCCGTTACCACGGTGCACCACCCCGGGCGGTCAGAAAGATAAGATAGGCAGAAAACGCACGAACCCCAGGATCACTGTCTGAGCTAGTGATCCCTCACCATGGATCACTACGCTCTGTAGTGAGGACTCGCGAAGGATCACCGTGATCCAAAGTGATCCGTAATCTATATATACGGACGTACACCTACCCTTAGACACCTACCCTAGATAGCTCTCCAGTATTCAAAGTATCTCATTCAATAAAGCACCTTTGAGTGAAGCTATCTTAGCTACGATCAAGTCAACCACCATTGCTCAGCGTCGCCTATCACTTACTGCTTACATAAACCCACACGCCTCCGGTCCTACGAAGTAGTCTTACCTCTTGGGATCAAGGATCGTCACAAGTGGTTTGCTTCTGTATGATATAATTACTATTTTAATGTTTTCTATAATATCATCCTATTTACTAAAGGAAAAAGTGATTAACGAGCTAGAGATATTAGCAAGATAGCATGGGCTTAGTCGGTTAAAAAAAGGCTGCCTTATTCTTGCAATAGAACTTAAATGTGCTAAATTTGTTGGCGTACCGGGTAGAGGGGCATAATGTCTGACATTCCATGCTCACATAAAGGAACTAATAGGTGGAACGCTACTTGTCTGCCTATGTGGTGGTGGGCAACTTATTCTGAACTGTGGGAATGACCTCTAAGAGGTCTTAAAATGTATATAGACAGAAGAGAGCTCGGGCTGAAAGAGTGGTCACTGGCTCCGCCTGTAATACTAAGCAGATCTTCTATCACATAAGGACAAGATAAAGAAATGCAGTAATGCTTAATAGTCACAGATAGATAAGAATTGCAGCTCACCAGTAAGAGGTATAAGCTACTCAGAAAAAAGAAAAATCACAGAAGATCAGTTAAGACCTGTTTAATGATAGAACTACTGCCATGCAGCAAGAAACTGGTTCAGACAGTTAGGAAGACATTCTCAGGATGGTTGGTATTAATGCCACCATGGGTCGATGATGCGGGTCTAATAAGCCAACAGTATTCATTGTCCGTTGACTGTCCTTGGACTTTCTTTTTAAAAGGAAACAAAAAAAATGATATCAATGGACTTGACACAATTTTTAAACACAGTTGGCCCTACATCGAGGTCCCACCGTAAAAAACCGTACTCAAGCGAACAAGAGCCGGATGAAAAAACCAGCAGAGACATAGGGCATGGTAACACTTTGACTGGTATATTGTCACACCGTACTCCAAGGGACGAGCTCTCTCGGAGCCCTTACGGTTAAGCCCGAAGAAACTCTCCCACGTGCCGTGCGGTTAGGCTGGCAATTGGCTGCGCGTAAGGATCCCTGAAGAGTGCCCTGAAAACACTGTGTTGGAGACACTGTAGTTCTCTGGTGACCCAAGAGTAACTGGGATCCGACAGGACTCAGTAAGACTTGGGTGTGATCGCAGTGGGTTTGAACCCACGGTCGGGGCAATTGAGGTTTTGCGACGACAATCACAGGCGCTCACCACTGCGCCATGCGACCCTTGCAGGAACCCTTGTAGGATAGTACCTATCTACCTTATTTCGCGAATCTTACGTCGAGAGTTTATATGCCACCAAGTCATGACCAATACGGACAGCAGAGCAGTGATGAGGAAATAAAGCCAGACCCAGTCAGAGACCGGCTTCTTGCCTCCTTCGGGCTGAAAGTTAAAAAACGTGGTACTGAAGAACGTCTATCGACAAGTGCTGTGTCTTAGTCTGAGTACCCGACGTGATACCCCTGCGAGAACACGGGACTTACTGCGGTAAAGGTCGCAGGTAGAAAAACAGTTGTTATGATCGAGATCATCCGCATGGCTGCTCCGTCTCGCGTGGCTGCCAACGCAATCCGCTTCTGGTCCTCGGAAATGGCCTTGAGAGCGATGTTGTCTTTAAGAGCTATCGCGTTATCCCTTTGCGCGATTAGACTGTATATCTACCAAGACAAGTCCAGTCAGTGCTTGGGGCCACTAATCATGACCAGGCAGATCCAGCGAGCTTACAGTCTGCACCTGAGCCTGCGCCCTTTTGGACAGATAGTCTGCTCTTGTGCGTGTCCCCTCAAGTGAACTGCGCAGAAAGTTGCGCTCCCGACGAAGGCGTAGCTCAGACTCCCTTAGCCTTTTCGTGCAATCGGCTTCTTTTCCTGAGAACTCCTCAATTACTCGCCTATCGATCGAATCAAGAGTTTCAAGCATTGGCGTGTGTGTATGACACGAAAGGTCAACAAAGGCCAGCTTCGAAACGAGACTGGTCAGGTCTGAGGTGACCCGGTTCAAGTTGACGCCATCACCCTGCGAGTGAAGGTAGTGGCTCTCCTGGGAGTCGCAACAAGCCAGCTTCGGGTGCCATCTTGTATTGACTCCGGTCTGCTGCTCCAGTCTGATGATTTCTTTGTGACTTTCTCCGACTTTATCTATTGCTGATCGTGTCCGATAAGTCAGTAGAATGAATGGTAACAGGGTAGGAAGAGCAAGATCGCCACGGCGAGCCAGTAATTCATCGGACAGGGTGGCAATTTCTGAGTCCAGTAGGCCGTGGATGAAAGCCTTTGTTAAGCGCCGCTCAGGATCATAGCTAAGGCTGGCACTGAAGCGATATGTCGAAGTGAAGCTGTTTTGCATCGAGATCTCTGAGGCAAGAGGTCAGTACGAACAATGAGCTGTGAGGAATCACAATATCTCAGCTTACTCTGGAGCTTGGTCCCCGACTCACTGCCGCCATCCCCCTCATCGAGCAGCATAGTTGTCCCATCCCTATGCATACGGACGTGTGTTGGGGGGAGAGCGAAGGCAGAAGCTATTGTCTCAAATGTGGATTTCTGTATGGTCATGGGTGGTATCAAGGCCCGCGAGGTGAGTATTCCCCGGTCGAGGTATGATCCCTTTCCTCCAGAGAACCTGTTCTAACAATAAGCACGAATTCTCCAGCTTGAATTGACAATTAGGAACTGACAAGACAACCAATCCTTCAGTCGCCTGCTCAGCATGTTCGAGGGTCTAGAGGCCACTCTCAGCGTGTGTCTTCAAAGTGGGTTCATGTAGTATTGAGTACACTTTCTAAAAAGGTTTCAAGTCGTTTTAAGCTGGGCGTGAATGAGTATGACTGCCTTTGGTGATCCTACACACACACCTTTAATGTGAGAAAAGAGGTTATGTTGAATGAAGGCTTGAGGCCCACGCACCTCAGAGTTCCATATGACAAGAGCAGAAAGATGGTCTGAGGAGGTGAAAACATCGTCGTTATCTGAACAAAGATTGGACATCGTGGATTGCCGACGGGGTAAGAGAAGTGAAGATGTTCCTGACTGTCAAAAATCTGTGTGAGTGCATTGGGGTTAGAACAATACAAAGCAGCTACATCAGGGCTTTTTTGTCTTATGTGGCAATGCTAGGCAGACATGGAGATGCCCGCTCACAAGCGCTGCTAAGTATGAACTGGCCATTCACTTGCCTTGAAGGCAACCTTGCATGAGCTAAACATGCATGTGAGGGAAGTTGGGTAGCGGAGCATGACATCATAGGCTTGAACCACCCATAATGAATGAAACGACATCTAATTGAAGATAAACTCCCTTGTCTTGTAGAAGGAAATCACCCAAGTTCCCTACCTAGGTAATACCAGAATGATAACTCAGAGGTTTTGACCTGAATTTGGATACTTGACACTTTGCTCCACGCGATAGGTGGGGGCAACTCAAGCATTTTCAGCGGGATGATTAGTGGGCAGCAGCGGCAGCCTAGCGCCATTGCGGCCCTGATGGTTTTCCTGGCTTGCCTGGTCAGCACGCACATGGGCTATTTTAGTGGCTGTCGCATTCCACCCGCCCACTAGTTCGGGCGGGTACTTCTCCGGCCACGCGGAATGCCATGATCGGAAAAGTACCTCAAAGGTGGGCTGGCTTGACCGCCTTTGGTTTGCTGGCTTCATCATCACCATCCCTCACTTCTCACGACGCGCCCTCATCTTCACATGAAAGCTCGCCCGGCCTGTCAGGTCAGATAACAATTCTAGCAGCAGTTCCAGCGCTATATTTCCTGGGAATCATAATTTCCACCCGCCCGCCATGCAGGTCCCTCTGATTCGCCTCCAGTGCGGAGTCAACTCCTACGATTGGGGCAAGAAGGGAAGCGATTCTGCCGCCGCCCAGTTTGCTGCCACCACCGCGCCAGCAGACTTCTCCATCCAGGCCGACAAGCCATATGCAGAGGTATATATCACTAGTCTCTCGCCTGCCTGTTTTGCTGTCTCGCATGCTGACGAAAGGGTATCAAGCTATGGATGGGCACTCACCCCTCAAACCCCTCCAAAGACGTCACCACGGGCCGGCCCCTCTTGGACCTGGTCAAGGACAACAAGGCCCTGCTCGGCCACGCCATCGCTGCCAAGTACAGCAACAAGCTGCCATTCCTGTTCAAGGTGCTCTCCATCAACAAGGCCCTGTCCATTCAGGCCCACCCGAACAAGAAGCTTGCCGAGCAGCTGCACGCCCGGGACCCAAAGAACTATCCAGATGACAACCATAAGCCTGAGATGGCCATTGCCATCACTCCTTTCGAGGGTCTCTGCGGCTTCCGACCCCTGGCTGAGATCGCCTACTTCTTGACAAACGTCCCGGCACTGCGTCAGCTGGTCTCCGATGCCGAGGCTGACGAGTTCATCTCAGCTGTTAAGGGCCACGAGACGGACGATTCGGCGGAGACTACCACTAGGAACAAGAAGGCGCTTCAAAAAGTCTTCAAGGCGCTGCTTACCGCCTCCAAAGAATCTCTGGAGTCGGCCACCAAGGTTCTTGTGCAGGCCGCCTCATCAGAAGGCAAGGAGTTTGCCAAGGGCGGCGTCGAGTCCACTTCCGGCGCTATCCTCTCCGAGCTCGTTACCCGTTGCCATGGCGAGTTCGGTGCCGACATTGGCCTGTTTGTCCTGTTCTTCCTCAACTTCGTCACCCTCAAGCCCGGCGAGGCTCTGTTCCTCCAGGCTGACGACATCCATGCCTACGTGTCCGGCGACATTATCGAGTGCATGGCCTCGTCCGACAACGTCGTCCGCGCCGGCTTCACCCCAAAATTCCAGGACGTGCCCACCCTTGTCACCATGCTGACCTACAGCTACGCTCCCATCGACGAGCAGAAGATGCAACCCGTCGACTACCCCTACGCCACGCTGAACCGCGAGGCCTACAGCTCCGGTTCCGAGGCCATTCTATACGACCCTCCTATCGAAGAGTTCGCCGTCGTTCGCTCGGCTCTCAAGTCCAATGGCTCCAAGGCCACCTTTGATCCGCTGGCCGGACCTAGCATTGTCATTTGTACTAGCGGTAAGGGCAAGATCTCCGTCGGCCCCACGGTGCAGGACATCGAGGCTGGCAATGTCTACTTTGTCGGCGCCACCGCGGAGCTCGTGATGGAGGCCCAGGGTCTAGGCGAGGACGAGGAGTTCGTTGCGTTCAAGGCTTTCTGTGAGATTGACGATCACAGCAACGGAGAGAAGCTGTGAAGAGTGACAGACGATGAAAACAGTGGATTCATGACGCAAAAGGAGTTACAAGGTCTCTTAAAGAAGACCGTCTATCCAAAATAAACTTAATGGTGGATTATACCAAGAGTGAAGCCCTTGTATGGTCCTCGGAATGTTTGGCTCGTGTCATCTTAACCCGTACTCTGACAGCTTCCTATCTTCTGGTCTAATCATGAGCTCTGCAACCTCGCACCGTTCATTGGTAGCGTGATAGCCTTAGTCTTGCCGTCATCTCCCATCTCAAAGATGAACCGCTCAGCGACGTCGGGGCCCAGCGCGCCGACGTCCTGCCAGGTGATGCAGGTCGGCGTGCCCATGTCCACCGGCGCGCTCCTGTCCTGAAACACGGCCACAAACTGCCGCAACCGCCCCGTGGCGACGTTGCTGGGGTACACCCGGAAGTCGAGGTTCTCCAGCTTGATGCCAGCCTTGCCCGCGACCTGCGCCCGCAGGTCCACGCCGCCGACACGCAGGACGGGGACCACGAGCCCAGGCCCGTCGCGCGAGGTGTTGAACACGGCGACGTCGTCGCCGGATACAAACTTGCCTGCGTACCGCGCGGCGGCCTCCTTGGCCGCCAGACCCTGCAGCTGGGTGATGGCGAGGGAGACGACGTCGGCGTACACGTTGAGGTCGGGCGCCACGCCGTTGCCGCTGCTGTCGTGCGCGAGGATGGCGAAGCCGGCGCCAAAGTCGGGCGCGAGGCCGAAGTAGCTGCTGTAGGCCCCCGCCACGGAGCCCGTCTTGGTGTACACGTCGAGCACGGACGAGTTGGCGTACCGGCCCGCGTGGTAGATCTCCCAGGGCCGGCCGACGGCGTTGCGCAGGTTCGAGGTCGATGCTACGGGGTGCAGCCAGCGGCGAGTCGTCGCCGCGGGGACGAGGCGCGAGGAGAGCATGGCGTGGCCTAGGCGGGCGAGGTCGTTGCCTGTGGAGAGGAGGGAGAGGGCGCTGGTGGTGGTGGTGGTTAGTTGAATGTGTATTTGTTTCGACGTGGGCTTGGAGGATAAAGCATACGCTGGCTCGCCTAGCTCGGAGGAGTTCATGCCCTTGCCAAAGACAGTGGCTTCGTTTTCGGGCGTCAGGAGGGCCGTGTGGGTCGTGTTGAGGGACTGGAGCAGGGTCGACGAGAAGATGTCGCCTGTGCCACGCTTGCACTTTGGGTTGCCGCTGCGGTCGAGGGCGAAGGCGAGCAGCTGGAAGGCGGCGTTGGAGACGACTGGGGTTGTATCTGGCAGGAATACTGGTGGCCGGGTAGCGAACTTTTGGACGAAAGCTGACAGGCGTGAAGTTTCTTAGCATGGCATACAGCGATAAGCAGTGACATAGCCGATGACTTACTATCATAGTCGCAGGGCTTTCCGAGCTCGCAGGCGTATGCTATGGCTCATTAGTCAAGGTCATGGAGATTCCGTACGAGGGTACCCCATAACTCACAGTCGCGAGCAATGCCAGACAACTGGCCTGCCAGGGCACCGATCGTCACATCCTCCCAAGGTACAACAAGACCATCAGAGGAGCCATTGCCGGCAGTCGACAGCTCCGGAAGAAACTTGGTGATGGGGCTGTCCCACTCCTTGTCCCCCATCTTGGTCAGCCATGCATAGACCGTGAAGAGCTGGGTCATGCCTCCGAGAGGGAAGACCATGTCGAGCGTGACGTTGCTATGGTCACTCGCCGCCGCGGGTGCCGTGTGGTGGTACTCGACAAACACACACTCTTCGGCAGCGCCATTGGCGCCGGAGAAGAGCACGACCGAGAAGCTCGTCGTATTAGGCGTGATCTCGCCAAAGTCCTCGCTGCCGCCGTTAGCAATGAGCTGGTCGAAGAGGCCGGTGAACTGCTTCGAGAAGGCCTTGATTGCGTCAGAGTTCCTGTCAATCGTTGGAACCGGGTAGTATGCTCCAATTAGGGGGCATGGCTGGTAAGGAAAGTTGTCTATCGACGCCGCCACCAGCAGGTGGGTGGAAGCGATTGAGAGCGGGATAGCCGCTTTAGTGAGCAGGGTATACATGGTGAGAAAGATTAGACAAGTGAGCGTAGTGATGGATGCAGGCGAGCGATCAAGCATGTCTGGATATGGAGAGATAATACTTTCTCGACGCACGCGACGTCCTTTTTTATATATTCATAACACACCTTCAGATTAGGCACTGCCTCACCCTGGAGAGCCTGGACCAGGACCACAGGGTCATCCTCCCCAGGGGCCTCGTAGGGATAGAGCTAGTCGATGTCAAAAATACGCGTAAATCCAAAGTCTTTTCTAATTTCGGCTTCGTGAACTACCGATGTCAGCCCCATAGTATGGGGCTGTCGATGGCATCGAAAGGAGTTGAGGTTGATGGGAGACCCGCCGCATGTCCGTGTCCGTGTCCGTGTCCGTGTCCGACTCCGCGTCCACGTCCGTATTGCATCTCAGTGATGCCTGCCGAGCCTCAAGAACGCAACAAATTCCTGCACTGCCACGATCTAGGATTCTAATGGTTAAAGTTCTAGCCAATTTTCATTGGAAGCCGAAATTCCCGAAGTCCATGTATGATCCGAAGCTCATCCCTTGTACGTCAGTGGTGAAGAGGTCCATCACCGAGAAGTCACCCAGATCATTGATGTCGGCATTCTGAGCCAGACCCATAATTTCCGACTCAGCCATGATCGGCGTGACGCCTGCTCGACTTGTTGTTTGCGTGGATGGCGCCTGCATGCTGCTATGAGGAGAGGCTGAGCTACTCTGTGTTGCCGGGCTAGTGAGGTGGGATATGCCAGGCTGCCGGAGATACCAAGATTCTATCGCCTTTGCTCGCGACAGAAGCTGTGAGAATGTGTCGGGGTCCCCGGTTTCGTCCTTCTCCTCGCTAGCTACTGACTGAAGGCGGAAGATGATTTGCCTCAGCGAGTGGCGCATATCAAGAAAGCGCAAGAGGTGCTGAGTCATATGAGCAATCCGGGCATCCCTAGCCAGGACGTCCAGCCTGACGGCGAGCGAAAGGCCACAGCTCAGCATGATCCATCCAATATTCGTCATGGCAAACTCCTCGCCAGCTGTCATGGACAGTAAGAAGACGATAAGTGACTTGGATGCCGAGATGCTCTCAAAAAGACAATTGACAAGCTGGTTGCTGTCTTGAATTGCTCTCTGCTGCTGGGATAGTCCGAAGGGAAACCCGGGAAGGAGTACTAGGCTAATGAATAGCTCGAGTGTACTCAGTTGTAATGATAAGATGGCTAGGCTAGAGGTCAGCGCCAGTCTATCGGTCTTTGATTGCCGGTTGACTTACGACAATACCTCAACGAGAAGGTCAGAGTTGATTTGAACTCGTCTACACGACTTCTCACATTTGATATTTGCTCATTCACGTCCTCAATAGAGGTCATGTTTGTAGTAGATGTGACAATGACATCCAACTCCTCCGACAGCCCTTGTATATCAACGATGTGTCGAAGGTATTGGTCTGTCGGCTGATCGCCAAAATGAGTGAGCTTCTGAGTACTTTCTTGGATGAAAAGAGTCAAAGGGAAATGTCGAAGCTTCTGTAGGATAATGGACGAGCTTCTCCTTGTTAGTGGATGAACAGCAAAGGCGCAAATGCGATTATCATACCTGGAACACAGGAAATAAGTCCCTATCAATGCCCTAAGCTCCTCGATACCCCAGTCGCTGTCTGGACTAAGGTCATCTTTCTCGATGTTCCACAGCCGTGGGTTCTTGGGACGATCCAACCGTAGATCTGATATAATGCTGACAGCAAGGTGAAGATGCTGCGAATACCTCTTTGGCCTTGGTTGATAATGTGCCCTTTGCCTGTCATCAGTATCAAACAATGTACAGGTGGGTGAGAAGTCATCTCTTACCAGGCCAGATGGACCAAGAGCCCCTGAAGGAGGTCGAACGTAGCAAAGTTACTCCACGCCAACCGTGACGCAACGAGGGTGTTGAACGAGCGGCCAAGCTTTCGCTGCAGACGAAAGTCATGGAAGCTGGCGGCGGCAAATATCGCGTTGATGAGACAAGTTCGATCTTGACGCATTGACAGTGCGGTCATGCCCTCTGGGACTATGACAAACGGGAAATGAGGCGTCATTTTTCGTTTGTAGACATCCAGAAGGTCTTCCGCCTCTTGACTGCTTATCACGCCCCCTATCACAGGGTCTGACAGAACGCCGTCATTGCTTGCCGGAACTATCGCCGTGGCACTCGAGTTCATTTCGTCTGGTGCATCTGCTCTTTTATGCCGCGGAGCTGTTGAATTCTTGATCACCGCACCCGGGCTCGGAGTCCGGGACCCGGCGATCTGGTCCAGCCTGGCCTCGAGCCGGTCGATGCGGTTCCGCGGCGGCGGGGCATTGCGACGACGCGTCGGCAGGAAGACGCACTCCTTGTCTAGGCGGAGACAGCGATCGCAAGAGCCAGATTCTAGCGTGCGGTCGCAACGAATTTTGGCACGGAAACACGTCTGACATGTCTTGTTCAGCTCGACACTGGCACCAACCCCCTGCCGGAGTGGTGGAGCGCCGGCAGTTGCGCGGGTCCGATGTCTCCTCTCCATGAGCCAGTATTCGCATGGGATCCTTCAAGAGATAGATAGGATGGGTCAAACAGCTTTTAGGAGATTGGTTTCGTCTGCTCTGTTGGTATTCTTTGGTCCCCAAAACTCCACATTTCTGGTGCTGATGTGGGAAAAATACCATGAGCCAGATCCATCTTTAGTCAGCACCTCATTTTCCGTCCCCTGACCGAGGCCTAGACTGGCATGTCCACTCAGCGATCTTCGAAAAAAAGCTTCTCCCCCTGTCCCTTGCCCTCTTCCGGATCTTGGAAGTCCTTCAGGATGCCCTCAAGACCACCCGTTCCGATCCGATGCTGGTACGGTCTCACCAGTCCCTAGAAATGGCGACAGAACTACATTGGGCACTTAAGGTAGGATCTTACACCAAAGAAGAACAGCAAGCAAGCAAACTCAAGGAGAGTTACTCAAGGAGAGCTACTCGAGGAATAATATACATGTCGATACACGAACTGGCCTTTGCAAATAGTTCCTCGGCCATGCTGTAGAACATCTTGCCAAACTTGAAGTACTCCTTGTTGCCCGGCATCTGCTGTCTCAATTTATTGGTACCCTATAACATTTGATGCATGTTTGGACTCTACAAATATCCCTAATGGCTTCATATCTGACACACATATTATCTAATCATCTACAACATCGTGTTTTTCACTTTACGCCTTCACCTTAATCCGTTGCAGTCATCTACGCAAACATTGTTCCTGCACTTGAACTGTTTTGAGAACTACGAGACTATCATTTAGCTAAAGAGACGTCCGTGATCAAACGATTTGAGCCACAAAGTCCCTGCTGTCCCGCAAGAATGGTTTTGGCGTCCTGCTGCAAGCAGCTGGGGAGATTGACAACGTTGGGCAAGTCACCGTGACGGAGAGAGTAATCGAGGCTGAGGGAGAGCCAGAGATAGCACTGATGAGGATGGACACCATCCTGGCAGTGTTTATCATCTGGCCAACACTGAGAACCTGACACAGATCGAGCTACAAGGTCGATCTGGTTACTGCCAGTGGCTTTTGGGGTTTGGCGTCTGAAGAGACTGTCGGTGATCTTGGCCGACCTGGCGAACCCGACGAGCCGATCGACACATTGCAGGAAATGGTCGGCATTTGCATAGAGATTGCGAAATATGTCCATGAGGAACACGATGGTCCGCAGGCCGGCCATCATCTCGCTGCTGGAGTGGACACATGGCCTGATCACTTCCGCGCCCAGCGTGTACCACACGAATGCGAAGGCTGCCAGGGCAATACTATGTTATACAATTCCTTCCGTCAGCAGGCCAGGATACCCCATTTTGAATTGTTTGTGATTGTGAATTCGCTCACAATGTGTTTGGAAGGTATTGAACCAGGCCCCGCTGCTCTAGTTCAGAGATGCTTCGCGTGACGCAACGGAATGACTTGTTGAGTTCAGTCTGAACCCAGTGCTGGGTTACTTGCCCATCGCTGTCCCCGAAGTCACAGCTTTCGACCGAAACAAGAATCATATGATTGAGGAGGGATGTTCTCGCCGAGCTAAAGGAGCGAGAAATCGTCAGCAACACTTTGACCCTCAAGTGCTTGACCATCATCACCGCCGCAAGCTCACGAGGAGCCATCAGAGCTTCATTTTCGGGCTGTGTCGCGCTTGACTCACTGGTAGTAAATAAACATAGCGTTACTCAATAATTTGACAGAATCTCGGTCATTTTCGAAGCCGGATGTGTGGAGATGAACATTCATTCGAGCTGCATCGCACCACATATCCAACTCTGCCATGGTGAGTTTTGCCTTCTTGCAATCGCCCTGCAGACGAGATTCTTCTCGCATAGTTGCATCCTCCTCTGAGCCATAGAGAAGCTCGAGCGCATCTTTAAGGATGACTCCAAGCTTACAGAGGGTCACAAAGAGCCTCACCAGGACCTGTTTTTCATCTGGCTTGCAGACATGCGAATTCCAGATCTCGCTCTCAAAATCGGCTTCTGTTGGTGGAAGTCGACTATAGCCTGTCTCCCCTGAAGGTCTTATAATAAGCCGCCGGCGCAGTCCAAGAGACATGATATTATCCCGTAGGATACAGCACCACCACAGGCGCTGGAGTATCTTCTCACTTTGAGTCATGGTGGACGTATGATCCTGAGGCTGATCGGCGCCGGCTTCCCTTGCAAAGTGGATGGCAGTATCTAGCCAGTAGGTGCTAATGAGCTCATTCGGGTGGTTCGAGTGATAGGTTAACATGATCGCGCCTTGGGCCCTTGAGATATTGTCCTGGCAGCAATTGGCATCAAACAAGGCCTACAACGCACAGTCAGCACGTTAACCAGCTACTAAGAAGCGTATGTTATAGCTATTGATCAGTAGGACGACAATTCCCCTACCTTGGCTCTGAAATAAAATGTCGCTCTCGCTCTTCGGACAGACGCCAGCCCTAGGGAGGATAATGTCGAGACCGAGACAAACTTCGATGTATGGTGTTAGAGACAACAATACGGCTCGAAGTCATACGTAGGTCCTCTGAGGTGGGAAAGATGGCTCACCGGACACGACATGAATAGCATCGCTTGAATAAGAAATAGTGAATATTTCCGTTGGCCTTTTGAAAAAGCGCCTCCTTGGGCACCATATGCGCTCCAGAACTCGCCTTCGTCGACCAAGGGTAGGAATGGATGCACGTATAGAAAGTACTGCTTCATAAACTCATCCATTGCAGCCTTGGACGGTAGGTGAAGGCAGCCTTGTTCCTCCATGGCCGATGTCGTGGGGGATGATGACGACAACAGACTAGGAATATCCGCAGACACAAAATTGTAGAATACGAACAGTGAAAACTCTCCCTTTACTATTTTGCAGGGTTTGTTATCTTGTTTGTTGAGGTCGAGGACATTTCTTTCGAGCGTCTCTGTGATAGATGAATATTAAGTCAATTAGAGACATGATCATTAGTCCAAATGGTGGGTAGTAAGAGGAGTAAAGGTATAATATTCGTAAAGAGAATGCGTTCCATACCTACGCTTTCGGCCCCTTCCCCGGACAGTGGCGAGTGATTGATACACTCTGACGATGCAAACGAGATCCTGTCATTGTCCAAGAAATATGGCTCGTCACCATTTGGCTCCACTGCAGAACTGTTCCGTGGCGGGCATAACCCGTCGTCCTGCAAGGTTGTAAAAAGACGCTCTAGATCGATCTCGTCGGTGGACTGATGGGATGCACCCATGTTCCAGTCGGTCCCAGTAACGGGTTCCATTCTTGTTGTTTCATCCCCTTCGGCCTGGCCTGAGGAAAGGTCCTGCGATCCTTCATTGAGAAGTGCAGGCTTGCCTGAAGCCCAAGCCATAAACGGGGACCGTTCTATCAATGGATGCCTGGTCTGCCGTTCAGAATATGGTATTATTCTGGAAGAGTGATTGCTCACTTGCGGCCCTTCCTTCGCTGTACAGCACACTCATATTCCATGGCATCGAGCTTACAGTTCGTGCATGGCGTCCCTGTAACCATGACATCGCAGCGGACCTTTCTGGATCTACACGTAAGACAAGCGTATCTCGCACGCTGTTTACGTGTCAGGGTCCGTCCCTTCTGTCTTGACTGTCTGGTATCACCGTCGGCCTTGCTGTTGTCTTCTGTGGCACCTTCGGCTTCTCCGGAGATCGACGACTGAGACTCAGTGAGGACGGCGGAATCTGCTTCTAGCATCTTCTCAGTTGTGACATTAGATATCATCGAGCTGTAGTGACAGCAATCTTAAGGTTTGTATGAGAGGAATGGTGCTATCCAAGCAAAGAACGATACGAATATGGATTCGTGTAGCTTTTGCAGTACGAGACACACTTATTTGTCTTATCTAATTCCCTTTTACCGGTTGATCGAAAACACAGGAAGCATGATGTGACGCCACAGGTGCTGCGGGTTGATAGCCGAGGCGTTGCGTATAACTTAGCCAGCGGCTAGACCAGCACCCGGCATGTCGGCCCGAGGAGTAGACATCGCCCCGGTTATCAAACTGCAGGCTCGAAAATCAATCCACATCACCAATACGTGAACAACGTTCCAGAATTCCACAGCCTATCCATCAATAAGTAATTGCATAGACTAGTCTAGGTCTCGATCAAAGCTTCGTGGTCGTCCTGGCCGCCTTCAAATCGTCCGTAGGTAAGTCTCGGTAGTTCTCGTAGAGCTTGAGGGACTCGGGATTGGCCACAGTGCCACCAACTGAAATCCTACGGCCACAAACGATATTCTTGACGTTTATCTCGCACTTTTTGCCCGTCAGGGTGTAGGGAATATCCGCCACTTGGAATATGTACTTGGGCACGTGCCTTGCCGAGTACTTGTCTTTGATCCGAATCTTGATCTCAGTCACCAAATCCTCGGTCAACTCGAGTCCAGCTTTGAGCTTCACAAAAAGCAACACCCTCTCATCCGAGTCTATGCTTCTTCGCTGCCCGACGCAAATGCTGTCTGCAATCTCGGAGATTGACTCGACGACTGCGTAGATCTCAGATGAGCCAAATCTGACGCCGGAAGGATTAAGGACGCCGTCGCTATAGGGAAACCTGGGTGTTAGCAAGCCCGTTGGGGATGAAGTACTGGGCTAACAAGGATAAAAACTCACGATCTCCCTAGAAATACGAAGCCACCTGTATCAGAGAAGCGCTGGACGTAATCCCCTTGACACCATACACCCACCCCGTACCGCCCAAAGTATGCGTCATGGTACTTTCTAGACCCGTCTCTGCCAACAAACCGGAGAGGTTGGCTAGGGAAAGGCTTGGTACACACCAGCTCCCCAGGCCGCTCCTGGCCTTCAATGGATACGTGTTCGCTCCTCTCGCTATCAAAAATATTGACTGCCATGCCTAAAGCCTTGACTTGCATCTCGCCACAGTACACAGGCAAAAGCGGGGTACCACCAACGACTAGTTTATCATCAGCATGAACTCTTCTGGGCTGTCTCTGTGGGAGTATCTTGGGTAAGATTCGAATAGAGTGGTTGTCGGACTTACATGATCCTGCAATATCCGTTCCTCCGCTCATCGAGATTAAGTGGACTCTTTCTGGAAATGCTACTTTGTAGAACCAGTTGTAGAGCTCAGGTGGGAGAACAGCTCCTGTGGATGTCACAACTCTTAGTTCACTCAAATTTAATTGACGTCCTATACAAAGTGAGGGATATCACGATTAGTCACAATAAATTCCTAAAGACAATTATCAGCAGTAGGAAAGGCTACGTACGTGGGCGAATCCCGCGAGCCCGTATCTCGGATAAATATCTCGGTGACGTCCCGAATATGCTGACGCTAAAGTGCTGCGTCAACAGGTGACTAAGGGAGGACTAGCAACGGATATTCACCTACCCGACCTGCTCTGCAAGCTCTAACAGTATAGTAGGCTTGGGATGGAATGGTGAACCGTCGTATAGTAGTATAGAGCGGGCAGCACTGATGTTGACAAAGTTCAACACCCACATGACCCACGACGTCTGTAGGAAGACATTGTATGTGTCAGTCTCAGCCCTGCTGGTCCAAAGTGGTTTCAACAACCCAGAGAAGACATACGGTCGTATATTGGAACATGATATCTGAATCCCGGGCGTCGTGTTGGATGATTGTGTCAGTTTTAACTTTGAGTAATACACCCTAATAGGAGGAAGTTTTAGTCGTGGCGATTGATAAATATAGATTAGCCACGAAACGTAGAATAGAAGTACTTACTCCCGCGGAGTGGACAATGCATTTTGGAGGCCCTGTCTTTTATTTCACGTTGATTAGATTCAATTGTACACATCCTACAGTTTGAATAGAATTGCCAGGAATCTTACCGTTCCAGAAGAATACAGAATAAAGGCGGGATGAGAGAATGGAAACATCTCAAACTCAAGTTTCCTGCCTATGCCTCTTTGAAGAAAGGTATCGTAATGGATCCCTCGGTAGATTACTGAAAGATCGGGGTTGGTACTCAGGTAAGGGAGGACGACAACGTTCATCATTGCTGGTGCCTTCTTTCCCAGTTCACGAGCCCATTCGACAGTTTTCAGCTGGATATCAACAGTTTTGCCGGCGTAAACGTAGCCATCATCAGTGAAGATGATCTTAGGGTTGACTTGGCTGAAACGGTCCAGAATTGCGTTTGCACCGAGGTCGGGGGATGCTGAGGACCAGACTGCTCCGATGGACAGGCAAGCCAGCGCCAAGACGACTGAGTAGACAGAGTTAGATACGATAGCTGCAACCGTGTCACCACTGTTGACCCCGGTGCTTATCATAGCATCGCGAACGTTCCTCGTTTCTCTCCTGAGTCTTTCCCATGTCACCTTCTCCACGCCTGGAACGCCCTCCCGGGCAAAATATATGGCCACGTCGTTTGGCTTGCCCTTTCGTAGCAGATGCTCGGCGATATTAAGTCTCTGGTCGGGGAAGAAATTCGGGGGTGGAAACAGATCTGGGGTCGACTTTTTCTGCGTCTGACGTTGCAGAAATCAGTACACTGATCAGTGTTTGTCGAGTGCCATTCTGTGGATGGAGAACTTGTTTCGGGCTATGAAGGCATCGAGTCCTCACCTGAGGCTGCAACTTGTGATGGGTTTTTGCTGTCCCGGGGGGAGCGAGCTCCAACCAGTCATATGCAGCCCTCCAAAACTCCTCAGATGAAGGACCTATGGACCACTGGTAAAGGTCTTCGTACGATGTTAGATGCAGATGATGTCGATGGTTGACAAATGACATGAATACAGTAGCATTAGCTGTGTCTGGGTCTTGTGGCTGCCACAAAGGCCGCTTCATTCCCTTTTCGTCCATCTTTTCCTGGATCACCAAATGGTTGGGAACTTCGTGTCGACAAAGAAGAGAATGGCTACTCGGAAAATGATTGCTAAACAATAGAAAGATGTATGAGAATAATCTGACTCTAGGTAATGTTACCGATTCCCCATGAAAAGCTGGGCATATCCCCACATCCGGCTGGAAACTGAATGCATGCCCTCGGTAGAAACCAACATACATACGGCAGTTAACGGATAGTAATAGAATTAGTTTACCGTGGTCCTACTGGAGCAATTAACTCTCTCTAATCCTATTTTTATTTCCATTTGATTTAAATATTTGCGGGGTTTAGGTAGATATCGCGTCTGCTATTTTGATACAAGCCCTATGTTGTGAAGACTGGACAGTGAAGAGCGAATCACCAACGCCGTGTATTGGAAAGTTGACTCTCAATGACTACTGACAGATGCTCCCTAGCCGAGGCAGTAGCAGCACCCTGAGCTCGATGGGTTTGCTCTTGTTTCCCATGACCTCGGCCCCCGCATACATTATTCGCAAGCAGCAGCAAGGGGCGCGTGATGATTGGTTCTATGCTTTTCCAACCTCCTTGTCGATTCTGCTCGTAGGCTGTAATGTCACTGACCCCCCATTGAGCGCCGGGTTATGTACATATCAGGACTTTTAGACCATCGTCAATTCACTTCCACACCCCAGCTACCACGCGATCTGCGAGTTCTTGTTTTGAAGTCCTCGGCTATATGCAAGTAGACCCGCATCGGCGTTTTGAGACCAGGAAGTAGGGTGTGAGTGCTCTGCAAGATGATTAATGTGCTTCCTTCAACTTCAACACCTTTGCAACAGATATCCAAGTGGAAATTTACTAGGACTGAACGGAGGCCGTAGACTGCACTCTGCAGTGCAGCCAATGGAACACCTTGGCATACTTTCCGAGGTCCCCCCACCCAGGGGCACAGGAATTTAGCACCACAACATCTTGCCTGCTGCTTTATCACCCCAGATTCTTGGCGTCGGATCCTTGAAGGTTCATCCCAACCCCAGGCTTTACTCAGGCCAGCCCCGGCGCCGCACGGTGTACTTCTATGAGCACCTCGACAATAGTGAAGACGCTGCAAAAACAGGATATGCGGTCTGATTTAAGACATAAAGACGGCGCCGATCTCAATGGCAGCAAGGCTTGGAAAGGAAGTGAAGCAACTGAAAGAATCCAATATTCTAATTTGTGTCTGTTCTTCTGTTGTAGAATTCTGAATATCGCATTCTCGGACTGCCCGCCATGTCAATCAATGACCTTAAGGAGGCCCCAGAGTTGGTGGGAGAAGGATATCTACACACACTTGATATTGAGGCCCACAGAAAGGAGAAGAGGATATTGTGTAAGACAGATCTTTATATTCTTCCTATGCTCTATATACTCTATTCTATCTCGTAGATTGATCGTCTGACTATTAGTACTGCTAAGGTTGTAGGAATGGCTAGGGACCTCTAGCTTATGAGCAACTAGTACTTAATTGTCTTGCTCATTTTCTTCCTGACCTATGTCATGGCCAAGTTACCAGCCAACATTATTGCAAAGAGGGTTGGAGCCCGGAAGTACCTGGGTTTCTTGGCCCTGTTCTGGGGGGTCGCTGCTATGTCCTAGGGCTTTGTCCAGACACATGGTCAGCTGTACGCTGTCAGGGTCATTCTTGGCCTCTTTGAAGGGGGTCTTAATGTGAGTCTAGGTACGCATCTTGATTCTGATGCTCGGGGTATTTGGACTAACTGACCCCAACTACCAAGCCCGTCTGTGCATTCATCGTCACCTCTTGGTACCGAACATTTGAGGTACAGCAACGCCTCTCCATCTGGTTTATCACTGGGGTTACCGTAGCTGGGTTCAACGGCCTCCTTTCCTACGGTATCAGCCATATGGACGGTGCGGGAGGGTATCGCGACCTAGAGCCTGCAAGTCATGTAGCAAGAGCAAGAGCAAGTGTGACCACAAACTACCTTGCTCGCGTTGCGTGAAGAGGCTTGGAATTTGTGAGTACGATGCCAAGTTCACCGGCGTACCAACTCCGATACTTGATTGCGGTGCTGCTCGGTCAAACTTTGCCGAGGCTGCTTCGTCTATGCCACAGGATGATGATCGCTTGATACCTCCCAGCATGGCAATGTTCACGACTGATGATCTCTCAAATGAGCTGGATACTTATACGGCATCGGTTGCTGACAAGACTGATACTTTCTTGTCTCTACTAACATCAAGTATAGACGAGGAGTCCTCAACTTCGTTGCAGCATTTGGACCAGGGCTTAATTCAAATAGGACTCAGCACATCATTCCTTCCGTTCGAGTCTTCGCTATGTCTGTACCAGCCAGCAGCTCTTATAGCGTTGGAACCCAACGATGCCGATGGGCTCATACGCTGTCACGCAGAGATGCCTGGTGGTATGCTTGCCGAAGGTTGTCTCCGCCTCATCACGACATTCATTACCTCGTACCCTCGCATGATGACCACGGTGGACACCCTGCCCCCGTTCGTCCACCCTCTCGGGTGCGGACTGCACTTCGACGGCCGCCAGGAGGGCGACATCATCGAGTCGATGGCCTTTGCGCCCCTGGAGCCACTGGCAGCCTCCATCGGAATCGCACAAGTGTTCTCCTCGCGGACAGAGAACACGGATCCGTTTCTGTGGCGCTCAATGGAGAGCGAGCACCACCGACATATAGCTAAGGTGAGCATTGGGCCCTCACTCTGCCGTTGTCCCGGGCCTGTCTTAGACTGACTGCAAGTGTTGCATAGATGGAACAGTTCTCTACGGGCGAAGGGCTGGCGACCTTGCAAGCCATGCTGGTATATATCATCATTCAGCTTACCACTCGGGGCCGCAGCTCGTTCGCCGGTGACCAGTGCAAGTACAGAACCATGAATGTAAGTCAGCCTCTTCGTCCCGTGGCCCTGCCCGTGTGCTAGTAGAAGATCGCTCTGCTGACCTGTCTATAGAAACTGTTACGCAGATGCATCGAAGCCTCACCCGGGACTTGTCAGCCCGTGCAGCTACAGCCGACACGACCAACCTGGGAACAGTGGATCTTTGAAAGGACTCGTCGGAGGTCAGTATTACCCCTATTTCCTATTTCCTAGAGTCCAGAAGTTTCCTATCATTTGTGCACACAAGAAGGTGTGCTGACTTGTAGCGGGACAACACGAACAGGGTTCTCGTAGCCTGCTGGCTCGTCGCCATCGCCATCAACCCTGGCGGCGCCAACCCGGTCAACCGGCCGCACAACATCCCGCTGCCCAGCAGCCGCAGCCTCTGGGAAGCGAGGAGCAGGGGAGAATGGGAGCGCGCGTACAGCACAGAGCAGGCGGGCCGCGGGGAGAGAGATGTGTCGACGATCGGGGAGCTGACGGCTGCGCTGCACGGCGGCAAGGGTGCCAGCACGGGCTTGAGCGGAGCGTCGTATCACTTGTCTCAGAGTGCAGGACTAGATAGATGGCAGGCTGGTCTGGACAGTCTTGGGACGATGCTGACTGCCGTGCTAGCGGCGTGAAATCGGGAAATCGGGTATCCCGGTGGACTGTGCCTTTCAAGTCGACCCAGGAGTTGGAGCTCCGAGGACTACGGTTCCTGCATCGTATCACGCTTGCCAAGCAGTTCCACCACGTGTTTCTTGTGTCTTATGTGTGTGTCCCTTTGTGGATATCTAACGAACCATTGTGGATTGAGGGCGAGTAAGGCCCCTTTTGCGAAAAGTCGCGGTTGGGGGACAAGGTGAAGACGATTCGTGATAGCATCTAGCATCAGACAAACAGGCGCGGGCATTGAAAGCTACTCAGTAGCATTGAATAGGTAGCTGTCTCCAGGCTTGCCGGCCTCCATCGGACGGACGGGTAGGCCGGGTGCCTGGCGCTTGAGGGATTAAGCACTTTCGTGGGCGCGACTCGCGAGTCATTAAGCATCGAAGCGGCACTGCCTAGCTGTGGCTGCCATGCGTATAGCACCACTTTTGCTGTCACATTGCGATAGGTATAGCGCAAAAGGATTTTACAGAAAGTCTCACCAGTGAGCAGGAGAAACAGAACAGCCGGCTTGTCTGGGTGGTGTATGTGTATGCCAGATTAGTCCGGGTTGCAACCCTCATTTTGCTGTGGTGTTGCATTTTCCACAGTGGTTTCCAATCAATTGCCAGTGCTCCCAGAGGCTACCGCTGCAGCTTACGCCGATCACTTACTTGAGGTTGATTCGGGGGGCGGCAGAGATACTCTTACACCAGGGTATCGTCATCTTGAAGCACAGAGTAAGGGAAGAAAGTCTTGAGCTGCCGAAGGTTGCCGTCAGAGTGTCGTCTCTTCGTCTCAGACATAGAACAGAATCCTCGTGGCCGTACCTAGCTCTCCCCCGCCAGCGCGAGGAATGAGACAAGTGCATGAGTCGGGGGCATTCGCGTGGTGTGAGTGACAGGACAACAGCAGCAGTGTGTGAGAGGGGCCTCGACTTGACAGGTCCATTGTGGAGTGCAAAAGGACGCCGCCAAGCCGTGACGAGCCTAGCACCCATCCTCCCTGCCTGTACGAAGTTTTAGCGCTGCTACGTACATTACCTTCTAGAAAGTCCACCCGAAGCAAACAGGCGGGCCCTGGAGGCTCTTGGTGAGAGCAGCATGAAGCCACGCGATTCGACGGCAGGTAATGCCTTGATGCAGTTGAGTGAGTGAGCAAGTGAGGGCGACGGACCTATCACGAACGAGGGGCATGACCGTCTCCCGGGAAGAGTATTGGCGGTCGCCGTCAGGTTGCTTTCGATCGCTCCGTCGGCTCTGGTTACGTAAATCTCGCGCCACAGCTCCTTGGTGGGCGGGCAGTAAAGGGCCTGGTAAGACGAAGACATTGGCCGGTTCGAGAAGAAGGTGTCTACCAATTGCTACGAATCAGCAGCCCGTTGGTGCAGGCGAAGGAAAAGCAGCCTTCCTGTCGTGCAAGCCCAGAGAGGATAAAAAACTTGGCAGCTTGGCAGGATTGATAGCAATTGATTGATGAAGCTGGCGTGCCCGATAACAGTGAACCCCTCCCGATCTCTTCGATTACTGGCAGGTAGGCCCGGCGAGCTGGGGTGAAATGCAGCTTCCAGTCCTGTGACCCGGGTGAGGATCCCTGCCTGCAGATATCTTGCAGACGGGCTGAGAAAGCGGTGACGGGTAAGGGGAGCTTGGGGAGAAACGTGTGCCCAACGGCTTGCGAGCGTGTCTGGCCTGAACGGTTGCTGGAGCTGCCGAGCAGTGCCCAGGTTTCGTAGATCAAATCAATCACTCTTAGCCGAAGTACAAGATCACTGGCATGGTGGGTGGTTGCAACGGCGTATGAAGTCATAGGTGGCGCATTGCTTTTGCGAGGAAACGAAACTTGGGGGCTTGTAAGTGTGGAAACAGCGGGATCCCAGCAAGCACATGGTCCTCACAGCCTGTCAATCTGTCAATCATGGCATCAGTCAAAGACGGTTGCGTTGTCAAGTCGAGACAGAACCATGCGCCGCCAGAGAAATGGAAGGAGCATGATCTTCTTTACAGATTCCCCAGAAATATAAACGGAGAGAACGCTGCAGGTACGGCATCCGAGAGGTTGCTTTCATGTCCCAAATACGTAAGACGGTGTCGATCAAGACGGATCCCCATCGAACATCCATGTTGATACCCTGGCTCCCGTTCCCGGCGGCCGGAGCAGACGTCCGGTTCATCTGGGGAAGTTTGGGCGTTTGATCCATGTCCATGCTTGCCTGGCACTTCTGGGTGCGTTTCACGGAAGTCGGCTACGTGATCTGCCAAAAGGCGGTCGTAGCAATCGTCGATGACGAGGGACAAGCGCTGGGGTTTGGCGAGCACAGGGAGGGCAAAACGCCTAGCCACGCAACCGCTGCAAGCACCAGGTCGTCGAAAGCTTCTCCGTCTCTACAAGTAGAACGTGATGACGGTGCCCCTCGCTAACGAGCGGGAGAGGGGGTTTCGAAATGCCCAATGCGGCAGGATCCGTCGATGGACAATGCCCATGCCAGGTAGCCACTCAAGCCGCTGTAGCTAATCAGACTGATACGTGATCCTGGAGGTTGCGTGATAGCTGGCCTGACTGACCAAGCCCGCTGGTGTCCAAGGAACCCGTGTGAGCAACACAGTGCGAGTGCCAAGCTAGGTGTGGCTGAGGTGACGAAATGGGCATTCTGGCCCCTCCACAGCACAGAGACAAGTTCCAACCAAAGGTTTGATCATGTTGGGGTTGCTGACGATGACAGCGCATTGGCGTGAAGTGACTATTGGACCGGTGCCAGTCGCGATGCCTTGCCTAGGCCTCGCCATGCCTTTGCTGCTGTTGACCGGTCCATGCTAGCATGCTGATTGCATCCCTTGCCAGCAAAGTAGGGTGTCCCAAAATGCTGGAATTGCGTTTTAGCGGCCCATCGTCGAGTGGACCGCCTGATGAGTGCCAGCAGGCAGATCCTGGGGAGGTGTGGCTGCGCGACGTCACATCTGTCTCTTGGACTCTCTTGGACTCTCTTGGTCTCTTGGACACAGTGCGCAGGGACAGACGGTGGGTGGAATAACCAACGCTGGCCTTGGTGCTCTGTGTGTGGCTGCGGGCGGTGACACACCGTGGAGGCCCACCGTTTCTTCCTCGATCGTTGAAACCGCAGCCAGATCGGGAGATTCCCATCTCGCTGGACGGGGGATGGATGATGGGGAAGCTGTCACTGCCTTGGAAGTCTGCCCCAACGGAACACACAAAATGGATTGTCGTTATCTCTAAATCGCTCATGACATATAAGAAGAGCCGCGCAAAACAAAAGTATGCTGGTTCGATTAAACTCTTGTGGCTCTTAGTAACTGCATCACGTCTATTCTGTTTTGACTTCAAACGCCTAAGAGATATTTTTGGTGCATCTGCCGTCCACACAAGCAGGTAACGTTATCGTGCACAGAAGAACTGCCCAACGGAGCAGTTCTCCCCGAGAAACGCCCTTTTGACATTCACCACTTTCTGGCCGGTGCCGAGACGAAGCAACCTCCTCCAAAAGTGCAATTATTCAGTCGATACCACTCGACAGCCATTTCATTCTGTGCCACTGGCTGACAGCAACCCTCCATCTCCATCATATTTCTGCGTCAATATTACGGAGTAACCACTGGAGATTGACGGCATTATCCAGGCGGGCCATACCATACCGCCACCATCAAAACGAGTCGAGCCATCCAGCGAGACAGGTAGTGTTGGCGCTTATCCGGATAGAGTTGCATCAGTCTGGAAGCGTGCTCCTCCCCCTCCCGAGTCGCGACCGACTACTCCCCTTTTGGGCGTCTCGCAGCGCTGCTCAAAGGTTCTGGACTTCCCAGGCCAGCTCTTGGTAGCGCCAGTTGAAGGACTTGGCGGATCCAAAGTCTATTTTGGAGCCGGTCTTGTCTCTGCGGTGGATCGGCCCAGCTAGCAAAGGGCCAAGCACCGAACCAGACCAGACCAGAAACACCCCATCCACTGCCTGTCACGACTCGACGTTGACAGTACTGGTCCTGCTGCACGACGGTTGTACCTATTGTCAACGACTTCTTGCTGGTCGTCCTGTCTGTCTGGTTTAAATATCACCATCTACCCCTTCGGTTATCTTTGCCTGCTCTACGACCGAAGCAGGCAATTCACGGCATACCCTGTCCTGCTGCACTTTGCAGACCTGCATCCTCTTTTACCGGGACCCAGCCCGCCGAGACATCTCCCGTCCGGCGCTCGTCCGGTATCACCCATCGTATCTTACGATCCCGGGTTGTCTCTTACAAGATCGCGACCGACACAATCCGCACCACCACCACCACCACACACCACCACCAGGTCCAATTGGCCCTCCCGCCGCCACTCCCGCAGAGTTTTGGCTTCGCGCCATCACGGAAGGTCTCTTTTTTCGATTTGCTTCACAGAGGTGTGATGGGACTGAACACTGTCTCGCCTCTTCTCGCCTCTATTACATACCACAAATTCACTATCCCCGCTTTCCAGGGATTTCCAGCTACTGCACCCCATACACATTACCTGCCTATTCCCTCGGACCAGCAACGGAACGCACTCACGCAATTCCAGCCCTCCTGGCGCCATTCCCATCCGGCAGTGCCTCAATTCCTCTCAGCGTGACTACTGCTGTTCCTCATTAGCGACAACCCTGTGGGAATAACGCCCGCTACGAGGACTGTAATCTCCACAACTTTCCCCTCTTGCCGCTGTCCCCTGGTCCACCCATCCATCCATCAAACCCCTGGATAGCCCGGGTCCTCCTTGATAAGTTTGTTATATCACCTTATCTCTACCCCGGAGCTCCCCCTACCTACCTGCCTGCCTACCTTTCCAATTTCTACTCCTCTATCATTTCAAGGAACCGAGATTACAAGTCGAACAATCTCTCGAACTTAGTCTCAAGACCACTCGAGTTCTACCAACACAACAGCATTCACGATCAATACATTCCCAAAGGATCACAATAGACAGACAACCAAGTTGCCAGGTTCACCAAGCCTCCCAACTCCTACTCGGTTCAGATTGTCCGGCTCCCAACCACGAGCCTGGTAGAGACAGAGTAAAAAAAGGGTTTCGATCCCGTACATATCCGCTCAAGACCATCCGATGGTCTCGACAATACTCGCAACCGCACCGCACACTCTGCAAACGCGATTACCAAAACCGTTGGCAACAATGGACTCACCGACGTCGTACATGCTGCCGGACCCCCTGACGGACCTGCACCACAACACCAACCTGGCCCTCCGCAAGTACCTCCTGCTCCGCGAGCAGCACGAGTCCCTGCAGCAGCACCTCGAGCAGCTCCGGCCCCTCGGCGCCTGCTGCTCCCCGACCGCCGTCACGACGACTGGCTCCAGCTCCCTCGCCGGCTCGCCGACCCGCGGCTCCTTCTCCGCCTCTCCGCCCGACCTGCCCGCCCCCTACAGCACATCTCCCGCCATGCCCTCGGCCACGACGCCGGCGGCGACGCGGACGCGCAACCACCAGCGGCGGCGGTCCTCGCTGCCCGCGCCCAAGGCCGTGGTCGGCGGTCCCGGCGGCGTGTGCCTGCACCGGTCGTCGACGGCGGCGGGGGTGTTGGACGAGGCGACGCTGCAGGAGGTCGCGGACGAGGAGGCGCGGCTGTTTGACGTCAACGAGGGCATCAAGCGCACGCTGACGGAGCTGCTCAACTGCGAGACGGTGCGCAACGACCGCTGCTTCCGGATGTGGGTGCAGTGCCGGCTCATGGACACGGAGAAGGAGCTGCGCGTGAACCGGCGGCGGAGGAGCTCGTGATCCGGAGAGGAGACGGCGAGGATTGAGAGGTGAAAGGAGGAAGAGCAAAATGCCGGAGCAAAAGCCACCAAAGTGGGATCAGGAACCTACCGAGTTTAGCGGTCATCATTTGGATCCGGACTGGGATTGGAATAACAAGCTTCTGCTTCGCCCTGGCTCACGCTGTGGGCCGAGGGCAAGAGACGGAAGCAGTAAGTTGGCATTGTAAGATACACAGCGCGGGCAACCACTGTCTTTTGTACGCCTACCTGGATGGCGCTGGTTTGGGAAAACTGGGATCACTGATGATCATGAGATGATGACATTATCCATACATAATATTGAAATTAATCCATCACTATTCTTCTTCAGAATCTGCCTCCGTCTATTAAACATGAGTGAAAATAAAATACAGTCCAGGCGGCTTCAAGATTCAATGTAATCCATGGATCCCCTGGAAGGCACCCGATAAGCACAATCTTTGACCGTTTCGCCCCACTAAACCCGGCCCCAAAAACTCCCAACCTCGCCAACTGACATCACCTGCAGAGCCTCAGTCGCGACTTTTCACCACCACCAAGCTCGACGACGCAAAACATCACCAATACTGCGACGGGGCAGCAAGGCAGTCTCAGCTTGGTTCCTCTGTTCTCCCAAGGCGCCAAGATGTCTGTCCTCCTCGAGACCAGCGCGGGTGACATTGTCATCGACCTGCTGGTCGACTACGCGCCCAAACTTTGCGAAAAGTACGTCCTGTCTATAACCCATCCAGCCATATCAACTTACCCATGCTAACCTGTAGCCGAAAACAGCTTCCTCAAGCTATGCAAGGTCAAATACTACAACTTCTCCCCCATCCACACCGTCCAAAAGTCCTTCTCCTTCCAGACCGGCGACCCCCTCGGGCCCCTCTCCGCCGAGTCCGACGGCGGCTCCAGTATCTGGGGCCTCCTCTCCTCCGACCCGGCCAAGCGCACCTTCCCGGCCTTCTTCCACCCGAAGCTCAAGCACCTCGAGCGCGGCACCGTGAGCATGGCCACGGCGCCGCACCCGTCCGACCCGGACACCCGCCTCGCCGGGTCCCAGTTCATCGTCACCCTCGGCGACAACACCGACTACCTCGACGGCCGCGCCGCCATCTTCGGCAAGGTCGTCGAGGGCTTCGACGCCCTCGAGAAGATCAACGACGCCATCGTCGACCCCCAGGGCCACCCGCTCGTCGACATCCGCATCAAGCACACCGTCGTCCTCGACGACCCCTACCCGGACCCGGACGGCCTGCGCGAGCCCGACGCCTCCCCCCCGCCCTCCAAGGCGCAGCTCGCGACGGTGCGCATCGCCGAGGACGAGGGCGAGAGGCTGGGCGAGGACGAGGGCGACGAGGAGGCCGGCGACAAGGCGGAGCGGGATCGCCGCGAGCGCGAGGCCCGCGCCCAGGCCCTGACGCTCGAGATGATGGGCGACCTGCCCTTCGCCGAGGTCAAGCCGCCCGAGAACGTGCTCTTCGTGTGCAAGCTCAACCCCGTCACGCAGGACGCCGACCTCGAGCTCATCTTCAGCCGCTTCGGCAAGATCCTGTCGTGCGAGGTCATCCGCGACGCCAAGACGGGCGACAGCCTGCAGTACGCCTTTGTCGAGTACGAGGACAAGGCCGCCTGCGAGCAGGCCTACTTCAAGATGCAAGGCGTGCTGATCGACGACCGCCGCATCCACGTCGACTTCAGCCAGAGCGTGAGCAAGCTGAGCGACGCGTGGCGGAGCGACACCAACAGCAAGCGCAGGCGGCAGGCGAACGGTGGGAAGGGCAAGGGCGGGTGGGGGGGCGTCAGGGAGCTGGAGAAGTGGCGCAAATATCGGGAGGAGGACGACGAGGGCGACGGCGACAGGCGCGGGGACTACGATATGGTGTACGGCGCGGAGGAGATGCGGGGGCGGCACGAGCGGAGCGGGCCTGCGCCGGCGGCGCGGAGGGAAGAGGAAAGAGGGGGTGACGGCGGGCGGGGCGGGATTGAGCGCGGCGGGAAGGATGGGGGTCGCGCCGGAGACGAGCGGAATGGGAGGAGGGGAGACGACAGGTGGGAAGGCGGGAAGGACCGGCCTAGAGACAGAGACTGGGACCACCGTGACAGGAGGCGGAGCCGGAGTCCGAGGAGGGACAGGGATCGATACTGGGATGACCGGCCACGCGGTGGTGGAGGGGGCCGAGATCGGGACAGACGGGACCGCGATCGCGATGGGGGCCGGGACAGAGGCCGGCAGGATGATTATAGACGGAGGTGACGGCACCGCTGGGGCTGTGCTATTAGATACCCATTGCAAAATGATACAAAATCATGTTGCATGTCTTGTTTTTCATCACTTGCTTCACTACTCTTTGGTTCATTGCATCTTTCTGCTCTCCTCTTACACGGATCCCCAGGAATGCTGCCTTCAGGTCCATAGCGACCTTAGAAAGGATCTTCTCGGTGCTGCTCCATCCAGTCCTGATCACCATGTTTACTCGGACCAGACACGGAACCCTAAACCCTTCTGCCCTTTCCATCCCATTCCTTTCAACTAACAACATCCTACCTGGGAAGCTTGATTCGCGGACAGCATGGCCGAACACCCTTGGCTGTACGTTCCTGCAGACAGCCAAACTTCGATGCCTTGCGTGACCGCCGTCGCTTCATCCTGCACGAAGCCTCCCTCTATGCCGTTTTCGCCTCATCCATGCTCACAAGACGGGTAAGTTTGTCAATCGTATTCATCCTTGTCGACCTCGTTGGCTACTAGGATATCGATCGTCACCGGACCTCGACAGGGGTCAGAAAGCGGAATTCAAAGGCACGTGGCTCCTGCAACGATCCTTGAAGCCGCAAGCCGCCGTCAGAGAGGCCTGTTGAAAGTCGCCAGCCGCGGTTCGCCCCTTGAACGTGTCCACCCGGCCTGGTTGAGACCTCCGTCCAAGGGGCCATTGGTTTGCTGCTTCCTTCTTATTGTGCAAGCCAGGCAACTCGACCCGGTTGCATTTGTGTCTCTGCTCTCAACAAGTTTGTCTCAGACCCTCTCTCCGGCATAATGTCATTTATGACAGAAATCCGAGAAAAGTTTCCTCGTTCAGGGATGTGTTTCAGGATGCGGCTTCCTTGTAAAGTGGCTTTTTGCTTCCGACGGCCATGTCCGGCACATGTGCAGACGCAGCCGGGTCACCTCTGTATAGGACACAGCATGGAAGGAGTGGACTGCATATTACATGCAGCGGAAAGGTCCCTCACCCGGCGTGGACCTAGTTTGGCGTGCAGTCTATTGCGGAAAGTTCCTTGGGAACACGGTGTGACCGGGGACGGATAGCAGTTTCTGCGAGGTATCGGGATAGTGTTCTTTTATCGTACATTGGGCAACATTGAAGACCATGCCATCATCAGATTGACATTCAACCCTTCCCATTGGTCATGATCTACACCACCGTTTTGATAAGGACTAAACGGGCCAAGTACAAGTGAGACAGTGCCGCAAAGGACGCTCTCCCGTCATCTTCGAGGATGGACGGTGTGAAATGTTGACAATTTTCCACGAAATGCTTGTCACTGTGTGACATGCAGTGACCTCATTGACGAATGACGCCGGCGAGCTCCGATAATCTTGGGGTCCTTGAACACTTCTGCTGGGCCATTCCTCTCTGTGGGCGGTCTGTTCGCGGCCTACTCCTACTCTAATCGACAAATTGCATATGATGTGGAGGGATTTGGGAGGGCTGCCGTCATCCCCGTCCTGCAAGCCGGGTAAGAAACGACTACGGACATCCATGCAATCGTCTAGAAGCATACAAGGGAACGATCTCGATGGAGGAGGGGTAAACAACGAGGTGCTGCAGCTCTCCCCCAAGGGTCCCATGCCTCGAATCCGAGGGCCGCCCAATGAAATATCGCGTAGCCACCGAATTATTTGACAGCGGGCGGTGGGCCGTGTGACTTTTCTTCTGCAAGTAGCCGCAGTGGGCGAGTTGTGTCCGTAAATCTCCGTCGAGACGCTCCCTCTGCTTGACAAAGCCACTCTTCCTTTTGCCACCTGTGCTCTTCGAGAGCACGGGCGCACCTGTTCAACATCCTCAACACTTTGAGGACAGTGGGGGGGGGGGGGGGGGGGGGGGGGATTTCAGAGAGCACAGTCTCGATCTCGAAACATAATCGTCCTTTTAGTTCCCGTGATCTACAACTCCAGATGTCATTGAGGGCAACATCTTGTGCCCAGCGTCGCACGTCACCCATGGGGCCAACCTTGATGGTCAAGTACGAAGTAGCAGTATTCATGGCTGACGGAACAGTCTCCCTGGGCACTTCTGCGTAGTTCGGAACGAGAACACACGCCTCTGCAACTTGACACGCACGCATCCTGTGTAGGGGCCCATAATCGTACATCCGCCGGGGAAGCGTGAGCCGGCCCCTAGGCCTGTAAGACAAACTCAATCGCTCACATACAGGCGTCGGATACTGCTTTCTTTTCTTTCGGCTAGTCCTGCTTATGGCTATGACCTTGACCGGCCCGAGCTGATGGGCCCGGGTCACCATCTGGGCCAATTACCCATCCCGGTCAACGCGATGCAGGCAGGGCGTTCGTATTGTGAGCCTAGTTTTTGGGCATGTCTAAGGCTGCCCACATGTCTTCAATATTCACAAATTTTCATTCCAAGACAAACAGACCAGGGTTGTGGCCGATCCTTACGGCTGGGGCCAATATTCGATTGTGGAGGGCTCAGTCTCGACTTGCAAGCAATCCTGGTCAAACACGCCTCGACCGAACTAAGGGGCGGGAAGCAGATCGATCATTTTAGGTATCCCAAGATCCAACCAAGATCTTGGACAAGAATATGACAGCGGATACCATGGCATTCCTCATGGAGGGGAGCTTGCTGACAAGGCTGGGGGGCGCCATCCGGCCAGCTCATGCTCGGTGGCTGACTGTGACAGGGATCTTTCTTCAGCAAACAGCCGAAATCGTTCAGCTGCAGATTTTTCTTATTTCATGGTCTTGCATGCCGACAAATGGCAAGGTGCCTTACTGCAGGCATTTTCATCGAACCCTGTTCGACATTCGTCACTGCACTACTCCGTAAGCTTTCCTTCAGGAAAGGTCAAGCAGGCACGGAGAATGCCTCCGGGATTTTGACGACGATCCAGCACCTCCCAAGACTGTCTCTCATGAAGGAGCATCATCTCCCTGAGCCCGGGTCCACCTCAAGGTTGGTTGGAACACGAGCAAGTGCGCTGTCGTGCCACACGAGCTGCGGAGCTGCCCATACAGAGAGCCATTTGCAGAGCTGTTCTGTCTAGGATGTGGTCTCACCGGGGCACATTGGGCCTCTGTCCGGTTTGTCCTCCAACCTCTTTTGGCCTCCATCTCAGCAGGCAAATCATGCACGACCTGCAGCCCACAGCAAGCAGCCAGGACCAGGGCGTGTCTCCAGTATGTATCTGAGCGCCGATTGTTCTCGAACTCTGGCATGGTGGAGACATCTTTTCCTGGTTTGTTCCTTCTTCTTGGCCAGGCAGCTTTTGCTCTTCCGTACAGTCCCTCAGTACTCCATCTTCAGAACCCTATTGTGAGCGTTGAGCTGGTCGTTGACTTGCAGCATCAAGACAATGAGCAAACAAGCGCCCCTTGTCTGAACCCCAGGTCACACTAAAGCAGCACATTGTCCCCCGCTAGAGGGTTTGCTGATGTCGCACTTTCGATGGACGAAATGGACCCGTCAGCCCCCAATCCCAGCCTAACATCCCTTTCAGAAGCTACTGCCTCTGTCTCGAAATGACATATTCCCTGGCCGAGTGCCCACAGCATCTGTGATCAACGTAGTAAAAGGGCCGTCCGACCTTACCCTTGGAGGATGGGCATGCCAAACTCATGTTTGCTGTGCTGCCTGCTCTCCACTATTTCTGTCTTTTGTCATTTTCTGTCACTTCTGTCATCATGCTCCTCGCTTGTCCCCTTGCCGTCCACGATGTGCTGTGCTGCAATGGGGCGGTTCTTCAACTGCCGGCCCCAGTCCTATTTGCCTGGCCTGTTGGTGGAGATCTAGGCCGGCGGTGGATCTGTGGCGACGTCCCAGGCGGCCATGCGTATCTTGATCTCAACCTGCAGAGCCTGATCGCTGAGACAAGGGGGGCTGGTTCCCCTCTGGGCTCAGGATCGCCGTCACAAAGCCGGCCAATGCGAGAGCAGAGTTCCTGTCGGTGTGACTCTGGAGTTTGATGAGATGCCAAGTCTGCTGAAGAAGTGTTTGTCCACAGAGCTCTTCCTTAGTAGTTGTGACTGTTGGCATCTCCATTGCGCTTGCAAGACAGTCTCGGGCAAATAGTTCTGCCATGCCGTACCTTTGATGAAGGCCATAGTCATGTCCTCGTATCAGGTACTGATGCTTATCTACGATGCCAGCTATGAATCTGGAGCTGATTCGCCCTTCTCGACCTGCAATACCGCCGCCGCCCCAGACTCTGATCTTCAGGCGTCCGAAAACCCGGTCAACATGTGGGACCCATTTTGTTCATCCCGATCCACCCATTTGGATGCAGGCCAGAACAATTTGGCCTTACAGCAGCCTGGCATGTGAGGTGGTTTAGTCTTGTCTTCTTCATGCAGCTATCCGGTACCCCCACTCGGTCTTGCGCAGCACGAGAGCTACTTCTGCTGGCTTGTAGAACAGGAAAGAATCAGAGCTGCCCAGGTCCTGAAACTGGACAAATAGTCCTCCTAGGAGATTTCCTGTAATTGTTACTCCGAGAAGGTACCTACCTACCTGTATGTCCAGGATTAGGACAGCTACGTAAGGGGCAGAGCCAGCAGGCCATGGTAGATACACCTGAGTCAAAAAGTAACACAAAATCCTATAACACCAGACATCATGGTGGCAGCCACTCCCACCCTCATCCCCTTTAATTCTACGACCAATCGTCCTCCTACCCTACTCGAAAGGACCTGTCCTCATAGCAAGCTCTTAGGCATTGCGGTCCACTGAGTTCCCGATCTGATTTCAACCGACTCCTATACAACCAAAGGTCTTACAAAAAGAGGAGCGAGTCACAGCTCAGCCTCCCATCGAAAAGCCTGGGTATCCAGGACAGTGATATTCAGCACTTGCCGAGCTTGTCCCCGTCGAGCTCCCTTCTCGTACCTGATTTGTGGATTGACCAACATCCATCTTCAGTGTTTGCGTTACGCCGAGCCTCTTCACGAGACACAAATAGCACTGATCTGATCAACACTTGTTGTCTCGCCTTGTCTAGTTCAGCTAGCAAACCAAACTACGAGCTCTCTCTCTTTCTTTCGATTACGCTTGCTCCCTTTCGACCCCAGATATCGAGGGGCTCACGGTCAACGAAATGGTCACCCACACCTTCCCCATGGCTGGCGATGGCCGGCGATATAGAAATGGATGTAGCCCCTACAATTACGCCTTCCATGACCATCGCCGACCCATACCCGCCCACGACACCCGCACAATGACAATGACGGACCCGCAATCCGAGTCCGACCAGGCCCAGCCGAGAAAGCGCATACCTGTTGCTGTGAGTCCGAACGTTTCCTCCCTTCTCTCTCCTTGGGCGCATAGCGCGCGTGGCCTGCCTCATATATGGATCCCTTGTTGACCTCAGTCTGCGCCAAACTCAGTGTGGTCGGTGTCGCAAGCGCAAGATCCGATGCAGCGGTGATCCCGGAGCCGGAGAGCCGTGCTCCAATTGCAGAATTGCTGGCGTGGATCAGTGCTTATTCTTACGGGTAAGTGATGTCTTGTTTAATAAATGGGACCGCCCAGTGTGGTGCGTCCGCCGATCGCTGCAAGAATGATCTGACCAAGGGCCCGACGCCTTGCTGCTTTACCAGGTCTCCTCGCAAGAATGGCGTGTCCGTGGCGATGCCGACTTTGGATACAACCTCGACTCCGCAAGAGTCCATGCCCAGCGCAGCACTTCGGCTTCTGAGGCCAGCTCTCCGTACACCGCTCACGAGGTCGGGCCTGTCAGCGGCGACATGATGCCTTCCTACCGAGGTGCCAGCGGCAGTCAGTATCCTTATGCTTCTAGCAATAAAAGCTACTATCCGTCCATGGCTGTCTGGAGCAACAATTACACAGACGAACCCACCGTGGACTATTCAGGTCTGGGTTGCAATGCCTACGGCATGTACTCGCAGGAAGCCAGCTCGCTGATGCCCTATCCATCATGGGGTCCGAGGAAGCCAGCGACATTGCCATCCAGCAGCAACATCTACATGGATGCTGCTGACACCAGCTACACTTATGGCACCGCGGCGCCGAATATGATGCCACAGCAGCGACCAGCCGCCTCGAGTGAGTCGCAGAGTTTCTCCGTATCGAGCATCGCCGCAAATCTGCCGTCGAGCGGCAACGAGCGCCTTCTTCCCACACCTAATTCGAGCGCTCGCTCTGTATCTAGCTCTGCCGGGCCGGCTTATCGTACGGATGGTCTTCCTAGTCTATATAGCAAGTCGTCCATCTCATCCACGTCCTCTATCGCTGCGTCGCCTGTCAGCACCGTCACAACGGAGACAGCAGCTACCACATATGACGGCGTGCCTTTGGCACCATACACAGCAACCGGAAGCACCACATCGGTGCTGCCTTATCACAAGCCACCACAGAGGGAACCAGGCGGCGCCGTCGGATACTCGGGCCTCTCGACCCTGAGCGACGCCATCTTTAGCGAGCACCAGCGCAGCATCGGCAGCCAGGGCTCCGGCGTCGACCTCACTTCTTACACCTACGGCAGCGACGCGGGTTCTTCGTCGTCGGCCTTGCGCCGCAGCTCTGCCGACTACTCGAGAGCAGGCAGCACCATCGGCAGCAACTCCCGCTACACACCCCACACAAGCTCCCACCACGGATACGGCCAAGGCGTCTACGGCCCGAGCGACGGGTCCACGACGACGCACGGCCACCACGCTGCGGCTGCTGCTACTGCGGTGTCTTCTGCCACGACAGAGCCACCGAGCTATGAGGCAGATGCAGATGCGGCTGCCTCTAGCGTTGCGGACAGTAACGCCAACAGCACCGTTGGCGGCGGAGGTGGATCGGCGACGCAAGGACAGCACGCTGCTGTTGCCACCCGTCACTAACGGGCCGCCTCCTCTCACCTTACAGCTCTGGCTTCGATGGATGGTGAGTCCTGAGGGTGTGCTCGTGTCGTGGGGTCCTGGGCAGGTTTACGCCCCGACCCTCGTTTTCGTGGGGAGGTGGCATTGCCTCTGGCAGCCTGCGAATGACTTGCAGGCGGCCGTGCTGTGTGCTGCTCCGGCGTGTGTGTTGCCCCCTCCATCGGTGCCACGACAGAGGTACCTGTTGGGCCAGGCCTGGTTGGACGGACAGTGTCAAACCCGGCCTGGGGACGTTGTTTGCATTGGTCAACTGAGTGTGCTGTGTGTGTTTCTCTTTGCAATGGCGGCGTCGATGGCCTGCTCGGCTGGATCAGCAGGTCTCGAGTTCACTTCGGCCTGTCGGGTGTGTTATTGTTCACCGAATTTCCATCACTGTTTTCTATCCCTTCCTTTTCCTGCACATCCATTCTCTTCTTTCTTTCTTTAGGTCCCCCCTCATCGGATAGCCACATCGGCCGTTATATCATCGACCACGCGGGCTGAGGGGTCAGAGGGAAAGGCTGCCACCGACTGGCCCTCGACGGCTCTGACAAGCATGGCTGCGCCTCCACCACCAGGACGCCACAATCAATCTGGAACAGGCACAGTTTTCTTGACACCTGACACCGTCTCGGAAAGGTCCTTTTTCCTTGGGGCTTGTTTCTCTGCCCCCCGCAGTTGTCAACGTGTCCCTCCCGACAGGGTCGGGCATGTACCCGGGCATATGTGCAGTTTATCTTTAGAATTATACTGCTGCATATTTGCTTTGGTACATTGCGTTTCGACACTTTCAAGTCCCCTCCCCAGCTCGGTGCTTGAAGCCCCTTCGATAGCTGGCTCTCTGCGCCTCCTCGGATCGCCTCCTTCTTCTAGACACTGTCGTGCCGGTGTCCTCGTGTTGATCTTCGGGATGCGGTACACCAGCATGTCTTCGCTTTTCCCAATACGAGCTTCCTCGGCTTCCCCTATCACAGTTGCGGCATGTCATTCACCGGTCCATGGGTTCCGATCCAGGATCGAGAATACATTCGTATCGTCGTCAACGCCTGCACTACGTGCATCGTCATAGCTGAGCGCCGCTCGTGCTCGTCGACGACTGTCATTCATTCTCTTGTTTGAATTGCTTTGTTCATCCCACATCGGAGCAACATTACGAACCAGCCCTCTCAGCATAATGTCCAGGAGGGGGGTCCTCGCCTTTGCACCCCCTGGCTGTTCGGGGCTTTTCCGGGTCTCATTTCCAAACGGTCATCGGCGCCAGAAAAGTATACCCATTAGACACGAGATGGATACGGAAAAAGAAAGATTGTCTTGCATCACAGTCTCGGGCAGTACAGTATCCTCCTCCCATCGCCCGGGGGACAAGGTCTGGGTGTGCTGGCCTGGGGCTGTCACACAGCGCGTTCTGTTCTTGTTTGCTTTCTCGGTCAAACCAGTGTGCAACTATTTGTAGTCTTTAGTATCTTTGGCCTGTCGTGGTTTCTGCCCACAAGGGAGAATCAAAAACCACAACGCGCTCTCGAGGACATTCCTCAGGAGCCGCAGGGCGCGATGATCCACATCCGGATTGCGCACGCGCCGACCTCTGGGTCGCCTGCACTCTAATAAACATATAAAACCGATACGGAGATGTCTTTGCGTGAGAATTGCTAAACGTTTCTTCACATGCTGTACGCAGATCTTGATGCTGGCAGTGGCAGTCACACACGAAACAGACATGTCTTGAGTTTCTGGCTTTGTCACCGCCGATTCCTGAAACATGACGTCGGCGCTTTTGCCGGGCCTAAGAAAGACAACGCCGAGTGGGACGGCGGTCGGTATGCCCATTGTCTCGTCCGGAATGTCGCGCCAGGGGCATCGGCAGAGTGACGGTGACTGACGGTGTTGGCGCGCGGAGCAAGACAACATGTCCCGGCAGATAAATGCAGTGCATTCAATGTGACTTCACTCGCAGTGGGCAGCAATTGATGCACCTGTCCCAGCTCCAATCGACTGAAGAGGCAGCTGGTGGCGTGCTCCAACCCTATTGCTCGCTTTACCAACCTGGATGGGACAGGCTTCGGCCTTACCAATGCTCGAATCCCGGCGCCGGCTGCTTTCCCTGCTCCATAAGCCTCTTAGCACACGCCGGGATGGCGTCATCTGCGGTAGAGTGGAACCACACCAAGAACTCGCCGTAGCAGTACCAGAGTACCGAAGTCACAAAGTGACTTGACCGCGAAGATGCTCCCATAACACCGCCCGTTCAGTATTTTCTACCGCACGTTGGATACAACTCTGGAGGGGATGGCACCAGAGCCAGCCGTTTCCGCGTGCTCGGTAGCTTGTCCTCTTGTTTTCCCCTCAGCTCGCAGATCTGATCCCATCTGGGAACAAAAGCTGGCACAGATGCATGTTAGCGTGAAGAACCCCCCACGCACACAAGCTCATGAACCCACTCCAGATGACATCTTCCTTTTTCTGTCCTGGGTTGCCCTGTTTGCGGGCCAGTAGGTCCTGGATGTCTCGTTGCGCACTGCGCGGGAGATCTGCATTTATATCGATGTACCTGCTCAGTCAGCATGTCTTCTTCTTCTTCTTTCTGGACTCGATGACCCTGTGAACCTTGGTTCGGAGTGCAGTGACATCGCATTTTAGTGGTACGACCAAGCAGCCAGAGATTCGCGAACGGTTAATCTGCTCTGCGTGCTACCTGCCCACTAAAAGGATCTCACTTCGCAGTTGCTTGTTCGGCCCCCAAATCTTTCCTGCAATCTTGATCCACCGAGATTCCCCGTACTTTAGCCTGCCGATCCGTCATGGCCGAATCACCGGAGCATGAAAAGACGGCCTTGCCGCAGGACGCCAGCGGCGCCGGCGACGGCAAAGGCGCCGCAGACGAGGCGCGCCTCGGAGACTCGGTCGCCGTCGGCTACGACGACATCGCCATCATCCCCAAGGGGCAGATCGACCCGGTCTACGAGGCTAAAGCGCGCGTCCTCAACCGCGCCATCCAGGAGATGGGCATGGGCTGGTACCAGTGGCAGCTCTTCATCGTCGTCGGCTTCGGCTGGGCCAGCGACAATCTGTGGCCCATCGTCACGTCCCTCATCCTGACTCCGGTCGGCAATGAGTTCCGCCCGACCCGCCTGCCGCTCCTCACCCTGTCGCAGAACATCGGCCTGCTCGCCGGCGCCATCTTCTGGGGCTTCGGCTGCGACATCTTCGGCCGTAGGTGGGCCTTCAACCTGACCCTCGGCCTCACCGCCCTCTGGGGCCTCGTGGCGGCCGGTTCGCCCAGCTTTGCGGCGATAGGCGTGTTCGACGCCTTCTGGTCCTTTGGCGTTGGGGGCAACCTCCCCGTCGACTCTGCCATATTTCTCGAGTTCCTACCGCAATCGCACCAGTTCCTACTCACCATCTTGTCCCTCGACTGGTCCTTGGCGCAGGTCATCGCCACCCTGGTCGCCTGGCCCCTGCTCGGCAACCTGACCTGCCAGCAGACCGACAAGAACTGCACCAAAGGCGAGAACATGGGCTGGCGCTACTTCCTGATTGCCATGGGCGGCCTGACGCTCGTCATGTTCTTCATCCGCTTCGTGCTCTTCAAGATCTACGAGTCGCCCAAGTACCTGGTCGGCAAGGGCCTGGACGAGAAGGCCGTCGAGGTCGTGCACAAGGTCGCCAAGCTGAACAACAAGACGACAACGCTCACGATAGAGGATCTCAGGGCCTGCGAGCCGGATGGCTACGTGTTTGAGGGCAGCAACGCCACCGACGCTATCAAGCGGCATCTAGAGGACCTCAAGTTCGATCGCGTCAAGGCGCTCTTCGCTACGGGCCGTCTGGCCCTCTCGACGGGCATGATCATGGCTGTCTGGGCGCTCATCGGCCTTGCGTATCCCCTATACAACGCCTTCATCCCATATATCCAGGCGAGCCGCGGCGTTAGCTTTGGTGACGGCTCGACGTATATCACATACCGGAACTCCCTCATCATAGCCGTTCTCGGCGTGCCTGGTGCGTTGCTGGGAGGGTTCTTGGTGGAGCTGCCTCGCCTGGGTAGGAAGGGCACGCTGTCGCTTTCGACTGTCATCACGGGCGTGTTTTTGTATGGTTCGACGACGGCAAAAACCTCCAATGCGCTGCTGGGTTGGAACTGCGCTTTCAACTTTACCAGCAATATCATGTACGCTGTGTTGTATGGTTTTACGCCGGAGTTGTTCCCTACGCCGCAAAGAGGCACTGGCAATGCCCTGACGGCGACCTGCAATCGCGTGTTTGGTATCATGGCGGTAAGTCAATCTAGTATATCTATAAATGGCAGAATGGAAGCTAATCAGGACCTGCTGTCATCAGCCGATTGTGGCCATGTTTGCGGATTTGTCGACCTCTTCGCCTGTTTATGCGAGTGGTGCCCTATTCATCGCCGCAGGTTTGTTTGTGCTCATCCTTCCTTTTGAGTCTCGAGGAAAAGCAGCCTTGTAGAGTTTATTGGAAATCCTGGAACGGAAGTTCAGATAAGAAGAGGTCTGGAAGAATGAGACATTCACGTGGGAAAACTACCTGTTTCGGCCCTCGATTTCATTTGGGAGAAGCATAAAGGTCAACCGGACTTCCGTACTTGAACTAGGATCGGATATTGTCCGAGTTGCACTCAAGGGAATGCACACATCAACCTCTTCGCTCTGCTCGAGCTTCCATGCTCTGAAGCGCAACTGGGTGGATGATAGACAGATAAAGCCACTGCTGTTGTTGCCAGTGCAGGTTCAGGGTGTATGCTGGCAAGAGTAGGGGCTTGCAATTTGTGCAGCTATCATCAACAAGATCAGAACCTCGCCTTAGATCTGCATCTCGAAGGCATTTTGAATACCCATGAAACAAATCACTTTGCCATTCACAGTACTGCAGATGAGGTGGCGGTGCAGCTGCCGAGGGATTGGTCAGGACAATGGATATCTTCAGCTGTACGGAAACCAGCAAATGACAGTCCGTAGCCGGGCTCCACAAAGTTTCCTTATGTCAGTAAGGCAGATTGGCTTTCTTGGATTTTCCTTGTCATTGGGGGGAAATAACCCATTCCAGTCTGGATACCGGTGTTCGATGATCTCCAGACTCCTCCTCACTTCGGGCACCCGACAACATCAAGCTTCATTGTATACACCATAGATCTGCGATATCGTCTACAAGATCCCGTAACCATGACGACGGACAGCTCGCCAAAAACCGACCCAAGACGAGTCAATACTCTCTGTTCCCAATGCTCCAAGGTGGATTTCCGTATCCTGTTTCAGCCTGATTTCAAATCCTTTAAGCTCGGCACTTTGTCTTCTATCGCCCAGAACAAGACATGCCCACTCTGCAGCCTCGTTTTAAAGGCTGTCAATACGTATTGGAGACAATGGGCTGCTGATAAGGTAGACTTCAACAGCTGTACACACATCAACTTTTGTATCAAGACCAATTTTTGGGCGCACGCTGCTACGCCATACGAGGTGAGAAAGTGTTCCCTTGGCTTGGGCAACATACAGCTCCTACAATCAAGGCTTTTCCGATTCAGACCAGTCCTGGGAACGGACTGGATACCAGACGAACGCCTGCGCAGTTATAGGTCCAGCCCTATCTATACTCTCTGCAGTTTGGACAGGGTGCCCACCGGAGAGTTCAGCACGTTTCCCAGTGATCCGGGGACAGATAGGACTCAAACCCTGCAGAGACGCCTAATCCCAGAAGTGGTCAATATCCCTCTCATCCAAGCTTGGATCCGCGAGTGTTGCCAACGCCACGGGCATTACAAGGACAGAGCCGCGTCCCAGTCAGAACTGCGGGCAACTGGAAAATTTCGTGTCATCGACGTAGTCAACTCCTGTCTTATAGAGCCGACTCAGCTCATAGATTACATTGCCCTCTCATATGTATGGGGGGACTCTGCAGCAAGACGCAAGGCTGTCAACCCCACCGGGTGGTGGAATAGTTTCTTTGCAGAAATCGGCAGTTTGAACAACACTCCCAGATTTCGCCGCCTACGCCTTGGTCGACTCGGCAATCGGAAAAACACGCCCCAAGTTCGACGCTTACGCCTTGATCAACTCCCAGTCACTATTCGTGATGCCATTGACCTAGTCAGATCTCTGGATTGGAGATATGTATGGGCTGATATGCTGTGTATTCGACAAGACGACGCGCTTGACCAGGAAGTCTTAGTCAAGAAGATGCATCATGTCTACGAGGGGGCTTCCTTCACAGTGGTGGCGGCTGGAGGAGATAATGCCGAGAGTCCACTTCCTGGTCTCCGCAAGGGCACAAGAATTCCAGAGTCAGCGCATGATATCCCAACAAACCATGGCGTACTGAAACTAGCATTGGCCACCCGAGATCTGAAATCCATATTGTCGTCACTGCCCTGGAACACTCGCGCTTGGACTTTTCAAGAAGACCTGCTCTCTGCTTGCTGTTTGTTCTTCTCCCCGGGCGAGGTCTTTTATTCATGTCAACACAACTCTCGACAACATGAACTGCCGCCGGTCCACTTCTACAAAGGCTTCGTGAAGGGCCGTTTCAGCGAATACAGAGAAAGTTACGTGCTGGAAACAAGGGACACCCTCACCGCCTACCAATGCGCATCGCCTTGGCACGATATGTGGATTAAGGGTCCGACTTATGGCCTACGGTCCGAAGCGAAAATTATCTGCCCGCCATCACGAGATGATCAGGGCACTGAGAACCAATATGTACTTAACCCTTTCGATTTTGCACCTCCGCCACCGTCCGCCGTTGACTTCAGGGAATACGCATCATTCGTTCGCGAATATACGAGGCGTCGTCTGACGCACCACAGCGACACCGTCCAGGCGTTCATAGGCATCCTGAGCAAGTTTGGCGCGGAGAGCCAGCTAGGGCTAGATGCAGAATTCCACGGCCTGTTAGAGGCCCAATTTGAAATGGCTCTACTATGGACCTCTAACTTGGATGTTTCCCTCGTCCGAAGACGTATCTCGGCAACCAACGGCGCGGTCATAAGGCGATATTCGCAATTTCCCAGTTGGGCGTGGGCTGGCTGGGACGGCCCTGTCGAATACCTTGTGGATAGGGATCCAATGAGTGAACCGCTGGTTGGTCCTTCAGCTTCATCACATCACAGCCACGACCACCGCTGGGTTTTCTGGCCAGGTATGTGCTTCCTCTCCATCTCTCTCCTTCCAAGCTAATGAAACTGCGGTTAGTGACATTTCTGCCTAAAAGCGGCTCCTTGAAAATGACTCGATCATTCAGATTCAGCAGCACCAACAATGATGGCCGACTTGTATGCTGGCTTTTGGAGGTCGAAGACCGGGCCGGCCAGGTCCCTAATAGGCCCAGCACACCGAGGGATTCTCTTGTGTTGACAATCTTCACATATGTTGCGAAAGTGCGGCTGGAGTCGGGAAACAGCTTCGTGGCCAGGGAATATGATAACAGGTATGGTGTTCCCTGTGTAAAGATCCACTCTTCCGAGGGCTCCCGCGGAACGGCAGCCCTGTTAGACTCACGGTCCTTGATCGAACATTCACTCGACGACCCCGATATGTACAGGCTGGTTGCCGTCGGGCGGGGCCATCGACGTCCGCCTGCTAATGCGCCGGTCGAATGGGTTGTCCTTGTGGTCAAGCGGCAAGGAGACTGCTGGGAACGGATCGGACTGACTACCATCCGCGATGATTCATTTACTAGAGACTTACAGTGGATCAACCTCGCGTAAAGCTAAATTCAGCATTAGAAATACAACTTGATTGCAAGCTCATGGCTTTGTCATGCGATCCACAGGTAGTTGACAGAAGTTCATCAGAAGACAATTCAATGATAACAATGCGTATCCTTCCTCTAGCGCACACAAGCACAGTATCCCACTACCTGAAATCTAGAGGCCGGATAGATAGCTAATCCACCGAACTCACAAGAGCTATCCTACCTCGAAACGATGTATATGATAGGCAAGTCAAGTACTCCCGCCAACTCTGCTGCTGAAGCAGCCTGACAATTGCTATATCGAGACATATTGATATCCCCTGGTACAGTGATGTACATTATTCAATACCCCTTAATCTATCCACTTCTGGTTGTCTGGACTCAAGGAGATCGTGGGCCCCAGCTCGTCCATGGCCCACAGCCTCCTGACTATGCCTGGCCACACACAAGAGTCGCGTTGGTGGATGCGCCTGATGTCGTGTGGACGCAGGCATGAAGGTGGTGTAGAAAATGTCTGCCATTTCCAATCTAAAGGAGAATGACCGTCGCCAATCTGGTGGTAAGACACGATAGTGACATGCAATATCTCCTCGTCGGATGCGCGGGTGTCTGGCGTGCGTAGTTTGACAGTAGTGATGTAGTCCGTCAGGCAGATCTCACAAGACCCAGGCTCGTTGTGCAGAAGCTCCGCATAAACAGGATCCCCGAGAAAACATGAATCCTGGGTTATAAGGGTGAGCTTGGTCGGTAGCTCAGCCCCCCGCTCCGCGGGGTGGGCGAGATATTGATGGGTGGTCATGTGGTGACAGATGTAGTGTTGGAATCCCTTCTTGAGAGCCATACGTATACGGTGTCGTTTGTCATGTTGATAAAGTTCATGTGCGACTCTCAGAAACAATTCGCCTTGCACAATCTTGGCCAAAGAGCTGACTCTCCAGCCAGCCGGGTGTGACGTGGAACCGGTCCCTGACTTGAGGACAGCTTCGAGTTGGCTCAACAGTAGTCCATTCCCGAGTCCAAATAGACGTGCATTCCTGGCCAGACGGACATGATGAAATCCGATACACAGATTTTCGGGTCTGAACTTGACGAGTCTGTGTCCGCATTGGGGCTCCCGCACAGTCTGTCCCGAAGGACCGGGGGATATGAGCAACGGCTTGAACCCATGGAGCTTCGTGCAGGCGTGGCAGAAGAACAGGTCGCGGGCTAGGTTCATTTCTAGGAGAAGTAGAAGGGCTTCTCGGCTTTGGTGGTCAAGACGGCTCCTCGCGGCCGGGAAGGACTCCTGGAAAGCCGCCTTGCAAGTCAACGCTACGGCGACCAGAGACTCTGGAGGGAGAAAGTCAAAAATTGCGAGACATGTGGTGGAAGGGAACCGGGCGAGCGAGAGAGGAAGCTGGCCATGTCGACAACTCCTTGTAGGTCAGGATGATTGGAGAGATTGAACGGACAGGAGTATGAGAGGTACTAGTCGAAAAGAGAAAGGTTTGAGTGCATTATCTAGATACATATACGTGAAACCTGGCCAAATTCAAAAGTTCTCTTCCCCTTCTGGCCCGGAGGGCGTGGCTGGGCGTGGTTCCAAACATCCACCACATCCACTTGAGGATGGTTGGATGGACGAGAGAAAGAGCCAATTAGCAACCGCCGTGGCCCGATTATGCACTCCCGTAGTGGCAAGTCATATCCTCCCTGTACCAGGCCGTACCAGACCTATTGGTTGCCATCTGCTTCAAATCCTTTGGTCGGCCAGAGAACTTGGGCCTTTTTTTTGTTTCTCTCTCTTCTACCCCATCGGACCCAGGGAAAAAGCGAACTCAGAACTGAGAACCTTCATGTTAGAGCTGCCCATAATATGCGCTCGCTCGCTCGCGCGCGCGCGGACTGATTCCCCGCCCCTTCCGTGGCCACATAAGTACTCAGTTTATTTACCTGCCTACCTACCTACGGAGTACTAAAGAACCACCTATCTGTGTTTGGATCTCGCGCGCCTTGACTGAACCTGGTTCTACCTCATTCCTCTCTTTCGTTGTTGACATCACCACCACCGCCGGCATCGCTTTCCTCGCTTGGGCTTTCCCCCACCTTCCCAGATTAGAGATCAAATCCCTCCGCACCAGCAGGCAGTCAACCTTGGAGGGCGCTTTCCCTTTCCAACCTTCACGCTTGCTCTGCTCTGAATCAAAAGTCGCTTCCTTTCGCCAAACCTTTGGGAAAGAGAAAGACTGGCTGCGCTCATCAATTTTGCTCTCTCGATCTCGCTTTTCTCTCTCCCTCGTAAGTCATCCATCTGTCAATCCCAATTCTATCGCCCATTCAGGATTTTTGGCTTCTGCTTCTTCGCTTTTTGGACGATCCAATCCACACACGGAATCAAGTCATCCATCACTTGAATCATTCACACGCGTACTTTACTTTACACACTTACACATTGATCGATCACCTCTCCCCCCCGCACATCCGCTCGCTTCCTCGTTAGAGTCGCCTGGTACATCCCAGCTTGGGTCTGCGACGCTAGGCACGCTATCGCTTCGCTCGCATTCTTGCCTGCATTTCATTACCAGCAGCCAGCTCCAGCTGTTGCAGCTACAGCTTGCCCGTCCCTCCGTCGTTGGCCCCGCCGCCCCAGATCGGCTGGTGGAATCCGCCCTTTTTAGAGCTATGGACCCGGGCATTCCTGTGCACGCACCGTCCCTTTTCCTCTTCTCTTCTTTCTCCTCGTCCAGCCTTTCCTGGGCCCAAGACCATGGCTGACAAGGCGACCGACAAGCAATTGAAGCATCTTAAGAGCGACTTCGGCTCCTACTGGCACAAAGTTGGGTCACGACGCACCGATTCGAGGGACTCGGTCTCTAGCAGCGACAGAAGTGCCGACGTCACCCCAGCGCCCGGCGCGTCCTCTCCGCCCCGGGGCAGGTCCGCTTCCTCTGGACATAAGCATAGCCGTAGCCACGGCGGCAGCCAGAGCCAACAGGCCCGGAACCAACACTCGCAGCACCGGCGCAATAACAGCAGCACCGACAAGACACGCGCCACAACGCGTGGCAACGACAGTCCCGGCCCCTCGCCCATCCGATCTTCAGTAACGAGCAACCCCCGCCGGCAAAAGGGCGCAGCAGAGCCGTCTCCGACCCTCTACGAACCAGAACCGGAAGCAGCCCCTGCAGCTGCTTCTGCACCCACCTCGGCTCCAGCCTCGGCTTCGGTGACGCCAGCACAGCCTCCGGCCGAGGAAGAATCCGCAGCGGACGAGGACCAGGCACTTGGCGGACCTCCATTAGACACCGAAGAAGCGTCCGAGGACAACGACGACGACGACGACGACGACGACGACGACGACATCCCACCACAGTTGCCATCTACTGGGAAGGATAAAGGGAAAGGAAAAGGGAAAGTCAAAGAAAAGGCAGTTGCTCCCTCGACCAACATGTCGCAACGCGGACGAAGTCAGCGAGGGCCTAATCGCAACAGCGGCCTGACGGAGGAACAGGCCTTGTGGCAGAACATACAAGAAGGAGTCCGCACCGTTGTCGATGAGTGCAACGCGAACAATGACAATCTGCGCTCCCTCGTCGCGCAGGACGAGTACATGGCCAAGAACAAGGACACCATGGACGCCGAGGAAGAGGAGAAGAAGTACGAGACCCAGATCAGGGGGGGCCTCAAGGCCAACGAGACACTCCTGGACAGTCTAAAGCAGACGATTGAGCGGGTGCAAATATTGTCTGCGCTGCAAAAGGCCAAGGAGCAAAAGGAGGCCGAGTCGAGAGGCACGCTCGGCAGCTCGCGCTCAGGCAGCGCCCTGCTCTCGGGCTCTGGTGGGAGGAGCGCGAGCAGGGCGGGTACGCGCGAGCGTGGCGAGAAGGGCGAAAAGGAAAAGGACAAGGACCCCTCATCGCTGTACGACTTCGACGGCGCGGGCGACTCGCCTGTGCCGTCCCCCATCGGCGGACACACTCGCAAGCTCGGCGGGAGCGGCGGCGGCGGCGGCGGCGGTCCGTCGAGCGACCGGTCAGGGAACCGGGACAGCGTGCCCCCCCGCGGCGGGGATCGCGACACGCCGGCCAAGGCGGACAGCGTCGAGCCCCAGGTGCCCGGTAGCGCGGCGCAGCGCTCGCGCATGAACTTTGTCAAGGGCCAGGATGTGGCGTTCAAGGCCAAACCGGCCAACGCGGACAACTACGACTGGTTCCTGGGCAAGGTGCAGCAAGTGCTGGGCGAGGGCAAGTCCCGACGGTACAAGGTCAAGGACGAGGACCCGGACATACCGACGGAGCAGAGGCAGGAGTACCGGACGAGTGCGAGTAGCATGATTCCCATCCCACCGGTGGGCCAGGAACTGACGGACCTCGACAAGGGCAAAACGGTGCTGGCTCTGTACCCGGACAGCACGACGTTCTACAAGGCGGAGGTCATGGGTACGGATAAGGACACGGGCAAGGTCAGTCTGCGGTTTGAAGGGGAAGAGACGACGGGAACGCTGCAGCTGGTGGAGAGGAGGTTTGTCCTCGAGTACAGGAGCTAGATTGATGTTTGTCCTCTTCTTGTTTGTATTCCTCGAGAGGCTCAGCGTCGGTGTCATCGGGTCATGGGTTTTTACAAGCTGTTTGTGATGGGGAACGCGGCGTTAAGGGGCATTGTACGGGCATCGTACTGGATGGGAATCCATGGCGGCGGATAGCGGGTGGCAAGACTGGTCCGGTGGACAACCTGGAAGGAGTCATGCACGTTGCAACAGCTAGCGATTGCTTGGGGTAGAGATATGACTGGTCAAACACACTATAGCCATTACTTGTAGAAGCAGTCGTGGCCTTGAGATGGTCAAGTATCCACTCATGGTATATGAGATAAAGTGGCTTAGCTTGCATGCTGAATGTTGGTGACTGCATGTGATGATGGTCTGCCTCGAGACCAGTCGACTCTGTCCTTCTGTCATCGAGCCACGGGCCACTGTCTCAATTTGGACAAGAGATTTGGTGCCTTGCAGGATCCGAGCAAAACCACTTCGGCACTAATCAGGAACAAGACACTCTAAAAACCGGGCGTGCGGGCACTTTCAAATTACCCCTGGATTTCTGGACGTGTTCCAAGGCCGCTATTGGCTCCGGTGGAGGGCGCTGGGACACCCCGCTAAGATGGGCATTTTAGGGGCGGGCATTTTCTTCCTCACCGCCTGGAGCGAAAGAGCTGGAGGTGTCAAAGCCCAAGTTTGGTTTGGTTTGCTTGCCAAATTTGACGCTGCCGAGTTCAGGGGTTGGCATGTTCTTTTTTGGGGGGTAATGGAGGGTCGGTGCTGCCCGAATTTCTGGATGGGACATTTCCCATTGCGGGTTTTTGGCTGCAGGGGAGGAAGAAACACGCTCACACACACTGAAGCGAAACAAGTGCTTCTCTACTTGTACTCTTCTCCACAATCACCACCACCACGAGGCAGCAGCACCAGCCAGAAACAAGCACTACCTAGGTCCAGACGAGCTAGGCGTGTCTCTCTCCAGACGGAAAGAAGCAAATCTCCCTTTTTTTTCCCTCCTCCGGGTTTCAACGAGTGAAAGTCTTGGCTCCTCCTTGCCTCCTAATCAGTCAACCGGCAGCTCTCACCTCTCTCCTCCCAGCAGCACATCGCATTGTCTGCCTGCACCGCCTGTGTGCATGCTTGCATTGTGAAAGAGGTAAAATAAGGCGGCTTAGGCAAAGCAGTATCCGTGCTCCCAGTACCCCCCGGTCGATCACTCGTCTTGTGTTTCGCCGTTCCCTATTTCACCTCTTCCAATCTTGTTATTTTTAACCTCTTCGGCTCGCCTCGACCTGCCCGCACCCCGAACGAAACGAACCAGATCGCTCGAGACGGGAGAGAGAGAGAGAGAAATTCGATCGCGTGCCCTGAAACTCGACATACCGACCTGACTGGACATACTCCCTGCGACAAACCTCCTCCCCTTTGCGCCTGGAAAGCCCACCGAAAGATCAACACAAAGGCGCTCACAAAGAGATCTCCCGAACACTACACAGAGACACAAACAAACCCCTTTTTTTACTTTCCTCCGGAAAACACACACACACACACACACACACGACATCCTCAACACAGAATTACGTCAGTGTCAAAATGGGGGGCCAACTCTCCAAGATGATGGGCAAGATCTTCGGATCCAAGGAGATGCGCCTGCTGATGCTGGGCCTCGACGCCGCCGGCAAGACGACCATCCTGTACAAGCTCAAGCTGGGCCAGGACGTCACGACCATCCCCACCGTCGGCTTCAACGTCGAGACCGTCACCTACAAGAACGTCAAGTTCAACGTCTGGGACGTCGGCGGCCAGGACAAGATCCGCCCGCTGTGGAGGCATTACTTTAGCGGTGAGCACAACCCACCTACCTACAAACCCTCATATTGAGGAATAGAGAGAGAGAGAGAGAGAGAGAGAGAGAGAGCGCATTCAGGGGACTAGGAAGAAGACTGTCTGATCGGTATGGTATGCTGACGCGATATACAAAACACCAGGCACCCAGGGCCTCATCTTCGTCATCGACTCGTCGGACCGCGCCCGCATGGACGAGGCGCGGCAGGAGCTGCACCGCATCATCAACGACCGCGAGATGAAGGACAGCCTGCTGCTCGTCTTTGCCAACAAGCAGGACCTCGACAATGGTATGTTTAGCCATTCTTCCTCCAGGCTCTGTCAGAAATATGGGAGAACCCCCTTTGGCTGACTATATGCGTGATGTCAAAAAACAGCCATGAAGCCCCAAGAAGTCACCGAGGCCCTGCAGCTGTCCAAGCTCAAGGACAAGATCTGGTACGTCGTGCCCTCCTGCGCTACCACCGGGGAGGGCCTGCTCGAGGGTCTGGCCTGGCTGTCCAACAACGTCAAGGCGCCGCCGGCCCCGGCCAAGAAGTAAGATAAGGAGAGAGTTGTGGAACCTTTCCCCTTTTCGAGCTGCCGTGTCAAGGAAGACAAGTGGGACCCGCACGAGGTTGAAGAAGATCCGAGAGTTGTAGTTTGAAGAAAGAGCCCACCCGGCGCATTGGTCTGCCAGGTCCGCTGCCCGAACAATACCAAGAGGCGGGCGAGACAGAGAGGACACCCGAGTGATTGCTCCAGAGTGGGAACTGCGCTGCAGAGGGCAGAGGGCAGAGGGAGTCAAAATACAGAGAGAAGAGGGAGGAGGGGAATAACCTGCTTCGCACCACCCTGTATTATCACGCGCTCACGACATGTTTTATTCCGTTTCTTGCTTCTTCCCCCCCCTTTTTTTTTCGTTTCAAACTGTGCTCTTATGTTGGCCTCGCGTTAGGGCGATTTTCAGGTACGAGTGGAGAGAGGTTTTGGGACCGAGGAGAGAGAGAAGAGAGGCGAATACCCAGACCGAGAGACAGGAGGGGCCAGAGAGAAGGACGACCTAGACCGTTATATGCATACCCCCGTTTTGTTTTTGCTTTTCTGAGCAGCAGCAGCAGCAGCAGCAGCAGTGTGTCCTTGCATTTTCAAATGACGAAAAAGAATAGGTACCTAGGGTTGGGCACGCATAATGAAGGGAGGACAATCAGGGGGCAACGTTTGTCAGGATAGAGATATTGTAATCAAAACACGACCATTTCGCTTCTCCTTGGTAGGAAAAAGGTCTATCATACTCGAGTAAATCAACACGCACAAGTCGCTATGCTATGCAAATACAATCCTAACCGTGGCAGTCAAGAGTCCCGGCCTTCATAATACCCAAAAGAACGCCTCATGCATGGATGAACGTCATCACATCCAGTAAGCCCAGTCCCAGTTCAGGTCTCACGCTTTATCATGTCCAGCCCCTCCAACAACGAGGAGTCGCCTTTACATCCTTACCGACCATATAGTCAATTCTCCTTGACTCTCTTGCCAGGTCTGATCAACGAGTCGTCCGGCAGCCCGCTCCGTTTCGTACCGGGGAGGCTGCTCGTCCGGATATCGTTGTCATCCTGGCTCACCCTGCGGTGAGGGTACTCCATCTTCAGGCCCTCGAAGCAGTTGACGTTGACCTTGTCACCGGTCGAGAAGAAAGGGTGCTGGAGCGCCTTCTCCGCTGTCAGCCGCTTCTCCGGGTCGTACTCCAGCAGGCCCGACAGCAGCTTGAAGCCCTCGGCGCCGAGCGACTTGAGGCCCTCGCTGCTGTGCTGCGAGGAGGGGTTCGACGTGACGCCCTGGTTGATGGTGCTGTTGTACCACTTCTCCAAGTTGCTACCGCCGCCACCGGTATTCCTACTGTGGTGGTGCTGGTGATGGTGCGAGTGGTGGTGGGAACCAGACAGAGGGGGCTGCAGTGTGTTGAGCTGCGGGTACTCGGGCATGCTGGGGAGCAGAGGCCATTTGTCCTTGGTCGGCAGGCCCATGATGTCGACAATCTTTTGCATCTGGTTGCGCTGGAACGGCACCGTCTTCTTACTGTCCATCTTGGCCTCTTCACCCTTAAAGATGGGCCGGAGCGAGAGTAGCTCGGCAAAGATGCACCCGATAGCCCACATGTCGATGGCGGGCGTGTAGTGGCGCGAGCCAAGCAGTAGTTCCGGAGCCCTGTACCATATAGTCACGACGACCTTGTCACCGCTGAAAAGTGAGTGCAACGGCTTTTGGAACAGCCGAGCCAGACCCAGATCGCCAATCTTGACCTCGCCGGCAGAGGTCACCATGATATTGGCCGGTTTCAGGTCGCGATGCAGCACCCAGTTCGTGTGGAGGTATTGGCACCCGTTGAGCAGCTGGAACATGATACTCTTGATCGTGGTGGGCGGGATCGGGTGGCGGGGGTTCTGGGTGTGGTGGTGGATGATCTGCAGCAGGTCGTGCTCGGCGTACTCGAAGACCATGAAGATGCACTTGTCCTCGAGGATGATTTCGATGAGCTTGATGACGTTGGGGTGGGACAGCTCGCTGCACAGTGCCATCTCGCGGATGGCCGACTGCGAGATGCCCGTGTAGGTGATCTGCTCGCCCTCCTTGTCGGGCTTGAACTTCTTGATGGCAAACTCGCCCGTCTGGCCCTGGCGGCCGAGGGCCTTGTAGACGCGGCCATAGGTACCGCTGCTTATAAAACCGATGACCCTGTACTTGTCGGTGACGCGGACCTTGCTCTGGTACCCTATCGGGCCGGTGCCGCGGTCGGCGGGATCTGTCGAAGCGTTAACCGGCGAGTTCTGTCGGGAGTGCCAAGCCAAGAGACCATCACGCGGTGCCCATAGCGAGCGCCTCGTAGGCCAAGACATGCCGGGAGGCACGTATGGTCTTGGGTTTTCCCAAGTGACCATGAAGAGCCGCTAGCTCATGAGACAAAGCAGAGACCGGAAGAATGCAGCAGAAGAGGAGGAGGAGGAGGGGGTGCTGAACAACGAGAAGAGTATTGCGACCCAGTAGATCTCATGGCTACTCTTCTTACTAAAAAGAAAAACAAATGACTGCGCTTCGTCAACCAGCAACAGAACGCAAAAAGCCCGAGACCGGGATCTGCCCGGGGATTGTTGAGGGGTTGAGAAAAGGGCTTGCTTCAGCCTATGACATGGCCGACCACTGACGGACAAGATAGAAGAGCTCGTGAGCAGTCGGGGTATGGGCGCTCTTATCGAGGATAACGAAATGGAATAATCCGCTTTCTCGTAAGAAATTACTTGTAAGAAAAATCCGGCCCACCTTCAAATGCAGCCTGGACACTCCGCTTCAGGGTCTGGTGTGTCCTTGCGGAGCCGGGCGCCGATGCTCCCGACGGCGGATTTGTCAAGCTCATCGCTTGAACAAGAGGACGGATTCAGTGAGATGAGGGGCGGGACGATTACTGTGACGGCGATCGGCTCTGGTGGTGAAAACTCCGCTTCTGGGGAGATTTGGAGGAGAGCTGTGGGTCGGGGCGGACACTGGCTCAACTGGATGGGTGGATGGGTAACTGGAAACGGGTACTGCTGTGGCCCTGAGAGGGCTGCTGATGGTTGCTGACGTGCGTACGTGCGTACGTACGTGTGGCTGCTGGGGAGGGGGGTCGTTCCCGACTGGACCTGGACTGGCGTCTCGTCTGGTTTGGTCTGGTCTGGTCTGGCGGATGGATGCGCTCACTCCCTCCACCTCGTCGTAGATCGCGACGGGGAGTGGCGTGGGCGGCGAGCGAGAGTTGCCGAGATAAGCACCACTGCCTGCTGGATACCGACACAGCGCAAGCGAGAGTGGATTCTGGGCGGGCACGCGCCGTCGGCTACATGGCTGGCTGGCCGGGCGAGAAGAAAGGAAATAAGTTGCGCCGTAGACAGCGAGGATGGTTGAGAGCAATGAAGGATGTGTGGAAGAAGACACGAAGTTGAAGAAGCAGAAGTCAGTCAGTCGTGTCTGAAGACGGACGGCAGGAGTCAGTCGAGGTTGGTCAATTGGGCACACGCCTTGCTCCAAGGCTGGCCGGGCAGGCTCGATCTAGCAGCCGCCCTGGACTCGCGCGCGGGCCACACACACCATCTGTGGCCGCTACGGTGTCTAGGTGCCTCTCGCTGCTACGGAGTCATTGATTGGCCAGCGCCAGGTGTGATCTAAGGTATCGAGAAGGAGGTAGTTTCAAGTTGAGCTAACTGACTTCAGCTCTTCCTATAGGTATTGAAAGTTTTTGGAGGCACTTTGATCACGGCGGTTGGTTTTGAAATACAATCCGGACTGAGCATATTTGTTCGCTGAGCACAATAGTTACGGGTTCACTTTGTAGAGGCACCACTGTGAGCCGCGCAGCTCATACACCATACACACTCACCCTGCATGCATGTCGATACTTCAAACCTAATATTATCCCAACAGGATAAAACAAAATAAAAACAATTTTGACCTTTGGCTACCTTACCTCTACCAAAAGAAAAAAAACAACCCCGAATCCCCCATCACCCACCCGAATCCTCCCTCCATCTATCGAGGACCCAGCTTCTCCAGCACCCGCGGGCCCTGCTCCTCCCATTCCTCCTTGCTGATCCACATGCTGTCCTTGTCCGCCATGATGTTGGCCAGCACCGCGCCACCAAGGAACACCATGTGCCGCCGGCGCGGCGGGTCCTCTATCCTGACCTTAAACTTGCTCAGCCGCTCCGGGTTGCCGCCCAGCACCCGCGTCAGCCACAGCTGCTTGAGCTCCTTCTCCAGCCGCGACGGCAGGCCCGGGTACATGCTGCTGCCGCCCGACAGCACGATCGCCTTGAACAGCGACGCCCGCACGTCCACGTCGGCCGCCTGGATCGTGTTGAAGAGGAACTCGGCGATGCCCGGCTGCTCGCAGTCCACCAGGTGCGGCTGGAACAGGCACTCGGGCGCCTCGAACCGCTCGCTGCCCACCCGGATCACCCGCCCGTCCGGCAGCGTGTAGCTCTCCACCAGTACCGTCGTGTCCTCGCTCAGCCGCTTGTCCAGCTCCAGGTCGTACGACACGTAGCAGAGCTTCTCTTTGATCTGCCGCACCGTCTCAAAGTCGGCAGTTCGGTTGAGCGCGTAGCCCCTGCGCAGCAGCAGGGCGATCAGGTTGCGCGTCACGTCGCGGCCCGCCACGTCCAGTCGGCGGGTGAGGTGGTTAAGGACGACGCTCTCGTACACGGGGACGATGTGGGTGACACCGTCTCCGGAGTCAACAACAACACCGCTAGAGAGACCTAATACGAGGCAAACATAACCGATGCCCGTCAGTTGCCAAAACCCAGAAAAAAACACTCATCCCGGTTCGCCCCCTCAAAGTGTAGACTCACCCTGCGCATACAGCGCGAGCACGGCCTGGATGGCCACGTAGACGCCGCCGAACCCGTACCTGTCAAACATGACCTCGCACATCTGCTCCCGGTTCTTGAGCGGGTTCATCGGCGGCTCGGTGAGCAGGATCTTGCGGCCGCGCGGGTCGACCTTCATCTTCTCGAAAAAGGTGTAGTCCCAAAGGTGCTGCATGTCGTCCCACTTCTTGACGATGCCGTTCTCCATCGGGTAGCTGATCTGCAGCATCGTGCGGGCCGCCGCCGCCTCGTCGCCGCACATGATGTCCTTGATCACCATGTCGTTGTCGCCCTTCTCCTCCGTACGCAGGATCGGCCGGCCGACGATGGACGGGTACTGGAACTCGGGGAAGTTTTGCGCGGCGTAGCCGACCTTGAGAAAGCCGGTGCCGCCATCGAGGACTGTCGATTTACGCGAGGGCCGGTTAGCGATGCGGCTCTCCTTGTGGTGGTGCCTGGGTGTCCGACCGCGGGAGCATGTCGGCTGGGAGAGAGGCGGTGATGTCACGGGGGAGCTTACCAATGGGCGGAGGGTTGGCCATGATGGTCTGAAGAGTGTGCGCCCGGACAAGCGCAGATCAATCGTTCGCAGATTGGGGTGACGGGCGAGACGAGCTGCGATGTGTATCTTGTCGTGTGCGTTGCTGTGTGTGTGAACGAATGGCTGGGCTCGGGAGGTAGGGGAGAAGCGACGTCGATGGTGGGGTTTGCCAGAGTTGGCACAGCAGTCGTCAGCGTGCTGGAGCTTGCAGTCCAGGCAGCGTGGCTTTCCACCGTCCGCTGTGGGTGGTGGCTGAGCTCTAGAAATGTGGGGTACCAAATTGTCTTCCTAATGCGCTACCCCGCGGTTGCAGCACTGTCACCAGCCTGGCCCTCATTGGATGCATGTAAGTCGTCTCGCAGAGAGATGGTCACGTTTCTTGGAGTGGGAAGAGAATTATCTTGCATTCAATGTCTTGATGTTTCTTTTCTATTCAAATTTGTTCTCACAAGCAGACGTTCCTCTTTGAAGTAGGGTCAAGATGACGACCAACTTGCTTCGGAGGAGCTTCAGAGTCCTCCTCCTCAATCCAAACTCGTCCCACTCCATGACCAAGGGCATGGAAAAGGCAGTACGGCATCTGGATTTGCCTGATGTAAGCCGTATTTTAAAGAAGAAAACATCATGCTCCATCGATATGGTTGAGCTAATGCGGCCCCCAGTCGCTCGAGCTGTATACATACACCGCGCCAGAGCCAAGCCCGGCCAGCATCAACGACGACAATGACATGAAACTCAGCGCAGAAGTCGTGGTTTCTGACCTCGCCAAACATAATCATGCAGACCAATACGATGCTATCCTTGTGGCTTGCTACAGCGTTCACCCACTCGTCGAAGAGTTGTCACATCTCCACCCAAACATCATCGTCATGGGCATCTTTGAGGCCAGCGTCCTCTCGTCATCGTCACTCATGAAGCCATACGGCGAATCATGGGGCATCGTCACCACCGGGAAATTCTGGGAAGACCATCTCACAAAGGGTGTGCTTGCGTACTCAGGGCAGCAAGAGCACGAACCCGGCAATGCCAAGTTCGCAGGCGTGTTCTCCACGGGCCTCAATGCTGGAGACTTTCACGGCGACATCCCGCCCGAGTTCATCAGGGACAAGCTCAGGGAAGCTACCGGGAAGCTGCTGAGTAAATCGAGGGTCAGCTGCGTCGTCATGGGCTGTGCCGGCATGGCAGGGCTCGAGGAGATCATCAGGAGCACTGCCGTGGAGAAATTTGGCGAGGAAAAGGGCAACAGTCTGTACGTCATAGACGGCGTCAAGGCAGGAGTCGGTCTGGTCCTGGAAGCTTTGAGGAGCAAACGCCTGTTTCAAGGCCATTGACTTGAACAAAATTTATGATCGCTTAATGTCGACAACTCGCTTATAAGGCTGAGTCTGTGGTTCTGCCATAATTCCCAAAGAAAAAAAAGAGACAAATCGATGTTCTTTGCACAAAAACAAAATATGAACCGCATGCCTAATGTTCCAAAACGCCACTCAGTCAACCCAACCGTCAGTCAATGCGCCTGGTCCGGCCCCAGACTTCGTCGGCATCCTTCTTGCCCTTCGTCTCCGGTACAAAGGCAGACACAAAAAGGCCAAATCCGGCAGCGAAGGCGGCAAACAGAAAGTACACCCAGCCTGCACCACCGAAGCGATGATTCAGCGCCACGTTGATGATGGGGAAGAACTGCGCTACGAGGAAGGTAGCCGCGTAGTTGGCACCCAACGCCCACGACTGCGTCGCTCCGACGGCCTCTTGGCCGACCAGCTCAGATGCCATCATGAAAGGCACGGGGCCAAGACCGACAGCGAAGAAGGCGACAAAGAACAGGACGGAGACGGCCGAGAGGATCTTGACGCCGAATCGGATAGACAGAGCCAACGCAAGGGAGCTCGTGCCCTGGCCCGCAATCGACAGCAGGATGCATGTCTTGCGCCCGAGTCTGTCGGGGAGAGGCGAGCAAGCGATGGTCGTGACCAAGTTGATGCCAGAGATAATGATTGTCAATAGCGCAGAGCTCATCGGGAGCAGGTCCTCAAGCAGAGACACTGAGTACATGATGATCGAGTTGACACCGCAGAGCTGGTGCACTTGTTAGCATGCGCAACGAAGAAAATACATATCGATTTTGAGACTTACTTGCTGAGCAAACATGATGCCGACCACGGCAATGATGGCTGGCCGGTACAACGGATCGCCAAGAACCTGCCAAAACCCCACCGATCGAACACTGCTCTTGCTGCCAGAGATACTCCTAGGCGTCGTAGGAACCTCTAGAGCGTCCTCGGAGCCTAGCAGTCCCTGCTCCTCCGCAGGTGCAACAGCTGAGGCCCCGTCTTCACCGTCCCAGGCCGCAACTTCACTGTCGAGACTCACGTCCTTGCCACGAATGCGCTGGAGGATCCTCCGGCCTCGCAGCACCTCGCCCTTCTGGCAAGCCAGCCATGCCGGGCTTTCAGGAACAACCAGCAAGCCCGTGCCCTGGGCGGCAGCGATGATGACGCCAGTTCCCAGAATCCACCGCCAGGCAGAGCCATAGCTCAGGAAGTAACCCAATGTCTGCGTCAAGAGGATGCCCACGTTGACACTGATCTGCGTGAAGAACCCGAAGAAACCGCGCTCTGCCGGCGGCGCAATCTCGCTAATGTAGAGAGGCACAATGACGGTGGACGCCCCAGCTCCGACGCCAGTCAACGTCCTGCCAACGGCCATGATGGGCACAGATGTCGCGATCGTCTCGATGCCAGACCCAATCAAGTACACAATCGCCGTGAGGCGCATGGCCGGCAGTCTACCACGGCTGCTGCAGAAAGGGCCGGCCGCCAACGCACCTACCAGCCCTCCCAGTGTGAAAATAGACGACACGGTAGCAAAGGCGGCCTCGGTCATGGGGATGCAGTCGGGGATCTCGGGAGCCGCGCGGCCGGGGAACTTGCTCAGCATCTTGGTCGCGGCGGTGATGGTCTTCTTTCGGCAGGTGAGGACATCTTGCGGCGCGTTCAGAGCAGCCTGTGCGGACATTCAGCAACAGCAGGGAGAAAAATAGAGCCAGAGTTCAACGCACCAAATGGTAGCCGAATTGAAGGGGTCCCAGAGTGACGACAAGCATCAGCGTGATCAGGTATGGCGTCACATCGTGCATGCACTGTCTAAGGCCCGTAGGGGCCATCTTGACGAGGCAGAAGCGGTGGCCCGCGATCAATACTGAGTTTGTATAGATTATGAAAGCCAAAAACAGCTCAACACATGAAGGCGGTTGTGATGATGGTGGTGGATGGACGATGAATGCTTGAAGATCTGGCCAAGGAAAAGCAATAGCGGGTAGTGATTTATTAGCCTCCACGGATGGTTCCTAGCTCTGTTGTGGGGGAAGGATCAATCCCCCCCGCACACCCATCTCCAGGGCTGATCCATTGGCTCAAATGGCGACAGTCGATGCAAGACACGTCGAGGAACGAACATGAGTTTCAAGTACTCAAATCTCCTCGAAGTCAACGGTTATGCAGTCACTGTTCAATACCAAATGATATAAGCAAGGCAATGGAAGAAACCAAGGTCTCTTATTAGGAATTACATGCTCACAGTCACAAGCACTTCAGCTGGATCCTGGCTCAGTCCTTGCCGCCATGGAGAGCTCTTCGGACAGCCGTTTCCAGGCTTTCGGCCTCCTTATCGAAGCCGATCAGCTCGTTGTCGTTCTTCTCGTACAGAGTTCCACCCTCGGCCCAAATGCGTCGCAACGTCGCTGCGGTGGCCGCGGGGGCGCCCTTGTCCCACAGCTCGGTCTCGTACATGCGCAGTTTGTCCAGGGGCGTATACTTGACCTGGAACTTGGAACCCGTCTGCTTCTCGTACTCGGCCAGAATCTGGTTCGGAGTCACAATGAAGGACTGCACCTTGAGAGCCTTGCCAAAGGAAACTTCGGGGTGTCTCAGGGCGGCCACGAGAGACGTGCCAACGCTGTTTGTCGTGTTAGCAACGCAGTTGGTGAGATGTGAAAGACGGCAGCTGGCTTACTCTTTCATGGTGCAGAAGCCGATCTTCCCCTCGCCATCCTCGATGAGGACGGCCTCCTTCTTGTCGACGTTGAAGCCGCCGATCTCCTCCGCCTCGCCGAGCTGGTTGACCCACATGTCAAAGTAAGGGCCCGTCACGAGGTAGGTGATCTTGAGGTTCTTGATATTGTCCCGGATGTGCTTGCGGACAGCCAGCTTCTTCTGATGGGGCTTCTCGTTGGGGCTCTTGGCATTGTGCTCGATGTCAGTGCCGTATTCGGAGGGGAAGAACCACTTGACGGTGCCTGACTGATCCGCCAGGGTGATGAGATCGACCTGCACGTCAATCGCACCTCTGCCGACGGCGGAGACGACGGTGTCGGCCTTTGTCGCCCTGAAGGCTTCAGCGACGTCCTTGGGGTTGCCCACATCGCCGACTGTCACTTGCAAGCCGGCAGCCTTCCAGCCCTTCAGCAGATCCACCTTGGTGTCGACCGTCTTTTGGGATGTGAACAAGGTGACGCTCTCAAAGGCGGGCTTGGCGCGGAGGATCGCCTTGGTGATGTACTGGCCGATGTTGCCAGTGCCGCCAAAGATGAGCAGTCGGGACGGAGTGAAGGCCATGATGTCAACGATATCCAGGACGATAGAGAGTGTGTAATGTGTACACGGGTGCTGTATGATGGTCAAAGTTGATGTGACCGTCCTGGGTTTATTGTATGACAAATAAGTAGAACAAGCTTGGGATACAGGAGGGAAGTTTATTGGAACACGGCTTATGGCCAGAATATTGCGACTACAATGTCGTCTGGTGCGAGCGGAGCGGCAACGGCGCCGGCAGCTCTCCTCTTTCAGACCCCACCATCGACGAAAGCTAACACCGACGGCGCCCCGAAGGGCGTATGCAGTGTTCGTTGTTGAATTGAAAGGGCGCCGGCTTTTGAACTGGCGTACCGAAATCGGCATGAGCTCTTTTCCTCACCTTACCCGACAGGACTACTTTGAGGCTGTTCTGGTGCAAACGCTAAGGTATGCCGTCGTCCTCGTCGCCGAATGCTCTCATCCTCATCGGAGCTGGAGCGAGCTTGCGGGGAGCTATTTGGCAGAATTTGGCTGCTGAGGGGTCGTCGTAGGGCGGTCAACCCGCTACAGACTCCGTGTAGTGACCCCAATGTCGGGACTGAAGTCCCTGAACCATCCGACCACTGGGTCGGATGTGGGAGCGAAGCAGATCCATGGCCCCACTCCCAATGGGCAGAATTCTGACCGCCAAAAATTTTCGAGATTGTGCTTCAATTCCCAGCGATTTCAATTGGAACCGCCTATTTCGCAATCAATCGCAGCAGCCATGCCAGCTGTTCTGTTGCAAAACACATCCTCTCTACCCACCATGGCCGGCCACAAATCAGAAGAGAAGCGCTCCAAGAAGCAGAAGAAGTCGGACGAGAAGAAGAGGCCCCGCGACGAAGATGAGGACGACAAGCATCGCAAGCACAAGCGCTCCAAGAGCGACGCTGTCGTCGACGATGGTGCCCAAGACAAAAAGAAGAAGAAATCAAAGAGGGTCGACGATGCCGATATTGATGGTGGCCAAGAAGTTGAGGCCAGCATAAAGAAGGAGAAAAAGAAGAAGTCAAAAAAGCAGAGGCAGGATGCTGCCGGAAACACCGAGGTCGAGGCCTCAGACGACGCCAAGGAGAAGAAGAAGCGGAAGAAGGAGGCCAAGAAGGCCAAGGCAGCAGCAGAGGTATCTGAGGATGGTCAAGACGAGCCAGACCGCATCCTCCAGGACCAGATACGCGAATCGATGGACATCGACTCACCGCCCACCACAAACTCAAAAAGCACTTCCTTCCAGCCTCTCGATACCCCCTCCGATCCCAAGTTCCCCTTCTTCACACAGGTCATCTCGCTCTACGTACCTCTATACCCAATCGGCTTTGACAAGCCCATCTCCAGCGTCGGCGAGCAACACCTGGCACCGATGCTCAATCACTACTCCCCGCTGCTCGGCGGTGTTCTCCTCGCCTACCGCAACGTCGGGCTGTCCGAGAGGGCAATAAGGCCGGACCCCAAGAACCCGCCGACAGACAAGACGCCCGCCGTCCTCGCTTCGATAGATGAGTACGCCGTCGGCTTCGGGTGGCTGACGGCCGACGTCGACCTCTTCGTGCCGAGCCGCGGCGCCTGGCTGGAGGGCAACGTCAACCTGCAGACCGAGGGCCACATCGGCGTCGTCTGCTGGGACAAGTTCAACGCCAGTATAGAGGCCAAGCGCATGCCGCGCGGGTGGAGGTTCATCGATCTTGTCGGCGGCCAGCAGGAGGCGGCGGCACCAGATGCAGCAGCCGAGCAAGACCCCTTTGAGGACGAGGAGAACGGCGAACCCGAGGTCGAACAGATGCACGCCACGGGCTACTGGGTCGACGCCGCGGGCCGCCGCATCAAGGGCAAGCTGCGCTTCCGCATCAAGAACTTTGACGTGGGCATCGCCGGCGACCACGGCTACCTCAGCATCGAGGGCACGATGCTGACCGAGGACGAGGAGCGGGATCTGGCGGCGGAGGAGAGGGAGGCGGAGCGGCGGCGCAAGCTCAAGACCGGCGGCCCTAAGAGGGAAGCGAGGCGGGCGCCGGCGTTCAGCGTCACCAACTTTGGCCGGGAGGACCAGCAGGAGGACAGCATGCAGAAGCAAGAGGTGTACAAGGGCAGCAGACCGGGTACGCCGGACGACTAATGTGTTGCGGGTAATAGTGAGTGCTTGGGGGACTGGATACGGCGTTTATGGACAGCATCAAGTAGCATTCTGATACCGAAACCTTTTCTGCTATTTACCCCACTGAACCGAATTCCGTCCCTTGCTTGCATACAATGTGAGGTTGCCTTGGTCTACCAGTATCCCACGTTCGAGTAATTGTGAAACCAAACCGGTGTTAGACCTAACGATAAGATTGACATTCCGAAGCTGTTGTAACCACGGTGTTGCGTGAAAGCCCAGATGTCCCTGACTAATCTAGAAATCGTGGATGATGGTTGGTTAGGATTATAATCTGAGCGGCACAGCTCTACACCGATGGATACTATGTTATAGATCGGTTGAGGTTTTTCTCGTCCGTCATAGTCGAAGATAGGGCTCGAAGAACGAGTCTCCCACAGTAAACTCGTGAAGCATTCATCTCTTAGTGTATAACGAGCCTGCCGGTGTTATTCTGTCTATACTGTTAGACGCTTCCAGAAACTTACATTGAAGAATTTTCGTCAGAACTCCTGGAATAGAATGGTTATGTATCATCACGAGTTTGGTTCTTTCTGCTCAAGTTGGCGTGAGCACTTGTCGTTGATACTTCAGATAAATATCAGGTCCCATTCCCGAGTCTCGTCTTTGCAAGGTACTCGCTTCTGTGGATAGCCTGTTTAATAACTCAATGCTGATTATTAAGTATTACACTTAGTACTGCTTGTTGTAATGCTATAATCCCCAATAACACCGATTCCCTAGGAAGCTCGCTAATAACACACCAAACACACATGGGCAACGTTCATGCAACCAGCCAGACAACCGAAACTCAGGTCACGGGAGCCCCTCCAGCAACTCAACAGCGCCTTCACGGGCAACGGTGATGCCAACATCTCCCAGAATCTTGCTGCTGAAGCCAGCTTCGCAATAACAGAAGTAGTACTATCGAGATGAATTAGCATCTGAACTGTAATTACTCGGGTGGGACCGAAGGTAACTCACCTCCCACTTCCGCCGGAAGATGTCCAAGTCCGCCCTGGTCATCTCCGGGAAGCTCTTCCGCAGACCAGGCGCGATCTCGGACTCGAAATTCGCCTGGAACTTTTCGTTCCAGCACCGCAGCGCCTTGGAGTAGTGCCCGCCAAAGCTCTTGATCTCGTCGACGACGAGCTTGCCCCGGGACGCGCGGTCGATGCTCCCGACCAGCCCGCTATTGGTTGGCAGGTGCCCTCCGGGGAAGATGTACTTCTTGATAAAGTCCTGGCCCTTGAGGTACTCGGCATACCGCGCCTCGGGGATGGTGATGCACTGGAAGTAGGCGATGCCGCCGTCCCGCTTCAGGTACCGGTCCATGCACGCAAAATACGTGTCCAGGTAGCGGTGGCCCACGTGCTCGATCATCTCGATGCTGACGATCTTGTCGAAGGGCCTCTCCGGCCTGAGCTCGCGGTAGTCGGCGAGCAGCACCTCGATCCGGTCCGACAGCCCCGCCTCGGCGATGTGCTCCTCGGCCAGCTTCTTCTGCTCCCTGCTCGGCGTGATGGTCGTCACCCTGCACCCCGTGGTCCTGGCGGCGAGGATGGAGAAGCTGCCCCAGCCCGTGCCGACCTCGAGCACGTGGTCCGCGGCCTTAATGTGCGTCTGGTCGATGGCGTACTGCAGCTTCCGCATCTGGGCCTCCTCGAGCGTGTCCCGCGCCGCTCCGGGGTCCGAGGCGGGCAGCCACAGCGGCGCCGAGTACGTCATGTCCGGGCTCAGGAAGGCGGCGAACATGTCGTTGCTCAGGGAGTAGTGCGAGTTGGCGTTGAGCTTGGCCGTGGCGATGTTGTTGGTCGCGCCGGCGACGCTGCGTATGGCGCGGTCCACGACCCAGGCCGTGCCGTACGTGGTCGCCGAGCTCATGGAGCTGCCGTTGCGGATGAAGAAGGCAAAGAGGGCAGTGAGGTCCGGCGAGCTGATCTCGTGCAGCATGTAGCTCTGCGCGAAGCCGATGTCGCCGGACAGCAGGATGCGGACCCAGAAGAAGTCATCGTGGATGGTGAGGGAAGCGAGAGAGTCGTTTTGTCCTATACTGCCCACAGTCGTCGTCTTCTCGCTCCTGGACGGTTCATGTATGTGCAGAGTGCCTGACTCGCAACTGGAGAGCGTCGCCAGCACGAGGGACCGGGCGATGTCTTGGACATATCCCAGGGTCCTGCGAGATACGCTTTGTAGCTGCGAGTAGAGTCCGGAGCCGCTCGGTTCCGGACCGTCATTCCTTGCCGGTACCTTTGACATGGTGGTGGTGGTGGTGGCGGCGGCGCTGTGACGTCGGCTGGCTACGTCCTGCGGGCGTTGGTTGGGGGCGGTTTTGTGTCAGAGGAACGGAATGTGGTAGCACGGCAAGATTGACAGGTCAGCTAGTGTCGCCTGCCGGGCATGATCTGCATGGTAGCACGATCGTGATTCACCCAAGACGGACACACGGACACACGGACACCCTGAGCGAGTAAGGCTCCTTCCCGCCCGATTCACCACGGTTGATCAGGACGCCGGGACTGCCGATGTAACTACCGTTTCGCCGGAGAGAGCGCTGCGTAATGCTCAGTTTGCACAGGCGGGGAATTCCAAACCGAGCTATGGATACAAGGATCTGTGCTGAGACATTGAACCACGGAGCTGCGGGGGGACATTGAAGCCGATCGTGAAGGATTTGCGTTGCGTTGATCCAGAACCTCCGCCGGGGCCGGTGCCAGCTTAAGATCGTCTGACGGCACCTACCTCACATAAGAAGAGGATGTGCATGTGGTGCTTATTGATCCAAGGTCACGGTTCGTGGTTTCTGCACTTCTGCACTTCTGCATTTCTGCATGAAGCTAGGGGAGCTACCACACACCACCACTGCTACGGTGCAACCAGCCCGGATCCACCTGCGCTTGCTCTGGTGGTCGATAATCTCCGCGGGCGGTTCTTTTAACTTGACAGGTCCGATCCGGCCCTCGAGGCCTGTCATCCTGCCCGTCTCCTAGCGCTGACGCGCTAAGAACGGTACGGAGTAGTATCTGCTGCGTTTGAGCCGGGGAGGTGCATATGGAGCTGCGAGCTGGAGAAAGATGCCACCGGAAAGGAAAAAGCGGACGTACAAGTCGAGCATCAGAATGGTGGGTTCGAAATGGACTAGAGAAATCTAAAGCAAGGACAGGTACAAGCACGCTAGGTTCATCAGGGCCTGCAGTCCAGTCGTCGCGATCATTAGGGGACACACCCCGGAATGTATTCCGTAATTAGCCAAGTTCCGCGCTTGCATCGAGCAGCATACACTTTCCTATTCCAGCTACCAGTAGCCAGCCAGTCCAGTCTCGTCATATTCACGTGTAAGATCGACAAGTCCCTAGGTTCCTACCGCCATTGGCTCCGCAGCGAGACCAGGGTGCCGTTGCCGTTGTAGAAGGAGACGGCCGCGGCCTCCCGGAATGGCCGGCTGTCGCTGCTCTCGATAGCCGAGAAGTTCTGCAGCAGCCGCACAATGACATACGCGAGCTGGGCCTGCGCCATTTGCTGGCCCATGCAGATGCGCGGGCCGGACCCAAAGGGCATGAAGAAGTGGCTGCATCTGCCCTCCAGCTCTTCCCATCTTTCGGGTCGAAACTCGGCCCAGTCCGTCCCGTAGTGCTTGGGGGACCGGTTCAGTGCGTACGTGCTCCAGATGATCGTCGTTCCCTTTGCGATGGTGACCGGGCCGAGACCGTCGCTTCCGCCGCCGCGCGGAAGGGTTGTGTCGACCAGGGCGCGTCTGGAGTGCGAGGTGACTGGGGAGTAGAGGCGGAGAGCTGTACAAGTTAGATTGATTCGGCGCACATGTCAGCAGGGTTACGGTGCGAGTGGGGAAAACGACAAATGGAAGGGTAATCTCGTTTAATTGTTTGCGCCCAGAGTGCTGGGACTGGGAACCCGACGGTGCCGGACAAGGGCCTGTGTGAGGGGTTCGTTCACGTACCTTCGAGAATGACATAGCGCAGGTATCGCACTTTAGCCAGGTCGTTCCTCCCGGGGGCTTGGTCGCCAAGGTGCGCAATTTCGTCGCGGAGGCGCTGCTGGATGGCAGGTCTCGATGCCAGAATCTCGACGACGTTGGAGAGCAGCGCCGTGGAGGTGTCGAAGCTGGCAAAGTAGATGTTTTTCAGCTCGGCCTGGATCTGTGCCACAGGCACGCCGATGGTCTTCATCATGCGGAAGCACGAGGTGCCGGACGATGATTGGACGCAGCCGGTCCCGTCCGACGAGATGATGGCATCGAGCCGGTTGGCGAAGAAGCTCTTCATCCCGTTTACCACGCGGATCAGCCGCCGATACGAGGGGAGCAGCTCGATCCAGGCCAGCGCGCCGACGGCCATGAACATGCCGGACGGCGGCTCAAACGCCTTGATGCAGGCGAGGAAATGCTCTGCTTCCGACGAGTCGACCCCTGCGTCAAGACAGCCCGTCGAGCTTCCGAACAGGAAGTCGCTCACGGTGTCGAGCATGAAGCCGGCCGCCAGATCCTGGAAGTCCACCTGCCTGCCCCCGTGCGACCGGATGGTCGCCGCCAGCTGCTGGAAGTGAGGCTCCACGAGGACCGGATCTCCAAAGGTCGAGTGAGCAAAGATGGGCTTGAGCAGCGTCTTGGACTGCTTCCACGCCTCGCCCTGGTTGAGGAGGATGCCGGCGCCGACATGCTTGGACGCCTCGCCGACCCATGATGATTTGCCAAAATCCTCAAACTGGCTCGTAGTGATGGTCCGGATGTTCTCCGGGTCGATCGTGTAGACGCAGGGGGATCCCAGCTCGGTCGTGATGAACGTCTCGCCGTACCGTTCGTGCCGCCGCCTCATGCCCTCGGCGAGCTGGCCCCTGTGAAAATCCCTCCATACCTGCAGCAGCAGATCGATGCCGAAGAGCGTGTCGACGTGCGGGTATCTCCTGGTGAAACCGCTGTTCTGAAGCCTCTGCCGACCCGCGTAGGCCTTGGACACCACGAACAGGAGCCAGATTCCCGTTCCGATCAGGGCGAGTCCTTTCAGCATATTTTCCCCTCGCTCTTTCTCTTTCTCTCTCTCTCTCTCTCACTTTTTGCGGTCTGTACAAAGTAAAGATCGGTGTGCGTCGCTGTTGTGCGTACAAAACTCTGTGCAAGTGCCCGGTCTCACGGCATGATGGCCTGTATTAGTGGGCACCCGGCGGCGATGGTGTAAGACACGCAGGTGGCAGGCGGCATTTGCGCAAACCCTTGCATCCTGTCTATCTACGAGTACTTGTATCGTGGCAGCGCGAAGGAGGATCCCGGCAGCCAGACCTTTTGCGCAACAGATTGGCGTGGTCGTAGATAAAAGACCCTCGAGGGTGGGCGAGCGGGAGTGCCCATATCGCGTGAGGGAAAGGGGGTGGTGGATCTTGCGAGTTTGAGCCTAGCCGATGCGAGCATAGAGCATGTTTTTTTAGTCGAAAATGTCGCGGAGTTTAGTTCCGCATTCGACCTGCAAAAGTGACCAGGACAAGGGTTCGTTCAGCTGACAACTGGAACCCCCCCTGTTTTTTTTTATGTGTGTTTCTGTTCTTCGCTTCCTTCTACAAGTACACGGGGTTTGAGCGCAATATCCGATTTGTAGAGGACGGTACGTAAGTAGGTAGGTAGGTAGCTTCAATTGTGTGTGCTCTTGATACCGGAACTCGGGGACCTAGATACCTCCAGGAACTGTAGGCTTGAGCTCCACGCAATGCCGATCTTCCCAGTTCAAGGCCCGATGCACACACCAGGTTCTTGGCCGACATGAGACGAATAGCAATGTGAAGAGTATGCTACATGCTCGCTTGAATGGAAGTTGACAGCGCTGGAGGGAGGGTTGGGAAACGCGGGGCACGCTGCCGCGCCAAGAAACTTGAAGAAGTGTCAACAGGATCTCATGGGCACGAAACGGCGCCTCGCGCAAAACGGCCCTTCTTTCCTGACGCCATGTTGGTGGCGGTGTGTTGATGGACGACGATGGCCACGATGGCTATAGTAGAGAGGGATCTATCCACCTGGTGCCATGTGAAACACTTTAAAAGTCAAAGAACTCTTTAAACTTTGGCTAGTCGACATGCGTTCGCCTTATGTCTCGCCACGCAACTTAGCACTCACGTCTTAGCTCACGAAATAGATGGCACAGAATTCTAGGCCGGACGATAAAACGATCTTATCAAGCTTCAGTTCGTACATGAATGAGCCTCGAATGGGCAAATTAGTACTACTGTGAAAGACCATTTGCCCTCAAAACCGTGGCTACATCTCAATCCAGCATCCTGTCTCAGTTCGATGACTGCCGCTTGCGAGGAGCATAGAGTCCATCTACCACCATTGCCATTTTCGAAACAAAATTCAGAATATGGTGCAAATATGGAAGCAAAAGTTCCTCCGCCTTATCCCTCGTGGCTTCGACGCGTTCCCATAGTACTCTTGATTTCTACACCGTATTAGGTCAGAGCTTTGTCAGGACACATCTGAAAAGAAGGCTTACCCGCTCAGTTACGAACCAATGTACAACATCCATTCCCATGTCATTTCAGGTTGGCTCCCGGCCTAGCAAAGCATGGGCCCGTTCTAAACAAGCCGGCAGCCGAAGACAACATCAATCCGGGGTCCCGGAAGCGAGTAGTCGCGAGAAGGCCTGATGAAAATCTCACTTATAACCGCTCCATCGGGGAGCTCGCTCAACGAGTTCTCGTAGAGTTCCCGCAGATCCTCCACCATGACGGCCTGGTTGGGAATAATTCCCGGGAAGCAGGCCAACTCAGGCTTTGGAGAGCTAGGGAACATGGAGCTCACGGCCAGCCAGTGTTCAGGCGATCGACGCAGGAATGCCGCGAGGTCTCCAGATGGGTCATTGAAAGTTCGGATGTCAATGGTCACAATCTCTCCGTGAGACGACATGGTGATAGAATTGCGGTTCGCCTCCGTCAATTGCATAGCCGTCTTCCTTGGTAGTGTTCAAGGTGGATGGATCTTCAAATGCGATAGGCTGCAAGGTGAGCAGATCGTGACGATGGCGATCTTGAGGCCGAATTAGCCAAAAGGTTTTGATTCAAGTCTGAAGCTTGAAAGCACCAGATCCGTTTTAAGAGGCCAGCTGTCTTGATGATTGCCAAATCCTTCTCTTTCAGACCCAGCCAGAAAGAACAGACAGACAGATGGCTGCTTTATCTCACCAATGGGTGAGGCGATCTCAATTATGTTGTCAATCCTGCCAGAGGAGCGAGGCTAAAGTCACTTCAACCCTCATCCCGTTGACAGATGAGTGTACGTTACCGTTTCAACACCCAATGGTTACTGGGGTCGCGTTCGGTTGGTCACTTGAATAAGGGCCCTGTCGACGGTATTCATACGATGATCAGAGTAGGAATCACACTTGTCCTGTTCATGTCCCGTCCTAGACGGGAGGCCTTTCAACTTCCATGCCGCGATGGACAAGCATTCTAGCCGGATGCCAGCTGCGGATTGCCACTAGACGATGAAGAGCCTCGTGCCTAAAACAGTGACCATTGCTATACCCGCCAACATCATTGCACAATGGCAATGGCCAAACTAGCACACGCCCCCTAGTTAATCAAATTGGGTTTTATTTGTATCTCAACAAACACTCTTGGTGGTGGCTCCTGATCTTGGCTTTTACAAGTCGAGAAAGTCATGATCTGAAGCTTCTTGTCGCCGTCTCACCCACTGCTGTTCAAGAATTGATTCAATTGGCCTACAATCCTTGAAACTTTCCTTTTGCGGCACGGACTGCACTATCGCGCATTTCCCACTTGGACTGTACTTCAGTATCGTGCACCAATCATAACTGTCGGGCGCTGAAGGCTCGCACACTAACGATTCGTGCGAGACTGATGATTTGAAGACAAGGAATTATCACATCATATCAAAGATATTTTTCTATGTATAAGTTTCAAAATGTGCTAGTATTTCGTTGATGATCGATGAGCATGTCACAGCATTAGGTTGAGACGTATCACATGACTTAGAACGGGCAAATGGACTCACTGAAAATATGCTCCTCCGCTTGGATGTCACAACAAACATCACCACCACCTTGGCATCAGAACTGGGTGGATCAAGACTGTAGCGGAAGGCCGTTGCCGCGACAAGAATCTCGATTGAATAGAACGGCCGGACCATGCCGGCACCAGCAGAATGACACAACCCGCCGGACCAGATCCACAAGTTGATCTCTTTTGCCATCAATATCTCCAGCTTGAGAAGGACTTGGACTATCCGGGTGAAGAACTATTACGCAAGGAAGAAACGCAAGATGATCTCTACAGCCGATTGTTCTCAGGCACAGCCTTATCGCATCCGCCGCCTGTGCGCTATCAACTTCGCGTTCTCAAGGAGCTGGTGGCAAGGATAGAGTCAAGCATCGACGACTGGGAGCAGCATGTGAGTGACTCGCCTTTCCAAAAAACCGATTTCCACGCTAACCTGGCCGTCTTGCAGGGCATACATGACGGACTCATGGAGAGGATGACGATTTTGCTTGCTCAGCCGCTGCCTTCAGAGGCGGTGGCAGCCCAACAGAAGAGCTACGTGTCTTACTACCTGTCAGGTCTCGAGATGCCCGACAACCACGCGCAGCCTGAAATTACCATCTTGGAGTCTCGCTTTCTGATATCCGCCGGCGGGACCACCGGTCTGCGGACGTGGGAGGCGGCTCTCCACCTAGGGCAATATCTCTGCTCGCGGCCAGACATCGTCAAATCAAAACGCGTGCTCGAGCTTGGAGCCGGAACAGGATACCTTTCGATCTTATGCGCCAAATACCTAGGTGCCCAGCATGTCTTGGCATCAGACGGATCAGAGGATGTGGTCAACAATCTACCCGAGAGCTTCTATCTCAATGGCCTTCAGGGGTCAGAAGCGGTGATGGCGACAGAGCTGCTCTGGGGACACGCGCTCCTAGGGACTGAGGAGGCCGAATGGAATGGCGGGAGGCCAGTAGATGTGGTCCTGGGTGCGGACATTACATACGATGGCAGCGTGATACCCTCGCTGGTGGCTACATTGGAAGAGCTGGTCAGTCTCCACCCGCGCGTCGACATCATCATCTCGGCGACGGAGAGGAACAGGGAGACCTTTGAGACGTTCAAAGGGGTGACGGCCAAGGCTGGATTCGCCGTCGAGACTGTCGACTTTCCGATCACGCCGCGGAAGGAGCAGAGGGGACCGTTCTACAGTGATAGCGTGCCGATTCACATATGCAGACTGAGGCGTCAGGGGTAGTGAGTTGAGTGATTCTTTCCTGTAGGTAGCGAGACCAATCAGATACCATGCGATCGAGAATTGAGCGATTTCCAATGAAGAAATGGCAAGGAAGCATAGCGGGAGCAGGTCAGACTACAAAATAATGCAAGTGACTTTGAGCTTTGGGAGACGACACTGAGAAGAAGCTCTGCTGGGGATGCGATTCCTCAGACGGTTGTGAGTGCTGGTGTGGAGGTCATCCCTTGTCGCACGCTTGCCTCCACCCGCCACCAGCTGGCGCGAGTGATCTCCACTGTTGCTCGCTCCCACTAGAATTTCGAGTCCTTGGCCGGTGCAGTCGGTCATCACGTGCACCACCACCAATCGCTGGTAAACATTAGGGTTTTGGCCCGGATCAAGCGAAAAGCGGGTCCGGAATTTTCTACCCTCCACCCAATTTGGCGGCCGCCCTAGGCAAAAAACACCAAGGCGAAAAATCGTACTGAACGATCTCGCACATCCCATCTGTCTCGTCTCCACGTCCAACCTTTCGACAGATCTCGACAGCAAAACATCGACAAGATGGCGGACGCCGACACTCCCGTTACCCTGCGAACTCGCAAGTTCATCCGCAACCCTCTCCTGGGTCGCAAGCAGATGGTCGTGTGAGTACACCGCTCCTCCCCCTCACTTTGTCGTCGTCGTCATTGCGAATGGAGCTCGAAGAAAAGGGTCTGCTCTCGGCGCTGCCTCATTCCACCCCCGAGAGACCAAAAGCAAGAGCCAGGAAGGCCCGGAAACGGGCAGGATCAATGAGATTGGCAGCGTCGTGGGCAGGCTCTTGGGCAGCACGCATTTGATCGGGATCGGATGAGATATCGATGGCTTTCTGGACCGGCTTGCTGACCAGCGTTGGAAAAACAGTGACATCCTGCACCCCGGCCGTGCCAACATCTCCAAGGAGGAGCTCCGCGAGAAGCTGTCCGGCATGTACAAGGCCACCAAGGACCAAGTCTCCGTCTTTGGTCTGCGCACCCAGTTCGGTGGCGGCAAGACCACTGGCTTTGCCCTCGTCTACGACTCCCCCGAGGCTATGAAGAAGTTCGAGCCCCACTACAGGCTGGTCCGTGTCGGCATGGCCACCAAGATCGAGAAGGCGAGCAGACAACAGCGTACGTCACACCTCGAATTTTCCCTACGGACGGCGTTGGATTGGAAGCTGGCAGGTTCACTGCTTCGCTGGCTCACACCCACGATGCATCGGGCTGTTGGAACCAAGAAGATGTTGTGCCCATCCTGTGGAGAGAACCTTGTACTGACTTTGGTGTGTCAACAGGCAAGCAGCGCAAGAACCGACAGAAGACTCTCCGGGGTACGGCGAAGACCAAGGGTGCCAAGGCGAAGAAGGAGAAATAAACGGCTGGCGTTCGATCACTTCCTTTTCGGTTCGTCTTCCTCTGGTCGAGTTGGGGTTTTGGCATGGCTGTGGTCTCTTGCTCTGTGCATTATTTCAAAAATGGCATGTGATGATCGAGCTGGACGACGCAGCAACACCGGAAACAATCATGGAGGCGTGATGGATTTGGCTTCGATGGTTATTTCAGCATAGCATACAAATATGAACTGTGTGCAAGTCAAGATGCTGGGCTCCGTGGACGTGATGTGTGTGACGATGCGGGCTGGGACTTTGAAATCACTTGTCTGGGTGTTGCCAAAACAGCCGGCAAGACAGCAGCGCCATTTTCCTTGGGTATCATAACTGACTGCTACACTGACGAAAGAAATTGCAGAAACAATCCACGCTCCCTTTCAACCATGGCAGTGTCACTGCGCACTCTTCTCGAAACCGACCAAACGCCCAGACCATGCAAATTTCCAATCTTATGCCTGCCTCCGGAGCCACGCGACAACCCAAATTCCCATCGCTGCCCAATTCTGCGGATCTACCGCATGATGTCGAAGGCAATAATCACCACCGTGGCGATTACCGCTAGCGCGGCCTTGTGCCAAACGCACACCTGGCCGGCATCGGCACCGCTCGACGCGTCCAGGATGGGCTCGTGCCATCCGCAGTGGGAGTAGCTGCCCACGGTGACGCAGGTGTAGTAGGTCGTCTGGATGAAGTTGTTGCCCGCCTGGTCCAGCATGTCCACCGTGGCCGGCGCCGGTGTGATGGCCGGGTCCGCTGGTGGGGGTCCTGCGGCGGTGGGGTCGGCCGGGCCCGATGGGGGAGGAGCCTCGGTCTCGCGGCTTGCTGCCGCCGCCTCGAATGGTGCGGACGGCGGCTGCAGCGTGGTTGGCTTTGCGGCGCCGCTGTCGGCGGCGGGGTCTGTGAAGAGCTTTCCGTCGGCGGCGACCATGGTCAGCGGCTCTGGGATGCGCGGGGCGAGGCCAGCTGCGGCCGCGGCGTTGGCCGTGATCGACCAGGTGAGGAGGATCACGGCGAGGAGGAGGAATCGAGGGGCGGCGATGGCCTGCATCGTTGGCTTATTCTTCCTTTTTCGGTGAAAATGCAGATGAATATTGTATTGGTAATCCTGAAAGAGAGAAGAAGAGGCAGAAAGTAAGCTCATGCCCATGACATCGTGGATTTTATATAGCACGGTAGAAGTCCGGCGAGGCTTGATGCCCAGCGCTGCAAACACCAGGTTCAGGCAGGAGGCTTGCAAAAAGAAACGAAAGGAAAGGAAAGGAAAGGGAAGCCGTTTGCTGGACAACTACTCCCTGCGATTGCTGGCGATGGACCTATTCATATGGAAAATAAAGTACAGTCACAAGTCTGATCAAACCAAACCTCTTTGCTCATGATCCGACTCAGCCAGCGTCATTGTGCACACCCACCGAACAGACATCCCGTCTCCCTCTGCAATTTCCGTCTGCTGGATGGAAGGGAGAGCTGCCCGGTTTGCTCAGAGGCGCAGAAGGGCACATCTTGGCGCATTCGTCGAGCACACATGGTCTGCGAATCAACGCCTCCACGCGCTCCGCAATGCGCCTTATCACCCGCGATTCTCTTCACCCACCGCCTGTGACTGGTAGCCACGTCGTCTTGGCTGGCTGCGTGAGCCTACGGTGGTGGATGGTGGGGTTGTCGCATGTGTTAGACGTGGTGGTGATGCCCCCCCCCAGCTTGATTGGCCGGGTGTTTCATGCAGGGTCCGTTTGCCTGTTTCTTCACTGAGGCCCCCATGACCAATGCCTCTTGCTCGATTTGATCTGCAAGCTGAATGTCGTCACGGCTTCACAGGCAGCAAGGAAGCTTCTTCAGACGCGTTAGACACGAGCTTTAAGCTCTTTTGATTAGTGGTAATGGGTATCTAGTACCAAGCAGATCGCTACCGCCATGCTGTATTAAGCCACATTCGTGGCAGTACCTATGGATGTTGAAAATCACCGCTTTATCCCTGTCCCCAACGTGTCCCCGTAGTCCTTTGTAGCGTGCCCAAACAGTCCCTACGCCACCCCTGACCACACTCAAAACCTTGCAGACATCTTCCTCCTAGCGCTGAGGACACTCAGAGCAGACATCTGGCCCTGCGACGAGGAAATGGGCCTCTTAGATCCAGCCCTGCCGCCCTGACTGCTCGGCGTCAAGCTGACCCGCTTCATCCTCTGCCTCTTAGGGCCTTGTTTCGCTGCCTTAACGGCAGATGGCTTGGTCACTGAGTACGTCTCGTCAACACTATCGTCGGCATAGTCCTCTGTAAATTCAGGCTCCGGCTCCGGCTCAGGGCTCGAGGACAAAAGCGAAATAACTTGCGATCCCGCCGGGATCTCGTTGACTTGGGAACTTGCTGCGACCTTCTGTCCTCTTGTCTGGGGCAGCATTGGCGGCGGCGTTGCAGACTTCTTGATCTCGGCTGGCGAGACATCTTTGTGACCCTTGTCCTCATCGTTCCTGGCTGAATCCTGAGTGCTGCGAGACTGCGAAGCCGACAGCCAGACTTCCGAAAGCGATGGTAGCGAACCAGGAGAGGAAACGCCGGAACGCAGGCCGGATTGTGCATTCTTCGCATCGAGGGTAGGGGTCCGGCTGCCATCCTCCTGCTGTCCAGGTAGAGGCGTCTTGCTGCCCGAGATGCTGAGCATAGGGCCAGCGGATTGCAGAGACTCGGGCTCTGCATCAAGTGGCAAGTCGGGATCAGGTTGCCTGCCGCTGTTGAGGCTGTCTGCCGAAGCAACCGGAGTGTCAAGGCTACCGTTTGGGAGACCATTGTTCCTCTTGTCATTCTCTGTATCTTTGCCAGATAGCACATTCGTCGTCTCATCAGTGTTGGCAGTCTCGTCGAGAAGGGGTTCGTGGGAAGCACGCTCCGACACCCAGGCCTGGGATGTCTCTTCCAATTGCTGCGAAGGGCTGTCCAGGTCAGGATCCTCGTCGCGGGCACCAGACAGGTTTGGGGAGTCACCCGTGTCAGGGTTGAGATGGTCGTGGTCTTGAGACAGGAAGGCGTCAGAGGTCTGCTGGGCAGGCTGTGTCGAGTTAGATTTTGAAACTTCGTCGTGATATGTCTCTGGGATGAAACCTTCTGCAGACGGAGCGCTCGTCGCCGAGACCTTGTTTTTGTCCTGCTCCCACACCTCGATCGCATGGCTGAAATTGACAGCGTCGCTATGAAGGCTTTGCAAACCATTCACGTCTGTATCGTTGCATTGCTGAGTCTCCTCGATGACCTCCGAATGCGGGACCACCTTCTCCGCGGTCGTATCGGCAGGCGCCTGCCGAAGGATGCGAGGCTCCACGAGTTCGGCAAACGGAAGTTCACGAAGTCCGTCGTCCTCTTGATCCTCGTCATCTGCATCGAGAGCTTCATGTCGATCGTACACACGTTCTCCAGTCTCCTCGTTGTACGTCTTCTGCTCGCGATCGCGCATCGCAAGACGGACGTGAAGCTGCGCGCCATCATCCTGGATTTGGAGAATCAGGGCAGTCAGGTCGACTACCTTCGGTTCCCAGTTTGTCGCTTTGGAGAGAAGAAGTTGTTTCCATGTGATGATCATGTCAGGCTTGGCGGCGCCCTGCTCGAGGCCGGGAAGCGAAGAGACATCGGCAGGAAGACAGGGTAGATCCCCTGCTGTGTTATGCTGATCTTCCTTGGTGGGCTCCTCGTCATCGTAGTTCAGGGTGACATCGGCATCCAACTGTATCGAATCATCAAAGCCAGCAAACTCCGAGCTTGCTTCGTAGTCAGCATAGCCAGAGGTTTTCTGCTTTTTGGGTCCCCTCGAGTCGTCATCCTCGTAAAAGTGTGACTGATTCCTCTGCTGCCGCTTCCCTTTGCCCCGTTTTCCCTGCCATGAGTATTGCTGCTGCGGATCCCATCGCTGAACGAACGGGAACGGCGGCTCGCTAAGTTCAATACCCTCCTGGCAACACTCGACCGCGCTGTAGTTGATCTTGCTGCGCCAAGCCTCAGGATCATCATTGTCCTCGACGACCTCGGCTGCTGCTGCTGGTTCCTGAGATTTCGTTGACGCATGTGGACGGACATCCTTCATCAGATCAGAGCGTAGTTTGTCCTCGTCGGCCTTGGACTTGGGATTCCGTAAGCCGAGAGCACCAAAGAGCATCCTACGTCCAGCGCCCACGTCAAGGCGCATGCGGCGTCGGGGCGTGTCGGCATCATCTGCTTTATCTATCGACATGCCTTCTTCGGCGACTTTGGGCGTGTTGCTGGGGGCGTCTGCGGACGGCGCGGGAGGTTCGTCTGCTTTGGGAGCATCTGCTACTTGCTCAGCCTGTATTGGCTCTTTCCCGGCCTCACCTAGGCTGGCCAGAAGAGCAGCTTTGCGGGCCTGAAAGTCTGCATCGTCAACGTCCTTTGACACGTTTACAGGTGCGTTCCCCTGGGGTACACCATCCAGCCCAAGCTTTTTCACTCGCTGGGCTGCTCGTCTCCTAGCATTTCGCAGCTTCGTCCGGAGCGTCCCCTGACCCGGCGCCATCTCCGTATGCTTGTTGGAATTGTCTTCTAGCCCTTGATCTTGAGCGACGCTGGCGGATTGAGTATGGCTTGTGCTTCGTGATTCGGTGTTTGACTTCTCAGGGCTTGGCTGTGTCGGAGCCTTCTTGGAAGAAGTCTCCTCAGGGGCCGAATCGGAACTGGAATCATCAGAGCTATCGTCAGAGCTAGAATCAGAACTGCTATCTGAGCTCCCAGACAAGCTTTTGTTGTCGGCGCTGTCTGACCTCTCATCACCGGACGAGCTGCTGCCGCTGCTGGAAGTGCCGAAGTCCTCATCGCTGTCCGCATCGCTGTCACTGCTCTCACCGCCACTGCTGTGCGCCTCCTCAGAGTTGTCATCACTGCTGTCTGACCCCGAATCAGAGCTTGAGTCGCTGGTGGAATCCGAGCGCTTGTCACTCTCAGTAGTTGCAGGTTGTCCAGAAGCCTTGTGCACGGTCGATTCATTCGCCGGATCATCGTCCAAGTCTAGCCTCTTGACCCTAGACACCAGCGGTTGACCAGCAGGCCCATTCCTAACTGCAGCCATAAAATCAAGAGCAGTGCCGTTGGCGATCGATCCTGGCGGAAGGCCGTGCCGGTCGAAATGACGGACGAGCGAGTCGGCGTCATCCTCATCGTCCTCTTCATCGTCCTCTTCGTCAACATCTCGGTCATCATCCGCTCGGCCTTCCCGATAATCCTCGTCATGATCCTCAGCTTCATTGTCCTCATTGTCTTCATCCACATCATCTTGGTCATCAAACCGGACCTGCGATTCCTCTCGCAAAGATTTCATGTACAGTAGCATGTCTTCCAAATCGATTTCGGCGTCATGTGATCTGGCAAGATCTCTGTAAGCCTTGACTTCGTTGTTTCGATGTTTTTGGAGCATGCGCTCGCATTGACTGGTGGCGCACGATGGAAACGCTTCCTTCAATGCGGTGATCTTGTCCAGAGTCGACAAATCGACATATGCCTTGAGATGTGATTCGCTTGTTTTGCTTGCCTTCTCTCGTGAGTCCTCGGTATCCATCGCATCGCCATCGCCAGCCAGATCGTCCTGCAGAGCCTGGAGTTCATCCTCCTCAATTCCGGAGGCAAGGTCTTCATGATCCTCCTCATCACTACTACCATACTCTGAATCGTCGTCGTCAGCTTCGCCGTCAAAATCACCATCCCCTTCTTCAGGGTCCAAGGCATCCGCATCGTCAAATGTAGATGTGAATCGTACAACAGACGGATCATCTGAATCAGCGAACTCTCCATACTGCGTCAGAAGGAGAGGCTCTTCTCCCTCGTCCTGGTCGTCCTCTTCTTCATCGTCGCCATATGTCAATCTCGCTCTCTTGCGAGGCTCAATTCGAACAGGCGGGCGCCTTCTCGCCCTCTTCAACAATGGTCGTCCGAAGGGCACGCCGTCGATGAGGTGCTTGCCGTCGCTCGTTATCTGAAGCCGGCCGCTAACACGCCTTCGCTTGATATCGTCGGTGAGAAGCGGGCGAATGACGACCTCCTCATCTTTCTCGATCACAGTGCGCACGGGCTGGAAGTGCAGGCACTCAAAGCCGCCGGGAAGCTCGACGGCATAGTCCTCCAGACCCCAGTCGGCGCTTTCGAGAGGTACGGTGTCATTGACGAGCTCAAGGAGCTTGCTGACGGTGGGGTCGCCTTCAAGCGGTAGAATGAAGACGATCTTGACCTCTGGAAGGCCGTGGCGGCGCACCGCGAGGCGGAGGCGCAGGCTACTGTCCGACATGGCATGCAGCCCCTGAAGCCGGTATTGTGCGTGTAATGACCGTGATCACTGCTCCATGGGTATTCGAGACTGGCGATCTGGAGACGAGGAGCGGGGCGGAAGAATAGAGGCTTTTGCAGGCGTTGAGCGAGAAGTCAAGGGCGAGGTAACGCCGACAGGATCGTGGAAATGACGAGACTGGAGGAGGAGCGTGTCGCTAGGCAGAAAAAAAGTTGGAGAGCTGGTAGGCACCGATAAGCAGCCCAGAAGGTGCGATAAGCGTTTTTTTAGGCGTGCTCTCGGAGCACAGGTCCACTGAAAGATTGGCCTAAGCCAGCACGAAAGCATCCGCCTCCATTTCACCAGTCCTTCAGTAAGGTTGAAGGTACAAGTGCCTCCTGCCCCTTACAACGTCCTTTCTCTTTGTCCCAGTATTCACAGGGTTCCAACAGCGCCGCGTTCGTCCGGGAGCGTCATTGAGTCTGAGGCAATTTCTGGAGACAAAGGATCTCCATTCAACAAACCTTGCGTCAATTCCTCGATTGATCTTGCCGAGTCCCACGCCGCCATATCCGACGACCTTGGGGTTTGCAGCCCCGCGAGCCTTAACTACCTACCTATGCCCTGTAAGTGAAGCGAGACGGTGAATTTCAGTCCCTCCCCGCTTGAGAAAGGCTCGACATACACAGGCATCACACTCGGCCTTCCCGTGGCCTGTCCAATGGTGGAATTGCATACGGTGGATGACATACAAACAACACTTCGTAGACAGGTAGCAATGAAGCCCTAAACGCAAAAGAAATAGGCTTAGTCCAGATGTCTTCAAAGCTACCAGGTGTGCTCTCCGGTTTGATTCATCCGTATGAACGTGACAGTTCACTTCTATTGTGCAAGTAAGAAACCAAGGCTAATGCCACCCCTCGACTGTCCGATTGGTCACGGATCCCATATGCTCCTCTAGTATGACATATATGCGAAATATACTGGCTTCCCTTGCGTCCGTCATGACAGTGAACCCATGTCGAGCATGTGTCCCATCTTTTCGATCTGCAGGATTATCAATAGTCAGTCATAGGTCAAGTCAGAGGTCAAGTCAGGGGTTCGGTGAAACGTGAGATCTCTTACCTTTGTCTTGAGGTAACCCTCCACCTCCCGGCTGCGGAAACCCCCACGACCCCTCCACGACAGCGGCACCATAGCCACCCGCTCCGTGACGACGATCTCCCGGTTGGGCCCCTCCACAGCACGGATCTTGTCCGGGTTGTTGGTCAGCAGCCTGACCTCCCGCTGGTCCAGATCCAACAGCATGGCCGTGGCGAGGCCGTAGCTCCGCGCATCGGCGGGGTGTCGCAGCAACAGATTCGCCTCGACCGTGTCGGACCCGAGATCTTGGAGGTTGTATGCCTTGAGCTTCTCGCCGAGCCCGATGCCACGACCTTCTTGCCGCAGGTAGATGATGATGCCACCCGCCTTGTTGCTCGGGAGCGCCATGAGCCGCGCCGCCTCATCGAGCTGCTCGCCGCAGTCGCATCGGGACGACCGCACAGTCTCGCCGGTGTAGCACTCGCTGTGGATGCGTACTAGGGGCGGCCCATTGTCTGCTGTAGATGCTTGTGGCTGGCTGCTGCCATCAATCTGCTGGGAGCCTGCCGCCGCGCCGTCCGAGACAGCCCGGCTCGAGGTCCGACCTGGGTACAGCGTGCCCGTGTAAGCGCCACGAATCATGCGGTCCATCTCCGTCTCCCCTTCCCGCGGCGCGTCCAAGCTCTTGCTCCTGATGTTTCCACCAAACACGATCGCCAGGTGCTCCTTGTTGTCCACGTCGTTCTGGTAGAGGTGCAGGAACATTTCCGAACCGTCGACGGTGGGGATGCGCGCCCGCACGATGCACTCAACGTTGGGTAACCGCTCGAGCAGCTGAGGCTTCTTAGTGCCGCAGCCGCCGGCAGGATCGCTGCTGTCCACGGGGACGCTGCGCGGTTCGTCTCGTGAGTGGGAGGAGAAAGGGCCTGATGATGTCGGAGTTGCGGTGCCGGGAGTCACTGGAGGGGTGAAGGCGGGAGAGAGGAGGGACGGAGGTGGCGGTTGTACGGGGAGGGAGGCAGGGGTCGATGTCTGCGTAGAAGTTGCGCGACTGTCGTCGCGATCTGATCGGCTGCTGGCCGAGGCTTGTGGTTGTGACTGCGACTCGGACTCGGTGCCGGGTTGCGGGGCAGAGATGTCGTAGGCTTCTACATCGCTGTTGGTGGCGTCGCCTTCGGCCGGACGGGTACGCGGGGAGTAGAACGAGGGCAATTGGTTGCCCTGCTGCCAATTCTGGCCCCCCTTGCCCTCCATATTTGACGATAGATCGGGCATCGGGTCTGTTGTCGACGTTGGCCAGCGAGGCCGAGGAGAGAGCGGGCGGGGGATTCGGCAATGCGAATGCAGGGTCTAGATAGAGGGGTAAAACAGCGCCGACTTGGAAAGCAGTGGTAAATCAATTGAGCCACAGAACAGTGGTTTCAGCAGCAGCATGTATCGTCAAGAGGAAACTTTAAAGCGACATCGGGAGGAGACACATGAATTGGGGGTGACACTGGAGCCAAAAGTCCTCGATGTCGTGCGGGCATGATTAATGCTTGATCATGGCCATGCCAAGCATTAGTCATCGCTCCGGGTTTTCAGTTCAGTGTTCTTCAAGCTTCTCTGTGGTGTGCAACCCCGGATCCGAAAAGTGGGGAGTGCGTCTTCCGCCCCGCCCGGACAGACCCGACAGAATCTCGAGCCAACCTTGAATCAACTCCGCCCATCACTTCTACCTCTTCTGTGTCCAGAACAGATGCTTGCTTCTAAATTCTCCGAAATAAATGTGCGTAATCGAGCAGCTTCTTCCACTCCAGTCCAACTGGCCTTGCCATTCCTTCGCCCTGTCAACTGCATCTCTTATCCGTCACTAGACCAGCTGCCCCCCTGTGGCCAGATCTCAATCACTGGCTGTCGCTCAGTACAGTCTTCTCCCGGCCGGCTGTCCGTGCTTCGTCCTCCTTGCGTTCCAAAGCCCCAGGTTCGCTCGCATCAATGCCCGCCCTCATTGCTTCCATGACTTCGGCTGCCGGCCCAGTGAACCACTTGTGCGCCCAGACCACCCAGGTGCCGACGGACCCAACAGCAATAATGCCCACCGCCACTACCGTGTAGTTGAGTGTCTGGTCGGTCACCGGGTTCTGCGCTGGCAGGCAGAAGACGACGACAATGAGAGCAATCCACGTACAAGCAGCCGCGGCGATGGGGCGAGAGAGCATGCGCAAGTTGAAAGGCCCCTTCATGTTGACAAACGACTTGTGCCAGATCATTCCGATGAGAATAGGTAGGCCGTACGAGATGTAGAGGCCAATGGTCGCAATAGACGTAGCCGCCGCAAATGCAACCGAGGATCCGAGAGACGGCAGAGCTAGAATGAATGAGAGAGTTGCACCGAGCCAGACGGCCCGGATGGGAGACCGAAATCTCGCATCGACCTTGTGGAAGAAAGGGTGCTATACAGACATCAGAACCTGTAGAAGGACCCCGGATCACAGTTCAACTTACAATACCACCGTCACGAGCGAAAGCAAACATCATGCGGCTATTCGAGGTGAGCGAGAAGAGTCCGCAATGCCAAGTACAGACTGTAGTCGGTTGTGTCAGGTAGAGTGTTCTAACAAGTTTTGGCTCATACTGATGAATATTTACTCACCAATGATCAACGTAAACAACGCCAATGCGCCATCTTCTCCAAAGACATCAACGAGAATCTGCAACACGGGCTGTTGATAGGTCGAGTTGAGCGTCCCCTCAAAGTTCTGTATCGAAAACAGCATGGCCATCAGGACGAAGAAGCCGAAGAGCGCACTGAAGCCGACGCTCGAGACCACGCCAATCGGCGCGCTCCAACTCGCCTTCTTGGTCTCTTCGCTAAGATGGGCAGATGCGTCGAATCCTATCACCCACGTGTCAGGCCTCCAACTCCCCAAATAGATTCGCTCTGGAGACTGTGCATACCAGTCAAAGTATATTGAGACATCAGGGCGCCGCACATGACAACGTAGGCAGGGCTTGCACGAATGCTCCAGCCATCACTTCCGTCTGCGCCAGTACCATCGTGGAAGGTCCCAAACACAAACTTTGCCGGCTGGTGTGTGGGCGCCTTGGCCAGAATCGCGACACACAGCGCAGTAATGCCCGCCGAGTGCAGGATGATGGACGAGTTGTTCAAGTACCGCAGGACATGGACTCCAAAGGTGTTGATGAGGCCGTGAGACACAAGTACGGCTGCATAGATACCAATAGTCTTAGCCGGCGTCGGCACATAGTCGGGGTTCTTGACTGTGGCGATCGTCGCAATCAGCCCGGCGCAACCAAACGAGATACCCGTGGTGACGGCAACTTGACCCAGCAGATTGAACCAGCCAGTCACCCAAGCCGCGAATGGAGACCAACGCGCCGGGGCCAGCAAGGCCGCCCAGAAGTACGGGCCTCCCCTGAGATTGTGTTAGTGTTCAGTACGCTCCCTGGAAGTCGCGGAGGAACTTGCGAGGTCGGAATTGCCGAGACTACCTCCGCCATGGCTATGGCGACGAGTAGAGTAAAGAACGAAACAACGATCCAGCCGATGGACATTACTATCAAGAGGTCAACATGTCTTCAGTGCGATTATTCACAGCATAGCGACTTACCGGCCGGTCCTCCTGTGTTCAGCCTGCGCCGGAAATAGATCTATTAGCGACTGCAAGTTGTAATATAATTCATAACTTAGAACATACCCATAGGAGAAGAGAGTGGTGAGACCAGTGATGACGCTCTGAGGGTAGTTTGGGTTAGCCACTCGTTCAACGTGTCTGAGGATAGAGCGGCGAGACTCACGATGATGGAGAATGAAACGCCAAAGTTATGCGCCAATCCCCAGTCGCGACGGAGCTCTTGCTTGTAGCCAAACTGAGCCAGGCGGTTCTCATCCTGCTCATCGACAGTCCTCGGCTGTCCCCGTTCGGCAGGGATATCCGACATGTTGGAGAGTACACCTTGGTGATTGATTGTATGACGCTTAAATCGATCGGCCGGTGTCCCGCTGTTGCATGAAAATACATTGAATGGTTACAAAAAAGGAGGGGAAGGTGTTCGCAGCATGTGGCGGGCGTCACCTGCAGCTTGCCGGTTTATGAACAGACCGCATCGTACCATCGCTACCTGCAACCCTGGACAGATACGCATTGGTTTGGCCAATGAGCGATCATCCCATCGAGATCGCAAGATAAGACGACGGAGCTTCACCCAGAAACATCCCCCCGGCTCGCGCCATAAGGGACTAATGCCGAAAGCGTCAAGATTGAAAATAATGTTGGAGAAGGAAGAGCCAGATACCCAATAACAAAGCTGGATCTACGAGCAAAAAGCACTGGGGAAAAATCATTCTGGCGATTTTCAAAACCTCGGCTCAAACTGGGGTACGGGTTGCATCCTGTCCCGCAAGCTAGTTCAGTTCGCCAACTTGCAAGCAATCAGAAGTCCTTGCGTTGCACTCGAGATAAGCCTTCGATCCCCGCTTCTCCTCGTTGGGCAGTGGAGTTAAGCTCGAAATGGCATGCCCGGGTCGCGTGTCCTAACTAGGCACTCGTAATCATTTGTGATCGAGCGCGATCGTTCTGCATCTGCCCCGACAATCTCGAAAGGTTAAGCGGGTGCATGTCCTTCACGTCATCTTTGTGAGCGTCAGTCAAAGACGTTTCCATCATGCCAACTCTAATTACAAGAGGTTTCTCAAAAGCTCATTAGTGAGATGTAAAACTGCATATAAGGTGCGTATAAGCCGTCTTGACGGATGCATAGGTCTGGCTCTAATGAAAGTAAGAGAACACGCAGTGATGTCGTCCCAGTATCGCTGATTTTCCCTGGGACCTTTTTGCCAATAATTGACAGACCATGGGAAAATTCGGGTCTCTACATCGAACCTCGCCAAGGTGTGGTGGTCTATGGTAAATGGAAGGGGAACTCAGATGGGAACTGTAATATTGGTCAAAATACTGGACAGCTCACTAAAGACCAAAAAAGATGCGAAGTTCAAATATCTCATCTTAGCCGGGTGTGTCTTGCCCTTCCCCATAGCCGGGCACCCGGGTGCCAATGCAACCTGAACCCCAATAGATTGAGTATGATTCGCTCCGTGGAACTGGTACTACGCTGCGTTCAGAGTATCATCGCTGTAGCCTCCAATATTCGGATGAACTAAATCTTGCATGTACGAGCATAATTGGAAAAGCATAGCCTGTTTTACTTGCATCTACAACAGACTGTTGATGATAATTATTACGAAGCAAGTTCTGAAGGACCTTTCTTGCGGAAGCAGCACCTATATATAGATCGGAATGCCGTGGCTCGATCCCCAGGCGGGCTGAAGCGAGGTAGTCTCAGTGGATTGCCTATATGCAAGATACCGGCCCCAGAGACGAGAACCAGTCTAGCCCTTTGACATTTACGGGACAGAACAAGAGAGCCAGAGCATCCCTAAAAGGGATCCTACATTGCTGGTGCATTTCCAGACGACCATTTTGAATCTAATGCCTGCAAGGGATACGTCATGAACCAGAAATGAGCGAGTTCGTTCATTGTTCCAAGGCCATGTCTGCATCCGTGTGATGGTAAAGCCGGATTGTGTATACACAGGCAGGTGGGCTCAGAGGAGAATGTTCTGGGATGGAGGGCTTTTTCGATATAAGAATGCCACAGAGTCTGCTGTAGGACACGAGATTGATTGCCATATGTCCTAGAGTAGACAGATCTTCGTTTCGTTTCGTCAGTTTCCCCCCCAGATAAATTATATCACAATCAATATTGATAATGGCACATCACAGAAGGACAGTCTTCTTTATATGTCTAATATGGGCATTTCTCATACATGCAGTTATCTCTGATGTCTGCTCTACCCTGGCCAACCTCACCACCATTGATATGAGCTACCCTCTATCGTTGTCATATGCAACCGAGCAGTCCACTTACTGGTCGACATCCTGCTCTCTTCTCAAGCCTTCTTGCATCATACTCCCGCAAACAACCGAAGAAGTCATCACTGTTGTCTCTGCCCTACGTGCCCACAAAGAACCCTTTGCCATCAAGTCTGGTGGTCACAACCCTAATAATAACTTCGCTTCCGTTGACGGGGGTCCCCTTATATCTACGAAGAATCTTAATAGAAAGATTCTCCTGGACCCGAAGTCACGGACAGCACGCGTTGGTCCGGGTAACCGGTGGGACGACGTTGCCAAGGCGCTCGACGGGACCGGCCTCTCCGCCGTGGGCGGGCGGATCGGCGACGTCGGAGTGGGCGGGTTCTTGCTGGGCGGCGGCCTGAGCTTCATGAGCACCGAGCACGGCTGGGCTGCCAACTCGGTGCTCGAGTACGAGCTTGTGCTCGCCAACGCCTCGGCCGTCACCGTGACAGCAGACTCACACCCGGACCTCTTCCTCTCGCTTAAGGGCGGCGGCAATGCCCTCGGCATCGTGACCTCGTTCCTACTCCAGGTTTACCCGCAGGAGGAGAAAATCTGGGGCGGCACGTACACTTTTGACGCCACGCCGGCGACGGCGACAAAGCTGCTGGCCGCGGTACGGGACTTCACTACCGACTACCCCGACCCCAAGGCGGGGATCATCCTGACGCGGGAGACGACCGCCATCGGCACGGTGCAGATCTGGATCCTGTTCGTGTACTACAACGGCCGCGAGCCGCCGGCAGGTGTCTTTGACAAGTTTACGGCTGTCGGCCCGCTGCTCAGCACTTGCAAGACACAGAGCATGGCGTCTCTACTCACGGCCAACAACTTTGCCAACGTCAAGGGCAACGCCTTCACGATTGGCACGGAGACAATCCCCCTGCCGAGGGGCGATGAAGACGCCGGCCTACGGCTGCTGGAGGAGGTGCTGGACAACTGGCAGAACGTCACGAGCGGTGTTCTGGGCGTCACGGGCTTGATCTCCAGCATCGCCTTCCAGCCTATCCCGAGGGCGATGACGCAAATTGCAAGAGCTAAAGGTGGCGATCTATACGACCTCGACGATGACACGGACCGCATCGTCCTGGAGAACAACTATGCATACACTCTCCCGGTGGACAGAAATACCATTGACTCCGCGATGCAGAGAACCTACCAGGGGGTCCGAGAGCTGGTCGAACGTGGCACGCAGGCAGGCATCTTGACCGAGAGGTACCTGCCTCTTTTCATGAACGACGGGTATTACAGGCAGGACTATTTTGGGAGGCTGAGACCAGAGATGGCACAACTGGCGAGAAGGGTCAGGGATGGGGTGGACCCGGAGGGCTTGTGGAAGGACCGCACTGGCGGGTTCAAGCTGTGATTGATGTCAAACGTGAAGTCGGTAGAGAGATGGATATCGAATCAAGGGCTGGCATTGAAGACGAGGAAAAGAAATGATAAAAGGTTCGCGAATGTTTCACATTTTCTTAAGGAATGTCAGCACCATGCACGGCGGCGCCCAAAGTATGATGAAATCACACCTGCGAGGCAGGGACTGGACGAGAACATGCCACCGCCCACCAATTCTTCGGGGCCTGGTCACAGAAAACCTGCACTTTTGAAGATTATTTTTACTGTCAGATGTGCGTCGTGCATGAGGGCTGATCAACCGCTCACGGCCAATGAAGCACGACAGACCCGGGCGACCCAGGCGACTGGAGCCACGTCGTTGTCGTGCTGACCCCCAGATATGACGGCGCCTCCTGGTTGGGCGCGCTAAGCGCCTCAGGGTCGCCTGCAAGTGGGAGGTGGTGTGCACGAGTTCACTGGGCTTGGAGGGATATCTCCTGCTGCAGATGCAGGCGGTCACGGCGGCGCGGCCTCGTGCGGAGACGACCAATGTGGCTTTTACGTGGGTGTGCTGGCCGCGAACGCTTCAGACCGGGTCTTCAGCTTGAACCCTGGTGCAATGATTCTTCTCCAGATGGTTTGTTGATAACCTTCTTTTAAGCGCGAGCACGCGATGACCCCGGCGGCAACAGGGGCTTGGGCCGCTGGCAGGCCGAGCCGGGGAGATTCGATGGCAAAAGTTCAAGGAGCTCTGGGGACACACGCCCGGGCCTACTCCATACGAAGCTGGCTAGCAATCCGCCGCTCAACCTACGGCAGGGGTCGGGTGTGATTTCGAGCCCCGTCGAGGGAGATGTGCGTGTCTCACCCAATTCCGTTCCGGTAGCGGCCAATGGAGAGACAAAACGGCGGCCATCCCCGCGTCTGGTCGCAGAATGAGCATTCCAGCAGGCAGCAAATGGGAAAGTTGAACTGGACTGGGCGGGAATGGGAGCCTAGGTATGGGGAAGATGCAATTGGGGAATGAAGAAGGCTTCGTGAGTGAGACCAGCCACATGCTTGGGCAGACACGCACAGAGCTGATCATCAGGGCATGCATGCCGGAGGAGATGAGGCGAGGCACAACGAGGTACCTACACACACACACACCCACACGTTCTCAAATTGCTCTCATCGCGTGTGATGTGGGGGCCAAGAAGGGTTCTTTGAGTAGAGAAACGCGTTCTGGTCGCGCTTCTTCCCGCCCTAATCAAAGCACAAGCTGGGGCGGAGGAATGTAGAAAGTTGCGGTAGTGCGGCCCAAAGGCGGTCGGCGACTGGTTCTGTCTCATCCGTAGGTGAGTTCGATCTAGTCAAAGGGCCTCGTTCTTGATCATATCGATCCCTTCAGCCTTCTCAGTGCCGCTGCCTTTCCGCAACGCTGGTAAATGAGCAACTGCGAAACCTGGGGCAAGACAGGGGAGTACGGAGAGGCTGGAAGGGGCAAAATACCTAGTTGGGTAGACAAGAGACAAGAAAAGACAAGAAAAGAAACATGGAGTCTGCCGACCGGGCAATCCTGGAGAAGAGTCCCAGGGCCGCTGGCTGTTTGATGGGCAGCAAGGTCCAGGCTCAGAACTATGTGAACCGGGATCAGTGCTGGCATTGCGACCAGGTGTAACGAACGAGCTCATGGGCGAGGACAAGAAAACCCCACAGAAAAGCATCCGACTGCGATCCTCACTTTTGTCGCTGCAAACACACCAAGCACACACACACACACACACAGACACATTCCGCTTTGGGGTCGCTTTGGGGCGTGAGCTCAGGGGGCTGTCTCAGGTTGCCTTTTGGCGAGGGGCGAGCGTGTTTTGTACCTACGCAGGTATGTCTGGAGATAGTTATTTACGGTACAGAGCACAGCACTAGCATCCAGGCTGAGTCCGGGCTTGGATCCTTCAGGGGCGATCTGATCCGGAAACATCATGGCCTAGTCTGGCGACCACCCATGGTCCTCCCGAACTGGATGCTGTACGTTTCAATGCGACTTGCAAAAAGAGAGCACCATCAAGCGTTCAGGCACACCACCGAGACCAGCTTGGCTGTGAGGACAACTACTGGAACGGTCGCCCGATCGGCAGAGGTGGCAAGGGTGCGGCAATCGTGTGACAATGGATTGGCTGGCTGTGGAGAGAGGGGAGTCACCCCCTGCATGCATGCACTCTCTGTACTTGTAGTTACAAGGACCGAGTCCTAGTTCGGAGGCACGCCGCCACACGCAAAGACAAAGAGCAGAGCGTGAGTTTTGTCATTTCATCTCGAGACTCGTCTAACTCGTCGGTGTCAATGCAACGGAGCAGACGAGATGGAAGAACGAGCATCGCCAAGCATCTCTCTCAAGCTCCAAGAGGGAATCCTATGTTCTCACGCCCGTATCCAGCCCCAGCAAGGCAGCATCAGCTTAAGCATCGCTGAGGCTGAGTGGCTTGGGATCCCGTTCTGGGCTCATTTCCCCAAAGTCAGGATGTGCCCTGTTATGAAGGAGAATGACTATTCTTGCACCCCCCGACAGCTATTCTTGCACCCCTGCTAGCGCCAGACTAGTGCATATTTCTCAGCAACCAAAGCACATCTCTCTATAAAAGTTACACCATTCAAAAGCTCGG